CGTGCATGCTCAAAGTCCCTTGAACTTTGAGGCTGTTGAGTCAGATCAGTAGTATTGAGTCCAGACGCAAACAAGTCGGGTGTAGATGATGAACGAATGAGTTGGATGTCATCCTGTCCACGTCAAAGTGAATCGAAAGAATGGTCGCATTGCGACATGGACAACCATCACTCGGATTGACGTCTTCCGGCTACTGCGGCAGTGACGCTTATGTGATCTGCATCTGCATACGGACAGAAAAGGTTCCGTGAAACAAGGGCACCTTTCGCTCCTTTTCTCCACGAAAGTTAAGAAAGGGTCCGGTCGCAGCGGCGCAACAACTCACCGACTGCCCTGCAGAGAGCAGGAAACGGGTACGCGCGCGAATACGGCGACACAAAGGTCCGAGTGCGGCCTGTCGTTGCTGTGAAGGCTTTGCGGTCAGAAAAAAGTCCGATGATCGCAAGGTCCAAGTCACCGTTGTGACCGTCGCCGGATGCGCTCGCGAGATTGTCAATTTGGTTACAGGCCCTGATCGGTCTAGGCCAAAACGCCAGTAGTGCTTGCGAATAGGAAAGCGTGGCCTCGTTGCGATACTCGCGATATGGGAAAGTAAGGATATTGCTTCACGCCTGATCAGCACGCTATTGTTCAAGTCTGGCAGGGGCCCAGAACCGCGAGGCATTCACTGATTACGACTGGTTACAATGGATGATGCGATGGATTAACAATACTGTTTAGTATATCGCTGACAATTGATTCCTCATCCAGGGCAACTGTAGAAGCAGAGTCACAAAGACTGCTTGCTCAGCATTACTCACAACATGTGTGAGGAACAGATGCGATTGGCTGGGTCGGATTACTCATGCCATGACTTGTACACGGCTTGACCGGCTTGATCCTGCAGGAATTCTAAAATCCGAGGCGGAGCGGGCGGTGTCTTTTCTTGCGGCCGGTGATATTAGAGTTCAGATCAGGAACGGAAGGAAACGTCTACTCCCGAATGACAAAGCCTTGAGACCCGACCGACCATGGGTGCCTGAGCACTGCTATTATAACTCCCATGGACGTCCGGCTGACAGGTGCTTTCTGTTTCATCACAATCACACCCAGCGAACATTCGAACACCACGTGCCATACATAAACAATTAGCTTCCCCAGGCTTTGATCATCGCCGGATAGCCACACTATCTGTTTGCCTTTTAACACCAATCAGCCACTTACCTCTCATTGGCTGTGAGTAACCATTGCGACAGATTTGGTAATTACCATATTGACTCATATATCAGATCACTGTTCTCATATACAACAACCATCTCATCATGTCGACACAATCATACTTCCCTGGATCTGCTGCATCACCAGCAAAGAAGCAAAGAATGTCTCTTACACAAACATACTACATTGCATCCACTGCACGAAGCAAGCTCGGTCGTGAGGCTTCCCGTGCAGACCACAACCTCAGACTCCTTGTTGGCCATGCCAACCTTCTTGATACTCTTATGATCGAACTTCAGGACGCCGAGAGGGAACAAGAGGCCTGGTTCAACGAGTCTATCAAGGCCAGCAAGCCTGACCCTGCCACCCGTCACATTCAATGGATCGACTCCATTGCAGAGGAGCTTGAGGAGGATTCATCTGACGAGGAGAGTGACGAAGAGGACTCTTTCTACGACGAGGAGGACGACTTCGTCCGCGCATCACCATCACCATACACTGTCTCAACTGTCGAGGTTGATGACGACGAGTTCGAGGAGGATTACGAGTACGATGAGGAGCACGCCCTTACCAGAGTCGACTCGCACCCACCGGAGCTTGTTCACGGCGACTCAGACTCGGAAGAAGATGAGTCAATGCCACCATCACCCACACAAGAAGCAATGGACCTTCAAGAATCACAACACGCTCAACCTATCAAGACAACACCATACCTGAACAAGATGGACCACTCAGATTACCTTGCCGACAACATCGTCCTCTCGCAACGGCAATCACCAATGATCAGCGCCTACTAGACGCCCTTCATTACTTCGTCTATCTTGTCCAGCGTTCAAGCGATTCTTGTTCTCATTTTCGTATATTTTATGGCATCACGACTAGGATATCCCGGCTTGGAGCCACGGCGTTTTTATGATGATCTTTCACGGATGGGGGAAAACGGATTTATCTCTTCTTTACCAATCGAGTCGAGCTAAGAGCTCCTCTTCTTGTCTACAGGCCTTAGTTGCCTCTCTAATCATAACCATCTTCATACCTTCATATCTCTTCCACTTTCATGTGATCAATGTGACTTCCATTTGTTTGTCCGACTTCTTCCTCTCCTCGCCTACTCTGACCAAAGGTATCCACCGGCGACCTGATCAGGCTCCCGCAAGATGACTCCCAAATGTCCGCCTTAACCTCGCTTGTAACCGAGGCCGGGTTTCCGGCGATGCAGGTCGCCGAGCTTAAAGTTTTTCTTCCTTGTTGGCGTCATCACAAACCATCCTCCACACCACAAAAGATCTGATCGTCTCTGTCAATCTTCGACTCTCTCCGACCCACCGCCGAGAATAGGATAAGAATTTGCAAAGGATCTGTTTTTTTCATGTGGTGCTTTCCATGGAAAGGGCTTTCGCTTTCTGTTCGGCTGACATATCCACAATATCGATATTGTAATCTTCTCTCCGCAAAGGAGCCGTGCAAAGAATGCGTTGGAAGCGAGGAGAGAACAGTTTTTTTTTCTCTCTTCCCTCTCTCCAGAGTATGCACGGTGTTTGACGGTTGCGAGTGGTTGTCACGCGAAATAATCTTCGTTTGATGCTTTGTTCGCGACCTCTTGCTACATACGGTGCTTGCTCCGAGTCCCTCGGTCTTGACTCTTGACCATCAACGACTCGGTCACGACTCGCGAAAAGGCTGTTGTCGGCACTCGGAGCTTCCGATTCAGCTTTGCCGAGCTCATGCTTCGGATCCGTCGTATCGTCTCTCGTATCTGGGCTTCATACTTGGCCCATCGATCTTTTTGACAAGGGTCTGGTATGAAACCGCCAAGGGCTTGTGCTTTGTGTTTGTGTTTGTGTTTGTGTCTCTGTCTGGACAGAAAAGTAAGAAAAAGCTGCAAAAAGCATCGACTAGCACCAGCATCAAATTTCGGCCCAGCCGTCCAGCGGTACAGCTTGTTCAGGTTGCCTGGCCAGGTATTGCATTGTACCAGTCTTTTCGCTCACCGTCCCCTGTTGGTCGTCTCTTTTTTGCTTTGCGGTGTGTGATCGCAGATGCAACCTAGCAAGAGGATCCTCTGTCTTTGCATGACAACCAAACATTTGCAATTTTGTTCCAAGGCTACCAAATGCATCTGTTGTCTTGCGTCCTTCCTCTCACCGGTTCGTCCGAGACTTCGGCGACTGGAGCTGAGTGGGAACAACACATGACCTTTTGATCCTTCTTCCGCTGTGTCCGCACTTCCCGCTGATGAGCAGGCATGCACTGCGGAGTTTAGGTATGCATGCGAGCCAGCAGCCTTGCCTCGCTGCGAGCTCGGTGCCTGCAGAACCCCGCGTGTGTCGTGTCGGAGGATTTCGTAGTTCTCGGCGGAGATAACAGCATTCGACCACCTGCTTCGCACATGCTCTTTGATCTTGTCAGCAGATCGATTGATACAGTCTTCTTGTGACTCCTCGAATACCAGAACCACCCAGGTTTGCTTCGGTAAGTCGTGCCACCGAGCAAGGAATGGTTCCATCAGGTTGGAAAATGCTCGTGCTGCACTCCGCCCAAAAGTGCTCCCGCCAGACTGGGCGAAGCGGTGAACGATACCGTGCCTCTCCACACGATCCTTCCAGGTTCCTGCATGGATCAGCTGAAGCCACCCCAAGCCTTTTGTGGTCACTGCCCTGTGGCTGTGTACTCGCAGGGCTGAAGAATGTGTTTTCTCGATGTGACACCACCAAAGAAACAGAACTTCAGCTTCAGCCCACGCATGCTTTCGGTACTCATCGCAAGTCTCTGGAATATCCTGACCTGACCTCGTGGGCATTCTGAGCTGACCTCCTGTGTGAAGGGTGTGTCCACCAGTAAGCACATCGCTCATAGCTCCGTAGGTACCTTGTTTCCTTTCCAGCTCGATCTCACGCCTCCAATCGTTCCCCGAAACCCGAGCAGCTGCGTTGGAAGATTGTATCTACATTTCAAGTGACTTGTTCTCACGCAGCAACATCAGATCAGTAGGGCGCTGCAGGTGATGCGAACACGACACACCCTTCTTAATGAACCACCCCTACAACTCAATGTTTGGCCAACTTTGTATTCACAACTTTGTTTGTGGGAGTCAATCTCTTTGGTTTCGAATCTTAGGAAGACCCAATCATCTGGCGTGTGTCATGTTCTCTAGTATGTCCTTGGCATCAGAAGATGACTGCTCTGAAACCAGAAAATGGTTGTCCTGCAGGAAAAGGTAAGCATTACTACCACAGACCCCGAACTGGTAGTCTGGTCAGAGTGCAAACATTGAATCGGGATATAGCCGAAAACTTGTTCAGCTCTGTTCAAAAGTCATCATTGTTTACTCCTCCACTCGCACATGTCACAGCTAAACCATAGTTTTGATGATGAAGTTTTGTTCATCGGAAAGTCGTCTTGAAGAACAACTATCCTGACACTATCCAAGACCCGCAGAAAAGGTCGTCCATTGCGTTGAGTTTGGTCGAGGACGCGGAATACAGCGGCCGGTCATGATCTCTAAAGAGCCAAGCACGATGTTGTTATTCGTCAAAAGAACGGTAGCAGTGATGAGGAAGTCAGTTCATTAGAGATGTCGCGTTGTTGAATCTTTCATGGATGAATCTCTGAGATCTCAACCGTACTCATGATCCATATATTATACCAAAAGCTATTGCTATCTTCTATCTATACTGCAATTCCCTACACGTGAGTCCAGCTCATGCATGATCCATTTGTCCAACCAGCGTATATATACTTCTGTGCCTTGTAAGATATCCTGTGAGTATGATGGTCCAGGTCAGTCTTCAATACATAAGACTTCTAGCAAAGACGACGACGACCAAGGCCCATTGAGCAGTGCCACCTCTCTTGACCACTTCTTTCTCGACGCTGTTGCCGCTGATAGAGACAACACTAGGGATGATGACAGCGATACTGGTGGTTGCCAGTGAATTTGCATTCGACGATGTAGGAGGATCGCCCGTTATGCCGGTTGTGTGATTCGATGAGGCTGATGCTGAGTGGATAGCGGTGGCAACGGTGGTTGTGCCTGCTGCGATGAGACTTGTTGATGATTGCAGCCGAGTAGATGTTGGTGTATCACTTCTGATGCTGCAGAGAGAGGATAGATACATGTGTGCGGCNNTATCGACATGGTCAGCGTCGTGCCAGAAACATCAGGATTCTTGAAGCAGTTTACCCTGGTTGTCGGATGCAGTTCCTCCTTCACCACACGACAGCATCACACTTTGACCACTAACCAGCCAGCATTGCCCAGTTGAAGCAAGAGTTTCATCCAAGGGCACTTCTCTTGTGCCACCTGCGCAATGACTTTCCTCAAACAGACCCAGCGAACAGTCTTGCTGGATGCCGTTCTGGCCAGTGGAGATCAGGAACGATTGGAAGTGGTAAGAGCTGGTTTGACAGATGCCAGGCCGCAGTTGTAGCATGGACCGGGGTTGAGACAGTTCATCGCTGGGGCTCTGTTGACATGAGTTGTCATAGCTGGGTGTGAAGAACATGCTCGTACGAGTATTGACATCAGTCGAAGAGACGGAGACGCTACATGAGCCATCGATGCATGAAGAGATGGCGGATGTCCAATTTGACATGCAGGTCAGTGATGAGTGTGGATCAGGATAAGGTGACATGCAAGCCGACTGTAAAGAATCAGCAGAAATAACAATGAGAGAAAAGCTTCAGGCACCAAGCAGGGCGGCATGTTGATACTGGATTGAGCCAGTACAGCCGTAGCAGCAAGTTGAGCGAGGAGAGACTTCATGTCCTTGGTGTGTTCATGAGTGTCTTGAACGAGAGATCTGAAGTTGTTCCGTGTTCGAGCAGCACGAAGCTCTCAGGCCAGACGTCCTTTGATGGAGTTAGCAAGGAATGATGGTCGGAGCGTGGGAGAGTATGAAGGAACGGGAAGGTCAAGTTGTTTAGTTGGGTCGAGGAAGTGTTTCTGGATTTTGTCAAAGAAACAGCAGTCGCTGTTTCCTCCTTCGGCATTCGACATATTGAGGCGTGTGAGATCAGGCAGGGACACTCGTGGTGCATGAAGCAGATCCAACATCAGTTTCTGAGAAATATAAGACAGCTTGGAGTGGTTCTTCCGTGTAGCGTGTGTGGCAACCACTCGGCAAGGTATGTTGGAGTTATGTGGTGTGACTGCTGTGAATTATTTTTGTTCGGATGTAGTAACGAATTCTTCAAGTTTTTAGACAATTGCATTTGGTGTCAAGGTTACTCTACTACACCCTGATTCTTCTTCTTCCCAGAACGCCTTCGTGTCAATCGATGCATGAAAGAGCCCTGTCAAATGCGCCGGGCTGTATGAACCCTCCTGTAAAGTGGTCCCTGAATAAATAAAATTACAACCATGACATGATTTGGCATGATGTGTTAGTATGAGGAGGTCGTGATAAAGAACAAGGCCGATGATGCTCGCTCTTGCTCTAGTTGTATTGCGCATAGGCGGCAGTGGAGTTGAATTTGAGACCACCACGAATGACCTTCTCGACAGCGCTGAGGAAGTCCTTCTCGGTAGCGATCTTTCTGCGGGCACGAATGGCGAACATACCGGCCTCGGTTGCGACGGATCGCAATTCGGCACCAGTTGAGTTAGGGCATAGGCGAGAAATAAGCTCCCATCTGATGTCGCGCTCGACACTCATACTCTTTGCGTGGATGCGCAAAATGTTGGCACGACCTTCCATGTCGGGCAAGGAGAACTCAATCTTACGGTCGATACGTCCGGGACGCATGAGCGCAGGGTCGAGAGTAGAAGGACGGTTGGTAGCGAACATGACCTTGATGTTTCCACGAGCATCGAAACCGTCGAGTTGAGTGATAAGCTCAAGCATAGTACGTTGTACCTCGTTGTCACCACCAGCGCCGTCATCGAAACGAGCACCACCAACAGCATCAATTTCGTCGAAGAAAATGATACAGGCCTTCTTTGTACGGGCCATCTCGAAGAGCTCACGCACCATGCGAGCACCCTCACCAACGTACTTCTGCACCAGCTCGGAACCGATAACACGGATGAAGGTAGCGTCTGTTCGGTTGGCGACAGCTCTGGCGCAGAGAGTTTTACCAGTACCGGGAGGACCGTAGAGAAGAGCACCCTTGGGAGGGTCGATACCGAGATGGACGAAGCGCTCCGGTGACAGAAGGGGCATTTCGACAACTTCACGTAGCTTCTCAATCTGCTCCTTGCAACCACCAACATCGCCATAGGTAACGTCGGGCTTGTCTTCGACTGTCATCATGGTGACCGAGGGATCGATCTTGGGTGGCAGGGGGAGCATGATCTGGTACTTGTTGCGGTCGACACTAGTAGAACAGTGTCAGTAGGATACGGACACAGGCATACACAGAATTGACTTACCNNCTACTCTCATGCCTTCCTCGATATCGGTGGNGGAGACACGCTCGCCGAGGTTGACGACGAATTTTGCTATTTGCTTTACGTTGATGACATATTTGCTCTTCTCCTCGTTCTCGTCGGCAATGATCTTTGTGCAGCGGGCGACTTGAAGTGGCTGTTCCTCTGACATGCGTTGTCTGTCGGCGGCGATATCCCAGAGATGCGGAGGGGCGAGACCGGTGTCTGACTNCCTGTGAGGGTCTTAGTATGGGCAGCTCGATAGACATGGGGTAGGGTGCGATGATACCTTGACACCAATCTTCTCGTTGACACTTGTTTGACGATCCTTGATCTCCTTCTCGAGCTTCTTGAGGGCGGCGGCATAGGGAGCGGCGCCGTATGTCTTTAGCACCTGGATATCTTCATCGGACAAAGGAGTGATCTTCTTCTCCTCAACCTCGTCATCGGCAAACTTCTTCTGGTACTTCTCCCAGTTCTGACCCGTGGCGCTGGGCATGGCGGCGGTGGAGGAGGATTAGGTGTTGATGACGAATGCGGGAGTGAAGCGACGGTTGGTGATGCGGACAGAGGACAGATTGCAGGTGTGCGACAAGTAATTCGATGGTCCAGAGGGATGAGAGATGGAACGAGACGTGGGCGATGGGAGATGTCGTGTGTGGGTGTTGTGGTTCAGAACAGCGATGGAAGGGCGATGAAGCTCTCGCCGGGTCGCCGCAACATGACGGAGCAGCGAGCAGCAGCAGCAGCTCCAGAGACGCTTTGCTTGGCACCTCTTCCCCGACGCCGACGCTGGACGCTCGAAAATTAATATCATCGACGAGCTCAGTACTCTGAAACACCTGTATCTTGTGCTTGTTTCTCGCTCAAGCCATCTCTTGCTCGTCGCATAATCCCAACATACGCAGCAGAGATCATGTCGACCCAAACCGCGGCTCCCAACGCCGGCAACGCCGCCTTCAAGGTGCGAACTGGCCTATAAACATTCTAGCTCTCCTATCCATACTGATGTCGACTAGGACAAGGAAAAGCCCCAGGCTGTGCGCACTGCCAACATTGTTGCTGCCAGAGGTATGCCATACTGTCTAGCCCTCATTGAGACCTTCCACTGACTCTGTCTAGCCGTCTCCGATGCCATTCGTACTGTAAGCTAGCCGCCGACTCACCCATATCTGGACTCCCATTGACAACAGTTGTACTAGTCGCTCGGTCCTAGGGGTATGGACAAGATGGTACGAACAAGAAGCCTTCTACATCTCTGCGCAACCTGCTAACACACGACAACAGATCCAAACCGGCAAGGGCGAGACCATCATCGTAAGACAAGATCCAATATTGCTCCGACAATCCTCGAACAAGCACTGATACCCTGGACCANNGACCAACGATGGCAACACCATGTTGCGCGACATGGCCGTCATGCACCCCGCCGCAAAGATGCTCGTCGACCTTGCCAACGCTCAGGACATTGAAGCTGGTGATGGAACTACCTCAGTCGTCGTTATTGCTGGTTCTCTCCTTGGTGCCTCCGAGCGCCTGCTGCANAAGGGTCTCCACCCTACCGTCATCTCAGACTCATTCCAACGCGCCGCAAAGCACGCCGTCGAAGTCCTTACCAATATCTCCATCCCCATCAACCTCTCCGACAGACAGGTCCTCCTCAAGGCCGCCTCTACTTCGCTCTCCTCAAAGATTGTCGCACAAGAACCTAAGCTCGCTCCCATGGCTGTTGACTCAGTCCTGAAGATCATCGACCCCAAGACCGCCGACAACGTTGACCTGAAGAACATTCGCATCCTCAAGAAGCCCGGTGGTGTTATTGATGACAGTGAGATGATCGATGGTCTGGTTCTTAACCAGCAGGTCGTCAAGAGCGGTGGCGGTCCTACCAGAATCGAGAAGGCCAGAATTGCCCTTATCCAGTTCCAACTCAGCCCACCGAAACCCGACATGGAGAACCAAATTGTTGTCAACGACTACAGACAGATGGACAAGATTTTGAAAGAGGAGAGAACATACCTGCTCAACATGGTCAAGAAGATCAAGAAGGCAAAGTGTAACGTGCTCTTGATTCAAAAATCCATCCTCAGAGACGCTGTCAACGACCTATCTCTGCATTTCCTGGCCAAGCTCGGAATTATGTGTGTCAAGGATATCGAGAGAGACGAGGTCGAGTTCATCTGCAAGGTACGGCATCCCTTTTACATTTTTTTTTTTTAGAAAACGAGGTATACTAACCTGATCCTANNGAGCACTGGTTGCAAGCCTATCGCAGACATCGACTCCTTCTCGGAAGACAAGCTCGCCAGCGCAGACCTTATTGAGGAGGTTTCATCGCTCGGTTCGCGCATCACCAAGGTTACTGGCATCAAGACAACAGGTCCCACCGCCCCCAAGACTGTCAGCATCATCTGCAGAGGTGCTAACCCCCTCATTCTCGACGAGGCCGAGAGAAGTTTGCACGACGCACAGTGTGTGTTGCGCTGTTTGGTAAAGAAGAAGGCCCTCCTTCCTGGTGGTGGTTCGCCGGAAATGGCTGTCTCACATTCGCTCTCCAGACTCGCCCTCACCTCATCTTACCCAGACAACATCTGCTTCAAGGCCTTTGCCGAAGCTCTCGAAGTTGTTCCTATCACCCTAGCAGAAAACGCTGGTCTCAACTCCATCAAGGTTGTCACAGAACTCCGATCACGACACGCAAATGGCGAGACGAATGTCGGTGTCAGCATCAAGCGCGGAGGCGTCGGTGTCATGGGTGGAGAGGTTGGCGGCAATGCTGGAGAAAGTGGTGAGGGTGTTATGCAGCCTCTTCTTGTCAGCACCAGCGCCATTGAATTGGCTGCCGAGACCGTCAAGATGATTTTGAGAATCGATGACATTGCCCTGAGCAGGTAAATGTCAAACAAAATGGTTGTACGTTTATTAGCATGAAGGAAACACAGATGCACAACAACAGGCTATATTTTGAATGTCTGTAAACACAACAAAAATGTAAAATGAAGTATGATGCACAATTACTTGATCCCTCGGGTGCTGTCGTAACGGGCATACAGTAGATGATCGCTTTGCAATCTCCTCTCGATCACATGGAGTGTTCGGATGCTCAGCTCTCACATCAGATATGCACGAGAGTTGACTGTCAACTTTTCGCCGCAAAGCCACACCCGCAAGATTAGAGGTGACCAACAACAACAAAATCATCGACAGCAATTAGGCAAACACTTAAAATGGAGAGAAACACTGGGAAGACACATGCTTATCATCTCAACTTTGCAAAGATATGCACCAATTCCCAACTTGATGCGTTTCGAGGTCGAGAAACAAAAGATCTTCAGCTCAGCAGCAGCACACACGAGGGGCTAGAATTTTGCTGTGTCTGCAAACTTGCAGCTGTACCGCGACCGTTGAGCTTTCTCGCTGAGATTGTGGAGTAAAAAGGCAAACCAAGAAACCAATAGCGGCAAGACCGAGTTGGGGAAGCTTTTCTGGGTGCGTGCATGGATTGAGACAAGAGGGAGGAGAGTTGAGATGAAAAGAGACTCTGAAGACGGGTCTGTGATACTCTTTGTCCTACATGTGTGTAGATACGTGGTGTTTCTTCAGCTCTGTCTTGCCAGGCTGACCTTCAGGTGTCAAGGATGTGGTAGAGATGTGCAGTGGTCCAGCCATCGATAATCTGGAGATGTGGGCGAGTGTTGGGCTTGGCAAGCTTAGGCTAAAGGCAACGCTTCGACGCCCTTGACGAAAGCGGATGTGGTTCGGGCGGCGACGGGACATGATGGATTCGACCATCTGCCTTTGGATGGGGAGTTTATATTGGGGATGCGCGAAGGGTACATGGAAGCGGTGTCGAAGGTACCGTCGTACAATATTTCTTTCCCCCTGTCTGCCGTTCGTGTTATTTCTGCTCTGTTTGTCGGTTTTGGGTTCTTTCGCAAGGTCTCAAGACAGACCAAGTCTCAATTGTCAGTTGCTTGCTTTTGTCTGTCACAGCGTACGTGTTGCGCCGATAACCCCGATCTCGTCTCTCCATCCGCCGATCTCCTGTTCTGTGGTCATCACGCTGCAAGGTCGAGCCTGCATGCCCGTTCAGCGGTCAAGGATTCTCATTGTTTCTCCTTCACTTTCACGACATCCACGACACTCGAGCGATTAGACATTCGTATTCCTGGTTACTCTGCATAATTCACCCTCGGTCCCCCGCCTACTCATCCATCTCCACGCCTGCCGCGACGCACCCAGCCGACGTACCGGACATCTTCAACAGCCCGTACCTTACAACTAGAGTATGCCGTGCCTCCTCATCGTCTCACCCAAATCAGTCTAACTAAGATGGCCTGTAGCACTCGTTAACTGCTTGTCCAATCGTGCGAGCATTGCTCCTTCACTTTCCGGACGAAGCCTACACGACGTTTACACACCAAAGCCACTCAGGACGATTCGAACAAGCTCGCAACACGTCCCCTCAGCTGTCTTCGACATATTAGATCAAGGTTATGAGGTAGCACTCTCGTCCGAGATACCCAGCCTGCTTCAATCAAGCACACACCATCCGTACATTCCACCATGTCTTCCGAGCAGCCACGTCGCCGATTCGATCCGACTCCTGTTGAGACATCTTCCAAGTCGAATCGTCAATCAGCTCAATCTGAAGAGAACACCGCTCCACGGAAGTTCAACGTCCAGCCAGCCGAGACTACGACACGAAGCAGCAAGGACGGCAACACAAATGGCCAAGGTGTCAATCAGCCCTCGCCGAGGCGTTTCAGTCCAACACCCGTCGAGACAAGCACAAAGAGCTCAAGGGAAACACAACAGGCACAACAACCTGCTAGAAGGTTCGCACCAGAGCCAGTCGAGACCAGTGTGAAGAGCAGTAAAGATAAAGAACAATCACCATCACAACCCGCTAGGAGATTCGCTCCAGAGCCTGTCGAGACAAGCACCAAGACCAATCGACAGTCGGATCCACCAGCAGAGAAGCCCAAATCACGCCTCCTACCACAACCGATAGAAATGACATCCAACAGCAACCGTGCAAAGTCAAAGTCTCCTCAATCAAATTCTCCCGCAACAAAGTCTCCCGCAACAAGGTCTCCTGCAACCAAATCTCCTCAAACGAAATCTCCGCCGAACGAAGCAGTATCTCCTTCGTCGCAGCCTCAAGATGCCCCTGTCGAGAAACCAAAGCGCAAATTCGCTCCTCAGCTCATTGATACGTCGAGTCGATCTCGAAAGAACTCTGATGAAAAGCCCTCATGGTCTGCAAACCACAGAACCGACATATCGCCCGGAGAGGAGTCCAGGGTTGCATACAACAACATAGGTCAACAGATCACCATCGCCAACCGCGAAAACACAACTTCACCTACCGAGTACCCACGATTCATTTCGCCCTTTGCTCGCCGAAAAGAGCGTTCCGATTCCGCTCGCAGTCACTCGTTCCGTATGCCCGAACTTGAGACTATCGAAAGCTCCGAGAGTGAGCCCAGTGCGCCACCAAGTCTCTCCACCAGTCCTTCGTCCAACGATTTCTCGCTCGGAGCAGCCATGGAGCCAATGAATCCTGCATACAAGCATGCTACGAGAATTCGTGAGAGCGTTGATGAAACCTTTAGCCGCTATCTTCTCGAGCTTGAGGGGAGAAAGGCTCAGGCGAAGCTCCAAGAACAAGCGTTGGCAGCCTTCCCCAATTCAGATATCCACGAGCCTGTCACACATTTCATGGATGGTGAGAGTGAAGATGAAGAAATGGACGATCGCCCTGCGACATGGGAGGGCCACGATGACGATGATTTCATGATGCAAATCCGTACGCCGCATGGTCGTGGCTCAACGCACGGAACATACGAGGTGCGTGAGATGCACCAGCACTTTGAAGAGATGGAGCAAGAGCGCAAGGCTGCTGGTACAACGAGGAGAAAGTCTTCTGTAAAGCCTTCACCGTGGTGGAACCCTGCGGGTCACGACTTTGCTGGCTCCAGCTATCCTGATAGCGAGGCGCGAGCAATGCGCGACAGAGCACGTCCACCCATGCTTGGTAATGATCTGAAGTTCCCTCGCTCTGCTTCACCCGAACCTGCACGTTTCGACGTGACTCAAGGATCCAATCAATTGCGTAGTCAGATGTGTTATCTGACTGAGCAGTCTCAAATAGAAGTCTCGCCAGAAGGACTTTGGGGTGGCAAGAAGACATCGAGGGACCCTTCTGAACATCAGAAGTCCGTACANAAAAGTCAGCACACTATCTACAGTCAGAAGAGCACGACTTCGCAGAACGGCGGTGGACTTTGGGGTGGATTCTGCGTTGACGATCGCAAGTCTGGCGAAAATGGTCTTGCTCCTCCAACATCTGGCACTCAAACTGGTCTGATGACACCTGCAGTTGAGCCGCCGAATCCGTTCGAGTCGGGCTTCAGCCTACCGCCAACAACCATACTTCCTCAGACNCCCCAAACGCCGCCAGATAATGTTGACTTCGCCAAGATCGACATTATTTTGAGTGAAGATCAGGATCTGGACGAGGTTATGGAGCGCGAGTTTCCCGACTCGTTTGTCACACAAGTTTACAACTACCTCTCTCTAGGTTACCCGACCATTGCTCGAGCCTATGATGAGGAGTTGTGCAAGATTAGCCATATCCCTATCTCTGATCTTCGACATGACGATGAGATTGCCAANAAGACGCCTCGTGGGTACATCCGCTTAGGCGAGGACTTTGAAGGCAGAGGCGATGGCACAGATCAATTGCTCGAGGAAGGTGGCTGTGCGAGATGGACAGCGCTCAAGAAGTACATTCGCGAATGGGCACGCCAGGAAAAGAACATGGTCAAGACTGGCTCATCAGGCACAGGTCTGGGTGGTAACTGGGGCACTGGAGCTAGAAGGGGAAGTTGGGCATGGTAGAGGATCGTGCACTTCTTCTCTTGTCGGTGCTATTTTGATATTGCTATTGCATTGGGTCGGCGCTTTGTTACTTCGGTTGGATGAACTGCATTGAAGACCACACGCATAAGGTCGTGGCTTTGGAACACATATTTCATAGCTAATAAATATTACTACGAAAGCAAAAGCGATTACTTCATTGACATATCATTGATACTCAGGTCGCTGCAGAGAGATGTGAAGTCAAGGTTCAGACTCGAGAATTATGCAGCACGTGATTGTGCACGCTTATGCAACCCCGTACCAAGAATTTTTTCTTCCATAACTCTTCCTCGACCAACTTCCGACAGACCATTTTATCTCGACATCAATTTACAAGATTACAACATGTCTCTGGTTGGAGCACTTCTTTTCTGCAACGATTGCGGTGGTCTTTTGGAGCGATGCCCCGCTTCTCAAGCAAACATCGACTGTGATGTTTGTGGCAAGAGAAACAAGAGTAGGTCGATTTTTCTGTTCTCTCTCTCATCTAGCCATCACGAAATGTCATGAAAGAGCAAAAGCCACACTTTCTCCCATCAAGTTCCCTAAAAAATTCGAAAACTAGAGAAATACCTTCGAACTTTCTTGTTCTAACCTGGTCCCTTTCCACANGACAAGTGGCCCACCTCCATCACCACCGAATCAGCACCCACAGCATTCCCATCACGCCTCCGCGATGCCCGCTCAGAGATCCAAGTTCTGAGTGCTGAAGACCGCGAGACTTGGGCCATGACGACTACAGCATGCCCTCAATGCGCCAACCCTGAAATGAGATTCAGAGATGTGCAGTTGAGAGGTGCGGATGAAGGAAGTACGATTTTCTACAGGTGTCCCAAGTGTGATTATAAGTAAGTTTTTCAGTGGAAGGGCTAGAAGGGAAAGGCAGAGGCTGACGTTTGTGCAGATTCAACACCAACAACTAAGGTGGCTTCGTGGTGGAGAGGGTTGGAAGGAAATTGCTGGCCGTGAGGCAAGTCAGAGTGTCTTGAAATGCATTGGAGAGGAGTAAGAAAAAGTGATAGTTTGATACCCCCGTTTTAACAATCTTTTGTTTGTCAATTCTCTGTCAGTCTCTGCTCGCTGCAATCACTCATCTAACAGACGCATACTTCTGGAATCACTACTGAACTTTTCAGGGACACCGTCAAGACTGTTTCGCCTTGCTGTAAAGACTTCTGAACTTCCACGTTAGCTTGTTCAAGATTCACTCACCAGCTCGAGACCAATCACCGATCAGGACTTGCTGGAGCCTCTCACCTACTCACAGTTCAGATTCGCTCCTTCCGTCCTCTCTCTCACTGCATATTACTCCTTTTCACATTCGTTCCGAATACTGATCGAACTCTCACACCTACCTATATCTACTCTGTTTCTCCCCTTCCTTTCCACTTCCAACCTCTCTTGCCAACAACAAATATCTACTTGGATTTCTTCTTCAAACAACAACATCCACCACGACAACACAACACAAAGCTACGCGTTCTTCGCACGGTTTAACACAACAACGTACTTGTGCTGCTTGAACACTCTTCTTCACATCTCCAATCATGCTTCGGACCGACCGGACGACAGCTTGTGCTGTCTGTCCACCCTCAGCTTCACACCCACCCTACATAAAGTTATGGAATGCGATAGATTACAAACCTCGCCCGAGCAAGCTCTGTGCTGGCTGCAAAAACATCCGATACTGTTCTCGAGCTCACCAAAAGCTTGACTGGGCGGTTCACAAACACGCATGCAAGCAGTTTCAAAAACTTGAGTCCCGTCCCTCTCCGGATATGATACGCGTGATCTACTTGCCAGTGGACAAGATAGAACCTGAATTCAGATACGTATCTGTCGGAACGAAGACAAATCGACAAATTCCGGACTGTGCGATTGAATTCGATCTTACTCAGCCACTCAACACATGGAGCCAATGCTGCGCTCGTGGCTGCCACAATGACTTCGAGGAGGGTGTCCTTCACGTAGAAGGCTGCTACGGTATTTACGAGTTTACTCACGAAAGGGCAACCATCACAACAAGAGATGCAAGGCCAAACAGATGCATCGAGCAACTCACCGCCGGCGAGATAGCACATTGGACAGGCCCAGTCCTGGCTTTTGGTCGCCGCAGTGTTGGCTCCGAGTGCAGAGACCTAGACACAACAGACTTCAAAGCCATTGTTGATCAGATTTGCAGCGCAGAACGATTCAAGGTATCCAAGATAATCCAGGGCGTACGCATTAACTGTGATGACCACATGGAGAAGCACAAACGGCCGCGATTTGAACGTGGAACGATCCAGACTTACGCTGGTATGCCCGAAGTTCGTCAATTGGAAGACCTTCCTAGACTTGTTTTTGGACGAGGCCTGCGCATTGCTCGTCTCCACATGGAAGAGAACCTGGATGGTCGTAACCCTACTGCTAGCCTTCTCGGCATTCCCTGCGCAAACGATGTCCGCGCATGGGGCTACTACAGAAGACAGAAATGTGGTAATGTTTTTGTCATACGAGATGATGGAAAACCTCTCGCGGTTGAGGATCTCAAGGCTTTCTGCAACTGGATCGACAAGGATCTAAGGAAACGCTTCAACGCGGCCAGGAAACCCACTTCTCAAGCGATGAAAATGATAAATACAGCAGCTCCATGGCCCAAGATCGAGAAGGCTCGCAACGACGTCCTTGACAAGATCACCCTACAGAGATTCCTGGATTACAGTAGGAGCAGAATGGGCGATGATTCGACCGACGAAGAAATGCCCGATGACAACCACGAGGAAATGGAAGATGACAGCAACGAGGATGGCGACAACGTCTGATCTTGAAGATCTCAATGTTGCTTAGGACTGATCACGCCCTCTTCCATGAAGAATCGATGGCTATCGCAAGACTGCCTCTCACGAACATTCATGCCCTGAATGTACCACAGAACTGAAACAGTGGCCAGGAGAAGCACATCATGGCATCGGAATATCATTTTGCTTATGCGCAACGAATTTCTTGATGAGCAAACAGGGTTATCCTCTCGACCGACAAAATTGCCTATTTCTTTTTTGTTTCTTTTCTCTTTTCTTCCTACTCGTCTTCCTATCTTTGCGGAGGACAAACCAACGGAACAATTTGAAGGAGCGGAGGGCCCATGGCGGCTGCATTTGAAGCTCTCGTAATCGATATTTCCATTGAGCTTTGCTTGAAAAGGGAATGAGGACATTTTTCGGGAGTGCGAATCGGAGACACCATGAAGCGAAGACGAGTCTCGATGGGCGAGACCACCAGAGAGAATAGATCCTGCATACAATCAAGTAGCAATCAAAAGTTCTCCAATCAATCCAGTGCCGCATGATGGTGAAGAGAAGAAAGAGGCTTGAGGCATTGGAGTTTGTACAATCACATGTTAGGTGCACTGCTCTACGTCAGCCAAGATTCCGGGGTAGCAGCTGCCGAGGCTATTGGAATGTTTTCCAGAGGTCCCTCGGCTGGTGCATCAGATGTCAGAGGGCACATGGAAGCTCGAACGAAACAATGATCTGCTTCTGCTGGAACAAACCACTGCAACTTCCTACTCTGCTAACCTGATCTCTGCATCTTAGCGACAGCAAGCACCATAGCAGCTCTCGTTCCGCAACCAGCATTACTCTTGCTTCGTCACACGACACAACCACCACGATGGACATCTCTACCCTCCAGGTCTGCCAGTGCTCAAGTCCCTACATTGGCAACCCACTAACACTCTCACAAAGGCAACAGCCAACCGCATCCTCCTCGACCCCCACTACCACGCCCCGCTCACCCTCCTAAAAGCCATCCGCAATGGCCTGGTCTACGGCACAAAAGTTCGCTTCCCGCACGCCCTAGTAATGATCCTCTTATTCCGCTCCGGGCCCCTCCCTCAAAAACTATCCGCAATTCTCAAAGCAACCCGCCAGCATGCCAGAAACCTAGCCACCTTTGCCTTCATCTACAAAGCCTTTATGCTGCTACANAAAAACATACGCCCTTCCAACAAAGAGTTGAAATCTGATAGTTTTGTGGCTGGGTTGGTGGGTGGATACTATGTCTTTGGTCGTAGCAGGAGTAGTGTCAATCAGCAGATTGTTATCTATGTTGCTGCCAGAGTGATGCTTGCTGCAGCGAGTTTGGCCGTTCAACCCCGTGGCGACAATACTTTGTTGGGAGGAAAGTATGGCGGCAGAGGAGGAATGGGATTGTTGAGTTTGTCGGATGAGAACAGAGAAGCGGTTAGGAAACATGCTTGGCCTGTGTTTGCGAGTTTGAGTTGGGCGTGTGTCATGTGGTTGTTTAGGTTTTATCCTGAGATGCTGCAGCCGAGTTTGAGGAGTTCCATGACTTATATGTGGGTGGTGGTCTTGTTGTTGATCGAAGATGGAATGCTAACGAGAATGACAGANTATGAAAACTCGGATCACTGGGACTCATTCAGGAACTTCTTGTGGCACAACAAATGAGGTGGGAACACAGAAGGAAGCGGCAGGGACTGCTGCATAACATGACGACTTTACGAAAGACATTCTCATTGCATCTTCGCTATGGTGCTACCAGCCCGGCAATCTCATCCAGCCAGACAGACCTGCAAAGCGGCCCTCAAAGCTCCTCAATAACATCTTCAATCGCCTGTATACCATCAGGCACAAAGACTTCGAAACTATTCTCGACGATCTCTGGAACGTGCAACACGCCGCCACGCCATCTCAGCCACTCGGGTCTCTTCAACCACTCCGTCCAAGCATCCAGCTCGATGAACCTCGGCTTGCCGACTTTGACCTTCAAAACCAGCTCCACGGCTGCCATCAAACTCCTCTTGAAGAAAGCAAACAACCAAGCAAAGGGAGCAAATACCCATTTCAGATCTGTCAGGCTGACCCAGAACCTCTTGGCCCAAGCGAAAGGAGCCACGACCCAGGCTTTGAGCAAAANGAAGAAAGCGATGGCTTTGAGCACGTAGCTCTTGATCCAATAGTACGCAGCAATAGAGACTGCAACAGCAGCAGCAATACCGACGATTGTGACAGTGATGCGTAGAGGTCCCCTTTTCCATGCGAACATCGTCAGCCANNACTGTATCTTTTTGTTTTTCTGTTTTCCTTTGGTCTCCTTTGTCGTTTATGCTCTTGTGTTCTTCTGCGACACAAGGGAAGGGGTCATTTACCATGCATTGAAACTGCCAGAAGTCTTTACTCCACCATCCCAAGCAGCATTATCTCCCGAGGGACCGGTTTGCCAGGCGGTAGGGTCTTGCTGTCCTTGGCCCCAGGTTTCCTCTCCGCCAGCAGCTGGTTGACCCCAGTTTGCATCTCCACCAGCAGCTGGTTTATTCCAATCAGCGTCTCCATCAGCGGCAGCAGCTTCATCCTTGTTGGACTTTTTGGAGCCTGACTTCTTTGAGGACGACTTCTTTGAGTCACTCTTCTCAGTATCACCGGTATTGTCATGGTTAGATGCAGAAGCAGGCCAACCTCCAGGTCCCTCTCTAGCTTTCTGGGAAGCTGTCTTGGAAGCAGGCTTTGAAGGCACCTTTGAGGCGGGCTTGGTAGCTTCAGGTGCATTGTCCTCAGCGGCAGCGGGCCAAGCGTTATTGTCAGGAGTGGCCTAGGGGTCTGCTGCAGGCGCAGCAGCTGTCTTTGAACGTTTCGACTTGGCTGGTGAGGGCGATTTTCCTGTGGTAGGCATCTCGTGGGCGTTGCTTTGAGTAGGAAGTTCGTTTTTAGCAGAGGCTTTGGTGGCACTGGCTGCTTTGTCCTTGGTATGTTTTGTGCTGCTGCTCTCTTTTGCCANTCTGTGGTTTATCAGTATCATGCTGATGACTTGGTCATGATCAGAGACCATAAAACTTACACGCAGTCTGAACAACTCGTCAGCCAACTCATCCTTGGACATGTCTGCCAACTTTGCCTTGAGAGCTTTTCCTTCCTCCTTGATCTCGATCTTGAACTTCTTCTCAATGACCTTCTTGCTGCGGTATTTGAATGTGAAAACTGCATATGGCTGCTGCATGCTATCCAAGTATTCAGGACGAGCACACAAATGCAGATATGGTGCCCCTTTGCCAGTCTTGACTTGATGCTCAACATGTTTGGCACGAGCGGCTTGCTTGGGCACTAAAGGCATGGGCTCTTCAGGAGCAATGTAGAGAGGTCTAGCTAGGCGAGACGAAGAGATTGTAGGACGTTTGTTCCAGTCGTTCCAGTAGGGCTTGGGGTTTATGCCGTCGTGGTCTCGTTCGTCAGAGGCACCGTCGAAGAGGCCGAACAGCCCGCCGACAGAGCTTTCTTTGCAGTTGCGGGTTTGGCGGATGCTGGTTTGTTGGAAGGTGCTTTGTCCTTTGTGGATGGTTCTTTCTTCTTGTGGCTGGAGGAAGAAGGTTTCGATGGCGCCTTCTGTTCTTGGTGTGCAGCGTGTTTGGATGACGGNCTTACTGGTAGGACAAGAAGACGTAGCTCTGGAGGAACTCTCTCTGCTCACAGGTTCGCTGGGTGGTGGTGGAGGCGCATCTTTGCAGCGCAAGACGATGACCTCGATGGTTCCCAAGTTCTCGAGAAACACATCGTCGGTCTCCTCGACCTTATCAGCAGACACTATTGTCCATTAGTAAACAGCTTACCAGCATCCGTGGGATCTGGATAATTCATACCCAANGTTCAACCCATGAAAAGTCCAATCCCTTCCCAAGAAACTGCCATCAGCTTGCTTCGTCTCCTTCTGTCTGACACGCAAATCGACCTCAACCTGATCGCTCTTGACACCCCTGCCTGGAACCTGGAGCCCACGTCTGTTGCGATCGCACTGATACTGGCCATCCATGTAAACAAACATGGCAAGACCAGGTGCAATGTAGCCTTGAGAAGTGAGATGGATGCTGAAGTTTACTTCTTCGCTGGGGACGGCGATGTAACTGGTGACATGGCCATCGCCGTAGTCTTTGCCGTATTCCGGAACCTTGGTGTGTGTGCTGCCCAGCTCGATGGAGCAGGTGAGCTGTTTGAGGGACGGCATTGTGGTGTTGCGCAAGGGATGAAGAGATGTGAGATGCAGTTGATATTGAATGTGAACAAGATATAAAATCAATGAGAGAGTGGGACAAGTGTAGAGCCAAGACCAGTTGAAATCTCCGCGAGTGAGAGTGAAAAGCGTCGTGATGATGATAACGAAATCTCCGGTCTGGTTGCTATGCCGCCTTGACGAAAGTCATGAATCACAGATAAACACTTTGAAGCACCGTGGAGATAGCCCGATCGTCAGTGATATTGAAGACCTGGATTGAAGGGAAAACAAGAGGGAAAGGAGGACCTCTGCCTCTCACTCAACACATACCCCTGAATGAGTTCATGCAGGTCGAGGACTGCCCCAAGATTTGGAGTGAATATTCACTTCAACCAAGTCCAGTCTTTCACGCCTTCACTTGATGGCCTTATATTCAAGCAGATCTTCCTCCACCACAGAGTTCGGGCCTATGGCCCAATTCGATAAACCTCTCCAAATTGGGTGTGTAAATAGAATCCGGAGGTACTGAGTTCGACTCTTGCCTTGGTCGGTCTCAGCGAGATGATTTGGTCGAAAAGATGTTTCCCATTAACATGGTTTTTTTGCTCGTCTCGCAGCCAAGCTACTTTCCTTTTTCTTTCTGTGTCCCTGGCTGCTAAGGTGCCTTTACAGCTTCTTATCTATCTCAAGCTTGGAGTATCTCTCACCATCGCCGACAAATGATGATTTGTGTGTTGAGGAACCGCACACGAAAACCGCACACATCGGTGGAAGCACATAGAACTGGAAGACCAAGCCAGGAACACCGGAAGTGTCTCGAACAGGCCTGTTCAAGCGCCCAGAAAGGTTTCAGGATGATAAGAAGCCGCAGAGACAAAGGTGAAATGTTTCATTTACACCAGGCTTTGTTGATCTCATGGCATCTCATGACTATTCGGATCTTATGAGACACTAAGAGAAGCAGCCAGATGGGACGAAACGTTTGCTTGTCAAAGTGTGAAAGGACAGTGGAAGAAATATCTTGGTCTCATATCGTGTTGTGCGTTTCCAACACTTGACGCGAAGTCAGAGTGGACGGATGAGCGTTCTCCTCTTCCTCATATACTGCTTCTCATCTCCCGATCAGACAGTATTTGCAAGTAGTGTTGACCGCAGCTCATGGCGAGAATGAGGCTTTCACCAGTATGGGAGAATCCACCCGACATCTCGACATCAGAAATACCTCAACAGAACCAACAAGCACGCCCTCATTCAGAATCGAGCCCACTTTCCGTATCCAGCGAACGTCGTCATAGCAGAAGACGACTCTCAAGACGTGGCACATATCCAGAGCAACCTGAGAGCCAAGGGACCAATCGTAGAGTCCGAGCTCGCGAGCTTGTGCTTACCATGAACGGCATACCAGATCCTCCATATCCAGTCACGCCCCCACCGCTCGAGCGACCTCAGCCTCTATTGCCTCCGCTTGGCTACAGAGCACCAACACCTCTACCGGTCCCAACACCCTCAAGTGTACCAATCCCAGCTCAGAGACCAGATAACAAGCCATCTCGTTTGCTGCAACGTCAAAGACAGTGTGCACGCCAGCTCGATGCTTCGTTACCAACACTCAGCCTTTCAGCTCTGGCTTCAGGCTCGATACTGCTGGTTTCTGCTATCCTATTTGTCCGAAGTGTGATGGTTGGCACACCTCACGCCGTCGTTGGAAGGTCAGCGTTGATAGTCTTCTTCGCACTCTCAGTCGCAGCTTTCATCATCTCCTTTGGCTTGATCTTGGGAGTTCTGTGTCGAAGAGCCCGAGCTACCAAAAGTGCTGTTGCCAGAGCTCAAGCAAGACAGGAGATTGAGCTGATGGAAATGAGATCGCGTGCGAGCGAGGGTAGACTACCCATGTACGACATGAGGAGAAGAAACGCAATCTGTGAGCTTCGGGATGAGCCAGGAGTTGTGGTTGGTGCAACACATCATCGTCCGATCCAAGATCAAGGTAGAGTCATCAATCGTCGGAATGCACCACCTGTTCGAGTGGCTTCAAGTCATCTGATCGACGTGCCGTTCTCTCGACCTTCGACACCGCACCCAAGGCCACCTTTGTCGCCACTCCTCCCGCCAGTGCCGAGCACACCCCCACCACCAATACCGGCACGCAATCCTGCCCGTTTGCTCGCGGCAGTAAAGAAGGTCAGAGATTATGCCGATGCAGATGCTTTGAGCACGATCGTACAGCCTAGTCCAGAGTCAGGTGTATCGCCACGGACTGTACCAACAAAGGATGTCCTACAGACCGATAACAATGGTACCGTTTCTGGCCGTTCGACTCAGCTGTTCAATCAGCACATGCTCACAGCAGGTACTCGCGAATTGCAGGCCTACCTCGACGCGCCTTCGAACTCTAGCTTGAACACTCTTGCAGCATATCAGCATAGCGAGAGTGACTCGTCTTCAACTCATGCCATCATGAGTAATGACCGCAGTGTATACAGCGGTGATAATGACTTGATTGACAACGAAGAGGAGAGCCATGTTGGTGAAGCAACCATGCTGAGTATGCGGAAGGTAGGCAAGGCGCGCGAGTGTTACATCCCTACCGCCAAGAGCGACGTGTCTGCACCTAAGTCTCCCAAGTCGAGTAAGCAGCGACGCTCGAATCTCAAGGTGTTTGCGGATTCCTCAGAGCTTGAGGGGGAAAAGTCCGAGGTACGAAAGCATCGAAGCATGGTTGAATCAATGCCAAGTGCACCCCTTCTGCTTACTGAACAGAAGAACAAGAACCATCAGCTTGCTGTCAGACGACCGCACAGTCTGAGTCCGAAGAAATTGATGAGTTCTGTTGCCAAGCCAAAGACAGTTGGACTGGGGATCTCCATTGTCAGAGAGCACAATAAGGAGAACTTAGATCCGGATCAAGCCGAGATTGAAACGTGGAGTGCTCTGGGCGACCTCTGAGTTGTCATTGATGTCGCGATATTGTTTATGGTTGGTTCGATGAAAGGATAGGATAGTCAGGCTTTCAATCATTCCAGCCTTCAATTTTAAACTCGTAATGCTGAACATCGTTGTCTGTCGGGTGCCCATTTTCGTCGTACAGTGTCTTCTCAACATAAGTGACCTTTCCATCATGATCGACGAGAATGACTGTTTGCTTCTGGGTGCCGTAGACCCCAGTGTCAGTCTTTGCGGCATGACCTACATCGGCGGCAGCAATTTTATCTGCAGAAGAATCATCCACCTGTTCACCTCCGATGCGTGGGATGAAAATACTGTTGCGTAGTTGATAGACATATGTCTCCCAATCTTGGCCGTGCTTGCGACGAGGTAAAGTGTCCGTACTCAGGATATCAAACAAGGAGTTGAGCAGACCATCTTTGGTCGAGCCTGTTGTGACATGCTCCTGAATTGCACTCTGCAGTCGCTTCTCTCCTTCAACGACCTTGGGCCATGTTCTGTCACCAAAGTGTGAATTGCTCAGGCCTTGAACCTCACCAGGCTTCCCACAAACCCAGGCAGTAGCTGATGCATCTTCCGTGCGATTCGAGATGATTGCAAGCCCTTCACCGTCCTGTGCCCCGATGTTTATCTTACTCAACCTACCGAAGACGAGACTGAAGCCCCCAACATCACTTACGCCAACATCTTCAACCATGTGTCGTGCAAATTCTTGGGAAGACTGAGTGCTCTGAGGAGGCAGTGAGAGGAACGCTTTGGGCAGACCTCCTCGCGACTTTGCGCCATATACCTGTGCGCCAGACTCGCGAAAGTTGGTAAGACAAGCTAGACGACCCTCTTTGGTGAGACCTAGCCATGTGCCTTGCTCAGGACGTTGCAAGTCACGACCTCCGAGGACATGATCATTGGGAGAAGGCCAGAAAGCGGCTTTTGCAGTTGGACGCGTCAAGAATTCCTATAGCCGTAACAATGTCAGTCGACAAGACATGACCAGCGTGGTGTTGGGCATGTTCACATCGCGGTTGTTCAACAAAATGAACGGGTAGTCGGGATGGGCAGTCGTAAGCAAGGCGATACACATGCTGCAGGCCTCCGAGGATATGTTTCAGAGTTTGACAGTAGAGAGTTGGATCTACCTTGGAATGTTGTCGTTTGTGGTTGAATGCAAGCCGCCGCCTGTCCGCAAGAGGTGGCTGGACGGCTGATGACATGACGTTTGCCGAAGACTTCCGTGCCCAGCTTTTGACAAGTCTGTCAAGACGAATTGATGAGCTTGACCGAATCACCACAGGAAACAAGACATTCTCCAAGATGCCTGTACTCAGAGCCGCAACATGTTTATGCTTTCAAGAGCTTGCATTGCAACAGTTCAAGTCCATAGTTGTAGCGTTTCTGATGATGGGTACGTCACAATCACATGCGAGCAAAATAGCTCTCCACAAGCAAGCCGGCACCCGTCTTGTGGCCATCCGTTGAGATCTTTGAGTTGCATGCGGTACAACGTTGTCACTATGCCATGCATGCTTACTTTAGTGCTAAAGCTTGATCATCATCTTGTTTATGGCGACGTCGAGTGGTCAACATGCGGCAGCCCCTCCAGATCATGACCGCAACGATTGCGACTTCAGCTGTGGGCGTTTGTCTTGTCTGCAGCGCGCCTCTACTTGTGCCGCTGTGGCCACTTCCTGTAATGCTACACTATTTCCGCATGTGGTACGAGCTGTGGCACGTTGTAAAAGCTATCCGCTCGAAAAAGTAGGTAGGTATCCTGATCATCGTGATTCGCTGCTTGGGGAACCGGATCTCCAAACGATCGACCTCGTAGATAGTCTCCGAGATGAGGCTCGGACCGAATTTTTCTGACACGATTCCAAAATTAAACATCAAACACGAATATTTCGTATCACAACGAGCCGCAAGAGGCGATATTCTGTGGAGGTGCGAACATGATTCTGTGGCCATTGACGGAAGGAAGGAAGGGGTTTGGTCGTACAAGACGTCGAGAGTAGAGCGGATGGACAGCCGAATGTAGGGCTCATACAATTTGTCTCAGGATGAAATGTAGAGATAGAGCGGAACCTATCAATTCTGACATGGCTAATCTCCCGATGCTTGGCCTCCATTTCTCCAAGACGCGCCGCGGCTAGTCGGATACTTCAAGCACTCGTACGCCCACTTTTCAAGAATATCAAGGTTTTGGATAACCGTTTGCTGAGTTGAGTTTGGTAGAGGCTGGGACCTTCCTACTTATAATCGCTCTTTCCTCCATTTTCAGACCACACTCGCTTTTGGACATTCTCACATTCTTCAACATCATCATGAAGACGGTAATTTCATCTGCGCGCAATGCCACAATTGAGAGAAAGCGTATACTGACTCAAAATCCAGACATCTGTTTCGGGCGCCGCTCTGGCAGCGGCCTCGCTCTTCTCATCCTTTGCCGCAGCAGTCCAGCCTCTTACTGTCGATGGTGCCAACTTCATCACCAAGTCGAGTGGAAACCGCTTTTCTATTGTTGGTGTCGAGTAAGATCCAAGATCCATATGACGCAACATTTGTCAACGTGCATCTCTAACGGTCAAGTTTAGCTACCAGCCCGGCGGCTCATCCGGCGTCACCGCCACAAGCGACCCTTTGAGCGACCCTCAGGCCTGCTTGAGAGATGCAATTCTTATGCAGCGTCTCGGTGTCAACACCATCAGAGTTTACAACTTGATTGCCGACATCAACCACGATGAGTGCGCATCCATCTTCAACGCTGCTGGTATCTACATGATCCTCGACGTAAACAACGGGTTCGACAACTCGTACCTCGACCGTTCCGCACCCTGGACGACTTATACCAACGCATACCTTACCCATGTCTTCAGCATCATTGAGGCTTTCGCACCTTACCCTAACGTTCTAGGTTTCTTCTCTGGTAACGAAGTCATCAACCAGGACAGTGCTGCTAATGCTCCCGCCTACATCCGCGCGGTCACTCGCGACATGAAGGATTACATCGCCAAGAACGTCGACAGAGATATCAGTGTTGGGTACTCGGCTGCTGATGTTGCTACCCTGCTTAGCGACACCTGGGAGTACCTTGGCTGTGATTTGGCAAACTCAACATCTTCCAAGATCGATTTCTTCGGTCTAAATGACTATGAGTGGTGTGGCGACAGTTCTTACATGCAGTCTGGCTACAACATGCTCGTTGAACAATTCGGTAATACCAGTATCCCCGTCTTCTTCTCTGAATACGGATGCAACAAAGTCGAGCCTCGCACCTTCACCAACGTCCCTGTCCTTTACGGCGAACAGATGAGCGTTTTGTCTGGTGGTCTGGTCTACGAATACTCTGAAGGCTCCAACGACTATGGTCTTGTCAACATTACCAGTGCCGATGAGATTCAGCTCCGTCAGGACTACGGTTTCCTGGCCACTCAATATGCCAAGCTTGACGAGAGCCTCCTTACTTCTGCCAATAGCACTGCCACTGGTCAGAAGCCTCCTACATGTGACCCCGACCTCATCACTGGTAGCGGCTTTATCAACAGCTGGGATCTCCCTGCTCGTCCCAGCGGTGTCGATGCCTTGATCAGCAGCGGTATTGCCAGTGCAAACAAGGGCAAGACTGTTTCCGTTACCAGCACCGCTATGCCTGCCACTGTCTACGACTACGACGGACAGCAGTTGAATGGTCTCGAACTCACCGTTCTCGCTGAGCAAGACAGCAACCGTCCTGGTCTTGCTGGCAACTACACCCCTTCCACCCCTACTGGAACTGCCGCAGCCACAGGAAGCAGCAGCACCGGCGGTAGCTCCGGCAGTAGNCTCCAGCCCTACCCGTAGCGGCTCTGGAAAGGCTTCTTCCACTGCTTCTCAATCTGCTGCCACGAGCAGTGGCGCTGCAGCACCATGGTTGTTTCCTCAGGTGCTGCAACCTTTGGTGCTCTCCTTGCCTCTCTCTTCTTCTTGTAAGCGCGATATTCGTTATATTGTTCGCCGCAGCATGAGAGGTGACGCAGGATCATCACCCCTTTTCTTTGTATACCCCCATTTCATACGTGTACCATAATATTCGCATCACTGGTTTCTTGCATCAGTTACAAGGAGGCTTGGTTTACAAGTGCTTTTGGGCTACGATAGCCTTTCGTTCTGCCGGAACATACAATGTCACTCAGTTTTTATTTGCCATGATTGCTCTGCTCGTTTTATCACTGCCTTTGCAGCGTTCCTTAGATGTGCGCATCGTTTCTCCCTTCCAATTGTCATTGCTGCTGGAATCGGCCACCTGCCCCCTTCAATCCGCTTTTTCTTGGACCATTGAACCGAGTGTTTGCTTCAATCCGATAGCCTCTTTGAGGTTGTACCTGCTCGTGTGGAGTTTGAAGTTCTTTCAGGCTTGGAGCAGGAGCACACGACGTTCGCGATTTCTCAAAAGCAGGTAGGTATCCACGAACGATATCTAAAGTTGCAGGAGCGACCAGCAGCTCACGAAACGGAACGACGAGGGCCATTGCTCACTTTCCTTCACGTCGCAAGCAACCAAAACAATCCTCTGCGACGAGAACGACAACAACACCTCCATTCATACCCGCATTGTATCGATACCGGTCGCTGGCTCTATCATCATTCGATCAACTACTTTCATTCTTGGTCAATCATTACCTCTACCTTCTATCATCCATAACGTCCGTCTTCGCACATACTTTGGAGTCTTCGACGAAGCAGACAACAGGTGCCCGAGCACGATGGAGGTGTATAACCGCCACAACAGGAAGCAGTGCCTTATCTGCCCACGTCTCGACACATACCCCTGCGCCAAGTGCGATTGTTCACACTATTGCAGCAAGGAATGTCAAGTGGTAGATTTGCCAGTCCACCGTACCATCTGCAAATCATTCGCACAGTTCAAGGATAAACCCAGCCCAGCCGTATGTCGTGCCATCTACTTCCCGGTCGACCGTCCCAATCCCGAGTTCGTGTGGCTGGAGCTGGATAAGCAATATGCTTACGATCAACCTGACCTTGCCGCGATGCGAAAGTCCTTCTTGGGAGATTCGGAAGACTACCTGTGGCCAATCCAGCTCAACGCAGATTTTGTCCGCATGACGAAGGTCTATCCTCATATCATACTCGGCTGCGGCTCNAAAGATGCTCCAGCCAACCAAAGCATCTCAACTTTGATTGGCAAGGAGTCATACGGCGTGAGAGGGCCATTCATCGCTTATGGCCAAGTCAAGGTAATCAAAGAAGATGGCGAGAAGTACCCCGTTGTCACAGATCTTGACACAACCGACCTTACCATCCTCACCAACTACTTTCTGGGACGCCATAAACACGATGAAGCAACCTTGGACAGCGTGCGTATCTACAGCAACCGTAACAGCAGACCAGGCCACCGTTTCAATGCTAACACCATCATGTCCACCGTGGCAATCTGCAACGGTGACCTCGGTCTTTGGTCTCCCATCTCCATCTTCTTTGGCATGCCTCTTGCCGTCATGTTCCAGATCCCTCTAAGAGACAACCAGAATGATACCCCGAATATTCGCGAGCAGATTGATAAACTCCGGGCTCAGATGCCTCCAGATTCTGGCAACAGAATAGCATCACTCCTTATGGTCGACATGGGCATGCGCAACGACTCCTTCGCTCAAGATTTTGGCACAATACCTTCTGAGTACGTATCAAATTCTTGGTCTTTGCGGCTCATCCATACTAACACGCGGGTCTGACCAGATACCGCACCNGAGCCCGTGGGAGACGCTATCGTCATTCGCAAAGACCAGAAGCCCTTGAGCCCAGCCTACCTGCATGCTTTCTGCACTTGGATCGAAGAAGACCTGCTCCCCAAATTCACCGATGCCAACATGCAGATCAAGTACGCCTTGGCCACTGAGCTTGATGAGGAGGATCCAAAGAACGGGGAACGAGCTTGTTACTTGAGCATGCTGCGCCAGAAGATGTGGGACCGCTGTTCCAGAACCAGATTCAATGCTTGGTGCAAGGAGAAGGGAATCAACATGGGTCAGCTGGGTCAGCTCTGAGAGATTGAGTGAGCTAGCGAATACGAAAGATGGTGGTGATGGTCAGAATGCTAAGAGATGGACAAGGGCAGTGATACAACGATGGAAACGAGTCACTAGAAGATACAGAATTGGAGAATGCAGCGGTGGTTGGAATCACGCATCAGTACACAATCATAATGCAATCGCTCCACTGACTGCGCTTCAGTTGATAAAACGCGAAGTTTCATTTGTTGCTGTGGCCTATCGCTGCGGTCTGTTGCTGCTCATGGTTCTTTCTAGAATACGAAATGACCTCCTCTGTCTGTCGGCATGGGTATCTGCGCGGTAACCCTACTTCTTGTTCTTGGAGAACGATGGTAGCGCGTTAGCAAGCCAAGGGTTACACTCCACCGTCTCCTGCATATCATTGGTACTGAACGAGCGACCACTGGTCTTCTGCTCTTCTCTCCAAGCTGACTCCTCCTTGCTCACGGGGATTGAGAAGTCTCTCTCAGCTGGAGGGGTTTGGCCTTTTCCTCTGCCTTCTTCTCGTCATCCCACTTGCTCTTGTAGAAATGCATCTGGTCGAACTATGCAAACATTTTAGGAAGCATTGCAAGCGAGCTCAAGTCCTCTAGAGTCCATTGACGGGCAGGTTTGGCTCGCTGCTCTGCCTCCCAGGTCTCGAAGCTTTCCTTGACACCGGCCAGGTTGAGATAGCCATTTTTTCTGGTGAGTCTTTCTTCGTAGAATTGCTCGTCCTTGCACTCGAAGAAACCATGAGAGAACCAGTCTTTAATGATGTTGAGATCTGATGTATCCAGATTGGTGTTTTTGGCTTCCTCACCCCGCTTGACGTCGACATTGCTGTAGGCAATAACGAGACCTGCCAGCTTCAAGGCGGGAGGGCCGCCGACGGGACTTTGGATGGAAGCGTTGGGCAAGGAGCCGTCCTTCTGGGATGCCTCGCGGAACTGAATGGTGATACGGTGGCGCAGTCTTTCGCCAATCTTAGGGTCCTGAATCAAGCTTCTGAAATCGGTCTCGGCAGGCGCGTTTTTCAGGTACTGATTTCCGGTGCCGAACAAGAAGCCAGTCTCTGGGCGTTGGACCTTTGTAGGTCTGATGGGCATCCAACGGAACTCAGGCTTAGCGTTGTTGACAGGGAAGACGAGGACACGCATCATGTTGGGGCCTGGTGGCTCGCGTACGGCCTTGAAGGCGCGACAGAGCAGCTTGTGGACTGCCCAATCAGCCTTCTGACAGTCACGTCCGCAGTAGTGAATGTTTTGGCAGCTGGAGCAGAGCTTGCCAGGTTTGGAGCAGACAGCACACTGGCCTTCGGTGGATGCCATGATGGTTCGAGGTGTTGGTGATGCAGAAGATGCAGTTAAAGATAGACTAGAATGAAGATCTGGCGTTAGAACACCATCGCAGAGCAGTAAGGAGCGAAGATAAATGATGGACATACGACAGTAGGCGTCTCAAGACACCAAAGCTTGTTGGTGAGAAGGTGGTGACCAAGCTGATATTATGTCACACTTGAAGAGGTCAAGATGATCGAGAAGGAGAAAGATGTGAACCTGCGCAGAGGTGAACGATATTGAGAAGCACCAATGATCGTTGGCAGGTAATGATTGTGTTATCTCACAGTCGTGACAAGGGTAGATGTACGGAAGGTGAGAGAGGACTGAAGTGAAGAGAAGTGGTGAAGATGTGTTTTCCATTCACTGTTGGTGTTGTCGCGAAGTTGTTTCCGCGTCAACAAACGCGCAGCTCACTTACGATCAACAAAAGGAGTGTTTGACTAGCCTCCAAAACCACTGGTGACGGGCTCGTCTTGGCTGCTTCTGAAGCAAGAAAAATGGTTAGTAGTAGAGGAAAAGAGTTCGGCGCACAAGATGCACAAGAAGAAAAAAGATCAATTCTGGAATGTACCAGAGGTTTGGATACACATAAGTTCAGTGCAATGGGGAGTAGCAGCAGAGTAACGCCGTGATAATCGTAGTCCCAACGTGAGATGGTCGTAGAAGCAATTACATGTCTTCGCGGAAGATGCTGCGACGCTCTGAGGGAGAATCGGCAGAATGGGCACCAAGACTCTGTTGACTCTTGTGGTGCGGCGGTTTGTGAATTGAGGCTCCGACAGTTGTGTCAACAGTAGGTCCACCAGTGTTCTTCATGCTGCTGCGTTCAGCCGTGTCGTCGCCGAATGGATTGGTGCCGTGCATCTCCTCGTCGTATCGTGAGTCGAGTTCACGCTGACGGCTGGCAGCACGTCCTCTTGTTTCTTCAATTCCTCCGACACCAATGCTTCCACCTCCATAACCATGTCCGCCGTAAGGTCCAGAGTTCATGTCCGGCGAGCCCAAGTCATGTTCTTCGTAGTAGCCGTCGCGACCGACACCATAGTCTGCCTCGTTACCAACACGCGTATCCCAAGCTTCGTCAGGATCCAGAGGGCCGAAGCCACGGTGACCACCTCTTCCGTAACCACCACTAGGCTCGTATGCTCCTCCAGATGATCTTCCTCCTCCGACACTGCCCTTCAATGCGCCGACCTTGTCCTTGATCCAGCCAACGACACCTCCTGATGCTGCTGAGGGAGCCTGATATGAGTTTTGTTGTCGTCGGCCACGTGTGAAGGGGTTGAGCGAAGGAGCGGGTAGGCCCAATCGTCGGGCGCGGTATTGTGTGANATCTATCGTAGCATGACGAGTTAGGACAAGTTGCTCGTGATAGACACAGCTCATGGATCTCCTCTGAGTCTACAATGGCAGACAAGTGAGAGGAGAATACAAGACTTACATTATCCATGCGCATCCGCCTATGACGATGAAGACAAAAGCTACGAGGAAGAAGATGCCCCAGCCAGAGAGGCCACGATCGGGTTCGTTTGCCATGTTTTGTCGTGGGTTCAGATCATGCAGCGTATGTCGAGGTTGAGAAAGACTACCGGCTAACTTGATTTCGTTGTGGAAGGCATGAACTTGGCAGGTCAATGAGCTTACTGGCAGGCATGAGGCAGCTGCTTGCTCTCTCATCCGCTGCTGATCTGCGCTATGACGGTCAGCCGAAGCCTGAAGATAGCTTTGCTTGGCGTCATTTATGCCACTTTGTGCGGACTTGTGCACGGCGATAACAGCCCAATCCTGTCATTCAATCATTCCCAATCTGACACCATTCATATAACTAAGCGCCTGCCTATTCTTGGGATTTGATCCTTCGCTTGAGTTTCTCACGTCAATATAAAATTCTGGTCGCCTCTCGCAGAAAAGCTGCCAAATCTCTGGACCTCGCGCCTGCCACTTCTATCGGTCTTTTCTCTCCTGCTTGACTCGCGAATCATCCTTCATATCGTGGCCTGAGGTGGAAGGCCTGATCAACAGAGTCATGGCATCTGCTCGTCATGTCATTGTTTCGACAGCCTCTGGTACTGGCCAAGCACAATCCTTCTACGAATCACATCTGACCGACACTTTCAAATCTCTTGGTTTTAAAGAAGGAGAGCATTTCTTTGTGCATTTCACAAAATCTGAAGATACCATTACCGAACTTACGAAAGACGTCTTCCTACCTGCTGCAAACACTGGAGCTGTGCTTTCCATCATCTTGCTGAGTGGTGATGGAGGCGTCGTAGATATCATCAATGCTGTTCTCACTTCCTCGCGGAGTCCTGACTTTGCTTGCCCTGAGATTACCTTACTACCCTTGGGTACTGGAAACGCATTGGCAAACTCTTTGGGCATTACCGCAGACGATAGTATGGGCTTGTCGACCTTGATGCAGGGAAAGTCGCGTCCTCTACCAATTCTCCGTACCACCTTCTCTCCCGGTTCAAGACTTCTTATTCACGAAGGCAGTGACGAAGCGGAGCTCTTCAATCACAATGGCAAGCCAACGATATGGAGTGCTGTGGTGTGCAGTTGGGGCATGCATGCTTCGCTTGTAGCAGACAGCGACACGACCGAATATCGCAAACATGGTGTTGAACGCTTCCAAATGGCAGCCAAAGCAGCTCTCTATCCTGAAGATGGATCGCCGCCACACAAGTATCGCGGTCGTGTTTCTGTTCTCCGCGGATCAGAATGGCATGAACTTGATGAACAAGAGCATGCATACGTTCTGGCAACCTTTGTCTCCAACCTCGAAAAGAACTTCACCATATCGCCTGCCTCAAAGCCACTGGATGGAAAGCTACGGTTGATACACTTTGGGCCAATGTCTGGCGACGAAGTCATGGCAGTGATGACCGAGGCGTACAACCAGGGCAAACATGTCAACGACGACAGGGTTCGCTACCAAGAAATTGATGGCTTGAGAATAGCATTCGACGATTCGGAAGAGGACGGTCGTTGGAGAAGGATATGTATTGATGGCAAGATCATCCGTGTCGAGAAGGGAGGCTGGGTTGAGCTTGTCAAGGAAGATACCCATGTTCTCGACATTGTTTGCAGTGCTGAACATGTCTAAACGTATAGCGGAGATACAGCGACAAAACCTAACGAGTTACGAAAATCTAGCGCTTCATCTTACTCCAATACCCAAGAGCCATCTCTATACATACTATAAAAAGACACAATGTTTTCAGAAGCAGACGCATGGCCAAAGAGAGCTAGTAAGATATCACCTCTCTGTGGGCACTATCCTGCTCCCAATAGTATTGTGCATTTTTATAGTCACAGTCACCTGTTTTATGACCTTGTTGTCCCTGGCCACGTTCACTCGCTCTGAAACCCACCTCTAGGCCAGAAGTTGGTACATACATGATAATCTGTTTACTCTAGGCTATTTGACACTACATATAATGATTTGAATGGCTGCCTTATAAGGGTGATAATATCCCTATGTTCCAGTACAAACAGGTTGACAGATCTTCGCTGAGACTTCACATTGGTGGATACACCAAAAACAAAGGCAAAAGAAATAGCTAAGCTTGGTTTCGATCCAAGGTCCTCCGGGTTATGAGCCCGGCGCGCTTCCGCTGCGCCACTCAGCTTGATTCTGAGCGAAAACATGATCAAACAAAATATGTATTGTCAATGGCGAGGTTGTCTGCTGAAAAATTCGGGTTTGAAAAAGTTCTGAAGCACGCCTCTTCTGAACCACGGGCTGCTCTCGGCCCGATAATTCCGAGGTCCGACGCCGAAATGGCTATCTGATTCCCGTCCTTGCATCTTGAACACATGTGCTACTCCGAGTATTCTACTCGTACAGTCTCTGCTGCGTCTAGCTTTATACAACAGATTGATAGCGTTGAAATCAAAGGCGCCTGACCTGCGTTCATGATTGGTGCCAGAGTCCCGAAAGAAGTGCCCCTCGGAGACTTGAAAGCATTAACTTGCTTTCAAAACTGGTTTGCTGGCATTGGCGAACGTCCAACATGACAAGCGTCGTTGGTGGTATCCCTTCCATCTTCAGAAGATAAGTCGGTGTGCCATCATGACTAGACAGACATGCAGGTGAAACGGACTTACCCTCCAGTCGCTCCGCCTTCTCCTAAGAACGGCATGGAGAACAAGACTAGACCGCACGATTGTCTCTCCACCAACATAGACTGACGGGAAAATCACACACGCAATGTTCAAACATGTTCCCCAAACATCATGTCTTTCCAGGAGACGTCGACTCAAACCTTTCTAGAAGGTCGACTCATGCGTTGCGGGGTGGCTTTCGCAGCCTCATGAAAGGACTGCCGCTTGTTTGAGCAGGCAGCCTCAATCTGATGGTGGACAACTCATCATGTGTCTTCCTGCTTACGACCAACACAATTACAATGGACGCCAATATGCACGACGATCCAGAGCTCCGATCGATCTTTAGCTCGTTCGTCATGCGAGCCGAGTTATAGGTAATATGGCATGGTGGAGCGAGGTTTGTTGACAAGCTGCATGGAAAGAAAGCAGCTGGTCTGTTCGCATTTTCTGAAACGCGCAACACACGTCGTCCATTTTCGCGAAGCCTCCCACCTTTCCATGTCGAGCGTACCTTCATGTTCTGGTCGACATAGTCATGTCTCTGGCATGGGCCAAACTTAGCCAGTGGCTGTCGTGTCTGCAAGCCAATTCTGATACCGGATAGCCCTGCCCTGATACAGAAAGCCATCTCAGCCGCGGTTCCTCACGATGTCCAACTCCTTCACACGCACCATTCCGACGCTAGAAGCCATGGTACGGGCCGCACGGCAGAGCCAGGCTCACGTTGCGTTCTTCAGCAGTGGTTGTGGTCTCGGGAACCAGGGCCTTGATCGTTGCACGCGCCTCTAGCAATTAACTCGGGAAGTCTCAGGCATTCATTTTTGCGCGTATTGGTGGGTGGCCGTAAAACATATAGGTAGGTCGAGAGTACGTCAGTTTCTTTCTCTCACTTCCTTCGCTTTCTGTCACTCGTTCTCAACTTCTTTCCTGGATTAGGGTTAATGGCGCTGATCTATGACCGTGATCTCTGGCCACGCCAATCTTTCGACCCTTCCTGTCCTAGTGGTGGATCCTGGTACGCTTGCACAACTGGATCCAGATTCGTCGGATGCTGTACTGGCAGTATTGACCCATGCGATGAGAAGACGAGTTGCCCACAAAAGAACCTCAGGCCGGCGAGCTTCGACGTTGCTCAATATGGCATGTTTCCGGACCAAACATGCGACGCCGACAGCAATTGGTACACTTGTACCGGAACAGACCCAGCCTTCATNGGGTTGCTGCAAGAGCAATCCATGTTCGAGTGGATGCCCAACAAAAGACCTCACTGCTGCAAGTCTCAGCGTTGACGACGCAGTAGCTTCGGCTTTATAACGACTTCCGCAGCCGCTGCTACTTCGACGGCAGCGGACACAAACACGCCTACCGCCTCACCAACTCCATCATCCCCATCAGATCACGTTGGCGCCATAGCAGGAGGTGCAATTGGAGGCGTGGCTGGTATCGCTCTGGTCGTGATCGGATTGTTGTGGTGCCTCAAGCGTCGAAAACGAGCACATCAACGAGAACTCGAACAACAAAGAATGGCGGCAGAATACAAGAACGACGATGGACATTTCCATAACACATATGTTCCTCGACAAGTAGATACTCCTACAGGGATCCAACCTGAGGACGTTGAAGAACCTCGAAGGACTGTCTACTCTACGGAAGACCCAGAAGGTATTGAGGTTGACGATCGACCTCCGCGGGCAGTTTCGACGAGACCGAGCACTGCTGGTAAGATCAATTGAGATGGCAAAGTGGAATTATCCAATATACTGAACTGANNAACAACAGATCAACATCTCACCTCGGTCGTCCAAAGCTTCAATGTCAGCCCAAATGTCAGCCGACCACCCAGCGTTGGTAGCCCACCCAGTGTCGGTCATCCTCCAAGCGTCGGCAATCCACCCAGCGTAGGAAACTCCTGGTTCACTCGCGACTCCATCTTTGCAAACGGCAATCCGCAACTAGCAAACCTTCCTTCACCCGACGACTCACGTCGTGTCTCTTGGATCGAGCAATCACGCTACCACAACAATGGCAGTCCTGTCGTGACGCCCATCCACTCGCCTATTCACAACAATCAACCCGATTACTTTGGTGCTTTTGAGAATCACCAACGCAATATTTCGTATGCCACTCAACATCCGATTTCGCCGCAGAACCAGTATTTCGAACTGGACGATACGCAATTGAGCCCACCTGTCGAGCTCGAAGCTGTCGAAGCGACTTTAAAAAAGCAAGGAGAAGAGAAGACAGAGCAGGATGTGTTACAGCCGGCAGCACAGAGACGTGGTACGCATGATGTTGAGGAAGGAAAGACTGGGTCTGCCTACTACTCCNNCCCTGATGATGTCGGCAAACCTCAAAGCAGAGGCTGAAAATATGTTTTCATCTTCCGATATGGACATCTACCAAGAGGCTCGATATCTTGAGCGCTGGTGAACAACCCATCCACGAACTTTACGATTCTTGCATCACGAAATCTATTCTTATATATCATTACCTTACTATCATGAAATTAGCGATTTTTCTTCAATGGCCCTCTGGCTCTAGAGTATAGACTCTTTGCTCGTATGCTCACTCTGATCATGTTCGAATAAGGACATCTTTGGGCCAATCGCTGGCAATTTGTCAGAATCGACAACACGTCCGGAAAGTGCAAGTTGTTGCCCTGATCTTGCTCAGATCGGTTGCTCCCTGGCAGTCATATCAAACTTGCAAGCATGAAACTGTTTTTCCAAATCGATTGTTCGCGCTGGCAGAATGCTAGAAGGTAGCCAAGCAAGATGCCAAGTCGGTGAGGTACATGAGTTTTGATCTCTGTTCATTTACATCGCTTTGTCCTTTTATCGTATGTCTTAAAAAAAGTCACCTGGTGCCCTAGAGGCGGCGAGAAAGAAATGCGGACTTCTCAACCATCATCACAGAGATGAGGAGACTCATGACTTAGTGTCAGAGGAAATTGAACATCTGTATTGCTTTCTCGAGGGGATCAAGTAGTTTCGCGCGCATCCTTGGTGTTCTTGCGGTTATGTACCATGTTGCAAAACACAGATGTTCATATGTTCGGAGGCATCCATCACCAGATGAAATAGCGGCAGCAAAATTGTCGGAAATCTTGCGATCCAGGTGAGAATATTCTTTGCAACGTTATGGTCCAGCGCTCTGAAGATGGAAGGTACCCCTGAACTTCAATCGCGATCAACGATCTTTTGTGTAAATCTTACATCCATATGCCAGTTTGAGTCCAACTTTTTGAATGTTGTGAGCACTTATTGATCCTTCTCTTGCAGAAGCAATCGCTAGATCACATCCTCGATCTTTCGCAACTCGAAGCCTTTTCACGAGCAATGCTTTGTGGATACCTCTACCTCTGGCGCGTGGCAGACAACTATCAATGTAGAGAATAGCCACTTTGCTGTCTTCTACATCAATTATCGCCATTCCTGCGGCACCGAGTAGTTCGCCATGCATTGAAGCCGAGAACAAGAGGGTATCCGGACGAGCTGCAGCGTTCTCTGCTAGCAGCTTCAATAGTCCTTCGGGGCGTCCATTGCTGCGAAATCCTTCAACTGATGCTTGAATGAATGTTTCATGGTCGTTCAGACCGAGTATGGAGACATCAATATCATTCGCCATGTCAGGATAGTCGAAGTCCGAAAGAGACATGTGGTAATCGCAAAGGTGACCAGTAATCGTGTAGTGTTCTGACAGTAGATCGAATGCCGATCTGTCAGCAGGTTCGCACATGTATATCTCCGGCTGGACATCATACGGCTTGTATGCTTCTTCGATGGCATACAAATCGTCCTTTGTAACTGGTCCAAACATGCCGAATCCGTATGTATGATTGAGTTTTGGCCCATACTTTGCTGGTGACAGAATTGTGATTGATCCTGCTACGTCTTTTGTGGTATAGCCTTGATTAGGATATAGTGTTTGCAAGGCCAATGATTGATGCCGAAGGTGTATCATCTCAGCTCTCGCGATCTTGCGACTCATGGCGTTTGTGGTGTCAACTGAAGAGAACGACATCATCTCCAATCTGATTTGAAGATATCGAGATGAGACACGAAAGTCCAGATAAGGTAGCCGTAAGTCAAAATCAGTACAGGCATAATGCATGGAAGTTTTGTTGTTGATGATGACTCACGAGGGTATTGGCGATAAGAAGTCACAGATCTGGGGCGGTCAAGCCACGCGCGCACCACTGATCCTTCATGTCTACACGGCGCGCCTGCATATTTATCGACACAAAGACTGCATACCTCAAGCGAATGCGATCAAGTGCGATATACTGTTCCCAACTTCAGTTGGTGTTAAGGCCACTCTGGCGTCAACGAGATGAGTGGTATAGTTCCTCCAAGTCCGAATGAGCAACGGATCAACATCCTTCCGTCTCATACATAGTTTTTTCTCCGAGGATGATACCGAATCATTAGTTCATACCAGACGATGGTGAGAAGAATAACACAGCCGAAGAGCGTTCTATAAGTGAAAGACATTCGCCCACTCTTAGCCGGGCATTCGACCATCAGAAAACATCATGAAGACCATAGCATTAGCTGGAGCAACCACGGGTTTTGGACTGACCGTTCTCGACCACTTCCTCAAATCACAGCACTCATATAAGCTGGTACTCCTCACACGCTCACCACAATCACACCTATCGACCCAAGGTATTGAGGTCAGACCCATTGACTATTTAAAACACGATACTTTGGTCTCGGCTCTTCAGGGCGTACACACCATTCTCTCCTCNTTCATAGGGGCCAGTATGACTGCACTCCAGGATGCTCAAATCTCGCTCTTGTCAGCGGCAAAGGAAGCCGGAGTCACTCGATTCGGTCCATCAGAGTATGCGGGAAAAGGCTATGACGGCGTAGATCTTTACACCGGCAAAAGCATCGTCTGGGATGCTGTAACAAAAAGCGGTCTCCAGTATACTCGATTCGATTGCGGTATCTTCATGAACACGTTCGCAACATGAACACCGTATGGCGAAGCAGAAGCCCTATCCAACCTCCGTCCATGGAACTTCGTCGTCAATATGAAAGCCGGCACGGCAGAGGTACCAGCTCTGGGCGATGGCAAGATCGTTTTCACCGAGATGAACGATGTGGCCAGATTCGTGATTGCTTCTCTTGAGCTCGAAGTCTGGCCAGAGGTTTTGGGGATGAGAGGCGATGTCAACACATACCGTGGAGCCGTCGCAGTCGCGGAGAAAGTTCAGCAGAGAAAGTTTCTGGTCAGGGAGGATAGTGTGAGCACTATACAGAAGCAGATCGAGGAGGTGCCAGAGATGAAGTTCTACAACCAGGTCAGACTTGCTTTAACCGACGGTTGGGGACTGGTGAACGACGAGCTGAACAAGGCGTTCCCGACCATCAAGCCTACGAGTTTGGAGGAGTTCGTGATGAAGTGGTGGGAGGGTGTTGAGCTGGAAGAAGCAAGTTGGGGTAGTGAGAACAAGACTTTTGCATTTGATTAGTGGTTAAATGGTAGTTCGTTCTTACCGCTCATGGCTCTTTCCTTCCATGTGCTACATCCTGTGATGCCACAGAGTTCCGCGGCTTGGAAACGAAGAGAGACTGTTGGTGTCGGCAAGACGGATCGCCGCTCCCATGTTCGTTGGTCCAAGTTCAGAGATGTTTGTGTGGCCGCAAAATACTGATCGGACCATGTGCCACGGTGACGGACTGAGCAAATCGCGTTGATCTTCGAGCCCCGTACTCAATCAGTCAAACGACGGGGGCTCGTAGCTCGGAAAAGGTGAGGAAGTCGCGACTTTGTGTTTTACCCGGAAAGTGTATGTGAAGACTTGGCTCAACATATCACGAACGCGAATTAGGCAAGTGCGTCAGATGACATTTTCCAGAACAAGTCTGCTCTGACACTCTCAATTTGGATAGAATATAAACTGCTTCCAGAGCAAAGAGGGACACAACACCACTCATAGCCATTCCTCTGCTCAAACTCATCGTCCTAACGTCAAAGATAGTTTTTCGAAAGAGTAGCTCACTCATTGTGAGGTCACTTAAAGACCGAACCAAGCCATGTCTTGAGCACTATAGTCATGTCAGCAATCGTTATGCATAGATGATTCAATAGTCTTACCCGTTGATGGGAACGGTGTGTCCAACATTCTGGACGTAGATACCCTGAACCTTGCCAAGAGGGTTGGCAGAATCAACACCCCAGATATCAGTGGTGTATCCATTGGCAGGGAAGTTGTTCTTGACAGTCTGAGGCTTGTTTGCGTCGAAGCCGAAGACACCGGTCCACTCCTTGACAGTCTCTCTGTAGTTGTTGGGGCGGAGGGTGGTGTCAATGCTACCGTGGTAAACCTGAAAGCGAGGACGAGCACCGTTGTAGCCAGGGTACATGTTCTTGACGACGTTGGTCCAGTAAGCGGCGGACTGGTCGACGTTTCCTTGGGCACAGGTCGAGTTCCAGGCATCAACGGCACCGGAGGCAGATACGAAACATCCGGCGGGCACTCCGGAGTAAGCAGTGGCGGCAGCAAACAGTTCCGGGTACGTCGCGGCTAGGACATTCTGGAGTGTATTAGCCATAGAAACAATGCTTGGGGTGTGTTGTGGTGTAGGGTTGAAGTCAGTCACCACCAAACCACACTTTGTGGCATTATGGAGCGAATTTGCGAGCTGATCAAGCGCAAGATCACTCCAATACACCAGGCGTGTTTGCAGAGACTGAAGAGAACCATATCCTCCAGCAGACACTGCCTTGTTGCTGAAGAAATGGTGGATTTTCGCAGAAATTCTGGTGACTGACTCCAACAAATTGGGAGAACGGATAACTTACGGTCATCATGGCACCGGAGCTCGAGCCAGTGACGAAGACCTTCTTGGGGTCGGCGTTGTACTTCTTGAGGGTGTAAGAAACCATGTTGGCAATGGCGTTGCTGTCACCACCACCACCGTGCTTCAAGGACTTCTGCGAAGAGACATCCCAGCAAGTGCCAGACTACTCAACTATCAGCGCATGTTCATGCATCAATTGTTATCCTGCAAGACTCACATGAGGAGAGGAAGGGTAGATGACAATGAAGCCCTTCTCATCAGCAAGCTTGGCATAGGGCGAGCCCTGGTAGTAAGCCTGGGCAGTACCAGTGCAGTAGTGAATGGCAACGATAATCGGAGGCTTAGCAGCAAGCTTGGTAGGTACATAAATGTACATGCCAGTGCCCGAAGGGTTGTCGCCAAAGTTGTTGACCTTGGTGAGCTGGGCCGCACGACCAGCGAGCGAGTTACCAGACACCGCACCCAACAGGGCAAAGACAGGAGCAATGAGCGAAGAGAAATGCATTTTGAATGAAAGAAGAGAAAGTGGTGATGGACGAACGAAAAAATCTTCCTATCGAGGCGGCTTTGAGGTCATATATAGTTATCCCAGGACCACTTAGCTTTCTGCCATGCTGCAGCTATATTGCTTGTATTTCTAGGCGATGGCATAGCGGAAGAAGTTGATACACTGAAGGCTGGTCGGACCGTTCGAGGCGCATGCTCGCCTCCAAGGAGAATGCAGTGGATCGTCTGACAGGTTTGCTGAAACGAACGGTAGAACAAGGCATCGCTTAAGTTGACTATAGGCAAAAGCGCATGGTTGCATCAAACACACTATGTCCATATTAGAGTATACCTTAGGGCTATACCATACGTACGAGTAGGAGTTGCTTCCATGCGGGGGTGTCGTTCGCTTGGCCAAAGTTGAAACAGAAGGAACGGCTGAGTTCGGCCGAGTTAGAGTAAACGACGCTCATGAACTCCTTCTATTTTCATGTCAACATGCTGCTGATCGAAGCCACGCATTCTGCCATACTTCTGATAGTAGACGGTCTCACTGCCGGACAACTTGGCAACAACCAATCCTCACTTCAGGCTAAGAATATCGCGGACAGAAACTTTTCTCAAAATTCCACCAGTCACGGTGAATACGGTTGAACATGATGGTCATATGCTGCCAGCCAGGACATCGATCTTGAATTGGCTTCATATCAAATGTGCCTAGAGTTTGAGATATATCAAAAGACCCGCCTTTTCTTGCTTGCTAACAATAGACAAAGTCCAGCCTGCTGTATCACAAGGAATACCCCTCAATGCCTGCATTCTACTTTGCTTCCTCGCCACATTCAAAGCTTGACTGTCACTTCGAATAGACTTAAGCCTTGTAGTTGACAGTGCCCTTGGTGGTCTTGCCAGAAGTCATGTCAACATTCTTGACAACAACACTGTCACCGTTCTCCGAAGTAGCTCTGACCCAAGCAGTCTTGGTGCCAGTGCCGCCAGTAAGCTCGAAGAAGTTGTTGACATTTCTGGCGGTAGGCTTCCAAGTGCTGCCGTTGTCACCACTGACCTCAAGCTTGAATGTACGCAGGCGTGCGTTCATGACAGTGGCAGCAAACCAGTATTGCGAAGAACCTCCGTGCATCTTGATCTCGAGGCCATCGGTGATGGGACAAGGAACAAACTCCCACTCGATGGGGATTTCGCCGAGGTTCTTGTTGGCGATCTGTGCGAACATGTCAGGAGACATGTCCAGGTGGTTCTTGTCACCACCGGTCTTGTTGGTGACCTGAGCAGAGGATTAGTATAGTGCTCGCAATGTGTGCAAGTTCGACGATCTTACCATGGCGATCTTCTTAGCACCACCCTTGTAGGTGATAGAAACACAGCCACCGCAGTTCTGGCCGTTGTTCCAGATGGCCTCGGACACACAGGTAGAGCCAGCAATGGATGAGGGNNGGAGGACGTAGTCGGTGAAGGCGCAAGCACCTTGCTGCCAGCAGGCTTCCTCACCACAGTTCTCGCCATACCAGGTTCCCTTGCCGGAGTTAAGAGATCTCTCGTAGAGAGCGGGGTTGGGCGAGGTGGCAGGGGCAGCAAGTGCCAAAGGTGCAAGCATCAGAGCGGCCAGCGCAGCGGAAGAAGAAGAGAACAGCATCTTGTATAGAATGAATGACTGAAGTTGAGAACAAGATCGACAGAATAAAGAGTGTTGTCGAGACAAGATCCTACAAGACCGAGAAAAGTCTTGGTCTTATAGTAAGCCCATAGATGAAATTGCACCGCCAACGCGGGTTCTCCTGGCCGGATCACCTCCAAGGTTCAGCTGCGAAGCGCATTGCTTGTTCAACCATCGCATAGCTTGACCACTCTTGACCTCCAATTTTCGAGCGCATTGACGTTGGGGCATGTTCTGTGACGAACGCGCAGGGTGTCGGGAAAGCTGAAACTTGACTTGTTGCGTCAGCCCTGTCGAAATGTGGATACCACATATTGGTCATTTAGTGGTCGATAGGAGGCCTCGATCGTTCGTTCTACTGTTTCAGCACCCCAGTCTGTCTAATTGAATACTCAACAAGCTACTTTAGATGAGGATCGAAAGATCTGTGCTTGAATGTTTGTATTTGAGCTTATAGGGCACTGTTTAGCCTGCGATATCTCCGTTTGATTTCCGTCAGACATCAAGCACAGCGAAGGATGAGCTGCACCCGAAACTAGGTCACATGGTCGAGATGCTTGTCAGACTACCTGAGGCATGTCGAATGTCCCGACGGTTATGTCTGGCCATTCGTCAGCCATATCGAGAAGCCTTTGTAGTCCAACTCCTATCTGAGCTCCCCTCCAAGTAACTCTACCCCGAATTCGGATACTGCGAAGAGCATCGCTAAAGTAGAAACCGTCAAGCACCAGAACTTCCAAGCTCCACATACTTTTCAGTTCACACCAAAGTTTCGTTATAACACCTTTCCACAAGTTTAGTATAACGCTTTCTTGAACTCCTTCGTCGCCGATGAGATGTAGATTCAATATTTCTAGACGGCGTAATGTGCCTGAGCGCTTGCGCAACCAAGTGTATGGAAGTGACATATCGGCTTTACAGTTCGCCAAAACGATTTCCGTAAACCACTTCTCATGTAGCACAGGAGTGAAGCTACCGTATGGTCGTGAGTAAACATCGGGTGGCGATTGAGATCCTGCAGGAGATTGAAACGAATGTCTGATAAGCTCCAGAGTCTGATCGGTTCTNNTATGGTCATGATGGAGTCATGCACCGACCAATTGTCAGCAGTGCATGTCATGCCAAAGTGTCGTCAGTGTAGCCTGTTTCTCACAAGTTCCTACATGGCTTAGATCTAGCTGCCCGTAGAGATCTTCGAATCCATATGATCGGCGCAAGACAGGTCTCCCACGAGGCATAGAAACAGGTTCAGTCGGTCGAGAACTGTTTTCGCCGGAGACTTGATCATGGACTACATCATCATGTATTCCAAGACCTACTTCGATGTTGTGGTGCTTGATGTTGTTCAGAGCTTGGGTCAAAACTCTGACATGTTGTTCGTCTCTTTCGAAAGGGCACTGGACAAGAGCAGCTTCATGAGCGGCACCTTCGATATCCGTTTCATCGACTACGGTTTGAGAGTCTTCAAAATCTTTGTTGACACGCCATGTGCCTAGGCTGATCGTGTCCAGACATGTACCCAGAACAGGATGTGCAGTAAGCTGGACCAAGCCCTGCAAACTGTAGGGAGAAATGATGAAGCGGCGATGAGCAAGACAAGACAGCCCAAATGGTCGTGTAGCTGCGACATTCATGGACTTGCTGACCAGACGCAAGATGGCCAGGTCATCCGGATGAGTGACTTTGGCAATCATGTCCCATATTTCATGTGGGAGGACTGATGTGAAGCCCGTCTCGGGCACGTCTACCATGCTGAACCAATGGTGTATGCTGAATGAGCTATGGCCGAGGAATGTATTCCAAGCTGAGGTAGAGTGAGGGTCAAGAATTCGATGAATAACTCGGGGAATTGTAGGTGTACGTCCGTCGAGAAGACGAAGGACAAGAAGAGTCAAGGTTGAGACTAGATGGTTTATCGGACGGGGGTGAGCTGTTTTGAGAGCTCTGGATAGAGTTCGTGCCCCACTCACAAATATCATTATAGACCAAACCTTCTGAGCAAGAAGATTCTGGACGTAAGCGAGCATCCACTTGGTGGAAGCACAAAGGGATCAAGGCGCCTGGTTGTCGTCCGACTCCTCATCATCGGCCCCAGTTCGTCCCAACTTTGCATTTATTGCTCGAACAGATTTGATCAGATCCTCAACCATGGCAGTGACTTGTGCCGAGCTTTCGCCCTTAATCTCCTTGCCAACAATAGAGACCAGACTGTGCCTGTTTTCGTAGCTCAGATTATGAAGGACCAGTGACTCCAGTGCCAGGTCATGCTCAATAGTCGTAAGCAGCTTGATGCCATCCTCGATTTCATCGTCATAGAAGATGGACAACGATATACTCAGATGTCGCAAGCTCTTTGCGTGTGCTTTTAATAGAACGAAAACCGACGTGTCGATTGAGCAATGCTTGAGTGAGATCTTCTGAAAGTGTTGTTGATACAAGGGGTTGACAAGCGAGCCAAAGGTCTCTTGATCGAGCTGTGGGATTTCCGTCCCTTCGTATTCNNCCTCTATCGATAGGAAGTTCAGAGATAAACTTTTGTCTTGATCACGAATTTTGAGAGTGTGAGATTCCGTGTTACCACTTCGTTCTGTAAGCGTCACTGTCAGGTTCCAGCCAGACTGAAGCTGGCCCAAGGGAGACACTAATAGATTGTTCAGCAGCTGCTGTAGTCCCGGATGTCTACCTATTGCTTGTCGTGCAAGCGAGTTCCATTGAAGGTCAACTGAGATCCCGCTTATAGGGCATCCTGAGCTACTGCGCGCCGTGACCAGGGCTATAAGGGTCTGTGCTGCTCGTGAGTCGCCATACTCAAGAATGTTGACCGAGCCATAGAGCTCATCATGCCCGTATCCGCGGCGAACAAACTTATCTCCAGGTCCAGCGGAAACCACATCTTCGAACATTCCAATCATGGGCTTAACACCATATCTTTTGAGGTTCGCCAAAGCCTTAGTAACAAGAATAGTATGCAACCCAGTCGCCTCGAATGGAAACTGCGTAAGTGCTGCGATATTTGCCCGACTTGCTTCATGCCGAGGTTGGGTGTTCACGAAATATTTCTTCATGCGATAGGTGCCGATTTCGATGGATCGAACACAAGGACCTAGGACTGGATGCGCCGTCAGATCAACAAGACCTTGTAGGCTGTAAGGCGATATTATGAAACGACGATGTTGGAGTTTTGCGATGCCAAACAGCTTGGTTGATATCGAGCACCACTGCTTACTGACGAGGCGTAGGCTGGCTAGGTCATCAGGATCGGCGGCAGCAGCGATCAGAAAGACAACTTCAGGCGGAAGGGATGAGATAGTCGTCGCCATCACGGCGGCGTATTCGTCTAGATGTCACGATGTCTTAATGTCTGCGACTAGCGCTGATTGCGTAGATGTAGAAGTTGTCGCCGCTCACGCCAAGACGGCGGCCGAGGGGGCTTCTGGGATGCTGTTGCGACGCCGCAAGACCGTCGCATACTGATGGACGACAACAATCGAGGCATCTCAAAAATAAAATCACTAAAAGAAAGCAGGGACGTGATTGTCTTGTAGTTGAGAAAACATTCGCTCCAAGGATCAATACACACTGCTCCTAACGTATATGCTCTACCCTATGCAAACATTGTATCGCATGTTTTAGCCATTCGTCACCCTCCAAAGAATAGAAGAACAACCCAAATCCCAAAAGAAGAAAAAGAAGAATTTGTTGCCCAGTGCATTTGCATCGCATGCTTTGTGTTTCGTTGCTTAAACAAGTTCCATCTCTTAATCAAATATACCCTTCCCCTCTTCCGCGTCCCACAATATCATTGCATCCATAGTCGTACAAAGAGTCGGAGACCTCTAGTCTTCTGACTCTTGCTCAACAAGCCACTCCATCACACTCTCGTAGCAGAGCACGAACTGGCGCAAACTCTGCACCATACTGATTCTCTGCTTGCGGAACTCTTCGACTGTCTTTTCGATCAAGTCTTGAGTCTCGTCATTCACCCATTTGCCATCGATCTCATCTTCTTCTGACGATTGCACTTGAGTAGCGGGTGCGGCGAAGAAGGGGCTGCTGTCTTGCATCTGTACAGAGCTTCGGCGAGTGTCGATGTGCATGGGCGAGCTGTCGCGAATGTGTCTCCTTCGCGATGATCTTTGTCGCTTGAGCATGTCGATGACCGTAGCCACTGTGCAAAATGTGCCTGTGCGTCCACAACCGGCACTGCAGTGCACGACAATTGGTGGTGCCTCTGGAGGATCCGGCTCTGTCAAACTAGAATGCGTCGTGCTGCGTACAACTGCATCACATTGCTCCACTAGTCCCAAGAGATGTGCTGGGTGCGCTGGTGCGCCAAAGTCGGGCCAGCTCGAGTATTGAAGTTGTGTAATTTCGCGCATACGTTCGAATGGATAACCTTCGTGACGGAGCGCCAATTTGCGGACAATGACGTATGGTTGATCATCCTTTGCTGCGCTCTCAGAAGTGGTTGTGTCGATACGTGCGAGAATTGCACCATCAGTAGACTTTCTGTTACCAACCGAGGGTCGTTGTTGACGGTGTCTCTTAATCTTTGCCGGGTCCAGCGAAGCGCGCTTTTCAGATAGGAATTCGAGACGAATAGGACCGTACTGCTTATCTGACCAGTAGTTGTGTGCTTTGACCTGGCCGCCTTCCTTCTCGGCAGTAAGCATGACGATGACCCTAGTCTCTTGCTGCCAAATCACATTCCAGAAGTCNNCTGTAGCAAGTTAGATATGCTGTGTTTAAAACGAGTAGGAAGATTGACTTACAGCGAAAGTAGCAGGAATAGGTCCCTGAGTGGCGATATAACGCTTGTGCGAACGTTTCGAAGAGACGTAGTTGGCGTTAAAGTAGTCGCACCCATGCGAAGGGACATCCTGCAGCTTGACACGAGAATGTTCAAAGGGCCAGATGTTGTTGTATCGGTTCTTCGAACCCTTCTCGATACCAGCAATCTGTATCGAGGACTTTGGCATCGATTGTGAAGGGGAACCATACGAGACCTTTCCTGAGAGAGCTTCTTGCATACGCTTTTGTTCTCTCTTTTCGATCTGCAAAAACTTCTCGGACACACGAGCACCCTTGTCTTTCTCATCGGATGCCGACTGTAGCCAGGGAGGGAAGTGGTCTTGCATCTCCTTCGACAAGTGTGCAGGGCGCTTGATTTCCATCTGGCCAACACCACCGATGAGATCCATATTTTGTCTGATGTTTCCAAAGAACGGGTTGGCAGCGTTCTTCTCAGCAGGCATAGGACAACCTCCAATGACAGGTGCAATCTCAGGACCTGTCATGTCCAGCTTCATGCCCATGGGACCACCAGCACGGCTTGATTGACCACCTGCTCTTTCGACATGCGAAGGGTGCTTCTTGGCGAACTCAGCAAAGCCACCCTTGAGAATGTAGCATTTTCCTTCCACTCCTTCGCTGTCAAACTTCTTAATCGTATTAACACAAGAAGTGGCGTCCTTGAGTTGGAATGAAGCCGAGTCATAAACAATAATGTATTTGCTGCTTTTCCAGTTTTCGAACTTTCGGCGTTGATCGGCATTGTCCTTGAATGTTTCGGCCAGTTTGCTTACGTTGAAAGATGGGCGTTTCAGAAGGGTGGTGGGAATACACAGGTTGAGAGCTCCTCTGAGATGAGCACCAGCATATTGTGTCGAAACACGCAAGTCCAGTATCAACATCTCCTCTGCAGCGGAATCGAGCAGATTACAAAGATGCTGAGGAGTGATGANAGAGTCCGAGTCGTTCAAGGGGCCGGCCACAGGAACAGTCTCGGCTCTGGGCTTGAACTGGGGTTGAGGAGGAAGGTTGAGGTTGAAAGGCATGTTTAGCCTGGGCTGGCTGCTTGGGCGCTCAGGAGCATTGCGAAGACCGTCTGGAAAAGACGAATCATTAGAAAGATGTCTTTNTGGAGAACGGCCTTGATACGCGGATTCGGGATCGAGATTGAAGTTATTACCTGCACCTGAGATGGAGCCTGAGGGAGCACGTCCACCTGATATTGAGCCGGAAGGAGCACGGCCGGGCGGCGGCATGTGTCTCTGCTCGGTCGAGTGCTTTGGGCTGGCCGAGATGTTGATGTTGTTGAAGAAGCTGTTGTTGTTTGTAATATTTGAGTTAGAGTTGTTACTGCTAGCAGAGGGCAGTGCAGGCTTCTTGAAGTCAAAGTCATGCAGAGAGCCCAGGTTGAAGCCAACGGTCTCGGATTGGCGTCGGAAAGCATCGAAGTCGGGATTTTGGTCGACAGGGATGACTGTAGGAGAGAAGGCGGCAGTTGATCTCACGGCGGACGAAGGGGGACTCCAATTCTTTCTGGTATGGCGAGCAGATTCCGAGTCGTAGGATTCGTCCTGGGCAGTGAAGCCAAAGTAGTTTGGGCTAGGAGTGCGCACATGGCCACGATGGGGTTGTGGTGATTGNNGAAGCAAGGGACCCATATTGTGCGCCGTGGTAGATGGCGGACGAGCGCCAGNGGTTTTTGCCGCAGACATGATGCTGCGTGTGTGTGCGGCTGACGATGAGTCTCTGGGGTAGGGGCTTTTTTTCGATCGAGGTGGGATGCGCCAGCTGTTCAAGAGACCAAAGACGGGGCGGGAGGAGGTGAGATGGTTGTGAGATGGCAGTTACCGGACTAGGCGGCGACAGCTCTGACAGCAGCAGCAGAATGCATCTGTAAGAGGTCGAGCGACGAGTGTCGTTGTGGTGCGTAAGTGGGCCTCGCTGGAAGACCTAGGCCAGACGATGACGGCATGTTCGGAAAATAGTGCAAGCGACGAGCGTCCCCAATAATAATGCCCTCTGTCACCCGTCAAACTCCCCCCTTGTCATGTGTCCTTGCAAACCCATATCTTTAGCCATCACGCATCGTCCAACGCTCAATTCTTCAACTTCCCTCACAATATTTCACGTTTTGGTCTGCAAACTGCACCAAGACACCCACGACCATGATCCCTGGACCCTGACCCCTTGACTCTAGAACAAAGCACAGAAAACCGGGTCCACGCGACTCTTGTCAATCTTTGCCTTTTCCCAGACCCTGCCCTCGTATCTACGCCTTCAATCGTCCATATAATTACCACAAACATTCAAGCCTCTCCCCAATACACACAAGTTACATCTCGGCACCCCTTGACCCTGCCACCCTACTCTTATCTGATCGACCCCTGTCGATTGTTTTCATTGGCTTTGTCTCCTCTTTTTGACGCACTTTTCGTGCGATCCTTTGTTGAACAACAAAAACGCTCTGGTTCCATTTTCAAAGCTTGGCCAGACCCTGCTGAACTTCCCGTGCCAAGTTCAGCTGGCTTTTGCTTGCCTCATCCCATGTTCCGGCTTCGGACAATTTGGGATTCTCTCTTCTCACATGACCATGTCTCGGATGATGCTTACAACAAAACAGTTGCAGCCATGCCCGTTTGTAATAAGCCCCTTGTGGTCTAGAGAGTGGTGTTGCTTGATGGCTTGCCTTGCCTGCAACTTTGCCCTGGTTCTCCATGGGGCCTGACGTACAGAATCCCGCGGACAGGCGATTGAAGAATATGCTGCTCAGCCTCAAATTGCATACGACAAACGGTCTTCGTCATGCCCAATGTCACCGTTCTTGGTTCGCCTTAGAATGGAAAGTGCATCGCTGTGGCTGTGACCATACCTCTCCATGTGCTAAAGACAGTCACAGTTCAGCTGTAGAAATGCACAATGTCTTCCCAAATAATACGGTGTCCATAGAGAGAATCTTGATGAAGGCTATCTCAATGGCCAGACTCTATATTCGGATTGAAACTGTGCGTTTCGATAGCTACCCTGTGACTGTGTTTAGCACACGAGGAGGTAGCATGTGCAGTGCTCTGCTTGCTCATGACGGACTTGTCGTCGTCAGCATTCATTCGAGGCAACGTCTGTACTGTGGCGCTGTCATGGTATTCGTGTCCCGTGTCATAGTTATTCTTATTGTCATGGGCATGTTGCATGCCTTGAAGTCACGCTGGAGGTCTACGACTGCACATACGAAGCACGCAGGAAAGTAAGGTAGAATGGTTCGTCAGGTTTGAATTGTGGCCACTGCTGCTCTCTATGGTACAGATTCCACGCCATGCTTCCTCTTGAATTACTAGAGCCCCAAACTCCGTACTCCACTGCTGCACATTGGCCGCAGTTCCTTCGTTGCATGCGTTGTAATGTCCATCTACTTCCATAGCTTTGTGAGCGAGACCTGTTGGTCGTTGTGTCTGTTGAGAACCTTTGCGGTTGCGAGGTCAAAGTCCTCCTGGGTAACGTGAACTCTTCTTTCTCTGAGTGCGAACATGCCGGCTTCTGTGCAAACACCCTTGAGCTCGGCACCTGAGCATCCGTTCATCTTCTCGGCGACCTTGGTGAGGTTAATGCCTCTGGTCAGGTTCATGGAGCGACTGTGGATGCGGAGAATGTCGGCACGAGCCTCGACGGTTGGTGGAGGGAACTCGATCTTTCTGTCAATACGACCAGGTCTGAGGAGGGCGGGATCCAGAATGTCGAGACGGTTGGTGGCCATAATGATCTTGATGTTCTTGGTGGGCTCGAAACCATCGAGCTGGTTGAGCAGTTCCAGCATGGTGCGCTGGACTTCGCTGTCGCCTCCGCTGGAGCCCTCGACACGCGAGGAACCAATACTGTCGATCTCGTCCATGAAGATAATACTGGGAGCATGCTCTCGTGCCATGACGAACAGCTCGCGCACCATTCGTGAACCCTCTCCAATGTACTTTTGCACCAACTCAGAACCAGAAACTCTGATAAACTTGCAGTCGGTGTGATGGGCCACAGCTCTTGCCAACAATGTCTTTCCTGTTCCGGGAGGTCCGTACAACAGGACACCCTTGGGTTGTGCGATGCCGAGCGATTCGAAAAGTTCGGGGTGCTTGAGACCAAGCTCGATGACTTCCTTGATCTGCTTGATTTGTTCGTCAAGACCACCGATCATGTCATAGGTACTGTCAGGAACCTTCTCGACCATCATGAGCGAGACGAGAGGGTCGACGGATGAGGGAAGCATGGACGAGAGCTTGTATGAGTCGGAGAGGAGGGTGACACGCTTGCCGGCGGTGAGTTTGGACATGTCGATATCGTCGGCGACATCAACGANCTGGCGCGGAGAGTTAGCAGGACGTATAACATGATGGCGATCTTGTTTCAACATACCGTATTTGCCTTCGGGATGCACCTTGACCAGGACCTTCTTTGTGCTCATGACCTTGACAACCTCACCCACGTAGGAGCCAGGCTGCTGGAGCAAACCCAGCTCTTCGCGCAGCAGGCGCACTCTTGAGTTGTAGTCGTTCCTTTGCGCTTCCAGTCTGCGGAGGACGGCTTGACGCTGGATGATCTCGAGCTTCATGCTCTCGATCTTGTTGTGAAAGAAGGTGTCGAGCGCCATAGTGGGCGATCGGATGATTTGAAGCGCTGGGAAGATGCAGGGATAGATGGAGAAGTGTCGACTAGCGAGTGACGGCGAGTTGTGATGATTGATGGCGTTGTTGGTAGATGGATGGCCACTGCTGCTCATGACGATGGAGCACGGAGGTCGGAGCTTGAGAGCATAACTTTATGCATAGCTTATGCTATCTATACAACTTCAAGATAGTGGCCATTGGAATTCAAGAAAGTACGTTGCTTCAGATAAATCCGCTTTTCTACACGTCTAAAATCTATACACGCTTCTGTATCCTGATTTCCAGGTATCGGAGTGGCACATACAACAATGCTGTAACCACAAAAGCCAACTCAAACCCAATGTCACCAGTCGTCTTTGCAATAGGCCCTGTATACCACACCTGCGCCATCGAAGGAATGACCAAAGCAAATGATAAAGCACTAGCCCCCAATGCAGCAATACCGCTAGGTAGCATATTGGCCTTGTTCCACTTCTCATGAGAGTAAGCCGAGCAATCCGATTTTCTGAACCAAGCATGCTCGATCACCACAACAGCCACAAAGGCAGAAGCCCAGTATCCGATAACGCCAATGAAGTTTTCAAGGTTGTTGANAAAGCTGGTGGCCGCGCGAATGGCAACAGGAATCACAATAGCTGTAATGACGATGGCGAACAAGAAACGAGGGACCCTAACCATCCAAGGCAGCAGAAGTTGGAAGTTGAGCGTGATGCTGTACATGGTCGCTGCGATGTTTCCGAGCAGTGAGAAGGCCAGAAGGACAACGACGAATTTGCCAAAACCGCCTGCAGGTTCGAGCATGGCTGCTAGCACGCCACCGACTGAGGTCGAATCGTAGCCAGCTTGCCACGAAGGTACGTTGGGGCATGCACCTCCAATAGCAGCGCCCAGAACCATCAAAGGTACTGTAGGTAAGAACAGACCGCCATAAGTATAAGCGAAGACGTTGACACTGGACGCTTCGGGAACCATGTAGACAGCAAAATCTCCAGCCAATGCCGCCCAAGGGATGAGGAAACCAGCGATGAGTGCAGAGAACGAGAGGACGGTAGATGCTTCGGGAGCCGGATAGACAGCCTGGTTGCTCAGATGCTTGCCGCCTGTTCCAGTAGCAATCACGATGGCGACTAGAGCTGGGATCCAGGCAAAGCGCTCATAGCGATGCAAAATCTTGAAACCACAGAAGCAGACCAACATGGCCAGGATGGCAATGACCACAATACCAACGTCCGGTGTCAGATGGCCATGGGTAATTGCAGACAAAGACTGACCACCGATGACACTGTCGATAACACAAAAGCCAGTGAGTGTTGCAAGGTTGAGGATCACAGGCACCGAAACAAGATAGTAGCCAAAAGAGAACCTTGCCTGAATCATCTGCCGCATACCAGTCTTGGGTCCCAATGTCGCCAGATATGCAACCGGCACCGTGCATAGGATACTAAAGAAAAGGATGATTAGAGAGCAATCTCTCAGTCCAAGTCCATATCCCAGCGGTCCAGTCATGCCAGTAACAATNNTCTTGATGTTCGTCAGCCATATATTCAGCCTTATATGCCCTATATCGAGAACTCACGGTAGCAGATTGACACTCATGGTGAGCCATAGCGTGAAGATTCCATGAACTCTTGTGTTCGTTCGCTCCGTCACGGGGATAGGGACGATGCCTCCAGTTTCCACACCCAGCGATGCGAACTTTTNTAGTGACCACGATTGAGCAACCTCAACATCTGCATCCTTTCCAGATCCAGGAAGTCCTTTTTCTTCATCCAAGACATTAGCATCGGGTTCCTTGTAGGCGTGGTCGCTCATTGTAAAAAGCCTGGTCTTAAGACAAAGTCGGATAACCGAGACTAAGAGCACTCAAGGAATGAGACGGCGTGAGCGAGGTTCTCAGTATGTATCCACAAAAACGAAGAGGCCCGAGTCCTTCTTTTGTAAGCGATCTAGACCATCTTATATGAATATGACTCTTTTCTCCAGGTTTTGACATCTTTCTTTGTAATGGAGTGGCCACTGGCCACTTTAGCCCGAACTAGAATTTTTTGCCGTTGACTTTCCGAGGCGTCGAACCAATTTTTCTCTATTTAATTTAATATATCCCATGGCATCACCACGCTTGAAATTGAAATCACCATACAATAGCATACATATGGAAATCAGCCTCTTGCTCAGGATCGATCTGCCTGGAAATATGGAATCACTTTAGACGACCATAGAAAATAATCGTGATGAGGATATAGGTAGTTGAAGACTGTTTTTCATTCATAGCATAAAGTCGTTGATGCGCGATAACACACGCTGGTATCAATTACCGTTACCAAAAGAGCAAGCAAGTAAACACCTGTGCCTCGTCCAAGCCAAATTTTTGTTCTGTAGCAGAGCCCATCAGGACCTCAGCATTTAGGAAGCCTTAGGGCAGTTGTTGCAAGTGCACTGGCCTGGAGGGCAGGGGCAGGAACCCTCAGCACCACCACAGTTGCACTTGGTCTTTCTGGGCTCTTCCGAGACGACCTTCATGTCAGCAGACTCAGCGGTAACACCGGAGGACTTGTCAGAGTTCTTGGCACATCCGGAGCATGCGCAGTGTCCGGGAGCGCAAGGGCAGGAACCAGCATCGCTAGCGCAGGNAGCCTATGTGATGTTAGTGTTGTGTACGAAGTATGAGATAAAGTGGGACATACACTTGGTCTTGCCGTCTCCGACAGAGTGAACATCGTTCTTGCCAGACTTGAGGTTGGCAAGGTGACGGGCNNCCTCGTTGTGGACGTCGAGAACCTGCTTGCTGCCCTGGTTGTAGAAGTCTCTGAGCTTCTGGCCAGTAGGAGTGCCCATGGCCTTCTCGAAGTATGAGTTCAGACCAGACCAGGCAGCAACGCCCTTGTCAGTGACACCGTACTTCTGATCAAGGCCCTGGGCCTTGGCGGAGGCCTGGTACTTGGCATCGAACTGTTGGAGAGTTGAGGTGAAGCGAGCGCTGACACCGTGCTGCTGGTCAAGAGCAAGAGCGCGCTCAATAGCCTTGTCGCTGATGGTGTAGCCGTGGGCAAGGTACTCAGCGACGATGCGAGAGCGGGGCTTGTCTTCTTGAGAGATGTGGTCAGAAGACTCTTCGTCGGCAGCAGAGAGCTTGCCGCCAGCGAGCTGGTCAAGAGAGGCGGTAGTGGTGACGTGAACCTGGTTGGCACCGAGCTGGGTGTTGTCGAGGAGAAGAGCGGTCTTGGCGGCAGACTCCTTCTCAAAGGTTACGGAAGCAGACTTGACGCTGTCGGCAGCGTTAGACTCGGGGGTGACGGAGATGTTTGAGATCTTGCCGCTNNGTGATGATGGTCAGTTGATGTGGTTCTCTCGCTGAGAGGACACGACTCACCAGAAAGAGAAGAAGTCGCGGACTTCCTTCTCAGAGGTCTGGGCGGAGATGTTCTGGACGCTGACGGTAGTCGACATGATGTATTAGATGTGGAGGTTTGGGATGTGGATGTGAGATGGTGTTGAGAGATGTTTAAGAAAGACGTGTGGTGAAGAGCGTCCCCTCTCGGGCGACGAGTCGACGTCATCTATGGCTGCGCCACAGCTTGCATGTGATGCTCGACATCCAAACTCTACAACTTTTGCAGTGCTCTGGCTGTCAATTCACGGATCAAGATCCCGCTGAGATATGTCACCACGATCGAACCACGTATCATGCTCCATACCGGTTCTGTCAGTTCGAGCCTTTCTGAAAGCGATGACACAGCTCAAAATCCTTTGTCAAATTGAAGCTGTCAATTGATGTCAATACACACGTCTTCATGCGTCGACTGCTTCCTAGCACGCTCTCATTTCGCGTCAAGTTGGAAGCTTGCAATCCATCCCCCTGTGTGCTCAGGACAGGCACCGTTTTGCAGCTAATCCGGTTCTCCATCCCGGACCGTAGGGTTATGGTAAGCTATCAAAATGCACAGTTACGGCTCGAATACAGATATGTCCATTGAGATAGCCTTTATCAAGGTTCTCTCTGTGGAGATTGTGTTCTACACAAAGGTATTGTGCATTTCCACACCTACACTGTGACTGTCTTTGGCACACGGGAGGATACTTCATCCAATGTGTGTAATCTGCGAGCAAACTGGATGTTCGACAGACTCCTACAGTGGGTACTTTGTAATTTTACATCATCGTTGGTCATGTTCAACAACCACCACCTCCGCCCGCCCAATCTATCAGGCTCTTCTCACGTCGTATCCACATCACCTTCATGTTTACTCGAAACACTCTAGCATACAGAATGACGACTCATATATCGAACTTCTTCCTTGGCAAACGAATCGCCGTGAGCCCCACAGTTTGGCTGTTCTCAACAGCCTTTTTCGACGGTAAGACTTGTGTTTGTTGTTACAATCAGCGAACGGTCAACCCTGCGCCGGGTTGGCCCTTTGCCGTGCAGAAAACAGTCCACAGAGCTGAGGGATTATTGGGTTTAATTGCCGGTACAGGTCCAGGCTGAGAGTGACACTTATGTCTCCTTGGACCAGGCCATAACAAACAATGTCGCTGTTCAGGCAGTACGTACTGTCAAGAGAAGCCTTCAACAATATTCCAACTACAGAACCATCTCGAACTGTGACGAGACACAGAGTAATCGTATTGGCTGCCTTCCAACCACTCACGCGACACAACCAGCTTCACGATCCCCGCGTCCACACAGCCGAACCAAGCTATCCCAAGTCTGGGAATGAGCCGATCAATCACAAGACGCGCGCAACGCCCTCTCCCGTCCCTTTCCAACGATTATTTGCGATCATCAATGCTGCGTGCCATTATAATTCGCTCATAGCAGGCGGATCATCGGAATCTGTCTACAGATCGTACCCAAGTATTACTACCTACAACAGAGGCCAATGGAAATGTTGAATTCATGAGGGTTCTGGCTTCTCTTGATCCATGAGGCTGGACGGCGAGTGGAAATGAAGCATCAAGTAACGGAAACTCGCCTCCGCAAAACTATCCCTTCCTGAGGCGAAGTCGCTGCTTTCCTGGTGTTTTTAGCGGCGGCGCGGCTGTTGTCCGTAAGATAGTGTCTTGCCTTGAGCCAATCAGCGAAGGTTTTTATTCTCGACCCGAGTCCGATCAGCGCTACATACAAAAGATCTTTCTCCTTTGCCAACATCTCTCTCACGTCGCCTTCCCTCAAGTCTTCGCCAGCGACAACACCTCTACACAGTCTGCCGTCAGTTGAGGTCTGACTTTTAGACGTGCACCTGAGATCAGAAGGATATCTTTTCAACAAGCCTAGTATTCTGTTCGAAGCCTCCAAAACACCGTGAGACATTATCCGACCTCATGTCTCCTCCTCAGAGACAACGCCGGGATTTTAACAAGTTTCCTACCACTCAGCTCTTCTTNCTTAGGTAGGTTTGTTACTCGATTTGACGTCCACGACCCGAATCTCATATTTTCGCAGCTCTTGTCCGAGTCGCTGAGCCGATCGCCCTCACCTCAATTTTTCCCTATGCCTGGAAACTCGTGCTCGACTTTAATGTAACTGATCGCGCAAATGCGTCCTTCTATGCCGGCTTGCTGATCTCAGCTTTTGCTCTTGCTGAATCTTTGACAGGATTGTGAGTGCTTGAAATTTTAAAGACTGCGTTTCCTTCGCGCGCTAACAAAGTCGCAGGNTACTGGGGAGGTCTTTCGGACCGCATCGGGCGTAAGCCTGTTTTGCTCCTGGGAAGTGCAGGCACTATGCTTTCCCTCCTTTTGGTTGGCATTTCCACTAACTTTTGGATGGCTCTGGCTGGAAGAGCAATTGGTGGTTTCCTTAATGGCAACATCGGCGTCATTCAGACAATGGTCGGAGAGCTCACTGTCAACCCCAAGCACGAGCCTCGCGCATACTCGGTTATGCCTTTCGTCTGGTCTATTGGCACAATCATCGGCCCTTCGATCGGTGGAATCTTCTCAGCTCCCGCGGACAACTTCCCCGAGGTCTTCTCTCCTAACGGAATTTTCGCCAAATTCCCTTATCTGCTACCCAACTTGATCTGCGCAGCATTGATGCTTTTCTCGATCGTTTGCGGATTCTTCTTCCTTGAAGAGACTCACCCTGACATGCAACCCTGGAGTACTGTGGACGATCTCCAGCACACTGAAGCCGAAACTCCACTTTTCGCTGCTCAGGCCGGAACAACCACAGCTGCAGTCGACTTGCGCAATGAGTCTTACGGCACCTTCAACAAGGTCGTCCAAGATCAGGAATGGAATGTCTTGCCCGACGGAACGGATGCGCCAAAGGAGGCAGAACCCCAGGATCAAGTTGTCTTTACCAAGCGCGTGGTCATGTTGATTATCGCCCTTGGCATCTTCACGTACCACAGCATGTCTTACGATCACCTCCTGCCCATCTTNTTCCAGGACTCGCGTGTGGAGAGCAGAGTCCACGGAAACAAGCTAAGTTCAATGGCAGGCGGTCTCGGATTGACAATTCAAGATGTAGGCGTTGTTATGTCTGTGAACGGCATCATCGCACTGGGCGTGCAAGCTATTGTGTTCCCTCTCGCAGCAGCTTGGCTGGGCGTCTGGAAGTTGTTCATCGTCACTACTGTCTTGCATCCCCTTGCTTACATTGTGGTGCCTTACCTGGTACTTCTTCCTGAAGAGTGGCTCTACCCAGGCATCTACGCTTGTCTGACTATTCGCAATATCTTTGCCATTCTCGTTTACCCGGTCCTCCTTATTCTGCTGAAGGAGGCTTCTCCATCGCCCTCTTGTCTGGGTAAGATTAACGGTTTGGCAGCTAGCACTGGCGCTGCCTGTCGCACTCTCGCTTCCNNCCCTATCGCAGGTATTCTCTACGGTATCGGCATCGACATCGACTTCACAGCCCTTGCATGGTGGGTCAGCGGTGCTGTCGCTGTCATCGGTGCTTTCCAGGTCTTCTTCATCAACCGCAAGAAGAGCAGTGAATGGCATCAAGTGCGCGCTCGTGCTCCCTGCCGCTTCATGCCTCCTGAGGAACACAGACAGGAAATTGTTCACATTGTTGTTCAAGACGAGGAAGAGCAGGAAGTCGAAGCTAACGAGCATCAGAGACTGTTGGTATAAAATCAGAAAATTACTAACCATGATTTGAAGAAAGAAAGAATCTAAAAGGCACTATACGAGTCGAAGGATCTTAACGTGTACGAAGGATGTCCGTGTTGCATGTATTTGATCATAGCATTTAGCGTCTTTGGGAGTTTTGCTCTGGGCATTTGGGGCGTTCTGTTGCATGTCACTCTTTTATAGCCAGCGCGGCGTTCTTTTGGTAAAGGCAAAATTGTTTAGAGCAGTTACAGTTATAGTATGAGTACTTGTTTTGGATAGTATAATCCTTTCGCGCTTGGTCTACCTGAGCACCTCGATATACCGCTATCTCTCACAGATAGGATAGCGACATGTGAGTTGCATGATTACCCGACAAACTATGAAGACAGAGCTACGTTACCATGGAAGATAACCGATCAAGTGGCTCGGATTTTGAACGACGTTGGAGAGTACGGCAATGGATGAAGCAAAGGAAACTGATGTTGATGCGATGGTTACAGATGTCAACGAATCGACTTCGGTAGGTAACGATACGCTCCTTCCCAACGTCCGCTCTCCGCACGCGTGTACTTCCGAAAACTCACATCGTTATTATCATCATTATCATCAACAAGAACAACAACACCTTAATGTATCTTCGCTTGATGATCCCTCCCCGTGTGCCAAAGTATGTAACTTCCTCCATGCTCCGACCATAGCTAAGAGCAGAACCTTGACTACAAAAAGGCACAGTTGTGTTCGGAAACAAGGCGTATCCACAGAGAGTTAATGATTGGTTGCTTCTCAGTGGATACTATCTTATTTCCTATTGCTATCGTGCACTTCTACAGCCACACGTGTGTCGTATTCTCGCACACGAGGAGGTCCGATAATCAGCGCATAGCACACAACATGGCTGTTGCTGCATTCTGGGATGTGTTCGAACTCCGGATGGAGATCTTCAAGTGCCTGCGCGACGACAGATGCGATGCGGACCTGGCGCGCTGCGCACGCGTACATCGCACATGGACCGACCTTGCCTTGAATGCACTCTGGCTCGGCAACCCAAGAACTCGGGATGACAGCGATGATGACAGCAATAGNAAAAGGACTGAGGCCATCTTGCTATTACCGCGGGACCGACGTCAGGACTATGCTTCTCGAGTCAGCGTGCTGGACTTTCTCCGTCTCGATGGTAGGCATCCCCACGTAATGCTCGGTGGACTGGAGTTTCCAAGATTGAAAGAGGTTATTCTCAGAAATGTCCATGAGTCGGAGGGGTTTCGACTCTCGACATATCTTCAACCTACGTTGGCAAGCATGAGGTTGGTGCACACAACAGCCAACGACAACATCAACTGGCTCCCAGCCTCATTCTTGGCTGATGCCTCTGAGAGATGCCCTGGTCTCGAGGAAGTGTCATTTTGTATCCCATGGGCGTCTGTGGAGCCTAAAGACATTGCGCTTTTCTTTCGAAGAATCCGACCTCGCAGAGTGTCTCTCAACTTCGGGGAACACGGGCATAGCGTGCTTACATATGACGTGCTGTCCGCTTTGTCCCATGGCGGCTGTTTAGGGAGCCTTATCTTTCCTCCGAGCGAGAGGTTTACGGACATCGAGTACGTCCATCTGCAACGCTTTTGTCGTGCTGAGAAAGATCCGTTTCCGACTCTCAAACACCTGGAGGTGCTCCTGAATGATGAAACAATCGTCTATATTCCACTGTGCTTTCCCGTTGTAACGAGGTTACGGGTGCATATCATCTCACAAAGTATCAACGATGAATCAGTGCTCATGCCTATCGTGACAATGTCGCAACTGCAATATCTTGAGATCGTCGACTTCGACCACAGCATACTAGCAAGATCCTTCATACCTCTTGGTTCGCTCTCCCAGCTTAAATCACTAAAGATCGGCACCTCATTCTTTGCTTACTGTTCGCTCGAGGAGAACCCTGAGGATGATCCCGACTTCGCACACGAAATTTTCCTGAGCGTCGATTCTTATAACATGTTCTCCGGACTTACTGCTCTGGAACATTTGTCCATCAGTGCACATCAGTATGGACACCCGGGACACCTTTGGAGGTCGATCTCTGCGTATTGCTCCAGACTTAGTTCTCTTGAATTTGTGGGCGAGCTTGATCTGTGGAGCCCTGCTCCCTTTGATGCAGTCAAATTCAACAGCCTCACAGACTTGACTATCGATGAACTCAGAGTCACGGATATGGCTGATGATTGGGCCGTAGATCATATGGCTACGTGTCGGGCAATAAGGGTAATCGACAACTTTGCACCCAAGCTTCAGCGGCTACAATGCACAACTAAGTCCTACATCTCGCAGCAGATATGCACTGACTGGACAGAGGTTCACACTCCGGAAGACTTCTTTCAAGACCAAGACTAAGCTAGGATCACGGAACTGGCCTGAAATGGCTCGGGTACGGTTGGATTTGAAAAATGTCTCAGGTATGAAAGTAGGAGCAAATAAACGAGAGTCTAAGAACGACCTTCCTCAATTCCCATCGCGTGGAATCCATCGCTCCTGATGTTTCTCTCCGGACACTCATCTGAACATAAACACTATTCTGCATTTTCACAGTGCAAATATCACAAACATTCACAGGGGAGATACAGTAAAAGAGAAATCTCAATTGAAAAGCAGAAGCAAAAATCAGTATAAAAGAACGGCCTTCCTGAACTTCCTTGACCCCATCGCCCCAGGTGCTTCACGCACAAAAAGACAAGAAGGGACAGTCCCCTACCATGGCAGCTCTGGCGTGGTCGACCAATTGCAATCTTTTCTGTGGCCAGCAACGCCGAGTGCGAGATTCTGGTCGACGTACGGGTTGAATTTGTGCGGTCTTCGTGATGGCGATGGAAAGATTGAAAGAACGCACGACAGAAAACTATAATGCTTGTGATTGAGGTTGGAAAGAAAGGTTTTTGTGAAAAGGGGTATGCGCGAAAACTGAAGCAGAAACCAGGCAAAGGGAAAAAGCAAGGCAAGAAAGAAATGGATCGACAAAGGAGTGTTTGTCTCTCAATGGACAATGTTGCAGCTGATATGTGTTTGTGCATTTCGGCGGGCGTCAAAAGGGGTTGGCTTGTCGCCGGAGTAGCAATGCAAGAAGGAAGGTCAAAATGTCTGTCGTTGGACTCCTTCGTGATGTCTCATTGGACACTTGAGTTCGTTGATCAGAAGTTGTGAAATGTGACAGCGCTGACAATCCTCAAAGAAGACTTTGAGATGTCTTTGTATAGTAGCGTCGATATAGCTCGTTGATGTGGCTCAGGTTTATTGGCCTCGACCAATCAGTCGAAGATTTCACCTTCCTCAGAAACGATGAAACTCTCAATGCGCACATGGCCGGGAGTTCTACCCTTGTTGGCAGTCATGGGAGACTCGAAAATGAACTCCTTCTTGCGGAGATAGTCGGTATAGGATGGTCCGTTGACAACCGGAGTGTTGTGTTCGTGAGGGCCGCTGGAACTAGGACCCAAGCCAGAGTCTGCAAAGTCGAGGCTCATGTCGTCAACTTTGTGCTGGGCAATCTTTGACTGTAGATCCTGGAGTTTGGCCTTGCGAAGTGCTTCGTGGCTGGGTGTATCGAGAGCCCGTTGCTCGTGGTGGTCGACATACTTGATAGGGGTAGGGGTGCTTGGGAAGTTGTAAGGACGACGACGGCTAGGTGAGTCACGACCAATGTTGATGGCGGGACGTTGGGGACTTGTAGGCCTGTAGGTGTCGGATACTCTGAATCTGCCATTGCCCTCGGCCCTGATCCTCTTGTTAGATGGTGAGTTGTGATAGCTGGGCCTAGAGCCAGGAGCCTTGCGCTTGGTCGAGGGCTTAGGTCGAAAAGGAACCTCGGTGCGCTCGTTGTAGGGACCTGTTTCGATTGCGTAGCCGTTGCGGGAAGTGTTTTTCTTGACAGGCTGAGTTGCAGGGTTGGCGGTGTTTTTGGCTTCTCTCAAGCCTGGAGCCGAATCACGAGAATCGGAAAGATGGTTGCTGTTGTGAGCAGAAGAGGGAGGCAAGTGTCCAGGGGTGACAATGGCGATCAGATGGCGAGCCACTGTCTCCTCAGCCCACTTTCTCAATTCAGGGGCGGCGTTGCTCTTGAAAGCCAGGACGTTGTTGCTTAGCTGGTTGGATGTTGCCTGAGCATGAGAGATGATAAGGATAAAACGGTTTTGCGTCCCGTGCTTGTAGTTTTGTGCAACGGACCAGCTGCGCCATTGCGAGACATAGATGCTGTGTACGATAGCGGCCAGAATCATCATGGCGTCCGGAAACTCGCGACCCAGAAGGTAGTAGATCGCCTCTCTAGTGAACAGGTTGCTGATAATGCGCTGACCGTCCACTTCCAGTTCGAGGAACTCGTAGAGATCTTTGCCTTGATCCGATACGTTCTGGAGAGTCTTGCCAGCGACCTTCCAGTGGATGCGCAGGGCATTCAAGAGCAGGCTTACAGAGTTGTTGCCCGCGAAGACGCTCTTGCCGTGACATTCAAGACAGTTCAGGTGTGCGTAGGTGAGATTGTGTGCCTTCTTGAGTATATCTTCTGACATTGCGAGGTCGAGGCGCTCTGGAGGCGCGACATATGCCATGGGTGTCTTGAAAGACGAGTGTGACTCGGAATCGGCTGGTGTCATCATGGATGTTGTGAGGTTTGGCAGTAAACGATGACGAAGGACGTCAAATAATGGCGTCAACTGTTATAGATGGTGGATCGACGGGTGTGCAAGGGTGGTGGTGTATATAGGCGGAAGTGGAGCGATTCGAAGCGCGCAGAGATAAATATATAACAAGAATAGTAAACGGAAAATTGAATGAGTGATAGTCGAACTCGCAACCTACTTTCACACTCTACCAGAATGGGCGGGCCGTGGGTTATATGCAACTACCCGACAAGTCGTTTGAGCACTCTGCACTATTTCATGATTCAATCTGCTTCTGTTTGTCCTGAACGTGCAATCATCCTGCACAAAGCCAAGTATATCGATAAGCTCTTTCTTTTGATCTGTATGGAATCTCCCCGTGTGCAAACGTATGTAACGCGTGTAGCTATAGAAATACACAATACTATTTAAAAAAGGATACTGTCCACTGAAAGGCGATTTCTTACTAGCTCTCTCTGGTCATATCTTCGATTCTAAATAGATTGTGCATTTCTATAGTGTGTAATTAGCTCCCCGCTACAGTCGGAGCAATGAAAGTCACATCCTCTAATACATGGCGAGGAAGAAAAAGAAGCCATAAAACGAAAGGTTACCTACCTCTCTACATATACTCATTTTCAGCCACACGTCTTTCTGGATGTACAGAAAGCACGTAGGAGTGCGCTACAGTCACATAGAAGCCTGCTCTTGGCTCGACCATACCTTCAATCGAACGATGTGCCTGACTGCGCTTGCGAGAGCAGTACTCCAGTCTATCGTATCAACAACACAAAGCTGATGTGATACTCTGCAATCCACTCATACAATACCCGTTAACGAGTATAGACGGTAGGAGGTTGATGGCGTAGCACTGGAGCTCTGAGATAATCGAGCTTCGAAAGAAGTAGTCCGTAGTCAGCATGGGGAGATCTTGAGAGCAGCAGCATTTGGGAACATCGTCCTTGTAGGAGCAAGGGCCATAAAACAAAGAGCGTTCATCGTTTGTCCTCTGAGCTAGTATGTCAGCACCACTTGAGCAACGAACCATGGCAGAGGAAGAGCATGGCTCTTGGTTGTTGTACTTAGCTGTGGATATTCAAGGTCGCCGCGACAAGGCCGCAAAGAACGGTCAACATTACAGATTCAAATCGCAATACCAACGGTATATTATCTAGTCATCGTGATTCGGCCATTCCATCGAGCTGAGAACACGATCGTAGAAAGAATCAGAAGAGTGGTGAAGAAGTGGTGAGAGCAATTGTGTGGGGAAATGTCATCACTCGATCCGATCTCTTTTGAAGGAAGAAACGAGCGACTCTGCCCCTCATATGACGCACAGATTACAGTGTACGTCACTGAGCATAGCTCTGAGCTATTCAAAAGAGCTTGAGAAACGCAATACATTTCTTTCTTCCATCAATTCTTCTTCCAAACCGATTTCCAAGTCACACGACACCTTCAACTTTTTCCACCAAACAACTACCTTCACATCAAACCAAAATGGCATCCCGCAACCCTGAGGCTTCCGCCAACTCTGACCCTAACGGCTTCCACGCCTCTGCCCCCAGAGACGAGCCCCTCACCACCACTGGCCACCAGCCTGGAAAGCTCGTCGGCAATGACGCTGCTCCTGAGTTCCACGCTGAGACCCTCCCTGCTGGCACCGCTCCTCCTGAGCAGTATGTTCTTCTCAATTGATCATCTATGACACTTCATACTAACTTCATTTCAGCNACCTTCAAGCCCAACAACATCGCTGAGGCTCCCCCAGTCCAGGGCGGTACCACTGCCGCTGACACCATCGGCGGTGCCACTTCCCAGCAGGTCCACACTGGTCTTGGTCACCCTGGCCAAGGTCAGACCTCTGCTGAGCTCCACCACGACGGCCAAGCACACAACAAGAACCCCGGCACCGGTCTTGACGGCCTCAAGTCTGGCGCCCAGGGCAAGACTGTCGACTCTCGTCTTCCCGAGCACGCCGGCCAGCGCAACCTTGAGAGCGACAAGGCCATGGGCGGTACCCGCAGCAACATCCCCAACGCTGAGGACAGAATCCCCGACTCTGCTTAAGCGTTTCGCTTTCCTTTCTTTGAATCTGTTTCAACGATCAACGATACCAATGCCTCCGACACAGACCCGAATTTCTTGTAAAACTAGTTTAGCATTCTATTATGCATCCACGTAAAGTGGCTACTCGGCCTTGATGGTCTGATGAATGAAAATACCTTACTTGCAACACCACTGTTCCGTTCAGAATCTCCTGTGCTGTTAGCAAAGTCAGTTGGTCCATTTCTGAACGATGATGAGATGTCGTAGCTTACTCCTCTATTTTGAGCCTCAAAGCGGGGCAAGATCTATATGATCGAGGAGCACTGACTGTTTTCGCAACGCCATCGTGGAGCACGATCGTAGCTCGGAGCGATGGGCAGAAAAAATATAGAGTCCGTGCTTTGGGCTGGTGAAGTTGAGGATGCGACCCTGTTCATGGTCACGAAGACTCATCTATGAGCATTGCGATAAGTGGAGGCGTGGTTGAGGACTGTCTTGATGTGCAAATGGATTAGGATTATATGCTAAACAATTGGCAGGGATGATAAGAAGGGTGACGGCGCCGTTAAAGCGACATCAGGTAAACGAGAGATTTGGAAACCAGTTAACGAGAGAAATCAGATCAAATCGTATGTGATGTCTGTAGACAAGAGAGTCAGTATATCAATCCACCATAAGCGGTATTGAACAGCTCAATCTAGAGAACGTATGCACTGAAAATAAGAGGATGAAAAAAGCAGCAGAAGAAAAAAGTTGGTTTGAAAACGAGACGATAGAAAAAAGCTCGAGCAACAAAAGCCAGAAGACTTCATATGAAAATGGTATCTCGGAACATGAACGGATGCGAAATCTATGGACAATAGCAAAATACGGTCTCTCTTTCTTGTTTTTCTTCTCCTCTAATCAGCACCCATCATAGTAGAGAAAGACTCACCAGTCTCCTTTTCAATTCTCTCGATGGATCTCTTGTATCCCTCCATGTTATCGAGCTTGTTAACAAAAGCATCCAACTTGGGGTAATCGGTTGCGTTGATGAGCTTCAGTCGCTTCTGGCCAGCCTGAAGAGGGAACGACATCAGAATGTCAGCGGCAGTAAGGTCTTTGCCACAGAGGAAACCACCACCGTTGGGTGCGCTGGCGAGTTGCGACTCCAAAAAGTCGAAGTGAGTCTTGAAGTTGGGCTTGAAGTACATGGCGTCTACTCTGCCGACAATGGCGCCTGTGACTGGGCGGAGGAAGAAGGGGATCTTGTCACCCTTGAGGACNNTGTAGGATTATCAGTTTTGTCTACAAGTCAAGAGTCTTATAATGTTGATCTTACGGCTGAAGATGAGGTTGGTGACCATCAGAGCCATCAAAGAGCCCTCAGCATAGTGCATAAAGAAGCGGTAACGCAACCACTCCTCGGTCTCGAGACCAGGACCTTCCTTGCCATCCTCGTATTTCTTTGGTGCAAGATGAGGAGCAAAGTGCTCGGTCAAGTACTCAGTGATGAAACCAGACTCGGCAAGAATCAAAGGGTCGGTTCTACCAGGAGCGGTAACACCGACGACAGGAGACTTGCCCAATGGGTGCACCTTCTTCAGCTCGGGAGGTGCGAGCATCTCAGGTGTGCGCTTGAAGACTTCGATGTTGTACTCGACATTGCATTCCTCAAGGAGCCAGATGAAGCGCTGAGCTCTGGATTTGTCGAGCCAGTACAAAGTGACCTTGGGAGCAGTGCTTTCGGTTGCCATGATGAAGGTTCTGTATGACTGGCGGAAGTTAGATTTGCAGTCCAGTTGTTTCACAGAATATGCACGAAAGGCTCGAGACATGAGATGATCTACGGGTTTGCACGACAGCGAAAATGTGGAATCGTGTTGGGGGACAAGATAATGCAATGCTTTCGGGGATGCGAAAGGGGATGGTACGAATGTGGGCTGACCTGATCCTTCGTGCCGGTTCATGCAGGAAAGTCCACGGAACAGAATGCTGACTTACTATTGGTATGCGGTGTTCGCGCAAGCTCTTTGGATGTATGTCTGCTACAGTGAAGACGACAATATTATCTCTTCACCAGGAGATCGTCAAAGCAATTTTGATTTGCTTTACGAGGCCGCCGAGGCGATAAGCTATGCTCAGCGAGCCGAGGCGTCACGATCACAAGCAAGCAAAAGATCATGATGATTCGGATCATGACAATTTAGCCTATCTGCACGTGATAGGCATCGAATCAGTTCTTGGCAATCTTGAACGTCAGCGATAGTGACAGGCATTGAAGGTGTGAACGACACAACCAACCCAATACCCACCCTTAAATCACAGCTGCACATCAATTCAAGATGGCTGGCGGTGGTCACAACAGTGCGCAAATCCCTCAGATGCCAGCTTGACCGCGTGCCCATGAACTAACACCTTCACAGGTCTCGCCTTTGACCCGGCGTTGGTCAAGTACAACCGTACGCTTGCGACTTGAGAAGAATGCGCCGACGATATTCAGGTTCTAATCGCGACTACAGAGATGCAAGTGGAGCGTTACAGACATTTCAAGTGGACTCCCCGTACTGCCTGGCTCTCAATCCTCTTCGCTGTTGCCATTCCCAGCTCGCTTTACTACGTCGCCAACAAGACTGATGTGAGTCACCTTTTCATAATCTCCGACCGTGAGAGCTGGACGCCAAGAGCTGGAAACCGCACTGGGAGAAACGGATAAGAGGAGGACATTTGGAGAGAAGAAACATGGCATTGGACGGAGCCCTGAATGATCAATGGCAAAGACGACACATGGAATGAACAGGCACACAGCATGACTCTTTTGCTCTGGAAGATTGGACACCAGAGACGCATGGATGGAGAACCGTCGGCCCAAGGCGTCCACTTTCAAGATTTCAATTATGGCTAGGAGGGCGCATTCTTAAGATGACGAATGCTAACCACGGTCTCTATAGGGCAAGTACGAGCTTCGCGGCAAGAGAAGAGGAGACACCATGAAGGAGTTCTAAGTCAAGGGACAAGGGACGAACGCGAGGTCACAAACGAATGCAACGTTGAAATTGGGGAAGATACAACAATTATACCACCATGTCAATACCCACCCACAAGATTAACCTATACTGTTCTCTTGGTGTTATTCACCATGGCTGTGCTGTTTGTATGATAGCAGATAGCCTGTCTGAGGTCAAGTTAAAGTACTTTGCACGCGGAAAACTCGGGCTGTATTCCGAAACCATGATGGCTGTGTAAGCCTTGTGCCTGACCTCTCGACATATTATCTATTTAGAACTTGACGTTTGGCTGGCCTAACCCTTTTGTATCAGACTGATACTGGGGACGAAAGACTCGCTCGAAATTGAAAGAAGCAGCATAAACGTCTCGCTGTTGGCGATGATACAAAACACAAAACAGAAGATACAAGAATAGCAATGCCCTCTTTTGCACACGAGAGGAGATCCTCACACACCCCTGTGCCTGGCAGTGATCGTCGCTGTGTGTTGCGCTGTGCATGGGGTTGCCCGGGACGAAATTCGTTGATACGAGACGGTGCAAGGACCATCGAACGTCAGAGCACTTTTGCAGAAACCTCAACAACTTCGAGTTTACTCCGTATCTGCTCCTCTTGCAGCCCGCACGAGTACCAGGGCTGCTGCTGTACTTCTGTTACTCCAGATGTAAGGCCCACAAATATTGCTGCGGGTTCGTCTGTCTGCAGCGCTTTCCGCCGACGCGTCAACACTTGTGGATGCGATTCAGACTCGGATCCTCGTTTTAGAACACCTCAAGCACCAATGGGATCCCTGTACAAGATCTTCTCTGCTCTGGTCACTGAGGTGATTTTTTACGAGTAGGTGTGGTGATCAGTAGGAGTACCATGTCGTGACTTATCTATGCCTGCTGCCCCGACTGCAGGTCGCATCTTTCGCTCGCTCTTGTCCTATCTTTTGCGACCTTTGTGTACCCTTTGGAAGCATTTTGGTGGTGCCTCTCTATCTTGTCTGCAGACCCCTCGCTCTCGCTCCTCCCACACAGAACTCACGTTTGTGATTTACTTTCGTGACTTGCTTCAAGATGCAAGAAAACAAAGCTTTCCTACCGGAAGGCACTTCACCAGAAACAGCATACCAAGGCGCACAGCTGAATAGCATGGATATGGCATCTACCACATCAAAATGGAATCCAATGGGCTGGCAAAAGAAATGGAAAATTACAGCAGTCGTCGCCGCGATCATTGCCATTATCGTTATTATTGTTGCAGCAGTAGAGGGCACCAAACATCACAAGTCAAAGAATTCCTATCCGGATTACCACGCACTGAATTATACCCTCGAGGATCGATGGCAGGGAACCAACTTCTTCGACAACTTTGAATATCATTCTACAGCCGATCCTGCCAATGGCTTTGTCAAGTGCGCAGCTTACCAGAAGCTATCTGACATGACTTCTGCTAACATACATGCAGCTACGTGGATCAAGCTACTGCCATATCCACCAATTTGACTTACGCTGGCGACTCATCTGCTTTCTTGCGAGCAGACTCTACGGATACCAATGCAAAGAACGGTCGCAATTCTGTACGCATCACGTCTAAGAAGCAATTTCACTCCGGTCTCTTTGTGTTCGACATTAAGCACACCCCATATGGCTGTGGAACATGGCCTGCTGTTTGGTTAGCGGACCCAAGCGACTGGCCTGGAAATGGAGAAATCGACGTTGTTGAAACCGTCAACCAAGGAAACACTGGAAACCAGATGGCTCTACATACATCCAAAGGGTGCAAGATGAATGCACGGCGCGCTCAGACCGGCACTGTCCATGGTACGTACATAAGGATACAGGGTCAACAACCGCCCAGTGGTGTCTCCGATCCTGTCTCATCAGCTCCGAGCCCTATCACAATGCAGAGTTCTGTTCACAACTGGACGGGATCCACTGAGAGGCTTGAACTGATTCGCGAACTGGCAAGCTCTCAGTGGAGGCCTCCGGTTCTTGGACACCACTCTGCATTTTGACAGGCGCTGTAGTACACCTCTATCGCATGGGAAACATGCTAATGCTGTGACCTACAGGGACCAACTGCTACAATGGCACGAACGACAATGCTGGTTGCGCAGTGATGGGAGCTTCCAGCTCGTACGGCGCTGAAGCCAACGACGACGGTGGTGCTGTCTACGCAATGGAGCTTCGCGATGCTGGCATTCGCATGTGGATCTTCAACCGCGACTCGCCTCCTGGAGATCTCAGACCAAACAACGACACTACTCCTGACCCCTCAACATGGGGTCTGCCCATTGCCGACTTCCCTAGCACTGATTGTGATGTTGGATCTCACTTCAAGAACCAATCAATCATTGCAAACATCGACTTCTGCGGCTCTTGGGCTGACAGTGTTTACTCGACTCAGTTCAAATGTCCTGGAAAGTGCGAGGATTTTGTCGCAACCAATGCTACAGCTTTCGAAAAGGCTTACTGGGAATTTGCAAGCTTTAGAATTTACTCGACGGATAAGTAAGGTCGTCTTTTAACCTACTCCAACTGCTTCTTATGCCGACACGATACCCTCCGTTTCTTGATGATTATTGGCGTTCAGAGAAGGAGATAAATTATGGTGGCCAGACGGTTCTGGTCTTGTGCATATGCATCAGGTTTCATGATATGATTAGATAGGAAATGAACAGACTTACGATTCCTTTTCCAACTATATCGTCCACCGAGGGTTTGGGTCTGCGAAAGCTATTCGTTGCACCTTTATGGTTTTGTGTTTGTACCCTCACGCGAAGCTACCTTGCTCAAGGTTGCCTTCTGTTGCCTTCGAGAGCTCAAGTATAAATAATAAGTCCCACCGTTGACGACATCAAGACCCCGCGCCGCCGATCTGCGGGTGTTTTCTGTCTTGGTGCCTGGCAGCTCGAGCACACCTTGATGCTTGCTTACACATTACGACTCTTCTTTGCAGATATACCATACCATTGCTGGATTATACTACATTTTGTAAACCTGTGTGAATGTACTCTTGACCAGGTCCTGGGCTTCGAGGTCTGATGTTACAAACGAAACAACCTGCTTTGCTCGAAACACCAGGTCGCACATGCATGGGTTCACAGTATTGAAACAAGACAAAAATCTGGCTGGGTTGTCAAACTCCTGTTTTTATGACTGGATTCGAGGCCGAAAACTTTTCTGGCGGCCTGCGAGCTAGACGGCAGAGTTATCCGTGGCAGACTATGTCTGAAGAACGTCGTGAAGCACGCCGCGAAGCACGTAGAGCAGAGTCGCCGCCCAATCCGCGAGACCGTCGTCGACGTCGTTTGAATTCTTCGACTGCAAACAACTTGGCGCATCCGACTGAACTCGACGTCTTCTCTTGGCTCGAACAACAAGACTTGACTCGATCAGCTGTGCCGGCGCAAACAACGCCCTTCACCAATTCCCGCACTTCTCCTCCACCTTTACGCCAACCCAATTCATTGACTTCTTCAAATTCAATTATTGATCAAGAAACGCGACGTGTTGCCGCCATGCGGGACCAAGACACCACAATGGAAGACCATGATGCTGGTCCATCTTCGGCATTCCATCCACGCCCACTCATTGATATTGATGCTGACGATCTATCAATCACCGGTCCTGTTGGTGACCGTTCAGTCAATTCACGACGTAACGGACCCCTCTTGAACATGGGACAGATCGTTTCCAAGAACCAACCCGCATCTGCGCCTACTGAACTGCAATCTCTGTCGGCCGCTGACAGGGATGACTTATCATCTGAAACATCAGAAAGCTCACAAGAAAGTGGTGGTGTGAGACTTTGGCCCTCTAACGAAGCAGTCCCAGCTCCTCGCTCTCTATTCACTGGCAACAACATAGCTCGCCTGGACTATGGACGTAGTATCTGGGATATGGCAGGACAAGCGATTGAGGACGATCGTTCTGCAAAGAAATCGACATATCCTGAAAACTCTGCACTACTTCTCGCCTATCAAATGGACCGCAACACTCCTGAGCCCACGCTGCGCTTCTTGCCGTTCGTTCCCGTGTCACTGAAGAGAAAGAACAAGAGCAAGAACGAGCGCTTCATGGTTCAACCTTCGCACAAGCAACGCATTGATGCTTCTCAGTTGACCGCCAGGAGAGCACAGTGGGTAGCAGGTGAGTTTCCCGTTGAGCTGTTCGAACTCATCAACCAATATCTCTCCCGCGACGACATCAAGTCGATGCGTCTGGTGAGCAAGGAGTTTGAGCGTGGTGTATCAGGCTCTCTGTTTGATACGGTTGTTGTCCCCTTCAACACAGAACTGTACGAGATGATTGAGCAGAAGGTTGCAAAGCGCGACTTGAAGGGCAAGCGCAGAGCTGATGACCCTATCAACAACTTTGTTGACCTGGAACCTGGCTCACTACACTGGAAGAATGCCCTAGAAGACTCAGATGACAAGGTCTACCGCGGTCATGGGCTCAAGGTTTTCGAAGGCTTTGGCCACCATATTCGTCGCTTCGGCATGAGCTTTGAGATCAAGGAAGACGCACTCCAGAACCCGCCCCAGAAGAACAAACTTGACAGCCATGAGAGCTACTTCGGTTCATACGAATGGCCATCAAAGGAGTATACCCGCTATGAACTGCTCGCTGGTCTTGAGCGTACAGCAGACGAAACCTCGCAAATGAAGTTGGCCTTCTCACACTTGTCAGTGGTTCAGCAGCTCGCACTTTCCATGGATAGCGGCCTTGGATGGATGAATGGACCCGACAAGTCATTACGCAGCATGATCCTGCAGCGCCCTTCGCCGCTCTTTGGTTGTTCACACGGCATAGTAGACGCACAACAACAGGAGCGCATCAGGTTGTGGGAGGCTATCGAGTCTGCACATGACAGACTGGGTGCTCTAGAGGACTTGAAGGAGGGCTCTCTCGAACGCGTGAACTTGGATGAGAACTTCTTCTACCGTCCCCCATTCTCGACCACTCCCTACGCCTCTCCTGCTTTGTGGGCCACTGCTCCTGTCCAACCAATCGCCGCTCTGGTGCCTGGTGTTTCTGACAGTGATGGCCTTGATGCTGCGGAGACTGGAGTACTGTACATTTCCCCTCCCGATACACGCGATCATCTATCCCACTCAACTGAAGCTCAGAGACTGGAGTTCTCGAGAAGACTCGAGAAGTTTAGTCCTGCCAGCTTGGGCGTCCATCAGAAGGAGTGGCTCTTGGAGGCTGAATGGGCCCAGAGAGCCTTCCTCACAACATACATGCTCGGAGTTGTGGACAACAGCTCGGTATTTGGCAAGGTATCGGCCCTGAACTTCCGTGTCTCCAGCCACCTGGTACCCTTGCTCTGTCGCCATGACTTCTGGACCGCTCTCCCGAAGTTGCAAGAGGTCACGCTTGCTGTCATCCCTGATTGGCGTACTGTTGAGAGAGACGAGGCTGGTATCGTTGAGACTAAGGACGTTGACCCATCGGTTGCTGTCGAGAAGACACACAGTCTGCTTCAAGACTACATTGGTGTCAGACTGAACGTTACTAAACTCAAATTCTCTTGGGCCGCTGGTGGCGAGCACGCCGAGGGCATCTTTGCTCGTAACCACCACATTTTGCCCGCTCCGGTCACCACCATTGCTCGCTCGGCAACTCTCGCCTTGAAGGACGATGACTTGATTAATCTGCCATACATCAGGGATCTTACTTTCTCTAACTGCTGGTTCACACCAGTCTCCATCGTGGCAATGGTCAAGAAGCTGCGCAAGAAGTCCCTCAAGAAGATCAAGTTTGACTCTGTTTCTCTTACTGCTATGCCTCGCGCCGCCAATGTCGGGGTTAATCCTATCAATCATGCCAACCCCAACCAGAACATGTTTGCGGCCCAACAAGCTCCAGGTCCTGGTGTGGTCATGCTCGGTGGTCATTTCGCTGCTCAATTCGGCGCCCAGATATGGCAAGGTCCGCCTGCAGGTGTGCCTGTTCAACAATGGGCTCAGACAATGTTACAGAACCTGAATGCCGTGACGCAGCAACAAGGTGTTGTACTGTACCAGGTTCCTCAGATCTGGACCAACCACCCAATGGGAATGACAATGCAGCAGATTCATGGTATGCTAACTGGACTTGTCGCTGGCAATATTCAAGGCGCTCCGCCGATGGCTCAACCTGGAATGCTCTACCAGCTTCCGCAACAACAACAGCAGGCCGGCGCAGCCCAATTCCCTCAGATAGCGCCGCCTGCAGCACTCCCACCGCCACCTCCTCACGTACAGGCTGGCTGGCTTTTGCCTCCTCAGCCTGCAGCTCAAGCCGCTCCTGCACCTCAGCCCAGCAACAGACCTTGGTACGAAGGACACCGTACTGGCTCCTGGGTGAATGCGATCGATAAGATAAGTCCAGGACCCAGACTTGAGATGTACTCACCTCGTGACGAGTTTGAGCCTGCACCTGAGCCGCGCAANAAGGGCCTCGTGTCGGCCGAGTTCAAGTCATGCGGCTATGTACAGCTTCGTTCACCGACCTTTGGTGATCAGAACAACATTGAAGCACCTGCTGCGTACCGCATGAGCCGCCACTTCATCCGTCGCCAGAGCCTCCTGTCACCAGCCATGCTCACTACCCAAGACAAGCTCCTTGGCACGATTGTACAATACATGTCTGAGCACGAGACGGATGCGCTTCACCACGCATGGGGTATGACAACGGGCTGGAGTGACGCAAAGCTCGCCGAAGAGGCCGAGTATGATGGCTATCTCGCTGGAGGTACTGGCCGTTTCTCAGGAAGCGTGACCAAAGACTCGATTATCCAGGAGGCTTATTCTGCTCAGCACTGAGCACTTTTGGTATTTGATGAGCGACGATACGAGATTCATGTCAGGAGTAACTACTGGAAATGGCGTTGGTTGCATTTTTGACGATTGTCAAGCATTGTTTTTGTTCTTTTCAGCATGGCAAGTTATCGAGGGAAAAATTGGCCACTCTGGTTGACTTTTGAAAGGGTGGATGCAAATGAACTTGACATGATTGAGACAGAGAGCAACAGACTCTGATAATGAGGCAGGATGAAGAGAGTTGATACACAAGAAGTTTAGTATAAAAGCCAATGAAAAGTGTAGAGTATTGTATACTACCGGATCAGATGCAGGTGGTGAAATCAAGAGTAGAAACGGTTGCGAGGTTTGGACGGATATGGCAGCGACAAGATCCGAGATAGGAGATTGCTCGCGGAGCATGGCGGAAGTCGCGCCGGATCGAATGTGCCAAGCCGATGGATTTCTAGGAGCTTTCTTGACATGAGAGTCCAAACTTTGAGAAGCATCCCCTGAACTACAATTCACCTGATTCCAGTAACTTACTACTGTCTGAGAGCTGTAGATCAGCACCTTCGCCCACAGCTCGTCACCAACCGGCAGCACTTCTGTTCTTGCCGCGCCCATCGAAACGCCGACTCGACATCAGCCCACCAACCATCCAGCTCCCGGATTGAAGGCCCTCTGTCTTATACAACCTACGCCGTGCGCTTTTTAGTGCCGGAGACTTTCTCGCGACTCACCAAGTGCATCGACCCATATCCGAAACCCCACACAATCACAATGTCAGCCAGAGTCGCCGTTCAGGCTCCTGCGCAGGATGCACAAGTGCCCACCACAGATGCGCCCAAGGAGAACATATTCATGTTCGTGCCAAACTTGATTGGTATGCTTATGTCTGCTCGTTTGCGCCTTCAAGAGCTGACATGAATCCANGGCTACGCCCGTGTCTTTCTCGCAATCGGCTCACTAAACTACATGCCCCTCCACCCTCGAACATGTGCCCTCTTATACAGCATATCATGCTTGCTGGATGCTCTCGATGGCTACGCCGCACGTAGCTTCAACCAGTCCACAAAGTTCGGTGCCGTGCTGGACATGGTGACTGACCGTTGCACCACCACCTGTCTTCTCGTCTTCCTGTCAACCGCCATGCCACGCTGGAGTATGGTCTTCCAACTCCTCATCAGTCTCGACTTTACCAGTCACTACATGCACATGTATGCCACTCTCGCCATGGGCGGCAGCGGCAGCAGCCACAAGAACATTGATGCAAAGAGAAGCAAGATCATGCACCTCTACTACACCAACCGCACCGTCCTGTTCGTGTGCTGTGCCTTGAACGAGCTCTTCTTCATTGCCCTTTACCTGCTCGCTTTCTCTTCGCCTTACCTTACCCCTTCGCTCTTGCAACCCACTGGTGAGGGTGCTTCTTTGCAGCCAGGTTCGCCAATCATGCCCCTTAAGCCTTCGACCATCTTCTCCAGCCCATGGTCCGCCGGCGCAATGGAAATGGCCAGGTGAGTTTCCTTCTTTGACCTTTTCTTTAACTTGACAAATTTCTGACTGATGTGACTATGTAGAGCCAACAAGATGGATAGTACCGTCCCCTGGATCCTAGTCGTCATCTCCGCTCCCGTTATGTTGTTCAAGCAATGGGTCAATGTTGTCCAGATCGTCAAGGCCAGTGAGTGGCTCGCTCAGGGTGATCTCGCCGATCGCGCAAAGGCCGGTCTGCCCAAGAAGACACAATAGATTTTACCGCTTCCAAGAGAAAGAGAAGGGATTTTGCCATAAACAGAGGCCAAAGAGGACACATGGAGAGGGATAGATCCGAGATAGAGGAGCGTTGCTTTTGCTCTCAATTCTCGGTCTCTTGCATCCCAAGCTTCGCATCCATGAGACAGCATTCAAAAGACGCAAAGAGCTACCCTCAAAACTCGCAAGACTCGACGATCGCAGTCGCTTGACACTTGCCCTATGACCGGCCGGGATCTGCAGCGACAAGCTCGACATCTGCCTCACTTCAAAACATCTCTTTTGACTACGCATACCTATCCTCTTCAGCGCCTTTTTCTTTTTCTTTTCTTGTACCACCATTTTCTTCCCAAAGTCTTTTAGCCGGTTGCTATGCCTCAGCCTGTCACAATGACTCCAGGCTAGGGTCAAAAATCTGATATATCACATTTACTTTTTTTAATCACAATTATGAAACCTGTTGGGTGTATCTTCCACCCAATGACCGACCTTGTGGGAACTTTGCCGCGCAAGAGATAGATCAAGGGGCTCTCTTCTGCATGCATAGTCGGGTTGCACGAAACGATCGCACTTGCAGTATGTCTCGGATGGTTGCATGCTTTCCTCGATATCAATTTCACACGCGTGCAGGACGTGTCTTACGTGCCTCTTTCCAGCAAAGCAGGGCTGGGAGAGCGACCCAAAGTCAATCTCATCACACGCCAGATCCAAGAATCCCGAGAAACCGGTAAAGTTGTGGGCTGGCCCTGTGCGTTTGTGGTCATCGAATCGTGTGAATCTCGATATGCAATCTTGAGGTGGCTGGTAAAAGCGATAGATGGGCTTTTATGAATCTCGATACTCTTCCCAAAACGCCAAACGCGCCCCAAATGACGAATTCGAATTTATTCTAAGCCAGCAAAGGCCAATGACGGAAGGTGAATAATATGTGACATATGACACGACGATTTCCTGTGGTTTGACATTGACGTTGACGTTGGTGGGATGCCTTATTATAGCCTTTCCTGGTGGGTTTGACATGCGCTCTGCGAGTCGTGGGATACGAAAGCAAGGGCACACAGCTGCAAGAGGTTTACGAGTGCTACAGAGATACCAAGGCATAGTGGATCTAAGTCCGCGTATGCAGTTTGTTTGCACAAAAGGATGCAGATGGATCTGCTTTTGCATAGGCGGGTTGCCCTTCACGACCGCACATCCACAAAGCGATCTACCAAAGTTACTCTCTTTACAGTTGATGCAAAGGAAGGCACGAACAAAAAGCATTGATACTTGTAGCACCCAGCATTGGCAAAATCCCAACTCCGCAGGATGGGATCTTGAGGATGCATTGATGCCGGAAACAACGGCCTGCTCGCATAAGTACGAAACGCAATGACTTGATGGCAGTGGAGATGTTTGAGTTGCCGACATAAGTTTTGCATATTTGGTATAGGCTAGGGTATTGCACAATGTCCCGAGCGTTTTACTCTTCATCATCATCGAGTGATGTGTTGATGATCACTACATTGTCGAGTTTGCGATTCGCGAGTGGGCAGTATATCAAAGAAGATGGCATGCATACGTTTCGAAATGGCCCGCCTTACGCAACTTTTCATGCGTGGGTGATCTGAGACACAATCGCGTATGAAAAGATGGAAATGGAAAAATCACATGGCTGGGGGATGATCGCGCGGCAAAGAAGGTAAGCGGCGCGTCAAAGAAGAGTAAGCGGGCCGCATGTTCTGCAACCTGCTTTTGCACAAGAGCTGATGAATGGCCAAGAGCCAGCAAAATCAAGGCAAAGGTGAGGTGAGGCGCGTATTCCTCTAAGAGTGCTCTCCACAAGGCCACCCAGACGAGAAGGAAGCGCGACACGTGCTATGAGAAAGCATACTTTGCTGTGCCTTGGAAGTGGGCACTCTTTGACCATGGCAGCAGCGCCCTTTTCGATAGCAAGTTCGATAGTGACAAAGCTGCGATCGCAATCCTTCAACAGGACCAGAAGAGATATTTGTCAAGTTTGTGGCATTATGAATAGCCATATCGCTACGGAAGGTCTTCCTTCATCCTTCAAGCATAAACCTGGTTTTTGGCAAGGCGCAAGCAAGCAAGCGTGGGATTTCATTAGTGCTCTCTCTGCTCCGCCTTTTCTGGAAATTAATTTGTGGCCGGGTCGATCATATTGAGGGGGATCTCTCTTATGTGCAAGTGATAGGCGGGAGGATCTGTTGATATCAGAAAGTGCAAATAACTTTGTCTTGACATGCTTTTTCTATACACAGTGACAACCAATGGAGGAACATAGACAGGGAACAATGGCAGATGTCATGAAATGTCGACCAAGAAGTCTTGAGATGATCGTTGGACGGGCGAACGCATGCGAGCCACGGTACAGACCAGCGGAACTCAAAGGATGAAACATGTGGATCCCGAATCTCATCGATGTTGCGCTGCCGGCGGGCTAACCTTAATGCTTGTGCCCTTTCACCTCGTACGTTGAGACTTTCCTGGTTCGGCCTCGGCTCCAGCCCCCCTTTGTATTGCGAATATGTCATTCTAAGGCAATCGTCCATTACTCTCATTTTAGGAATTAGGAGAGATGATTAAAACCAGGAACGGTGAATGGGGAAGGGTGGCTCTTATTAAAATGTCGCACATGGACCTTCCTCTAATCTTTTTTTTCTTCTTCTCTCTTAGACCCCCCATTTAGGAGTGATTTGCGACAGATCTACTATTCAGCTACGACCAAGGGCCAACACACAGACGACCGCGCAGCAGAAGCATACCAAACCCGGCGTTGGGGAACACAGCATTAGCCTTGTGGAGCAACCAAAAGCGAAGAAGCATCAGCCCTCTACGGCGCTGCGCTCCTGCCTACCGTGCCATCGCGAAAAACGTCCCGCGTGCATAACTCTACCCTTTCACGCTTGTTGCTTCATCAAGATTTCCAAGGTCAACCCCGGCTGTCCTTTTGCCGGATCCAGACATACGCCGCTCCGGGGGATCCACCACAAGGGCAGGGTAGTCACTAGCTGAGAAGGCCGAAATCCACCGCCAGCCCCCAAAGAAGTGTCGTCGAGTTTGTTTCGAAAGAGGATCGCCTGTGCAGACGTAGTGCCTACCAAGACGGGAGACGTACTGCAGGCATAAGAGCCTTGTTCCTTGTCAGCAGGCTCACTATTACTGCAACCCCTCCCCTCCACAACATTTCAACTTTTCCCTTGTTTCATTTTTGTTTCTTGGAGAACCTTGCATAACATAGCAAAGCAAGATCTATTCTCGAAGAAGTCAATTCAGATACATACACAAGAAGCAACATCCTTTGACTAGGCTCGTTGCCCTGAAACACAGTCATGGACTCGACCACACTCGTTACCTTTCTCTAGTAAGTCACCGGACTTGAGTCCGAAACTCGAGACGACAACATGCTTACAATCCTACTTTTAGTAAATCAAGACCGGATGTTCGCACAGTCGAACTCTTTGGCTCATGGGACAACTTCTCAAGACCGTATCGCATGCAAAGTGATGGCCACAGAGGTCGTGGTGTCTGGACTGGATGCCACTCCTTCGAGAATATCATCTGTGATGGTGATCGCATCAACCAACTCAGACCCAGAAATGGTGCTTTGAAACAGGGTGGAACTTACTGGTACTACTACAAACTCGACGATGCCGAGGAAACTTGCGACCTAACCGCCTCAACAACATGTGCCTGCCCATTACTACCTGGTCAAATGGTCAACGTACTGGAGATCCCTATCGAAGTGATTGAGGCACCTCAAAGATCCAGCAGCGCCTCGGCCGACCTGCCAACTACTATGGAGCACCCAATGACCATCAACCCCGAAGACAGATACAAGAAGATCTACAGCAAGCCGCCTACCAAACTCCCTCGCTACTACTGCTCTAGTGACGCATTGCGCGAGAGATTTGCTGCGGATGCCACAATGTCGAGGGACCTCAGATTTAGAGAACGACCCTCATCCCGTGGTCTCAGGTCTGTGAAACGCGTTCGTCGTGAGGAGCCTGAATATCAAAGACCCGGTGCATGTCAGATCGATGCTTCTTGGGATGATATCTCAGCGCTAGCCAACGTTCCCGATCTGACGCAGAGCATGAACGACCTGCCGGAACTCCGACCTTTCGCTCCTTGCCCTAGTGCTTCTCCTGAAGAGAGACCAGTTACTCGAGGCGGAGGACACTTTACTGATCTTACCAAAGGCTTGGGATTCTCGTTCTTTGGCTCGCTCAGACAACCAAAGAAGAACACGCACCGTCTTAGCCAAGAGTTCACAATGGAGTTCGAGGGTTCGCCATCGCAAATTCCTCAATATGACGGCGCCTATGACGAACCTCAATCTACACAATGGCCTCTCAGTCCTCCTTTGTCAGAATTGGCAGACGAAGAGAACTGGCCCTTGCCACCTCTGGACCGTTTCAGACCCTCTTCTTCGCACACTCCTCTTCATGGTCCATCAACACCGACTTCTGCAATTCCCATTCTCAACCTCAACAACCAATCTCAGTCTCGAACCAGCACATTCCACCAGCCTTTAAGATCGCCAGCACTTTCTTCCTCCGTCGCATCAGACGACTTCCACCCTGGTTTCGGACCCAGCAAAAGCATACCCGGCAGCTTTGACATGGCCTCTCCGACTTTCACAGCCGACACACTCGACTCGTCCTTTTCCTCCAGTCTCACAACACCCGATCGCCTAAGTTTCAGCCTTGACACCTCCAACCACAACACCGAGCCCTCCGATATCAACACCGCAAACTTCCAATCCGGACTCGAAGACCTAAGCAACCGTCTCTCGACCCTCTACACCAGCCCATCCTCATCCCACTCGGACGACTTCAGCGACTTTGGCGAATCCCACACCAAGAAGACAGATTTCCTCTCTTTCTTTCCTCCTCGCGCTGCACCTTTGTACCTCCAAAACGTGCAAGCCCGTCGCAGCAGAAGCAGTGGCGATTGCGAGCAAAAATCCAATGCGAGTTGTTTGACTCTCAAACCATCCAAAACCGGCACCGCAAGAGGCGAAAGACCGTTTTCTTTGTGTTTGCCGGTTGGGGCTGGAGAGTGGGATGCAGAGGATCATGGTTTCTCTAGTGATGTTTTGGGGGCTTTGGGGTTGGCTTGATGTGTGGGTTTGTTTTTATATGGTGTTATGGATTGTGCGAGAGCGAGGAGTTGTTTTGCTTCTGGTGTTACAGTTGGCTCTGATGGCTTATGTCCACTTTCCAATTCTTTCTTGTATATAGTTGTTCCCGAATAAGATACACTTACTATCCAAATCTGCTTCATCAGAACCTCTTCCACCGTCCTTACTAGATGGTTCTCTCTTTATTGCTCTATGCCACTTTCCTCGTGAATGAGCTGTGGCTCGCGATATCTAACAGACTTACCTGCTTCTTTACAGTCTATTTTCCAACATGTTTTCGTGAATCTATCACTCCATCAAAATGGCTACTTGCGTACTTTGACATCACACACGTTTTCTTCTTGAGCTAACCACCCACCATATATATAAAGAGAACTTCGAGCGCTCTAACTCTCACCCTGACGAACAGAAGATAAGCAAAACCTATGGCCTGATGTCAATATACACATCGTTGTCGTGGAGCCAAAAGGAAAATACAAAAAAAAAAAAAGAGAAAACCAAGTGGTTGTTAGTGTCACCCTGGTATCTCATCTGAGCAAAATATGTATAGAGCTCTGCGACATGGATGTCACAACCCGCCAGCATTTGGACACTTGATCGAATACACTGACCAGTCAGTATGGCAGCAATTGCATTGCATCGATACTGAGAAAATTCAAGGTTGTAGACATTTGGAGGGAAATCTTGATGAGAAGGCGAAAACGGCCAACCGAAGGTCACGGAAGTGGTAGAGATATGTTGATTTGCGCGTATTTGGTATCATTTTTTCTGGTTCAGATATTATCAGAGAACAAAGGTCAATCTTGCTTCGCTTGATTGGTATCTCTTGTTCTCCTCGCCGTTCCTTATTCATGTCATGCAAAACCACGAGAACAGAAAGACAAGCTTAGAACGCTCGAGAAGCCGAGGAAGAGGGATTTCATGTCAATTCGTTACAATCTATCTGCCACGCAGAGATGGTTAGTACACAAAATCAACCCTCAAGGTGGTGAAGTCAACTCACTTGGCAGGAGGGTTCTGGATGAACTCGACACCCTTGCTGATGTTACCACCCAGGCCCTCGTAGCACTTGGTCAAGAGCTTCTTCTCGTAGTCGTTGGCGGAGGAAACGACGTTGATGGCCTTCTTGGCACCCTCGGGGCCGAGCTCAACGGGGACGGAGAAGAAGTCACAACCGGTCTCCTTCTGGATAGCGTCACCGCCGTCAACACCGGGCAGGTAGACGAAAGTGGGCTCGGAGACGGAAGACTCGCCCTTGACGGCCTTGAGCACGTTCTCGGCGAAGCGGAAACCGGCGTAGGCCATGGAGAGGGTAGCGGAGCCGGCACCGTCCTTGGCCTTGACGACCTCGTCACCACCGAATTGGACNNACCTGCGAGAGGAACGAGTCAGTTCCAATGGATAGCAGGGAGAGCGTCACAAGAACTTACGGTTGGTCAGAGCATCAAGCTTGTCCTCAGGGACGTTGACAGCAGGCTTGGCCTGGCTCCACAGAGGAACAATGGTCTCGCCGGAGTGACCACCAATGACGGGGATAGTGGTCTTGCTGGGGTTGCTCTCTCCAGTGATCTCTGCAACAAAGGTCTCTGCGCGGACGACGTCGAGGGTGGTGACACCGAAGAGCTNTTTGGGGTTGAACTTGCCGGCGGCCTTGAGGACCTCAGCGGCGATGGGGACAGTGCTGTTGACGGGGTTGGAGATGACAAGGACAAAGGCGTCAGGGCAGTATTCGGCCACACCCTTAACAAGGTCGCGAACGATGCCGGCGTTGATCTTGAAGAGGTCGTCACGGGTCATGCCAGGCTNTGCCTGTTGCAGGAGTGTTAGTCGTTGCTGTACCCTGTTGTTTTGCGGATACGACTTACGGGGAATACCAGCGGGGATGATGACCATGTGAGCACCGGTGAAGGCGTTCTTCATGCCATCGTCCTTGGGGAGGAAGCCCTGAACCTTTGCGGGCGTGGAGATGTGAGAGAGATCGGCAGCAACACCGGGAGTGTTGACAACATCGTAGAGCGAGAGCTCGCTGACCAGAGGGCTTGACTTGACGAGAAGAGACAGAGGCTGGCCAATGCCACCAGAGGCTCCGGCAACGACTACAGACGGTATACCATGTCAGCTCCTGTCTCTTTGAGACTGCGAGAGGTCTCATTACATACCAACTTTGACCATAATTGCGGTGTTTGTGAAGTGAGAAGGAAGAGTGGGTTTGAGGAGAGGAACTGTTCAAAGAGTATAGAACAGAAGGAAGTATTGCGAGAGAAGAGGAGTGAGGAGTGAGGAAATAGGAAGGATGACTTGTCTCGGACTTGGGAAACTCAGCTGCACCTGCCAATGCTGCTCTTTGCATGTGAGAGCTTGGACCGCCCCGAACTCTCCCCCGCTTCGGCCTTTGAGAGCTCATTCCCCATTGCCCCTCCTCGTTCATATGCACTAACAATAGACCGACATACGCCCTCCGCATACCCGACCTGTACTCCTACTCAACACTCGTCCTTCTTGCTGTTATACAGCTTTCAATCCTCTTCGCCCTCTGACACTCTCACCATTCTCAATAACAGCATCCATCATAGCAAAGCCCGACCCATGACCCCGCCATGCCGAGGCCGGCTTCGGTTAACGAACAAACAGGGTCTTTACGGGTCACTCGTCTACTTGAGTATTTCTCCGATGTCATCAACGTAACGTACCAGAGCACCTTGGTGGCCAGAAGCAAGCCAACCTGCAAAACAGCCAAGGCTAGATGTATACAAGAGAATAACGCGGAAAGCCTGAGTATCTGACCTTCCGGTCTGTATTCGTGCGCCATCAAGACGCAGTGCCATAGTTCCGCAAACCCAAATACACTTGTCCCGTAATCTTCCTTGACGCTGTACCTATTGCTCCCTCCGTGGCTTCCGTCCTTGTTCCAATGCTTGTCTGTCTTATGTCTGGTCTGAACTCTGTTTTTGTTTGCTTTTATGCTCATAGTCGTGTAATAGTGGGGGTATCAAGTTGTTTGTCATGTTCTCGCTGCATCCATCCGTTCATACTTCGTACTGGTCCCTCTCGCCCTCGGCGTCATCTTCAGGTGCACGGTAATGATGTTGTCCGTCGTTACCACCCAATGATGGATCCGTCATTCTCGGTCCCTGCGGCGGGTACATTTGCTGAAAGCTAGAGTTAGCCCCTGGTTGCATCATTCTTCTACCTCATCTTAGAGCACTCACGGGTTGTTGCAACATGTTGTAGCCACCAGCATACATGTTGGGGTCGAAGCTATGTGGCTGTGTGTAGGTGGCCGAGGGTGCAGGAGGCGGGTACATGCCCTGCTGTGCCTGATACGCCTCTTGTGCCACGTGCTGGCCCATAGCACCGTAGTCTGTCGGCTGCATGTGCTGTTGTCCCTGTTCTTGACCTTGAAGCTGTGCTGCCGCGGGCGGAGCCTGCATCGAGGGTCCAGCGGTAGCAATCTGTGCATCTGGTGGGAAGCTGCCTGGTGGGAAGTCTTGTCTGCGTTTGTGTTGAGGAGTGGCGTCCTCACGAGGCACAATGTCGATGAGGAAGTCGAACATGTCGCTCTTCGCAAGAGCACTAGCAATGTCACTTCGTTGCAAGGTACGTCTCTTGTTCTCCTCTGCGTGGATCCATGCGCGCATGGTCAACTCGGTAATGAAGATGTCGCAGCCCTTTGCGAACAGGATGGGTGCTTCGGCTGAGATCATCTTGACTTCGGGGTCTGCCTTCATGACCTTCTTGATGCGAGCTAGCGGCAGCTGGTGGATTTTGTAGTCATGTTCGTCCGTCTCGAGCTTCGTGACCTGATTTTGCCAGTACGTGTTCAGGATGTCTCTGTAATTGCCCGAAAGTCCTTGGGATACNNCTATAGAGCATAACATGTCAGCGCGAAGCTCACAGCAGTGTTACATGTTCTGACTCACGTTTGACCATTGTCCAGTAAATGTCTCTGGTGGAGGGGCGCTGCCCTGCGATGCGATCTATATTTGATGTCAGCCAAAGTCGAGGAGCTGTCGCGCATAGCTCTGAACGTACATAGGAGCTAGCACCTGTGTCGCAAAGTCAGCTGGAGCACATTACAGTAATGCGCACTCTTTTCACCTACCGTAGTGACCACCATGGCTAGGATCATAGACCGGACCACCGTCGCGCCCATCATAGCGCTTAGGTGGAGGTACGTTGGAGCTGGAGTTCTGCATGGCGTTGTAATTCGGGTTCGACATGACTACGGAGTCTCGTGCTGTGTTGCTCGAGCTATATGCGCCGAAGGTCTACAAGACGGAAAACAGATACCGACGTCAGTACAACGAACTGGTGATAGAAAGGAAGATCAATGGAGATGTGATAGTTCGCGTCGCGTTGCCGAACCGCGGCGGCCGGAGTTCGCGCCCGACCCTCTCTCTCTTGACATGCTCTCGCAATATCAACGAAACTCCTTTTCGTTGCGATGGTATTTGAAACGCAAGACGAGAGGTATGAGGGGAACTCACTGACCTATGATTTGCTTTTGAGAAACCAGTAGAAACTCTGGCGAATCGGATGGCCTGGCTACACGCTGGGCCAGTACCCGTAGCCAACTTGTGACTGGACCGTACGAGTGGAGCTTTGACACGCTCTGGTTGGCAAACCAGACTTCGGAGCGAATCCTTGCCTGATACTGTCTGGCTGATAGGGATAAAATAATGCGAGCCACTGATATCGCAGATGAGAAAGTGAGTTGGTCGATGATTGGGGAAGAAAGCTGCTGTGATGCGCTTGTTTATGCAGGACTGGCCCCGACGAGAACAGAGAGTGCTTGAAGATAGAAGTACCTACAAAGGTCCCTACTTTTCCACGTGACTGCTTTCTATATATCTTGAACGCATGCTTTGCTGTCAATCGGCAGACGCCCGAGTACCATTTGTCAACTATGCCTTGTTTTCCTTTGCTTCTTCCCACTTTCCACATAAACAACACGCCTCCCTAGGTCCACCAGCCTTTCTTCCTTCAGCCGTGACGCTACCCATGGGAATACTTGCATAATCCACCACGCGATATGCACGTTGACATGATGCAACGTCACGGTGCTGTGAGGCAGAACTTGTTTTAGAGATGTTGGTGCTACATGTAGCAGAGCGAATCTCACCAAGGTGTCAGCAAGGCAGTTGTGTTTGATATGAGATGAAGTTGTGCAAGGCATGGAAGGGCAGAAACTTATATCGACAGATTTAGAAACCATGAAATCCTCCTTTTACCATTTTATACAAGAAATACTGTACACAGCCAATGGGCGCCTTCAAAATGCGAAGAAAAGTAGAAAATCCTCAGCCTAGTTGGATTTGCCGTAAGTACCCATAGGTGCCAGGGAACCAGAAGCACCCTTGAAGATGTTGTCGTGGATCATGCCATCGACATCAGCATCGTTGATGCGGTCGCTGCGTCTGCCGAACAACTTCAGTCTCTCGTCAATCGAAGCCTTGGCCTGTTCAGCCTGCTCATCCATCTCTTTGCTGACATCCAGACTTGAGTACTCCCACACGTTTGCCTTCATACCCACACCGTAGTAAGCGTACTTTTGCAAGAAACCGAGCCAGATCTGCACAACCTCGGGGTGCCCATCTTGAATCTGAATCAATCTCCTCAATGTGATACGCTCAAAGTTCTCTTGACTCTTCTTGTGTACGAAGTTGGATCTGGGAACGGTCCAGCGCTCGGTGATCTTGGGAAGCGGCACAGGGCCCTTGGCGGGAAGATTGAGGTAGTAGGCGGCGCGAAGAGCGAAGTCGGCGAAAAATTCGAGGTTGCGCACGCTGTAGGAGCGTAGTTGAAGGTCGGCGGCGGGGACACCGTGTGTCGGTGTGCGCTTCAGAGGCTTGAGGTAGTTGAGATGGATGGAACGAGGGAGACGAAGTGCTTCGAGTTCGCGCTGGATCTCAGGACTGAAGAAAGGCTCGCGTGCTGGGAGTGTGACACCTCGTGCTCTGTGATTGAAGGCGTCTTAGTTTCCATGTTTGGTCGGTCGGCCGGCTATCTTGTGATCTTACTCTTGCGCGGTCTGGCTCATGAAATCGTCAAAGTCGACGGATGCATCACGCTGGTGCTCGAGGACGACTGATTGGTTGCCATGCCACGGTTGGCGAGACTGGTATACTGTGCGGGCTTGAATTGGTGCAGGAGGCGCAATNNCTATCGTCGCGCACCTTGTCAGTCGCCACATCTCGCATAACCTGATCGGACTCACCCTTAGACGTTTCGTCAGCCCAAAGGGTGACCGTAAATATGAAGCCATCGTTTCCTGTGTATATACCACCGCCGCGCTCGCAGAATGTCAATCTAGAAATCAATCCCGGGATTCTTGGCCGCTTCACCGCCTACGGCAAATCATCTTCTTGGCATCCATCGACTCGACTCACACGACCAGCAAACATATCACTGCTCTAGACGACACTCTCCTTTGGATAACAATCTCATTAGTAACTATCAGTCAGGATGGCAGCAGTAACTGACCACTTGCCGACCCCAAAGCCTTCTTCTGAGGCTTACCAAAGGGCTTCTGGTTCTGCGGACTACATCAGATCCAAACTACCATCCCACCTACAGAAGCCCCGTGTAGCTATCGTCTGTGGTTCTGGTCTGGGCGGCATTGCAGACACTGTGACTGCTGATACCAAGCTCGAGATCGACTACCATGACATCCCAAACTTCCCAAAGACCACTGGTAAGTTTCACGGTCATCCCTGAGATACATATATTGATAAGCGTGTTNNAGTTCAAGGACATGCTGGCAAGCTTGTGGTTGGCACTATGGGAGATACCAAAGTCCCCGTAGTCTTGCTGGTAGGCAGAGCACAGTAAGTAAATGAGACAATGATTGTGTGATAGAGTATATGCTCATTCGTATCTTGTATCAAGNNTTTCTATGAAGGTCACACCATGGAGCTCGTGACCTTTGCGACGAGAGTCTGCAAAGTGCTCGGTGTCGAGACCATGATCGGTATGTATCTTGTATGCTCGCCGCGACCACGGTACTGACAACAATACNNAGTGACCAACGCTGCTGGTGGTCTGAACCCAGACTACAAGGTGGGAGACATTGTCTGCCTCAACGATCATCTAAACATGGCTGGTCTGGTTGGTTTCCACCCTCTTCGTGGACCCAACGCTGATGACTTCGGCGTACGCTTCCCTCCTCTGTCCGATGCATATGATCTCGGGTTGCGTCAGAAGGCCCACCAAACATGGCANAAAGTGCGCCCTGCCGACGGCAAGCGCAAGTTGCATGAAGGTGTATATGCTTTTGTTGCCGGTCCAACATACGAGACAAGAGCAGAGTGTCGTATGCTGCACCAACTAGGTGCAGATGTGGTCGGTATGTCGACCGTGCCTGAGATTATTGTTGCCAGACACAGTGGCATCAGGATCCTTGCGTTTAGCCTGGTAACTAACAATGCTGTGCTGCAACCTGTACCTCGTGGCGATGATGCGGCTCTCAGCTCCATGTCACCACAAGAGCTTGTGGATCACTTGGGCAAGGGTAAAGCAAACCATGAGGAAGTTATTGAGGCTGGAAGGGAAGCCGCAAAGGACATGCAGGTGCGTGCGGCGAATAATGGTGGTGGTGTGGCGTGTAGGGATATATCGACTGACCAAACACAGACACTGGTATACAGCATTGTGTCGGATCTGTAAAGACGACGCTTCATCTCTTCTTGGGATTGACGGCGCGCTTGGCCTGGAGAGCTTTGTAGTACGACTTCTTTCCACTTGTCTTGGAGGTCTGAATGTCGCCATACTTTCTCTTGAAACGGCCGGTATCCTTCTCGCTGGACAAGACTTCTTCGACAAAGGTCTTCTTGCGATCCTTGTTGTTGAGTCTGCCAGAGAAGTACTCAGTGGGTCCCTCGACAATGGTGCCGACCTGGGAGTACTCTGGAGGTCTCATCTTGCCGTTCTCCTTCTTGTAATGTCTATGCGGATCAAGCACGTTACGCATCTTCAACAGCTGGAGATCTCTCTTCAACTCGGGGGTGAGGTCGGTACGAGGCATGTTGTACCACTGTTCACCGGAAGTGGCTTTCTTAGNACTAGAGAAGCAGAGCATGTTAGCAAAGATTTTCTCTGATGTGGATTCTCAAAACGTGTGTTTGTGTGGATGTGCCTCAGAGTAACTATGAATAAAAAAAAACTTCAGTTTGTGCAGAGGGGCACCAAGACGGTGCCCTGATTCCGCGTCAGGAAAAAGTTGGGATAATTTTCCTCATAGGCAAGGGATATGTGCAAAGACAAGAAAAGGTTCAGAACATACCTCAAGCATCTTCTTCTTGACGGCCACAGGATCCTCGACCTTGCGGATCTGGTTCGACAACTTGCGGTCCTGCTCAGCCAACAAGCGCGAACGGTCAACAGTCGCGACATCTCCCGCATTCGAGACATAAGGCTGCACCATCTCTCCAGTGTTGAGCTTGGGGAAGTTGAACTGGTTGGCCTTGTCTTTGTCGTCCTTGTCGAAAAGCGCAACGCTGGCATTCTCCTTACGGCGTCTGGCTGCCTGAGCGAGCATTTCCTGCATCTGCTCATCACTCAACTCCTCCTCATGTTGAGGCGCGAATGAGATTACGTCCGCCATGTTTGGATGGCGTCCAAGGGAAAAAGAGAAGAGGTGAAGAGCGTCGCCAGCCGGAAACTTTTTTAAGCTTGAGCTTTGCGCGGTGTTGGTCTGTGCAGAGAGCGCCAAGCCTGCATGCATCTCGCCCCTTCCTCGACTTTGCACAACTCGTGTGACAAACATGCATATATATATCACAGCTTGATGGAAGGAGCGAGAGACTGCTGCTTGCTTGACTGGCTTTGTGTAGGTACTATTGTCTCTGTTTCATCACAACTTGGAACTCGAACTAGTTCTTCGAATGGCTACGCTTCGAAGTCACGATCAAATGGAACGCTTTATCATCGCATTTTGCACAGACACTCGGAGAACTATTGGAAATGTTGACTTGCAATATGTCATTTGCTTTTCTTCTGGCAACAGAAATACATACAACAATTTATACTTACCAGGACAAAACTGTCAGGCTTCGAGCTGTTCAACAATACCCTACTCCTCTTTGCCCTTCTTGTTCAGATACTTCTTTGCGATAGCCTTCTCCTGCGCAACAGACTTCAGCACATGCATCTGCTTCTGGGACTCGACGGCACGAGCGATGATGTTCTCGACCTCATTCTTGGACTCAGCAGCAGCAAGACTCTCAATCGTGACCGCACTAAAGAAGGCATCATGAATTCTGGCAACTGTGTCAGTCTTCAGTTCCTCGAAATCGAGCATGTTGGGGGTGGTGGGAGAAGGAAGTGCAGGCATGTCGAGGACTTGGTTCTCGAGGTAGGTGAGCTGCTGGCCAGGGATAGCGTTGTAGGCGGCGGCCAAGCCAGGATGAAGTCCGTACCATCCTTCATCGCTGAACTCTTCCTCGGATTCATCGGCAATTGAGTCCTTGACAGGAGACTTGGTAGGTTCGTCCTCAGACTCATCAGACCCACCACTCGAGCTGGAATCGTCATCTGAGCTGGGCGTATCACCCGAGCCGGACTCACCATTCGGGCTGGACTCATCATCCGAGCTGGACTTGTCACTCGAGCTGGACTCAGGCTTCACATTAGCTGCACCTGCGACCACAGACTCCGCATCAGAATCACTCGAAAGCTTGGCCCCGCCATCAGAAGAGACATCAGAAGAACCATCCGAGGACGCACTAGAAGAATCACCCAAGGAAGCATCAGAACCATCGACAGAGTCCTTAGAAGTCAATTCGAGCTTGCGCTTGACGCGATAGTAGTTCTTCAAGTGCGCAACATAAGCCTTCTGGCTTTCCTCGTTGTAGTGCAGGAACTTGGCCTCGGGTCTTGAGAACACCTCAGGCTCAGGCTGAGCTTCAAGGACACTGGTAAGCAATGGTCCATATCTTCCAGACTCGAGCTTCCAACGAATTTTCTCATCAACGTTCTTGCGAGAGAAATGCCTGCGGCGCTGCTCCTCGTTGGCACGGTTGAGGTTTTCTAAATTGTCAGTAAAAGTCAAAGGGGGAGAGGTGTACCTCTCGAAACGGCGCTGAGCGTAGTCGTCTTGCAAGACGAAAGTGTAATGACGAAGGGTCGACTCACTGGCACTGACTTGACGAGCCAGGGTGCAAATGTTGTACTCAGCGTTTCCCCATGACTCGAGGAGGTAAGAGAACACATTCTTCTTTGATTCAACCTCACTCCAGCGAGCCAGACTGCACAGGAGATCAACCCAAGCACTTATCTCTTCAAGATCGAGACTGCCAGCGTGAGCGCGGACTTCAGCTGTAGGAGGTCCCCTATAGAAGAGATCAGGGTCTCCCACACCTCTCAAGCCTAGAGCACTGTTCTTGGACTTGGTAAAAACAGACTTGACCTCCTGACCACTGGAACTCTTCTCGATGATTTCCAACCAGCTAGGAACATTGAAGCTAAGGAGGTCTTTCTCAATAGACTTGGCAGTTTCAGCAGAAAGCGCAGGGACAGGGACAACGCCGTCGGTTGGACTATTTGGCGGATTCCAACTCTGCGCTTTGCGGGTGTCTTTGCCTCTTGCCTTATCCTCGATTCTATTGTGGAGATTCTCGAACATGGTCCTCGAAATGGCTGGGCAGTACATGTTTGAGAAATCGACTCCTGTATTAAGGATGCCAGGCTTGTACAAGGTGTGGAACCCATGAATTTCAATGCCAGGAAGGGACTCAAACTTCTCTGGATCGTCATACAAACCCGAAGACCACCCGGAAGTTGCTCCGTTGATGCGGTCGGTAGGGAGTACCTGGTCGAAAGAACGCTCCAGAGCTGTCATGGTGCCCAGAAGACCTTGAACGACGTTGACAGGTAGGCCGTTGTCGCCGTGTCCGAGGTGAACGTGCAAACCGGTAGTTTCGTTAACAAGAAGGCAGAAACCAGGTCCAGTGAAAGCCTGGTGAAGGACCTCGAGGAAACACCTCATTTCATCACGCCAGCTCCACTCGAAAGTTTCTCCGGTACATGGGTATCCCTGGTCCGTGGGGCAGGGAGAGGTCCCCTCAAACTTCTGCACACGAGAGATCAACTCCAATTTACCATAGTTGTCACGGACAAGACTGCTCCCGAGGAAGCCAAGGGGCAAACTGACACTCTCATCCTTGGTGAGTGTCCACTTGTCGTTGGTATCACCCGTGTGGTCGTGGATGGGTAAAGAAAACTCGTGCTCGCCTTCCTTACAACCAGGCTTGTTGCAGGGAAGCTTGACTCGTGCGTTACGAAGATAGCTACGGACGTATGCCTCGGCCGTACCGTATGTCATTATCGTCTTTCTGGGAACAATAGCGATGAACTCGAGTTCAGTACCAAAGGTAATAGGTGTGCGCTGACCAGCAGCGGCAGTGTTGTTGATGTTATCAGACATGATTTGTTGCTAAACGTAAAAGACAGTCGAATAGATGGTATAGACGATTTTTCTCTCATTCTGAACAAGATTCCTGGATCCCCTACCTACATGGCTCGAAGCACCATTTATATGTCTATATGTTGGACTCGAGATCGAGTATAAAGCGCTTTGTATTCGCACACAAGGGGGACTCGAAGCTTAATTTAACACACGATGGCACTTTTGTGGGAATATGGCTTTGGGGCGTTTGATTGAAAGGAGATCAATGAAAGTTATCAAAGAGATTGGAAGCGAAGGGTGATTATTATCTGTTAAAGCTTCGGGGATGAGATTCGGAGAACAAAGGCTATGATCTCGACATTAGCGCTCAGACCCAATAATCTGAATTGGCTTCTTTTCAACGAGAGCAAGCCAACTTTGATCCAAATATGAGGATAGCAGAAGAACTGGTGCAACGGCCAAGCCCGAACCAAGAGTGTTATGTGTAGTCCTGGGTAGGGATTTCGGCTGGACACAATTATCGAGTCAACATATGGAATATGAGAACAAAGAGGTAGCAACATCAAGCAAGGACAAAGCGATCCTTGCCACAATTTACCAAAACCTGCCCCGGCTATCTTCTGACGATAATCATGTGAGATACGGCATTGGATAGCGATAGGCGGATATCATCGGTGAGCCATCCAAAACGCTTGCGCTGGTATAGATGTGATGCAAAGACAGCGTATAGCTCCTGAAGCCGGCGGGTACCGATGAAATTCAAGCAACCTGTCCCTCGAGTCGACAATTTGCGACTAATCATCGAGAAGCCAGGAAGCTATCATGGTATCGGCATGGTTGTCGAGCTCGCCACGGCGCTATGAGGTGACAAAGATTTTGTCGCCGTAGAAGCATCTTGCAACCCCACCAACCTGGTGTCAAACAAGTTGAGCTAGAGACAGTCGTCGACGTTGATGTTGTCCTTGCAGTTGTGGACTCATCCAGACAACTCCACCAGCCAGGAGTGCGACAAGTCGTAGTCGTAGTCGTGGAGGTAGTAAACTGCGTCGAGGAAGCAGTCTTTGTTGAACTGGTAGTTGTCTTTGTTCCATTGCCTTCAAAGAACGACCATTCAGAACAGTCTTTGCAATCGATGTCTTGTGTACACACAGGTACCGAGTCATAGGCTTCTATCACATCTTTGATGACAGTGCTAATCCTGTGTGTGCCGATTGATACTCTCCAACCCAAATCACCGACTGTGTCGTATGTGCAATTGAACCCTGTGTAGCATTTGCTTTGGAAAGCATATCCTGCGAGCGTACACGGCGAGTCAAACGAATTACAGTTTCCGACATATATCGGGTCAGCAGTGTGACCAAAATGAAACGTGCCCGTATAGTGTCGTCTGGCAGATTGGCCAATCTGGTGACCTGGTGGGGTCGGGAGGCCTAGCCGATGAGCAGCAAGAGCGTCGGGAAAAGCCTCGAATGTTAGAGTTGGGACGCCATAGGTAGCTCCAAGAAGAGATGATACCACGCCTCCGAGTGAGTGTCCCGTAAGCCAGACATCGGCTTTGGGATACAAAGCTGTCACGTTATGATACAGAGCCCGAGCAGCATGATAATAACTGCTCTTCTTGCGTAAGCTGCTCACCAAGCAAGTCGAGTTGCAAGTGTACGACGAAGTCTGACACTCGCACACTCTCTTCCACGCATATTGTCCACCTTGCCCACAACAGCAACTTCCAAACAAGTTGTCATTTAGCCTGTCGTTATTTGTCGTCTCAGGAGGGTCGAAGAACCATAAAGAAGTGCCCTTGAGACCGATAACGACTGTTTTGTTCTCAGTATCGGCGAAAATGTGACCTCGTAGCCCATCGTCCTCCCAGCCGAAATCTTCGGTGTAGTTGAAGCCGTCGCCGATGTCAATCCAGTCGCCTTTACGAGGTATTGAAACGTATGCGTTTGCAGCCATATGTGCGAAGCTTAGGACTGTCTTCTTATCAGTCACGTCAGGGCCGGAGACCTCGTCTAGGATCCAGGCTTCTACATCAAGAGTTTTGGGTGCGCCGGAAACAGCTCCATGCTCTAACAAGCTGTCAACGATGTGTTGTCTGCGATCAGCGAGGCGTTGTATCATTAACGCATCCGACTGCACAGTGAATGGATCCCATGCTGGCCTAAGGGTAGATGTTCCATCTTCATTTTCGTAGTCAAGTAGTGTGTCCCGATTGACGTCTACTTTCCGGAATAGACGTGGATACCGATGTGAGCCTTTGTGGTATATATGCCTCAGAGTCTATGGTTCAACACATTAGACTTGTCAACCATGGCAGCAAGAGACATGGTGTGATACAAAATCGTGCGTTGTGGACAGAGGAAGGTCGTATGGAGCTTTGAGTGGTAGTTGGATACCTTGATCGTCAAGGGCTGTGGCGAATGAGAGCACGCAGAAAATTGGACACAAGGCGACAAGTGGGATTATATTCTTGATATAATTTTTCATGATTTGGGTGTTATAAGTGTCGAAAGACTCGATGCGACAAATCAAATGTGTCTTCGGATGGATGTTGCCTGATAGGAAAGAAGGAAGCAAGCTGGGTACGAAAGGAACAATGTAGACAACCGTAGCCAACGCGTTGACATCAGGACCATCGATCCTCCCATATGGTGAGGTATGTACATATGTAGCTATAAACATGCACAATATACTATTGAACAGGACATTGTCCATTGAGATGCGCAACTTCTCGGCTCTCTTTGAAAACACTTCTGTTTCTCAAAACAACTGTGACTTTCTACAGGGCAAAATCTACCCATCCTCCAGAGTGACAGCCCTAGGCACATCCACCTCCCACCATTTCTCCCTATCAATTCTCGAGAACATCCCCAATACCCATTGCCACCAACCTGCTCGACTTACTGAAGGATGCCCTGGGTACTCTAAATTGTACCCCTCGAATGCCTTTCTCAAATATCCTTCCTGCTGCTTGCTATCAATGTCTAAAGCTCCTACTGCGTGAGTATGAGATGATGCTTCAGGGATATAAGCTTGCAGATAGGAAAGGGGAATTGGCCATACCGTCCTGATTGCAGTTTTTGGCGCATGCGTTGGGAGATGGCGTCGCGGCTAAATGCCTTGAGGCGGTTATCCTCGATATTAAGGGTTAAGGGGTATAAATGGTCTTCAGGGTTGAAGTCGCCTGTTGTATACCTTTTGTGTCGACGTTCAGCATAGTCGGGGCTCGAGATGACGTCCTTGTAATGCGAGATCGTGGAACTGGCACACCCTATCCAGCGGCATAGGTCTACGAGTGTGTATCTGGGTTGCGCGTACATGACGTTGCAGTGCGTGAACCAACTCTGCATACCTCTGGCTTCGATGTGTTGGGTCAATGACCCCAGGAGATCGATCCAGGATATTATCTCGACAGGGCACAAGCTTCCTGCGTGCATACGTACCTCGATGGTATTTTTGGTGATACCTGCCAGCGGTATGTCGAGGTGCTCGAAGTTGACGGCGGATTTATGGGGTACCCCTACCTGCTTGATGTCGTCGAGTGTTTCCATGGCTTTGATCTGCTTGAGCCAGGTGGGGATCTTGTAGCTCAGCAGGAGTTTGCGTATGATTCGTGCTGCCTTTGCGGGATCGATGGGTACCCTTGATGGGTACACTAGCGTATCCCAAGCACCGTCGTCGTTCTGTTGCTGTGACCCTGTAATTGTTGCTTGCTGTGCCCAGGTATCGTCTGCTGCCTTACCCCAGGAGTCGTCGGGTGATTGACCCCATGGCTCTACTGGCGGCTCATCTGCCGTTGCCTCTGGCCACTGTAAGGGCTGAACTTTCTCCCATCCCTCCGTATGCACCGCATCCCAAGACAAACCTTGCTGACTTGCCTCATCCTCTTTCTCCATCTCCTCAGGGGCGAGATCTGGCTTATATGAGGGGCTATGGTTGGGGTCCCAGTCAGTAGGACTACTGTCAGCCAATTGGTCCTCAATCAAGCGGTCCATATACGAGCTCATTGACTCTGACACAGACTCCAGATAGATGTGTGTGAAATCTTGAGTATGGTCGGAAGGCACAAAAGTGATTCCATCCAGATTCATGCCGTAGAGAGGCTGCTCCCAGCGTCCTAAGATACGACTCACAGGCATGATAGAGTCGAAACAGCGTTCGAAAGCGACAAACCCTCCAAGAATACTCTTTACTGTATCGACAGGAAATCCAAAGCTTCCATTGCCGAGATGAACATGGATTCCAGTTGACTTGTTGACCAGCATGCGATATCCTGGTCTGCTGAAACCAGCACGCAATACCTCAAACATAGTTCGAAGTTCGTCTCTCCACTCCCAGGCGAAAGGCTCTCCAGTACAGGGATACACTTGTCCGCGTGGGCATGGCGTCGGTTCATCGAGGTTCAATACACGTGAGACCAGCTCGACCTGAGCGACATCGGTTCGATCTGCCACAGACAAATATGTCTCGTATTCGTCATCGTCCAAAGAAACGCTGACGTCGTGTTGGACCTCCCAGGCGGAGAATGTTGAGCCAGTGGTAGCCTTACCCTGGGCTACTGTGTCGCGTACTGGTAGGTACCATTGATGAGAGCCTTGCTCACACTTGTTTTTGCATGGAAGATCAACCTTTCNTTGGAGCATCTTACACGCATATTTTGTGGCGTCTTCGGGATCAGAGATGTTCTTTGGTGTCAGGCCGATGAATTCGCATTCGATTCCGAATGTGCGACGCCTCAAGTTCGAGAACTGACCAGCAGCTTCGTTGTTGATCTGAATACCAGACATGTTGATGGTGGGTTGTATGACTACGATGTTCCTGATGGATAGTGGGTTGTATGATTTACCGTGTATTCCTATAATGTTCTTGATGAATATTGCAGATGAAACAAAGAGAAAGTGTGCTGCTCGAGGGAGACATAAAATATAGTCATTGTATGACTCAAGGGTATGAGTTTTGAGGCTTTGAGCAAGTTCGAGGCAACAAAGCCACCACGACAAAGAGCCACGCGAGCGGCAATAAAACAGAAAAGCGACATGAAATTTTGTGGCTTCAGAGAGGATGATTTGGGTAATTTTTTCCGTGCGGTAGGAAACAGAAACAAAGAATAATGTCCGGTATGGAGAATTGCAGTGCTTCAACCTACATCGACGTTAATCTTCTGTCGGCGATCTGGCCATACTGGCGAACAGTGATTCGGTCAAGTTGTGCGCTAACCGTGTAACCAAATGATAAGCTAAAAGCGGTCGCTAGACTATTCGGCGTAAGACAAGACGAGATTGAGCGGCGCATTCTCGTGCGATGATGGCTTTAGTCGTCGAAACCTCCCCATTCTTCATCGTCTTCCCATTTTCACCTTCGCTGGCCCCGTCCAGATCCACTACTCCATTGGGATCTGCATCGGGATCCCTGACGAACCCGGCAACGAAGAAGCCCATGGTTCCTTCATCAGTGCCTCTTTCGCATCGAATGCACGCCTCTGAAAGGACGTTCGCATCAATCAGGTCTTCCTTGCCTTGGAGTGCTTCTTTCGAGGCTTCGGGGTCACCTCTTCTTGCCCATCTCTTCATGCCATCAACTTGGTCCTCACGTTTCATAAGCTTCCAGCCACGCTCCTTGGCAACTTTTGAAGCTAAAGCTCTTACGACAACGTTCTCGTTCTCCTCAGCGTGTATGGAACATGTTGAATATGTGACCTTGGTTGCGGCTGGGAAGGCGAAGGCATGGAGCACAATCTTGAGCTGGAACCCAGCAAGGTTGTTCAATCTAGTCTTCAGTTTCTCCTCGTCGTTCTCGAGCTCGGCTGCTTGTGGAGTCTCTTCGCTGAGCTCATCGTTGGGCTCACTAGCGACTGGTACCGGGACCTCGACAGCTGTGCTTGCCTTTCTCTTTCGCTTCTTGCTTGACGGGGCAGGAGTAGAGGAAGGCAGTGACGGCAAGTGCAAGACTGCGGTGTCATCACGACCGATGATACCACTACCTGAACAGCTGGGGTCAAGCAGAAGAGCACCAACGTCAGCAAATTCTTGAGAACGAGGATCCAGTTTCGTGAAGTCTTGAGAAGCCTTGACGGTGATGATTTTGTTAGCACCAGCCAGCTTGACCATTTNTTCCAGCGTTTGAGCTCTGATGGGGTTACGTTCACAAGCTGTGACGGAGGCTTTCAAACCATATGACTTTTGTGACGCCAGGATTCCGGCAAGATGTGTCGTCTTGTTGCCGGGTGCTGCACATGCATCGATCACTTGACCATCCTTAGGCTTAGGATCCAGAAGATAGGCGGGGAAGCACGAGGCCTTGTCCTGGAAGATAATCTCGCCGGCATGGTACGCAGCATGCTTGGACAGATCTATTGAAGGAGGAATAGCAACGAGATCTGGGATATGCTCGTCGAAGTAGATGCCTCGGGNGGTAGTACTGAGCTCCTTCAATGATGAGACCTTGGTAAAGTCGGCGAAGAAAGTGCTTTGTGCCTTTGCCATAGAAGTTCTTACGGCATTGACACGAACCCATCGAGGGTGGAAAGCTTTGGTGCCATTGGCGCTTGCTTCTGCACTCTCATCTGCAGCAGCCGCGTTGATGTGAGCGCGAAAGGCATCTAAGGTAGCGAACCTGCCCTTGATGCGACATTTGGTGAATTCAGCATTTAGTCTAGCCTTGTGACGAGAGATGGCAAGATTCAAAGGATGCGATTTGGGAGCAGCAACTCCCTNTTTGGCTAGAATGAGATCATGGCATAAGAGCAATGCAAGAGTCGGGGTCAANNCTATGGAGAGTTAGCACCGTGGTATTAATTTGTTCAAGAAGAGAGCGTTGTTCTTGTTTGCTGTCAAGAGGCAATTGATCTAGACATCACACAGAGAATAAAAGCGTCAAGACAAAAATACCTTCTTCTCGAGTTTCAAAATATCACTCTTCTCGATGACTTCTTTCAGCACCGAACTCCATTTTGTGGTTTCAGCAACCAGAGCGAAGATGGCGCCAGGAGAACTTTTCAGATCTTTCTTGCCAAAGATGCGATTCTTCAACGAACCGCCCTTAGCTTCTGCATTGGCGAGGATGTCAGAAGCTTCGTAGTACAATGACATTGTTGATGGAATTGTGGAAGACTAGAGATAAAATTTGATCGAGAAGGAGCGTATCGCGGCCGTATTGGCGTCGGCGTTTTCGAAACGCATCGGCTGTCTCACGGCTCGCGGGACAGGTGTAATAAATTTGACACTTTCATGAGGAGCGGTACACAAGTATTATTTTGCTTTACTGAAGCCATTCAAGCGCATGGCCAAGTAGCTCACATGACATATCTCATTGCATTCGTTTGGTGATGATTCCTTTGCCAAGACTTTGCTCAGCCACGGCGATCTGACATATGGAAACGGCGTCGGACGTCTCTGTGATGGCATCCGGCCGGTTGAGTCGGAATCAAAGTCAAAGCTGGGGCTCTTTCCAGGTCATCGAGGCGCACCATGGATCTGATCAGGCTGACTGTTGTAACTAGCAGAAGGCCGACATTTCCGCCCAAAGACTGACCTGATACTGTCTCTACATATCTCTTCTATGTATCTACGCCCCTCTCCCTAGAGCTACAGCACCTGCCATTCTTTCTGCTTCCTGCCCGTGGTTCCATACAGCGCTCTGTGTTGGCCATAGCAACCAATGTATACATGAACCAACATGTCTGTCACACACCCAAGTCCCGAACGGCGGCCGCGAGCACTAGCCGACATCCAGTTCAACAACATCATCAATGACACAGTAACGTCATCCGAAGACGAGGGCCCTGAGGTCCGAGCCATTGCACCAGCCGAAGCACAATCCCTGGTTGGAGTCAGTCTTGGACGAGCCCAAACGCGCCTGATCTTGCCTCAGACCCCGGCAGCAGAGAAGCAAGCTGCCATTGACGAGCAGGGTGGCTTCTTTGGTGGTCCACAGATTCAAGACGATGCAGACCTGGAAGACGACGATGCTCCTACGCAAGAACAAGAACGTGTGTCTAGACCAGTGACAAGAGATGGAGCGCTTGTGAAACAGAGGCCGACAACAGGACAAAGAGCTCCAGCGACGACAACGGGAGAGACGACGGTGCGCCTACCTTCGCCATGGCGTGCCGGTCCCAAGAAGTTCAAGAGGACCGACGAGAGCCGCTCTGTGCTCAAGGATGGCTTTCGTCGACGAGCTTCCTCGACCAGTCCAGGTCCGGCCTCTGGAATGGGAGCTTCGCTCGACAACTGGCGCGACGCTTTAAAGACCAGCATACACAACTTTACCTCGCCCTTTTCCACCGCTCATGCTCAAGATTCCGATCGCAAGACCCGTCCAGCCAACAGATCGAGACGATCAGGCTCTCTATTCGCGTCTTTAGCTTCGCTGTCCTCTTCCTCTACCACCCATATCATTCCTACAAGACCTCGCAGAGGCAACAGCATTGCTGGCGTACCTACAAATCCACAACCACTTTCTCCAGGTTATGCCCCCAACACCGTATCGAAAGAGTCGCTGCCCGAAAACTCGTCACCCGAAACGACCCCTCCTCATGTGTTACAGCACCCAAAGACTACGCCTGTGCAGAGGGATCCGCCGTCAGAGGGATCCATCTCTACTGACGGCAATCCTCGCTTTGCTCCAATTCGTCCAGCCACCTCAAAGACATCCACTGGTCAACCTGAAAATGCCCTAAGCCCTATGGCTAGAGTCAATAGTGGCAGAAGTAATCGAAGCCTGCGACGCTCTGCTTCCGAGTCATCTTTACACACCTTCCGCACTCTCTCACGAGTACCTTCCCTTGGTGATGACAGCCGCTTCGAACACGTTCAAGCACAGGTCAACAGCAGAATGAAGGCCATCAGGGATAGCTGGCAGGATACTAATATTAGACTGCCGCTGTTGCCTTCGTTTGCTTCTTTATCCGATCTTTCCCTTACTCGCGGGAACTCCGTCTCGAAAAGGAGTCAAACTTCGAATCCTAGCTCTTCGACCGGTGCTCTTTCGTCATCTGCAAACCAAAGTGCCCATCTACCTAGAGCATCAACAGCCCCACAAGCGAACAAGACCGCCCAACAGCATCCTCATTTCTCCAAAGCGCTTGATGATCTTACTGGTGATGTCGTTGTACTTGGAGGTTATCGTGGTTCTATATTAAGATCCGCTGAGCCACCTCACAGACAACTTTGGGCTCCTATCAAAGTCGGCTTGAACGTGAGAAAGGTAGATCTGGAAGTCGGTCTCGAGGCCGATGCTGATGAAAGAGCTCAAGAGAAAATCATCCCAGGTGGTATGCTTAGTCACATTGGCCCTGTTGACATATCTAGACGCTTGTTCAAACGTATGCGTGCCCATGAGAATGCCAAAAGTGGAAAGCTTCGCGTCCATGATTACGGCTACGATTGGCGACTGGAACCACTGTTCTTGAGCAAACAGCTTATCGAGTTTTTGGAGAAATTGCCGTGCAACAAACCTGGCACTCCCAAAGAGAAGCGCGGGGCGACCGTCATTGCGCATTCTTTGGGTGGCCTCATCACAAGACACGCTGTGAATCAACGGCCTGAACTGTTTGCCGGAGTCGTATATGCAGGCGTGCCCAGGACTTGCGTCAACATCCTTGGACCCTTCAGAAATGGCGATGATGTGCTTCTCAGTAGCCGTGTTTTGACTGCTCAAGTCAATTTTACCATTCGCACGAGTTTCGCCCTCTTACCGCTGGATGGTCGCTGTTTCTTTAACAAGGAAACCAAGGAAGAATATCCTGTCGACTTCTTCGACCCACAGACCTGGATAGACTATCGTCTCTCGCCCTGTATAGCTCGCCCATTGCCTTCTCTTAACGAACCTCCGCCACCAAGCGGTCTGGCTGGCGTCATGAACAGCATGGCAGGCGTAATGAGTGGTATGGTACCCAGCCGCAAGAATAGCATCTCTCGCGTGAGACAAGCACTTCAACACCCTGCCTCACACGCTGTCGACGGCTTGGCCAACCCACCCGAGATGGACACTTCAGCAGCAGCCGGTAGTAGCGAGAAGGCGGAAGCAAAAGGAAATATCGACTACAACGGCACCGACAACATGACACCGCAGATGGATCCCAGCAGCACTGCGCCCTCAAAAAACTCCACAGATACACCAAACTCGGATCCCAACACCTCGATTGCAACCACCGTGACAATCCCTCGCGACCAAGCTATCGCATACCTCACCCGCATCCTCGCCTCTGTGAAGAAATTCAAAGAGGAACTATTCTTCCACCCTCCACACGCAGAAGCCAACATCTACCCGCCCGCCGCAGTCATCTACGGCAAAACCACGCCTACGGTATACGGTGCCAAGGTTGTGAGCAGAGAAGCCATCAAACACGCTTCTGCATACGACAACCTTGCATTTGCCTCTGGCGATGGCGTTGTGCTTGCCAAAGCCGCCATGTTGCCAGATGGATATCAAGTTGCCAGAGGTGGGTTGGTGAGTTCTGAGCGCGGGCATGTGACTCTGCTCGGAGACTTGGAAGCTGTCGGCAGATGCTTGAGGGCCATACAGGCCGCAAGGAGGAAAGGCGTTGGTATGGGTGGAGAGTAGAAAAGTTACACAGCCACTATTAAAAAAAAAAAAAAAAAAAAAAGAGCATATCAAACTACCTTCTCATGACTTTCTCTCCTCTCTTCCATCCTCATTATAATCTTTGCTCCGCATCACTTCTGTTTGCATGGTGGAAAACCAGTGCCGCATTGTGCTCGATACTGACACGAAGCCGCAGTGAGAGCATCGCCGAAGAAGACTTGCTGCCAGCAGACAGGATTGCCCATGCCGTGCCGAGTGAGGGAAGTAATCGCTTCTTCACTCACTAATTCACAGACATGCCAGCCAAAATTAACCCACGGAGTCTGCCTTCTTGTCATATAAGAAGAGTATCTCGCTTTTATAGTTACGGATGCCAGAGCCAAGGTTGAGAGTCACACTGGACTAGTGTGCAGAGAAAAGACTTCGAGGTGGTGTGGAGTCCGGCGCTGCAGTCGATTCTTCGGTGTGCATCAAGAGCAGTAGAAGCATCAGGTTGGTGTCTCTCCTGGAGCTCTGCTGCTCCCAGCTCTTGACGTGCTATGTAAAAGGTTAGCTTGAATCTACCCAAGATATACTACGCCCTGCTCGTCCGTAGGGAGATATCGTCAACACGCGCCCCAGTGTTGTACCCGAGGGCCCACTCTCGCAACGACGGCCCAACATCTGCCCAAGTCCTACGACACCATTAACACTGCTTCTTGGGTTGTAGTTGACGATAACGTTGAGGTCGGAGCACGTTGATGCCATGGATGCAAGAAAGAAAGATTTAGGTATAAGTGGTGAGTGGATATTTATTGTGCGTGGAAATCATCAAGCATCAAGAAAGCCTAGAATGAATTCACATCGAGATTCACTTTACAAAGTGATGTGATTAGAGGTGGCTGGGACTGTGTTTGCTCATAAGTGTACATGACTATATAAGAAGATTCCTTCCAACTACAGGACTCGTAACAGATTCGCTGAGATGAAAGAAGTGGTTGCTCTTTGACATCCATAACGGAAGGGCTGAGAAGAAGAAGAAGTCACGATTCTCCAAGAGCAGTACAGGAAGTGCAGGTAAAAGTACAACAAGAGCAGTACAAGTATTAGGCTAGTGTCTCTATCAAAATTTCGTTGCTCCCAGATCTTGATGTACAGTTTTGAAGGCTGTGTGAAGCAATTCACGATATAACATAACCTAAATGTCGAAAATGAGATGTCATCAACACGATCTCGACACTGGACCTAAGATTCTGCTCTGGCAATTCGAAAATTTTGCCCCTGAAAGCAAGTTGACCAGGGTGTAAGTAGGAGAGGTCGAGGTTCCTAGTAGAATGAGCGATAGGATCACATTTCCATCTTACACCGCCGCGAGAGAGAGCATATGAACGAAGAGTGGAGAACATAACAAGAACTCTTGAACCTGTAAAGTAAGTTTTTGATCAGCTCTCCTAGACTCAATTGATAGTCGATTCTGAGGATTTCATGTTCAGTCAGCAAGCTGTCTACATGGCTAGGGCAACTGCCATGCTGATATCCCTGTGTCCCGTGTCTCATTAATTGTCTGGATAGTGATGAGCTCTCAAAGTGTGAAACAAAGACTAGGTTGTATGCCAGCCTTCTCACCTCCGGACATCTGGTGCCGAAAGCAGTGGTAGATCTCCGTGAGGGTACGAGTACCTTCACATAACCACACTCTTTGAAACACCATCAAGATTGATGATTCGACATGCACGCGATCAAACCTCTACCTCATAATCAAATGTGCCATCTGGGCAAAGCATGCCGTCAATGACTTGAATCGCGCCTGTGAGACCGCCTGACTCTTGGGCATGCGAACACAGGGGTCACCGTGTGGATCATCAATCCTCCATGTCTCCAGACCGGACCAAAGTATTATAATCTTTTCTTGACTTTGTTCAACTATTTTCACTCCTATGCTTCTACCATGTACTGCCATCCCCTCTACCCCTAAGCATTGCCATCGCTCAAAAAGGCGGCGGATCCAAATCCAAACCATCAACACTGAGGTGGAACGCATCATTCCTCGAATAACTTCCCGCAAGATCCAGATCCAATCTCCCTCTCTCACAATCCTCAAAATCAGCTTCTACACACTGGAATCCATCCTCTACTTCCCACAGACTAGGGGCTAGGACTTCTCCCAAAGGACCAATAATGCAAGAACCTCCTCTGCAAACAAATTCGTCTTCTTCGGTGATGGCAGAGGTGGAAGAGGTGGCAGCAGTGCCAGAGGGGTCGGGCAAAACGAGTTCATNTGCCTTCTTCCATGACAACTGATTTTCTGCGGCGGGAGGGGGAGGTAGACGAGGATGAGTGAGCCAAAGCTTTAGGCTCGTCTTCTACTTTTTGCCTGCAGAGATCCAAGCGGGCAAGTGGCTTTTGCGCACGCATTGGTTGGCAGACAAGACGAATGCTCTGCTCTCTGATGCCACCGTTCTCATCAAAGCCTCCCAAGTATCTCTGGCATCTGCTGTAGGTGCAAGATACAAGTTTACGTTTTGGGAGTAGAGCGAGTAGCGCAGCAGAGGCATGTAGTTTTCCCAGCAAATGGCGGCGGCGAGGCACAACTTCACACCTCTGATTTCGGTGGTGACAGCACGCAAAGAGGAGGGTTGTCCTTGTGCCCAGATCAGGCGTTCGGACCCTGTAGGCATGACTTTTCTTCTCTTGCCAATGCAGCCGAGACGTGGACACACGTATACAGCACCGCAGTACAAGCTTCCCCCACTGCGTTCGACAAGGCCAGTAACGATGAAAACGCCAGTCTCGCGAGCAAGGCGTTCTAGAAATTCTCTAGTGCCGTCGCCACGGTACTCGCGACCTTNTGCGACGGGTAGCTTGCGGTTGACCCAGTCATCGCCGGCACCGAGTGGTGTATCGCCTAGATCAACAGCAGCGTGGAAGTATTCGAGGAATTGGCTGCGGCCGTGGGGTGCGCGAGCTCCAACCGAGGCGCCAAAGTCGCAGGTGCGTGGGTAGCCACCGAGGTAAGCTTCAGGGAAGAGGATGAGGTCGACGGATTGCGAGGCGGCCTTGCGGGTGGTGGCTGCTAGTGCATCAAGAGTTTGTTGCAGAGTGTCTAGAGTCCTGGATTGGGAAACGGCGAGCTTGAGCTTGGATGGCATGGTGGAAGCGATGAACTGACCTCAGCCTCGAAGTCCAGGAGGAAGATGATACTGTAAATGGAAAAAGACAACACAGTTAGCTTCTTATACAAGTCCCTGATGGGAAAAGAAGAGCTGTGAGTCAGTATACATGAGAGCTTCATCAAGGTTCCCGTGGACCCCGTGGATACGAACGAGTGGGGAACGAGCTGTCCGAATTCGGCAGGTTGTTGCGGCCAGACACCGCGGGCAAACCCCGAACACTGCGAGAAACAACTACAACTAGCTGTCAGTAGTTAACGAGCTTCGACAGGAGAAACATGCAAGATGAGGAGTGATCAGTTGTGTAAATGTCGTCTTGTTTTCTCTTGTACGTGCACTGAGCGGTCTGTCTTCAACGATGTTTCGAAAAGCAATCTCAACCGCTACCCTCCATGCTCGTCATAATCATGAATGTCATGCTGATTTGTCTCCTTCCAATCTCAAACAGATAGCTTGTAGACTCTGTTCTCTCTCTTTACATCTTCTTGGCGGCCTTGGCGAGGTCGGCGAGAGCCTCACGGCGCTTGAACTTGGCGTCCTCAATGACACNCTGGACATGCATGTTAGTGCTGGAACTGATAACGATAGACAAGGAGTGGGACTTACCAGCGTCGGCGTCAGAGGAGAAGTTGCCAGTCCACTGGACAAAGGTGCTGTTCTCGTTCTCGCCAGAAGTGACGGCGAAGCAGCGGATGGTGCTGACGGCCGAGGTGTAGCTCAGAGCGGGGTTGGCGGTGATGACAGAGTAGGTGATGTAGTGGTTGAGGGAAGAGTGCTCCTCCTGCTTGACCTCAATGACGGTGCCGTCCTTGAAGTGCCACTTGACAATGTCGGTCTCCTCAGAGGTACCCTTAGAGTACTCAGCCTTGTCGAGGGCAGACCAGAACTTGTTGAAGTCCTGGAGCTTGATGAAGTGCCAGACGTGAGAGAGAGGGCTGGTNNAAGTCGCAAATTAGCTATCGCGGTTTGCGACAAGAGACAAAAATGGCTACACACCCTTGATGACGGCCGACTCAGTGACCGAGGTGCTGGTGGGGATGGCTCCGGACATATTGACGGTGATTAGGATTGAAGTTTGAGTTTGGTGTGTTGAGGTGAATTGGCAGAGAGTTGTTCTGCTTGTGTGGAAATTTTGGAGACGAAAAACGCCAGGCAGAGCGGGCAGCTGCGGGGCTGTTTGCTCAGACGTCACCACCAAGCGCGAAGGAAGGAGCTATGACTACCTGAAGGAGCTCCTTCCTTCAACCCCTGACTTCAATTGGTATCCAATCGCTAATCAGTATGGAAAATACTGTCGCATTGCATTCAACGTTTAAAAACATAAATTACTGAACAGATGAGCCAGATTTTCTAGAAGATCAGGTCGCTATCCCATTGCTACCATGTATATCGCATGCAAATGACCATCCAGTATATAGAAATACATGCTGTCCCTCTTTTTATATCCATGAAGACGCCCGTAAATATCCAACTGTAACTAGTCATACATGGGAACAGAAACCTTCTAGTTGAAGACAACAGTCTTGGTACCGTTGAGGAAGACCTTCTCCTCTGACCACCACTTGACGGCAGCTGCCAAAACCTGAGCTTCGACGTTGGCACCCTCCTCGACAAGGTCCTTGGGTGACATGGCGTGGTTGACACGAGCAATTCTCTGCTCAATGATAGGACCCTCGTCAAGGTCGGCAGTAACAAAGTGAGCAGTGGCACCAGTGATCTTGACACCGCGCTCGTAAGCCTGGTGGTAAGGCTTGGCTCCCTTGAATGAAGGCAAGAAACTGTGGTGGATGTTGATGATCTTTCCAGACATAGCTTCGCAGAGACCGGGAGTCAGGACTTGCATGTAGCGGGCCAGAACAATCAAGTCAATGTTGTTCTCCTTGACGAGGTCCAGAATTTGCTTCTCCTGCTCCAGCTTGGTGTCCTTGTTGACGGGAAGGTGGTGGAAAGGAATGTCGTAGTTCTTGGCAAGAGGCTCAAAGTCAGGGTGGTTCGAGACGATGAGAGGAATCTCGACTTGCAATTGCTTGTTCTNTTGACGGAACAGCAAGTCGTTAAGACAGTGACCAATCTTGGAAACCATGATCAGAACACGAGGCTTAGCAGAGACAGGGCGAATGTTGTAGTTCATGTTCATTTGCTTGGCCAACTCAGTGATCTCAGGCTTCAGGTGCTCGGTATCCTGGGCATGGCCGAAGTGGACACGCATGAAAAACTTCTCCGAGGTAGGGTCACTGAATTGTTGCAAGTCGAGAATGTTGAGTTCATGCTTAGCCAGGAGTCCAGTGACAGCGTGCACGATACCAGGCTTGTCCGGGCAGGAGAGAGTTAGGTAGTGGTCGTTGTTTGCCTTGGAAGCCATTTTGGTCGAAAAGGATGCAGATTGATTTGATGTCGAAACTATTCCAAAGCGCACAGGAGTCGTTATCCTTGAGATTATTCCAAAAGGTCGTGTAGCTCTAAACAATGAAGCCATTCAGGATCTGGATGATACTGCTTGGGACTCGCCTCGGTCGCCGTGAATATGGAAATGTCCGTCGACGGTGTCTGGAAAATTGTATGCACGGACCGAGATCTGGCAAGAACATCCGATTTTCGGCAATTCTGTTCTTGGTCTCGAATAGAGACGTTCCTAAAGCCTGTCTGCAACAGAATCTCTCGATCCCAACAACACAAACAGAACAATAACAAATTTCGTGGCTTCCCTTCAGCTCATCGTCGCAACACCGACCGCATGTGATGCATGCTAGGTTGCCGATACGGACGAATGCTGAACATGTTCGGTCTGCAGGAGGTGCAGCGTACACGACGACTCTTGCCGCAATGCCGTGCCAGGAATGGACGAAGCGACAACTGAGACACATAAAGCTCGGCCAACTGGAATCTTTTAACGCAAGCGTTTCGTTCAACCATGCTCGCTTCTTCACACCTACATCATGCGACGTTGACCGGAGTAGCATTCCACTGAGAATCTGCACCTCTCGCATATCGAAATCCAGCCTTTGATTCAGATTCGCGACAAGCTTTTGCACGTGTAGGGCGAGGCTGTCAACGACATGTTCTGTTTCGGGAAATCCTTCAACGGTATGCCGTTTATTTTCTTATCATGCTATCGAATTCATAAAGCGGTGCCGAAGGTATGTTGTGTAATTACTCGTCCGCTGTATACAGAGGTATAAGATCAACCAGCCACCGCGGATGGTGTGTTTCTCGCTGATCAGACATACTTGTGGTATTGAACAAAAGACAGCTTGCAGGCCTGGCATCTTTTGTCAACGAGTACGACGAGAGCACTTCCTTTTCATCATAATGTTTTCTTCTACCTTTACTCTATCTTTACTTGCTTCGTCGGCCTTGCTGGTTCAAGGTCTTCCATGCGACACCTCAGCATCAGTCTCCCGACGCGACAGCGAAGCATCAACACCAACAATCTCCAGACGAGGCAGCGAGGTCGAGACAACCGCCTCCAGACGAGGCAGTGAGATCGAAACCATCTCGAGACGCGGCAGCGAGGTTGAGACTACCATCTCTAGACGAGGCAGCGAAGTTGAGACGACTATCTCCAGACGTGACAGCGGTGCCACCTTGGAAGCTCGGGCGTGTGATCTCGAAGAAGACCCCATCAGAGGTGTTAATCTCGGCGGTTGGTTTGTCCTCGAACCCTGGATGAACTGGGAGCTCGTTGGAGACACAGGTGCCGTCGACCAATGGACATTCGATCAGACCGACGGAGCAGAGGCCAAACTCCAGTCGCATTGGGAATCATGGTTCACTGAATCCGACATGGCACAGATTGCCGCGTGGGGCCTCAATACGTACGTTTCTCTCCATCTCAAACCCGTTATACCGCCTGCTTCAAGCCACGTCTCGACCCCTTTCAGCCTTATATAACGGCTTCACTATAACCCTTATGACGTTCTTGGCTAACAATTCTGAAACAGTGTGCGCATTCCCATTGGTTACTGGGCCTTCAACAACACAGGTAGCCCTTACATCTCCGGTGCAGATGCATACCTTGAACAAGCCCTGGGCTGGGCCCGTCAGTACAACATTCAAGCCCTGATCACCATGCACGGTCTGCCGGGCTCTCAGAACGGCTTCGACAACTCTGGCCACAGGGGTCAAGCCCAATGGGCAGACAACTCGACCAACCTCGCTGCCAGCACTGCAGTCCTCGAGCTGATGGCAGCAAAGTACGGAACAGCAGCCTACAGCGATGTCGTCTATGGACTCGAGCTTGCCAATGAGCCCATTGTTTGGGACGAGACATCCGCCCGCAATGCTGAGGAATGGGCCGTCAGCACCGTCGAAGCAATGCGCACACACATCACCAACCCCAATCTCAAACTCGTCATGCACGACGCCTTCCTCGGCGCCAAAGCCTGGGAGACAGTAGCAGAATACTTGAACTTCGACGCCGATAGCCAGAACTTTGTCTTGGATGTGCACTTGTACCAAAACCAAGGTGGCGACACCTCAAACATGAATCAAGACCAACACATCGCCACCGTCTGCGACTACCCAAACACACAGTTTGTCTCTCCGTCCGCACACCTTCCTGTCCTCGTCGGCGAATTCAGCGATCAGACCAATATCTGCGTCGACGCTGCTGGCAACGTAACAGCCGGAACATCTTGCTCCACTGAAGGCTGCCAATGTTCCGCCCAATTGGATCCTTCCCAATGGAACGCCAACCTTGTCGCCGCAACCAGAAAATTCATGGAAGCTCAAATGGACATCTTTGAAGAGTACTCTGAGGGCTGGTTCCTGTGGAGTTATACAGGACCCGGTGCTTGGGGCATGGGAGATTTGTTCAAGTATGGAATTGTGGGGCCTGACCATATTACCCAAAGACAATATCCTGCACAATGTAACTCGACAAGTTCGAGTTAAGGTGCAAGGACATAGAATAGAGGGGAACACTTAGAGAATAATCGTAATGAACTTAATGAATATGCAAATTAGAATAGTTAGTTTTCTTGTACATTGTTATTTTAGATAAATTTATTGTTTAGTCTCTCTTTGCTTCTGCTCCTCAAGACCCAGTAGTCTCCAATGGTATATCTATGTGCATCCAAGTCCATGAAAAAAAGCGTACGATTGTTCATCTTGCCTCCGAGATGGAACGAAAACACCAATCTCACAATCGCACCTAGACAGAGACAGCAATTATGCCATCATCCCCTTCGACCTCTACCACGTGTACTATGTCGATTTCATGAGTGAAACCTCTCCAAGCCACAACACAAGCCAAGCTTTCTTCTCGGTGCGATGCCAAAGGGAAGCATGCGATTTTTACGATTTACGATCCCTCAAACCGTTTTGACAGGCATGCAAGCTTTGCAACAGTCACAAACATCTATTCCTTCCAAATGTCCCATGTAGATCAATTCTCTACTCACGAGACTTGTCATCGTATGCAGATCGCTGTTTTGCTCTCACAAGACCTGTGATTACAATTGATCTCACGAGACTTATCATGACAATTGTTGCTCACGGCCGTAAATTGACGATTTGGAAACACTTGCGCACGCAGGTAGAAAAGTGCTACTGCGATGGTTGCGAACACCTGCGCACGTAGCAGAAAGAGTAATGGGTTCAGAACATTTGCGTACGTCAAACGAAGAAGATTTCGGAAACAAACGAAGCCAAAGAACAACACAAACTGGATTTGGAAGAGTAGTGAAGGGTAAAAGGAACAAGAAACCATACGTCCATCGGACAATTGGAAAGACAAGAAGAAACAATGCTAGGGAGCGAGGGAGGAATTAATCCAATCCACATGCCTCTCCAAAAGCCAAAACCCCAAGAAGCTGTAAACCCTTTGTGTGAAAAATCATAAGATACGAAAAGAAGAAAAAAGGCATGGGAAACGTGAACATGCCGATAAGAAAGAAGGGAAATAAAAGCCTCTCAATGTTTGGGCGCACCACCCATGCGCTCGATATTGCTCATCATCTTGCTCTTGGACGCAATACCTGAAGGCCTAGGCATACCACGCCCGATTCTGCTTTGCGCAGGGGCAGGTTGCTCTTTGAAGGTAGGAATGCTTGCGTGGGGCGGAGGAGCAGGACGACTAATGCTGCGTCTGAAATCTTCGATGGCTGCGGTATTGCCCTCAGGAGCTGAACTCTGCANAAGCAACATTTCGTCAACCGCAGCAACAAGCTCGCCCTTTTCGACTCGCTCTTTTCGAGTTCGCGGATCAGATCTGCTTGTTCGTTGCGNCATGACTTGGAGTTGACGGTCCAGGTTGGCGAGGTGAGCTCGTTGTTCTTCGATGGTCGAGTTTGCTTCTTCCATTACTCTGCGGTCGTCGGCTGTGAACATCATGGAGGACTCGACGTTGTTGCTTGCAGCTGCTGTGAGCTCTTCGTTCTGTTTGACTAATTCATCAAGACGGGTCTGGAGTTCGGCGCACTTCTTCTCGCCACGTGCTTCGTAAGATTTCTTGAGTGTTGCGACCTTGGTCTCGTGCTTCTNTTTGTAGACAGCGTGAAGTTCGCGAGACACGGCTTCGACCTTTGCATCGATTTGTTGTTGCACGAGGTGTTGGATTTGCGCTTCGTCAATCATGTTTCCCGATCCGTCGTTCTTGGGAATAGCAGCACGAGCAGTTGCAAGCTGGGCTTCTAGGTCGAGAATCTTGGACTCTGCCTCGTCTGCGCGAGTCTGATGTTTCTCCGTCAAGCGCTCGCTCTCTTCTGCGCGGCGAACTAACGATTCCTTCTCTTCATCACTGCGCAAGACTTCCTGTTTGACGTTCTGGAGCAGCTGTTCGAACTCAACACCACGCTGCTCCCATTGATTCTTCTCATGTTCAATCTGCTCGCGCTGGCCCTTCTCCTCGCGGAGGTTCTCGAGGGCCTCGCCAACACGCCTTTCAGCATCTCCTACAGCCTTCTTCAGCGAGTCAACTTCGGCTTCTCTGCCAGAGAGAGTGGCCTTGAGGGAAGAAATTTGAGATTGATATTGCGACTTCATAGATTCGAGTTCGCGTATGGTGATGGTAGGAACGGAGCGAGGAGTGGGTGCTGGAGGCAGCTCAAAGTCGAGCAGATTGAGCAGGCTGGTAGACTTTGCTGGAGTGCTCATCCTTGCACCCTTGTTTGGTGAGCGTTGTTGGTTCGGGCATGACAGGAGGTTGGGCTCGGTGGCAGACTTTTGAGGAGAACGACGAGAGGGGGTCTGTTGGACATCGGGGCGGCTGGAAGCGTGGGCAAAGCGTTCGATCTGCTGAGTGAAGTCGATGAGGTTGGTTGTGTTCGACTGAGCAGTACCAGGAGTTCTAGGTCTGCGAGGTGTGGGAGAGGGTGATCGCTCGTCGGATTCGCGTCTTCTGATGGGTCTTGGTGTGGCTTGTTCGCTCTGTGGTGTTCGTTGCTGAAGTCGTCGTCGTTAGTCAAGGTTATGGTGTGCACAGAGAGGACAACTTACGACAGATTGTTTGAGAGGGCTTCTGCGATCGCCCAGTTTGGCAAACATAGTCATATCAGGGACAGCAGAGAAGGTGCTGAAGCAAGTGTCGTCGACGCCAGTTTCGTCAACATCGTGAATCATGACAGAATCGTCAATGGTCTCGTCAGCCTTCTCGAACGAAGGTTCGCGACTGTGAGGAAGAGGAGTCTCATTTGCAAAGTCGAGCTGCTTGGCAGGAGATTTGGCCTTGAGGGGAGAGTTGAAGCGCAACGTCTTTCTGGTCGAAGGTGGCGGCATGGCAGCTGCGTCTTCCTCAAAAGTGCTGCTGCGCCTCTTCTTGATGGTCGATTTTGGTTTGAGGGGAGACATTGATTTTCTGGAGGGCTCTGGGGTGGTTGATTTCTCTGGTGTCTTGTGCTTGTTCTCGTCTTGGGACTCGGCGTCGATGTTTTCGGACTCGGGAGCGACAGTATTCTCTTTCTCGCCGACAGAAGAGTATGAAAAGGTTGAGGCCTTGTTGTCGGTCGTCTCGAAGAATTGAGTCTCGGATGGGTCTGACGGGTCTTCGAAGATGGCGTCAACCTCGGGGTCAATTTGAACTTGATCGAAGTTGTTGCTGGCGGCGCGAATGTCTGCTTCAGCGACAANAGGCGAGCTTCCGACGTCTTCGTCGTCCCAGTTGATGATGGACTCTTCTTGTGTTTGTTTGGTCGGGGTCGATGTTGTGACGGTATTGGTGGCCATCTTGTCTTCACGCACGACGGTGGCTGGAGTGCGAGAGTTGAGCTGCTGCGAGTTCAGCGGCGACAAAGGGCTTGCCATTGTTAGTAGATGGTCGATATCAATTGTTCACAGCTAAAAACATCTTGTGTGTTTGCGAAAAGGTAAACACAAAGCTTGGGCCACTTGCTCCACACTGCTACCCGCGTGGTTCAATTTGATCCTTCGCCATCTTATCAAGAGCATGCCATTCTGCATCGAATGATCGGGTCCTTCCAGGTCCTCTGAGGAGTCTAATCGACTACAGTCATGACCTCTGTCATTGTAGATTATCAGCCCCTCTCAGACCAAGCAGATGCATTTGTGCGGATAGCTTTCTCCATCGGCAATGAGGCATTCGAATCAATGCAATCCACCAATCCCTTCCAGTCTGGAGTCCGAGACAGCTGAGGTCTTGAGATACTTCACGAGTTCCTTTAGAAGCATACAGGTAGCTCACATGTCTGTGGTGCCATTCTTGCAGCCCACAGCTTCTATTTCCGATGCATCTTCCGGCTCTGACATTTTCCGAGTCTGGATTTCCGGCAGGGTCAGCAAAGACGACTCGGAAGAGCAGCTCCGTCTTGTGGGGACTGCGGGGCTTGGAGGGGAAGGCAGTATATTCACATGTCATCTCCTCTTTCATTTCTTGCTTCAACCTCTCGTCTTGCTTTTCAGATTGACCACCCTCTGATTCCACAGCAAGCATGGACCCGTCAGAAGTCAACGTCCCTCCGCTCAAGGACCTGACAATCGACAACATTACCGAGAATGTGCACATGATCAACTCACAATGCGACGACCCTCGCATGAAATACCTGCTCGAGAGACTCGTCTCCCATGTTCACGACTTTGCCCGTGAGACGAGGCTCAGCACCAATGAGTGGATGGCCGCTATCCAGTTCCTCACAAAGGTCGGCCAGATCAGCAGCGACGTACGCCAGGAGTTCATCTTGCTTTCCGATGTCATTGGTCTCTCGCTCTTGGTCGACAGTATCGATCACCCCAAGCCCGCTGCCAGTACAGAGGGCACTGTTCTAGGCCCCTTCCACACCCACGAAGCTCAACTCGAGGGCAACGGCGGCAGCATCTCACATGACCCCGACGGTGAGCCTTGCTTAGTCCTTTGTACTGTCAAGGACACTGCCGGCAAGCCCATTGAGAACGTCAAGATTGATATCTGGGAGACGGACAGCAAAGGCTTCTACGACGTGCAATACGCAGAAAGAGATGGTCCAGATGGCAGAGCTGTCATGAAGAGCGACAAGGACGGTGTCTTCTGGTTCAACGCTATTGTGCCAGTACCATACCCTATTCCTCACGATGGCCCAGTCGGTCAACTTCTCAANAAGTTAAAGCGTCATCCATACCGTCCCAGCCACATGCATTTCATGTTCGAGAAGCCCGGCTACGACAACTTGATCACGTACGTACATCCTACATATCATCTCTCTCACGTCATTGTACTGACTTTGCTCCAGNNCGCACTATACCTGCGTGGCGACCCTTACGAAACTTCAGATGCCGTTTTTGGTGTCAAGGAGTCGCTGCTCATCGATCTGGGTACCGTGTCCGCCGAACAAGCCAAGGAGTATGGTGTGAAAGAAGGCGGCAAACTCATTACATACGACTTCGTTCTTGTGACCGATGACGAGTCGCGCAAGCTGCGAGAAGAAAAGGCCATGGAAGCCATGAAGAAGCTTGGGAGAAGAATGAAATTATACCAGGGCCTGCCTGTGCCCGATGTCGATTAGATGGACAAATATGAAAAACAATCAACCATCACCCCAGCCTCCCCAGGAAGGACGGAGGTCCACTCAACGCATTACGTCCCATTCTCCATGTCACAGTTTCGCTATTTTTCGGCCTCAAACCGAAATTCCTCACGAGACATCGCTGGTTCGACCGATGGTTAGAGGGCGAGAAGAGGAGAACCAGCTGAGAGGAAATGATATGTCTGTCAAATTCTACTTGTCTACCATCAGATAACGCGAAGCTTGGAGATGTCAGGCAAGACCTGAGGTTGTCTTCCGCACGTGGCATTTCACAAAAGAGGGTTCGTTCTAGTCACGACCACGAGGCGAACATCATAGTTGACTCATAAGTGAAATTTTTCTTAAGAGAGCTGACTGCTTGACTCTTCCATCTGGAATCCTCTTTCTTCGTTTACATTCTACACTTCTCAGTTCAGAACCTTACTACCGAAGCACATGATGACCAGCTTCTCAGCACTCCCGGCCGAGATCCGTCTTGTGATCTATGAAGCACTCTTCGACGATAGAACAGAACAACACTACCCTCACCCGATGCTTGGANNAATATCAGAGCAGATCACTACTGAATGCACACCTTACCTGTTCCGTCAGCTTCAGCTCACAATCGCGAATCCTCCTCCAGAACTCGGTTGTCACAATGAGCAATGGGTAGCCGCGCTATCCTCTCGCAAAGCTAAACGCTTACGCGTCCATCCTGGCAGAGTCTTCCCTTGGACGGACTTCCTTCAGGAAAAATCCTTATCGAACTGGTTGCCTTACATACAAAGGATCAATTTGTATCTCTTCGGCTTCCAAGGCTTGGAGATATGGATTGCAAATGTCAAGATCCGTTTCCACGGCGAATCGTCTGCGCCTAAGATCAATTTCAGCTTTTCCCGTATGCATCCTGCTCTGTCGGCGATGTATAGAAGGGGCATCAAGGCAGCGATTAGAACATCCAACGATTGTTCGGTGCCACTGTTGAGAAACCTTGTTAACGTCCTTCATACTCGGGAGACCAGATCTTTGACACGCAAACGCTCTGAGCTTGCACCATCACTTATGGAGGAGATTCTAGCGGGTATCAGATAATGGATCACGTTTACATTAAGCAAAGAATAACGCAGATGGCTGATTTGTCAATGGGTGGGATCACTCTGTGTGAGACTAGCAAAGGATTTACCCACTTCTGGTATATCAATGTCTCTTTTGTCGAAGGCTTGATAACTCGATCACAAGGCAATAATTCTTCGCCTATGACGAAAGTATCTTTTCTGATCCTGCCACAATTTACAAGGATATCACCGTCATATAGACCCCATACAGAAGAAGCCAACCATACAAAGCTACTGCTGCATCATGATCAGTGAAGAGTCAGACATACCGCCACTATAAGAAGCACACCATATTTTCCAAAGAAGCAAACAAGATTGATCGAAGAGCATTGGATCACCATCTGCATCATCTCCCGTGTTGCTTTCCAAGAAGCATGTGGTTGTCGTCACATCGAGCGAGGTTGTCGAAGTGTTTACAAGGGATGATCACCAGGTCAACGAAAGCTCTACACATTGCGTCCCTCCAGAAAAATTCACCTTGATGTAGTTCAATCGGCTTCCAAAACCCAGATCGGGATCACGGAGAGGCATTTACTAGACACTGACCTGACGGTCCACGTTGCCATGGGCCAGGCACTGCTCGCTCGCTTGGGATTGCGAGGGCTCGATGATTGTTGATGAATGACCTCGTAGTGGCGCTTGTCGCGGTCTTGTACTTGTCTCAGATCAGACAAGCGACGCTCGAGTTGATCGCGCTGCTGAACATCAGTGGAGAGTTCATCGGCGCGCAGCAGGTCGGGCTGCTTGCCAGTCACGGCGAGGTTGCTGCGGCACTTGGCGGCGCTGATCGTCTTTGTCCCAGTTCTTGTCAGCAGTTGCTAGACACAGGAGATGAATCCATTCCTTACCTTTGTTACTTGGGATAGAATCTCGGCGGCAGCGGATGCGCAATGATGCACCCAGACACGACGTCACAATGTAATGGTTCATCATCTTCAAGCAGCCAGCATCTGTTCATCATGATGGCAATTCTGTATTTACAGTTGTCTCCGTCTATGTCCACCATAAACTTGGTTTCACAGCATTTGTATACAGGCTTGCGTCGAAGGGATACATTCTTTAACATCCTGTGAGTGTACTGTTCCTGCGAACAGCAAAATCACGAAGGTACAGATCGAAGTCGGCTACTCAAGCCCCTAGCTGCAAGCGGATTGTCCATCTTCGACTCTTCTCCAAATAGTCCTTGAAATCCACGACCGTTCAGAAAGAGACGACATCCCCGATACTCAAACCATCTCTTCCAGTGGTTGGCCCATAGGTAGAGCAGTCTCATTGAGATCTCTTTCTGAGGTCCCAAGCGATCGGTAAGGCATCTGAACTTGCGACGGCCCGAAATACTGCCCGAGCTGTGTTGGAGATTACAGTCGTAATCGGCATTTGGGAAGACAATGCAATTGCCATAGACGTTGCCATCCACTAAACAAAATCCCAAAAGAGTCAGTCATGGGAAAGCAATGAGGAATCACTACTACCTCTTGGATAGTGATTTTTGCATGAACAGGGATTTTGGGAAACTTACAGCCATACATCTTGTACCCACGGTCTTTGTAGATCGCTAGAAAAAGAAAATGTCAGCCACCAAACAACCAATAACCGCTCTCGACAGGAAAAACTTACTCCAATGCAGTTTGGGATTATCCTGGATATGCATTTCCAAAACATCGATATCGCCTGCTGGTTTCTGCTGTGCGCATCCACTACCCTCACAACGGAATCCAGGCTTCTTGCTCACATCCCTCAAGTCCGGGAAGCCGTAGACGCCTTCATCGCGACCAAGGGCAGTAGGACAGTCCGGAGGAGAAGCAAATTGTTGCCAGATGATTTTGTCGCCGCCTTGGGCGTAGGGTCTTTGATGTAGACTCTGTAGACGTCGAAGTTGGCGGTGACGGCTGGGATGGAGAGGGCTGTTAAAGCGAGGGTTAAGAGGGAGAAGTGCATTGTAGGTGATGAGAGGAGTGCTTTGATATATCTACTGGGGATCGGGAGATGGAGAGGTGGTTTTTATACCCTGAGTTAAGTATGTTGTTCACGTGAACGCACTACTTCCCAACACATGCAAGGATAGACCAGACGGCATTAGCAGAGAGTAGACTGATTAGCTAGTCGATGGTTGGACCTTTCGACGTGGTATAGCGGGCCACAATGTGACATGCTTGACACAGTGCTTAGCGAGAAGGATCAGACTATGTAGGATTCAAATGAACATTAGCGCGACGAAGTGCTTCTTAGAAGCATGTTCTAGTCATTACTAGTCTCTCTAAAGCTGTGATTGTCGTCGAGCAGAGAAACAGCCATAGCAGAACACGAGGCTCAGGCATTGCTTGGCGGATGCCTGGTGCCTTGGCAGCATATATTCCTTCAACGTAAAGACGACGTCGATCGACAGCTATTTGTCAACTCCATCGAGGACTCAGCACCTGTACCATACCTACCTGAGGCTCCACAAGCAGAAGGTGAACATTTCTGGTGCAACATAGTCGCAGTCGGGTATCGTCGCTACGCTGCACACGCAGAGTTCAGTAACAAAAGGTCCAAGGAATCGCGTTTCGAAGGAACGTTGCTGAATTCTTGGCAAGTAATATAAACATCCATTATTTTTTGTGCTTCGCAAAAAAAAAAGAAAATAGATCTGATTGGGCCGCTTGCATTCACCTCCTAAGACTCGATTTCCACTCACCTATGATGCACGTCAGTTAGCTTTCAAGTCCAGCCGGGAATGCGAAAGAGTTAATGGGCGGGTCAGTGACCTGATGATCTTGGGTTAACCGACTACTGAACCAATGGTGCAATCCTTCAGCAAAGAAGATGCAGACCATGCAAAGGCTTGATCGTCTGTCTTCGGAGCATGATTCGAGTTGCAGTAACACCGCCAGCTTTTTCCAAGAGGGACCGCGTTCTGTCACACCCTTTAGCTGATCGACTAGCTGAGTGGCATTGCTCGGCATAGGTCCCAACCACGGGAGGAACCATCATACTTGGCTGTCCTTGTGCTTGCCGTCATAGTCGGTCGCTCTCGGATACCACCCACGTATCAGCAGTTTACGTGTGGGTATGGATCTCCGTATTGGTGTGCAAACGTCAGACGGCCGGAAACACGAGCATCAATCCTGAAATGCGTCAGCACAGCACAGACAATAATGCTTGATGGAGACACATACCAGGATCTTGAGCATCACTGGCCTGGTCTTCTCACCAGGGGTCAGTGTTTACTCGTTGGGATTAAGTCATCAAGAGACTTCCTTGTAAAGCAGAAGTAAGCTTGATCAGCGATATGCTCGAGACCAGTTACATCGAGATTACGACCAGTAAGCCACAAGCTGGCAGCTTTTGTGTGCTCGAGAGAATGGCTGATGTTTTACAAGGGCCGGAGATTTTGGTCAAGGTCTCAATCTTGGGTTCAACAGGTTGAGATTCTGGCCATTGCGATGGTCATCGTACAGATTCTACATTCCGTTGGCTGCAGACTGCTCTGCATCGCTGTTGGTTTCTAGATTTCCTTAGCCGCTAATAAATCTGTGGTCGAATTTGCGTGAAGAAGTCTTTTGAGAGCCATGGTGACTCCGATGGACCTGGAAGGGCTAAGGCTCTCTGCATGGCTGAATGCAGCAAGTCTGTCGATGGTTTTGCTGGTTAGAACACTGGCCGGACTCGCGATACATACCAGACTCTTAGCAGCGTTTACTTTCTTGTGTGATTTGAGGACGAACTACATGGTGGATTGCGAGTGGGCTCTGAAAACGATGAAGCACTCGGCCGGATGAGAGGTTGCAGTTGTGCTGCGGGAATCCGATCGCCCTTCGTTGACAAAGCCTGCATCGTTACGGGAGAAAGTATGGCGCAAGCCAAACCCTAATATGGCTCCGAGACATGAGGAATGATAGCGTCTCTGTGTCGCTGGAAGGAAAGGGGTTCGTGCTCGACTGGTACGGTAAACTTGCATAGGTCTCTCGTTTGGTGCGGCCATGAGGGGTATCCAGGTGCTGAGTACTGGCTGCCGGTTGCAAAGAGGAATTGGCTCAGCGTCACTGCACAGACGCTCTCCAAGGTGCGCAGACGAAGCATGCGGCATGCGAGGATTGCCAAAATACCTCTCTTTGAAGCAGCATCAGTGAAGCCGGATCAAGCAAAGTTTTGTGCTTGGAAAAGGGCTATGAGACACTGCAAATCAATCAATCAAAAACCTAATCACACCTTCTGGACTCAGGTTACTGTACCTCTACTGCGAGAATGCAGTCTTTTCCGGTTGATGCATGTCGCGGTGTACGTTCGAGCGCTTTTTGGCGGAAGACGATGCAATCAGCGCGCTTTCCTCTCTTGGCTCGAGTCGATGCAAGCTTCATCATCGCATCTACCACCCAAAAACGAACTGTAGCCATCACTCAACAACTAGTTGACCGTTGGTCAGATTAATGGATGACGACACTGCTCAAAGTTACTAGAGCCCAATTTTACGATGATTTGGTGATCCCAGCATTGGATAGTCCTCGCCGCGACTATCACCCGACATAGGGGTAACTGTCCTTACTCGACAACGATGGGGCTTCTGTTCAAATCAGCGTATGGCGATACTGTTTGATGTTACTAGAGCACAGCTTTACGATGGTCTGGCGATTCGAGTACTGGGATGGTCATCGTCGCAGCTGTGACTCGGGATGTCGATACAGTCATTGCTCGACAACGACAGGGCTTTCGATCAAACTGGCGCATGGCGATATTATTCAAGCATACGGGAGCTCAAATTTACGTTGGCTCTGCGATCCCAGCATTGGAGTGGTCATCGTCGCGACTACCACCCAACATGGAGGAACAGTCATTACTTGACAACGACCGAGTTTCTAGCCAAACCAGCGTATGACGGTACTCTTGAAGCATAATAGAGCCCGGTTTTACGATAGTTTGGTGATCCCAGCAGTGAAAGGTCGTCACCGCCTCTATCACCGGAAATCGTAAAAACAGTCATTACTCGACAACGATGGGATTTCTGACCAAATCAACGCATGGCGATACTCCCCAGTCATGGAAGAGCCTAAAACTACGACGGTTCGGAGATCCCGGCACTGGATGGTCACCGCCGCCTTCGTCACGCAGAAATCGAAGCATAGCTATCGATACCTCGACAACGACAGGGCTTCTGGCCAAACCACCGTATGGCGATGGTCTTCAAGCTTGCTAGATCACGATCCTATGAGGGTTTAGTGATCCCAGCACTGGAGGGCCATCGTCGCCTTTGTCACCCACAAATCGAAGCACAGTTATCAATAACTGGACGACAACATGGTTGCTAGCCGGACTATTGTATTATGGTATTCTTTAAGCATATAAGAGCTTGGATTTACGATGATCTGATGATCGCAGCATTGGATGGTCGTCGCTGGATCTATCACTCAAAAGTCGAAGCACAGCCATTGATAGCTCGATAACCATAGGGTTCCTACCCAAACCCTCGTATGATGATGTTCTTTGATCTTACCATATCCCGGTCATACGATGGTTTGGTGATCTCGGCACTAGATGGTCGTCGTCACTTTAGTCGGCTAAAAATCAGAGAGCAGCTATTAACAATTCGACAACGACAAAGTTTCTACCCAGACCCTTGTATGGTGATGTTCTTCGACCTTATCACACCCCAGATTTACGGTGGTTTGATGATCCCAGTACTGGATGGTCGTCGCCGCCTCTATCGGCTCAGAACAGCTTGATGTGCCATTACTCAACAGGGACTTGGCTTCGAATGGAACTCATGAAGTATGATGTTGTTCAAGGTCACTAGAGTTCCATCCTATATCAGTTTGGTGATCCCAGCATTTGATGGTTGCTGTTGATCTGTCATGTCCATTATTCAACGGGCGAAAAGAGATCTCCCAAGCTTGATCCAGCTGCCAGATGGTGCAAGTCCATACTCATGCATCTACAACACTGTGCGTCTTCTCGAAAACAGATATCTGCACAAAGGCCCCCGTATCACGAGCGTTGAACGGGATACGTCTCAAGACATGATATTTATGCCTTTCCATCCTCTCCCCATCTGATGCTGGATCCCGCAGATGACAGTCTGTCCACAATCGACCTCTTCAAGGCTACAGACTTTACGATTCCCGAACCCATCTCTGGCGTGAATGGAAAAGATCCGGGTAACCGTTCACATTGTCTCGCTCGCACTCATATTGCCAGACTCCGCAACCTGTTTCTGACGAACTGGAGCAAGTACCTTCTTGGACCAGACGATACTCTTGCTTTCTCTGAGTTTGGTGAACACGGTTCCCGGCGTTACGATAAACGTGGACTCTTCCGCAGATGGCTCAACATTCCCAGAGAGGTTCATAGGCTTGCACGCTACTTGGAGGAGCCAGAGTTGGCTCTTTCGCATCTGTATGACGGTCAGACGGAGCGTGCCAATGGCGCTTGGATTGACGCATACGACCGTCTTCTCCAACAATACCCTGCCACATCCGACTACAACCAACAGTGTGAGAAAGCATACGACGCCGAAGGTCTAGACCATTTCCCCGACAACCTTCTTCACCGCCGTGCTCTCCCAGATACCACGGCGGACGATCCCGTCACTTCGGAGGATGAAGACGAGGTCCATGGCGAGTCCTGCGGAGACTCTGACAATGAGGAACGCATGAGCGACACTGATAGCTAGGCGAGTGCTGACATTCTTCCTTCAAATTACACCAAGATTGACTGTCTTGGTACTACTTGCGAACTTTCTTCATGGCGAAGAGGAACTAAACACCACTGGATACATCTCTGCTACACAGTGGTGATCAGAGAGGATATGAAGCTCACATGGAACGGGAGAAGATTGGAAGACAGCCACGACAAATTGCAGTTACAAAGAGCGGAATGAGATGACAAGACCTAACGTCAGATCCTGCAAAGACGCAGAATTAAGATCAGGATTTCAAAATTGGAAGCAAGCAAATCAACATCATATCTTCATCAGCGTTTCATCCGCATCCCGACCAACAAAGCCTTTTCCAGCCTCCTTCTTCGGCAACTTCTTCTGACATCTAAGAGACAGTAACGCTGGCGCTGCCAGTACCAGAGAAAGCCTCGACAGCCATGACCTGGAAGTTGTAAGAGTTGCCAAAGCCGTACTTGGCCCAGTAAGCAAAGTGGTTGCCAGTGGTGACCGTGCCGGAAGTGCGCTTAGTCTGGCGGACAGACCAGTACTGCTTGAAGGTAGAAGTACCAGTGATGGAGGGCTGGTTGGTGCGGGTGTCGGTGCAGACAGTGTAGGTAGCGCCATCGCTGTAGACGGTACCCAGCTGAGTGACACCAGATTGGCCGGCGCCACAAGGGTTGTACGAGCCGTAGGACTCGACAATGTAGTACTCGGCCTGAGGGCTGTTAATCCAGCCGTAGACGGNAAGGTAAGAGCCGCCGGTGGCCGCGTAGTTGGAAGAGTAGGTGATGGAGCGAGCAGCACCGGTTGACCAACCGAGACCGACGACGAAGTCGCCGCTGACGCCGTTGTTCCAGTACATGGAGTAGGTTCCGGCGTTCTCGTTGTAGGTGAACTGGCCCAGGTTGCCGTTGTAGTTCTGGACGTAGTTGATGCCCCCGGGACCGGCACGCTCGATCTGTTGTGTTTCATCAGTAATGATACTTTTGGATAGAATAGTTCATTGTAGGGATCGTACCAGCATAGGGCTACTGGCCTCAGCCTCGGCCTCTGCGATTGGAGCAGCAACAGCTGCAGCCACGAGGGTAGCAATGGTGGTGAAGAACTTCATGTTGAAGAGTGGTGGAAAGATTATTCGATTGAGTGTGAGTAGAAGTGCTGGAATAAGTTGTTGATAAGAAGTAGTGGTGCTGGTCGTCACCCTTCTTTATATATTTCTGACAGGACAGCATTTATCCTTCGATCTTGTTAGATCCACTATATGAATCATGTCCTTGCTTGCCTGATGTCCAGTGCAAAGAAGATTACAGGGTGATGGCAAATCAAGTACGACACCTCGCTTGGATATGTTCCACACGCAATGGTGCACTCGAATGGCTGACTCTTTTAACCGGACATGTGATTGGTATACTCAAAGTATGGCTATACGACGAACGTTCTACGGCCGATAGCTTGGAGCATAGGGCTCTATATCGTCTCGTGCATACTTCCATGCGGGCATGAAACTTTCACCTTAGCCGCTGCACAAGGTTCGTGGGGTCGTGGTGTGTAACTTTATCTCTATTTGTCGGCTGCAGGAACACCACGCAGTGCATTTGCAATTCGCCGGTTCGAGGCTCTGTCGTACTGATCCAAATAATGGACGGCTATGCAGATATAGATTGGCTGACCTCCTGGTTTAATATGACTCCTTGCGGGAACGCGGGAGAGATACATGATTCTCACAGAAGAATGGCAGTCGTCTTCAGCACCCCACAATTTGGAGCCGACCTCGGCTCCACATGAAACACACTACTGTACGGACATCAAGGCTTGATCAGGCTTGTTGATTCTTGACTTACGTACCAAGACAATCAAGCCTACCAAGAGACTTCTGACAGATCATCTCGCAGTCTAAACACTTGAACATCATGTCCTTTTGTCGAAGACTGGCAATGAACACCGGTCCATTCGGCATTGGAGTTTCATACTTCAAACATTTCTGTATTAGCTGTAAGAACATGTTTTTGGATCAGCAATGGCGGAAAGGCAAAAGCGGTTAAAAGGAAAAGCTTACATAAGGCGTGCTTATATACCCTCAGGGCAAGCTAGTCTTTTGTAGATCGCCCCGCACATCGCACGCGTCTACGCATGTTCCATTTCGCGCCTCTCCTCTACTACTCCATGTGACACAATCAATACTCGTCACCGACATGGAGTGGCGCCTACCTCTAGGCCCTTCTGACAACTGAAGACGGCGACGTGCATAGCAGGCGAGACCAACAGCTACAAGATTATCTTCCATTGACATCCGAAAGTAATGGCACAGTTCTAATAAGGAAGCAGTGTACTTTCCGGCAACTTTGATGTGAAGACAGCTTTCGGATACCACCATCTCGAAACTGCCCAAAGTATATTCAACCTTTGCCCCACGGGGAATTCTGCAAACTGAGGGACTCAAGGCATCGGCTTGAATAGCCACTTCGGCGGATACAAGCTGAAGTCAGGGGTGACCTCCGGTCAGCAGGCATTAACCAGCGTAACATGACCGCCGTTCAACTCACAATGCAGCAATAACCCTGAATCCTGTTGACAGATCAATCACCCAACAGCCTAAATTGGCTTGCGAGAGCCAGCAGTCTTGGCACTACTCAGTACTATATGTGATCATGCGTGACTGGATCCTGTTAGCAGAAATGCAGCTGTATGAGGATGTTCACAGTTGAGGACAGCCTGGCGATGGTATTCAGCCGCCATCATAGCTATACTGCCTGATGGCCGAATTCAATAGTCATAGGCGATCATCTCTTCCAGCTTCATGCAGATTGGCATTGCAGTAGAGATCATTGCAAGGTACTAAAGCCTATGACACAGAACACGTGCATGCTTGAAGCCTAGATTTTGTGAGCGGTAATTATACATGCGCTCTGTTGCACAGACTTCATCTGGCAAGACGATCAAGCATATATCGGTGGACGTGCCCGACCCAGATGAACGTGATCTCCAATAATGCTCATCAAGGGGTCTGGATCTGAAACCGGACCGGGCCGCCTTCTCATCCAGCGATTGGATTGCGGGAGGCTGAAAGCTCCGTTCTTGCTTTGTACTGCTTTGCTGGTCATAGTAATTGGTGAAGGATGATCCATGGGTATCAGGAGTCGTACAGGCATTATCGGCGGCCATGATATCAGTTGCCATAGCAGGTCCAGCATTAATGATAGGGAGAAGGGCTGCGGGCTGGAGAGTAAGATGTCGTACCCTCTCTGCCGCGGTATCCACACGTGCAGCGATGTCGTTTCCGATAGAGTGATGTTCGGCACAGTCAAGATAACCTGCTCCAGGGATTTCTACAAATCCTTGCGAACACGGTTGCCGTGATAGACTCTCGCGATTAATCCACAAAGAAAGAACCCTCGGAAATGAGCACTTCTGGTGGCAGGATCAAGTCGTACGTTGGAATGGCGAAGTCATAGACATTGTGAGGATTGAGAAAGTCATATCCCAGATTTCTTCGAAAGCATTGAAACGCTGCACAAGTATGACGGAGCAGAACGATCGTGTTTCTCAACAAGTAGCAGACCACTTTTAAGCAAGAGATCATCTAAGCTCCTTTACCTCTTCCTGGAAAACCTTAGAAACACCATCTACGTTATCCCCCCAAGTCTCTGCCGGCATACCCTCAAGTACTTCGGCCCGCTCCTCAGGTCTGACATAGTCCTTGGGCTCATGCCATTCTCCCAGAGGCATGACCAACGCGGGAGGATAGAAATAGCAACAAGCCCAATAGACTCCGAAACTCAAGATCAACCCAATCTCATAAGCAAAGTAGTAAGATTTGGTGACACCCATAGGTGCAGAGACTCCCATGTTGTTAAGAAAGCCGTAGAAGTTGGGTATGATGCCGATCACGTAGGCGACATAAGCACGCCAGTTCCAGCCATGGAAGTAGTGGTATACACCATGCTTGTCGCTTGTGTAGAGATCGTCGATTTTGAGGTAGCCGCGCGAGATGATGTAGTAGTGGCAAAGTAGGACACCAGTAATTGCAGACAGGAAGATCTGGTACGAGGCGAGGAAGGAGATGAAGATGCCTGCACTGCCCAGCAGATACCATGGATTGATGACAAAGGAGACAGCAGCACAGATGAAGAAGCCTTTGCGAACTGTGAGATACTTTGGAAACAGCGCCGCAATGTCGTTGCCAGCGGGTAGAGAGTTCTCGAAGATTGATGAGAAGATTGCTGAGTATCCGAAGCAAGCGGCAATGAAGAAGCAACCTGCACGATTAACAGAGCTGTACTCTGTTGTTTGAAGCATGTCAAGAAAGGTAAGAGGATTCCAGACGACTTCGCCATAGATTGCTTGCGATGCTGATGCAACAAGATTACCAATGATACAGACAATGAAGTTGCTCAGAGGGAAGCCAGCAAGGTTGCCCAAGATAACATCGTTAGGCCTTCGAGCATAACGTTGGAAATCGGCTGCGTTGGATGCAAAAGTCGCACAGTTCGCCGCACCTAAGAAGAAGAATCGGACAAGGAGCCATGTCCTCTCTGATCCAGTCGCGGTACCCCTTTGGTGTGCGATAGCTCCAACACCACCTGCTTTTGTCAAGGTCCATGCGCACATGGAAATTGCTGAAACGATGAAGACAAAAAGCTTGGCGTAGATGAGTGATCGCATTTTGGGCACAGGAATGACCAGGAAAGCACAAGTGACGAGCCAGAAGATGACACAGCCGATGAATTCTCCAGAGCCGATGGCTGATCCTTCGCCCATGATGTTCTTGAGATTTGCAATCTTTGGTGTAAGGGCATGTATCATCACGTAGATACACTGGCCTCCTTGAACCTGGCAGACGGTTAGCTATAGCCCAGATACAGTAGAACTCTCACTCACACCGTTGACTCCATTCCAGACGATGGCCATAACAGCACGGTTGAATGTGGGCCACCATGCTCCGAATACTCCAAACGCAGCTCTGTTCAACACAGGAAAGCCGATGTGGTATTTTGCTCCGGCACGGCCGTTGAAGACAATCACAATGGCGATGAGAATTTGTCCTCCCAAAGCAGTGGCGATTGACTCCCACATACTCAATCCCAGAGCTTGAGCTGAAGATGCTGCATACCAGTTTGAGACGGTGGCTACAGCACTGAACCAGAAGGTCAGGTATGCCTTCATGTTCCATGTCCGATCGGCGAGTTTGAGTGGTCTNNGTAAATAGTTCAGCGAGATCCAGTTCAGATTCTTCTAGCTTCTTCACCTGATATCATCGTTATCGAGCCACATATCCTGGCCCTTGACCTCTTCTGTACCCGCTGCATGTAGATGAGGTTTGGGTATACCATTGCGGATTCTAGTAACAAGTCCCGACATCTTGGTATACGAGACAGACTAAACTGAGTGTTGAGAGCTCAGATAATCCACACACGATCCACGGATGAATTAATAGACGCCTGAGTAAACCATGTCGGCAATCGGCTCTGATTTTGTTATCTCTGAGCCGTACATAGATATTCAGGACAAACGCCTATCGCTCAAACCGGTCGAGAATGTACATGCCCAGAGATTGGCATAACATGATTATAGATAGGCAGTGCTGATCGGTGGTCTGTCTCAGGCTCACGGAGGCCAGTTACACGGAGGTAGCTACCTCGAAAACATGAGGGCATAGTGAATCTTGTTCGTTATTTCTGACTTATCTTCATATCAACTACGTGCATTCAGTTGAAGGTGAATTCACTTCAGCGTTCTGGAAACGCGTCTCGAGTCACTGCTTCCTGACCGAGTTCCTGTGTAGCCAAGCATATGAAGCGACTTGACGACCTTGGCGAGATAACAGACGAGCAAGAGCGGGCAGCCATTAGGAAGTGCTTATCAGTTGGTGCGTTGTACAGTCTGATCGTGTATTGCAGCCAGACTCGACACGAGATTCATCTCGATTTCACGAATTGTCGATGAGTCAAGAAGTCTGGAGGAAATGTAGAAAGCAGAAACCATGAAGTGTCGTGAATCAGGCTGTTCGCTCGTCCACGACTTTTGGCCGCTGGGTGTCGCGCGTGCTTTCCCTTCTCTTCACGCGCCCAGTCCCGCGATCGTTCTTCCTCCCAGACCATGTTGACTTGGCGTGATAAGATGAGTTTCGTTATGTCGCGCAAGTCACATCTGTATGCCGATAGGGCAACTCTAGCATGACGCCGCTCTCCGAAGGGCCAATAGAACGCAACCATGCATCAAGTAGGTAGCACATAAGTATACATCTAGTCACATCCAGGTCGCTCTTCCCCAACTTATCCCAAAATGTCAACAATTACTATGACTGAAGCTCCCTCGAGCTACAAACTCGAGCTCCACACTGCTTACGGTCCGGTCTTTCGTGATGTCCTGAACACTGAGCCACGCGATGCTACCGAAGAGGAAGTCCCGATCGTCGACCTCGATGGTCTGTTCACCAGCACTGAGAGCCGAAAGAAGATTGCCCAAGCTGTGCGAACCGCAGGCACAAACATGGGGTTCTTCTACATCAAGAATCACGGCATCGACGACCAAGTAATCGCGAAAGCAAAGTCTCAGTTCCTGAGGTATACGCTCCAGATACTTTCTCCACCGTTATGGCAGCCTTTCTAATTGAACNNCAGCTTCGTCCAACAAGACACCAAACTCAAGGAGAAGGTATCACAAGACAAGTCCAAATACTACAATGGTTGGAAAGCCCCTCGTAGCACAAACATTAGTCGCACCGAGTCCGTCGATGTCAAGGAAAGTTTCAGCTGGCGCTACCACCCCGAGAACGATCCCGATCATTCCCAACCTCTATCTTCTTTACCTTCTGAAGTACAACCCTGGATCCGCGGCGAAGCTTTCGTCTGGGAAGGCACCTCTCACATCCCAAACTTCAAGACTGATATCCTGAAATATTGGAAGTCTTGTCTACAGCTTGCAAGACACCTCGTCAAGGTCTTTGCTCTGAGTCTAGACTTGCCGGAAGATTACTTCGATTCCAGGACCACATTTCCTGGCGCCGATGGAGTGCTAAACTACTACCCTGTCACCACAGCAGAAGAAACGGCAGCAAACTCCGTAGGACTGGGTTCGCATACTGATCTGCAACTTTTCACTTTACTCTGGCAAGACGAAGTCGGTGGTCTGCAGGTGTTGACAAAAGACGGCCAATGGATCAAAGCAAAACCAAGACCAGGGACATTCGTCGTCAATATCGGAGACTTCATGATGAGATTGTCGAATGACTTTTTCAAGAGTACGGTGCATAGGGTGTATAACCGTGCACCTGTCGAACGAGTATCCATGCCTTTCTTCTTCGGTGAGTGGGTAACTGGTCGGAAGTTGAGCCAAACCTAATATGACCANGGCTTGAACTTCAATTGCGTTGAAGGTGTCATCCCAACATGTACAAGTCCTGAGAACCCGCCCAAGTATGAGCCGATCAGCTGTGGCGACGTAAGTAATCCAGATTTCCTCCATGCTATCGGTAGGCTAAATCCCTCTCAGTGGTGTCAACTACGCTTCAAACTCGAGGCAGAGCGTATGGCGAAAATGTTGGCGGAGCGTGAGACGACCACCAAGTTATCAGCAAAGTAGACATGCTACAAGGAAGCTCTGCAGTCATCATTGTGTTGTGACCTGAATCGCAATCGGCGCCCCAGACGGAAAGCAGAAACAGGAGACACTGCCATAAACCAGATTCTTCAGACACATTTATCTGAGCTGGATGCGGCTCCTTGATTTCCCTTTCCAGCGTTCTCTCCTGCGGTCGATCACGTTTCTAAGGTTGTTCCTCAGCCCTCCTAACATCAGCGGTCGAGACGCTCTAGTCTCTAAAATTCACTGCTCGGTGCTTTATCTCTGCGGTCATATTCCAGCTGGAAAGGGATTTGCAACCGCTTGCTTGTTGCCTTTTGCGGCCAAGTTCAACTCATATAGCGATGAATGTTGAATTGAGAACTTTGCTTCACTTCAACCTGTGGTACTTGTAATATAGACTTTCTTGCAGTGATACGATGTGAATATGATCACCTGTCACGAAAAGGGTCTCAAAATCCGCGTAGAAACACAAGCTGATGTAATCATTGCGCTATGGATGGTTTCATGCTATGGAGGGAGTTGACCGCGGGAGCAAATGTCTCCATCGAATTTCATCCTACCGCGGCCTCCAACTCTCCTTCCTTGGCTTCTCTCCTCCTCCGTCTCTACTGAACCCTCTCGCCAGGATCTGCAGGCAAACTCGATACCCATTTCGAACGAGTGATTCCGACTAGACAAGATAGCCACTCCTAGAGTCCATCGAGCAAGATATTAATATTAGCTAATAGTTGGTGTAAAGTGATAGAGTTTAGGGGGCATCGCTTAGCTAAATGGTTTTGCTTACTCTTCTCTATAATGGACTCCTTAAAGGCGTATATGCATAAAGCATGGCCTAGTAGGACCTAACCTTAGTAATAACGGCACTTTCCCTAATAAGAAGTCTATAATTTGTGTCAAGTATAACGACTAGGTTCTCTGGGAGAACAATAACTCTTAGTATCTTATCCGTTATAGTACTGACATTAATGGCATCATCGTTTTAACCTACAAGGCCCGCATGATTAGATCCTAGGCCACCTTCGGCTTAGAGGAGTACATGGAGGTCAGTTCTATATCTAGATACCGCTTCTGCGGCCTTGATCTTGTTCTCCTGCGATCGGCATGTGCTGTTTAGGTCTACTGTCAAGTGAATGGCTACCTACATCCTATTAGCCAAAACATCGAAGTCGTAGAATAGGCTGTGTGAAGAAGCTAACCTAGATGTTTTCGGTAATGCGCGTAAGGTTATCGCAGAGGGCACATGTAGGTCCATCCCTACTGTACCTAACTAAACCTATGGCGGCTTCTTGTGCTGCGGTGCGCTTAGAACCGTCCATGTTGTGCCTTCCTCCATATAAGCACACCACAATGAACGGTTAGCACCTGTATCCTCTGCCAACACAAAAGCATGTAAAGTATCTCACAGCATGCTAAGAAAAGTGCCATCAAACATATGAGAAGAACCACATAAGAGCATTGAGAAGAAGATATTTCAAGTACAGAGATACTGCAGATCTCGATTCATTTGAAAAAATAACTATCTCTAACTAGCCAGGGGGTATAGATCCAAGGTGGGTTAATTACATCCTATCGACATTCCTCCACAGTATAGTTTTACAAGTGAGCTAAATAAAAGGGAAATAAAAGGGGTTTAGATTACAAAGGTGCCTGGATCTTTTATGATTCCAAAAGGTCACCAGTACTCTCGTGAGAGCACAGAGAAGTGTTGACATGGTTTGTTGTGTGGCATTAAGGAGAGTGATGTGTGCCGGACGCATCAAATGGCATCATGGAGAGGAAATTCATCCTTAGATTTAGAGGACAAGGGCGGCAACACCGGCAGCCATGGCGGCGAAGCCCATGCCGTTCTTGACGGCAGCGCCAGTGTATGCGACCATGGATGAGGTGGGGGTGTACTGCACAATGGTGGTCGAGGGCTTCTTGGTGGAGCCAGGGACAACGGTTGCAGGGACAGTCTCGGCGGGCTTGGTGGAGCCGTTCTCGACAGTGGCGGGGATGGTCTCGGCAGGCTTGGTTGAAGCAGGGACGGTAGTTCCAGGGACAACAACAGTCTCGGAGCCAGCAGAAGGAGCGGGAGCGGGGGCACCAGGAGCGCCGGGAGCAGAAGGAGCAGAAGGAGCAGGGGCTCCAGGAGCACCAGAGCTAGCGGGGCAGACAGTGGTGTAGAGAGAGACAACGGCAGTTACAGTGGCCTTGCCGCATCCGTTAGCACCGCAAGTGGTGGTAACCTGCTCCTGAGTCGAGTAGACGGTGGAGGTGGTCATGGGGCCAGTAGGTCCGGCGAGGACGGGCACCGAGATGACGGTGGTGGTGACAGCAACGGGCTTGCCAGGCATGGGTCCGTTGGTAGGGCACTGGTAAACAGTGACGGTCGAAGGAGCGTATTGGCAAGCAGTGCAGACCTTGACAGTCTGGGTGGTAACGGCACCAGCAGCAGCGCCGCCGTTAGCGCCAGCGCCAGTGGGGTAAGCAACTGTAGAAGCGGGGCAAACGGTAGTGTAGGCAACGACGACCTCAGTGACAGTGGCAGCAGAGCAAGGAACACCAGGAGCGCAAGACTGGATGGTCTTGGTGGTGGTGCTGTAGACGGTCGAGGTGGTCAGAGGAGTGGTGGTAATGGTGCGGGTGACCTCGCCCTCGGTGACGGTCTCGGTAGAAACAACGGGGACGAGAGAGCCAGATGCGGCAGGGGCAGCCTCGTTGACAAGGATGGCAGAGTCGGTGTTGGCATCAGCGAAAAGAGAGTCAATGGTGCTGTAGAAAGTGCAGCTTCCCTGCTGGGAGTTGTACGAAGTACCAACGCAAGCATCCATGGCAGAGCAAGAGTCAATGCAGTCAACGATCCAGTCGTTGCCGAAGGTGGCCTGGCGTCTGACCATGCGGGCCTTGCGGGTCAAGAGGACGATACCGTTGATGTTGGTACCGCACTGGATGAGGTACTGAGTGCCATCGGTCTCCTGGAGAACTTGATTTTGGTACGTAGGACAGATAATACTCTCAGCATTGGGGAAAGTGCCGTTGTTGCCAGGGTTGGGGCTGGCGGTCACGGAGGTACCGTTGTTGCCCTGAGTGGACGAAGGGAAAGGAGCACCAGAGGTGGTAGCGTTGTTGGCGCGGCCAGTGACTTGAGCAAAGTCAATGCCAGGAGCCGAACGTCCAGTGGTGGAGTCGAACTCGCTGAAGAAGGTGCAAGTGGTAGAGTTGGTGTCGTAGGCTGTAGCAACGCACTGCTTGTTGGCGGCGCAAGTACGGAGACAGTCTTCAAGGTCCTGGCCGGCTCTCTTGGCGAGAACAAGCTCCAAATCAATCGTGATACCATTATAGGTAAAGTCGAACTCGATAAGGAAGTTCACACCGTCAACAGTGGTGGCACTGGTAGACGAGGCGGGAGCAGCGGTGGTGGTAGAGGAAACGCTACCAGTAGTGGCGGTGGCGGTAGAGTTTGAGCCTGAGCCTGAGCCGGCGCCAGCAGTGGAAGAGGAGCTGCCGCTGCTGGTGCCAATGATGCTGGAGCTTGCAGTACCGAGGGGAACGGAACGGCTGGAGGAGGTAGAGATCATAGAAGAGCTGGAAGAGCTGTTGGTGAAAGCCTCTGCGCGGCGGTAGGCCACGTTGGCAGAGGCGAGGCTCGAAAGCGAGAGAGCAGCGACAGCTGCGGAGATGAAGGAAGGCATTGTTGTTGTCGTCGAGTGTTTTTGTTAGTAAAATTAAGTATACAAACACACGAGAGTCCCCCTGAACGAAAGTGGGTGGTTGTCGATGAGCGAAAGTGATCGTGGATGAGAGAAAAAGAATGCCTTGGGTGGCTGCTGCAGGCTGGTTATATAGATGTCGCTGGTCGTCAGTTGCACCGACATGAAGGTTCGCTGTTTTCACCAGCCTCTCAAGAGAGTGGGTTGTTTCCCTTGGAAACAGTTGACTTACCGTTGTCGCTTTGGTTGCTAAAGATGGAGACCGTTGCCAAATCGATAAATTTCTACGAGGACGTTGCGGCTTTCAGATTAAGACGGGCAAGACATACGCAACTCTGTACCGGCCATCACACAAAATTCAACGCACCGCAAGATAGCAGTTGGATGAGGCGCAACGGAAAACAGAAACGCAAGGCGCAAGAGGCGCACATTTTGCGCATGTCCAGAAACTTTATGATTAGGAGTATAGAAGAAGTTCTATACAGCACGAGGTGAAGTCGAGAGAAGCACGCGGCAGGCCCTGCAGCAGACAGGAAGATCTCCCGACGCCGGCCCTGTCAACCCAGCCATGCATCAAAGCTTGGCAAAGAACGTTATAATATTGTTTCTTGACTGCGACCCTTCCATGCTCCGATCCCTCGTACCACGGCAGGAACGAGCAAAATCACATGTCGATCTATAAGATGGTGCGTCATTACGGCAGGAACGAACCTGCAGATCCTTAACTATTGGTTCCTGCCCTGGTGTTGAAACTCTTCGCCTCGATCCCGCTGCAGGAACAAACGCACTAATGTACGGGCGTAGGATGTTGCTCCGCTTTCCCCTTTGCTTGCTGTGCTGTTCTCCATCCTATCGCGAGCAGTTGAGTAAGACAATGACGCTTGTCACCGTGTATCCTTCGCTGAGTCCAGTTAATGATCGAGCAGGATCATCTTGTTGAGCCATCCTGATACACTATTCCTGTTTGTATTGACTCTATTCTTGGGTCTCTCGTCCTCGTGAGAGTGCTCGGTGTCCACATGAACGTCCGACTCTTGGCCCGACATACGAAAGCCTGTCCATAGTGCAACTACAAGCTGAGTCGTGGGCATTGTTGTCGCTTCGATATACCCCATCATCCGATGGCGGCGTCAAAAATGGCGTACATACCCGTGTGTGCCAGCCCGCCTTTAGACTGTTGCGGTGTAGCTTTTCCATTCAACCACATGCGATGATAGTCCACACCGAGGGAGCTCCACCCCAGCATTTCGAAAAGCTTCACGGCATGAGGATTCCCATCCCACACCTCCGCCGTTAGTGTATAGGTTCTCAAATGTTCTACTCCGGGCTGCGGCATAGCGGATGTGGTTGAGGCATTTTCAATCTTTTTCATCGCGTGCTTCATCGCAGCAACGATGATCCTGTGTGCTGAGTTTTGATCTGCTGCGTACACCGGGCCTAAGCGGTATCCTTGAGGAACCTGGCGCATAACCGTCCAGGCACGGATTTCTTCATCCTTTCTAGCACCTTCTTCATTGACCAGGGCAAATCCGGACACATCAGATCTGTTGAAAAACTTTTCACTCCAAAGCTGTTTGCGTCCGAATCCTGTATGATCGAGATCGGACTTTGCCAGAAGATGGTGTGGGACATCCTTAATGTCGATGAGCTGCAACCTCGTATTGGGGTCATGTGATGTGGTATGGTGAATATCGGTCGAGATGTTCCAAGACATACAGCGAATCTTGCCGAGCGGAGACTCAACAAACCCTCGACGTTCGTAAGTGGACTTCTGTTCAACTACTGCATCCAGTCCAATGGTAGCTGTGTCATTGTCCTTGAATTCTTGCAACACTGCGTCAAATAGAGCTCTTCCGTAACCTTTTCCTTGGCTGGTAGGCTGTACCACTGTGACTTGTCAGCAGAAGTCAAGAGTGCGGAAGACGACTTTTATACCAAACAGGGTGACCCATCCGGTCGCGTTGTCATAGATTGTCGACTGGCAATGACCCGCAGGCTCGTCAGATCCGTCAGGTACCGCAACAAGCAAACCTCGGGAGTGTGATGCCGAGATGTATGATTCAAGATCATGATATGAGCGATTCTGGACATTATTGACAGTCAGATTCTTTCTTTTCTCACAACTCAGGAACAGGAAAATATTCACCCAGCCTAAGGTTGTCATCAACGGCCACCACAGGTCCCTGGCTTCTTTCAGATCTTTCGCAGGTCGTACAACGACGTCTCCATAGGTGCTAGCGCCCATCGCTGCAGTCTTGATTTTCGCGATCGAAGTGATTGCTCTGATGTGGTTTCGGACAGCTGAAGTTTTCGTGTCTGAACAACGTAGACACCTCTTGGCTTCACTTGCACGATTGCAAGTTGTCCAGTCGAGGATGCCCCACTTGATCGGCATTGTGCATGTTTAGTGCATGATGCATGAGTCGCCGCTTTGTCCAAAGCCATGAGGTACTCGCTGGTACAATGCGATATGGCGCAAAGCTCGTGACTATGCTTGGTAGCAGGTATCTGAAGCTTATTGTAACCACTGGACACCCGCCTTGACAAACACCTCCTTCAAACGCACCACACGATCCTTACGGCTTTGCAACAGAGATTCGAGTTCGGGCATATCCCATACTCTTAGATCAATGCTACTGAGACGTATTTCTTGAAGGCGCGGGAACTGTTCTTCAAGCTTGGTTGACATGTCTTCCAGGTAAGGTACAATCGTGAGGGTACACGAATCGATGGTGAGACTCTCAAGGCTGCTTGGTAACATTTCAGCGAAGGGCAGTGCAGGTACGGCCAGAGTGAAATCGTTAATCAGGTTCTCGAATCCTAGGAGCGTGGTCTGTAAAACATCAAGTTTTCTGAGCGATGTGAAGTCTCGAAGTGACCCGATCGATACGCAAGTCCCTTCCGAACCTTCATACTCTTCAGTGGCTAGCTGAGAATTCACGTGGGCATTCAACGTGAGTTCTTCCAGAGTGTGTCGACTACTGTATAAAGCATCTTTGATGGTGTTCCATGAGAAATCTGGGACAAACATGAGTTCCGGCTGGAAGTCACAATCAAACGCTTCTAGCTTGGTACAGCGCTTCAGGATTTGTATCAGTTTCATCGGATGAATATATGAAGGGCCGAGCGTCAGATCAGTCAAGTGTGAGACTCCGTCACTGAGAGGGTAATTTTCCGGAAGCACACGATATGCGCTACTATTGTCACTATCGATCCAGAAGACTTTCAGTCGGGACAGTCCGATGAAAGGCAGGAATGGGTCGATCTCGAAGCTNNCGTACACTTCAGACACTGGCGGCCCAGTTTGCAAGTCTCTTCTGTGTACCATTACAGATTCTAGCCGATGAAAATGACGAGTGGGGTCCCATCCGGTTGACGGAACAAGCAGGCTGGGCCAGAAATACTGAGGAGCACTGGTCTCGCGAAGACCAAAATCTGGCATGCAAAATTCGATATGTTCCAAATTTGGTGTAAGACTCATCAGCAAAGCAATCTCTGCAACTTCTTCGTTGGCACCAAGTGCCTCCTTCCAGGCGTCACCAAGAACTGATGTTTTTGCGTATCTGTTGTGTAGACTGCGCAATTTTTNGGACAATTCAGTATAGCGATGCGCAGGCGTGAAAGCAGCATACTGCGGATATTTTCCAATTTTATATCGCCATGCACCGATGTACAAACAGCGAATGTACTGCAGAAGCTCCGGACGGCTGAGCACGGTAGTGAGGAATTTTCGGAATGAGTGATGACCGTATGGATCCGTGGTAGAGTCTGACTTTGCATAATGTCGATAAAGCAGAGGTTCCGCAACGCTTCTCATCTGTCGCGAGACTTTGCAAAGCTGAGCGAGAGTCTTCCAGTTACTGCGATGGTATTCAATCTGTCCATCATCATCATCACTGTAGTGAACGAGATCGGGCGTTGTCGCAAGATGCTCAAATACCAGATGAAGAACTTCGTTGGGTAGTTTCTCGAGCATGTCGTCCAGGATGATGATGCAACTAATTATGTCCACCATCACGGAAGACAACTAAAGAAATTCTGGAAGTCGCAGGCGGCGTTGCTGTGACAACGGCTGTCCATAATCGGTTGTGAGTGGTATCACCCTGGCATGATTGACGGTGCCATTTCCTCACGATTGAGATCACTTCTGGTGCAAGCCACGAAGGTACATGATCCTAGAGTCATTCTCATGTTGGTAGGTGGACGTGAGCTCCAGGCTTGTCGTGTAGAGGGAAATAAATGGAACACGCGTGTTTCTCAATGCATGGCAACATCGATCACTGTAATCTGAAAAGTGAAATTGATTCTGGAGCTCTTCCTCCTTCGAATTTGAATTGGCGCCATATTGACCAAAGCTAGGGTCCTTCGATGGGCAACATATGTGTTCTTGGTATTGTACAGATATTTTAGACTCACCGCCTTATGCATAATCTGTGTGGTCAGGGCAGTAGCAGCAAAATCATGTTTTGGACACTTGCATGAAGGACAACCCTGGCTGTATACCATGACGCAATAGACGATTGAAGTTCAACGGTCAAGAGAGATACGTGAAATCGGGTGGTGATTATAAGCTGTACAATACTTTTGCATGTGCATGGTATATATTATGATTTCAATGGGCACCCCTTAGAATGCGACTCTGGTTCTCATCTCACCGATCTTCTTCTCCACTTCTCTTACTGTGCGATCCAAGTCACCAGCGATTCTCTCCTTCTTGTCTCTGCTCAGCAAGAAGTATCTTTCGCAGAGATCACCATCAATGCATCCCTTGACGGGAATGTAGTAACTCCTGTACATCAGATGGTCACGCCCACAGATTGGTGGATCCTCAGTACGCAAGTGTTGTTCCAAGCTGCCGAAGAAATCGACGTCTTCTCTGTCCACGAATGGCACAAAGCAACCAAGTGTGCCTTGTAGACCAGCCCAGAAGATGACTTCTTGACCACCAGGTACCAGTGTTGTCTTTTGCATCGACATGGGAATGTCTTGTACGAAGTCGTGGAATTGGAGTGCCAGACGGTGAGGAGTACCGCCGAGGTATGCCTTTTCATTGGCAAGGAAGGACGCGGCACCAGGCTCGTCTGCCTCATCTGATGCCGACTTCGGGCAACGCACAGCCCAGATGTTTCCGAACTTGTCTCCTCCGGCCACAGTGTCGTAGTCGAGCATGGTGAAGCAGGTGGTCCATCGAGCGATAACATCATCGGCAAATGGTGTGAGCTTGTTGTCCTTGTGGTTGTACACAACGTAGCAGACGGATTCTTGCACGTCTCCAACAACGATACGTGAGCCTTGTGTCTTCATGCCGATGATTTGAGTGCCAGGTACACGACAGCGGGCCTTGCGCAACAAAGCCTTCATACCAAGATCATAGAGGAAAACCTCGTTGCCGACGGCGAGCGCAAGACGGCCCTGGAAAGGCATCAGCGCACGGATCGGCTTATCAAAGTCGGTCTTGTGGATCAGCTCAAGCTCGTTGCCAGGGTCTAATACTCGGTACACATGTACTGAGCCAGTCGCCTTGGGCGAGCTTGGGGTTGGCGCTCCAGAAGGGATGTTCTTGCCAGTACCAACAAGCAGGAAGGTTTCACCATCTTGGTTCTCGAAGGGGACCATGTCACAACACAAAGCAGCTTCGTTCGAGTCGAGGTCGACTGTGTATGCAACTCCGTCTTTCTCATCCTCAGCTGTGGGGTCGACAACCTGAATGCACGATGCCCAACCAGGTCCTCGCGGCCAGCCAAATTGCTCGCTAGGACCCATCTGTTTCTTATCCTCTTCCGATCTCGTCGGATCAGCAAGTAGCGCCTTCCTGGCCTGCTTACTGAGTACGTTCTGATCTGATTGGATGACGGAGAAGTAGCGGTAGTCTGGATGTCTACAGAAATCGCGAGGAGTGTGTTTGAGAGAAATGGTCTTTGTGAGGATGTTGTTCGAGGTGTCTCCAATGCTGAAGACGAAAATCTCAGCACCCCGTAATGCGACAATCGATTGTCTGACGGAGGTTTGTCCCTTACGACCAGCAACCCTGGATCTCAGCATGCTTGCGCAGTTGAACGAATGGTAATCAAGGGGTGTGAGCAACAACTCCTTAGTTTCAGGATGAGGGTATGAGAGGAAAGTCTTGGCACCACAAGCAAGCACAGCAGGGCTGTCATTAACAGCGACTGGATAGAGCTTGGCCTCATCAGCACCGAGGAAACGTGATCGCACATCACCGAGTTCGCCAGTGATATCGTCCAAGACAGCACGCAGATAGAGACCAGAGAACAGACCAACATGTACGAATGTTGTCATGCCTGTTGAGTCTTCCATTGGTAGGATTTCGATTGAGCGAGGGGGTGATGTAAGAGACTGAATGGACTGAGATTTGAGCATCTCGCCACCAGGATCAAGAGAGTAGACACGAATGGTAGAGTCGTCGCATCCGACGACCAGGAAGGGAGCTCTTACACGACCTTCAGGAACGTCGCCCATACTCATGGCTTGAACGACGCCGGACACAGTCAAGACGTCAGAACCTTGCTCATACTCCTGAATCCTTCTGCCGTCTTGCGATACTTCAAAGTAGAGAAGCTCACCAGAGCTGAGTGCCAGACACAGTTGCTGGTGATTGTTTGTGGCTTTAATGATGGTGCGATGCGCAGGACACTTCCAATCTTCTTGTGGGCTATCAGGACCAGTGTAGAAGCGGAAACCCCTGTCCCACACTTGAAGAATACCAGTGTCGCCCATAAGGCCCATGTGAATAGTAGTGACTTCCTTGTGCAGTCCGTGATCAGAGACTTCGTGAGTGTTCTCACCGACCTCCAGGAACAGTGTGGCATCACGGAAACCAAGAACGATGTACTTGTCTGCCTCTGAGAAGCGGTCGTCTGAAACTACCCAGAGGTTGTTTGGTTGATCAGGCAGTTCTGCACGGGTTTGTTCGCTGACGCTCAAACCGTGACTGACAACCTTGAAAGAGCTACGGGTGCCAGTGCCAGCTGTAGTATAGATTTTCCAATCATCTCCACCTGTGATATCTTGCACCACAGTCTTGCGCTGAGGATGCATACTAGCAACAGTCGCTGACTGGTCCACATTGTCGTAATCGTGAGGGAAGAAATAAGAGATCTCTTCAGAGGTACTGTCTGTAAGAGGGTCGATGTTCATGCCGAGGTTGAGGAAGCGGTAGAAGTGGCTGTCACCATTTTCGGCTGCGACGAAGAGGTAACCAGACTTCAAGATGCACATGGTCGAGGCAATAGGGAAAGTGTCGAAGTAACGAAGCTCAATGCTTGCAACTTCTCCAGTCTTGCGACCTTGATCATCCTCGACCAAATCCATGGTAAGCTTGAACAAGTCACCGTCCTCAGTCTGCAGCAAGTGGAAGAAGCCGGCCTTGAAACGATGTACGACACCAGCAACAATGCGCCTCTCGCGATCAGGGTTCTCCAGACCACCCTTGCGACGAGGAATGACCAGCGTGTGAGGCTCCTGCATGGGGTGTCTGTATGTGATCTTTCCTTGTGAACAAACAACGACACCACTGGGACCATCGGCACCACCAGGGACAGGGAACAGCTTGTTAGCCGAATAATCAACGGCATCAGCCCACTCGCGAACAACGTGGTTCAGGCCAAGATCAACACGGTAGTATACGAGGAGCTTCTCGCGAATGTCATAGGATTCGTTTGTCGGGTCCTGGTCGCTGTCTGTATAATCGACCTCGAGAGCAGCGAAGACAGGGTTCTGGAAGTTTGTGTCGACAGGGCAGATGTCGAAGGTCAATGTCTGCGGACGATTGACTTCTTGTGGCGAGGAAATCGTGACCTGCTGTTCCGCATTACGATTGAGGATGTAGACGACCTTGTTCTTCTCGACAGAGGCGAACATGCAGCATCGACCGCGCGGGTCTGAGGCGAGGTATTGACCGGGGATAGTTCGACGAATGCCTGACTTGCCGAAAGTCTCGAGATGGACGCGCTCGAAGCGATTCTTCTCGTCATCGTACTGGAGAAGCGAGACACGACCGGAATCGGAAGAGACGATGATCAGGTCGCGAGGAGTACCGGGAACTCTGCAAGACGACAAGTTGCGCAGGATGCCGAAGGCGTTGTGTGTGAGGATGGTGCGGATCTGATCCGTGTCCTTGTCAATGGTCAACAGACTCAGTCTTTCACCCTGAGCCAGGACGACTTGCTGCTCTTTGGGTCTGCTTGCGACAAAGTTTCCGACGATAGCGTGGGTAATGGCTCCAGCAGGTTGCAAAGTGAGCGAGTACATGCTCATATTGGAAGTGATAGACATGACGGGCGATGGGTGGTGAGCGACCCTTGAGGGCGCTCTGAAGGTCTAGAGAGGGTACGGTATAAAGTCGTCGAATCGTAAAGGTCGTGGAGAGGCGCGCGAGCTGGTCCTGTTACTTAGGCCGGGAGGATGAGGTCCAGGGAGAAGCTGCGGCCGCGAAAAAGACCAGAAAGTGAGCTACGGCTGCGGCGCAGACGGCGAACACTCTTTGATGTAGCTTGGAGCTGTGATATGGTATAGTCGCACAAAAGTTGATGGTCCTGGTACAAAAGTCGATGGCTACGCGATTGCAGCAACGCCGAGCCAAGACATTCAAATGTCGGAGCTCGGGCCTGCAGCATCATTGAAAGTCGAGCGATGATCAGACGAAACAAGAAGGAACAACTTCTGGAAAAACCACACAGCAATGGCCTCCTTGTCGTCGACTTCCTCAGCGTGCAGGCAATGCCTTGCGCGCATTGCTCTNCCACGTACAAGGCCGTCGATTCGCCTTTTCTCAGCATCCACATCGGCGCAACCGGCCCTGTCATCGTCAAAGAGAATCTCAAGAAGCAGAAGACGCCTGTCGACAAGCGCTCCCAGACCTCAGATTGCTCAGTTGAGCCGTGACTCGCCTGCTATCCAGCACCGCCCCGAAGACTTCGCTACCGACCGCAGTCGCGAGCTTCTACAACCAGGAAATCTGTTCCACTCTTTCAGCGACTCGCCCTCTCCCGCCATTCGCAAGCGCGCTGCCTTCATCAAGCAAAATGCATACTGTCCCCATCCCGACCATTCAGCCACCCGTCAACCAACTAGCCCCGATGACATTGAGGTTCGCAAGACAGGAACCATGCCTCCCGCACATGTTCGCTACGAATGCCTGGACTGTGGCATTCCGGTAGCCTGCTGTGAAGAGCACTTGGCCGATGATTACGAAGCTCACTTGGCCATCTGTGATACCCTTCGCGAGATCAACGAGGACGACCATGATCTTGTCTCTGGACGCTTCTTCCCTGAGTTCGAATATCCTGGTCCGCAGATCGACGAGGCCCAGGTCAACTTGACCAATTGGGATACCATGCTGTACTCGCGCGAGTTCAACGCCATCAACGATGAGCGCAGTCTTCGCCAAGCTACTCGCTTGCTCACATACCCCGCCACTGTCGCCAGTGTTCTCCACGAACTAAGCCCTTACAATGTGCGCAACCGCCTAACTCCAGAGGGTCTCAAGAGTTTCACTGCCCTCCAATACACATTACACCCTCCCCGTTCGGGTGCTGGTGACGGAATCAAGGGCCTGCGTCCCACAGCTCCGCCAGTTCGCTTGTTCTGTATCGGTGCTCGCGCAGAATCGTCTTTGCCTCGTGAGGTATGGCAGCAATTAGCCTGGCTCTTCCCCCGCTCTACCTTCCACCTGATCTTCATCGGGCCCGAAAGTATGGCAAACCGAGACGACGAGTACCCTCTTCCTCCCCGCACTCCTCAGAATCCATTTGGCGCCATTGTCGAAGATCGTATCAGCCACCAACTGAAGGTGACTACATACGTCGAGTACTTCCACAACTTGCACAACGCTCAAGCCTTTTACCCATATGACCCCTACTTCGACGCCTTTGTGCTGTTCCATCCTGGTCTGGGCCACCCTGCCAGTTCTCACGAATGGCAAGACACTATCCGCCCACTATTGGACACTAAGGTGCCCATTATTGCCACGGGATACACAGACTACGACATGAAGCGTGACATCGAGTGGGTACGCAGCACCGTTGGCGACGAGATGGATATCCTGCTCGAGCCAGGCGAAAACCGTTTCCGTAGTCTTCGCTGGGACCTTAACGACCTCGATCCCCAAGACGTCAGTGCTGGCAATTGGGGAGTCTGGGCTTTCAGAGGCAAGAGATACGAGACCCAAATGCGCGATTCATAAAAAGTCTAGCGTAGGCGAAATTGTGTATAACATCATCTGTATATAACTGTACTATTACGTGTGCCTGGGAAGAGGAACCACTTTACTTTTTCCTTCTTCTTCTCAGCATCCCTGTACCGATCAGAGCATTTTTGATATTGCGTTTCGGCTGTGCTAGAAGGAAAAGAAGCCGATGACAAACACGACCGCCTTTTCTTCGATCCCGACATGCTATTTGACCTGGAAGCGTCAGGCGAGAACACTTTACTAGATTGCTTAGCACAGGCGGCGTGCCGGCCCGTCAACCGTTTCAAATCTCTCCTGCTTCTTGCTTCCACTTTGCCCTCTCGCATAACTTGGCGATGAAGGTGAAGAGAGGAGTCACATAACACCTTGCACGCGAGATTGAACAGCTGACGTTGCCAGTCAGCATTGACGATGCAAATACCGAAACCGTATAGGCAAAAAGTCGAAGCGGTAGTCGATGGGCCAGCACGGGCGAGTACTATATGAAACATGATATCCCCAGAAGTCTAGAGAGGCCGCAATCTAGAGGGCCGTGAGCGATGTTTCAGCCCCATATAAAGTTGCGCCACTCCCGTTGCTCGCTTGCGGAAACAAAGAACCACGCATCGACATCGGTGGAACCGATTGCTCCCCTGCTTTCCTGTCATTTCGGACTTTGGCCTTTGCCACTTCTCCGTGTGCCAAAGACTGTCACTGCAGAGCTGTCGAAATGTACAGTACTGTGGCAAAGAATGTGGTGTTCGCAGGGTACTCCATCGAGGGCTATCATCATGGCCAGAGTCACATTTGGATGTCAATTGTGCATTCCAGTAGCGTATAACAACCCTTGTACTCGGATCGAGAAGGAGTTCATCGCAAGTTTGGGACAGTCTTTGGCACACGGGGAGGCATGAACGCTATTTTTGAGCCGCAATGGATAACTAACTACCACCATGCGGTCTGTTCTAACTCAAGCAATCATGGCTTGCGTCGAGTGCACGACGAACTCATCTCGACTCACCCCTCCGAGACATATTGCACCATCTAAGGCGTTTCAATCTTTCCACGCGATGCCATGGTCTCCCGATCCACGCCCAGGTTTAGACTAACGTCAAAATGCTTGTCTGGTCTCTACCGCCATTTAGGCTTCTAGGGCTTTAGCCTGTGTTGCAGCGCAGTAGTCTTCCATCACCCCTCTCTCGATCTTAGCGTCGCTTCGTTAATGTATCCCAGACAGTAGACCCATTCTTGTTCAGGTCCCTGGCTCTCATCACCAGCCGTGATATCCACTTTCTACAGTTGCACATCTTTGTATATAAAGACCCGGGCCTGTCTTGCATTCTTCTTCCTGATCAAGCACTCTTGACATCTTGTCTTTCCTTCGTTCTCCTAACCCTTCTTTACAATACTAGCGTGCCATTCTTTTCTCGCTATTCCTTCTATATCAAAATGAAGTACTCTACTTTCATTGTCGCCGCGGCAGCTGGTTCTGCCACCGCTGCTTCTTCTGCTGCATACGGCCAATGCGGTGGTAACGGATGGACTGGTGCTACTGACTGTGTCTCTGGCTACCACTGTGTTGCCCAGAACGACTGGTACTCTCAGTGCATTCCTGGTACTGGATCCGGTTCCAGCGCTCCTGCTGCCACCACTAAGGCCGTCACTTCGGCCCAGGCTGCCACTACTCAGGCTCCTTCCAAGGCTCCTGTCTCTACTAGCAAGGCTGCTTCTGCCTCCTCTGGCAAGGTCAAGGTATGTTTTGTTTCATATCGTACCTCTTGAGTATCATACTGACTGATCTGATAGTACGCTGGTGTCAACATTGCTGGCTTCGACTTCGGCATGGATACCAACGGTGCTTCTTCTGGCGGCTACGTCGACCCCGGAACCACTGGTCAAAACCAGATGAACCACTTCGTCAAGGACGACAAGCTCAATGCCTTCCGTCTCCCCGTTGGCTGGCAATACCTTGTCAACAGCAAGCTCGGTGGTAACCTCGACACCACCTTCTTCGCCAAGTACGACCAGCAGATGACCTACTGCTTGAACTCTGGAGCTGCTCTCTGTATCCTTGACCTCCACAACTACGCCCGCTGGAACGGCCAGATTGTTGGCTCCAGCGGCGGTCCTACCAACGCCCAGTTCGCGAGCATTTGGTCCCAGCTCGCTACCAAGTATGCTAGCAAGCCCAAGGTTGCTTTCGCTATCATGAACGAGCCCCATGATCTTCAGGATATCAACGCCTGGGCTACCACCGTTCAGGCCGCTGTCACCGCCATCCGCAAGGCAGGTGCCACCCAGAACATGATTCTGCTTCCCGGCAATGACTGGTAAGTTCCTGGCCCATATATGATCAAATATAGATCGAAACTAACGCTTAAAAGGACTCACGCTGCGAACTTCGTAGTAAGTTAAATCGGACGTACAGATACCACGACTAAGGCTGGCGCTTCGTCTCGTCCAGCAAAATCGTGGTACTTTACGAAATCATGCTAATTGTACCTTCTCTATAGNGACAACGGCTCCGCCGCCGCCCTGAACAAGATCACCAACCTTGACGGCAGCAAGAGCAACCTCGTCTTCGACGTCCACCAGTACTCCGACTCCGACGGCAGCGGCACCTCCTCCACCTGCGTTTCCTCCTCCTCTAACATTGCAGGCTTTACCAAGCTCGCCAACTGGCTCCGCAGCAACAACCGCCAGGCCATGCTCACCGAGGCCGGTGGCTCTAACGACCAGTCTTGCTTGACTGCCGTCTGTGATGTTCTTAACTACCTCATGACCAACTCTGACGTCTACCTTGGCTGGACTGGTTGGTCTGCTGGTATGTTTGATACTAGCTACGTTCTTACTGAGACTCCTACTGGCAGTGCTGGAAGCTACAAGGATCAGGCTATTGTTACCAAGTGCATTGCTGGTGTTTTCAACTCCAAATAAATGCATTGGTATTCTGAGATTAGGGTTCGGTTTTGAGTCTGATGGTTTGTGGTCTTTATTTTCGTATGTTTGAAGTTGTAGCGTTTACTTCTTTCTCTGTTGCAGAGCGTATCTTGAATTCAATTCTTATGATCTATACCACTATATCCTTCCTAAGTGCTAAGGTCGCTAATCAGTTCATGACTAACCTATTCTCCATGTCTGCATGTGGCAATATCATCAGCTATCAAAATACACAATAGCATACAAACCGCGAGCATGCCCACAGAAAGCCATCAATGCAGCGTCTCTCTCTGGATCCTACTCTGTTCCCATAACTATTCTGCATTTTGACGAGTACAATGAAACAGCTTCGATCATCTGAGATCGAAAATCGTATATATGCCAGGTTCCTAACCGGCTCATGGTTAACTTTCCTCCCATTTCAGCGTGTAGCGATATCATTGGCTATTAAAATGCATGATCAATATCAGAACTCAGAGTGCCTCCATAGAAAGCCATTAGATCAATGTCTCTCTCTGGACCCAACTCTGTTTTAATAACTATTCTGCATTTTTACAACTGTAGTACATTAGCTTTGCTCATCTGGGAGATTACCAGTCGCATATGTGCCAGGCTTTGCTTGAACTCTATCTCCTATCCACATATGGCATTATTATGATGCTATATAAATGCACGATAAATACCTGATCTGGTAGCATGTCCCTAGAGAGTCACATGTAAACAGTCTCTCTGTGGACAATTCTTAGTTTTCAGAAACCTTTCTGCTTTTGTACAGATACATCAAAAGCAGATCTGGTTATGGGAGATCATTGCTTTTACATTCTTTGAAAAACTTATCTTGCATTCTAAGTATAGAAAGCGTTTACTCACTTTCACGCCACGAGATCAGATCAAACAGATGGCAAACATATGCAGTATATAAACAATGCAACTCGGCTTCTGCTCTCACCTTAATGAGAACAACTGTGAGGTGTATTCCATGACAGCAGGCGCTGCATATGACTGCTTCGTTGTTTGTGTCTTTTCGCTGTGCTGAGTTGCTACTGCACCATCGCCGAAGTCGACGTTCCGGTCGATGTATGCTTGTTTGACTGCGTATAGCTCCAGGCGATTGCTAAGGAAGATTGAATGCATTCACGATAGCGAACGTGGAATTATATTCACGATTGCAGAAGTAGCGAAGACAGAGGCGGAAAAACCGACGACCGGGCATCAGCGGTTGAAGTTCTCTGCAAACTTGATAAGATGTTGCAGGTTGGGCTTTTTCCTACGCTGTTGCGCTTCTTCAATCCTGTTGATCAGTTATATCAGACCATGGTCTAAGACACGAGATAGTTGTACAAATGTGACAGCTCGAATGAGATTCCCTGGTACAGCGCAAACCCACACTAGAGGGCTCTACTTCCAAAGTTCTATCTCGCTTACACAAAGAATACACGTATCATCCAGACCAGAGACTTTCTTCTTGTTCATCGGAGCATACAGATCTGTCGACAACATGTACGCATAATGCCAGATGGTGTCATACTGAACGAGATTTACATCATCCCAGCAGCGTTCAGCACGACTGCCATCCGAGGATATCAAAGCTCCGTCTACCGGGCCCATGAAGCGTACTGTCGCTCCAGCCGAGTTACCGAAGCCTTTCTTGAAGTCTTCCATATAGTCGTCGTGGATAGCACTGCTTCCTTTGTACTTGAACAAGTTGAAGAGACTGACTGGCTTGTTGGCAAGCTCAGAAGGCAACGCGTTGGACAGAAAATCAGCCATAGATGGATCAAGACGAAGCTCGCCACATCCAAGCAGCCCATTCTTTGGGTTGGTAATGGCGGATGCTGGGATACCCCCACCCTGCCACTCTTGTGGTAGTGGAGGCGTTTTATCAGAAGCCTTGGGCTGAGATGTCAGAGTTGACCGAAGCTGCTCAAACCGGTCCTTTGGTATAAAGAAGGGAATTCGAAGGTGAGCTTCAATGTGTTCTAGCGCTGCGTTTGGCAATTTTGGCTCTCTGGTCACGAGAAACAGATTCCAGTCATGCTGGAGCAATTGATTCTTGTTGAGGGAATGCGGTTGATGGATCCAGCCATGAGGTTTGCCTCTGATCATGGGGGTCTCGATGATCGACCGCATCACATCTTGGGTCGTCTTGCCTTGTTTGAGAGATATCAAGTGAATGTGAAGTTGATCAGCTGCCATACTGTTCGACGTAGCTGTGATCAAGGTAGTCGAGCGCACAAGGGAGAGAGAAGAGGATATAAGTTTCGACAGAAAGACATGCAGATCTACTGTAACCTCTACATCTTTTCTTACCCCTCAATTGTCTGCCGATGAACGTCTAGGTAGGTTGTGGATTGTGCTCTCGACTGGAAGTACAAAGCGGCGGTGTGCGCTGCTCCTATGACCGAGTCGATCATGTGAAAACTACCATTCAGAGTGTCAATTGCAGAACTTTCGAGCTTTCTTCGGGGATTCGAGTGATGGTAGCGTTCAAAATTACTGGTTTGGATTGAGATGTTGGCGGATATAGCGGGTATAGCGGATTACCGAATAGAGAGAGTGTTTGGTCAGCCAGAAGGTCCTGACCAATCAGAGAATAGGCGATTTTCCAGCGAAGTGTGGGGTTATGCTGAAACACTTGCAGTATGCCGTGCGGCTCAAATATCAACACACATTTTCCTTGAGTAAAGTCGAAGGAATAGACAGCATAATGAGATATGGCATCTTGATCCTGAAGCGCTTATATGTAGGGTCGATTGAGGGCACAATCCTCTGCATGATGGCTCCAAGATTGCTTTCAGAATAGATTCGGGCAGAGATGTGCCGAGGATAAAACCAAAGGTATAACTCCGCATCTGGGCCGTCTGGTGTGGGGACACAGCAACATTTCCCATTCCCTTGTTCCGACGAGGGAGAGAACTGCGTCTATCCGGAAGAGAAGCCGTTGATAGTTCTTATTCCACCATCTCCCACTCCCTATCAGCCTCCAGGTCGACTCCTGCCCTCCCACTCTCGCTGCACCAATCCGCCTACTCGAGTCGTCGAAACCGAGCACAAAGTCAACATGAACCATCCTAGCAACAACACGCAGGCCGTCAAGTTGACTGGCGAAGAGGTGGCCAAGCACAACAATGCCGACTCGTGTTGGGTCATCGTCCACGGACGCGCCTACGACGTGACAGAATTTCTGCCCGAGCACCCTGGTGGTCCCAAGATCATCNNCCTCAAGTATGCTGGAAAGGATGCCTCGGAAGAGTACGACCCCATCCACCCTCCCGACACCCTCGACAAGTTCCTGGACAAGAGCAAGCACTTGGGCGAGGTCGACATGAACACCGTCCAGCAGGAGACGAAGGAGGAGGATCCTGATGAGGCCGAAAGACAAGAAAGAATCAAGCGCATGCCTATTCTTGAGCAGTGCTACAACCTGATGGACTTTGAAGCTGTTGCTAAGAGAGTCATGAAGAAAACAGCATGGGCATACTATTCTTCGGGTGCAGACGACGAGATTGTAAGCCTAGCAGAGTTACAGCGTGCCACTTGTTACTGACCTATCCAATAGACGATGCGTGAGAACCACAGCGCCTTCCACAAGATCTGGTTCCGACCCAAGATTCTGGTCGATGTTGAGAACGTCGATATGTCGACAACCATGCTGGGCACCAAAGTCAGCATGCCTTTTTATGTGACAGCAACTGCTCTTGGCAAGCTTGGAAACCCCGAGGGTGAAGTCGTCTTGACTCGCGGCGCAAAGAAGCACAATGTCATTCAGATGATTCCCACTTTGGCATCTTGCTCTTTCGACGAGATCATGGATGCTGCTGAGGGTGATCAGGTTCAATGGCTTCAACTCTACGTATGTCGTTTGTTCTATGAGAATCCAGTTTCAAGACTGACAAAGATATCTACANNGGTCAACAAGAACAGAGAAATCACAAAACGCATCATCGAGCACGCTGAAAAGCGTGGCTGCAAGGGTCTGTTCATTACGGTTGATGCTCCTCAACTTGGCCGCCGCGAGAAGGATATGCGTTCTAAATTCTCCGACGTTGGCAGTAACGTCCAAAACACTGGTGGCGACAATGTTGACCGTAGTCAAGGTGCCGCTAGAGCTATTTCCTCNTTTATCGATCCTTCGCTCTCCTGGAAGGATATTCCTTGGTTCAAGAGCGTCACCAAGATGCCCATCCTGCTCAAGGGTGTTCAAAGAGTTGAGGACGTAATCAGAGCTGTTGCCGCAGGTGTCGATGGTGTCGTTCTGTCAAACCACGGAGGTCGCCAGCTCGATACATCACGATCTGGTATCGAGATTCTTGCCGAGACAATGCCCGAGTTGCGTCGTCTGGGTCTCGAAGACAAGATCGAAGTTTATATCGATGGTGGAATCCGTCGTGCCACAGATATTCTCAAGGCTCTTTGTCTCGGTGCAAAGGGTGTAGGTATTGGTCGTCCTTTCTTGTATGCCATGTCAGCATACGGTTTGCCTGGTGTCGACCGTGCTATGCAGCTTCTCAAGGACGAGATGGAGATGAACATGCGCTTGATCGGCTGCAACAGCGTCGATCAGCTGACCCCTGAGCTTGTGGATGTTCGCAGTTTGCACACGCACACCGCGCCTGTTGCGCCAGACACACTCAGTGTTGCAGCATACGATCCTTTGGCTGGTCCCAAGGAGAGATTGGCCAAACTGTAAGGTTGTATACGTTTTTTCTCATCATATGTTCTACATACTGTCATGCATTATGAAATCTTGCTAAGCGGCCGTCTCTCGCATATCCCGTGATCGTGATTTGACGCAGTTCTCTAATACAATCTACAAGGAGATCGGGGCCTAGGTATATATAGAACATGTAATATAGGCAAGGCAAGATATAACCATAAGGTAAGGTCTCACCAGACTTATATATCTCCCGATAACACCTTGTCTTCTGTGCCTACTGACTTTATCCATACTGCCAAAATCAGTGGCTTCGAGACTGGAGATATAGGCCAGGGCTTCTACGATCGTAACCTCGTTCGCGACGTCTACGTCGGCGACATTAGGTGTCGACGCCGCAAGTTAGAAACATGAATTCATCACACGCAACAGGCGATGTCCAGATTGTTCTCGATGAGAGTTCTGTATAAAGAGGATGTTCAAGGACGACGAGGAGAAAGTCTCATGTTTATAGGGAAGAGTATATATACTTATGAATTAAGGTGTTCCTTGCTTGCATCGAGACTAAAGAGTATCCCTTGCTTCGGCAATATCGCGATGCATAAAACAGAAAACAAAACAGAGTCTAGAGAAAAATATATATTATGGTTGATGAAATAGAAATAACATGAGATACTCGAGTGGACGATCATACGAAATTGTCAATTCTTGTTTACTAGACCCGACCATCTCAATCCCGTAACCAGTGCACTCAACATGCCTGTGATGAGTACCGCTTTGAGACCGATTTCGATATAAACAGACCAGACGAACCACATCAATGGTGACCAATCCCAGACCCCTGATGCCTGCTCCTTCCACTGTGGCTCGATGACCTTAAACAGCAGTATGATGAAAGTCGTCAATGCAGTGAATATCGCTCCCACCACGCGCGACTCCTTGAGCGTTGNGGGTGTGTCTTATCCCATAGCGAGGCCAATGCTACGGAGAGCGAGGTGACCAACAGGTGCCACGAGGTAATATCCAGCAGTTAAGAGGACGGTGGTGACTAGGAGCAGGCAAATGACTGCGCCGGTTGTGATGAAAGCCTCGGAAAGGATGTTGGAGAGTTCTCCCAGGACCGCCGACATGTTTGCGAAATGCGACTGTGCTTCCAGTTCTGATCAGAGTGATTTGTTGATTTGTTTGCAGGAAGCAGCAAGAGAAGGAGTGGTGACGAGGAAGAGTGCCCCACTTTCCATGTGAGACAGACTCCGCGTCAAATTTGGAACACCTTGCTCTTTTGCTCTTCTGTTCTTACTGCACTGGTATATACAATCATATCGGATCTTTCGACTGCCGCATCAATCAGGGAATGGAAATTGCTCTCATTTTGTGTAGTCGGATGCCTTGATGTTACTCGAGAGGACTCGATGCGACACGTCCCCGATCATGACCTTCGAGCTCGGTACCGGATGTAACTCCGACGACAGTTCTTCAGACTTCTTACCTCGAGCATGACTACCTGATAGGATTACTGGTTGTACGCGAATGTCACAAGATATTGAGCCCGCCTGGCATGCTTGTCGGCAACTCCAAGTCGTGGATGAACTTTATCGACCGAGGAAGGAAAGATGAGGACATTCTCGCACAAAAAAAAAAGAAAAGAAAAGAAAGAAAAAACTCCGCCGACGAGCAGATAGCGGGTGCTCGCTGCAAGATGGCCTTGCTCCATGAACCTTTGTCGGTATGCAGTGGTCGTCCGAAGAATCTGATGGCCTCCTGGACGAGTATTTCTGGTCACTTGACTGTGCTCCATAACTCGCACTTGTTTCGGCAGGATAGAGAAAAAGAGCAAGATTTTACTCGGTGATCCTAGGCAACAAGTGCGCCAGACCTAACAGCTTCAAAATTCCAGCCACCTCAGCACCATCAATACATAACATCGTCTCCCATACTCGCCTTCCGATCTATACCAAGTGACAATCCACCAACACACACATCTGAAGTTGCTCATGATCATGGCCCTGCCCGCTTATTGTGAACTCTCAGCAAAATTGTTTCGCGCTCTATCTCGAGCTCGCTTATCACAAATCTGCTGAACGAAACAAAAAAACTCACTTTTGAGGCCGTTTCGCTTATATCACCAATGGCTGCCTGGCATTGTTCGGTGGGCGATTCGTCTGATACAGGCGCAGTGATTATGTAAGTCCTGAGAGTGTTTCCCAGTGATCCTGGAGGTTATAAAATCCCCCCTCCAGTCTCCATTCTCCTTCTCTTTCTCATCTTCGGACCATCTTGACAAGTTGCCTCCATCCAACATCAAGAACGAAATAATTCTCTACAGACTACCTTGTCTTCCAGGTTACTTCATCATGTCGAACTCTTCTTTCAGAATGTTCTCGACCGCCGCTAAGGCATCTATGAGACCAGCTTCTATGCCAGTCAAGGTTCGTTCCCCCTACAACATGTCAGCCATGTTGCAAGAGATCACCGACATTGAAGCTAGGTACAAGGGACCCGCTAATGCGGCCAACATGACACTCGACGAAATGTGGGATGACTACTACGTGATATACAGAAGAGCAGGCCCAGTGCTGATGTGGGAGGAGCCATGGATGCCAGTGGAAGCAGAGTGTCTCCCTTACGAGACTGTCAACCCAGAGGCTCCTGAGCCAGAGGCTTCCGAGCCCGAAGGTCCCAAGCCACGTGAGTATTACCTTCAAATGGTACTTTACGAAGGACCAGAAACTGACGAGGAAAAGCCAGAGGAGCCTGAAGACAAGCCCGCCAATGCGTCTGAAGCCACTCCCGAGCCAGCTACTCGTCCTCGCCAGGGCATTTTCGACTCCATCTGGGCAGAAACACCCACATCCCGCTTCTCTCACTCACAACAACCACAAACACAAAAGTCGACTACCTCATCGTCTTCTCCACCAAAACAGTCATCATCTCCCTTCTCAGGTCCACCAAAACAGAAGTCGACAACCTCGTCGCAATCTCCACCAAAACAGGCATCAAGATCCGACAGCTGTGAACCTCATAAACACCACTGCTCGTCGCCGCCATCAAACAAATCATCCACTCACGACAATGGTGAAAACCATAAGAACCACCGCCGTCGCAACCAAAAGTCTGCCAAGCAGCAACCTCATCCACAAACACATTCGAGTACGCCTCGCCACAACCACAAGTCTGCCCAGCAGCAACAGCATCCACAAACACATGCGAGTATGCCTCGTCAACCCACCACCACCTTTAACACTCCTCCTTCTCACGCACATCCACAAACACAAGCGAGTACGCCTCGTCACAACCACAAGTCTGCCCAGCAGCAATCCCATCCACAAACACATGCGAGTACGCCTCGCCACACCTTCAACACTCCCCATCTCACGCACATCCAGTCTCACAACCACTGACAAACCCGACCAGAAGGGGCCATGGTTCCATCAATGACTCGATGTGGGCAAGCTAAGCGAAGTCGCTACTTGTTTCCCATCATCCACTCCACAAACAGGGACACTTCTGCCACTCTTTTTACCCACTGGGTTTTTAACGAGGGCAGATGAGATAGAGGGTTGAGTATTTTCCCATACAAAGTTTAGTCTAATTTGCGAATAATAATTTTGCTTCATTTTGGAAATATCGTTTCACCGTTCTTTTAGATGTGACTTGTGATGTAGTGCAGTTTCTTGATCTTTGTGATATGTTACTTCTGTGGTATAGACGTCTTCGAGGTGTAGTGGCATTGCTGCCTAGAGATGTCTGCCTAATTACAGCTTATGGAAACTTTTGATGTCGGTGCGATATCTGTGACGCCTGTTGAGGCAGTTATGACGCTGCAGGCTTTAGCAGTGATGAGTATCTCGGACCTGTAAGCAGATACTGCTATAACATCCAACGAGCTTCCTGCATCTAGACATCACTTTGGAGAGCACATTATTGCATCTCGGAAGTACATTTTGCCTCGCTGTCACCGTGTTGAGAGAATACAGTTCTGCAAACTTACTTTGTCAGCCTGTCCAAGACCTAACAACGGCAGGTGCAACTTTGCCATATTGAATCGTTCTTGCCAAGTCAAAATATGTTCTTTCCTTGTATTGTACCGTTCTTGAATTTATTCGACTCGGAATCCATCTTCAAGGAATTACCAGATGGATGAAAGAATAGTTCATAAGTTTATTACTGATGGGAGAAAGAAAGAAGCAGTTTCAATTAATGGTCATTTGTTTTGTTGCAGCTATCATATCCCTGGAAACAGCCCCTGTGTTCAATTTCTCTTCGTGTTTGGCAGATGCTCGAGATCGACGGTATACAACTTGTTGTTCTCTTGTTCTCATCTCCTCTCCTCATAGCTTCTGCTCTTCCGACAAGCTTACTTCGTAGGCATAGCAGCCGCACCACCCGGTCTAGTTTCTTCTCCCCAAGGCGTAGTAGTAGCCATCATCCTATGGCTACTCTTGCTCCACTTCCTACTCTTGCTCCTCGTACTATAAATACTAGTAGGATTATTAACCCAACAGTGATCATGTCCCCAGATACACGCATGGCTTGTGCTCGTCGTATGTCTAGGTGTGTGATCCGGCCACAGATATCTAGTCTCTGAGGAGGTAGGGTAGATGGTGCTTGTGGTTGCTACACCGTCAACACTGAGGATGGTGGTGAGAGGCAGACCAGGGCCTTCCCAGCCGCGACAGAGGATACTGTTGAAGGTATTGTAGTCTGCGATTGCGGCGGAGGGGTCAGAGGGACAGTGGGATTGCAGGCAGGTGGGGATGGCGTTGTGCCAGTCGCCGGTGTTGTGGTCGCAGAAGAGGTCGAGTTGCTCGGCGTAGTCGGTCCAGGCTAGAGGATATATGCTGACTTTGATGCAGCGTTNGCTGTTCAGGCACAGTTAGCATGCCATATTCTGCCTGTCAGGTTGGATGTGGAAAGAACCTACTATCTCGTGTGGAAGCTTGGAAATGCCTCCAAGGTGGCCTGGTTGAATATCATNCTGGTCGAAGCCGTCGCACTGACCGTAGACCGAGCTGGCCATGGCCATGAGTGCGACGCAGATGTTTGACAGATGCATTTTCATGGTGAAGTTAACCTGTTAATGTGTTCTGTTGTAGATGGATGTAGAGCTCAGAAGAGTTGGCGAGAAGCAGCATAGCATGAACAAGTTTCTTATATGTAGGCGCGAGGATCTTGGAGTCATATGAAATTTTAGAGTCACCGGGGTGGTGGAGGTGAGGTGGTTTGAGGTCCCGACCGACCAACCAGGAGCGCAGAACGTAGATTTGATTGTGCATAACATCATAATCTGTGAAATCCAGATTCTATATGTGATTTTCAAGATGGCTCTATATGTAGTGAATGTTCATAAACTCATCATTAAGTCTGCCTTATTGTCTTCCAACAATTGCAATGAGAACAGGTTCTTCTTAACCAAGGTTGAAAGCAAACTTGCTCCAGCTTCTGATCTTCTTGCCGTAGAACCAGAAGATAAGAGGGAAAGGAATAAGTGCAATACACACAAATGCAAGCAGTGAAGTCGCCCAATCGACGCCGAGCCCTTCATACATGTAGGTCGCAAACATGGGGAACCCGGCAGCTACCGCAGATCTGATGAATGTGTTGATCGCGATGGCGCTGTTGGCATTGAGCAAGTAGACATCAACCATGTACGTGACACCGCTCATGAAGATCAGAATGATGCCCAGGCCGATGAAGATGCCGGAAACGACTTGAGGAGCCCAATGAGTGCCTGGGTGCGACGTCCATGCAAACCAGAATAATCCAATGGGCAGAATAATGGAACCGGCGATCATGGGTGGGAGTCTGTCTTCAGGGTTGAGTTTGCCAGATTCAATAAGGCGTTTGGCATACCACGTCTTGCTGAAGGCTCCGATAGTGGCGCATGCGAGGACAACACCGATGAAGATTGCGATAAATGGTAGGGAGGCAAGACCAGGAGACCAGCCGCGATCCAACTCGAAACTGATGGGATAGGCTTCGAAAGTCAAGTATAAAATACCATAGACGAGACTCATGTAAATTGTCAGAATGATGAGGATGGGCTCTTTGACGATCATAAGGAGCGGCTTCATGAGGTACTTGTTGACAATGGTATCGTAGTTGAGAGGATCTTCCTCGCTCTTGGAGTGCAAAGCCCAATCCTTGGTCTCGTGACGAAGTCTCTCAGCCTTCCACGCAAGCAAGACAGGCTCGTAAGTCTCTGGTGTCAACAGGTAAGCAACGATGGTGAAGAAAGCGGACATGATAAGAGTAATCCAGGCAGTCCATCTCCATCCAAGATAGCTGTAGGTGATGAAAGAGCCAGCGACAGGGCCGGCTACAGGTCCGGCAAAAACCGCTCCAGCAAAGACACTTGTGGCTACACCACGGTTGATGGGCTCCATGAAGTCAACAAACATGCCTCCGAGGATTGCCAGAGGAGCGGCACCAGCAACTCCACCGAGGAATCTACAGATAAAGATTGTTTGCAGGTTTTGAGCGACAGCGACAGGGATCTGGAAGATACAAAAGATGATCATTCCGGCGAAGAGAGGACGAGTACGGCCATACGCCTCGGAAAGCGGTCCCCAGATCAGAGGCCCTGTCAGTGTGTCAGTAGCACATTCAAAAGACAGTAAAGGCGAACAACTCACCAAGAGCAAAACCAAGAACGTATAGCGCAAGGCCCAGAATCATGACCTCGCTGCTGACACCAAACAGTTCCGCCGTGACAAACGTCGTAGTCGAAAATACCGAACTGGCAAAGAAACACAGAAAGTCATCAAACCAGTTGATATGACAATCATCCATTTTCGCAGCTCGGGCATGTTCATCGGCTTCTTTGGATCGTTTTCACCATCCCAGGTGACAATCTTGCTATCCTCTTCCTTCTCCGGTGGTACAATTTGCATGGCCTCCAGCGCGGCTTCCTGGTCCCGATCCAGATGTTTGCATTTTGAACACAGGCGTCCAGCGTATTTTTGCTGAATCATGTGCTCACGGTTGTGTATCTCTTTTCGGTCATTGAACTGTAAGAGTGTCTTTTCGTTGCTCTGGAGCTGCGACGATCATTGTACTCTTCGTGTAGCGTAGGTGTCGTCGAATGCATGCGGGATTGGACAAAAGGTGGTTGCTCCGGTTCATCAACTGTGGCGAGTAGGTGGTGAAGGCGTGCATGTTCCCCCGGGTTAGAGAGGCCTTCTGATGGTGTTCCTGGTGACGGATAGCCCGTCTCATCTGCAGTGCTAGCCATGTGTTTGGTTCCAGAGTCTGCCATTCCCAAGTAAACTCAATCGAAGAATTCTATGAGATTGGTTTGATTGAAATTGCAGCAAGTCCAGCTAACGAATTGCAAATCGAGTTTCCGCGAGTATTGCAGTTGTGCAGAGAACCCGCGTAGCTGGAAACACAGAAAGATAAGGGCTGACCTATTCGATGTTGAGAAAGAAGCAAGATGGAAAAACAGTGAACATTCAAAGATCTTCACAGATCTACAATGATGCGTTCTCCAAAGATGGAACAGTTCACAAACCTCGGTCGATCAAGATCCACCGAGATAGCAACGAGCTGATTCATCTGAAAACCCACTCTTTGCATGGGAAGTCATCCGGATAGCCTATCGAAACTCGCGACATATCGCGAGCGGATTCATGCCGAGGTTGATGGTGACACGAGATAAATCAACATCGCATGCCGCGATATCCTGACCAAGAATCTTTTGCTCAAAACTCGGTGGATGTTGATGTTGAGTCAACAAAACACTTGAAGCCGAGCCGAATCGGGAGTTCGGCACCGCTCGTAGACTCTGAGGAAGAGGCCGGCGGCGGACTTTGTTCCTTGCACATCTTGATGAGAAGCGTGAGATCGTCGAAGCGTCAGCAAAAGTTCGAAATGGCGAACGTGTTGAGACTTGGATGCAAGACGCAGATCAAGCATCTTCCTGAATAGGATGGAGCAGAAGACAAGATCGTTGAGAAGGTTCAGGGTCAAGATTGCCGATCCGAAATCTGGATGACGTTTCCCGAAGCATGCATCAACGTCGTCTGGCATCTGCAGCATCAAACCATTCCTTGACAGTGCACGTATCTTGGGTGAGGTTATACATCAGTCGGAGCGGTGATGCTGAATTGATGATGCTCTCCGTGTTGAAGCCTGTAACTCCATCGTACTCCGACTATAACGAAGAGCAAATTGTATACTGTAAAAATGCACAGCAGTATCAGAAGCAGAGGCGTGTCCATTGAGATGCGATAATTGTCGGCTCTCAGTGGACACGCCTCTGCTCTGATAGTATTGTGCATTTTCACAGTTGTACATTTTACAGGCTCGGAGCACGGGGAGGTCAGACTCATTGTTTAGTAAAGACTTTATTGCATTGTTATCTACTAGCCATGGTCATTCCGAGCAATTGTTCTCAAGCAACGTAATCTCACAGCACATCAAGTTGACAAGTCTACTCTGAAGCGTCATCGCTGTCTGTATCCTCTCTAGTTCTGACGACGGGTTTTCCAGGCACCATCTTGCAGAGCTTAGCAACCTCCTCGCTGGTGATACGCGAAGCACTAGTTGGATCGGCCAGGTTAGACATACGAGTGAGGTGAGCAAGGAATTGGTCCGGCGTAATTGGTTTGAATTCTTTCTGCTTGATGCGACCCAGGAGCCTCGAAGGCACGTCGGAACCCAGTATGAGCTTGTGATCGGGGTTGTTGTTGTAGACGGGCAAAGTTTTGTTGACTGTGCCTCCGAAGGTTCTGACGATGACTCTGAACTGTTCTTCACTCCAGTATGTATGGTGGCCGAAGACAGTGTAGGGGAAACCACCAAGGCAATTACGAGCGCCAGTGGGAGCTGCAGCGATGTCGGCTTCGGTGACTTCTGTGTCGAGTTTCGGCTTGGAGTTCTTGCGAGTTTTGGCTTTGGTGGTCTTGGTCTTTGTGTCGAGATCCATATCAACGTCCTGATCATCTTCTTCATCGTCATTGGTTTTCGATTTGGAAGACTGTTTCGACTTTGGCGTCTTGCGAGAGACTGGTTTGTCGTGCTTAATGACGCCGCCCATGAGAGGCATGATGAGCGTCTCGACGGTGACATCTCTGCTTCGGTTCTCCAAGGGTAACTCCATTCTGAAGGCGCCTTCGTTGGTGTAATTCTTCAATGTAGGTGTGGGAGCCTCGATGTCGAGACTGAGAGCAAGCTCATCAGCTTTGGCGGCACAGAAGTCGTTGGCTTCGTCAAGCGAGGAGAAGACTTGGTAGATCTGAAGTCTTCCGAAATCGTCTTTCTTGTTGTCAAAGGTGACTGAAGATGTGATGAAGACGTTGTGCTCGATGTGAGTGGGGGCTTTGGGAGGCATGTTGGATGGTGCGAAGGATGATGTTGGGAATGGTTGTGATGATGGAGTTTCTGCGTGATGATTGAACGATGAAATTGAAGGGTTGGAAATCGAATTTTGATTGATGGATGGGCAGAGACAGGCTTGGGTAGGTGAAAGCGCGGCAGTGTTTGTGTTGCGAGACAAGCAGGCGCTCAAAGAAGCAGGGGCGGCCAGACAATTCAGTCTCACCACCAACTCGAAAAGCGTGAAAACTTACGCACTCTAACAAATCGATCATGGAAGGCTCGCTACCATCTGGTTGTTATCAACCACTGAAAATCATGTCACTCCCCACGGCGAAGTATAGTGATATTTCATGCTATAGAAATGCACAATACTTTCTAGGAGTGAATGCTGTCCACGGAGAGACTATTCTCTGAGCTATCTCTGTGGCCATGCTCTGATCTCGAAAAGTATTGTGCATTTCGACAACTACACCGTAACCGTTTTCGGCACATGAGGAGGTTAGAGCGCCCGCAAGAAGGGCTGCTGACAGTGCAAGGAGCTACGATGGGTCTCCCCGATCGCAGGTTGGAGACCGAACTCCTCCCTTTGCTTGTGCCTGGCCTTGAGTACAAGCTCCCAGCTCTCAGAGTGGAGACTGCTTCAACGATGGAATCAAGTGTTGCGACAAGCATGTTCCAATTGGGCAAAGAGGATGGAGAGGTGAAGTTGGGAAGGCACGGGCGGAGTGTCTGCCGTCATCAAAGACAAACAGAGCAAACCCGAAAAAGTGCCATCTTGGTCTGGTGCTCGAAGATTCAACTCCCATAATAATTGAGTGGATATTTCAACTATCTACGAATTTCTAAACCGGAAATCTCAAGAATACAGCCGTCATCATGTCGGACGAACAACCACGCAAGAAGGTCCGTCTCACAGGTCCTGAGGACTCCATCTCAGCATCGCTATCAGAAGCCGACGCCGCTGTAGCAGCACAACTAGAACAAGAGAAGAGCGCTGGAATTACAGTCTTTGCATCAGAATCTGCTGGTTTCGGAGGTGTCGTCAAGAAGCGCTACACCGATTTCCTGGTCAACGAGATTTCAACAGACGGCACAGTTTTCCACCTGGACGAATTGACTGGACCCGCCGTCAAGGCTGTCAAGAAGGTTGAGAAGGATGTACAAGCAGAANNGAAGAGAAAGAGAAGCCTGCCGAACCCGTCAAGGCCGAACCTGCGCCTGTGAAGGAGGAGCAGCCCAAGNCCGGACAATGCAGAATTGGCTGTCAAGGAGCGCATGGAAGAGGCTCTTGCTTCGGTATGTTCGATTGGAACAGAGTAAGGAAGACTCATCTGACAAGCTATANNGATTGCGCCCGCCGACATCGACACTCTCAAGACCATCTTTGGCGACAAGACAACGACTGACGTCTGCAACCTCTACGCCAAATCCATCGCCCGTCCCGAGCGCAAGACCAGAGACCATGGCAGTCTGCAATCAGAAGTTATTGAGGACAAGCAGATGCGTACCGATGCCCACATCAACGTTCGTCGCATCTTCAGCGGCAGAATCGACACCATGACCAACGACGACAACACAATCGCCATCAAGGTCGCTGCTGCCGCCAACAAGATCAACGCTCGCGCTCTTCCTGGCTCAAAAGGAAAGAATGCTCGTCCAAAGGGCAAGGTCGGCTGGGAAGAGCTTGGAGGTGAACACTTGCATTTCACTTTGTACAAGGAGAACAAGGATACCATGGAAGTGCTCTACTGGATTGCCAGTCAGCTCAAGCTACACGTCAAGAACTTCCAGTTCGCTGGAACAAAGGACCGTAGAGGTGTCACTGTTCAGCGCGTGAGTGCCTACCGTATCGCTGCCGACCGTCTGCAGGGTATCAACTCTACGCTCAGACAAGCTAGACTCGGTAGCTTCAAGTACATGCCCCAGGGTCTTGATTTGGGCGACCTTTACGGAAACGAGTTCACAATTACTCTTCGTGACTGCACATTCCCTGGCCAGCAAGGCGACGCAGCCGCTCAGCTCGAAAACGCAAAGAAGATTACTGGCGACGCCGTCTCGCAGTTCCAAGAGCGCGGTTTCATCAACTACTACGGCCTTCAGCGTTTCGGTACCTTCGCCATTTCCACAGACACTATCGGTAGAAAGATGCTTCGCGGTGACCTGGAAAGCGCTGTTGAAGATATTCTGTCTTTCAGCCCTGAGGCTTTGGCCGCTGCTTCAAACCCCGACCAGGCTTCTACCAAGATTTCACACGACGATATTGCTCGCGCCGAAGCTCTGCACATCTGGAAAACGACAAAGAAGTCAGGGGCCGCTCTCGACAAACTTCCTCGCCGTTTCCAAGCCGAGAACGCCTTGATCAGACACTTGGGCTGGGTAGACCGCAAATCAGGAGAACTACTACGCGCAAAAGACTGGCAAGGCGCTCTCCAAAACGTCCCTCGCAACCTGCGTCTCATGTACGTGCACGCCTACCAATCGCTCGTCTGGAACACAGTAGCGGGTCGCAGATACCAACTCTACGGCAACAAAGTGGTAGCCGGCGACCTCGTGCTGGTCCACGAACACAAAGACAAAGAAGCCTACGCCCAACAAGACGAAGAAACCATCGACGACTGCGGCGAAATCATCGTTCGTCCCGCCGCCCACGACACCGCCACTTCTCTCGAAGACAAATTCGAGCGCGCTCGTGCGTTAACACCTGAAGAAGCCTCCAGCGGCAAATACACCGTTTTCGATTTGGTGCTGCCATTGCCTGGCTTTGATGTCATGTACCCATCCAACGAACTAGGTGCCTACTACTCCGAGTACATGGGCAGTGAACAAGGCGGAAAACTCAACCCCAGAGACATGCGCAGGAAATGGAGAGACATTTCGCTATCAGGCTCCTACCGCAAACTGATGGCCAAACCTCAAGGACTGGCTTGGGAAGTGAAACCTTACTTCCACGATGAAGAACAACTCATCCAAACCGATCTGGACAAACTGATTGCAAAAGCCAAGGAAGAGGGTAATGCCGATGCTTTGGGTGGAGCGGAAGCTCTGTTGGGTTCAGACAAGAGTCTGGAAAAGTCCTTGGAGCAGAAGGCAGAGGGAGATGTGGATATGACTGATGCAGCAGCAAAGACCGAGACAACCCAACAGCAAGAGCAGAAACTGGCTGTGGTGATCAAGATGCAATTGGGTAGTTCCCAATATGCCACCATGGCTCTGCGCGAGTTGACAAAGGGAGGTGCTGTGGCTTTCAGACCCGATTTCCAAGGTGGAAGATTAGATATCAAGGCAGAGTAGCTGCCAACCATTGACATCTGATATTATCGACTATTAGTGTACAGTCATGAATGAAGATAAAAGGCTTTGACATACCCAAAGAACTGATATCTCGAATGAGACAGCAATTTCTCATTCACCTTTCTGCATTTTCACAATCGTCTCTGCTCCTTGTTGTATGTGAACGAAGGAATACATCAAACGCATAATCGTCAAGAGTCTGGCTTTGTCTCACTTCCCTTTCTCATCATCCTATATCCCCAACCATCGCTACTCTCTTCAGACAAATACTGCTCGGTCACACGATACGGTACACCTTGCAACACTTCCCGTCTCGGGAATGCAAACTTTACTGTCGTTCACGTATCGACGCTACCGTTCTTTGCCAACATTTTATACATCTCCCTTCCCCAACTGCACATTCTCATTGCATAACTGCATCAACCAACTATCACGATTCAAGCCGACGAGATGAGATCCACAGTCTAGCTGTATTGTACACAGACGTCGTTGTCGTCGTTACCGCCACTCATGTTTGCCTTTTCATAAAACTTGCTACAAGGAACAAAGGTCTTTCTTCTGAATTGCGCGTTGGCGGTGCATTATAGTAAGAGATGACTCTCCAGTCAGTTGGATTGATGGCAGGGAATGATGCTTCAATAGTGCATTATGCACTCAAGTCCTCTGGCACAAGTGATGAAGAACGCAATCTCCAAGATGTCAATTCCGGTACTGAAGCATGAGGAATAGAGGGAGTCTTTGATATTGAATTCTTCTGTTCCTTGCACGCCTGCACGAACCAACTATCACAATCCATGCCGACGAGATGAAGATCCAACAGTCTGGCTGTATTGGACACAGACGTCGCTGCCGTCCTGCGGTTGCTGCCGAACAAGACGCTCTTCACCCAAGCTTGCTGGAGAACACAGGGTCTTCCGGACTGCGCGTTGGCGGTAGCACACTAGGGGGCGACTCTCGAGTCAGCTGGGATTGATGGCAGGAAGCCGAATGGTCCAGTAAGAAGGTAATATATACTTCAAAGTTCCATGGCACAAAGTGACAAGAGCCGCAAAAGTAAAAATATGTAAAAGTCCAAGATTGAAGGCATGAATATAGGGAACCATGAGATCCCCGTGTGTATTAATAGAACTAATTTTCTAGTAATTGAAGAGACAAAGAGATAGAGAGACAAATCTTCTCTACTCGGCCAGAACCATCCTCAGCATGGCAATGAAGCCATCCCGCATTTTTGTGACCTCGACAATATCAGGCTTGACAGGTTCGCCAGCACTCCTCCTAAGGAAGTCCTGGCGTCTGGCCCTGCGCTTCCTCTCGGCAGCAATAGGATCAGCGTCTTCCTCATCGTCATCCGTAGAACTGTATTCATCTTCGTCATCGTTAAGATCTTGGATGTCCAGAGCGTTGAGACCAAAGTCATCGGGCTTGAACGATTTGATAAGGTCTGAAGCGCCGCCGTCGGCACTGGGTGCATCGCCTGTGGCCATCTTTTGACGTGTTTTGTCTTGGTGCCACTTCTTGCGTTTTTCTTGCCACTTGATAAGAGAGTTTATCTCCCGTACGGCGGCGTCCTTGTCAATCTGTCGCATCTCAACGGCACCCTGGANAAGGGCGTTCATGTCCAGTTTGCCGCCACCCCGAGGACCATTACGGAGGAACGAGAGAATGCCTTCTATCCAACCCATGAGTTGATCGAACAAACCGTTGTCGTGAAGATGTACTTCGTGTACAAACTTGTAGAACGAGTCTTCGTGTCTTGCGCATAGATCGATGAAGGCTTGGACCGTCTGGTTAGGATCGGCGGATACGTCCTGTCGCTGACACTTCTCCACCACGACAATCACATCATCCATGAAGCGTGCAAAGTCGCTAATACTGTTGTAGACGTTGGCCGACTTGTAGACCCTGACGAGGGGCTCGTAGAAGATGGTAAACAGGTCGCGGAAGAGTTGCAAAGTTGTGGGCTCCTCAATCATTCGCAACATCATAGTCTTATCTCGTTGGCGTGTGTAGAGCTTCAGTAGTTGCTTCAGGTGAGCAAAAGTCTCGGCACCTGTTCTTAGTTCCTCATNCAATCTAATCTGTGGTTAGCAACGGCAGACGACGGTTCGAAGAATAACACTCACGTTCTCGACTGCACTGTTCCATGCCACGTAAGCATTGAAAGCCTGACCAATTTCTTCGGGTTTAAGCTCCGGCTTGATATCTTCGCTGCGCAAGATGGCCACGAGAAGGTCGATGTCGTCTTGTGCGGCTTCTCTTCGAATTGCGTCCTTAAGGTCTTGATCACACTGATTGTAGTTTTTGATCTTCTCGCAGAACACGGGCTCGTTGATCTTAGCAGCAAGACCATCGATGCTCTTCTGAACAGATCTGATGCTGTCTCCGAGAGCCAGAGAGAAGATACGTTGCAGAAGAGACTTTGCGCCGAAAGGTTGAGCGAGGAACAGGTCGAGCACACCAGCCATAACGGCAGCTGGGTTTGCGAATCGAATGACTTGTTTGAGAGCGGTGTAGGGAATCAAGGAGTGGATGCGTTTTGCTTGTGCGAACAGTTCTGGGCTGTTGTCTTCTGCCAGGAACAAATGATAGATCACGGCTGCCANCTCTGTCATTGAGTTAGCGTTGTATCCACTAGATTGGGCATCTGGGAATGCGTACTCAATACGAAGCCATTCAGCAAACTTCTGATATTCGGGAGACAATTCTGCAATCGTGTTCTTTTGCTTGATCTCGGCAAACAACTTTGTCAATCCATCTAGACCATTTGTCAGTGAACAGACTCTACACTCTTGGAAAGTCAGGGACGACTTACTGCTCTCGACGACTTCTCTTCTGAACTTCTCCATGTGGACATCAAGCTCCCTAGCTCTTTGACGAGCAATCTCGTAGAAGCGCCGTTGTTCCTCGATACGCTTTTCGTCCATCTCGATGCGTCTCTTGACATCCTCCATCTCTTCCTCGTTCAGTCTGATAACATTGCCAGTTAAGAAGTCGTTCATAGCGTTACTGTTGGCGATGCTCTCGTTCTGCAAAAAGTTGCGCAGGAAAGCTCGTAGTGAGACACGTTGTTCTTCCCTGTATAGAACCTTTGGCGGTGAACGGTCTCGATTGAAGTCGCCGGACTTGCGGCCAAATTTCGTTGTTGAAGATGCGTCCATGGAAGCGCGAGGAGATGCGGTTTGCGACGAGCGCGAAGCAGTCCTACGATGACCACCGCCAAAGGGATTTGGGAGATAGCTGCGGAAGCCACTGCTGGCTGGTGCAGGCTCATCGTGGGCGGCGGCTTCTTTCACGTCTTGAGTCGAAACAGATGAGATTGAATCGGCATCGTCGTCGTCCTTTGTGTATAGCGAATTGGAGTGGTTCTTGCGAGGTAGTGGTGGCAGCACCTTTCCTGGAAGTTCGAGGCGCAATCTCTTGTGCATTTGAGCAAACTCGCTGTATCTCCTTCCAACGTAGATTTCAGGCTTGCCCTGTCGCTTGACGCGGAGCAGGAACTCTGCATGTGCGTGATGGCGTACATGTCTCTTGACACTAGTTGTTCGTACCGAGGCGACGTTAACATCCCAACCATTTATCTGATGTCCTTCGGGTACATTCAGCGCCAGACCTTGCTCGTTGGCTCCTCGGTCGACGACTTCCATCTCTGAGAATCGGATGCGCTCTTCGTAACCAGATGCAGTCGGCAGTCCGGAAACCATCATAAGTTCTACCAGCTTCTGGGCCTTCACGGCAAGCTTGCGGCGTTTTGTCTCTTCTAGGCGATCTTCGGATGAGGATATACGCTTCGTCGCAAAAGACTCGAGGAACTAGGGGGATAGCTGTCAGCTTGTGCCTGTACTGAGATGAGGATTGCAGCGTACCGTCTGTAGCTTGTCTTGCCAGAACTCCTTCTCTCTGGCTCTATCAAGAAAGGGAAAGTTGCGGACATGGTTCACAAACATGTAGCGCAGCAGAGGCAGCTCGGAATCCTCTGGTGCGACTTCACCAGCGTCTGACTTGAAGGGAGCGCCAAAGCGTTGTAGGGCAGTTTCGGAGGCCAGCTCTGAGATCTCCCATTCTGTCTGTTCTGAGATGAGTTCGCGCTTGAGGTCTGAAGTGTGTCAGCGTCATGGCGGGGCTGACGAGCGCATGGCAGGAAACATACAGTGTTCCTGTTTGCCAGTAAGGACAGAGCCCGGCGGCGGTATTGATTGTTTCGAGACGGTCGAGTAGGTAGAAGCAGACGAGCGGTTCATGTTGATGCGAGTGGACTGGGGCGAGACAGCGACTGGCTGGACAAGGCCTTCTTCTATAGGATCTTCTGGCGCCGTGTTAAAGCGCTCCAACCGTGGCTGAACTGGGGCGGAGTTTGGCCCTGATCTATTCATATTTCAGTGATAGGCTGCTAGGTTGACGGGTCCAATCTCGAGGGAGCGTGCGAGGCGCCGACTTGATCTATTATTCGTATAAACTAAATGTTGTTGCTCCTTTGGATGAGAGCATCCATGCATGATACGCGTACGCAGCTTTATGACGTTTTCGAGCGAATCAGGTAAGAACAACCCCGGCTCAAGTGCCCGCTCTTGCTCTAAAAACAACCGTCACAGGACTCTTTTCGCTGTCTTTCAGCATGCGCCAACCAAACATCATTCGAATAAACCTCCTGACCACTAGGCACCGTATCACTCACAACTTTGGACTCCAAGATGGTCATTCGAGAATGCTAGAGATGCTCTACTGTGGGCCTGTGTACTCAGCGCTGAGCTCGGCCTCGGGGCTAAAAACACCCCTTCCAGCCAAGCCTCACATCTTCAAGCTACAATCTTTCTTCTTGGGGGCATGACGACGCAGCTGACAGGCAGAATCTTTCCATGTTCGCATGATTCAGAGGTCATTCACCACCAGAGTGCTCCAATTGTTCATCTCCTCATCGCACTCATATTCTTCCGTTGTCGTTTGAGTGTCCCTGTTCAAATAAACACCCTCTCGTAGATCTTTCCGCATCTCCACTCTTGCAAATCAATTTGTTTAACTGCCACGATGCCTCACCAGCCACAAATCGTAAAACAACACCCCCACCCAAAAGCTTGGTCCTGGAAAGGGTCTTGCTACTTTTTCTTTGTCCGCGGCTGCCGAGCCCTTTGCTGCGTAACGACAAGAACTCCTTGATCTGGGCATGGCTTTAGTATCCTAGTATGAAGCAATGCTTGACGCATCGTTTGCCGGAAACCCGTAGAACTTCACTTGGCGAAGACAAAAGGGCTCGTTCTTCAAAAGTGATGACGAATCTTGTAGAGAGACAGGGTCGCACCCTCGGTGACAATCAGAAAACATTTCCATGCCATAATATGATCACAACGTACATTTCTGATTTCAGATGAGCACTAAAACGATACTGCGCTCCAGATTCAAGGCTTTCGTGCTCATTGTAAAGAAGGATTATGTCTTGTTGTTGGCTGGTCGTGAAATCAAGCTGAACGATCGACTTTCCGAATCGAGCGTACTCTAGTCATATGCTCGCATTGTCACCCTTCATAGTGAGAGTCGAACTCAGAGCACGGATTCGCAAGGTCTTTGGCACTTCGACAATAATGATTGTAGCAAGGAAAGCGGTCATTTTATGTTCTGCCTCGCAAAAGTACGATCAGCTATCAGCCATATGTACGCCTCCTTTTTAGTAGTTGAGCTCCTCAGCCCCTCCAGCACTGCCAGCAGCATCGAGATCGTTGTAGCTCTTCATCGTGCGACCCTCGACTGCTTGTCTAGGTCCGACAGTGTGCTCTCCTCCCTCCATGAACATACCCCGGCGGGGTGGCGTTAGGCGGCCGCTGATGCTTCGTCGTGGCTCAACTCTCATGCCACGATCGTACGGACCTGGAGCACGAGCGTTGGTGGTGCGCATACCGCCTGTCCTCATTGGCCCAGCTCCACGGTCACCACCTTGCATGTTCCAACCAGGCATCGTGAGAGGGAACTGTCCAGGGACAAATGGATTGAAGCCAGCCGGTCCGCCTGCGCTTGGCATGGGCATCCCGGTGTTGAAGAACGGCATGTTGTTCAGACTGAAGTTGCGAGGTGTACCTGTAGGCATGTTGTTGTTGACAGGGAAGTGGCCGTTACTACTAGCATCGTTGCGTCCCTGTGCGAGCCTGGCAGGGTCAAGGACGTAGCGGTTGACAAGCTCAANTCTGCATCCAAGTTAGTGGTCGTTCGGCTCAGAAAGCTTAGCACTTACGTCTTCTTTGAGTTTGTCGTGCCAATCCTGATGCCTCTTCTCCACATGCTTCTTCCAAAAGTTTTCGCCCTTGAAGAGCTTCGTACACTCAGGAACCTTGCATCGGAACTTGAACTCGTCCTCCTGTTTTACGAACTTGCTCATGTCTTCTTCAAGGCCTTCTTCGACCGGCTTACCTCCAAGCTTCCTCAGATCGACATTGTAGGGCTCAAGAATCATGAGCAGCTTCTCCTCAAAGGTCTTGACCCAGTTGTATGCCTTCTGAAGCTGGTTCTTGCCGTATGCTCGAGNGGCAGATTTCCTCTCTTCGATCGGTGAACCGTCTTCGCCATCCCCAGCACCGCTCTCTTGACGCTTGAGTGGGAATGGTTCTCCGTTTGCGGTGGCTCTGGCGGTTTCTTTAGCCGCTGAGGTGAGACTTGCACGAGGACGACGGAGATGACCTCCTGCACACTTGCGTTGCAACTCGTGAACTGAGTCGCATTCGAAGACGCAGTAGAAACAGAAGTTGTACACACGACGAAGATATTCGACGAGTAAATCAAGCTTCTTCTTCTTGATCAACAGCTCTTCATCGTCGACATCTTCATCGATACCACCTTCGTCTTCTTCACCTTCTTCCATCTCACCGTCATCGACATCTTCGTCTTTGATCTTTGGGGCTGGAATAGGTGGCTGCAAGTATCCCTTGCCGGCCAACTCGTCAACGCGTTGCTCGATCTTACCAACACCATCAAAGTCATCGCCCATCTCCGAATCGAGTTTCCTGACCAAGCGCAGAGCAAGATCCAGATCCCGTTCGACGCGTTCGGGAGCGGAGAAGAGATCCCACAATGCCTTCTTCCTAGGATTCTCCTGAGGGTGATGAATTCCAACGTGAACTGTGAAGTCGCCCTTCTCAGGGTCTTGAATCGTTTTGTTGTTGATTTCATTCAAAGCTCTCTCGCAGATGGTCTGAGCGTGGTTTGGCTTGTCTTGATCCATGGCACCCCCATCGGCGTCCTGGTCATCGTCATCCCGGCTTCCACGGCGCTTGGTGTCCTCTTCAGGTACATCGGATGCAGGATTGAGCATAATCCAACCAAGACGATGGAACTTCTTTCCTGGGTTCGGGTCGCTCAGGCTCAGCCACTTATAGCCGCCCTCGCCTTCACCAAGATGCTCCTTGCAAAACTCCTCCATGCGCTCACGCGAGACAGCTGGTGTAATTGTTTTGACAAGTAGTGTTGGTTGGAAAGCGACTGGATCCCGCACGTCACCACCTTTAGAGGGCAGCAGATCTGACACGGCCAGAACCTCTGCCGCAGCGCTTGTCTCGCCTTCTTCCTTTTCGACGATACCTCCAGCACCATTGCTCTCGCTCTTGTAAATGCCCTCGAGGGTAAACTCGTCAAAGGTACCAGCCGTCAAGTCCGAGTCCCACCGAGCGAAGAGATCACGTCTGTACTCAAGAACCTTTTGGCGCAAAGGGTCGCGAACTTCTGGTACATAGCGTTCGCGGAACCATGTGTCATACTTGTGACCATGAACGAAGAGCTTGGCCATTCTTGTGTTCCAGTTCAGCTTGTACTGGTCGTAGGCATTTTGTATCTTTGAACGCTGTTCATCGCGTGATTCCTTGACGGGCTCAGGGCGACGGCCTCCGTTCTTCTGACGCTCACGTTGTTGTTTGATCTCTTGCTCGGCCTTCCACCATTCAGCGAAGTAGCTGAATCCGACCTGCGAGGCTTCCAGCAGGGGGTCTCTGAGTTGATTTACTGGGATAGCTCTTGGAAGGGCGGCATCATCGCCAGGGATGTATCGATCGATGTTTTTGGGAGCGCCCGGCTGGATCTGGGGAGAAGAGCGGCGTCTGTCACGAGGATAGTCTTCACGTCCGCGGTAGTAATCGTCGCGTGAACGATCGGGTTGGTAGCGATCGATTTGTGTAGGAGAGCGCGAGCGGTTACGACCAGCTTGACGAGCACGTCGATCAGAGTCTTTAAAGAGTATGTCAGTATATGACTGAGGGCATAGAGTGGAATTGTGAGACGTACTCGGCGACCTGCGTCGTTCGCGGTAGGGATCTCTCTCACGAGAGTTGTAAGACTCGCGGTCGTAGCTGTCAACCCTAGATAGATCGTTGGGCGACTTTGCCGAGTATGTGTCGAAAGTGTCCATGGTAGCGGGTGTAGACGAGGTGCTAGTATGGCTCAACAAGTCGACTCTTGCGCACTGATCAACGCCATGGTGGGTTAGAGCTCGTTCAGGAGAGGTTGAAAGAGTGAAACGAAACAAGAAACTCGGGGAGCAAAAAGAGTGAATGTATCAGGGTGAATCGCAGTGAGGTTTGAGAGTAACGATGTAGGTAATCGGCGGGTGCATGGTGATAGGGAGTTGAGGTTGAGGTTGAGCGGACGCGACGAGACGAGGACGCGGGCTGCTCACAAGTCTCGCGAGAAGAAGAGAAACGATACGAACAATTTGGGCAAGACAGCAGCCGAGAAACGGCGACGCATCAATGAAGAATTGGATGCGGTCGACCAGAGAGTTGAAGAAGACGAGAGAACGAGTGCTGCTGCTGTATACTCCAGGGCGCGAGCCGGCGGAGTCGGCGCTAATCGAGCCAAGCCGCTATATTCAGTTCACGCACGGGCCAATAGCGCCGCTGTCGCAGGTTTCTGCGGGGAAAGCTCGCAGCAAGGAGGAATATATCGGGTGATGACGGCTTACTTCGGGACATTGAGTGCTCATTCATGGTGATGCGTAGCTCGTGCTGAACATGAAAGAAGTTCAATTGTGCTACAATCATCAAGGGAGATCTGAATGTAAGTTTACTGTAAAGGACAATAAGGCGGCAGCTCGCAATGGGCGGGCTTCGATTCCGACGTCCGAATCGTTCGGGCCGGGGAAGCAGCGTCATGTTCCGAATCGCGTGTCTGTCGCGAGCGATCGATGCGAGCGATTGATTGAAGCAGGAGACGCCAGTAAGAACAGGACTCTTTCTTACTCTCTTTCGAGCCAGCTTTTCCTGCTTCCTGCTGCATCACCACCAACAACATGACCTCCTACATTCCCCACCTGACGCTGCCTTCATTCATCTTTGAGAAGCCGGCCGTCTCCGTTCTGCTGCCTGTAGTACTCGGAACCGCCGTTGGCTACTCGACCAGACGTGAGTTGACACATGCCTCTGCAGCCCGCTGTCAGAATCAATACTGATGACTACTTTCCGCGGCAGCCAAAGAGACGCAAAACACATATCTCGCCCTGCGTCAGCCTCCCCTAAGACCTCCACCATGGGTCTTCGGCCCGGTATGGACCATGTTGTACGGAGCCATGGGATACGCCGCTTTCCGCTCCTGGTCGACTGCCATGGACTCGTTTGATGCAAAGAAGGTCCTTCTTGCAAAGGTACTCCTAGCCCTATCCCAAGTCCCTATAGTTGGCACGCATTGTACCCATACTCATTCTGTCACANNGCAAGGCGCAACCCTCTACACCATTCAGCTCGCTCTTAACCTCATCTGGATGCCCCTCTTCTTCTCCCTGAAACGCCCGATTGCTGCTACTGTCGACATTGTTGCCCTCACCGGCGTCACCGGATATCTTGCCTACATTTGGGGCCAAGTTGACGAAGTTGCTGCATGGAGTCTTGCTCCCTACCTCGGCTGGCTTAGCTTTGCAACCTATCTGTCAGCAGGTTGCGGCTACCTGAACAACTGGGACTTTGAGAGCAAGGAACGCCCGATAGCGGACAAGCCAAACGACACCAAGTTTGTCGACGAGAAGAGAGAGTAGGCAAGTTTTGGCGCCCTAAGATACCCAATTGTGTCAAGCGAGGACAAGGCTGTATGCGATCATCCATCATTCGTCATGGTTTTTGGCCGTTTCGAGCTGGCAGCATAACTGTCATGCACCTTCTGTTTGCGCCTGCTCCGTCCGACATGGCATGCTTCATAACCTCATGTCGACCATGTCCGTAAACGCTATATACAGCAAAGTTGTACGTTGAATGCAGCATCTTTCCAAATCATTTTGCTTATCCCCGATCTCTTGGAGTGTTGAACAAGCCTAAGCCTACAGCCAATCGGTACTCATTCCCGACTGCCATGTCACGATTCTCCATTGTGGATGCAACCTCATGACCCAAAGAAACTTGATCCCGAACCCCACCCTTGAAACACTCCGAGTAGTTGCAAGTCCTCATCGCGACACCTAATTTCAGCAGCATGGTCAGGCCGTGGTCTGGTACTTCTGTTGAGGTGCTTACCCATTCTATATGAATCCACATGCGAATGCAACGACACTGCAACGCTCAACCACCACTAGTTAAAAGCACCAATTAACCCCCATCATATCCAACACCGCCTCTTCGCACAGCCCCGCCCATCGCCTTGAAAGCTCGACTACAAGATCCCTCCAACAGCTCTCCAGTTCTGGTGTGCACACAGACTCGTACAAATGGATTTTTTTTTCGAGTTCAACAATGGTTTCATGGCAAGTCGCGTCTTGGTGTTTCTGAATACTTGCGCTACCCATTCACGGCTGTTCCTGTAGATTGACTTGCTTTATGTGGGCAGTTGCACAGGGTCGCGCTAACACGCATCAAAGGATCCGTTCGAAAGACCTTACACGATCTCTCAGGACGAAGGAGATCTGGCTGAAGACCCCTGAGCAACATTTGGGTGGATCCCTCGATCTATGTTGGTTTGGGCGAACCAGATGGAGTCTTGCACCCAAACTATGGATTTAGTAGCGGACAAGCTTTGCAGTACAACGAGGATCTTGTACAGCAACGCGTGGCTGAGAGCGCTCACGCAGAGCCCTGGACCGGGATTAGCAATTCTATGAATTTCTCGACCACATCAACACTGTCGCAAACAATCATCGCCCAACAACCCGGCCATATAAACGTTCAGGTGGATGAAACAGACTCTGGATATGCGTCTCTGAACTGCCAGCCTCTGCTATGCCTCCAGTGCGGCAAGGCATTCAAGAATAAGGCTGAAGAGAAGTGAGATGCCCCTTGACACTAGCAATCTGTTGAAGCCTATTGACATTCGTAGNNAAAACACTCGTCGACACATAGCCGACCGTTCAAATGTTGCGTCAAGAACTGCACAAACACCAAAGGCTTCGCAACATCCAACGATCTCGAGAGACACCAGAAAGACATCCACCTGATCAAACCGAAGCACGGACCCCAGTCATACTACAGATGTGTGCTACCAACCTGTTCAAAGCGAGAGAAGATATGGTCAAGAAAAGACAACTTCAAGGCACACATTAGTCGAATGCACAAGCACATAGGCATGGATGTCGACCAGCTTGTCGCGAGGTGGGTTTGACATCAACCTGTATGTTGCGCGGTGTACTAAATCAAGAATGTNAGATCAGAAATGACACCTAGTCCGGCAGAGATGCAACAGCTGGCTCGCGCTAAAAATGCGCAAGCGCTGAACAGAAGTAAAGGAAAGCAACGCGCCAACAATCAGCCGAAACAAGCAGCGGCACCACAGTATACCGAGATTGAGCCACAGCCCGAGGTGGCGCAAGCAGCAATACCGCTATGGCAGACGCATGTCCCAGGATATCTGGATGACATGCCTAATGAAGCGTCTGAGATGGTATCGACTGAGATCAGGTCAGGCAGGATCGCTGACAATTTGACCTCAAGTGTATTGCAGAAGTACCCAAGCACTTTACCAGTCAGGCAGTATGGATATGAGGGAGTCAGTGGTCGACACAACAGTGCAGATGGAAATTGGGATGATGTATCAGACTGCAGCTTTGCTTATTCACATGAGAGTTCGGCGTATGGTGGAGGAACGAGCGATTTTGGTTGATAGGTAGATTGAGAAGCTGTTGTCTCAGATCACGAAGGAATGATAACGTGTAATGATCTACGTTACGACTTGAATCAGTATTCTCAAGGATGCATCAAATGATTGTGGTTGGCGGGAGTGAGGTGCTGAGATGCGGAGGTTCGGCGGACTTTGCCGGGCTGTGGTCAATGGCAGGTCGGGGCTCGGGACATTGACGCGCATGCTCGGTGGGTGCTGGGGTTGGAACTTGGAAGCTTAGGTGTCCGCTTGTGCCTGCCACCAGCACCAGCTTTCCATATACCAACCCTGTATAGACAGCAACCATGGCAGCCACCGTGGGAAGCTCTTTCTTCAAGGGCGAGACTGGTCGCAACACCAGAGGCTTGCTGCGACTGATCATTCTGGTCACAATTGCAGCAACCGCCGTAGCCTCTCGTCTCTTCTCCGTCATCCGCTTTGAGAGCATCATTCACGAATGTACGCCAATTCCCCTCTCCTGACTCTTGTCTGTGTCTGGTCTTGCAGCTTGCTCTTCCAATGCCTCCCTTAGATCTCTATCAAGGACTCTAGTACAGTCGTTCACAGTCATCGACCAGGCTTCGAACATTGAACCAACACAGACTCGATAGACACGATCGCTAACAACCGTCTTCCACNNAGTCGACCCCTGGTTCAACTTCCGCGCAACCAAGTACCTCGTTCAGAATGGCTTCTCGAGCTTCTGGGATTGGTTCGACGACCGCACATGGCACCCCCTCGGCCGTGTCACCGGCGGTACCCTCTACCCTGGCCTCATGGTCACCAGCGGTGCCATCTGGCACTTGCTCCGCCTCTTGACCTTCCCCGTCGACATTCGCAACATCTGTGTTATGCTCGCTCCCGCCTGCTCTGGCTTGACCGCCTTCGCCGCTTACCTCCTGACCTCCGAGATGTCCGACTCGCCCTCGGCCGGCCTCCTTGCCGCCATCTTCATGGGCATTGCCCCCGGTTACATCTCGCGTTCCGTTGCTGGAAGTTACGATAACGAAGCCATTGCCATCTTCCTCCTTGTCTTCACCTTCTACCTCTGGATCAAGAGTGTCAAGCAGGGCTCCGTCATGTGGGGCGCTTTCACTGCCCTCTTCTACGGATACATGGTCTCAGCCTGGGGTGGTTACGTCTTCATCACCAACTTGCTCCCTCTCCACGTCTTTGTCCTGCTGTGCATGGGCAGATACAGCCCTCGTCTGTACGTCAGCTACACCACCTGGTACTCTCTGGGCACGCTCGCGAGCATGCAGATTCCCTTTGTCGGTTTCTTGCCTATTCGCACCAGTGACCACATGGCTGCGCTCGGTACGTTCTACATTCTCAAATCATATACTGTCTTCTAAAAATGACCCNNAGGTGTCTTCGGTCTCCTCCAGCTGGTCGGTTTCGTCGAGTTTGTGCGCCAGACTCTGCCTAGCAAGCAGTTCCAGACGCTGCTCCGTGCCTTTGTCCTGGTCGTCTTCCTTGCAGCGTTCGGAGTTCTCGTCCTCCTGACTTTCTCTGGAGTTGTCGCACCATGGGGTGGTCGTTTCTACTCGCTCTGGGATACTGGATACGCCAAGATTCACATTCCCATCATTGCATCCGTTTCCGAGCACCAGCCTACCGCCTGGCCCGCCTTCTTCTTCGATCTTAACTTGTTGATCTGGCTGTTCCCTGCTGGTGTCTACATGTGTTTCCGCAACTTGAAGGATGAGCAGGTCTTTGTTGTCATCTACGCCGTCCTGGCCAGTTACTTCGCTGGTGTAATGGTCCGTCTGATGCTCACCTTGACCCCTGTTGTCTGTGTCGCTGCAGCTCTTGCTCTTTCTCAAATTCTTGACACCTTCCTTGTTACCAAGACTCCTGTCGCTCCTCCAGCCCAGGCCAATGGCAACAACGACATCGCCAAGTCTGCTGCTTCCCTGATCCCCGATACTCTGCGCTCCACCCAGAAGCCTCTCGTTGGTATCTACTCGACCTTCTCCAAGTTCGCCATGACCGGTACCATTACCGCCTACCTTCTGCTCTTTGTTCTCCACTGCACTTGGGTCACCTCGAACGCCTACTCATCCCCTTCGGTCGTTCTGGCTTCCAAGATGGCAGATGGCTCGCAGCACATTATCGATGACTACCGCGAGGCTTACTACTGGCTTCGTCAAAACACTGAGCAGAACGCCAAGATCATGTCTTGGTGGGATTACGGTTACCAGATTGGTGGTATGGCCGACCGCCCCACTCTTGTCGACAACAACACTTGGAACAATACCCACATTGCCACTGTTGGCAAGGCCATGAGCTCGCGCGAGGAGGTCAGCTACCCAATCATGAGACAGCACGAGGTCGACTACGTTCTCGTTGTCTTTGGTGGTCTCATTGGCTACTCGGGAGATGATATCAACAAGTTCTTGTGGATGGTTCGTATCGCTGAAGGTATCTGGCCCGATGAGATCAAGGAGCGTGATTACTTTACCGCTCGTGGCGAGTACCGCATCGACGATCAAGCTTCCGACACCATGAAGAACAGCTTGATGTACAAGATGTCATACTACAACTACAACTCCCTCTTCCCTGCTGGCCAGGCCACCGACCGCGTCCGTGGTTCCAAGCTTCCCGCTGAGGGTCCCGAACTCTCGACTCTAGAGGAAGCTTTCACCAGCGAGAACTGGATCATCAGAATCTACAAGGTCAAGGACCTCGACAACCTCAACAGAGACCACCAGAGCGCCATGGCTTTCGAGAAGGGCAACAAGAGAAAGAAGACTAGCAAGCGCAAGGGCCCTAGAGTCCTACGTGTTGATTAGACGCGAACGAAAAGTTGCTAGATTTTTTCTTTCTTTAGAACCAGTAGGAAGTTTTCCGTTTCTGTATATCTCTTATCTTTTTGAAAATGATGAAAAAGCATCTTTGAGCAAAAATTTGTCTCGTTTCGAGCACGAAATGTATGCGTGCTTATTTGTAGCATTGTCTGTGGAACTGTGCATTGCTTCAAGATGTATTAAAGAGCCATAATGTCACTTCCGAGTATGGCAAGCAGGTGAGAAAGCAGGGCTACTCAGGCTCAAACAAGAGGCCAGCGAGACACTTTGTGAGAACGCATCTCTTCGTGCGCGGGCGCCGGTGCTAGATGTGGCTATCAAAATGCACAATCAAATCTCTGATTGGCGTATGTCTACAGAGAGTCACTCGATTGATTTCGATCTCGAATTCTTTGCTATATACCGTATCTTCAAGAAAAATCCGTATTCGAGATTTATGATCTCATATGTTGGAACCCATCGACGTTGTGGAAACTCATCGAGCCTTGTGAAGAAACAAGATGCCTTCAAAGCATCTTGGACAATATCCTAAACAGGAATTCTCTTATGTTTAGCCAAGTATCTTATAGCGACGGGGAAGATGACTCTTGATAGTTCATATGATGTCAAGATAGCATCTTTAGCATCCATGCAATCTCATAGAAACGTCTCAAGGTGCGATGGGGATTTCGATCATCGTCGTCCTTCTTTGATGCAGCTAACATTGCGCTAAAGGCAGAAACGACACTTCTTGTGTCGACATCTTCTTCTCCAATTTCTGGCAGTGTGATGTGGATATCTTCTTCACGCAGCAAATTGACAATCTCGGGGTCAATCATAGATCCGCTTGTTGTATGTATTTAATATGGGGATGTGTAGGTTATTATACCTGGGCCACATAGGAACTGATGTAGCATAACAAGCTGAGCAAAGCGATGAGGTACACCTGAAATCTCTGTCCTAAGAAGCTCGCCCTTGAGAGAATGTACGATTACAGCTACAGTTGCAGCACCGTGGTCGTCACCATTCTCCTGCTATGCCGTATTAACAAAAGTTATGGTTCTTTGTAGGCTCGTGTCCCATTGAGCATGGACTGCAAGCTCGCGTGTGAACTGCAATAACAAGCCGTTGTAGAATGTTTTGACATCATAGTTGGACCTCGCTCATAAGTTCCAAACGATGATGCCGCCATTGTTCGAGATCTTAACAGCGACCTAATGAGTGTTGGTTGGGTTAACCACAGGTTACATATCCTTAAGATTTAGCTTAAGAGCAGCAGTAAGTCTTAAAGGAGTTCCTGCATCTTGCGCTTGGTGTTTTTAAGATGTTGCTCTATTGTCCGATAGGCATCCTCAGAGTCGTTGAAAGGTGGAAGGTAATAAGTTACGTGAGCATTTTCGACATATGCTATAACGTCGCTGCACGGGTAAGATGCATGATAAGACAAACAAGGACATCGATTGTCCCACTGTAATACCAGCCATGTCGAAGGTAGATTTGTCGTAACTCTTGGATATCGGCATAGTATCTAGCGATAGCCGCTCCGGTTTGTATTGTTAGAGCCTCAGTGATTTGCTGCCAGATCTCTGAGGTTAACTGTCCAAGAGTCTTTTTTCCTCGCTGATTTCTTCTTGTTTCGAGTCTTCTTCTTGTTTCGAGTCTTCTTCTTGTTTCGAGTTTTCTTCTTGTTTCGAGTCTCCAAGTTTGATTTTCTTCAATTCAGGTGCACCTTCGCCAATCGATGAGACGCCGCGTCGGTGCTTGTCAAGTTTCTCGGATATCGGTGACTTCTTAATCGGCGATGAGCGTACTGAGCGTTTTACAAGGGGCGGAAACTCGATTTCAGAAAACGTCAGAGGAGCTGGATCAGAGGCTGCATGCTGAGGAAAGGCTGGAGCAGGAGATAACCCCATGCTTATATCGGAGAGCTTGTCTGATTTAGAGGCTGCATGCTCGGGGAAGGCTGGAGTAGGAGGCAACGGCTGGAACGATTCGGATGACTTGTCTGAACGAGAGTCTACGTGCTGTAAAGACGCTAGAGCAGCAGACGATTTTTGGAGTGGATCGGACGGCTTGTCTGACTTAGACTTTCAGTGCGAAATGGATGGTTGGCGATAATCGGGACGACGAGGTGATCGGCGCGAGGATTCGTGTCTACCACGTTTATCCTCTCTGCGCCGAATGGATGGCTGGTAATGGTCAAGATGAGGAGGCGAGTAGCGTGAGGAGTCGTATCCGCGGCGACCGTCATATCTGCGCCGAATAGGTGACTGGCGAAAATCGGAGTGTCTAGGCGAGTAGAGTAGGTATTCGGAGCTGCGACGGTCGTTCTCTGGATACAAAAAATAGCCGAGTGGGGATAATCAGATCGTCCGGGAGAACGACGTGGACCTTCGTAACTGTGACGGTTGTTATCTCTGCTTGGGATGTATATATGACGATAATCAGGGCGTCTAAGCGAGCAGCGTAAATCTTCGAACTTGTGACGATAATCATCTACACTCAAGATCTGTGGTCAGCGAACCCTGACACGATGAGGAGTCAAAGCAGAATAAAGCAAAAGTGGATGCAATGCCTGTGTATCTGTGAGCTCCATCAGTGACTGATGTTGACAAGAAGTGGTTGATGCAGAGACGAGCGCGGAGAACAGTCTATCAACAGTAAGAATCAAGAAAGGACGAGTGACGGAAGGATCAAATGAGAATGAAGCAACGGCAACAGCCAGTAATTGGCCAAGTGAAGCGGCAGGTGCAAACCAGAGGTCAGCGAGACGCCTTCCAAAGTCAAAGCTCTCGAAGTGCATATACTTGTGCCAAGCGTGGCTATGTAAATGCAAAGTCGCATCTTCAATTGATTTACGTCCAAAGAGAGTCGAGAAGATAAAAGTGTTTGATATTCGAGAAGCGTAACTTTTCTGGCGCTTTGCATCTTTGCATCTACGGCGGATAGAAAGGAGCTTCTCCCAGAGCCAATCTCTTCTCCATAGCCTCCATAAGAACATTCGGGACAGACTCATCAGTCGCTCTGATGGTAAGTCGATACATCTGTTTCCAAAAGTCAGTACATTGCACACATCTTCGCAGAAAAGAACATACCCCATTATTAGTATTCGGCTCCAGTCTCATCAAACACCCAATCTTGCCTGCTTGGCTCGTATGCAACACACTCGCCGCAACGAAATTCTTCTTGTTAGGGTCCACGTCATCAAGAACACCCCACTTGAACCCTTCAAGGATACGTCGTGTAGGCACTGGCGCCACATCCTTGCCAGAAAAGATCCTCTGGGCTTCACGAGGACCAGGTCCACCTATTTGTTTCCAGCGCTTGAAGAAGTCGTCAGCGGATAGAGAGGCTGGATCTAGGTATTNGTGGATTGCAAGGGGCAATTGGAGGGTAAGTGCTTGTAAGGCTCCTGCCAACCACGAAATGCGGATTGTAGGTGCGAGAGTAAACACAGATTTTGCTTCTAGCATTATCATTGCTTGGGTTTGTGTAGAAGGCTGAATAGTGGTTTCTGGCAGTGACTTGACGTCGATCTTAATATGGTCGGGAGAAGGGTTGTTGAGAGTAGTGGTGAAAGAATTGATCGCAAAAGAGGATTTGTTGGTGAAGTAGAGGATTATGCAGCCGAGCTCGCTGCGGTACTCTGAGCGTACGCCCACTTGAATTTGGCTGTCTTCGTATAGAATGCCTTCGGGTACCATGAGCATGCGAGCGTGGCCGCGCTGCCAGCCTGGTGATAGATGGTCTGCGCTGGCAAAGTTCGGCGCTTTTGCTTCTGAGCTGCTCCAGTCCAGGCCAGCGAGTTCGTCTGCTGGTGTCTTGGTGCCATTGGCTTTCGTGGGTGATTGCGCTGCAGCCGTTGTGTTGAGAGGATTGCCAGCACTGAATGTACGTTTCAGAGTATTGTTGCGATCGTTGAGGTCTTTGTTGGCATCTTTGCCGCCCGCAACCCATGTACGCTTGTCCGTTGTGTTGTGCTGCTTGGAGTGTAATCTAGAAAGCAGTGCAGAAGCACGTTCTGGGAAAGGTGGCATCTCGTCCATAACAGTTCGAAGCAAATCATCTGTCGGCATCGTTGCCAATGTTAAATACTCGCATGCGCGTTGCTGGAGCTCAGAGTCTAGGGTGTGGCTATATGTCTTGAAGGCCTGCAAGAGCTGAGGCTTGATTTCGGGGAACAGGTTGACGAACTTGATGAAGGCAGATAGCATCATGGCGCGCGTACTCGACGAGCTGCCATTGAACTTTGACTGCAATGCCATGAACTGCTCGATAGGACTGCACTTGGGGCTATCGGCAATCAAATGACCAAACTCTCCAAGCAGGTAACTGCCAATCTTGACAAGCATCTCATGACATTGCTCTGCACGGAGGTACTCCAGAATGTTGGAAGCAGCATATACTTGAAGCTCATCATTGTTGGTAACAATCATGATGATTCTTTGCCACACCTCATCGCTGACGTGATCACCAGCCATGGCAATCAATCTGAGTGAGATGTCAACATACCATTGAATGTCGGTAGCGTACTTTTCAGTCAAGATGGCAATCTTGAGTACCATTTCCTCGCGGATGGCGTAGTCAGCGGTCTGCAAGTACTTCAAGAGCTCACCAACAATGGGCTTAGCATTTGTTGTGTCGCACATGCTGTAGAGCAGATCGAGACCTTGCCTCCTCACACTGATGTCACGGTCGCGCAATGATCCGACAATGATGCTTTGATGCTTCTTGATTGGGTCGAGGTTCTCTGAGCGCGCAGCCAGATGTGTCATTGCTTCCAGACCAAGGTAACGCACGTTTGTCTCTCTTGATTGGATGAATTTGCCTAGTCTCGAGGAGATTTGCATCATCAATTCTTGCTCAGTATCGAGATGGATGGTCAAGTTGATGGCTTCGAACAGAACAGCGTTTTGAGCATTGTTTTGTTGAACATTCTTAGGAGCCTCCATGGCATTGTCCATGATCTTTTGTAGAGATTCGCGAATCAAAGCGCGTACATGCGAGTCGTCCGAAGGAGGGAAGTATTGCATCAAACGCAAAAGCTTGACCTGGATCCAAGGACAAGGCACCTTGTAGTAATAGTAGTCTCCAGCGCATTCGTGTTCGACAACAACTTTTTGCAGACGTTGCGCGGCCTTGACGTAACTGCCTTTGTACTGATCGGGGTCATCTTGAGCAAGTTTCATGACCAGCGATGTGACGGAAAGAGCAACACCCATGTCGGAATCGTCCATGATGGAGATGATGCGTTCTGCCCATTCGGCCTGGACGATACTGGGTGCTTTGCGGTAGAGACGGAGAAGAGTCAGGGCGGCCTTCTTCTTGACGAAAGGCTTGGATGNTGCTGTGTGTACAGGTCAGTAAGTGGATGCTTTCCATATTTCGGGCAAGACTCACGGAGAAATGAGTAGCCTGTGAACGTCAAAGGCCAAGGCTTCACCCATCTCCTTTCCTCCAACATTGGCAATAGCGTGCAGCGCCAAACAGTTGTTGAGTTCGTTGATATCGGCCAAATCCTTGCGAATACTGTTGACAACCAGATGCAGCAGCTCATGTTCCTCGTGCAAGAACAGGGTAACAGCCAAATAACCAATCTGCTTCTCCGAGTACTTTGTAGTCGAGACGAGGTTGACAGCCTCGAGATGGCCAAAGTCGACATTCCAGCCCAGGATGTAAATGTACAGCAGCTTGCATACATATTTCTTCTTATCGTAGCCACTCAATCCGCCCTGCTTGAATTTGGATCGTATGTTCGCCAGCTCTTTGTTGATGCGCTTCTCCTCGAGTTCTCTGGCGCGGGCGTTTCGCAGGTCTGCAATAAAGGATACCAAGCCGCGCATGGTGTTTTGGTTGCCGCTTCCACCACCGCGGTTGAACAGGCCGCTACCTGACGACGACATGGTGTGCGTAGACCCCTATCCGATTCAGCGTCTAGGGTGATGTGTCGAGGCCGTGAGTCTCAAGTCCAGGAGAGACGAGGTTCCTGTGTCAATGGTGCTTCGTGTACTTGGGTGAGTCGAGAGGGCCGTTTGCAGGCATCAAGTCTCAATGTCGAGTCAGAACATGTCGACCAAGTCGTCGCAACTCCTACGAGAGACCGAAGAGGTCACTGCTGCGCCAACAATCTCCCGTCGACCCGCTGTCCCCGTACCGACATGCCAAGAACGTGGGGATCTCAATCTCCTCCCAGTACCATCATCGAGTCACTATATCTTTCTCAGTACATCTTGACTGCTACTTTGCATATATTGTAGCCTCATTAGTTGGTTCATTACACGTTGATCATTACAGATAAGAGAGATGTTGGTTGAAACAAGTCAATACAGTCATTGTGTCATGGACTATGGTTCTATAAAAGTACACGCCTTCAGTGACCCTTCGCTCGCCATGCCATGTTTCCCGTCCTGTAAAGAAAAAGAAGACTGTGCCCTCGAGCCTCAAGCTACCAGGCACACCTTTGTGCTTTTGTTGTTGGTCGTCATGCATCACAGAAAATGTTAAAAGAAGAAAATCATCCAATCCCGCCAGAGTCCTTTCGCTCTTCGGACGATGACTTTCCCAATGTGCCCCACTTACTCCCAGAACGCCCTAGATAACCCTCAGCCGCAACAAGTCTTAGCATCTCGCNAAAGTCTCTCTCAAACACTTCCTTTTCCTGCTTGCTCTCGCTCTCGGAAATAGGCAGCGCTTGGAGAGCGCTAACACNCGAGAACCTAGGACCCGTCGCAANAAGTTGCGCTGAAGTCGCAGAGGTTGGGAGCCGATGCGAGAGTAAGCTCAGGAGCAAGAAAAGTGTCCTTGAGGCCATAGCTAGAGAGGTTGAAGATGTCGTCGCCGCCGTCAGTCGTCGTAGCGTTCGTCGTGTAGTTGGATTGCACATCATCGTACTCGATGAGGTTGTCAAAGTGGCTGAGACCTGATTCATCATCGTGGCCATACGAGTCGGCCATAAGGTCCACGAAGCTACCATGAGGCTCTTGTAAAAGGTCATGATGTTCAGATGCATCAAATAGATTATAATCTGACTCCACCTTGAATGGCTGTGGTTCTCGCTCGACCGACACTGCAGGTCGCACAACATCGCAGCAGAATGTTGTGTCTGGTCGAGCGAGATGCTTGTCCTGTGGACAGCCGAAGGAGGGAGGTGCATCTGAGAAGCCGGCGACATGGGCTCCATCTTGATCGATGGCGTCATGTAGTCTTCGTTGATGGACGAAGGTGCCAGGGAGGCGCGAGGGTCGATGGTATCATATGATGACGAAGGAGAGACAGTGCNTATACAAGGTTAGAATCATGACGAAGAGTATGCGGAATCATGAGATGGTATGCACCTTTCTTCGGGCACCTTGATGTTGGCCAGTTCTTCTTGAGTGAGTTGAGGGAGACCGCCGGGGATCATGTCCTTGCACTTGTCAAGGGTGACATCCTTCTGGGCGAGTTGTTGTTGCAGAGCAGAGATGTGCTGTTTGAGGGCGTGGTTCTCAACTTCGAGACGCTCGGCCTCCTGGCGTTTGCGTTCCCGAGAGTTGTGTGCAGCGGCGCGGTTGCGCTTGATGCGTTCGATGCGACGCTGCTCCTTCTCGTCGGCAGTCTTGGCCCGCTTGCGGGGTGGTAGGTTGGTCTTTGGTTCGGGGAGTGCCTGACCCCACGACTTGCGTTTCTTTGCAGGCTTTGCTGCGGCTGATTGTGGGACATGTTGAATAGAGCTGGGTGTGGCGAGGGCGGTGGTGGCAGCCGTGGACGGCGTGAGGGCAAAGTCCGGTGTGTTCATGTTGAGTGGATCTGGAGTTGTTGCTACCAGGAGTTCTGGTGGGGATAGGACTCCGTCGGCCATGATGTAGTCAAAATCAAAAGCGACTGCCTACATCTGGAGATGCAACTTGTCCTCTTTGTTGTTTGCGCTGGTGCCTGATGACGCTTCTGTTTCGAGTCACACTCGAGGCAGCACGACAAAGCAAGCGGAGCAGAAAGGACAGGTGTTCGTTGTCTTATAGCCCAGGGAACCCGCCCGAGCCGATCTCAGAATAGCCCCTGCATTGAGCGCTTTGACCAACACACTCCTTCGCTCGAATCGCTCCTCCCACATCCGGCTCACACGTGCATATTATTGGAAGGGGCTCAGCCTCTCAGCTCACTCCACTTCCTTTCCCCGTGTGCTGAAGTACGTAACGCGTGTAGCTGTAAAAATGCACAACACGATTAGAAGATGAGATAGTGCCACTGAGATACGACAATCCGTCGGCTCTCTGTGGACACGCCTCTGCTTCTGCAAACATTCGTGTCTTTGTATGGTGTATACTTTGCTTCTTGCTGTAGTCAGAGTATCAAGGAAGGAGGCTGCAACCGAAATCATCACCCAATAGCTCAAACAATGCCTCATCTACATCCGACATTGGCAGACTCTCATCTCACGTCTCACATAAACACACCTAACCACCATTACCTCGCTTCCAGAACCTCCTCACCTTCACACCAAACAACCATATCTATCCGACTCCATCCAGCGCCGAGAGAGCCGTTATTGGGAAGTATTGTGCCATCATCCCATGTCGATCGGAGTTGGAGTTACATCGTATTTCTCCGGCCTTCCAAAGCCTTCGAGGCCCTGGTTTGTCCCACACATCTCATCCCCTCATGCTACATTTCAGCTCAACGTACTTACTCCTCTACAATCCTGGTGCCTTCTTCTCCTTGCCTTGACTCAACAATGCTGTAGTACCTTGCTGTAACCGTCTGCCTAGGCGCACAGCTGAGGCCCAACCTGCCAGCCACTGACGATGCAAAAGTATATCTCGCTTTTATGTACAGGGCAAAGATGTGCAAACTGTGCACATCTCTTTACCCTGCCGATCATACGGAGGAGGGTCCACTTCCATCGATTCCAGCCCGCGGCGGCATTTCCAATAGAGCCGGATATAATCAATCCCATCTTAATAGCCAAAAATGATGGACACGCAATTAGAATACGAAATCACCATCACTGTCAATGCTTTTCTTCGTATGATTAGAAGTCGCAATGAATGGACATTGGGTTCCAGGCAAAGACCGACTATGCGAATCGCACATGTTGGGACGACTCATTCTATCTGGCCTTTGCATCGTCACTTGTCACTCCTCGGAGCGTCACAAAACTCGTGGCTCAAGACTCGTGGCTCATACCAGCATCATGTTCACGGCGCCTCACACACTCATTGACCTTTACTGAATCCTCTCTGCGACTGCGAGGTTTGCACTCCGTGCGGTCGTATGACGCTGCGAGAACTATCTTGTGTTCCCGACAATTTCCAATACCACACCGCAATACGCGTACCAGCGCGGAACCGTAAGTCTCTGACGCGCTACGAGAGCTGTCTTCTATCCCCGACCTTCTCTAGAGCCACATTGCTCAACCAGTGCTGAACTGTAAGTCTCCCGAAGCACCACGAGAGCTATTGGGTGTACCCGACCATCTCCAGGACCACGTTGCTCAACCAGTGCTGAACTGTAAATCTCACGAAGCACCACGAGAGCTGGCTGATGTTTCTAACGATTTCCAATACCACATTGCTCGACCAGTGCTAAACCGCAAGTCTTCCGGAGCACCACGAGAGCTGGCTGATGTTCCCGACGATTTTTAAATACCACACTGCGCTACTAGTGCTCGACTGTAAGTATCCCGACGCACTACGTGAGCTGCCCGATCTCTCAGACGAGTTCCAAGTGCCACACCGCGCTACTAACGCTGAACCGTAAGTAATTGAAACAACATTTACAAAAGTCCTACTAGTATTTTAAGAGAACTTCGAGAGCTGGACTTCTGGTACGATAGCCTACAAGATCTCTCTCTCAACACCGCTTGGAAATAGATCGTTCAACTGCGCACTAGGACACTGGCTACGACAGCTCACAAGATCTCTCTCTGGACAGCACCTGCAAAGAACCTTCGCTGCGCGTTGGACAATCACTACGACAATTCACACGATCTCTCTGAATGATCGCCACGAGAACTCGCAATGGCTTTGCGCACACAACGCAGAGAAGAAAGAATGAAAGAGGCCTTCGAAAACATCTCAAGCGGAAAAGAAAACATCAAGCGAAAAAGAAACACCACCGAAGTCACTCCTAGCACTGGCAGAACAGTTGTACTCTGAAATATGTCGTGCTACCTACAAGTCCGAGAACGAGATTTCCATGGTATTAGGAAATCCGCTATCCATCTTGTGATATAAAGAGAATCTTTGAGAAGGACTGGTTCGAGTGGTACTCTGATCAGATGATCGCATGTCCTGGTTGGTCTGTTGACAAAATGCAATATTGCAAGCATTGTCCACGTTCCAGATGCAAACATAACATATCACCTCCCATCATGGGACAAGGACACATCATCGCTATACGCCTCTCTTGAGGATAAGAAAGCTTGGATGTCAAATCGACTCGAAATTTGTGAGGCAGGAAATGCACTACAGGGGATCATCCCAACATCTACAATCAGCAAGGATTCAAAATGCATTGCCTTTGCCTGGAACCCGATATCCATTCATTGGATAGTAGTCCAGTTATCGGCCACCGACAAGTTCACCAATTAAAACTCTTCTTAATTACAAGGAAGAAGAAATCAAACAAATCTGCCAGACTTTGCTGTCCATCGTCATTTAGATCATATGGTGTATGTCCATTAACCCAGTAAACATCAAAGTTTGCCAAAAACTGCATAATAGCAAAATGGCAGCAACTGTAGTCCAGCAACTGTTACAACGTTCTATCATCTTCTTCACAACGAAGCTTTTGGAAACAAACGTCCACGACATACTCTACACGACTAACTCAACTTCTTCTCTTCTGCGAGCATTTGATGCCACAGACGGTTGCAAATTTGCCTGAGAGTACTAGGGCCTACAACATCGCCATCCTCTCTACATTTCCCATCACTATCGATGGTGGATCGAGATGTTCTGTTTTGGCTTCGCGGCGAGAGGGAGGACATGTTTGACCTTAGTTGGTCTACATTTAGACGTGGAATGATCAAGGTATTCGATATACCGACGTGGATATAATTATTGATATGCAACGAGTTAGCGACGCGTAAGGTTTAGAGGTATACGTATGGTGCTACCGACATACTCTATGCGACTGACTCAACTTCTCCTCTGCGAACATGCCGCTGCCGCATCAGAAACCTAGTGAGGTTCCCCAGCGTGCTGAGATCTGGAAATCTTGGCTGTAAGAATGCACGATAGTATCAGAGAACGGGATAGTGTCCATTGAGATGTCATTGCCCATGTTGATCGTCTAGCCAAAATGAATGCACACACACACGCACTTAGAATACGGAATCACTTAGTAGTGTCAATGCTTTCTTTGTATCATTAGAAGTCGCTACCATTGAACCACAAAAGACGTGCGAACATCAAGACAGCAATATCAAGAACTTGTAGATTTCAAGACTTCCTAATCCCTGGTCACCTCTCTTTACAAGAAGTCAAGGTCTGTTTGTGATTGTGCTAGAAATCTGCTTCTCTACCTGAGACCAACAAGACCAGGAGCGCCAGGCATAGCCTTAGCTACACTCAAGACGGATTGGATGAAAGCCTTATTTCCTTCCTTGGTCTTGGGCACTTGCTCTCTGAATCTCTTGATCAACTCCGGAATGCTTATACCGGCAGGAGGAATGGCGGCCCTGATTTCATCTGCCGTCGGCATGGGTACGGGACTGCCGGCGCGTGAGCCAACGGGAGTCGCGTTGCCGGGTGATCCGGGGGTGGATCTAGGGTTCAGGGTGACGGTCTTAGTAGGACGGGGACGTTTTTCAGTCTCTGTGTCACTGCCTGAGCCGGGGAAACGTCCCATGGGGGATGCAGCGCCGTGAGTCGGCTTGAAACGCTTGTGGTTCACGGACTCACTGCCACTGGTCTCTGAGAGATTGGGAGAGCCAGGACGCTTGAGGCTCGACATGGATTGTTTTGGCTGTAGGCCACCATGCTNTTCAGCACGACCTGATGGAGTGTTGGCGTTGGTCGACATCTGGGATGCCTGTTTGTCTCCGTTTGCCTTGAGCTCTTCCTCCTTCTTTCGTTCGTCCTCTTCGCGTTGACGCTCGATGTCCGAGTCGTCTGACTCTTCCTATGATGGAGTTTAGATCAGATACCAATAGTAGCAGGGGAAGTCAGGCTTACCTCTTCCGAGTATGGATTNGTCACTCTCGTCATCGTCGTACTCGTAGTTCTTCTCGATCTTAACCAGCTTCTTGCGCAGTTTCTTTGCTTTCTTCTTCTCGTCACGCTCTCTCTGCTTCTCCAGTTGCTCTTCTTCGTACCAATCTTTCTCGTCTTTGACACCAGTACCAGCGAAGATGTTGGCTTCGTGTCGTTCCTNTTTGATTTTTGATGCAGCTTCTTTAGCCTCTTCCTCGTCATCTCCGAACAGTTTGCCCTCGTCGTCGTCCTGAAATTCATCTTCGGCCTCAAAGTCCAACTCGTCCACGTCATCGGCAACGTCCACGTTGTCGTTACCATCATCGTCTTCGTCTTTGACACGGTTTTCATCCCGGGTACCCACTCTACCTCTGGTCAGGCGTTGTTGTCTTGCAAGCTCGGCACGCTTTTTCTCGCGGCTGGCCTCATTTTCCAAGAACCATCTAGGACCCTTTTCACGCTTTTCCATGACAACGTCTGCCTCGGCCTGCGAAAGCAGCGGGACGCGGCCTGTAGGATTGAAGCGGTACCACTTTTCGATGGGAACCATTCTGAAGCGGCCGTTGTCGAAGACAAACATGACATTTGATTCGGAGAGAGGCTCCTCGTATGTACCGATCCAGATGTTCTTGTTCTCGAAGTCTTCTAGATGCCAAGGGCGGCCTTCTTCGTAGCGTAACCTGGCGCGCTTCTGAGCTTCGGGTGTATCTGTGGGATAATAGACATCCTCGGTCTTCTTCTTGAAGGGCTGGCGCTTTTNTGCTGCTGCTGCCTTGTCGGTCGGAGCGATTTGAGCCTGAGTAGCTTCTCTTTCTGCAGCCTTCTCTGCCTTACGAATAGCCTCTTNTTCACGTTCCTTGTCATCCTCCGGGTTGGCATCGACAGGTGTATTTGGAGTATCCTGAGGGAAACGACGGTGGAGTTTTACAGGGCGCTCAAACTGGTCCTTGTCGTAAGGATTAACGACGTTGTTGGAGATGAACTTGATGGCATGAAAACGGAGGCCTTCAAGGAGAGCCTTCTTTGTCGCCATGAGCGGAATCTCGTTGTATGTAGAGGGGTCATCTTCAGGCTCAGGTTGTGACTGAGCGGCGACGGCAGCGAGAGGCTTGGTGGCACCAGTGAGCTTTTGCGGTGGAGGAGCCGGAGGACGCTTCGCTTGGTTGCGCGAGGGCTTGGGCGCAAATGGGCCAGTGGGCTTTCTGCGACGGATGGCGCCTTGACCGTTGTTGGGAGTTGTCGAAGGCTGTCGCGAAGCAGGGCTCACGCCTGGTGGAGGAGCACTCATCGTGTCGTCCGAATAGGCGGAGTCTTTGTTTGGTATGTGACGGCAGTTCTACGTCTGCATCGAATGTTGATGTGAAGGTGATGGTGATGCGTGTTGGCAAAGGCGCAAGTTGAGTCGCCTGTAGGTGTTTGCGACAGACGTGGGTGAAGAGGCGTGAGGAATGTGATTGTGGTGTACAGGCGAAGAGGTTGTGAGGCCTCTTGTCGAATGGCCCTGCCTTTGGTGATGACTGCCATGTCATTCATTGTCCAAGCGCTCAAATCTCTTGGCATCAAAATCCCCACAACTCTCCCTCCTTCCGGTGAAGTGACGCTTATGAATTTGCTAACTGCTTCACCTATGAACAATTCCTAAATCCGGTTGCTCATACCTTGGGTCTGCCCATCGTGAGCCTGTCTCTCGCTTTATCTAGATTTGCCACAAGGATAAAATCTGATGCTATCTGATAAAATCATCATCATCCCATCACAAGCCTTCGCACTCGCATGAGATGGATCAAGGCAGCGGCTATGCTTCGCAGAAGCTCGAGGATCAGCTACGCGACATGATCATGAACAACAAGCCCCCTCAGCAGCATAACGATCCTCGAGTTCTGCCTCAATCTCCTCACACGGCTCATGGTTATCCTCCAAGACCTCCTCTCGGATTCGGNGGGCCGCCTTCCATAACTGCTCAGCCGCGCTACTCTAACAATATCCCAATGGATCGTCACCAAGACTTCTCCCACTTCTTACAGCAGCACCATGCAACTGCTCCTGTTCCTCTGCAGTCTCGTCATGCACCTCCACAGACACATAACAACAACAACTTCCGTGCCCAGGGTCCTCATCGCACCTATAACGCTCTACCCATGGATCCAAATGCTTTTGATAGACCTCCGCATCAAGGACAACGCATCCATCAACCCTATTCTCAGCACCGGCCGCATCAAAATCAACACCAACATCATCCTCAGCAACGTCAACTGTATCAGCCGCAATCTCGCCCCCAGCAGACTAACAATCCTTACCTCGAACGCCAAGCCTCCTTCCTGGATTCACTCGCTAGCCACGAGATCTCGAAAACGCAAATGCTGGATTCAGAAATCGAATTGAAAGATGCGTTCCGTCTCAAGCTGCAACGCATCTTCGAGAACCTCAAGTCTCCTGATCCAGAAAATCCCTTGCCTTCTGTCGAGTTGGCTAGCTTTGGCAGTCTTAGTTCGGGCTTCGCCACTGCTGGCTCTGATATGGATCTGGCCATCGTCACCTCATCTGAGCACGACTTAGATCAGCGATTTTCTTCTCATGAGAACGGTCTTCCCCGAGTCCTCGAAAAGGAACTACTTGACAACGGTATCGGCGCTCGTCTACTTGCTCGTACGCGTGTGCCCATCATCAAGATCTGTGAATTGCCGACATCGGAACTCTTGGACGCTCTTCGAGAATCTCGCGAAAAGTGGGACAATCTACCTGAAGCTGAGAAGTATGCCACTTCAAAGCCGGCTGCCAACGACACAGCCACCGAGAAGGATGCCCCAGATACTCAGTCATTGCCCTCTCAGCCTGATTCTAAGACTGGTGGTAATGAGCCTACTGTACAGAGTGATGTGGATCCTCGAGCACAAAAGTCTGCAGACGGTGTCGCATCACTTGTCGAGTCAACCCAAGCTCTCGAAATTGACTCAAAGGTGTCCTCGAGCCCACTTGAAGTCACTGCTAAGTCGGAAAATACACAACAGTCTGACCAACACCAACCCCAGGACAAAGAGGCAAATCGTCAACGAAATGACAGAAGCTGGCGACGCGAAAAGGCTGCCGGCCCTCTGGACTTCCCCAAGGATGGTGTTGGCATTCAGTGTGACATCAACTTCTTCAANCCCCTAGGTATCCACAACACTCAAATGTTGCGATGCTACTCAAAATGCGATCCCAGAGTTCGACCCATGGTCCTCTTCATCAAGTCATGGGCTAAGCGAAGGAAGATCAACTCTTCCTACTCAGGCACCTTGTCGTCGTATGGGTACGTGTTGATGGTTTTGCATTACCTTGTAAACGTAACAAACCCACCTGTTCTGCCTAATCTACAACATGAGGCTGAATCAAATGGTCTGCCTGCTACTACCGTTGACGGCTACGAAGTTCGCTTCTTCGATCAGGAAGACATGATCGAAAGTCGTGCTAGCCAAGGTGCAATTACGCAGAACAAGGAGTCGCTGGGCAATTTGTTAGTTGGTTTCTTCAGGTACTATGCCGTCAATTCTGGTGGGTTCTTTTGGACGCGCGATGTCCTCAGCTTGAGATCTCGAGGCGGCATCATGTCCAAGTTGGAAAAGGGTTGGACTGGTGCAAAGACTGAAGTCGGCGACAACAAGGAGGTGCGCCACCGATATCTCTTTGCAATCGAGGATCCCTTCGAGACTACGCACAATGTTGCGAGAACTGTCACGCACAACGGCATTGTCGCCATCAGAGATGAGTTCCGTCGTGCATGGCGCATAATCGGTGCCATTGGCCGTAACAGAGAAGAGCCTGAAGGCGGCCTGTTCGACGAGTTGACTGAAGCCGAAGAACAAGGACCTGCTTCTACAGCTCCACCACCGACTGTCAACAAAGTTCAGGCATATGGTCAGCAATTTCCAACTCTTGCTGGTGCCCCAGCCAATACTGTTGCTGCGCACAAGCCACGCTCGCCAGTGCGCGCTCCTGCGCAACCAGTTCAACCGGCTCAGCCTTCGACACAAGCACTTGCACAAGAGGCTGCACCCTCGCAGCCAGAAGTTGCTCCTTCTGCGCCTCGTGGTAAAGGGCGTCGTCAGAAGTTTGTGCCTCTCAACCTTTAAATGCACTGCATATCTTGTAATCCAGCATGTTTGGGCTGTTATGGCGTTATGGTTCTCATCTGGACGATTGCTGGGGACAATGCTAGTTGATATGGTTTGGGTCAGAGAGAAAAGGAGTTCCACACAGACCTCGTAAAAGAGTCGTGGATAATCTAGGATGGGTTTTATGCCTCTGGTATTTGAGTGAGCATGAGAAAGACCTGAGCATGAGTGGAGTTATATGGACAAAATTGCATTTGGCTTCTCATCTGTAACGCCAATTTCGACACGAGACGGGGGATGTCGCAGAAGAGCCGCATGACAGGCAGATGAATGGCAAGTGAGAATCAAGCGAATAGTATCACAATGCATAATAAATATGGCAGCGTGTGCAATGGGAATAATGGCAATAATGAAGCGCCGGTGCGTTACTCTATCGATTTGACGGGACGAAAATAGCCATCAACACGCGTCGCCGAAGCCGAGAGGTTCGCGCGCGGAAGTCGTCGCAAACGCTTTGGAGAAGGTGGGTGCGATTTGGACTTGGCAGGCACGTCAAGCAAGTGATGGTCATGTTGTTCTCGTCTCTTGGAATCAGAGGGTGAAGACAGATGGTATTGAAGATTTAGTAGGCAGTATCTAAATACAGAAGCAAGAGAGATTCAAAACAAGTTTCAGAGTGGACACTGTAGACTATTCAGACAGAGATGCGGCGAAATCTGATGGAGTCGTGGTTTTGGTTATGTCACGCCTTAGTTCTCGTTGACCACCAGCCACAGGGATCGGACAGTCACAATCGTTCAGGTGGAAGCTTCCAACGGCTCAAAGCAACTCTATTGCGACCTTCAACCCCTTTGACTTTTACTCTACAACTGCCTGCCCTTGCTCTACACCTTGGTCTCCTTTGACGAGTACACGCAGCGTGGGCACAAAGCTGCTTGACCCCGATCCGACGCGGCTTCTTCTTTGTCGCATCCCGCTTTCTCCATCATCATCATCACAGCCTACGCAGCTCGAGTCAAACACACCCAACAGACCAGCCATGGTAGAAGACAAGTGTGTTCCCCTGCTTCGACCATAACACCATCATGTTGCTGACATTTGGCTGTCTAGGTATATCGGACTGGCGTTAGCCGTCGCCTCTACGCTTGCGATAGGTAATGCGCCCACCTTCGAGCAATATCGTCCATACCGCTAAACATGAACAAGGAACGAGTTTCGTAATCACAAAAAGGGCTTGATGCAAGCGAGTCAACAACATGGCTTTGAAGGAGAAGGCTTCGCATATCTCAAGAGTCCCGTGTGGTGGTCTGGAATCATCACAAGTACGCCATCCAACCATCTTCCACACCTCGACCAACATACTCACGCCATGCANGTGGTTATCGGTGAAGTCGCCAACTTTGCAGCATACGCCTTCGCGCCGCCGATTCTAGTAACACCGCTGGGAGCCCTCAGTGTCCTCATTGGGTCAGTCAAGAGTCGGGAGCAATTCATACATGGACAAGCACGCTGACAAGGCGCATACAGAGCGGTATTGGGATCATATTTCCTCGGCGAGAACTTGGGCACCTTGGGCAAACTCGGATGCGCCATCTGTCTGATTGGATCCGTCGTCATTGTGTTACATGCCCCGCCGGATAAAGAGGTCCAGACGATCGATGAGATTCTCAATTACGCTGTTCAACCTGGTGAGTCGCGCGACATCAACGAGCTTGCACCGAATGCAGCGGCTGACTTGGGNCCAGGCTTCCTCTTCTATGTGATACTGGTCATCATCTTCTCAACTGTCATGATCTACCGCATATGCCCGCGCTACGGACGCAAGAACCCGCTGATTTACATTTCCATCTGCAGCACTGTCGGCTCCGTCTCCATCATGGCCGTCAAGGGTGTCGGTATCGCCGTCAAGCTGACATTTGCTGGCTACAACCAATTCACTCATCCCAGCACTTACGTCTTCATCCTCGTCACGGTTGTCTGCATCTTGACGCAGATGAACTACTTCAACAAGGCTTTGAGCCAGTTCAACACTAACATGTATGTCCGTCTTCTGCAAAAACATTGAATCCCTGCTGACCAGCCCAGTGTCAACCCGCTATACTACGTCACCTTCACCACCTGCACCCTCGTCGCATCCTTCATCCTCTTCCAAGGCTTCAACACTAGCGATGCTGTCAACACAATCTCACTCCTCTGCGGTTTCCTCACAATCTTCACTGGTGTCTATCTCCTCAATCTTTCGCGTGAAGACCCCGAAGGCCACAGCCACATGCAGCTGAACGGAAACGGCAGCCGCTTCGACCTTGACGGCATTCCCACCGATCCCATGTCTGGTCCTCTGACCCGTCGCTCAATGCAAGCTCGCCGCAGCTCCGATGCGCACCGTCGCTCGAACAGCCTCAACCTGTCGTTTGCTGGCAGAAGATCTGGTGATCGTGATCGAGAAGCCTTGATGCACAACTACGATGTTGAGGCCACCAATGGCGGTTTCAGCCTCGGTGACTTGGCCGAGAGCGACGATGAGGGTGTACCGCGGCAGAATGGNAAAACAAAGGTCTCACATGAGCGTCTCAGCTTCAACAAGACAGGCAGGTAAATGTCTCGTGTGCCACACTGAGAAAGAGTCGCGAGTCTGGTTCGCTTCGTTTCCAACGACCTCCTTCGAGCACGCTGCAGGAGACGGTGTGCCGCCACGATCGGACGAGAAAGAAGATATTATCGCATTTTAACGGCGTTCAATTTGGGTCTTGACATGATAGAACGAAGTCATGGGGAACTTTGGAAGGCGCTGTCACAGCAGCTGGTGGACGGAATCCTCTTGATACCCCGTACGAGATAGTTATGGTTTTTGTTCTTTAGATTGGGGACAAAGACAGGCGTCTATGTCTGGATAGCATAGGAACTCTCATTCTCTCTTTAGCTTAGAGAATTTTGTACATAGAGAAAAGCTCGGAATTTATGTTTAATCTTGATGCTATCATCACACAGCCGTTGTCTGTTGGTGACTTGCAAGCTTCACGGTTGCAGGCTCTTGTGGGCCGTCAATCACTTCAAGCACGACGTAGCAACTTGGATCAATGTTATGTGTCAAATGTGGATTATAAGGCATTTCACATATATTTGATTCGACTGCTCGTACCTATGCGGTTCATAAGTCCTTGACAATATATCTAGAAGACAGGGTGCTCATGTTAGCAAGCCAAGGCACTAAAAGATGCCTCGGCATGTCCAGTCTCCGCATTATTGTCCTCCGCATCCGCGGCTACTGTGATGGGCACGACTTGACATATTTCCAGCTTCGAGACTCTTACAATCAAGAACATAACATCAATCCAAAATGTCAGCCGAAGCAGATGTCAAGCTCGAGGACTTCTCGTCCATCTTCTCTCTGAACCAAAAGGTGGCTGTCGTCACTGGCGGATCTCGAGGTCTTGGTCTCCATGCCGCATCAGGGTGGGTAGCCATGTGTTACACCTGTGGTTGTTTCATTGTCTGACCGAGNTCACATGCATACAGTCTCCTCCAAGCCGGTTGCTCCAAAGTTTTCATCTCCTCCCGCAAGGCCAAGGCATGCGAGGAAGCATGCGATGCCCTTAACAAGCTACCGGGCATCAAGGGCAAAGCCATCTCTGTGCCTGCCGACATTTCAAAGGTTGCAGAGATCGAACGCTTGGTAGCAGAAGTTGGAAAACACACGGATCACGTTGACATCTTGTTTGCCAACGCGGGAGCAACCTGGGGTGCTCCTTTCGACAAGCACCCAGCCGAGGCCTTTGCCAAGGTTATGGACCTCAATGTCAACAGTGTCTTCTACTGCATCCAAAAGTAAGCACACCAACAAGCTTCAGCTCTTGTCTGTCAGCTAACCCGTCTCCCCCAGNNATTCGCCCCGCTGCTTGAGAAGAAGGCTTCATTGACAGATCCCTCTCGTGTACTTGTCACAGCATCCGTTGCAGGTATTGGCATTGGTTCTTTGGGAGACAATGCAACCCCAGGATACAGTGCTTCCAAGGCCGCAGCTCTTCATCTAACTCGTAACCTGGCCGTCGAGTTGGGTCCCCGAGGCATTCTCTGCAACAGCATTGCGCCTGGCTTCTTCCCAACAAAGATGGCCAATGGATTGATGGCCCTGACTGGTGGTACACAGGCTCTGGCTGACGCAAACCCCAACAAGAGGTTAGGTAAGCCTGAGGACATCGCTGGTACCGTCGTATATCTCTGTTCAAGGGCAGCCAGTCATCTGAACGGTGCCCACATCGTCATTGACGGTGGTAGTGTGCTCGGCCGCTCAAAGCTGTGAGGAGCTCACAATCGTTTGTATTTCGATGTATGTATCCTGCATTCTATCATACTGTCTTGGCTCGAAAGAGTGGTGTACCGCTGTGCAAATCATCTGGAGGGCTGTCGTGCCTGTATTGGGTCAAGGAGGCTTGACTGGCAACACGGAGTGACAGGAACATGACAGTAGGTCTCCCGCTTTGCCGTGAATATCGTGTGCCCCATCTTCATCGAGAAAACGACATCGCCATCACGCCAGCCTCTTCCATAATCCATGTCATCGTTACATTACCCCTCGTTCATGGAATGAACGTCACACGAGACTGGGAGCCGTACCGCAGCAACAGTATCACTCATTCCTGGGGGATGCGCAGCATGCTTTCCCGTTTGCGATAGCGTTGACTGAGATCTAGGCACCGTGTTCGTAGAGGATCAGGCTAAAGTGCTGGGCGCCTGGGCTTGCAGGTCGCAGCATCTGAAACATCACAGCTTGCTCACCGCACTTGAGGGGAAGAGCAAGAGCTTCACCTATCTTCTACAAGCACTCTCTCTAAATCTCCGCAATGTCTCCCCTAACTTTGACGTGCAGCCGCTGTAACTACCGTTATGCATCTGCAGTCAATTCAACGGCTCTAGAGAATGGGACCTGCAGATACATCGTATCTTCATGTCGTGCCTCTTGTGGTTCCTGCAAATCGGACATTGGCAAAAAGCAACCTGCTTCCTCGGTCATCATCTGCACTTGCCTGAGGGTGTTGTTGCGAGCGGTGTGTGTGCCTGACTTGTCAATTGACTGGATGGGTTCCTGATGCCGAAGTTCAAGCCTCTTTTCTGTCCACTTCTCTTGCTTTCGCTCTCCCGCGCCAGCCACTACAAGCAGGTGCGACCTATGGTTGTTCCTGACAAGAAGAACAACGCTATGGCTTGCATCATTCCTTCATTCCTGAGACATTTATCCGCAACAAAGCGAAGCGCGCGTCTGATGGTGTTGGTACCCGTCTGTCAATATGTGCGTAGCCTTCGAGTTGTCGATAAACAGTTCGGGTCAAACTTCCCTCCCGAATTCTGGCCCAGTCGCTCATTATTGTATGATGGAATGCTCTGCGCATCAAACCTGCGCGACAGACCTGCAGGACGCAGCGTCTGATGAATGTCATTTTGTGGTGGCGCGATTCAACTCGGCTGGAGAGGCCGAATCCTTGCCCTTTTCGTGTTACACCAACGTCACGGACCACCACCCGAGCCGCTGAACGACAGGCCCCGTGATGGACCATTAGTGATGGCAGAGCGAATGTTTCCTATCAATTGATACCTCTTGGTTGGAATATCTCACTAGATGAGAATCCTGAACAAAAGATTGACTCTCGTGGTTGAAATAGGGCTCCCTACATTGACACCTGCTGGCATCCGTCTCAAGGACAGCAACGACACGCGGGAAGCAACAGAAAATCGGCTGTTGGGACCATGTCAGAAACAACTCAGCCAGCATCCGCATCTTCTCAATCCGGACAATGCCAGACAAGCTCTTGTGTCCCCGTCGATCGCGTCTGAGCCCTCTGTGTAGATCAAGAGACTCTACAGCAGCAAGTCGATACGACCTCCACAGAGCATCGAGAGCAAATCGTCCAAGCAATTCTTCTACCAGATTTCGAAGAATTGGTCCCTTCGTCTGTGCGTAGTGTTGCTTTGCATATCATTGGTGCCACACACCATTCGATACCGCACACCACACATTCAGCAACAGCTCTGTTGCAAGCCCGGGTAGCCTCTGGGAGATCTGAGGATCATTCCTGCTATGCGGCTTTTTCTGAGACTCTCTAGACTGGTAGGCGCCTAGTGCAGGCGATCCGCGTCTCGTCCAGTCGATGTTGTTCTGATGATTCTTGCTTCAGCTGTGATGATGGGAGCCGTCAATCGGTGGGGAAGGTATGGCTTCAGGAGTCCCTACATAAAGAGTCCCTGCAGAGGCGAAAACTGAAAGTCCCTCTTTCCTACAGCACCCTCGAACTCAAAACTTTACTGCAGGGCTGATACAGGCACAAACCAATATTGTGTGTTTCCCCTCTCATTTCACATACCCTCTCGTCACTCTGAGGGTGTACGTTCGTTGAGTCTCTGTACCTGGGTTCATTCCTCTTCAGGACCCTAGTTGTCAACCGCGTCCCTTGCAGTCACATTCCAATCCAGATCGAGCGGCCTCACCTTTGGAAATTAGCTTAGCCGTGCCCCAGCATCAAGGAGGCTCGAACCCTACAGAACCCTTGAATCAGCCAATTACTGGTTGCACAAGCCTACTGACTTCTAGCCAACCATCATGAGGGACCAGAAGCTGTATGAAGGTAAGTCGAAGCAGATATAAACAACGTGCTTTCATCCCTTCTCTTCACCCTATCGTCTCCTTTCTTTGATCACAAGCCACATTTCAACGGGTCTTGGGTGTGGAATTCAACACATAATGATACTGACAATGGACTCAACAGCCTCTTACGATATGGTACACCGCCGTATTGCTAATCTTTCTATCGACACCAACACGTTCCATGGACAGTCAGCCTTGATCTCGCCCCCGGAATCTGCCAACAGTGCTCGTCGTAGCTCTTACGACATGAGCTATCACCAAACTCCTTTATCAACATATCACCCAAACACACCGGTCCACTTCTCTACACAAGACATGTACAACGTGTTGCCGAGCGACAAGTTGAAGATGTCGTTTCATCAATTCCCTCCGAGTCCTGTTGACTTCTCCTCCCAAGGTCAACAGAACTATGCCACTGCTTGCAACTCCCCGACATGGAGTTCGTCAATGGTATTCGCACAGAAGCCTGACGTAGACAATTCTTTCTACCAGGATAGCTCAACATTGTTGTCTACCGAGCCGGACTGGGACAGCTCGTTGATGAGCCAACATCCAAGTGCTGACTATGCTCCCGACCCGAGCACACTCTTCACACTGCCATCTCATGATTCGTCGATGTCCTTCATGACCGACATCGACTCGTCACATCCTGAGAATCTCCCGAACTTCATTGCTCCTAGCCAGGCAGTCCACCACCAACCACCAGAGCTTGTCGATTATAACATGAGCTTATCTGGCTGGGGTGGCCTTCAGACTCCAGTGCATGACAGCAGTATCTTGCATTCTTCCTCGCCTGCAGAGTATTCTCCAGTGACACCTCCCACTGTTGACTGCTCTTTCGACGCGTCTTACATCAAGCATGAGCTCTCCCCTTCCTCATCGATCTATGGTCACACTAGCCGCTCAAGTCTGGGCAAGAAGGGTCGTAAGATGTCCAAGGCTGACAAACGTCGTTCTATCTGCAAGAATGTCCCGGTGTCCAATACAAACACCTCGATCACACTCTTGACGGACGAACAATCAGACATGTTCCGCGTCCTCAAGGACGAGGAAAAGAAGACTTTCAGTGCAGGGCGTAAAATGTATACCTGCAAAATTGCCCACTGCAGGCAGAGCTTTGCCCGCTCTGAGCACTGCAAGAGGCACGAAACCAGTCACGCAGACGACTACCCTTACGAGTGCTACATCTGCCATCACCGTTTCGACCCTAACGACCCAAAGAGTCAATGCAAAGTGGGAAAGAAGAACAACGGTAAACAAAACCGTAACGATAATTCGCGGTCCCACCACTGGACGCATGTCAAGGCTTATCTCGTTTCCAATGACCCTCTCGTCCGCGAGCGCCTCAAGCAGCTCAACAAGAAATCCAAAGGACGCAACTACGCCCTTGCGCCCACGCAGATGTATGAGCTGGTTCGCAACCGAGATACGCCTGAGCAGCAGGAGGTCGTGCTCAAGTTCTTGAACGGTGAGGCTGGAAAGGAGTTTGGTGTTCATATTCTCTGGGAGGAGAAGGGATGTCCAGTCATTCCTTGCCAAGAAACCTTGGGCATTGAGGGTTGTGGCATGTGCCGGGCTAAGCAGGGCAAGGGCAAGAAGGAGTGATCCTGCTCTGCCCCTCCGCCTTATACTGCTTGCGAGCATATCTTGGCTTCAGGTTTCTTGCTTTTCTTTTGTTTTCTCGGATGTTGGTTTGTACTGCAATTTTTCGGATGATTGTTCTGTTTTCCACATGATACCTCTGGCTGTTTCTTCTTTCCTTTTCTTCACACGCATGCAAACGACAACTCGGTAATGAAACACGACCAACGACATCAACAACAAGAAAACCCATACCTCAGCATCAGCATCTCTCTCGACGACCTCCTCACGACCATCATTGTTATCTGTTCGCTTTTTCTTCTCGGTTTTCTTTTCACAGCATGTTGGGCTTTCTCTTTTTCTGTGATCTTTCACTTTCGGTGTGGTTTTACTTTTGGTATGACAAGGGGCAAAGGGCAAACACCATTACCAGGATGGTTGTAGTATTATTACATTAGATGAGAGTGGGATGGGGAACTTCTTTTGGGCTCTTTTGTTCGGCTTTACACAAAAATGGCGGGCGGCAAAAAAGGACAACAAGGAAAAAGTTCTGGGTGGGTGGATGGGTGGGCTGGTAGACAAATCTTTTGAATGGCTAATTTATGATTTTTTTTTATGTTTTTGCCATGGCTTTTTGTAGATGGGTGAAATTTCACAACTAGAGTTTTGTCTTGAGTTAATATGGTGAGGCGCGCAACCCATGCTCTCTTCCACATATTACCTATAGTATGTTTTGGGACGTTTTGTCATCATCCCTTAAACTGTACAATAGCGGTGTGTCTGTTGTTGTTGCTTTGGTCTAGAGTCTCTGTATGCAATATAGAGGTGGGACTAACTGAATGGTAGAGTGAGAAGTTCTCTTATATATACAATATGCATATGCAGTACACTAAGAGCGATTTTTGTTATACTATATCAGTGGGGTTACTTAGAATAGAGCAATATAACAAAGATTGATCTGTCGCGGTCTGGCTTGCGTCCGAGCTGTGTACGAAGAAAATGTCGCTCTACTCGAGTATCCAGCCGACAGCCGTGATTCAATTGACTATAGAACTGCATCTCCAGATTGAGCGCGTCGCGCCGAGAGTGTCGTATCGCTTGTCTCTGTTTCTTCGGCTCTGGTCGATGTTTCCTGGTGGATGTCAACCTCGAGGGTCGACGTCGCGACTGGCAAAGTTTCGAGCCGAGGCACGGATCGCACCTCACGAGGGCTGCTTCCTTCCCAGCCACCTGCTTTTGACCAAACTTACGTCCGTTGTTCACTTGCCTCGATAAGGATCGACAACAGAAGCCCGTATCGCTAAGAGTCTTGGTGCTGTAGCCAGCGAAATGCAGCAACAGAGTTCGATGTGTTGTGCCATTTGGACCGAGGCTGCAATGTCGACCGCCAGTGTTTCAAGACACGACGACAAGCCTCAATATACCTAACGCTTGTGCTTTACTTCCTTTTACATACAAGGAAAGTTCGCGTGCAGTTATACTATTCTCACAGCCAAGCTGCGCGGCCTTTCAATCTATCAACCTACTAAGCACTTAGTGAAATCTCAGTTCACGCTACCTGGCCTTCGCTTATGGAAGGAAGGTCCACGAGGTCTCCACAACAATCACATCCCCCAGATGGATGGCCGAGATTATTACCAAACGATCAATGCATCGAAATCCGTAAACTGTCGTTGGTCGCTGTCTGTCTTTACTGACGGTCCGCATTACCCGGCGATCTTATCTTGGCCAATGGGCAGATAAACTGCTTTTCGGACTCCACGTTTCAGGCATGCATAGCGCTCGCAGTGGTGCAGTATCAGAAAGACATCAGGGCTTCTTCAGATCAGCTCCAGCTTGGTATCGCCTACTGACGCCGTGAGTGGGGTGAAAATCGTTTTGTAGATGACTGCGAGATCTAAGCATATAAATATGATAGACTCAGCTTGCTTCGACCCTCTGGAAACCTCGACTGCTCCCTTTCACGACAACGAATTTAAAGTTCGCCCTGCCATTATTTCCTGGTGTCACGTTTCTCTGTCTCGCTCCATATGTCCCCATAGGCCAAGCTCAAGCGAAGAAGCCAATTTCTTGGATATGCACCTAGCTGCCATGGATTCACTGAACTATACTGGTCAAGTTGTCTATTCTGTCAATCGATTGTGATTCCAATCTTGGCTTATACACGATGTTACCATCGGCCCGCCATGGCGTTACAACAATATTCTCTCGATCGAGATGTTGCCTCGGTATTGGGTCTTGCGTACGAAGTTTTGCTGTATAAAGGTTGACGGCTTCTCCTGTATGGATTGAAACTCATTAGCATCCTGGACTTTTCAGCCTGAGACTTTCGTTCTACATAACCACTCGCTCAATCTGTCTTTCGCTTCTTCATCAATAAACGCACATTATCTTTCGACATGAAGTCCTTCTTCATTGCTTGCCTTGCCGCCACCAGCGCCTTCGCAGCACCTCTTGCTGCTCCCCAGCTGGGCGGCATCCCTAGCTTCGGCGGTGGCCTCGGCAGCTCCACCAGCAACGATGTTATCGACGGTGTTTGCAAGCCCGTGACTTACATCTTCGCTCGCGGCACCACTGAGATCGGCAACATGGGTTCTACTGTCGGTCCAGCTCTTCAAAGAGCTCTNGAGTCTGCTTTTGGTAGCAACAATGTTGCTACCCAGGGTGTCACTTACCCCGCCAATGTTGCTGGCGCTATCAGCGGTGCTCTTAACCCTGGATCTGCGCAGGGTGCTCGTACTATGGCTAGCTTGACTCAGCAGGCTCTGAGCAAGTGTCCCGATACTAAGGTCATCCTTGCTGGTTACTCTCAAGGTGCCGAGCAAGTCCATGGTGCCCTTATAAATCTCCAGAACGGACAAGTTTCTGTAAGTGTCAACTACAACGAGTAATGTCTTTTCAGTTGTTGACAATATCTCAGNGTTGCTCTCACCTTCGGTGACCCGCTTCAGAGAATCCCTTTCAGAAACATCGAGGCTGGTCGTACCAAGGTCTACTGTAACCTTCTCGATGGTGTCTGCAATGGTGCCTTCATCATCTCTGCCGCTCACTTGTCCTATTCCTTTGAGGACACCACACCTGCTGCTCAGTTCGCCAAGAGTGTTATTGGCAATATCCAAGCTTAGAGGATATGCCAGATATTATGCACCACTCTTTGCGGTATGCCTGACACATGGCTCGAATCTCCATTATCTTTTCGTTTGTGGGGTTTCTGGACATATAGCATATCTCGTATATCATTGAGTCATGACTTATGTTACACAATATCAGTCGCGAACGTACTTGCCTCAGCCCATAATCGTCATCGCTCTTTCCAGTGCCACTTTCGCAGCTTGGCGGACTTCCGTGAGAATATCAGAGGCATGTGCTTTCTCGCGCACGAGGCCCACTCCTGTGCCTGCCCAAATCGCAGCTCTTCTGTTCTCTTGATCAAAGCCAAGGTGAGATGTTTGCTTCGCCTCGGCGTGCGACTTGCGGATTTCTTCGATCGAGATGCCCTTAATGTGATCTCGATAACTTTGGGCAATCAACGCTCTTCCGTCGAAATCTCTAGGCCAGATGTTTGGACCTGCCAACTCATCAAACACTTTGGCTCGTACGGTTGTCTGGCCTCCATCTTCGGTTTCTAGGATTGCGGCTTGGTAGGAGGGATGTACTGTTGTTTCTTCGGCAGCGAGGAATCTGGTGCCCATGACCACGCCGTCTGCGCCTAGTGTCAAGGCTGCGGCCACACTAGAGCCATCTGCTATACCGCCTGCTGCGACGATGGAGACGTCATTCAATCCGAGTCTTTGCAGTGCGTACAGCGTCTCTGGGATCAAAGAAATGATGCCTGCACCCTTCTCGCCGCCATGGCCACCAGCATCTGCACCTTGCAGTACAAGCACATCAGGCTTACAAGACTGAGCCAACTTGACCGCGCCCGTGACACTCCCAATCTGAATCCAGATCTTAGTCACATTACTAGCCTTACGTATCTCCTCCGTCCAACGCTTAAAATCCGCAAACTCATGCGCGGCAAACAACCACACAGCCACAGGACGAAACACCTTAACCAACGCAACAACCTCATCCAACTTCTGTGCGAACAACAAAGCCCCCAGACCGATTGGCAGAGCATCAGCACCGGGTTGTGGAAGCCGCGTTCCGGTCACTAGTTCTGTGACGTCTTGGAGGGCTGTGTAGAGAGCTTTTGTGTCTGGGAGGCCGCCGAGAAAGCCTATACCGCCTGCTTTGTAGACTGCGTGGGCTAGAGCTGGACCAGCGAATCCGCTCATGGGAGCTGAAATGATCGCTGGAGAGGATACCCATGGGTAGTCTTGGAAAAGAGGTCGAGAAGGCATGATTGTCTACGTGAGGGATTTGGTTATGACGAACCGAGGGTTGATCCAGCTAGTAGAAGCCAAAGAGTGATAAAGGATGTTGTTGATGGAAACGAGGTCATGAAGATGGGTCAAGGCTTACGTGAGCTGACGCGCCAAGAAATGTGATCCGGCGTCACACAAAGTTGACTCCAGCTTCGTTTCTTTTCTTGCACACTATCGCGTTTCGATTTCAATCATGACTCAAGGTGTGCTCTACGCGCGACATTCGTTATCCAAAGTAATGTGTAGAGAGGTTACCGTCGCACGATTCGTTCCGCGAGAGAGGCAAACAAGCGTTTGAAAGACTGTCACGTTCTGAAACAAGACAGAAAGGAATAGGCTCTACGGACAAGTCTCTCTCAAATCACCATGCCTGAATTCCATCCTTGTCGATAACCTTTCCCACGTCTGCATCTCTAGCACCCTGCACGACACTCAAGATAAAAGGTCCAGCAATCTCTGCGTCGCCCGCTCCCATCTTCTTGAGAACCTCCGGTCCAACGCCACCTATACCTGTAGCAGAAAACCTGGCGCGATGCACCAGACCTTGACTCCGTCTTTCTGTAGCAATCTGTACCATTCACGCATCATCATGTTCATACCAGTCTTGCTGCTTCGGTATGCAGCAGGACTCATATCCTGCTTGGGCCAGCCTTTGGCTGCGGGTTGGTCAAGACGCGACTCTGCGTGCTCCGTGCCTTCCAGTGTTGAGACTCCAGACGTGATGAAAAGAAGCCTTGGGCTGGCTGTTTGGAGGAGCAATGGCACGAAGGTGTGGGTCATGATCTGGGTTCCTACTGTGTTGACATTCCAAGACTTGAGCCAGTTCTCGCGTTGGGTCATCTTGCCTTCAGCGACTAGGTTGTCAAACGAACCTCCTGTGGTTCAGATTTATGTTAGCAGAACAGCAGTCAGCAGCTAGGTTCGTGAGTCATACCTGCGTTGTTGATCAAGACATCGACACAACTAAACTGCGACTGAACGGTCTCGAGGGCAGCAGCGATGGACTCATCCGACTCGATGTCGACTTGCAGCGGATGAAGCTTGCTCTGTGTCGATGTAAATTCAGCTTTGCCGAGTTGATGGCTGCGTGGACTTTATCGAGCGAGCGTCCAGCAACAATGATATCGTATGCTTTGCCTGACGAGGCAAGGGCTCTGACTATTTGATAGCCGATGCCAGTGTTGGCGCCTGTGATCAAGACAACTTCAGTCTGAGCCATTTTCTGAGATGTTCGTGAAGATTTGGTACGTTCGCGTGAGGTCAGTTGAGTGGAGCTCGTTTTGATACTCAGTGGTATCAAGTGGACGGTATATATAGCGGCCCTGCTACAATATGTGGTTCGGTCGGAGAGATATTCATCCATCTCTCGACCGAGTCACCCGACTCGCCCGTCTTGACCACGCTTGAGGATGCTAGGCGCATACTTATCACCGATATGTCCGAGTTGCGTACTTCTTCTTTGCAGTCTCACAGCTTCTGTTCTGCACAGCTGCGTATGTGCAAATGATTTGACCTTGACGAAGCCCGCTCCGAAGCATCAAATCGCAAATCTCGATTGTCGGCAACGAAAGTCGAAACATGGTCTGCTCTGCAGTGCTCGTGTCTTCAGCGAGCAGCCTTCATCTTGTAGTTATGTCTTTTCCTCAGGCTGGCGTGCAGACAACACGCATCAATCACAACATCTTCATGTGAAGCTGTCAAGAGTCAGCATGGTTGTTTCGACGAACGTTCACGAATTGACGGATCTGAAATGGTTCTTGAAACTGCCTCCTGAACCATTGTACAAGGACACTATATCCGGTGGATCTAGAGCAATCAGTCTGGGTTTTCCTTCGTTAACAACCATCTAGCGCCGGTGCTGCCACACTACCCTTGGATAAATACCCACTGCTGGACAACGCACGGCTATGCCTTTGCAAGTTCCTCAAGATGCCGTCAGCCGGCAGATCGTATTAGCGCTGGGGCGGCGCGTAAACATCATGATAGAAGGTTAATGGTGCAAAACCGCTCATAAGTTGTGAAGTAGAAACGCTGATTGGACGAGACGACTGACACTTGGAATGTCTCCACCCCTCGCCGAACCTACTGCTTAGCAAGCGGTTCTCCAAACCCGACGCAATATACAAGCCCATGAAGCGAGTGTCAAAAAGTTAAGGAACGACCGCTATTTGGCTGAAATCTCCATCGGATTTGGAGCGAGGGCCACCGATGGGAAGGAGAGACGCTCACCATCGAAGAATTAGTCGGTCGACATCTGTCACCTTTAGTGATCAACATCAGGTCAACCATCATTGATCGGTGAATCTATTACGGCGCCGACCCCAACCACGTACAATTTTGTCATTGGATAGACAATACCTTTTGAACCATTTCATCTCCCTCTCAAGCCGATAATGCCATCCAACAAAGCTCGACTTTATGTGGCTCTCTACGTTCGAGGAGGGGCTGCTAAAATGCCAGGAAAGGAAGACACGTACGTGAGCAGAAATAATACAGAAGGGAAACAGGTGGCTGATCAAGTTATAGTNTATCACTGGGCCTTATTAGTAGGACCTAAAAGCGACAAGGCCGACGACAATGGCGTTCAATACCACGCCCGGGAGCATATAACCCCAGAGGGACAATCTGCTTGGTTCTTCGAGGAAAAGCCAACTTCTATGGTGCCGGCACAGATGATACTGGTTCGAATCTTGATCACCAAAATTGAAAACACGGACAGACTTGCGCAACTGCTGCAGCGAATTCCTATCAGACAGGAGGAGCAGGGCTGGAACTGTGTTCTATGGATCAAAGAAGCGCTTTCAGAACTTCAAACGTCAACGAACATTATTGGTACAAATGTGCTTGAATGGGAAGCTGTTCGCAACGCAGCTATGTCCTGTTGCCAGCAGAAGAAAGACGAGCATCGATTTGACGGCACAGTCCATGTCGATACTTTGCGGGTTCCGACTTATGATTTGATTCAAGGAAAGGAGACCATTTCGTAGAAGTGAGCTTGCCAGGAAAGATCTCCGAGACACTTCCGTCGACTGTGGAGCCATTGTTGGTCGGATTCTTTGTCATCACAAGCTTCTTCTCTTAGCTCCGTCGAGGTTTCATTGATCAACCAGTCCGTCTTGTCTTGGTTTCTTTGTCCGCCAAACAAGTCCATTGTTACGAACACAAACCCTTTGAGACAACCTAACAAGACAGTCATCCAAAAGATTGTCTATATATTCCGAAGTTCCGTCAACCATATTGTAGATCAGATCCAACACTACCAAACTCACTACCAACACACTACAAACTTACAAACATGTGCAACAAGAACACCCCTGTCATCACTCTTAGTGATCGCTTTGCTGGTGTTCCAAGATGCAGAACTTGCGGTATGCCTTGTGTCTGGGTCTTTTATGATCCTGACAACGTTTGGTACTGCTACTACTGCAAAAGATATCTTTAAATGTTTTGGTTGAACAGTCGCGTTTCACGGACTCGTGATCTTAGGCGTTTGGTATTTGGCTCATCTGTTTTTGGTAAGTTTCTTTCTTGGTCTATAGTCAGGGGTCTCGAATAAATCAAATCTTTTTTTTTCGCTTCAATAACTCTCAAATCTGTGCAAATGTGTTTTGGACAAGCAATACTTTTAGTGCATTCCTCAAATGTGGTTTTTGTCGTGCTCTCAGTGATGGTGATGACCAGCATGATCATGGCCTTCGCCATCTTCCTCTTCAAGAGGGTTGCGCCACTCTTCCCAACCATCGTCAAACGTCCTGCAAAGAAGGGTCTCTCTTTGCTCGTTAGTAAGACCCTTCCTTCTCATGGTTTTCTCCCACTTCTTCATTTCTGCATCATTCAGAAGACATTCATCGAACAACTCTGTGATGGCCTTGACATCGATGCCCTCACCAATAAACACAATCTCCTGTCGGCGGTCGCCCCATTCTCCCTCAAAATCTTTCTTGATCAAGTCTGTAACTTCTTGACTGGGCGAGGGCCATTGCTCCTCCGGGACCACAGCGAACCAGTTCAGGCCACCAGAAACGGTAAGCATAGCACCGGCCTGCGACCAGTCACCGCTGACATAGGGGCGGGTGGCTAACCAGATGAAACCTTTTGAGCGGAGTAGAGGCTTGAACACGGGGTGAGCTTTTTTGTTGGCTAGGCGAGTTGGGAGGTCGAGGTCAGGGTACTTGGTATCGAGCGCATCCTGGTCGTCCGAAGCCAGAGAGGTGGCGTCAGTCTCAGAAGCTGTTTTGAGACTCGAAGAATCCGAGGAGTGTTCTGCAGAATCCGAATGGGATGCCTTGTTTTCCAAAGATTGTTCGGTTTCCTCCTCGTCGCTTTCGGCTTCACTGGCTGTGTCGTCTTGCTCGGCTTCCTCTTCGTCTTGACTCTCATCGGCGTCATCTTCGCTTCCATCTTCCTCTTCTTCCTCTTCGTCTTCTTCTTGAGGCTCTAAGATAACAAACTTGTCATGCACGAGCTCGTAAAGTCGACCAGGTGAGAACGGTCTCCTTGCTCGGTAGACGAAGCTGTTTATACCATNATCTAATACAATGTCAATATCCTCAGAAAATATGTCATTGAAAGTGGTCACGTACTCGAGTGTTTCTGGCTTGGGAGCCATGACGGTGCGACCATGGTTGTCAATCATAGACATTTCGTTGATGCTCTTGAGCCAGCCAGAGCTTTTGATAGAGGTTTCTTCGCTATACATGCCTGTTGCGATAATTTCTCTAACATTCAGAGGCTTGACGCCGTAGGGATTTTCGGACTGTTTCGAAGCTCGGAGGCTGGTTTCGATGACCTTAGCTCCAGGGTTCATGGTTTTGAGAAGACCACGGATACGAGCAAGCACGTCGTCATTGATCATGTCGATNNCTAAGAACCATTAGCGGCATATCAAAATGCTTGCAGAAGCGCTACTCACCTTGTTGACAATGATCACATCGGCAAACTCGATTTGGTCAATCATCAAGTCACTGACGGTTCTTTGATCTTCAGGAGTTTCAACCTCGGACTGGAAACGTTCGTGTAGGAGCTGAATGGTCTCAAATTCTTCGAAAAATCTGAAACCATCCACAACTGTGACCGTGGTGTCGAGCTTGGCGACCTTATTCAGACCACCATTCTGAGCACTAGCATCTGTTAGACTAAGACCATATTTACCAAAATCCTCGTGAATTACTCACATTTCGTTGAAGACCTTCTTCTCCTCTTCGTCAAACTGATCGAGTGCTCCATCGGCACCCATCATAGCTTCGGTAAAGTCGGTGGTGAAGCTTTCAGCTACCTGCTGCGGCTCGCTGATACCAGTACTCTCAATCAAGACATAGTCGTATTCGCCAGCTTTAGCCATTTTGGCCAGTTCGATAACAAAGTCGCCACGAAGCGTGCAACAGATACAGCCGTTTTGCATGGCGATCATCTTCTCTGCTTCACGACCCTTCTTCTTACCATCTGCCACGATGATGCCTTGGTCCACATTGACAGCAGCCATGTCGTTGACAATCATGGCGATCTTCAGCCCATGGTCTTTCGAATTGAGGATGTAGCTGAGAAGTGTTGTCTTGCCGCTTCCNNCTAATTTCGAGTTAGATCCTCTCAATATCTAAAAAGTGAGTTTCAAGCTCACCAAGAATCCTGACAATAGGGTGATGGGAAGAGTCTTGAACGGAGATGCTTCTTTGACTTGTTGTGCCATCTTTGCGTGCTTGGCCTTCTTCTTCACTGATGATACCTGCTGTGAGTTTTGCTTGCGTTTAGGAGCCATGGTGTTGAAGAAACAAAAGAGGTGTCGCTATAAACGCTGACCTTTGTAGGACCTAGGATGACCACCTTGATGATTTCTACTAGCCCATGATTGGCTACTTACCTCCATTCTCGGCGGCACACGAGCTGAAGTGTCTACCTTGATGGCACACATAGCATCCGTGCACGTTTCTCGAGGGTGGGATCGTCGTCTAAAATGTTACCAAGAAGCACAATGAGTGGCCAGCAAGTCGCTCAAAGTTGGTGATTCGTCGCGTGTGTTGCTGTCTTTGGGCGACGAGCTGTTGCGGAAGGAGGACTTGACTCCACAGCACCTTGATGGCAGCGTTGCCTGCAAATTTTCTGGCTCTCTCCTTCCGTGTGATTGTCTGACAAATTTTTGCTCGTTTATTGGTTCTTTGTGTGTTGCTGGTGGATGATCTTGGAAGGGTCGCGGTCGTGAAAGCGCAATCACTGCCGGGCGGTCAAGCAAGGATTGCGATGATGACACTCTGGCTTGCGACTTCCTGTTTCGAGCTTTCCTCGTCTTATTCTCCAACAAGATGAAAGCCATGTCGCTTTTGTTGGTTTAAGCCGTATCTCTTGCTTGCTGCTCGTCTGAACAGATCCTCTTGGGTTGGCTGATGATCTCCATGGGTGCCAGAAGTGTTTGATGGTGGCGGACGCGGACTCGACCCTCGAGGAATGTCCTTCTTGAAAAACCTCGACAACATGGTCCAGAGGTGTCCACAATCGTCATAAAAGGCCTTCTCTGGCTGTTATCTCGTATGGGCGACACTGAGACCGGCCCGACAGTACAACTTGGAAGTCTTGAGCATTCGAAGACTCGGTGCACTCATCATTCCTCGTCACGAAGCTTTGCATTGCCCGGACCATGCTCGACTCCTGCTCTGGTCTCAGGTCGAGCGGCTGATACTTCCTGTCGTATGGACGTCGTTAGCTGGCTGTGACATTGGCACGAAAGCAGACTGCTTGCAGAAAGACATTACGTGACAGGTCATCTGATCCATTCTGGACGCGCCGACACACCATGACTTGCGCGCTGTCGGTAGCATGTACAACCTTGAGCATCGGACAGTAGTTTGGAGGTCTTTAAAGGTCTCTTCCTTGCATCGAGGGATCGCTCTCTCTCTGTGCTCCAGAGAGACCTGCTTGGCTGCAGCATGTCGGGTGGTTCCGTTGCTGTACGGGCATCACAGAACTGATGTAGGCTCGCTCGTATCAGAAGGAAACTCTTCCATATGCGCTGGTTGAGCGTCATGTTTTTGACCGAGCTAGGCAGGGAACAAGAGTGCTGTGGACGACCTCGTGAGTTGGCGGCTGAGTTTGGCGCTTGAAGAGCAAGCTTTTGTAAATCTGAATAATTGAGACTCATAATCATAATCTCTCTCCCTGTATGCAGCCAACTTCCATGCTGGAGAAAGTCACGACGTCGGCTTCACTGCTCGCCTCTGGTTGATGGAACGGAACACCCAACCGCCAATCTTTCTTTCGCGACTCTCGACATCTCCCGAAGACATTCAAACACCCTTCTTGTAACACTCAAAGCTATCACATTAACCAGAACTCACAATGAAGACCTTCGTAGTCCTCGCCTTTGTTCTGGCTGCTCTGTTCAGCGCAGGTAAGTAAAAGATCTACCAACAAATCCTTGTGCACATGCTAACAGCACTAGTCGGCGCCCAGAACTTCACCCACTCTACCACCACTGCTACAGTCACGAAGACGGTCTTCCAAACCGTGACCACCTCAGTCAACCTCGCCACTCTGCCCGGCTTTGCGCCTCATGGCCCCGCCTTCGGTTCTTCCGCCTCTGCTGCTTACGACGCTTCTTTCGAGCTGAAGAGCATGGCCGTCCAGACCGTCGAATACACTTCTACCATCTTCTCTACTGAAGTCGACGGTGTGGTTGTCACCTCTCTGAGCACTATTGTTGCTCCCGTGACCTCCACCTCTACAGACTTCTCGGAAGTTACCTCGATCACTACCAAGCACATGGGAACCACCATCACCACGACCTCGGTGGTTGTCACGGCTTCGACTCCTAGTGCTGCTGCCTCTAGCATCTCTGTTGAACAGAACATCGCGCAGATGTTTGGTCTGAACGGCAGTGAGCATGTACAGGCCAGCCCCTGGTTGGCCTACGGTGTGGTTCTCTTGGGTGTCGGTCACTATCTCTTTTCGCTCACCACTAAGCGTTCACTGGTATGAAAGGCGGGTCTAGGTGCGGTGAGAATGCACAAATCATGTATCGTAGCTTCTCGATGAGATGAGAATGAAAGTCAATAACTCGCTCCCAATCGCCGTCTTCGGAGAAAATGTACCCATAAAAATGCAGCATATTTTGTGAACTCTATTGATGGCCATTGAGAGCCTGTCAAAACCTGAATGCAGTCGGGGTTTCTTTCTGCTAGAAATCTTGCGATCCGTGAAAGAAAGTTCGCCGATCTATACTACGCCTGTATAGAGTAAACTTTGAGACACCAGTCGAATTAGGCAGGCAATGCTCCGACTCGTGGAAACTGGTGTTCTCCGTCTCTAAACGAGTGCACGCCGTGATCTTTCTCAGAGATGCACTATTGGAAGTTGAGTATACGCCCTAGACATTAGGTTGCACTTCATGATCGACAGATGATCACAAGAACGGATTCGGCTTCGTGTGCTGCCGTGAACCTGTTGCTTCTTCATCCTTCCGCTTTCCACGGTCTAAGAACAGAAGCACATACTCCAGGGGCCGGAAGTCAAAAGAATCGTTTGGCAGCCCTAAAGCTCAATAATATTGCATCAGGTCGTACAGAGCAAGACCAAAGGGCAATGCAACAAATGCTTTCCAGCCACTGAGGCTCTGGATGCCACGCACGCCTCATCTCCACGATGGCCGTCTCACTATACCACAAACACGAAGCCACCAGGCTAGGGCTCATAGGGCCCACTTGGTCTTCAGCAACAGGCTTGTCTGATATGCTTAGCGAGGCTTGATGTGATAGGCGCATGCATGGATAGAAAAGTTCCGCGTGGTGCAAATTAATTTGGTTGCTCCCCGGATGTTTTTCCCCCACATTGTTTGGCGCACCGTGCAGACGATGGCTCAAGCTGAATGCCTGCGGGCAATCTTCGACCTCGTCGCTAGCCCCTCTTTGTTTCACCATCGTCCAGCGTCCAGAAACTTTGACAGCTTCTGCCGTCGAAAAGGGCCTTCTACAGAGGAGATCACCTCGCTATATTGCTCCAAACAGTCTGGGCCGAGCTCTTGACCTTCCTCATTGGACGGAAAAATCAACCAAGTTAACTATAGCCTTCACGCGATGTCGAGGGCTTTTGACCATGTCGCGAGCCCCGACAGCGAGCGAACTGACACCGCAGGGCAGAACCACGTTTGACGAAACGAGATGGTATAGGGCACGATAACTCGCACGTAACAAAGACGGTATAAGTATCGACGTGACCACCAGACATTAACAGACCAAGCAACAGAACTCAACCTCCTCAAGCTGGTCTTGAAGTACACTTTCTTTCATAACCCACTGCTCGACTTCCTATTCCTGCCCAACTGCTACAATCGCTCAACATGCACTTCTCTTCTCTGATCGCAGCTGCTGCCATTGGCGGTGCTGCTGTGGTTTCTGCTGCTCCTGCATCCTCTCCTATTGAGAAGCGCGCCACAACTTGCACTTTCAGCGGCTCTAGCGGTGCTGCTTCCGCCACTCAGTCCAAGGCTGCCTGCGCCACTATCGTCCTCAACAACGTCGCTGTTCCCGCCGGCACCACCCTCGACCTGACTGGTCTGAAGACTGGCACACACGTCATCTTTGAGGGAACCACTACCTTCGGCTACAAGGAGTGGGAAGGTCCTCTCGTTAGTGTCTCCGGTACATCCATCACCGTCACGGGTGCCTCTGGGAGTGTCCTCGATGGCGACGGTGCTCGTTGGTGGGATGGCCAGGGCAGCAATGGCGGCAAGACCAAGCCCAAGTTCTTCTATGCTCACAGCTTGACCACTTCGTCCATGTAAGCACCTCCTGGGGTAAACTCGAGAACTAACGATGGCTGACCAAACCAAAGCAACGGTCTCACCATCAAGAACTCTCCCGTCCAGACCTTTTCGATCAACGGGGCCAAGACCTTGACCATGGACTCGATCACCATCAACGGCGCTGCTGGAGACAGCCTCGGACACAACACCGGTATGCCTCTTGTCCTATCTCAGGACGGTTTCGACCAAGTTTTGACATGAACCNNAGATGCCTTTGACATTGGAAGCTCGTCTGGTGTCACCATCACCAACGCTGTCGTCCACAACCAAGATGACTGTGTTGCCATCAACTCTGGCTGTATGTTATCAGTAACGTCATTCGTCTCTAGCATATTACTGACATTTGCTCCTAGCNNTGACATCACCTTCTCTGGTGGCTCTTGCACTGGCGGCCATGGTCTTTCCGTCGGCTCCGTTGGTGGCCGCTCTGACAACACTGTCAGCAACGTCCACTTCACCAACAACAAGGTCATCAACAGCGACAACGGTATCCGCATCAAGACTGTCTCTGGTGCAACTGGCTCCGTATCGGGTGTCACATACAGCGGCAACACCCTCTCTGGCATCAAGAAGTACGGTATTGTCATCGAGCAGGACTACGAGAACGGCAGCCCTACTGGCGTGCCTACCACTGGTGTCCCAATGTAAGAATTGTCCTCTCATGACTCCGTCTGCTGAGCACTCTGACTGACGAATCTGCTAGTNACTGGCTTGACCATGACCAAGAACACCGGCACCGTAACAAGCTCTGCCACTGACATCTACATTCTCTGCGGCAAGGGCTCTTGCTCCAACTGGACTTGGAGCGGCAACTCCATCACTGGTGGCAAGAAGTCCAACGCATGCTCCAACATCCCTAGTGGTGGTGCTTCTTGCTAGATATTGAGGTTAGAGATGCACACGCGTGTGAGCTTAGGGTGTGTTGCGAGGAAGTGACTCCAAAGGACGTAGCGACGACCTACAAGTCTTTATTTCTTTCATTTCGTACAAGTCTTGATCAAGCACTTCTTTTCCTAGCATCTGAAAACTATATCACCTCTCGTTTCGTCAAATGAACTTTCACATACTTCACTCGTGCCAACCCGTTTGCTCGACGCATGTCGTAGCCGGACCTCTCACATATCGCACCTTGTGATCATCAATCTTCAGCCACTGTTCACCATCGCGCACCCACATCAACTCCCTCGCACAACATACCATCACCATGGGCCGCACCTCTACTACTACTACCAGTCGCTCTGCCGCAGACAACAGCCACATTCCTATCCACATCAGAGCCTACGACTTCCTCATCGTCCGCGCCAACGACTTCCTCGCTGCCAACGATGTAGCCTCTTCCCAGCGCGTTGCTCGCCTCCTGCTACGCAGCCCCGACCTCAGCCGCGAACACAAGAGAACCTTCCATCGCATCCTCTCGCACGAAGGATCCGAGAACAGAGTGTAAGGACTTACCACATTCCCTTTCCACTTTCCTATTGCTAATAACAACGAATCCAGCTATCACACAGCTCAAGTCATCGAGATGAAGGCCTACCCTCCAGGTTCCGCAGAACTCATCACCATCCCTGCACGTTCGCCTCGCACACCTGGCAGCACCCCTCGTCCTGGCATTCGCACAACACCTATCAAGAAAGACGATGCTTGGATTGTGCACTCGCCTGCAAAGACACCTACTCGTGTGACCAAGCGCGTCACTTTTGCTGATGAGGTTGAGTCGATCGAAGACACTACTTTCAAACCCTCCAAGGTGGGAAAGCTGTTCCCAGAACTCCTTTCCAAGTTTGAACCTATTCAGTAGATGGTTTTGGGGATCTCCAGGTGCAGAGGTGGGTTGTTATGGTGCTATAAAAAGGCAGAAATGGTATTGAAATCAAGATGTGGCCATTGAAGGTGCATCGTTTTGTCTTTTTCTCTGGGCGTTATTGTGTTTCTGATTCTATCGTGCATTTTTATAGTATGTATTGCGGTGGTGTTTGCGAGTGGAGATACCTGTACTTGTGAGAAGCATGGTATATCTATGCATGCCCGGAGGTGCTCTCCAAGCATCTCACACTAGAATCACATTCTACCATGCATTTTTATGGTATAGACAGTCAGGGGTAAGTCAGAGATGGAGCAACGTCCATCGACGAGGGGCCCGATATACAGATATTCGATTGCCCGACGAGAACAGAAGACACATGGCTCTCCCAAGAAGCATAGCTAGAGTTTCAAGCGACTATAACAATGCAAGATAGTGTTTGAAATATACGTCAAGGCCACAGAAAGCACTACCACACCAAGGCTTTCTTTGGACACGACATGAGATCTTGATTACTTTTTGCATTTTTACAGGGTTCACAGTGAAACAACGATTGGAAGAGATGTTTTGAATCCCAGGAAATGACAGTGATATTTGCTGGTGACAGTGTGCTTTCCTCATGCTCCTCTGTCTACATTTCCACCTGTAGTACTCCAGAATGTGTATCTTTCTTCTCTCGTTCCACCGGAAGATGAACATTTGTTGATGACGATGAATAGACGTATGTCAGACATGCGCTGCGACCCGGGTCAGTAACGTGGTGATAGGATGAGGATGCATTGGTGCTTACCTTGTGTGAACGCTTCATGGTCTTAGTGCAACAATTGACATTAAAGTCAAAGATCTTAGAGCGAGAGGCCGTACGAGGCCAGCTCGGCGTCGATGGCGAGCAGGAGGATTGCCAGCACCAACATGGGGCAGCCGACGCGGATGGTGATTGATGAGGCCATGACAGAGACGACGATGGCGACGATGATGGTGATTATGAGATAGGCCAGCAGACTGCTGTGACCCATGGCGATCTGAAGTTGTTTGAGGCGGACCAGGAGCAGAACGACAGAGGTGAAGACCTCATAGGTCTTCTCAGCACCAATGTGCTTGATGGAGAAGCGGGCGACAGTCTCGAAGAGGGTGGTGTAGGCGCTCATGTTGGCGTTGGTTGTTATGTTGTGATGAGTTGTGTCTTGAAGAAAAGGATTGATGATGGATTGTAGGAAGAGGAAGGATGTTGAAGTTTGTGGAAAGGGACCGACGGTTTGAAGCGCTGTGAAGAGGGAAGTAGACGGGGTCGTTTGCGTGCAGGGACTGTTTCAGGCTCCAATAACAAGTGAAGCCAACTCAATGCATAGTTTAGCAGCACGAGTATAGGCCAATGAAGCTTGTTGTCGTATTCACTGAACAATTGTTCTCTTGTTGATCATGGTTGGCCCCCTTCTCGTTACCTTCGCAAACGATGAATGGCCTGAATCAGGCCGAGTACACGTCAAGAATAGCAATGAAAGCACTATCGTCGACCTTGAAACCATACTTGCCTCTGTTGAAAGGCAACCATGTAGCTGTGGTCGTGAAATGTATCCAACAGGTAAAGGCAAAGAGTCATCGAGTACATATTACCCACGAGTAACTCGACGGCATCAAATGTGAAAGTGAGTCACCATATTCCGCAGAGGGAAGCAATTGTGTGACGAAAAGAGTCGCAGTGAGCAGGCAAGCGGTTGAAAGAACCGTAGGCGTGCTGTTGCTCCTGGATGCTTTCGCGGTAACGGCCTCGATGCGTCCCACAACCATTTTGCAGGCGGAGAGCATGGTCATATCTTTTGGTAAGAAAGGTGTTGGATAGCCACGTGCGCAGTCATGAGTGATAAAGGTCGAGGCTGAGCATGGAGCTGTCCTGTGCTATCGGCTGCATGTGTTTTCTTGAGTGGGTTGAAGATGAGCTCGCATCAATCTCGACGCATACACCCAATCGTGTGCTGGGTCACCAGGTCGCGCTTGCTCTTTTCACTGAACCAGAAGTCTGAACAGAACAGAAAGGAACCACTAACTCGACTGAAACTGAACGCAACGAGTACTAGAAGCCATCGCCAACTTCTATACTCGAGAAGACCGATCTGGCTCGCCTCAGACGATTGACATGACTACGTTTGCATTTTCCTGCTCAGAGGCACGGAATGACCTGGAAAAGATGTTGTATTCACATACGGAACCTTAATGATTGCGATTCGTTCGTTATTACCGGCGCGGATCGTTTCGGCAGAAACTAATCGTTGCTGTCGTGGCAGAAATCATGGTATACCTCTACTCCTCACCACAGCCTCTGGGTCTCAAGATGGTTTACTCCGGGGATCGAACAGCTTATCGCGAATTTTGATGCAGTTAGACACGCGTTCAATGAAGAGGGGGAAGCGGAAGAGAAGACCAGACTTCGGCTGGCGCGAAATGAGATGAGGGTGACATCATGTTCCCGGCCAGCCGCGGTGACACGCCAAAAGTCAGACCTCGAAATCGAGTCCATGATCTCCATACCTTTGACTCTCCAACTTATCGAAAGTATCCGTGCTTGTTCGAGATCTCGTTGTTTGCATACATAATTCCCATGTTCCCTTGATCATGTCGCGCTCCCGTATACCGCCGATCCTGCGTCCGCGCCTGACGCCCAAGTACGTCGCGTCTTCGATAGCTGCCATTTACGTCGTCTACTGCTGGCTGTGGGGAATGCCTCTACTGTCTTCGAAGCTCCCTGCCTACACGGGGCCGCATGCTGTTGGCACAATCGACATTGAGAGTCCATGTGATGGTCGAAAGACAAGCGATGTCAAATACAAGTCGACAGGCCAGCCTGCCTTTCTGGTATCGATGTATGACGCTTTGACAATTGATCGCGATTGCTAATGATTTTTGCAGCTTGAAACAGTCTTGTTCTCTGTATACTACCCAGCCGTAAAGGGAGCTAAGTCCGACAAGCCAAACCATCTCTGGGTGCCCAAACCGCTCGCAGTCACAGCAGAAGGTTACGCGAAATTTGCTCACATTAGCAACTTCCTTACGAACAGTCTTTTCACCGTCGCACTCTGGGGCATAGCGGGCAGCACTACCATTCCGGCAAATGTTGATGTCCCTCTACGAGAAACGGCGCCTAGCTTCGAGTTCACGGATCATGGAGAGGGTAAGCCAACGGAGGGCAACGATGGTTTCCCTGTGATTGTCTTCTCCCATGGTATGGCGAGTTCTCGTACAGACTACACACACTTTTGCGGTGAGCTTGCCAGTCGAGGATATATCGTTGCTGCGATTGAGCATAGAGATGGCAGTGGTCCCGGAAGCATTATCATGAACGCAGGCGGGACAGAGAAGACATTATACCACTTTGGCCTTGACGACCTAGATGTGGACCAGAGTTTCGGCATACCCGAGCTCAAGCAAGCGCAACTGGATTTCCGTCAGGCAGAAATTGAGGAAACAGTCCGAGTCCTGCGAGCTATCAACGATGGTAGTGGCGCCACCATATTCGAGACAAACCCACGCAAGGAGGGTGAGCATTTGGCCAGCTGGACTGGACAACTCGATATGACCAACGTCACTATTTCAGGACACAGTTACGGTGCTACTGGTGCTCTGCAGGCTTTGAAGGGCGCACCTTGTAAAGAACGCCCTTTCCACGGTGGAATCATTCTCGACCCTGGCAAGTCAAGCGGTCCTCTCAACCACGATGTCGATGTGCCAGTCTTGGTCATTCACTCCAACTCTTGGTCAAAGAAACGCTCCATCTTCTTTGGTCAGCCTCACTTCAGCGTCGTCAAGGACCTCGTCCGACAGGTCAACAAGCGTGGAATGGCTGGCTGGTTCATGACTTCTTTGGGCACATCGCACCCGTCAGTCACAGATGCTCCCCTCATCGAACCCACATTATTGAGTTGGACAACTGGATCTAGTATCGATGTGATTGATGGTGTGAGAATGTACGTCAACGTGACGGAAGAGTTCATGCTATACCAGAAAGCGAACAGGAGAACAGGACTGTTGGCTCTAAATGTCACACATCCCGAATACGATGAGAAATCTAATGGCACGCAGCAGATGCCAAAATGCTATCAACGATTCTGGCAGATTCATGTTGCGCCGGACTCAGCATGATCGCCATTTACATATTATATCTATACATACGACGCAACTTAATTGTATCTAACATTCTTGTAATCATATTCTCTGCCTCGGACGTTTCGAAAAAGACTCTGATACGTTGGCCGCGCTACGAAATCTTGGTAGGAGCTTGCACCACGGCATTGCTGAATCTCTATGTTCGTCCTGTTGGTACGACCCTGGACTAATTTCTTTTCATAATTTTTCGATATATATATGAATATATATCGCTGTGTCTACAAGTCTTCTCGAAAGACACTCAGATCGAACGATTTTCATCAGCCTACAATAATTTAGTACATCAATAGAACTTCATGTAGTTGCTTGAACGCAGCAGGTGTAATCGCGAAAGATGGCTTGAGTGGAGCAACCGGAACGACCAAACTGCTTTTTCGCGGCACTCTCCAAGACCAATCTCAAGAGAACATTCATCGAAGACCCATATGGATAAAGTGCAAGATTTGAAAGCCAGAACATCACTCATAACATCCCACTTGCTCCAAGGATCGTGCGTTGTTAAGATATTTACCAATTTGTCAAGCCGCCGACCCATCGAAGCCAACACCGCTACAGAACGCACAGCGTTTCCATCTTCCGTGGCGCAATTGGCTAGCGCGTTCGACTGTTAAGATCCTCCTTGTTTGATCTGAGCTATCGAGAGGTTGACAGTTCAAGCCTGTCCGGGAGAGCTTCTCTTTTGGTTTTGTTATGTAACGATTTCTTTTGTTGATGTGTTGTGGAGTTGGCAGGGCAGAGATGCCTCGAAAAAGTGGGGCTGCGAAGGTGGCTCCGAGATTTTACCGATGGGGTTGGGTCTTGGGTGATTCTTCCTTTGTTCTTCATTGGTTCATCCTTTGTTCTTTTGTCTATTGAACGGACAGAGCGATGAGGAGCCCTCCTTCAGAAAGGCTCGACGAAATTGAATACTCGTCGGCTTCATCTTGATAGCAAAGTCGCGAAGCAAGACACCATATTTCGTCGAAATGCCGGACTCGTCTTTGCCTGGGCGGGGACAACATCCTTTCCAAGCAGCAAAGTTCACCTTTTCAGCTAAACAAAACCATAGATTTGTGACTGGTTCATGAATTGATAGTTTGGCAATCTCGAAATCGACTCCCATAGCTCCTTCCCTTCCACCAACAAAACCAGCACACTAGAAGAGGTCAAACCTAGGAATCGAGCGAACGACAATGACCACCACAAGTATAGACAACGAGAGAATTGGGCTGATCCAGCCAGCCAGAATCCAGTATTGAGCCAAGTTCAAAACACGCCTCACGCAGCCTCCAACATGCCAATCCAAGCATTGGGCTAAATTGTCTTCTCTGTGGTTTCTCTTTCAGGACTCGCTTCAATATCCGCAGCTTTCTCATCGGCGCGATTTTGCTCCAGCGCACGTACATGCTGGTACTGCACTCTGGTCTTCCAGGCTGGTACCTTTGCAGGAACAACGCTTCCACTTCTTCGAGGCTTTTACCGCTGGTCTCCGGAAAGCAAAGGAAGACATGGATGAACATTGTGACGCAGAACACGCCGAAAACCACGTAAACTTTCCACTGGATGTTGACGAAGGCGGGCGGGACGAAGTAACCTGTGATGTCACGTTAATATCCAAGAAAGCACACCTTGTGCTGCAGTCAAGCTTACTAAGCGCAAAGTTCATGATCCAGTTTGCAGCAGTGCAGAGAGCAACGGCCTTTCCTCTGACTCGCAAGGGAAATAGCTCTGGGGGTATATCCACGAGACTGGTCCCCATGTAGGAGCAAACGACGCGACAAAAAGATAAGTACAAGCAATGACGGCCTTGGACGCTGGTCCAGCGATCTGCCAGCTCTCTTCAGGAACATTGTTGACACCTCCGGGCGGTGCTCGATGTCCATATGAAGCCATGAGACCAGCATTGATGAAGAGCCAGAGTGCCATAAAGAAGGCTCCAACCAATAGTGGTAGTCTACGGCCCCATCTATCGATGAAGATCAAGGCAAAAATGGTCATGAAGACATTGATAACATATTGAATGGACGAGGCGACAAGATTGTTGTTTCCCTTGAGACCTGCCATGCCGAACAAATAAGTGATGTAGTACATATGCGTTATGTCAGCATCTCTTTTGGCCTCAGTAGGTGTTTAGGAGGTGATAGCCTTACCATGACGTTCATACCAGTCAACTTCATCGTGATGTTAGCATTTTCTGTTGTGAAACCTCGTGTTCACAACTTACCTGCGACCAGATCTAGAAATAGTCAGTAAGAATCTCGTCAACATAGATGTTAGACCTACCTGAGTGAACACACCAATATGAGTTCGATTAATCATGTGCGGCTTGAAGAGTTCAAAATACGAGACGTCTTGATTGCGTCTCTCGAACTCGACCATCTCTTGGATTTCTCGCAGCTCTCGCTTCGCGAACGGACTGCTGGGATCACCGTGACCATGAACCAATATGAGAACCTTCTCACAATCCTCCCAGCGGTCTTTGCGAGCCAACCAGCGAGGAGACTACCCGACGTTAGCGATGCAGGATGTCTCAGGGCGTGGCTCATACCTCGGGCAAAAAGAATAAGCCGATCAGAAGGAAGACAGCTGGCAGAGCTTGGAGTCCCCACGGTACCCTGAATGCTTTTGGGCCTTTGAGATACGAGCAACCAAATGAGATATAAAACATAATGAGTATGCCCTAAAGCGAAGGTACGATTAGCATGACCTTAAAAAGTTGGCTGGGCAAGAACACAACGACTTTGCTGGCAGAGTGTACTCAACTGTGCAAGACGCCGTCCCGGATGGTGTTTTGATACACACCGTACGGATCTTTCGTGCAGACTGAGACAAAACACCAGCGCTAGTCGTGGTATTTATACCTTCGGCGTCACTAACCCAGGTAATTGCCCATTGTTGCGCGCCCACAACGCGACCTCGTCTACTAGGGTTGGCTAGCTCTATATAGATGTCAGCAGAATCCAGTCATTCCTTTGGTGGTGGTGAGCGAGACGAACCAGCGACGTAGACGGGGACTTGAGCTGATTCGATACCGACCTGCGACGACTCATGTTAGAAGCTGTTGTTGCTTTAGAATCTGCGGAACTTACAGATAGACCATTTATAAATCGACCGGCAACAAGTTGACCAATATTCTGCGATGAGCAGACTATCATTGAACCAATGATCCTGAGCCCCATCAGCAGTAGCTCTTAGTCGGTCTCTTGGAGACATACCATATGACGGCGCCGATCTGGATAGCTCTCTTCCGACCCAACCAGTCGGTGAGGAAGCCAGACATCAAGGCACCCACAAAACTGCCGCCTGGCATGGCAGCTGTAATTCCGCCTTGTACATCTGCTTTGGGACCGGAGCAATCTGGGTCATCTGTGAACGGTGGGCCGACAGGCCCCTGATTGAAATAGCATTTATACTGGTTAGTGCCCAGGCTTGAAAGGTTAGCTCAGGAAGTAGCGACGACTTGATCACACCTACATGGCAGACATGGACGAGATGTCGAAACCAAACAGTCCACCACCGATGACCGAGATGGCCGTGATGTAATAAATGTTGCCAATCTTATACATGTTATTGAATGGTTTGCAGCAATTCGTTTATGGAGAAGGTGAAAGCCAGAACACGTCTCAGAGTGATTGTTAGAGTTTAAATAGGCAGCTGGGTTGCTTCAGTTGCCTGGCTCTGGAGGATTGTTCTCCTGATAGTTGCTCTGCACATGGTCAACCCCGCAGGCAGAGATCAGCATAAGCCACAGGAGCAGCGAAACATCGGATTGGTAGTTGTCTAGGGCAAGCATGCGACATGAAGACAATCCAACAGGATAGAGCTCGTGAGATCCATTGCCAATAGTGTTACTGTGAGGTTGAGCGCGGAGCCCATCGATTTGCAAACAGTGTGTCGAGATCGCTTGTTACTGTTGGCGGAAGCATTGTCGTGATCTTGGATGGCTTCACAAGCAGTAAGCACCAAGTGTACTCGGAGAGATTTCACAAAGATATGTACAGCGTGAGGTACCTACACCGGATCCTTCGAGAGTCAAGAGCAATTGATTGGTTCCACAAGCCAGCCTGCCACCACTTCTACTTGAAGAGGAGCGGTGTCGATCACCATCCTTCTGTTACCTTGTAGAGTATTCATGTAAACTAGCGGTCGTATGCATGACCACTCTTCCGCCCAAAGGACTTTTACGAAGAGGGGGCCAAAACCGCTTCTTCACTGGGTGGCCGAATACGCGGAGGAACCATAAGACCACTGCAGAAATCCCGACGAGAAGTCGGTCTGTGTTGTCAAGTGGAAAGTCTGCAGACGCGACACAAGCGCCACCAAGCATCGAGCCAAGGCTGGTCACAATCTGCTGAAACAGGCATCAAGGCTTGCTTGGATGTTTTCTCGTGCCAGCCACGCTATCGGCAGATGTCGGAACGATGCTCAGATGACCTTGATACCAATCTGTTGATGTGTAGCGCCATTGGTTCGAGTTGTTGCTGTTTACAACAATACTTTGCAGCACATTCGACAGTCAGGGAAGAAGTAGCGGAGGAGAGAGAAAGGGAAGGGACGAAGCAGGGTGCACGGACCGATCGACAGCCCGCACCCAAGAGCGTTTTCCCTCGATGACATCTTCCATTCATTGTTTTCCATCAGACCAAAAAATTCATCAGGATGGAAGCTCTTTTAAGTGCTATCGAACGTCTTTTGCATGGCGCATGTGGTACAGATCACCATGACTTCCCTAATGTCGTTCCTCTTTGACGCGACACCAAGACCCGGGCTGCAGCCTGTTCCAAACACGAAACCCTTGACCTTCGAGGCTGCTGTACTACCGCCCATCATATACTTTCTGGCACTACTATTCTTACCACCTCCACCACCGCAGTCCATCGATACCATCGCAGTCAAACTACTCCGCAATGCTCTGGCTCTTCTAGCTGGAATTTTGTTCTTCCGGCTGCCTTTGGCCTACTACGTCCCGCAGAGTATCGGGCTTAACTACCAGCTCGCTCTTGTTGGTCTATATGGCGGTTGCAGAGTCCTAGATGCTTTCTTCATCAGTCCCTATGGTTTTGGGCACATTCCTCGTCGTGTTCGTTATAAGCACATCTCTCGAGCCCAAACGCCTTTGCCACTAGACGTCGACAATGAGCTACAAAACTCAGCCAAAGATGCAGCCCAAACTGTTGGCGAGGAATCAACTGTTCCTGAAGCTGTTTCTGATGCTGCTAGCTATGCTCGCCGCGGGTCGCTAGCTGACTCGTACTTCATCCTCGAAAAGAAACTTTCCAACCTCAGCGAGATGAAGCCCGTGTACGAATTGGCATCGAGCGAAGAAGGTTGGCCGCACAATTTTATGGATCGTGCTTCCTGGGCTCTTGAGCTCGAAACCAGCATGCGAGGTATTGGCTTCACCTGGACAACAGCTGACGTACGCCACACTCGCAAGACGTGGCTGCCAACTGCCACTAATCGTCTCCATTCCATCTTCTTCCATGTTGGCCCTGTCTTGGCCGTCTGCTTTGCTATCATTAGGACCACTTATGTGAATTACTTCGAGGGAGTGCCTCAAGCAGAATTCGGCGTTCACACCGAGAATCTCTTCGACAGCCGTCTACCTCTATGGCTGCAACTTGTCTTGACTGCCGCTCTTGGTGCTTTCCTTATGGCTGCATTCTCTGTGGCACACTCCATGGCTGCCATTTTGATGAGCCCTCTAGCGCCTTCGCCGCTTGCATACTTCCCGCCTCTGTACAGCACTCGCATATGGGACATTAAGTCTGTGCGAGGTTTCTGGTCCTATGGTTGGCACAGACTCTTTGCTCGGTTGTTCTTGGTGTATGGCGTTTGGCCTGGAGAGTGGCTTGAGAGGAAGCTCACAGGCAAAAGAAGCGACGAGCCAGCAGATGTTGGCAAGGTGCTTGGCGGATTCATCTCTTCTGCTTTTGTTCATTCATTTGCGGTCAGATCAGTGCTAGGCGGCGAGTGGAGTCGCGCACTTGGAGAAGCCAAGTTCTTTGCTGCCAACGGACTTGCTGTAGTAGTCGAAGAGGGTGTTCGCCGACAAGTCATGTCTTGGAGGAAGAAGAGAAATCTACCATTGGAAATGTGGTATGATTCTTACATTGGTCGTGTTTGGTGGATCACTTTCCTATTGTTCAGTGGCAGAAACTTTGCAAGAGGTTGGGTGAATGCTGGCCTGGTCAGAGAAATGGCTGGCAAGTAGAAAAGCGTAGCGATACGGCGCGTTGAATTGACACGGAAGTCGTCCCGAGCGAAGAAGGATGATGATTCACGAAATCGCATGTCAATTAGACCAAATGACCTTTCCGAAGGATCGTTATGACAGTTCAACAGGTTATTGTGATAGTAGAAGAAGGATTCCAGATACCTGCTGACCGTTTGGTCGATAAATCCTCCGCATTCAGCACATTCCCTTGCTTTTCCAGATTTCTCCGCACTGAGGATCGCCAATCTATCGTCAATCTATTCCTGCATTCGAAGCCCTACGTCATGCATGATACAAGTACTCTTGTACAATCTTTCGGGCATGAGATCACAAGGCAGATAGTAATTATAGGCTGACTCGACTGCTGTTGCTTTCTCTTCTTTCGTGACATACCAACTTTTGCGATATAAATATGTCTTTCGAAGATCCAGAGAAGAAGGAGAGTTTAGACCATGGCGACGATATCGCTAGACCAGAGAGCGGACGGCGCAAGTCATCGATGTCGAGGCGGAAGAACAGTGCATATGAAGACCCTTTCGCACGAAAAGAGAGTGTAGACGCGGGCGAGATCCAAGATGCAGATATCGACTATCAGTCGATGGAGTGGTGGTGAGTCGACTTGAATCCTGGCATAGATATCGTGTTACTGACAGAGCTCAGGCAAGCGGCAATGAGTATGTAAGAGCTAGAACAGATCCGTGGTCTTGGATACTGACACTTGCAAGTCATGATTGCCGAAACGATCTCGCTGGGCATTCTTTCACTACCTTCGGTACTTGCGAGGATTGGTCTCGTGCCTGGACTGATTATACTTATTGGACTTGGAATCATCGCAACTTACACTGGATGGGTAAGCTACGAATGTCATGTGAATCATAACAGGAAGTACTGACACTTAGACTTACAGGTTATTGGACAATTTAGAATGAAGTATCCTTGGGTAAGAAGCACGTGCTCAGCAACTATAATCCAACCCAGCTCACAATCTCGAAGNGTCGTGTCTTTTGCAGATGCAGGCGAAATTCTCTTCAAACCGCTCAAGATGGGCGCCATCGGCCGCGAGGTATTCGGTGCAGCACAAACAATCTTTCTGATTTTCACCATGGCCAGCCATATTCTGACCTGGACCATTTGCCTCAACACCATAACCAACAGCGCCACATGCACTGTGGTCTGGGCAGTGATTGGACTGGTGCTCTTCTGGCTGTTTGACTTGCCTAGGACTCTCAAGAATGTGTCGTTCATGTCGATTGCATCCTTTATCTCCATCTTCTCTGCTGTAATGATCAGTATGATCGCGATCGGAATCCATAAACCGAGAGGCAACACACCGCTGGCTGCAACTACGGTATTGCCTTTCACAGATGCCTTTGTTTCTGTCAGCAACATCGTTTTCGCTTACGCTGGACATTCATGTAAGTTTTATCTTCTCCTCTACGCTTATGCTTCCCTGTTCCGCAGTCTTGCTGATGCTTTGAAGGTNTTCTTTGGCTTCCTAGCTGAGATGAAGAACCCTGCCAAAGACTGGACGAAAGCTTTGATCTTCCTGCAGACGTGGGACATTGGTCTCTACATCATTGCTGCGACCGTCATCTACGTTTTCGCTGGCCCAGATGTTGAATCTCCCGCTCTTGGGTCAGCTGGTCCAATCATCAAGAAAGTCGCTTGGGGTATTGCGATTCCGACTGTAGGTCCACCCTCAAAGCCGCTAGGTCTGTACCAGATGCTAAAAACTTCTAGNATCATCATTGCAGGTGTGATCTACGGCCACGTCGCTGCAAAGTATATCTTCGTGCGCTGCTTCAGAGGCACCAGACACATGACCAAACGAACCAAGACCAGCACTCTTGCCTGGACTGGCATCACTCTGACCATCTGGGTCATTGCCTGGATCATCGCAGAGTCAATCCCAAACTTCAACGACTTGCTTGGCTTGATCAGTGCTCTGTTTGCCTCACACTTCACCTACACGTTGAGTGGTGTGTTTGGGCTGTTCCTCAACCATGGACATTGGTTCGACAATTGGAAGCAGATCACGCAATTTATCGCCAACTGGGTGGTTATTGCGATTGGTGCGACAGTATGTGTTGCTGGACTTTACAGTTCAGGCACAGCAATTGCTGCCGATGGAGGAAATGGTTCGTGGACATGCAAGAGCAATGCTCAGTGATTGCATGTAGGAACGAGCTTTTGTGGAATGAACCAGATCGTATTGAACATTATTATTTAGTGACTCCCAATATATTCCTTGCCACATGGGTCTTTTCTGGGTCATCATGTTTTGCATAAATCGTGAACAGCGATTGGAAAAGGCGTCAATGGGACGTGACGTCCTTCGCTTGTCTCATTTTCACCCAGACGCCGTCTGCAGGACAACAGGTCAGCGTCAGGCGCATCTTTGGCTCAGCATCGAGCGTTGGTCCTGTAGGCTCAATCTTGTCGAATCTCTGAAGCAGTCTGACCATCACGTAACTGGCTTCGGTGAGAGCAAACTGTTGACCAATGCAGATCCTAGGGCCTCCATTGAATGGTAGGTAGTCCCAAGTGGATCGTTTTGAGGTCCATCTCGATGGCTTGAACTCGTCTGCATCCTCGCCCCAGATATCCTTACGCCTGTGCATCACAAACACCGAATAGCTGACATCGGTACCCTTAGGAATAAAGATAGGGGATAGACCATCTGCGCCACCACCGCGTGGAATCGTCGTATCTGTCAAAGCACGGCGACCATCCATGGGTACCACAGGGTAAACACGAAGAGCCTCATTCAAGCAGTGTTGGAGATACTGACAATCCTTCAGAGACACGAACGTGATATCTCTAGGATTTTCGTAACTTCCGAAGTCATGGATGACGGTTTCGCGGAGCTTCTCAAAGACACCCGGGTTTTTGGCTAGGAGCAACAGCATCCAGCTGAGCAAGCAAGCGGTAGTATCACGACCAGCGATCAAGATATTGAGTAGTTGTGTGCGCAGCTCAACCGGATCCTGTGTCTGAGCGGCGAGTTCTTCAAGAAACACGAACTTCCTCGTAAGCGAGGGTCTTCGCTTCTCAGACGCCTGCGCCTTGATTGCCTTGTCCACGTAGTAGTCGGCGAAGTTGTGAACATCCTTGCACAATTTCTTGAAGTGCTTGTCGTGAGCCATCCAGTAGTAGTTTCCGAATCGTGCGCCTTTGAATAGGTAGCTCTGAGAGCTGTCGATAGCAGTACCGAAAACTCGTTCGTCTCTCCAGGCTGCTGCTGCACCAGCTTCTCTACCCCTAAGAGCTGCGAGCTGCGTATCAATGCTCTCACCAAAGAGAAACTCGGTTGAGCTGTCAAGAGTGAGGCGGAAGAAAAGAAGCTGCACATTAGTTTCTTCTACCCAACCGTCGGCGTTTACAGGCAGAGCCTGCATCATGTTCTGCACATGCACTTCTTCAAGTTCCAGATCGCTGATATTGTCGCGAGCAAATTGGGGACGGAGTAGTGCTCGGGAATGTTCCCATCTTTTGCCATCTGACGCAAANNCTATGATAGGAGTCAGTAAGCACATCGACGCTGAATGTTCATAAGCACCTACAATGCCATCACCCATCAAGGGACCAAAGTTGCCGATTCTGGCGGATCCTAATCCGAAGTCTTTGAATTGTGTTGCCAACAAAGCTTGAATGTTCTTAGGATCCGAGGTGAAATGAGCCTCATTCCCCAAAATGGACAGGCGCATGGTATGCACAGGTCTGTTTTGCGATTCAGACAAGACTTCCTCCCGCTCACGGAGATAGGCAGGAAAACGACCTGCCTTCTGAGCCGCCATCATCTGTTTGATCGTCGAGATGCCTAGATGTGTGGCGGGCCATAGTGGCGCTGGTTCACAAGCTAGCTTGCGAGATTTGATAGCATGTTGTCGACGAATATACAACAGACTGATACTCTTGTATACTATCCAGGTGACCGAGAGCCATANAAAGGCGTATAATGTAGGTACGCTCGCCATCGGTGAGATTGATAGACTGCAGGGTGCGGAGAGGGATCGACAGGTCTCTTAAGAAACAGACCAGGACCCTGAACCTGCTCTGCCACTTCCATGAAGGTAGAGTTGGGATGCACTTCGGCTCTCGGTAAAACGCATTGGTTCTGCTCGAGTCATCAGAGATGCGGATTGCGAGGGAACGGCCGTAAAGGCCCGCCAATGAACGCCATGGGAGAGGCTTTTGAGTTGGCAGCGACACCCATCCGTGCTGTGGATATCTTGGCTTCCACAACGGCCTGGAGAGGATCCACTCGGAACATCAGCCATAACTTGCTGGACTTCGGTCTCCAAAGCGCTGTCCAAGAGTCATTAAACACTGTGCTATATCCTGAAGCCCTGCTGAATGCGCACATTCGTGATGTGGTATGGTTGTACTGACAGAAGAAGGACGACAAGACGTCGGCAAAAATTGATAGCGCACGTCATTCAGCTCAATCGATTCGGCTTGGCGGTGTGGGGTAGTATCTAGCGGCCCGGCTGATCGCTGCTTCTCTTTTCCCTCTCTGCAACCTTGCCTTGTCGACCAAAGCAAAACACAATGTCTGGCGTGTCTACGGAGGTATAATTTTCATCCATTCCTCTTGACAGCTCGATGTCGTCCGACTACGCTCCAGAGTATGGTGGGATGAACGCCAACACGTATGTGGTGGGATTAAGAATACTCGATAAAGCTGGTGGCGTGCGGACCAACGGCGCTCATGATGGCAACCGGATTGTAGAGAGGTGGGCCTCGCATAAGGTCGCGAGGTTGCAAGCACGTTTACAACGCGCAGGACCTGGGTCCATAGCCCTTTCCTATTTGCGAAAACACACCCGGTGGCTTGGGCGCGGTGTGAACGGTCGACCTACTTGTTGACTGATAAGGACATAGCGATGTTGGGAAATTCGAGCGATGCGGAAGCTCTGGTTCCGCTCCATCCGTAAGGGCATGTCTGGCTTCAAGAGACATCGAAGTTTGTGAGAAAATCGTCACACACCTTTTGATTGTCGGTTCGTGACTGGTCAAGAAGCTTTCTCTGACACATTTCTATCCTCCGAGATTTAAATTGACGATGCCTAGGTTCGGGGAAGGGTTGGATGTGACGCTGGTGAACTCAATTGGAGCATGTAACACAACATGAGTCCTTCCTCCGAGCAGTCAGACATTTAGATCCTCCAATATCCTCAAGACCTCAACAATATGTCTTATCATCCTACGACTCACAATCGTTTCCTCCATCTGCGACGGGGAAAGAGTCCCAAAGCCTGGGAGAGAGTTCGTGGAGAGCAGGGTACGCGACAAAGCTGGCGATTCGTCAACATGAACAAGTCTCGTCGACAACTTGACATGCAGCTCCAATTCCATCACAGGACCCTTGGTCATACAACATGACAAACGCTGCTTGTGCGATCCCATGCCAGCAATTGTACTTTTGTTGTTAGATGCATCCTCATCGACTTGGAGGCACAACTTTGTTGCGGCCCCATAAACGCGTCAGGACTTGCGCCAGATCAGCTTTACTTGGCTGTTGTTTAGCTGTGCTGGTGCTTGTGAGCGCATACAGACCATTGAATTCTCATCAGGTGTTCACATGCATACGGCTTCTAGCATATCATGGTCGCACGAAATATTGGCTCGTATCGCCAAACATCGTAATATATAAGCGATGCCATAGTCGCTTATGAAATTGCAGCACCGAATCGCAAACCAGAGTGTACTCATCATGGCGGATCGTGGATATCGCCTACTCCCCAACTTCATCGATGAAACTGCTTCGGTCAACCCGAGCTTGACCTTCGCTGAGATACCAAAGTCTACCAATATCCATGATGGCCTTCTTCGGATAACGTTTCGCGACCTCGCCAGGTGCATTGATACATGTGCCTGGTGGATACACGCACACCTAGGCAAGCGCCGTGATTTTCCGACCCTAGCTTACATCGGACCTCACGACTTGAGATATCTTTGTCTTGCGTTCGGAGCTTGCAAAACNGGGCCACAAGGTGCGATTGCCAGACAATCTTCGGCTTTAGTCTGACCGTGGTGTTATCAGATGTTCTTTGCTTCGCCACGCAACAGCACGGCTGCATTGCTCGACCTGTTTAGCCAAGCAGACTGTAACACCATCTTGATGCCTGCCGACGCTCCACTGTATTCGAATTTGCTGTTGGGCGTGCTTGCAGAACGACCGATGCACACTCTCGATCTTCCAGATCTCGCGTACTTCCTGGACAGTGATTCGGAGGTGAAACCTTATCTTTGGTACAGAACCTTCGAAGATGCAAAGCATGATCCGTTAGCGGTGTTCCACACGTCTGGAAGTACTGGTATGCCGAAACTCATCACCATGAACCATGGGGCTGTAGCCGCTCTTCACGCTTTCAAAAACATCAAGACTTTTACCGATCAAGCGATCCAGACTGACGCTCATGACGGCAAGAGGACACTGTTGCTGTTTCCGATGTTTCATGCCTCAGCTATCAGCACTTTGTTCTTGTCCATCTGGGATACTGTACCAATAATTCTGCCGCCTCCGATACCATTGACAGCAGAACTTGCGAATGATATGATTATCAACTGCGACATTCAAGCCAGTATCATGCCACCATCAATCCTCGCCGAGATTGCCGGAAATCAGGTGTATCTTGAGAATCTGTGGAAATGCACCAGTGTGATGTATGGAGGGGGACCACTGCCAACTGAGGCCGGCAATCGCATTGCTGCGGGCACTACTCTCATAACTGTCTTCGGGTCTTCGGAGACTGGTTTCTTNCCCGTCGAAGTCATGCCGCGAAGTGACTGGTCGTATGTCAAACTCAGCCCCTTTGCTGGTGGTGTGTATCGTCCCTGTACAGATCAACTGTACGAGCTTGTCATTGAGCGCAGATCCGAACTGGAAGCTTATCAACCCGTTTTCTGGACGTATCCTGAACTCCAGGAATATCATACCAAAGATCTGTTTGCCAGACACCCGATCAAGCAAGATCTATGGTTGTGGCAAGGTCGCATGGACGACATCATTGTGCTCAGCAACGGCGAGAAGTTCAATCCTTCTGCAATGGAAAACGTGATAACCAATGGTCATCCAGCAGTCGAATCCGCTCTGGTATGTGGTCAAGGTCGCGAACAGTGCGCCTTGCTTGTCGAGGTGTCGTCTACAGAATCGAGTGAAGATGATACGCCCGAAGAAGAAATCGTGGAAGAAATATGGCCAGCTGTGCAGAAAGCCAACGAGGACTGCCCAGAGTACGGACGTGTGATGAAGGACATGGTGATAGTCGCTAAGCAGGGCAAAAGNATGGCCCGAGCAGACAAGGGCACTGTCCAGCGCAGCAAGACACTTGACAGTTTCGCTGCGGAGCTTGATGAACTCTATCACCTGCACGAGGGCCCTGCTGCAGCCTTCGTTGCAGCACATCGTCCCATGGATCTTCATAGCGTCCAGCAAACTGTCACAAGAGTTGTCCAAGACATTCCTCGCTATCGGACTTTGAAATCCAGCAAGAGTTTATTTGACCTGGGTCTGGACTCGCTCCATGCTATGGCTATCGCCAANAAGCTCAGAACCGCTTTCTTGAATTCACCAAGTCCAATCACGACAAAATCCATCTATGATTTTCCAAGTATCGATCTGTTGACATTTTACATATGTGGCTTGATGACTGGCAAGGAAGAGTCGGTGAAGACAATGCAGATGCTTTATGATCGCTACTCGCCCATGAGCCGCCGAGCCTTGCCTGTGAAAGGTCCAGAAGATGCCACTATTCTCCTTGTCGGCTCGACTGGCCACTTAGGCACTCAACTCCTGAGCGAGCTTTTGGCCAGAAGCAACAAAGAATTTGACACAATAGTCTGCTTGGACCGTGATCCCGATGCAGCTTCGAAACATGAAGCTCTCGGTCTACTCTCTGATGTCGCAGAATCAGTATCCATCCGGTACTTACATGCAGATTATTCTCAACCGCATTTTGGCATTTCCGATATAGACTGGTCTGGGCTTCGAATGATGGTTACACATGTGATCCAGAATGCATGGCCTGTTGACTTCTGCATGCCACTGTCGCATTTCGAGCCCAGCCTTCGGACCACAGCAGAGCTCATGGAATTTTGCAAGTCGGCAGATCTAAACCCCACTTTCGTCTTCATCTCGACCATAGGCTCTGTTGTCAGTAACTGGAAGGATCTTGTCACCGAGGAAATCGTTCAAGATTGGCTTAGAGCAGAACCTATGGGTTATACTCAGTCAAAGCTGATTGCCGAGCGTCTTGTGGCCACGACCGCTGTCACTACCGGTGTCAAGAGCGTGATTTGTCGTGTTGGCCAGCTTGGTGGCGTGCTGAACAACGAGCTTTGGCACGGCAAAGCGCCTGCCTGGCCAGAGAAAGAGTGGCTGCCTGCTATGCTAGCGTCTTCAATTCAACTTGGTGCTATCCCTTCATCACTAGGTTTGCTGGACAGGATCGATTGGGTGCCAGCTGATGTTGCTGCGGCCTCTGTATGTGAGCTGATGTCGGCCACCTCTGCATTTCACGAGCTGTGCCAGGTCTATCACATCGTCAATCCACGATCAACCACTTGGAAAGATCTCTTGCCGAACCTCGAAGCCTATGAGGATCTCGAGAGAGTAGCCTTGTTTGATTGGGTTGCACTACTCAAGGAACGTGTCGATAGCGGAAGCAGAAGTGTCGGACCGGCATTGGGATTGATTGAGTTCTTCGAGCGCGCTTGCCAAACCGATCGCAAGAAGCTGATGATCGACTGCTCGAAAAGTCTTGCTCTGAGTCCGACTCTTAGAGGCACGCAGCACATTTCTGTCGATCTGATGAAGCGATGGATCAGTCAATGGGGTCTTAGCAGATAAATTGTCGCTGTCGAACTCCGCAAAATGTTAATATCCTCCACAGAGGCACAAAAAGAATGCTACCAGAGATCTCAGGAAATTTGTACTTACGAAGTTGTGATTTGATCCAATGGATCTCTGGGGAAACCCCAGCAGTTGTCCGCTTCAGCGCAGGCAATCCTTGTGTTTGCAAGATCATGCTGTTGCTTCCACAGACGTTGAACTTGGCAAGGAAAGAGAAGCTTGTGTTTGCAAGACTACTCGATGCAAGTTAGTTCAAAGTGTTAAACGGGAAAATCCCCCGCGAGTAAACCGAACTTTTCAGTTCCGCAGTTGCTGTTAAGCTGTTGATGATCTGGAATGTAATCAGCACACCGATCTCGCAAAGGCTCGAACTCGAGACCTCTGGTAGCAGCTGGCCAATTGGACCAACGAGGATTGTTGGAGAAGTGGCAGCTTTCTTTGCTTATGAGCTCAAGGCAGGTTCGGGTTGTGCCTGTCGTTTATTTTGCTTCTCGCGCAGTCCGCTGTTAGTATCTTTGAGGGCGCCGGGCCATCGACTTGTTTTTGATTAGCCTACGGTAAGTCATGCCACACTCCAAAACCGTAGCATCGCTGCAACGGGCAGACTGTTCACGAGGAAGCGACGCTTTGAATGACAAACAGATGCTTCGCTGCTCCGACGGGCCATGCTGGCCCTCTGTTTGCCGGCATGGACGTCCGATGAGTCCAGATGATCAATCTGCGTATCAAAGTCTTATGGCGCATCAAACAGCAACCATTTCTTGAACGACATGTTGGAATTCGCCAATCTCAGGATATACGACATACCTTCATCGGTGCCCAGAATCTATTCGGTCTCAATCTCTCATCCCAATGCCCGAGCAGTCGAGCTTCGTGGGCGCTGCTTACCACCGCTCTATTCCCGAGCTACCGCTCTTTCGATAATAGGTTGTTAAGTGCTTCGAATTGGAAATAAGCTCTCCTCTCCACTGCAGACAGACTTGCTCGCCTATAAGCACCATTTTCTGCTGTTTTATTCTATGCATTGAGAATTTCAAGCTACATTTTTCGTACAGTGAGACAATCGATTTTCTACACTTTCATCCATCAGCAACGCATACTGGATGTTATTGTCTGTCACCTGTATTTGCAATATGTACTTCATAGAGCAACACGGGAGTATACGAAGACTGGAAACTTTCATCAGAGAGCGGAAAGAGCGGGTCACCACACCGTGTCTACACAAGCGAGTGACCAAATGTCCTGCGACCTATGTTTACCAAGGTTCTAGTGTCTTGGTAGATAAAATGCACAAGGGTTCAGGCGAAGGTTGGTTATGCCCATGGGTTGCCGAGGTTTTGCCGAATGTCCTCTGAGCTCAAGCTTCCTTCTTCGAGCTTCCCAAACCTTTCAACATCCGGTCTGCCCATGACAGTCATTGCCAGCTTCGTGATAGATTGGTCGTAATAATACACCGATAAGCAAGCCAGATCTGAGACGCTCTCGCCAGAATGGCCGTTGAAGGAGCACAAACGGTGATGATGGCTTCGTTTGTCACGGCGATCGCCTTTGTGAGGTTGAACAAAGAACACTGAGTACCATTGAGAGGAAAACGGTGTCTTCCCAGGATCTATCTGGTTTCGCTGGAGAAATGCATTTCTCTTTGGTAATTCACCCTGCTTCAGCCACGCTCTTGAATACCAACCAGCCCCTCTTCGCCAATCTCAATTTTTGGACTCCAGGCGTAATTAGTCTCATCGATCACTCCCGACCGCTCCCTGTCCTTTCGTTCAACCGTCTCCTCCTCGACCAGAAGCGGCCGAATCCTTGTTCCGGACCTTTGCAAATCGCGTCTTCCTCGCCGCCCAACTGATGCATGTGTCATTGTTGGCGACTTGCTGATCATGGCACAAAGCCCGTTGCCGTTACCCTCGTCGGATGTTTTGCAAAGCTCACAGCAGTCTAGTAAGACACTTGAAGCAAACAATCTCCGACATGCGGACATCGAATGTCAGAGGCTTGTCAGGGAAGGAAGAGCGGCTGTAACAGTTCATGCCGCATTCTTCATGTGAAGCACGATAGTGGCCACACTTCAGCTTGTGGAGACCTTCGCGACAGAAGGGTGCCATGGGCTTGACCTGCTCAGCAATCTTTGCGTCGTCTCTGGCTTTGATTGCTTCTTCCTGCGCATGGTAAACCAAGCGGATCAGCCATCTTGCGACAACGTGATGCTCCTTGGATTTGACTTGGTTGGCATCAAGCATACGCTTGAGCATCTTGTAAGCATTGACCTGCGTCTTTTGATCAAGCTCGAGACACTTGACAAAGTTGTGGAGTTGCTGTTTACGCTGTCCTCCGGTCGGAAGGTGATAGATGTCTTCCAAGAGCTTGAGAAGGCGACGAATCCATTTGTGATCAGTGTGATTGACGTGCTTGACCCCATCTAGGTAGCTCTCAATGTCCATCTCTGAACTCTGTTGAGAGTTGACACCCGACAAGCCCGAAGCGACCTGCTCGCGAGACGAATTCATAATGGTGGAAGTTGTAGAGGGTAGGGTTGCGGATTGATTTGAGACTGCGTCACGAGCATTTTCACCAGACATGGGTGCGCGAGTGTTGAGTTTATCGGTGTGATTGGGAGTGTGCTGATCAATCTGAGGCAGGCCAGGCTGAGTTTCTGCTGTATTGCTTCTCTGGTGCAACTCGTTGTTCGCAATCGACATTTGAGATGAATCAGACATCGCACCCTTCGATGCTGATGTTGAGAGTGGACTCAGGGGTGATGCGTGTCTGATTAGCCCGGCTGACTGCAAATGGTTGGGAGGCCTAGCAGACTGTGCTTGCTCCTTGACGTCTTCGGTCTCGTGCGCGCACTGATTGATTCGAGAGAGACTGAGCCGAGANNCCGCAGTCGTGATGACGTTGATGCTTGGGTGTGAAAGTTGATCGCTCGAACGCATGACTTGGCGTGCCTCCGGCAGCTTGGTCTTCGAACCTGACCCGGCCAACANAAGGAGGTTCTCTGCGGCTTCACTCAATCCGTGTGACAAGCGCTGCAAGGACTCGGCAGATCGTACTTGACCATGGATACCTCCTTGGGTGATCGACGCTGACTGGAGTGCTACAGTTCTTGACGCCAAACCCCTTTGCGGATCATCGTGGCCGTATTTGTTCTCAAATGCCGTTCCTCCACTCACCTGTCGCCTGGTAAGGACAGGACTGGACGGCTGCACGATATTGCCATGTTCGGGCAAAGCTCCATTGACACGGGATTCGGTCTGCTCATATCGTGCAGCATCGGTATAGAAGGTTGGCAGCAGACGACTATTCTGAGGCATAAACTTCTCTGCGCGGCCGGGTGCTTCTCCGTGGTAGCGTTCGCTCAAGCTTGCCAGCCTGGTGTTGTTCTCCGTCGTCTCAGGTACACTCGCGGCTTCAGCGAGATACCGCTGACCCTGTCTCTCCTTGTTGCCAGGATTTGGATAGGGACCGAGACCTCCATCGTGTGATCTTTGCCATCTCTGTGGACGCGACGACATCTTGCCAAAGCAGGAGTGACCGTTCAATGGATTGTTGTTGATGTCGAACAAGGGGAATGACGCAGAGACCAGAGTGCTGTACAGTTGTTGCTGCGTTCGTCTTTGTAGAGCCCGGATTCGCCCTCAACATACCGGTGGGTATCGTGGCCGGTATGCTTGAGAGTTGTGTGTCGAATTATTACACCTCTTGCAGTCCGACAATCAGACTGGTTTGGACAACGACGCACAACGGCGATATGACAGCAAGGATACACGAGTACCGAGGGGCCCGGGCTACTGTCGAAGACTGGGACAAGTCATCGAGGAAAATTTCCTATACCTACTCCTCCTGCCACCCCTATACAAGCGCGTCTGTCTCGGCACTCGACTATGATGTCGTCTTCCATTCGATTCCGGAAACACGGGACATCTCAGCGTTCACTTGCTTTGAGAACCTCTATTTCGTTCACGTTTCTCTCCATCCTACCTCGACGCGCAACCACCATCCGCTTCGCACAACGCAAAGTAAATATCAGATTGCACGCTGGTTACACTCATGCTAACCTGTCACCAGCATGACCAACCACGAAGAGATGTTCGCCATGGTTGAGGCCATGGTCGAGGAGTGTGTCGAGGAGGCCGTCAAGGCTCAGGTCGAGTCCTCGGCCATGACCATCGTTAACGAGGTTCTCTACAAGATGAGCAAGTCCGACCCCGGTTTTTCCTCAATCAGCGAGACCGTCAAACGTAAAGTGTCGGAATTCACCAATGCCAACATTACTCTTCTCGCCCAGAAGAGCGCCCTGGAGGCGCAGTTGGTTTCTGTACGTGCTATGATCCGCCTTATTATTTCTTCATGACTGACCCGGATTCAGGCCAAGAAGGTCGCTGACGCCAGCGCTGCCATTATCAACAAGCTCGAGCACCACCTCGACACTCACAAGAACAACTTCGAGATACTCGCCAGTATGATCACAAAGGCTGCTATGGATAACGGAGAGGACACTCTTGGTGCTGGTGGCGACATTACCATCATCTTGAACATGGCGGACTCGATTCGNCAGCACGGGCAAAAGTTTCTCAAGAACACTCTTGTCGACCTCAAGAATGAGCTTCCTGATGAGGCTTATGTCCAAAAGATCAGCAGCGAGCTGAGTGCCCTCGTTGAGCAGGAAGAGGCTATCAACAAGTTGTTCGAGGATTCTGAAGATGAAGGAACCATCAAGGAGGAGCAGGAGATGNNGAGGACATTAAATGAAGGAAGCGACATTGGGCTCTCTTGCCATTTTGAACGCTTGACCGCGGCTTCTCCTTCACCAGCGCTGCACCTGGCACTGATCGCAGCTGCGAATTTCGCTTCAAGAAATCAAATCCTCTGTTAATTCGTCAAAAGCATCTCCATCACTCTCCTTGTTTCACTTCTTGTCTTTGTCTATGTTGGTGAACGCAATGACNNTGATCTTGTGGACGACAATTGCATTACTGTCAGATTGGTGGACACGAGCTATCCCGACAAGTTCGCATCAACCTTCATCAAGCGAGAAGGCCGGGACCCCACTCAAGAAGACTTGGTCAGAGAAAAAGCCAGCTATCGCGCAGCTGAAGACAAAGAGTATGAACTGATGACAAAGCGTCTTATTCGAGAAACTGGCATCAAACCGGAATATAGAGACGTCAGGCGCGCAGTCTCGACGCAAATGCAAAATCCTGAGTACAACTCCGAATACACTCCTTACTTTCGTTCGTACCTGGGCCCTTCCTACAAATCTGCGAATTGGATCGAAATGCGTAAAAGATACTCAAACAGGAACACTCCCTGGGATCTCACCAGATCAAACCCGCCAACGCCAAACAAGTCAACAAAGCGACTGGACACAGATCTGAGACAAGCAAACGCTGGACATGTGAGATCCTCACCGCCAACTTCGACAAGTCCACGTGCTTTGAGCATTATCGGCCAACCCAATCCTAGCCACCATCGGAGGCAATCGCAATCATCGCCTCGAGCTCGTTTGCAGTCAGACCTCACCTCAAACATGGCAAAACTGAGAGCAAAGACTGCGACAAATATCACAAACAAGGTGTCACCAAAAGCTCCTGCAGGAAAGCTTCTTGAGAGAATCTTTGAAGATCTGACGAATGACTCTGATCCAGAACCACCTGTACAACCCAAGAACATCCGGCCACCAGCAAGTATGCCAAAATTGCCTAAGCAGCCCATCTTCGCCAGGACAAGATCTGAAGATGCTTCTGCTAGCAACAAAAGTCAGCTCTCTGCGCGTCCATCCTTCGTCAGACAAGATTCGATGCCTTCTCTGTTGGACAGCGAGGACGAACTCAACGATGTGCATATGTGGAATACTCGTTCACCTCCTCGCTCAAGCATCAATGACAAACCTACTACGAAAGCATCTCAAACGCTGCCATCACCAACTTCGACACAAGACCCAACGACTGCGCAGGCTACAGTGTCAAAGTCGGACGGTCATGCTTATCTGNNAAAGACTGCTCAGTACAACGTGAGCTATACAGATCTTCACCACATGCGGAGGGAGCTGCTAACCGAGACAGTCTCAGGACAGATTCATGACTACATCAAAGAAGCAGTGGGCGATGTGGATGATCGTGTCCACAGAGTGTTCAAGGATGTTGCCTTGAGAACGAGTCTCTGGATCGTAAGCTATAGAAGTCTATCGCTACTACAAGTAATCATGACTGATTCGTCATATAGCTTGATAACGTTCCCGGCCACGAGTTCCTTTCTGCAGCTNGTGAACTCACAGATCGGCACCAACGAGCGCAACGCGCGTGCAGTCAACAAGTCCTTGGAAGATGTTCTGGACGCATGCGACCCTGCGAATACTGGTCTCTCACCCAAAGCAGCTGATTACTGCAAGCTTCTGGACAAACAGGGGAAGGAGAGGCAGCAGGCTTTGGACGATATGCTTGAGAAGTTTGAGCAAAGAAAGAGGGACAAGTCGAAAGTGATGGATGCAGTTGTGGCGATGAGGAACGACATCAAGGAAGAGAGGGATGCTTGTAACAGGGAAGAGGTCAAGGAACTGAGGAAGAAGTACGGCGAACAGGACAACGAGAAGAGCAGAAGTCATAAGGGCGATGATATTTCCGAAGAGCAAGAGAACAGGAAGAGAAAGAGAGACATCGAGAGCGAGGAGCACATCGACGTCGATATGATGATGTGAGATGGGGCAAGGGCAGTCTGAATCACAAACTTCGGAACAACCGAGCGGTCGAGCAGTTTTCGCATGCTGAAGACAGCAGGGCATTTTGTCGTCAGAAAAGATAGACATACAAACAATGCTGATGCACAGCGTGGCAGTCTCCGCCCAAGCTGAAGCTCTACTGACCTGGTCGCTTTATCACATAACAGATACCTTCTGTTTCCAATGCCATGATGTCTTAAAGCCATTTTGTCTCAATGCCTTGCACTGAAGTGGTTGGGCTGACACGAGACTGAAACTGGAGAAAAGGGAAAAGGAAGAAAAATTGCAAAGTATTGGAGAAATATGCGGGGTGACGGTGATTTGAATCAAGGTTGAGCAGCGTGACGTAGAAGCTTCTGGATGATTCTGGCAGCAACCCTGCCTGCCTTGATGTTGCTAGCACCATCTGGCGCGACCTAGTCGCCAGGAGTTTCTTCTGCTGCTCAGAGCCCAATTGCTATATCAATCTCGTCGGCGTCTTTGTTTCCCTCTCCACCAGAAATCAAGACACACACACACACACACACACACACACGCAACCTCACGCAGAACACTCACTTCTCTACGCTTCACGACTTACGACACTACACTATACCCATTTGTTCATAATCTCTCACACATAATCAACAAGCAAAATGGCAGCTTCAGGAATGTCATTCACCGACAAGGCCTCGTCAGCCCTGGCCGATGCCCAAGACCTCGCACAACAATACTCTCACACACAACTGCAACCCATCCACTTGGCCGTCGCTTTGCTCGATCCTCCGCCGGATCTTAGCAAGGACCAGCAGAACCAGACTGGCCACGATTCCCACAGCGCGTCCTCAGCACCACTCTTCAAACAAGTCGTCGAAAGAGCTCATGGAGACCCGCAGCTTCTCACTCGTGCCCTCAACAAGGCCATGGTCCGTTTGCCCAGTCAAGATCCTCCACCAGAACACCTCTCCATGAGTCCCGCCTTCTCAAAACTGCTGCGCGCTGCCGACCAACTGTCCAAGACACAAAAGGACAGTTACATCGCCATCGACCACCTCATCTCCTCCCTCGTCCAGGACGCAACCGTCACCAAAGCCCTTGCCGAGGCCAACGTACCCAACACCAAGCTTATCGACAATGCCATCCAGCAGATCAGAGGCAACAAGCGCGTTGACTCAAAGACTGCCGATGCCGAAGAAGAAAGCGAGAACCTCAAGAAGTTTACCATTGACATGACTGCCATGGCACGAGAGGGCAAGATGGATCCTGTCATTGGCAGAGAGGAAGAGATTAGAAGAGTCATCCGCATCCTGTCCCGTCGCACAAAGAACAACCCAGTCCTGATCGGAGAGCCCGGTGTCGGCAAGACCACCGTTGTCGAAGGTCTTGCTCAGCGCATCGTCAATGCAGATGTGCCTGCCAATTTGGCTGCCTGCAAACTGCTTTCCTTGGACGTCGGTGCTCTCGTTGCTGGCAGCAAGTATCGTGGTGAATTCGAAGAGCGCATGAAGGGTGTCCTCAAGGAGATTGAAGATGCCAAGGAGATGATTGTGCTCTTCGTCGATGAGATTCACTTGCTCATGGGCGCTGGCTCTTCAGGAGAAGGTGGCATGGACGCTGCCAACTTGCTCAAGCCCATGCTTGCCCGTGGTCAACTGCACTGTATTGGTGCCACCACTCTGTCCGAGTACCGCAAGTACATCGAGAAGGACCAAGCCTTCGAGCGTCGTTTCCAGCAAGTCTTGGTGAAGGAGCCTTCAGTTCCTGAGACTGTCTCGATCCTTCGTGGTCTCAAGGAAAAGTATGAAGTCCACCACGGTGTCACCATTCTCGACGGTGCCATCGTTTCTGCTGCCACCCTGGCTGCTCGCTACCTCACTCAACGCCGTCTCCCTGACTCAGCTGTCGATCTCATCGACGAGGCTGCCGCTGCCGTTCGTGTCACTCGCGAATCTCAACCCGAAGCCCTTGACAACATGGAGCGCAAGCTTCGTCAGCTCGAGATTGAGATCCATGCTCTCAACCGTGAGAAGGACGAAGCATCCCAGGCACGACTTGCTCAAGCCAAGGCAGAGGCTGCCAATGTTGAGGAAGATCTCAAGCCTCTTCGCGAAATGTATGAAAGCGAAAAGGCTCGTGGCAAGGAGATTCAAGAAGCCAAGCTCAAGCGTGACCAGCTTATCACCAAGCAGCAAGAAGCAGAGCGTATGCGAGACTTGCAGACTGCTTCCGACCTCAAGTACTACGCCATACCCGATCTGGAAGAACGTATCAAGCAGCTCGAGAAAGACAAGGCCGCCTCCGACCTTGACCAGCTCAAGCAAGCCCAAGCCTCTGGCGAGACTCCTCTTCTGACCGATGCTGTCGGTCCTGACCAGATCAACGAGATCGTTGCACGCTGGACTGGTATTCCTGTCACTCGCCTAAAGACTACCGAGAAAGACAAGCTCTTGCAAATGGAACGTCACCTCAGCGAGCTTGTTGTCGGTCAGAGGGAAGCCGTCACCTCAGTCGCCAACGCTATCCGTCTGCAACGTTCTGGCCTTGCCAACCCTAACCAGCCACCTTCATTCCTCTTCTGTGGTCCCTCAGGTACTGGTAAGACTCTGCTCACCAAAGCACTGGCCGAATTCCTGTTCGATGACGCTCGCGCCATGATTCGCTTCGACATGTCCGAGTACCAGGAGAGACACTCATTGTCACGCATGATTGGTGCACCTCCTGGCTACGTCGGTCACGATGCTGGTGGTCAGCTTACCGAAGCACTTCGCCGTCGTCCCTTCTCTATCCTTCTGTTCGATGAGGTAGAGAAGGCAGCCAAGGAAGTCCTGACTGTCATGCTTCAACTCATGGATGATGGTCGCATCACTGACGGCCAAGGTCGTGTTGTCGATGCACGCAACTGTATCGTCGTCATGACTTCCAACTTGGGTGCCGAATACCTCGCTCGACCTAACGCACCTGACGGCAAGATCGACCCTACAACCAAGGAAATGGTCATGGGCAGCCTACGCAACTACTTCCTGCCCGAATTCTTGAACCGTATCTCCAGCATTGTCATCTTCAACCGTCTCTCCAAGAAGGAGATCCGCAGTATCGTCGATGTTCGTCTTCAAGAAATCCAGAGCCGTCTCTCGCAGAATGGAAGAAACGTACATATCCAGCTGTCACCAGACGTCAAGGATTACCTGGGCTCTGCTGGCTACTCACCTGCTTATGGAGCTCGTCCTCTGGCACGTCTGATCGAAAAGGAAGTGCTCAACAGACTTGCGGTACTTATCCTCAGAGGCTCCATTCGCGATGGCGAGACTGCTAGGGTTGTGCTTGAGGATGGCCATATCATGGTTCTCCCCAACCACACTGATTCCGACGGTGAAGACTCGGAGATGTGGGATGAGGAGGATGCTGTTGCTGAGTTGAACGGAGACGAAGGTGATATGGAACTTTACGACTAAAGAAATGATGAAAGGCATGAGATGAGATGAAATGTATACAGCAGCATTGCCTTTTCTTGGTTTTTCTTCTCTTTGGGATTCTTTCCTTTTCCGAGCATGGCGTTTTCTTTGAAAGCGATGGATATACAGCAACAAAAGCATGGGTTTAGTTTAGTTATTCTGCACTTTTGTCAATACAGAAATTTTCAGTACAGAAACAAATCATGTTCTTCTGCTTCCAAAAAGTGAAAGTGAAGTCAGTTGGCCTGGTAGTAGATGTGGAAGTGGATGCGAAGTTGGCCTGGTAGTAAACAAGTATAAAGATCCTCCCTCTCTTCTTGTTCCTGTTCCTCTTCCTCTTCCTCTTCTCACACCTACTCCGATTCGCCCTGGCACAGCACGTGTATCTCGTTTCATAGAGACCGGTCTAATAGACGAGCCTATAGACCTACCTTATGCGATGCTGTTCCTTTGTCAGGAGTCTGTAGCCACCGTACTTCGAAGACGGCGTCTGTGACCGTTGGATTGTAGACTTGATCTCCAACTTGGCGAGTTTGACGAGGTGAAACACTGGTGAATAGATTCATTTGGTTATGGGAGTGTAGGAGATGAGACAAAGGCGATGTCAGGAGTTGGCTTTTGTTTTGTGCGGGTGTGTCGCCTTTCTGTAGGGGTGAGATGTTTTCGTGCATCCTAGTCAGCGGGTAAAGAGATTGCGTTCATGCAGGATGTTTTAAGATAACACAAGTTTGATGTCGGGAAGGTATTTTCTGTGAAGTCGTATGGCTACCCTAGCCATGTTAGGGGTGCTTTGCAAGGCATCGACCAAGGTCATTGTACTTCGTAGCAGGTGTAACAAGCGACAACCACATTGTGCTTCTTGACAGCTATAACTTAGTATCATGAAGGTACGGTGTAGCAAGGCCGTAGGCTCCGGGACGACAGCTTGTAATCGATACAGGCATTTGACTATCAAGGTTCGCTTCCTGATACCGAACCCGCGACTCCACTCGTGCAGTGTTTCCGTAAACTCACTGGATGGTTAGCGACAATATCGAGCGTTGTGGGAGAAGTTAGCTCGACATCGACCCGGGTGTCGAATGTCGTCGCACAGATATCACAGTAGAAACGAATCCTTGAGTCTGTTCTGGATACTTGGCGATCGATGGGTTCGTGGGCGGCGCGGTGTTTGTGGACATCTTCAACTGGAATTCAGGTGGGTTTTGTTGTAGATGGCCACTCTAGAGAACACGATTTTATGGATCACCTTCATCCATTGTTGACCATCAAACTGTACTTGAGCGTAGTACCTACCTCTTCCGATGCTGATTCTGAGTGTTTTAACAACTGTAAAATACACAATGGCTTCTGGGACAGAGTTCTGTCCACAGAGAGCCTTCGAAAATCGTCACTTCCTGTGGCGGCTATGAGAAAAGCGGGAGACGCATGGAAAGAGTCGAGATCTTGAACGTGTAAAAGTCGTGGTAGTGGTAAGAATGAAAGGGTGTTATCTACACAACTCCGGAAGCCCAGGCTATTTGTGAAACGAAGAGAAAAGGAAAAGAGTGCAGCTTCTGTTTTAGACGTCGGCCTTCTTTGCTTGCCAGACTCTCTTGACCATCTCGGTGAGACCGACATCGTTTGTCTCAAACTCGTAGAAGCCAATACCGGCAAGGATAGTGGCGGCGTTGAGGGCCCACATGGAGAACTTGCGGGTCTTGGGGACACGCTTGCTGGGGAAGTAGTCGATGATGCATGACTGGAAACCGATGTGCGAGTGGATGAGGATGGTGGAGATGAAGAGACCGTCCATGACGGGGTTGAGCGAGCCAGCGGCGAAGGGAGCAATGGTCAGAGGGATAAGGCCGACAGAGATGAGGCGCTCGAAGCTCCAGTGGTAGCTACCGTGGGCGTAGGATGCGTCGGGGACAGTGGCGGCATCGTTGACTGTTTGGTTGGGTTAGTCTGAGCAGATGGTCGAGCGGATAGTCGATACGCACCAGTGCCNCTTGATGACCTGGGGCAATGGGGGAAGAATGGCGCGGGTGGGCGAGGCGTGGAAGGAGCGCAGAGCCATAGGAGTGCGCTGGGCCAGCAGCTGGCGCGACAGCAGAGCGGGACGGAATGAAGTGGCCATTGTGTATGTGTGAGGTTGAGCGGAGAGTCGGTATGCTGCGACAAGTAACTACAACTTCCTGTATGCTTCAAGATGTTCGGGTCCGAACAGTACCTACAGGCTGGATGTGATTGGCCAAGGAAGGTGCTCTACCGAGGATGCGGGAGAAAGTGGAAGGAGCGCGGTCTGCAGGCTTCGCATGGCCGTGCTCGAGGCTGCTCATGGCCGCTGTCAGTGCTGACCATTGTTGGCGGGCGGCTTGTTCCGAAGAAAAGAGGCAAGTCCGACGTCTCTCATACCAGCAACAGCATCCAGCCAGAGCTGCCACTACCACCCACCCTATCCCCCCATCTCTCCGCCCATATCCCGTCGCCAACAATGGCCTCGACAATGGCTTCCCGTCGGCTCGCACTGAACCTGCAGCACGCTACGCGCAGCCGCACCGCCATCAACGCCATCAAGAATGGCTCGCTGTCGCGCTTCCGCGGTCTCGCTACCCCCGTCAGCCACGGCTCCAAGACTGAGAGCACCACCCTCAGCAACGGCTTCACCATTGCCACCGAGCACTCTCCCTACGCCCAGACTTCCACCGTCGGTGTTTGGATCGATGCTGGCAGCCGCGCCGAGACCGACAAGACCAACGGCACTGCTCACTTCCTCGAGCACCTTGCCTTCAAGGTACACCACGCTCGCCAATCAATTCAATGCGAACACCATATCTAAGAGACGTCGCAGGGAACCCAGAAGCGCAGCCAGAGCCAGCTCGAGCTCGAGATTGAGAACATGGGTGGCCACCTGAACGCCTACACTTCGGTGAGACAAGCTTTGTCACCCTTAATTCAACCTATACCTAACACCTTCCACAGNCGCGAGAACACCGTCTACTATGCCAAGTCCTTCAACTCCGACGTCCCCAACACCGTCGACATCCTTTCCGACATTCTCCAGAACTCCAAGCTCGACGCCCAGGCTATCGAGCGCGAGCGCGACGTCATTCTTCGCGAGCAGGAGGAGGTTGACAAGCAGCTTGAGGAGGTTGTCTTCGACCACTTGCACGCCACCGCTTTCATGAACCAGCCCCTTGGTCGCACCATCCTCGGCCCCAAGGAGAACATCCAGTCCATCAGCCGTGATGACCTGACCAACTACATCAAGACCAACTACACCGCTGACCGCATGGTCCTCGTTGGCTCTGGTGGTGTTCCTCACCAGGAGCTCGTCCAGCTCGCCGAGAAGTACTTCGGCAACATCCCCATGGCTCCCCCAACTTCGACCGCTCAGGCCATTGCCAACGCCCAGAAGGAGAAGCCCGACTTTGTTGGTTCTGAGGTCCGTATCCGTGACGACACCATCCCTACCGCCAACATCGCCATCGCCGTCGAGGGTGTCAGCTGGAAGGACGACGACTACTTCACCGCCCTGGTTACCCAGGCCATTGTCGGTAACTGGGACCGTGCCATGGGTAACTCGCCCTACCTCGGCAGCAAGCTCAGCACCTTCATCCACGAGCACAAGCTCGCCAACAGCTTCATGAGCTTCTCCACCAGCTACAGCGACACTNNGGGTAACTGATTTTCCAAGCCTATCTTATTTGCGCATTTACTAACGTGTCACAGTCTTTGGGGTATCTACCTCGTCACCGATGCCGTCACCCGTATCGACGATCTTGTCCACTTCACCCTCCGCGAGTGGTCTCGCCTGTCAATGCAGGTCTCCGAGTCCGAGGTTGAGCGCGCCAAGGCTCAGCTCAAGGCTTCGATCCTTCTCTCGCTCGACGGCACCACCGCCGTTGCCGAGGACATTGGTCGCCAGATCATCACCACCGGCCGTCGTCTCGCGCCCGAGGAGGTTGAGCGTGTTGTTTCTCAGATCACCGCCAAGGACGTCATGGACTTCGCCAAGCGCAAGCTCTGGGACCGCGATATCGCCATCTCTGCCGTTGGTCAGATTGAGGGTCTGCTCGACTACTCGAGAGTCCGCAATGACATGACCAGAATGCTGTCGTAAGGATAGTCAGTTCTGTGTTTAATGTTTTTCTTATCTAGATGAGAGAGGAGACTCTGAGAAAAGACATCCCCTTTTGTTTAAGTCAATACGATAGAAGATGCTAGGGGCCATTTTTCCTGGCCTGGCGGAGCATCGCAAACGACACGATGGAGAGTGAGATGCCGATCCGGGTTGTTAGTGTTCACTCTCAAAAATGTACATTTAGCCCGTTTTACTTTTTTTCAAATCTATTTCATTTTCTTTTGTCTGTACGGAGTGTGTCGAGTTTACTGCAAGTGTTGCTTCTAAAATCTAGACGTTTGGTGATATCTTGTGCTGCGCTCTGATTGGTCAATGGTTGCTCCGCTGTTGCGCTGTTCTGGCAACCCTGGCTGATTAAACCACTGCCTCTGAACACCAAGACAACCTATCTTATCTCAAATCGTCTTGGAAGACACCTCCCATATAAGTGTGTTTACCTGTGGCTACGACAGTATTTATAAATCCAAGCAAAAGTCCGCTGTTCCGCAATCATCGAAAAGTATCATTAAGCTTGCGGAGTTCGCATTCATCTTCAGCTGGGCACACAGCATCAACTCAGAACTCCCAAAAGTGTTTATTTGGAGCAGAAAGACCAGATCCACTCTGGCAGTCAATCTGTTCTACCTGATCGAGTCTTATCTCACACCAAGATGTCGGGCACGATGCTCAAAGCGATCTTCTATGCGAGGTTTCACGAAGAGAAAGGTATGTGACGCGTGTTATTTTCGTTGATGATTGTTTTCTCGTTCTCTGTCATTTCAACTGCTATCGGTGCGAGTGTATGCCATGACAAGAAGTACTATCTTCCGGTGGCTCCTGGTTGATCTGGTATCGGCGGATTGCTGGTAGAGTGATCGAGGCGTCAGTATCACGCTGCTGTTGTCAATTGTACTGTCAATCAAGAAATCAGATAGAGCCTGCTATGCTCACATCTCAAAAACTTGCCATTCTAAAACAAACCAAGAGAGTCGTACTGACATCTTTCACAGGTCCCACAGTCTTACACCAAGTCCCCGAAGGCAGCGTCATNCCCCTAGCAAACGCAACCCAACAACCACTCTTCCACTTNCCCAGCGTCTCCAACCACATAATCCCACGCCGCGAATTCTGCGACCGGCCCTTGAGTCTGCTGGCTTCCCGTCACCGTATCATTGGCTTCCCTGTCTGCATCCATAATCCGGTTTTATACCCGCGTTCAGACTTTATATTTAATTTTTGTTTGGTTGTGGATGAGGATGCAGAGTGGGGTGCTTATGCCAGTGTGGTTAGTAAGCTTGCGAGGTTGATGAGGAATTTGGAGGAGCAGGCTGGTTGGTTGAGTAAAGAGGAGAGGAGGGAGGGGTGGGTCAAGGCTGGGGAGAGGGGGTATGGGGGCGGGAATCGTGTGTTTGCGATTTGTGAGATGGTGTTGGAAGACTTGAATTGTTATTGCGAGTGCATGATTCCGATTGGTAAGTCTTGTGGTTATTGTTGGAGTGGCCTTGAATGGACATGCTGATGTTGTGCTGCAGATGATTCGAATACGCTTAACCTCAAGTTGTTTCCTACTCGGTCACCACCGCCGCCGATTCAGATCTGGCATGTTCCTTTGAGTACTGTCCGTTTCAGCAGTTTGCAGACCAACACTTGGGATCTCACTGTGCAGCGAATCATCCCATACATCGATGGCATCAACTCAGTTCAAAAGATCGCCATTCTAGCCGACACAGACCTCACACTCACTCGCAGAGCACTAGCCCACCTCTTGTACTACGGCTGCATCCTAATGCTTAACACTTTCCACTTCAACGCCATCTACGCCACAACAGCCGAAATCGGAGTCTTCGTCGAAGACACAAAGATGCAGGATGAATGTAGACGATACATTGTAACACCACACTCGCCGTTCAAAAACAGTATTGCTGGATCTTCTTCTGCTGCTACAAACACATCTCAAGGACTGAGTTCTTCGTTTACGCCTTCGACCAGTTTCCTCGCCAATAGGAACCACAAGAGCAGTAATCTGAATCCTTCTTCTTCGGGACAAGCACCACAACCACCTTCCAGAGCAACAGTGCTCCATCTCTACGCATCTCTACGTCAAGGCCTTTCTTTACGCGACTGGTGTCTCACGCACGCCTCTTCCTTGGCTTACATAGACGTCCGCCGTTTAATTACCTTCGGCGTGATAAAAGGCTTNTTGTACAGAAGTCATCGGTACGCCATCGCCCTCCGAGCAGCAGATACAGCCGCCGACGCAGCAGTCGCAGAAGAAGCATTACGCTCCCGCCGCGAAGCAGANAAAACATGGCGCAAAGCTGCTATGAGCAGTGGATGGCGCACCCCCGTCGCTCTGCAAGACAACGAACCAGCGCTAGATGGTGGGTTTGGGGGTGTAGTCGTAAGAGCCAAAAAGGAGGTAGAGGCCGATAAGGATGTGGATATTGCGGAAGGCAAAAAGGAGGAGGCAGAGGCGGATGGAAAGATGCCGGGGGTGGAAGAGTTGGGTAAAGGAAGGAGTTTGGCGGATCAGCTTTTGGCGAGGTATTTGGATGGGTGTCATTGTTTGGATGAGGTGTGTACAGATACGGGGATGGGGCAGCAGGAAGCGGTCAGGAAGTTGAGGGGATTGGGAGATGTGGTNTTTGTCAATCGATAGTTGAGTTTGCATTTCATTCTGTATTAGGCAAGCCGTTGATTGTCGTTTCAAAGGTCAGTGACTGTTGAAGTCACGTCGACGTGATAGAAAAAAAGAAAGAGTGTGCTCATAATGGCATGGTAAACCCTGAATCCTGAACGCCTGCTGATAAAGAACTTCGCATCCAACGCCCCTTTTTCTGGCATAGTAGATTCCCGACTCCAGCCAATACAGTCCATGACTGATCTCATCAGACGGTCATCTCATGTTTGACCACATCCGGATCCCTCTAGGAAACCATCTGGTCCACCTCCTGCTCGTTGCCGCCCAAGAAACCACGAATGACATTCTGTCTCTGCTCAAGCAACTCAACAAGCTCTCTAGCGTACTTAGCCATTTCGTCAGTCTCATCGCAGATCTTCTTCTGGATCTCGATGCCCTNTTCCATCTGGATCAAGGTGTCTGGGGAACCACCGTTGTCGAGGCTGTTGGAGGCGTTCTTGACGTGGCGTTTGAAGGCGGTCTGGTGGTTCTTGCGGATCTTCTCGTGCAGCTCCAGGAGGGTCTGGGTGGATGCGATGCGTTCGGAGAGGGAGGTGAGGGTGGCGTCGTTGATGTGCGCGACGGCCTTGGAGACAGTGATGGTCGACATCTTGGATGTNNGGTTTGTTGGATGGCTGTGTTTGATATGTCAGTCAGGGGTTGTGTTATGGTTGCAAGGACGCGTAGACTTACACTTTTGAAGAAGAGGGTTTAGTGAATGCGAATCGAAGAAGACTTCTCGCGAGTAGAAGGTCTAAGTTGCGAGCGAGTGGATGCGTAAGGATGGAGAGTTGATGTTGTTCTTTCTTGTGTCAACAGAAACTCAGAGGACAGTGAAGATGAGTTGACCCACATGTTATGGATAGAGAAAGGTGCTGTGAAGGCGACTCGATGTATGAATGTCTTGCGTAGAGGATGCAATGGTGTTTGATACGCGTGTAATAAGAGGGAACTGGTTGTGGGTGGTGTGGACGACCTTCAGCGCATCGAGGTTGTGTCTGCGTATCGGCGAGTGGTGAGGATGAAGAGTGAAGGTGTAAGCAACATTTTCCGTATGTGAAGGTAAACAAGAGAGTCGGCGCCGAGAAATGATGTCGTCGAGGGGAGGTCACCGAGCAGATGTAAACAACGAGGCTCCCGAGCCATCGAGAAGATGCTGTTGACAATCACAATCACTTTTGTTCTTCAGGAGGCTCCACGGAGAGAGCGATTGTTCTTCGTACCATCTCAATCTTGTCGTGATTCAAGGTCTTTCTCGATGTGTGTCATCACCGAGATAGCTGTTGAGACATTTGATGCCTTCTGATATAAGAACATGATACTCGGTGAGTGAGAACAGCCAGCGTGCTGAATGTGTTTCCGTCTTGGCTGGCCATGCACAATAATGAGATTCGAAATGACCGGATTTACAATTTGTCGAAGGTACACAGTAGGTAAGCGAGTGTGAAAGATACATATTAGGTAGACGAGCGTTCCAGTATCGTGGTAGAAGAGGCGAAGAGAGCATTTGATATCCTCCCAATGATGCATGAATCCTGGAGAGAGAAAGCAATTTGAGAAATCGCTGAATTACCCTTGAACACCGCCATCATCGTCACTCACCATCCCAGATCATCACTCCAGGTTTATATAATAGCAAGGTTTGCGAAATATAACCTCCCCTCGAGGGACGACCCACTACACTCTGGTGTAGTGGTCCTCGAGGGGACAGAGTGTTGAAGGGCCAGGGTTCGATTCCCTGAGTGAGCCCATGGGACTACTTCTCTTGCGGAACTGGATCTGGACCTGGACGATTGGGGAACTCTGGATTCTGGACCGACCTGACCAAAGAGCAAACCAGGCCAACCGGCTGAGTTTGTCTCTCTACCTACAACGGCCCGTAGGTAGAGTTCTGTTTTGCCAACTGGTATTCGATTTTCGAGCACAGCAGGATATCTCTTCCACTGATGAATGTTGAATACGGTTATTCTTCTATCAATGCTGGATAGAAAGCCTTGAATGATGGTCTGTGTCATGGAGAATGTATATCATACACAGACACCATGATCAAGGGATCTCCCACACTGTGGCATATGGCTGGAGTACCTATCAAAATGCACAATACAATAAGAATAGGCAGCTATGTCCAAAGAGAAAGACAAAGAGATGGCAAGACTCGAACGGAGTCACTTACTCTCACTGGCCATGACTCCAAATACAACAATACTCTGACTTTTGATAGCTATACAACAGGCATTGAGGTAAGAGGGGAGCATTCAACATGAACTCACTCCCTCAATGCCATGGTATTGATCCTCACACCCCTGAGGCCCCCTCAAAACTTCACTACGCTCTCAGTCAACCACATTCGTGACTCTCGGCGTGGCTCTCAGCGTAGATCTCGAGAAACCGGAAGCTTCTATCGAGTCTCACACCCCGTGCGCCTTCTATTTCTTCTCCTCCCCTTCCCCTTCTCCTTTCTATTGACCAACCACCAACATTGTTTTGGTGAGAACAAGGTACTCGACGCACCCTTTCTCGATAGATCTTCGCGCTCCTAACTCATGTTCAAGCAGTAACCATGACTTCCATCAAGGAAGAGCAGACTGGCGACGGCGGCATGGAAGACACACGCCCCAAACCATCTCGGGCACCATCGAGGTCGCCAACGAGGCCGACGACGCCAGCGATATCGAAACACTCCGCGCCATCAATGCATCTCTCGTTCAACACAACGTCCATGTCCAGCATGAAAGATTCGACATCATCGGTCAACTCTGGAAAGCCAACCACGAGATTACTCGCCTGATCAACATCCTTCACGCCAGAGACGCCACCATCGTTGCCGCAAACAGATCCCTCGCTGGTAAGCAAAAGCAACTCGACTCTGTCTACACCACTCTGCAGAGACAAGAGCACCAAATCACCACTCTGCACCAAAAGCACGCTTCAAAACTTGCCAGAATCAGATTGAGAATGAACATGATGGCCAAAAGACGGCAAAGAAATTCGAAAAGCAGGCGGCGGAGAATGCTGCACAGACAAAGCTTTGGGCGGAGGACGTCAAGTTGATGATTGCGGAGGACATTGAGAGTGAGCGCGACACCGATGTTGATGAGGAGACTGAGAGTAATGGTGAGGGCGGAGATGAGGAAATGGAGGTTGTTGAGATCGACGATGATGATGAGGTTGCTGGCAGAGAACAGTCCACGATCAACAGTCAGTCCGCTGTTGTTCAGCAGTCTGGTAAGCAGCGTGCCACCGCTGAGCAGTCTGCCGTCACCGAACAGCTTGCTGCCGACGAGCAACAGCCCAACAAGCGCGTCAAGCTCACTAAAGGAGCTTGAATCAAGTGCACAAGGTGTGACTCAAACTCCAGGAAGATGCAAGGAAGCGAAGAATGCAACATCGTCGAGCCAAGATCTCAATACAGAAGTCGCTGCCTTGAATGTTTTGCAGCAAGACATGGGGCATCTATGGTTGCAGATGCGAAAAGCAAGAGGGAAGTTACATAGACACTCTCAATGGCGATTTTGACCCAATCAAAAAAGTATTTTGAATTTTGACAGCTCCAATGATCGAGGTTTCTATCCAAAGATTTGACCTCAAACTCGCAAACCTATGTCGACACTCAGTCAGCAGGAGCATACTTACTCCTTGCTCTGATCTTGTGTCCATAGAAGTAAAACAGATAGGGGATGGGCACCATGGCAGCACTAATACACGCCAATATCGTACACGTATAATGCACGCCGAGATTCTGATAAAACGGCACTCCCACAACTGTCATGGCACCAGCAGCCACATATCTGATCAGCGTAATAGATGCCAAAGCAGACGCGGCATAAATCTCGTACGCATCAATGATGTATTGATAACTGCTGATGAAGATGCAAAGAATACCAAATCCGAAAAGAACGGAAGCGCCCAGAGGAGACCAGATGCTGATATTCGAGTCTGATGTCCAGCCCATCCAGAACATGGCGATAGGAATGGTGGGAGCACCAATCATGGCGTACCAAAGACGGAACTCTGGAGGGAGTTTGTCTTTACCCTCGGCTTTTGCTTTTTGCATTCCCTTTGCTGCAAGATGGCGTATGAGGAAGACGAGAGGCGAGGCGAGAAAGAGACCGAGCGCGATGCCCAAGAAGCAGAGACCTTGGACACCGATGCTCACGCCATGGATCTGGCCAAAGATATAGTCGTAACCATCGAGGAAGGTGAACAAGATGATATAGACGACAGTGAGATACAGCGCGATCAGTAAAATGATAGGCTCCGTTGCGGTGAGCAGGAAAGGTCGATAACAAGCACGTCCGAGGCGAGTAAGGAAAGGGTCCATCCGAACCTCAACTTCGGCCCTGTAACGTTCGTCCTTGGTGATAGCGCGTAAATGTGCGGCCTTCCACTTGAGGAGGATGGGTGGAAAGGTCTCTGGGAGTGTAAAGAACACCAGAATCAACACGAGACCTGACATAATGATGGTGATCCATTCGGTCCCTATATCGTTGTCAGCTGTCGTCACAACGCAAATGTGATGAGAGACTTACANTCTCCAAGAGATCAAGGAGCTCTGCACGATATAACCACNCATTACAGGCCCAAGTATAGGGCCTAAGAAAGCTGCATTCGCGAAAATGGGAAACATCAAGGTTCTTTCGCTTGCGTTCCAGATATCAGAGAGCGAACCACCTGCACACGTGAGAGGCGTGCTTCCAAAGAAACCAGCAAAGAAGCGGGTCGCAAACTGCTGCTGGTATGTCTGCGAAGCTCCAGCTCCAGCAAGAAAAGCCATGTAAATAACCAAGGTGACAATGTAGATGGGATTTCTACCCAGTGTCTCTGAGAAAGGACCGGCGAAGAGCGCACCTGCTCCAAAGCCTATAAGATACANGACTATCTTTGTCAGTATTTCCTTCTTCAGATTTGTCGTAGTGACGTACCCAGTAGCCAGACTCTCTGCGACTTCGGAAATGCCAAAATCTTGACTTGCGGGTTGGATGGCAATGGAATCAATCGAGGAAGCCACACCAACTACGAAACCAATACTCGCAACCATAAAGGTAATGTAGATTCTGATGCCCCAACCCCAATTGTGCGGGTTCAGAGAATCCTTATCTCCCTGAAAGTCGACAATGAAGACGTGGCCCTCGCCACCTTCGTGTTCCTCTCTCTTTCGCACTTTGACACCTGTAAGAATGTGACCCAGCGCCGTACCAGATCTGCTGAGTCCCGAGCGCCCACTCTTTGTCGTGGGTATGCGTGAAAGGTCTGCTTCGCCCTGTCTTCGACGTGCCTCCATGTCATGGCTGTTGGGTGGAAGTTCATCCCTTCTCTCACCAGGGTCGCTGGGCTCATCGTCGGCGCCTATGTCATACTTCTCCTCCTCTTCTTCAGGACCATTTCGTCGGCGTGGGTCTTCTGCTGTTGCTCCGAGTGTAGCTTCGTCGACTGCTGTGTGTTCGCCGCTCGATGCGGTTGATTCGCCTCGCTCGACATCTTTCTCTGCATCGGCGGCTCTCGATGTGTCGATGAGAGGGAGGTCTTGGTTTGCGCGGTCGACTGCACGTGTGCGATTGCGATCCGTCTCGATTTGTGATTCCAAAGTTCGGCGAAACCTGCGGTACTGGAGGACTGATTGCATGATTGCTCAATCCAGGCCTTGGCCTTTGTTCTCTGACAAGCGGTCTCCGGTATACAACGAAGCGAAGCAGTTACTGCTGCATGAAAAGATGGAGAAGATCAAAGAAGATGGAAGGCAAGAACTCACGGGAGCACCTACTTGGATTGGTACATACTTAGGCTTGATTGATAAGAAGGGCCTTTTACTTTTCTCTCACGCCCATCGTCATTGAAATTGGTTGCATCCAATGGTTGAGTTGACGGGTCGTGGTTCAAAATGACGTAGAATTTTGTCTTGGTGATGAGCGCGTCTTGCGGCCCGCTCGGTCGTTCGGCACCGTTGATCGCCAATCGTGCACTTCTCTCCGATCTGGGTAGAGCCTCATCTGGAAGCCATAAATATGTATAGATTTCCTGTGAAATGTATCCATGGTATCGTAGGATGGTGTATTTTTACTTGTCCGTTGTTGCTTCCTATCCCTCGACCACAAGCCATGAGACCCTCACCTAAGTATTAATCTACCACCAAAGAAAGTAACTGAAGCATTCAAACGTAAACCCAATACTCCGCTGCATATTGCACAAGAATGCTCTCTTGCTGGCCTTGACATGTAGCAGGTGGTTGTCCTCCAGCAGTGTTGACTCTGAAGACTTCCTTCAACTTCTGGCTTCCCTCCANCCCGACCTTTTCCGTCAACTTGAGCCACGGCACAGCTCCCATACCAGATCCATCCACACCGATCACAGCACCTTCCGGCGCCGAAGTACCATTGATCTTTTTAAAAGCGCCGATTCCGTATGAATGCATGTCGGTATCCAGATTGAAGAACGGTGTAGTCGCATCAAGGAAGTAATGGTGGCCAGCCAGATCCATGTTGATCGGCGACATTGCAGAAGAGGAAGAAGGCAGGGGCAGATTGATGGCGATACCAGGGATCATTGAGAGCAGTGCAGGGTGGTTAGCGGCGATGCAAGATACATTGTAGAGAGATGCCGTTGCTCCTGTAGCTACAGGGATTGCCGTACTGTTGGAAAGGTCGCAAGTGTAGTTCTGCGTGCCACGCCCGATAGAGACATGACTCAGCGTCAAGTTGTAGGATGGTGGTGGCAGTGGTGTCGGAGCTGGTGTATCTGTTAGTCGTATTTCTCGCGACATTGAGCATGCGTGTCGTCGTACCTTNNGAGGCATCCTTGCTTTCGATAGATCACAGAGGGCATAATCACAGCCACGGCGACTTGACGGGACATGTCCAGAGTGTGAAGCCCAGAAGGAGGGAGAAGACCAGCGTTGTTCAAGTGTTGGTGCTGAAATGACAGAAATAGGTAGCAATAATGCCAATGTGGTGGTGATCCCTGAAATCTTCATGTTTGTGGTCTCTTGGGAGTAAGTCCGGACAGACGTAGATATCCTAATCAGTCCAGATGTCTGCAAGTGCAGTCCAGTAAACTCCAACCGTACTGATGGAACAACGCGTCTGCGTGTCGGTCGGGTTGCAAGCCTTCCGTAGTAGGTATTCCAAGAATCAACTATAGGTACCAACAACGCTGAGGCAGTGTAAAAGAGGCACAGCAGAGGAGAGAAGGATGCAAAGCAGGAACGATTCCCTTTTCCCACTATATCAAGATGAACCCGAGACTGACACGAAACAAAGAACGTGAGTGCAGAAGCGCCCGTACAGACCCTTATATTCAAGGACCGTCCGTTGGGCGCTTGCATGTTGAGACACCACATCGCTCTGCCAGGTTGCGATGCGTGGCTGGAAGGCGGAAAATACGTGCATCAGTAGGCAAACAGACCTTACCCGCAATCTGCACAGCCGGCAGAGATGTGATTGGACCAACCTGTTTCGAAAATGCTCCGATGGATGGATGAGGCGTTTCTGTGAATAGAAATCTGTACGCGACTCAAGATTATGCCGGTATGCATGGCTGGATGATGCGGAACAGGATGCAGGTATGCAGGTATGCAGGTGATAAGTCGCGATATTGGTGGCTGGTCTTTTCTTAGCAGCAATCATTCTTGATGTTTATGCTTCTTTATCTGTTTGATATCAGCGTTTCGAACTGCTCGCGAATTCCAACTATCGTTTGATGGTCCAGTCATCCGAATGCGGTCAGTGTGCGAGGGTTCTGAGATTTGTGAGACCCGGGAGATTTGACAAACGACTTGCTTGTACACTGCTGCACCTTTCCTCCATGCTGTACGACGTGGTGCGGCCAGCCTCCATGCCGATGCTTCCATCCAACCCAGCATATGTTGTTAATATGCCTTTTCTGTCATTTACCCATTTCTTCCAACCAATAGCAAAGACCGCCATAAATGTCCGCTAAGGATCATCAGTGCATATAGCGAGGCGGGGTCTTGATGGGCGCGTAAGTTGTAATGCTGCAGCCACTCCGGGATGGGCGCTTACAGCTTCGGGACCATTTTCACCAACCATTCCTTGGTGCATTTCAAACCGGGCAAGGTTTCGACGCTTCCGCAAAGACTGGAGTCGAGTTCAAACGCAACAAAATTTAAAGATTTGGTATAGCCAAGAGTAGTAGAGCATCAATGAGCCATGTATCCTGCGAGGACTTACGCCAGCTCGTCTATGCTCAGTGAACCTCCTGTACGACCAGACCTTTCTCTCTCTAGATGGTTGAATGCAAGACTGACAGGCGATGTTGTAGGCATCTCTTCTTGTAAGGATCGATAACTCTCCAGATGTTGAGTCTGGAATCTGAGTATTAGATTGCCACTGTGTGATGGTTTTCAGGATACACTAGACGCATGGACAGTACGGGTCTTCAAGAAGAGCGAAAGGGCTGAGGACGTCAAGACACAAGATTCTTGCTGGACGGGTCTGCCGGTGCCTTGACAGACCGAGGAGAGAGAACGTTGGCATGTTTGACATGTGAACGAGGAAAGCTGGGGATTGGTTGTTTACGGCGTGAGTCTGACTGGCCAAATATCTTGACCCGAGGAGATCTCGAGAGGCCAGCATCAATTTCTCCCAAAGATCTTGTTGGAGAGAGCTGTCGAAAGTAGAGAGCTTGTATGAGTATACCGTTCCAAATTTCAAAGGAAGCAGCACATGAGTCAGTAATTCTGGGTATGGAGTGTTGGTGGTGTTGATCTCAGTTGCTGACCAAGTTTGCGTCGGATGTCATGGCTCACCGGAAATGGAAGGCTCAGCCGCATCAGCATCAGAAACCTGGAAATGTGGAGTTGAGATCGAGGAAAGTGCGATGGACGGCTCTTCTGCTTTTCACCTCTTTTAACCACGACAACAACACGAACAACTTGGGAGTCGCTGGGCCATATTCCAGCGATATTGCTTAGACAGCCACCTCTTTGAACAAATTCATTTCCATTCATCTATGGGCTTCGACACTCAGACCGTTCCCGTCCGTTTCTGCTGCCTCTTCAGCATCTCCTCCGCTACTGTGCCCGACACTGTCGCCGGTCTGTCGCGTACCGATTCGAGTTTCGCATCTCTGCTGTGGCCAGTGTTGCCAGGTCCGCCTTGACTAAAGGCGGACGTCTTCTTAGACAAGGGCTGAGGTCCGCGAATCACATGCGCATCATCGCTCTCATTCAACCCCCCAACTCCTGAGACCCTCGAAACTAGGGACATCTCAGCCACCTCTATTCACCCGAGTGCTTTTTTTTTTTATCTAGAGGATCGCACAGTATATCTTACCCTTCCGCACAAGCCGCAATAACCACTACCAACCCAAGATGCCAGCCATGGATCTTGACCGTAACGACGTCGCTGACACAGCCGAGGATATCTCTCCCAAGAGTACATTCACCATGAGCCCACCAGGTACCGCAGCCGAGCCACTGTCGGCTATTCTCAAGAGCGATTTGATGAAGAACAAGAGAAAGAAGAAAAAGAAGGGTGGCATGGCCCCTGCCGCTCCCGCCCAGAATGTCATTCGAGGTTTTGAGACACCCATAACTTCTGGCGGAGAGGAGTCGGACGTTTCAACTTGTCCTTCACCACTCATGACTCCACGTATGCGTGGTATGAACGGCGCTGCCAACAGCCCGAGACTTAGCGCTTCGAGCGGCTCAGGCATCAGCGCTCTCAAGATGCAGCTCGACGCCCTTACTCTTAGCCGTCCACCCTCTTCACCATCCATGACGCGCGAGAACAGCACTACCTCCAACTTTGACAGTACTCCGACCATGTCCTCCGCCGCTAGCGATGTCGATCTCAAGGAGTTGGAAACCTACCAGATCGACCTGGAACATGACTTCGCCAGCGCAGACGCTTGCTCTACACCCCGCAATGCCTTCCCTGTTGAGGGTGGTCTTCGTACTGAATCAGCCCTGCGCAAGATGACTGCCGACGACTTTGAGCCCTTGAAGTGCTTGGGAAAGGGAGCCTTCGGAACAGTCCATCTGGTTAAACAACGCGCCACTGGTCGTCTATTTGCTCAAAAGCAATTCCGCAAGGCATCCTTGACTGTCCACAAACGCTTGATCGAGCAGACTCGTACAGAGCGCAGCATTCTTGAGAGCGTCAACCGCCATCCCTTTGTCGTCAAGTTGTTCTACGCTTTCCAAGACCATGAGAGACTCTACTTGATCCTGGAGTACGCCCAAGGTGGTGAGCTTTTCACCCACTTGGCCATGGAGCGCATGTTCACCGAGGAAGTCGCCTCTTTCTACATGGCTGAGATGGTTCTTGCTCTTGAGCATCTGCACCGCAATGTCCGCGTTGTCTATCGTGACCTAAAGCCGGAGAACTGCTTGTTGGACTCGGACGGTCATTTGCTTCTTACCGACTTTGGATTGTCCAAAGTCGCACTTGAAGAAGACTCATGCAGCTCGTTCCTTGGCACTGTCGAATACATGGCACCTGAAGTCGTTCAAGGCACTTCGTACGGTTTTGCTGTCGATTGGTGGTCGCTTGGTGCCATCGGTTTCGACTTGCTCACGGGCTCACCTCCTTTCGGTGGCAACAACAACGCGAAAATTCAGCAGAACATCCTTAAGCAGAAGTTGCAATTGCCCTACTTCCTTGGTCCTGATTCGAAGGATCTGCTCACTCGACTCTTGCGTAAAGAGGCCAACAAGCGTCTTGGAGCCAACATGCCAAAAGACCTTGACATCATCAAGAAGCATCGCTTCTTCCGTAAGATCGACTGGAAGAAGCTCGCAAAGCGCGAATTGGAGCCNCCGATCCAGCCCCTTATCACGGATCCAGAACTGGCCGAGAACTTCTCGAAGGAGTTCACAGATCTGCCGATGTCTCCAGCAGATGAAAGAAAATCTACCATCATGCAGGACTCTACCATGACAGGCATCGAAATTGGGTGGGGTGCGAAGGAGCTCGAGGTCGGATCGAATCCATTCGGTGGCTTCAGTTTTGTCGCTAGTCAGAGTCTGCTTGACAAAGTCGAGTTCATGTGATTACCAACGAGGCACTCACTGCATCTGGGATATTGGGATACAATTACAAGACGAGCCATAGGACAAGCTTCTGTAAATTGGTAATTGCAGCTACATATTGTTCACATTGGTGAGACGCGGAAATAGGTTTTGCTTCCTCAATACATTGGCTTGTTCATTTCAGGTGCTCATCGCTGCTGTGTCACACCGTCCCTTGATCATGATGAGCTTGCAGGACAAAAGCCGAGGATCTCTCCCGAACCCCGCGTCGTTCCTCCATCTAACACTCTGCACTACCTAACATCATCTGCCTGGAAGATGGTTCTAGTGGGCACGCGCATGCAGTGTGCACATGCGGTGAACGTGTGAGCAATGCTGCTTCTCGTTCGGAGTCTCGACGCTCGTAGAGTCAGCAGTCACATATCCCCGAGATCATCTACAGTGAATCCATGCAGAGCGACTCAGAGCATGCAAAACATCGCCGATAACATCATCAGCGGATCACAACTATGATTTACTTCTTGAGTCTATCCGAGCAGAGTTGATCTTCATCACGGCTCATGCGCTGTGACACGACAGGATCATGGCATCGCGTGAACCACACCCGGAGGTGAATACTGGTGCTTGACTGACCACAAAGATCGCCCAAATTCAATAGTGCCCGTCATCACATACAACTGCAGATCCAGGCACAGGGTTCGCCATATCAAAACCTGTCAAACAAAGTGTCTATGAGTGAAGTGATCAAGCTTTTGAAGATGAAAATGTCAGGTATCACTGTAGCACTGATCATCTGCTCTGTATATTCGACCTCTTTTATTGTATAGGCTGATAAGTCTAGAATATGCCATGAACTTCGTTGTGTACTCTAAGCACATGTAACATGGCCGAGTATCCGGATATCCATCACAGAGCTGCGAGGGGATGGATGTAGTGCAATCATCTTGCATTTGCCGATACTGCTGCACAACCGACTACACCAAGAATTACAGACGCGTCTTTCAGATGCGCATGATTAACCAAGGATTTGCATTAGCTTATAGTCGGCTCAGGATGGCTAGCAAGAGCAGGTGCGTCTTGCTTGACACACCGCACAGGACGATCTCTCGAGTGGTCATCGGCAGTCGTTCCTGCCCTTTCAAGATCAGTCACCAAAGCTTTTGAGAGCCAACATGCTTTCAGCATCGTTGATTTAAGACACCTCTCACATCCCGACTTGTCCATCAGTTTCATTCATCGCCATCATTATTCTTGCTTTGGCATTCTTTGTCTCGATCTATCACGACTCGTGTTGCCTCCATCACTTTGCAACTTCGACATGCGTTTACACGACATCGTTATCGGCGCTCTCATCTCTTGCACTTCTTCAGCAAATTCGCATAGTCTGCCCAAAGCACGAAACGACATCGACACTCAGACTGTCCCATGGAAGAGAGCCCAAGCAGTAAAAGAAGCCTTCGAGTTCGCCTGGCATGGTTACCATACATATGCATTCCCCAATGATGAATTGCTTCCGGTCACCAACTCATTCTCAAACACCAGAAATGGCTGGGGTGCTACTGCTGTTGATGCTCTCAGTACTGCTATCTTGATGGAGTCACAAGATGTTGTCACAACCATCGTGGACTATATCCCAACTATCGACTTCAATGTCAGCAAAAGCAACGCACCAGTCAGTTTGTTCGAGACTACCATTCGCTATCTCGGAGGCATGCTTTCGGCTGTCGACCTTCTGGATGGCCCTTACCAGCACCTGACTCAGTCGCCAAACGATACTATCGCATTGACGCAACAAGCTGTCAATCTGGCCTCCAAGCTGGAATTCGCGTTCGACACACCGACTGGTATCCCATCCAACAATCTCAACTTCGGAGAAGAGAGCTTCGACCTCTCTCAATCCACCGAACTTGCTGTCGCTGGTTCTTTAGTCCTCGAATGGACTCATCTGTCAGACATGGTTCACAGAGTCGCCTTCGCAAACCTGACTCAACACGCCGAAGAGTACCTCCTTCACCCTACTTACCAGAATGCCACGATACAGCCATTCCCTGGTCTTCGCGGCACAAACATCGACCTCCGCACAGGGAACTTTCTTGATGTGAGTGGTAGCTGGGGCGGTGGAGATGACTCATTTTATGAGTACCTGATAAAGATGTTCGTTTATGATCCCGGGAACTTCACCACCTACAAAGACGAATGGCTCGAAGCCGTTCAATCCTCGGCCCTCAGCAACATATCCTCACATCCTTACTCTCGTCCCGACCTGACCTTCCTCGCCTCATGGAATGGGCAGGACGTCACTCTGGTATCCAGTCATCTGGCTTGTTTTGCCGGAGGTAATTGGATCCTGGGTGGACTGGTCTTGGGAAACCAGACCCTGATTGACTTGGGTCAGAATCTCACTGACAGCTGTGCCGAAACCTACAATGCTACTCTTACAGGTATAGGTCCTGAGGCTTGGGAATGGGAGGACAAGAATTTCTTCGAGGACGACGACGAAGAGGTTGACATGTTCATCGAGGACAATGGCTTCAACATCACAGACGCAAGCTATAACTTGCGCCCTGAAGTCCTCGAATCACTCTACTATGCCTACCGCGCCACAGGCGACACAAAATATCAAAACTTGTCCTGGAAAGCATTCCGAGCCATCAACGCAACTTGTCGAACAGGATCTGGATTTTCGTCCGTCTCGAATGTCAATGCGCCACACGGTGGAAGCTTCAGCAACTTCCAAGAGAGCTACATGTTTGCAGAGACTTTCAAGTATGCCTATTTGATCCAGGCCGAGGACGCCAAAGTGCATGTTGCGAAGATGGGAGAGGAGCAGATATGGGTTTTCAACACTGAGGGCCATCCATTCAAGGTCCGAGATCAGCAGTGACTGATATGATGACTAGGTCCATAGCGTGAAAATTATGTAAGGCGAGGTCGTGTGTAGCGATAGCTTAGGGAGCTAGACCTGGAATCCAAGACTTGTAATTTCTTAATACTCCTGATGTCTTACGTGTCATGTCTCGATGATGCCATGCATAGGTCAATCATTATGCTGCGTATGTGATGGCTGGAGGGAGGTCAATGGGTTTATCAATTGCAGAACCTCACGCGATACACAATTATGCAACGGAAGATATCACGATTACATTCTAACCAGGAATCAACCCGTTCTTCCACTCTAGAGTGTCATCTTTCTTTTGTGATATCAAGTAGTGTCGCAGACATCTCGTTGCATACTCTCGCTATGTAGTCTTCACCATACCTCGAATCTTGCCTTTTCGTGACCATCTATTGCAATCATGACTATCGATCTGTGGTCAACTGTATACAAATCGAATAGCAGAGCATCCTGCTCTTGCCACGAGCTAGAAGACAATCCATCGCTATCTATCATCATTATAATGGATACTCTTCGCAGCCCATCCTTGATTCCAAATAGCAAGAGAGTCGATCGCGACAAGACACAGAAGCAACAACAAAGATATCCACTACATACAAAAGACATCTTCTATTCCCGTCTCTTAGTTTCCAAGCTGCTCCCCAATGCAATCCCAAATGCCCACCAAGTTTCTTCCCCAATCCACCATGCATCACCCCCCTTTCTCAAAACACCACAACACCACCACCTCTCCCCTCTAAAAGGACGAAAAATAGCTCAAAAGATGCGCAATTTCTTTCTCTACATTTCTGTTTATTTAGAAACTGCAAAAAAGGGTTGAGAGGGCGGCAAAAGGCAAAAGCATCGACGCCTGTGTGATTCGAACACACGCTCCCGAAGGAAATGCCTTAGCAGGGCATCGCGTTAACCACTCCGCCAAAGCGCCTTTGAAGGTATCCCGAGATTGGTTAGATCTCGTTAGTGGATGCGAGAACTCTTCTTAAGCAGCTATATGAAGCTGACGCTGGTTAGACTGTCACGGATGAGAAAGCTTCGTTGCTTCTCGCTTCACAGTACTGTGGTTGTGTCGATCTTGCTGTGAATTGACGATCGCTTGGGTGTGCAGAATGATGAGCATACCTTGCGGTCGGCGCGTCGTACAAGTCATAAGAATGGAGGCATGGTTGGCGGTGGGGAGAGACCAGAGGTCAAGATAAAAGAACAGGAAAGTTTTTGCTCAGCCAACGGGTTTTCCTCTGCTTACAGACGGGAACGGCAAAGAGCTTTTGGAGCTACAGACATGCACCCATGCCTCAACATGGTTCCACATTACAGCTATCGAACATCGTTAACATGTCTCATCTAGTTGAGTAAATGGTCAGTACAAGGGTATATGCGCAGCTATGTCACGGTTGCGTGTTGTCTTGATGCTATCACGGCTTGTTGCACCATGGTCATACATTCTTCGCTACTACGGACGATATCTCACTCGAGTAGCAAGTTTCCTGCCCAGAAGTGCTATGTAGTAGAGGAGAGAAACAGGTTTGCGGCATTAAAAGATTGGGAAACTGTGGTTATTTGATACACGTACTGCGTCTACAGCAGCCAAAGCGGCTACGAGGCTTGGAGATGATGAGAGGCAAACAGCGATTCTTGTGCTCTATCCTCGACGAGCTGCCTATGCGCACTGAAACTGCAGAAACTTGAATACGACCAGAAATCAATATGAGCACTATGTTCATTACTTGATTCCATTGTGTGTTTCGCCTCGTTGCGCGTTGCACGGGTGTCGCTGCCATTATTGAAGCACTTCTCGTTTTCACTGCCCTCAGCGAACGACGAGAATCTGCGTCGATGCTCTCGCAAGGAGATGTCAAGAGGATTCGTTTAACCACAAGATGCAACTGTTTGCAGTGCACCTCGAGACGCAATATCCTGTTATCTAATCGACAATGGAGTATCATGATGGAATGATGTGATATAGTGCGCTCTGATTTGATCGCAGAGTCAAGGTCGGCCGCTGTCAGCCGCAACATCTATCCGGAGATATGTCACCACAATAGCTAGCAACAATGCTTCCCCTTGACGGTGTCTGACAGAATCTAGGGCCGGTGGCCTTACTCTTGAAGCTTGTAGCAGCCTTCGTGATGTTCAAGGCTCTTGTGGTCAGTCATGCCCTTTGTGATCCCTGCTTTGGCTATTCCTCCTTCATACTCTTCACAACTCCAGCGACTGGCCCCCTTGCATGCGAGCAAATCAGCGATGTTGGCTCCGATGAGAGAGTTACCAACACTCTTCGAGAGTGTTGGTAGACGCACAAGACTGATGTTTTGCAGACCCGTCGAAGGAGAAGCTCATCGGAGGCGGGCTTACGGCCCGATTGTCGTCGGCTACCTTGTTGTTGTTGTTGTTGTTGTTGTTGTTGCTGTCGCTGTTGCTCCCGCGAGCGCTGCTAAAAATGCGACTTTGCCCGACTTTTCATCAATATTTGATGAACCCTTCGGTGAGCAGTTTTGCATCATCGAATGTATGCGAACTCGCTTTCTACCAGTATTCGCTACTTTTGAAGGGAGGGCAGTTGCCGAGACAAGGACGATGTCCTCAACGATTCACCAGGAGCGCACTGTGTATTTGTTCCAGAGCAGCGAACGCCTCGCGGTATGTATGTGTTCTCATATACGCTGACATCTTCTCTTCTTATCCTCCTCTTACACAGGACTGTACTTGATCTGGAGCACAGTACATGCATCTGGAATATGCTTTCGGATGCAAGGGCCAACGCTCCAATTGCCAAGATCCGTCAAGTGCTGGACAAATGGTGTTGAAAGCGTCATTCTGCCATGCATGTCGTAGGACACAGCATCTTGATCGCTACCAGGCCAATTGCAGTCGAGCGTGGTAGCTGCCTCGGAGTACCAATACAAGGGTTGACGCTGCAGATCAACACGCTGAATGACTGCATCTCGAAGTCTTGGCCAGATATGGAAGTCGGCGTATACGGCATGTGGAACAAACATCTGATAGGGTGTTGGTCTGTACCAATCTGGAATGGCGAGATAGGTCGACGGGATTGGATGAACGATCCATCGCATGAGGAGCCATTGGAGCCACATAACTGCCATGCGACACGGCAGTGCATCGATTCCAAAGCTATTGGCGAGTCTTGCGGTCCACTGAGACAAGAAAGAAGCTCGTCGGAAAGCAGACTCGCTGATGAGAGCTTCGACGTCTGGAAGGAGACCGAACAAGCGATCCGGAGCGACACCAGAGGCGAGGAGTCTTTTAGCTTCGTTGATGAAGTCGATGTAAACACTGGACATCATATCGAGATTGTCAGTAAGGTACATGGACGTGATTGCCCATGCGGGTGCCGTAAGGTCCACGCCAAGCGACCCAGGGCTCAGAGGCAGCGACATTGGCGCGGTTCCGGCAGGGCTGAACAGATTTGATGATATGGTGATGTTGTCACCGCCAGGACGAGCTTGGTTTTTGAGTAACTCACGCTTCGCACTTTGGCTGTCGAGCATCTTTGTGTGCCTTCCCAACGCGGCCGAATGTGGACCTGAGCTTGTGTTTGCAGTCGACGAGGCTAGAGATGGATCGATCCATAGATTCTTGTGGTCGTCCGCGAGGTAGGTCGAGTCTGAGGCGTTGCCATCCAGTAGCATGGACGGCTTTCGCTTGGGGCTTTGTACGTCCGAGTACGAGTCATCCTCAGACAACAGGTGTTGCGCATCATTCTCGACAAACAGTGAGGGTGCCCAAGGAGAAGCCGAGTATTCCTGGCGTGATAGACTTGCTTCTCGCTTGGCCGCTCCATCGACTAAGCCCGGACTGCCCGTTACAACACTGGCACTGCGCTCTGAACGCGTCGAATCGCATAGAGGAATGCTGGTGAGCAGAGATGGACCTGCTGGATTGTGAGCATGTCCAATGCCAAACGTCGACACACTTTTGAGTGTCGGAACAGNCTCTATTGATATGGTCAGCCAACATCTACAAGAACCACAACAGCGCGCACGCGCAACATACTGTTCTTTTCCCTGCTCTCCATCGGCCATGTCTGGGAGACCGTCGGCCATATCGACGCCAAGAATCATATCAATAGTGTCCCCGAGTCTAAGCTGGGCGAGGATTGCGCTTGCTTCGTTGTCGGTGCTGTACCTCAACTTGTTGGCAAACAACTCGAGATTCCGCACTCTCAGCGACAGCGACGAGACCTNTTGTTTTAGATCCTCGGTTCGTGTTGCGCCTTCGACGACATCATACGAGCATATCAGTCCTCTAGTCTGACAAGCAGTACATGAAGGTCGTTCGCCATTACACTGGGGTTGGACACTTGTCAGCAACTCTTACAAGAAGAGTGAAACCGTTGGGCGAGGATTGTTAATTACCTTGCGCTTCCGTTTGCGACAATCCATACAGGCGACAGCGGTGAGTTTCCTGGGTGCCGCCTGCTGACCCCCCTGAAGNNGACCAGGCGTATCCCCATCGACAACAGTGGCTTTCCCACGTTGCTTGTCCTTGTCCTGAGGCATTGGACGATGATAGTATAACATGGACTATCCAGAAGAAACCGAATGCTTGCTCTAATATCCGGCTTTTTACCACGGAGTTGGCCCCGCAACACGGCGAGGATTATAACACGATGAGTGTGTCAGAGCTTGGCTTTTCAGAGCGTCAGCGACGCGATAATTCGGGCCAGGGAAGACGCTCAAGATCGAGCGTTACCAACCGGACCTTTCAGACTTCTGACGGAACGGACCTGGGGCCGCAGCGGGAGATGATCTGAGATTGAAGGGTTGCGAACTTGAAAACGTGTACAACACCATGTACTTTTGCAGCGACGATTGAACAGTGGAGAGAAACGAGGGAAGGTGATGACGGACCAAGAAAGGCAGGTGCAGCGTGACGCACGTATGATCAAGGCCATAGAGAAAATATAGACATTTTTGCAAACATCGCGATTTCCGAACATGGCGATGGCGAATTACAACGACTCCGCGCATGAGTTGACACTCGAGACACCACCAGAGCAGTCTCGATAGCGAGAAACCCGTTGGAACCGCATCGTGTGGACTGGGGTTGAGTAGACAGTAGGGTACAGGGCTAAAGGGTGTTCGGGGGAAACTCCGTATCTTGCCGGATATCTTACCTGCTCCCCGGTGCTTATTGGTGTCGGTCGTTTACCATGATGGTGCTTCTACTGCAGCATGACTCGCGAACAGGGACATGTGAATCAAGCAGGGATGCAGGTTTCCTTCGCAAGTTCATATCGAACGCTCGGCAAGCGATCGGTGGAATTGTTAACTTGCATCGAATGTTCCAGTCAATACCATTCATTTTTGGTGATTGAGACTGGTGAAAAGCATGAATAAAATGCACTATATTCTAGTGAGAGCCGAGCATGGGCAGTCAAGTATGCAAATGTCAGATGGACGAGTCGAGACGGTGCTCAGGTGTGATTGACGCTTGAGATATTCTATCACCGTACCGAATGCATCGGAAAGATAAGAACGTGGCATGTTACACTATAGCTAGTTAGCGTTTGGTTGTCAGGCAAATGGGCGCTCTCGACCTCGGAGTATGCGCCTTCATCTCTCATTGGCTGATCGAGGGTGTTCCTTCCTCCTTGCAATAACTCCGCGCTAATGACTTCACCATCACGTGGTTGTTACCAACAGCATCTTGCACCCATTGTAACGTCCTTTCTTCTCATGCAGCCTTGATCTGTCGTTGGGATCATGTCGGGAGTCCACTTTAAGGAGATGTTGCAGCAGTATGCCCACGAAGGATCAGAAGTCTCTGTAGCCACGGTCGCCCCAACGCGCGTATTGCGACCACGAGCACGCCCAACATCATCAGTGGCAACGGACTCGCAACGAGGCGCAACAATACATTCCGACCAACTCGCCGAGGCGTCAAAGTCAGCATCTACCAGCACGAAATTGTCGAGAAAGCGTAAGGCGCCAAGCAAGTATGCGCCACCTTCTAAGTATCAACACCTTAGCCCTCTTACCGACATTCTTGCTCCCGACCTAATAGCCGTCTTTGTCGGAACAAACCCCGGCATACGCACTGCAGCTCAAGGGCACGCATACGCACATCCTTCAAATCAGTTCTGGAAACTTCTTCACTCGAGTGGCTGTACCGATGAACGCCTACGTCCCGACCAAGACGTAGAGTTGCCGGCTCGTTACCTTCTTGGCAATACTAACATCGTAGAGCGACCTACCAAAGATGCTGCTGAACTCAGCAAGGCTGAGATGAGCGATGGTGCCCCTATCTTGGAAGAGAAGTGTCGCAAGTGGCGCCCTGAATCTGTCTGCATCGTCGGCAAGGGTATCTGGGAAGCTATCTTCCGCCATCGTCATGGTAAGAACCCTGGCAAAGCAGAGTTTCACTGGGGCTGGCAGGACGAACAGGAAAACATGGGTCGTATCGCCGATATTGGAGAGGATGGTTATCAGGGCGCAAAGGTCTTTGTCACGACTAGCACGAGTGGTCTTGCTGCCAGCCTCAAACCTGCTGAAAAGGAAGCCATCTGGAAACCTTTTGGGGACTGGNNGTGCAAAGAAAGAAGAGTCGCGCGGAACTGGCCACGGTCAAAAGGCCAGAAGCCAGAATGACCAAGAGTTTGATGTCTGGAAAGCCTGACACAATCCGGGCATGCATCGCTTCACGTTTGCCAGAAAACGAGTATACAACATTGTCGTTGTGAGAACATTATCGGGCCTTCAAATCGTCGCTATTCATCACAGACTCATGCTCGCTTATGCGCTTGATATGGATACGAATAACAGACAGGTATCAGTGACTTGTCCAAATATTAAGCGAATATGTTCAGACCATCGAATTAAGAAATGCACTTCAGGAATGCACGTTCACGCACAGCAGGTCGCAGGGCACGTCCAACGTGATCTATGCATATGTTCCAAACAAGCTAATCGAGGCAATAAATGTTGAAGACGATCATTCGGAGTTGACCCCGAGCTACATCGGATTCGGGCTCTCTCACCGTAATATAGACTCTATCTCTCCATCTGAGTCTGAGAACACGACATGTTTACGGGCGCGGGCTGCCTCGCCGCGATGTAAGCCCAAATCCATCAGCAGATGGTTCTTACTCTCATCGACTCGCCCCTCATCGGCATATCCGAGGTCGAGGTCATTTCGAAATCCCTTTTCGATTGCCATCACTCGCATCCCGTTTGTGTCACCCGCAGATAATACGCTAGCCCAGTCTGTACTCCGGAACAGCGGTATATACTAAGTTAAACGGTTCTGGGCAAGAGACCTGTGCCAGCATTATTCTCGATCCCTCGGATCTCTGACGAGTCAAGCTTGTATCATCACGGACCTATTGTGTGGGTTTGGCTTGTGATATGTCTGCCTTCGACGCATCTAGTCAATCACCAATATGGACACCAATATCCCACAAGCGCTTCATTGGCATCTCGGTCGATTGGTGCGGATTGCTCGGATGCAGTAGTTGCAAGACAAGCAATCAGGAATTGTTCGGCCTTGAATCTATGAATATGTTGGGCTTCGCATACAAATCATCCATTTGGGTGACCCACGATGTCACACCTGCCTGCTTCGCTCTCTGTAGCACCATGTTGCAGTCCAGGAAGTCTGACTGATGCTGGTCTCTCTGAGTCTCGACGTGGGGGTTTGACTGTGCGAGTCCTTATCAGGATGGAATCGCTCAGCCGAAGAAACGGACCAACAACATCACTTGTGCACACAGACACTTATCGAAGCTGTTCAAAGGGATCATGATGACAGCTCATCCTTCGGAAGTCTACATTGTTTGCTTCAGCCCTCCGTAAAGACGAAGGCGGTTTAAGTCTCTGTCACATCATTGACCAATCACTAGATCGATGACCTCGTCCAAAACCCCATACCGAGCAGCGACGACTGACTCTTCGATCGAACACTGCGCACCTTGCACTGCCTTATCGTCAACGTCAGGGCGATACTCCGATTGCACGTACGAAGGCCACGAACTAGACTCGTGGCCAATAGACACCGCACACACAACATCTTTGTTCAACTTGCACCACCCGCGCTTCGTTTCGTGTCGCTTCCGCTACATGACACTGTCGATTTGCCGGCTCCTATCTTTCTTTCCAGGGGCATCCCACACACACAAGGCAAGAGAGTTGCAGAGCATGTAACATGCTTAGATGCAGGGCTTAGACACAAAAAACCGCACACAAGCAGCCTAGACATGGAGCAGGTCACGATTGAGCAAGAACCAGCAAGAGGAGAAGAGCTCTTTTACAAGATTCAGGCTCACGCTCAGACATGAATGTCGAGGACAACCAACCAGAAAGACACAACTTATCGGAACCAAATGGTTACCGAGTAGCCCCTGAAAAGTAGTAGCCTGGAAACACATGTCGCACCAGAACACAGAAGGTTCCGGGCATACACACTTGGTCATGCAATGGTGTGAAGAAATATACCAGGTCATAAAGCCCGCTGCCGACATGCAGATGTTAGACCAACATGATCATGGCACTTTGAGCTCTTGATGTACTGCGAGGGTGGCTTTGTCCGACACTGACTCAATGCGATGTGCGTACGTAAACTTGGGCCGTTGTTTTCACCTTCGTCACAAGCTACTTGACTCAAGGACAAGTACGCCGCTTGTGATCAACCCCATCGCTGAGACTGCGCATCCTGCTCATGATATGGAGCTTCTCAATTGGAGTCCACCACGTTGGGAGTAACGTTCGCTAAGGCATTCATGTCTTTGGAAGGCGAGATCTGGAATGACAAGACTGTCTTGTCTGGGCTATGCAAGCACATAGCGATCCCAGCGCTGCAAACAGAGATACATAACTCTTTCACACACAATCTGTCTTCATCAGAGCTTTGAGTATGAAGAGCTGGAGTTGACTCCGGATATGCTCAACAGATGGGTGAGCATAGTCCGTTGTAGCAATCATGAATATAATCGTGCATGTGTCAAGGTAGTGATGAGACAAGTGAGAGTGCATGTGAGAGAAGAAGCAGTGAGGCAGCGGAGCGGAAGTGGAAGTCGCGATGATGCTGCCAAGACAAGCGAACAGTCGCAACTTTGGAGCTGTCAATTGCTGCATGCGCCGAAGCGAATAGTTGGTCCATCATCATAACAACTTTTTCACAACAATGGCGCTCCAGCCCACACCGGACCAGAAGATCGATCGACAGACGACGACACCCTTCCTCCTGCGACTCTACTATCGATCCAATGGCTTCCACTCACCCAACGAATTCTCGACAGTCCCGCCGCCATCCTGGTTGCAGCAGTCGAGTCTGCAAATCTACACCTGGCCGTCATGTACCCTTGCCGAATTGACCACCCTCCTCACCTCCGCCCTACCGAGTCTACTTCCCTCACCATCTGTCGGCACCCGCATCGGCTACCGTCTAGTCTTCCCAGACACGCGCAGTGTTCCTCCGTCAGGCGCCTCGGATGCGCCAGGACGATGGTTGTCAAAAGAGCTAGGCAGTGTGATCCTCGGACAAGGCAACGATTACGACCAAGAGAACGATCCTGCAGGTCTTGGACGTATGGATGGTGACGCGCAAAAGACACTGGCTGACGCTCGCTTCGTCATTGGCGACTACATCTCATGCGCCATCTTCCCTCCCTTGGCTGACGGCTCCGTCGCTCCTTTACCTCCCGCCACACCCGCCATCAGAGGCACTTCTGGTCGAGGAGGCCCACCACCACGCGGCGAGAATGGCCGCCCACCAAGGTCANNGGGAAGAGGTCAATTTGCTGGAGATAGAGCCTTTGGCCCACAAGGCGTTCCTCATGGCGAGTGGAGACGAGGCGAGAGGGTGCCNGAGTACGCCCGCTCCGGTAGACCTGGCGGCGGCGAACGTGAGCGTGAACGTGGAGGAGGAAGAAACAGGCCTTATTGAACCTCGTGACAGCACGTCAGCCTCATTCAAACACACACCCCTCGAGTCATGCCTGGTCACTCCAGCACACAGCTTTGCTCGATTCGGCAACAGCTTCTCGAAGTAACAAGTGACTTTCTGCGCAGAGCTCGCTCAGCAGTTGCGTAGTTGGTAAGGTCGGCATGCACCCTGAAAACAAAGTCTGCTCCCACCACACGCATCGTCGAAGCCCTTCCTACAAGCATCCTCATGACTGCCACTTGTAGCACCGCCATAGCGTGACAAGCCCTCCGCTGGTGAGTTTGCTCATCGATCTTGTCTTCCGTGGTCTCCATCACAGGCTCCGACGGCCCAGAAGCGCGACATAGCGCACCTAGTACAGCAGTATACAGATCCCATAGAGAGAATACAAACTGCAGACCTGGCCATACGGCTTAACACCAAGATCTCGTTGATGCTCCATCTTCAGCGACCAAGTTCTAATTAACATCAAAGTGATTTCACAAGTGGCATACTTCTACTCTATCAACACATCAAATCATCTAACACATCCCTTTTCCTCGCGACCCCATCAACCACTCTTGGTGTTGTTCTCATTCTCAACCATAAAGTAGTTGGCCGCAATGGGAGCACCAACCTGCTCCTCCAAAGCACTAACCGAAANATTCATTCTCGCCAACGAAGTCTCGTTTGCATACGCCTTCATAGCAGCTAAATCAGGCTTATACCCTTCGGGCTGCTCAAACAGGTAAATCACATAATTGTGCGGCTCATCTCCTTGAGGAGGTTGAGGACCTTCGTATTCTGCAATTGGCGTCGAAAAGTTCTGGAGGGTTTGGTGGGGAGGGATGCTGTGGACGTTGTATTCGAACCAGTGAAGGCGTGTTGTGCGGTTGGGACCGATACCAGGGACCAAAGAGGCAAAGTCTGTGGTGTTTGGTAAAGCGAAGAAAGGGAGGTTTAGGTCTACCATTGTGAAGATGTAGGTTTTGTCATTTTGGGGGGAGGGGTGTTTCTTTAGATTGCGGTTGTTGAGTTTGGGAGAGGGGGCGTAGAGAGTGGGTTGGCCTGCATCGGCGACNNTGGAGAAGTGAGTATTAGCTTTTGTTGCGTTTGTATGAGATGTGGTAGAGAAGGACTTACCAGCTTGGTCGATCAGCTCGCCAGGCTGCACAATGTTCCTGTCGAACTTGATGCCCAGGGTATTGGCAACCTGAGGAGTTGAGCCTGGGGGCGTAGCTGCAAATGCAAAGTTGACACCAGCAGCAGCAACAGCAAGCAAGAGTTGTGAAGTCTTCATTGTGTCTTTGTATATTTCGAGTATGAACAGTCTTCTCAAACTTGCAGAGAGTCAAAGACCCTTTATATGTTTCGATTCATCTCTCAGATCGACGGCACACCGCGGTAAGGCAGGAGATCGTAGAGGGTCTAGATTTTGGGATCTCTATTCACGTTGTCGAAGCATACGTGCGAGTCGCCCGAATGATGCCCTTGATATTGAAACATGGTTTCAGGCTTTCATCCTCGTTGCATTAGTGACGTTCTGCTTACCGTCCTTATTCTCGTTCTGCTTATCGAGAACCAAATACCAAAGTCACAAATCCTGCTTAACCATGGTAAACACTGCACAGCATTCTTATCGCAGATAAGCAGATGACTCCCATTCACAGTTCCTGAAATCAACGGACTCCTGCATCTATCGGCAGTCGAATCTTGGATCCTTGTCGATTATGTATATCGGCACATCATGCATGCAACCATATTCGAACGCACCCCTGTATGACGCCTTGTTTTTTTGGCTAAAAGCAAAGGAAATGACGAGGGATGATGCGTGGCTGGAAACGGGAACTCGAGAGTATGACCTCGGATCGGTGTTGAGCTATCTCCGATGGTCTTGCTGTTCTGGTCACCCTGCTCCCACCTTCTGAACTGCCGCCTGCGAGATCAACAACATGGAACAGAAATAGGAATGATGGTATGAGATCTCTAGATAATTCAAGATCTTCTATGGCTTCTGTGTGTATTCGCGCTTGTTTGTCGTGAGGTAGAACTTGAGAGCTGCCCGAGACATCTATGGCAGATGACATCGCGGCAGATGACCATTCAGGTAGACAGTCATCAGACCCTTTGCTCATCACGAAGCAGAGCAGATGACATTTGAAAGCGGAAAAGAAACGATGTAGAGTATGCAGCTCTGATTGCTCAAAGTTCAATATCGGGACGGACCAATGAGACCTGATTAGATGAGAAATCGACCAATACAGTGAATAGACAATATAGCTAGCATGAGCACCTGCTCGCGCTCTTTTATATTGCAACTTGATGAAATCAACATGCAATGTTCCGATGAGGCGTGAACACATATTCGAATATCAGCAAGCAGCAGATCACAGACAGGTTGAAGAGAAAGACCAAAAGGGATGTGTAAAATCGGGCAAATGTGTTTACAGGTCCAAGAAGGCCCTCTTACCCAAAGGGCGATGGTCAAAAGAAGTATTTACAAGAATGTTAGGGTACCGAAAAACAATAGGAGGGTTTCATCACAAGCGGGTGTACTTGTGCGAATAGCTGCTCATCCCTCTCTTCCACTTGGGCAGAACACGCTCTCCTTTTCTGAGACGTCTCAGAGCGCTGAAGCCGACTATTACGCCGCAGATACCTCCAAGGGGAAGTAGAATACTCCATACGCTCTGCGCTGTCGTCGTCGTATCTTCGATCGCAACTTCAGAGGTTCCGAGAATGTTGCCCTCGACATCAGAAGCAACAACACGGTATAATGTTTCTGAGGTGCCCTCAGGTAATAGGAATGAAGTTTCGAAGGCTACCTTGTCGACCACATCGACATCTCCAAATTCGGAATTCGTCCAGGAGTCGGCGGATTGTAATGTCCATGTCGCAATTTCTGTAGCACCGTTCCAGGATGCGTATAGTCTTCCAGCCTGAATTTTTGCTGTCGGAGGTTCGAGGGGTGCGCCAACCCAATCAGCTTTGAGCGAGCGGTATGATGTTACACGGCCGTAGTGTGAGATGTATTGCGCGCCGTAATGAGCTTCACAAATCAATGTGCCGTCAACATCGAATTCCGAGAAGACTGGTGAATGGCCCCAGCCAACGAAAACGGTGTTAGTGGACGGCAGGACTTGGACCGAGCCTTGCGAGGCAGCGCGAGTGTGTCTATCAGAGATATATTTATGTAGGAGTTTCGCTGTGTTGTCGGTTGTGTTGATTTGGATCATGCGAGCGGTAGAGTACGAGGCGTCTAGGTGAAGAGGGCCGGCATCGCTGTTATCGAAGACGGTGAGAATACCCTGGTCCTGATCCAGCCAGCGACCATCGTGCTGCCAGCTAAAAGTCGTTGCTTCGCCAGCTGAGGTATCCTTGAAACTGTTTTGCTTTCCTCCAAGAGTCCAGACCACGTCGCCAGTGGTACCGTTGACCTTTATTAGGGAGTGGAGGTGACGAGACGATATAAGGTAGTCACCATGGTCGTCCTTCTCGACACTGTTGATGTGAAACCAATCGAATGGAATCGACTCCCAGTATCCGGCCAGCGGATGCGTGTAGAACGAGTCCATGATAGAGAAGTGGTCTAGCGCATTCCACTGGAATAGCAACTTGCCAGTCTCGACATCAATCTCTTGAAACAAGTTGTTGTTGACCCAGCCATCCACTGGCCTTCGCATTGCGGTCATGTCGGTTTGTGTTGCATTGTAGACGGTGATGAGCGCCGTGCCGTCTTTCGTAAGAGTGAATTCGTGAAGGTCGCCCTTGAGGCCCTCGCCAACGGCAGAGACTTGATATCTTTCTTGGTAGGACGAGTCGAGNNCTGCGAGACAGTTAACCTTGAGTGGTGATGACCAGCAGTTAGGTATGCTCACCATATAGTAATTTCCATAGCCATAGCTTGATCCTCGTAGACCAGCCCAGAAGGTAAGGTATTTCTCACCCTTGTACTCCTGGACTTTCAAGTTCATGGCCTGTCCATACTGGTCTGTCTGCCATACAAGGTTTCCTCTTGCATCTAGAATCATAGGACCAGGGTGTTCGACTGATTTGCCTTGAGGAGAGATAAAGATGAAGCCATTGTCGCATCTGTCATCCCACCGTACTTGTTGCAGGTCTGGTGAAGTCAAGTTGTGTGAGATGTAATTACGTTGCGGGTAACCACCGTAGACGGCAAGGTCAAAGAATGTTGATTCCAGGGAAGGGAAGATCCAGCCGACAACGGGAAGCACAAGCTGGTGGACCGCGAACAGTGCCGTGAGGAGACCAGCCACAGCGGCAATCAACAGACCAACCAAGCGCAGGTGCTTGCAAAGTTGTTGTAACATGTTTCCAAGAGAGAACGACGGGGGCTGGAGTCAACAAGACTCCGCTGAAGGAGTTTTGAAAAATGGACTCGGAGAGAGAGAAAGGAGGAGGTTATTTGCTTTGCTTCATTCGATGTCCCGGACTAAACACCTCCGTGCATCGAGCACAGCCCTGATACATTGGGGAAAGTAGATCTTATAGATTCGTAACAAGGTAGCGACTGCCAAGTTGGCCGCGTTCTTCAGGGCTCGGCGACGGGAGACTATGGACGCTGTGTCACCGCATGACTGCTCAAACGTATTGAGCGTATTCTGAGATAGGCCAGTTCGCTTTGTCCAATCGAATGGTCTGCGAATGACATGTTTGGACTGTTTTTGCGAGCGGTTGGTCTTTCTAAGATAAATTGTGGGTTCTGATGGCGCAGGCTGGCGGCAGATAGAATTGAGTTTGACATGCACCGGCTGGCTNNTCACAAGACTCGTGCTACGCATGTGGCTGCCACATTCATGACTCTTCCTTAGCTGTAGCTTCTTCAGCCGCCAACTTTGAGGTTGTGTACCAGTGACCTCGAGCCCTATTTTATCTGCCTTCGAGCTCTTGCTGTCATGTGTTTCGGACTTCAATTTCTGAAGNNCATCATTCTGTGACGTCTGAGAAAGACTGTATGCGCGNNTTGTCTCAGCTCTGCGGCCCACCATCTCCATACGCTCCTCAAAAAAGGTGGATATCGAAATTTCGGCAATAGCTACCCCAAACTCCTTGCCAAGATCCGCCTCCGCGTCTTGGAGGTAGGGCATGGGAGTTGGAGCTGAGATGAACTTGGCCTTCCCAGTGATGAAAGGACAATCACACATCAGGGTTCAGGTGGGCGGCCAGTCTTGCCGCCAATCGAACAAGATCCCAGGACACCGATTGCACCATCGAAGGATTCAAAAAATCGANNTAGCAGCGTAATGTGGCTGCTTCACACACGCTTCGCTTTCGGCAAGCAGAGCGCTCTGTCGACTGTGCTTTCCGTTTCGGACAAGTCCGTTCAATGACGCGTGCGAGTTGGCAGCAGTAGTGTGCTGAATGAGGCTGTGTAAAAAGTCTCAAGCAGATAAAAGTCCAAGATTTTTGGTTGAAACCAACCAGCTTGCGTTGATCGTGGGGAGGCGCTTCCATCGCCGGTCACGCTTGTCTTGTCACTTCCCAGCCGTGGCTCCTTATCAGATGTTTGCCAAGTCCCGGCAAGTCGTTCAGCTCAGGAGAACCCTTTCTTTCGTTGTTGCTTGCTTCCCCATGCTTGTTGTGTTTTGCACTCGTCGACTGCTTTTATTCGAAAATCTGACATTACAAGCGCGAAGTCAGAGATGTCGTTGATCCAGAAGCCAGTGCGTTAGGGATGCGGGCGCATTGTTGTCGTTGCTCGCGGTAGAAATCGATTCCAGAAGCCAGCCAAGCATGCGACAAGTTTCATCCTGGCGAAGCAATCATCTGGTCGCCAAATCTCTGGGCGCGGAGTCCCATCGTCTGTCTTGGGACAATCGAAAAGGCGAGGGGATTCTGCATATATACGAGAGGAGGTTTGCTTAAAGTTGCTGCCTCAATTCATTTCGAGGCTAAAAAATCACCCGCTCGTATTGACAGCTAGTCGGATCCTTCAGGCTTCAGCACGAGCATCGAAGGATTCTTCTCCATTATTCGAACGACTCACGCTGGCTGGAGCGATCGGTCGTGCTGCACTCTCCAGCACTGCAAAGAGTCAGTTGTAGGGTTCGACTGAAGACTCGTTCGTTGAAATCAATCGGACACGATAACCGACGGACACAGCAAAACCTGATGTCGGAGAATCGTCCATTGCGCATTATTATTATATACTGTAGATGTTCACTATTTCTAGTGCTCGGTCACGTTTACCGCTCTTGTCATCATCACGCCCTTGCCCGAATAGGGCGGCACCCAAGTCCTTGCAGTCTCATACACATGCTGTTCGACCAGCGAACCCTGACTGCTTGTTTTGTTCAATGTATTGTTATCATTGCCGAGATCATCCAATTCGAACCTCGGACTAGCAATGACGGTTTCCGTTCTCGAAGTCGCATTGTCAAAAACTTGGAAGCCCTTTTGGTCACCAAAGCTCGCGCGCGACCGTGAAACGCGGTGGGAGCGACTGTTTTGACGTTTGCTGTTGCTCGATGCAGTGTTTTTGCTGAAGATGGAAGGTAAAGTCTTTTCTTTCATGCTCAGGAACAATGGTCGCAGGGCCGATAGAGACGCTGCTGTGATTGCTAGACCGGGCTCGACGACGGAAAGCAGACCAGCATCGACCGCATGAGTGAAAAATTTGGAACCGTTTACGAGGCCACCAAGGTAGGCGATACGAACAATCGATGCCACGGTCCCAATACAGCCCATGCTCAAGAGAAAACCTGCTGATATCTTTGCTCGACGTGGCATCATGCTTTTCCACAGGATGATGGCCGGAAGAGCCGCAAAGACGACATCGACTACGGCATTAAGAATACCCGAGATGTAGATCATAGGCGTAAGCACGTCGTCCGAGATGCACTTTCCCCTGGCGGCGTTGATGAGCAGATCCTTTGGTTTTCCACAGCGAAAGGTGACCACAANGATGAAGATAACGCCGTAAATGGCGTATACTATAGTCGAGATGTAGATCAAATGGCGCTGCCATTTGATTACAACAATCCGGAGGAAGAAGATTGCCAGACTGATTTTGAAGATGATTGTGGTGAGNNGGATGTAGAGAGCGTTATATGTGACGACGAACTAGGACATATTAGTATGTTTGATGATCATTGGTAGACTGGTGTGTACACACCTNNCCATCGCCTGTGTCAAGACGTCCCATATCGCTAACAAGTCCTCTGTCTTGTAGGCTGTCTCTACATATGGATGGAAGCAATATTTAGCCTCGCTAATTAGGTAGGCGCAAAATGAGCTAAATGTAACCTTTTGGAATCAGCTCAAGACCATGTCCATATAACTTTTAAGACTTACCGACGACATGATCAGAGTGGCATCGTCCCATCCAAACGCTTTGATTGTGAATGTACGGACGTAGACTCGACATGCGAGCGATGTCCAAACCAGTACCAGGAAAGTGATACTGAACCCAGTGAGAAGGTGTGCTTTTGGTCGTAGCTCGAGAACATTGGGAAGGATCGATATGTCGAAAGTGTTCGTCGAGGCCGCCATGACGCCGTCAAGTTTCAGTGACAGACGCAAGAAGGGGAGAAGGTATAATGATGCAGCGGGAAGATTGAGTATATACCTACCAGATGCCAGGTTGACGGGTCCGCGCAAGAGCCACTCGTAAGATGGACCCCATCAATACTAGAGAACATTGACGAACGAGCCAATAAGAGTAGCGAGCCTCGAAGTTGGAAGAGGGTCAGACGGCATCTAGTACCATAAAATGGTGCTCATCCAAATGCCGGGGTTACGCCCGAAACATAAAGAGTGCGAGGCTTGTATGATTCGCACCGGTGCTCGGTTCGCAGTACGATCTAGCTGGGGTGTGTGAGCTACAAGATGTAATATCGATCGTGTGCTAGAGAAGATCTAACGGGTAAAAGGGATAGCGGATCAGATTAGCGAGTCAAGATTGGAAGGGACAACACACATCAGGTCAGAAACTAAAACAGATTATACACGGGCGATTCATGTATCATCCGGCCCGTTCGCGTAGCCTGCCCGAGAGGTAAGCATGAAGTTGCAATTTTGTATGAGTGCACGAAAATATGGGATGACTAGACGTCGTGATAGGCTTAAGCTTTATAACCTCCGAGTGTCTTTTGTGTCCGGCTTCCTTTTGTTTTCCGCCAAAGGGCTGGAGTGAGACTCAGCGACTCAGTACTCGTAGCAGTCCTTGATATGTCAAAAGTCTCATCCTCTAACAATGGTTCACTCGAGTGTTCGGCGTCGCGGGGTACAGGTGTGACAGAGATCTAGAAACATGTCACCATCACAAGCATTCTTCACAGTAGGTAGAATGTTGCGATTAGAGACGAGAAAGGTCTGTCCGCTTGTACCAGAAGCAGTGCCCTGATGAACGTCAAGGGCTCACTGTGAAGATCACACTAGATGATGAGACAGAAAGGGTGAGCCGAGGTGAGTGATGGACGAAAGCAAGGCAGGTGCGAACGTGTACATGACAAAGGCTGGCACAGGCCGGTCTGTGCCGCACTGGTGTACCATGAGGATGCGCGGCCGTCAGTGGTCAGAGAAGGCAAATCAGGCAGGTAGAATATTGGACATGATTAGGAAACATGACTTGTGATGGAAGCGGTGAAGTGGAGGTTTCTATGAATGTGTGGGGCAATTCGAAGGAGAGTGGAAGTCTTGACTCTCTCCCCTGCCGATCAAGGGTTTTGCCATCACGACCATGGAAGCGATTCCTCAGCGAGTTTGATCGCCGGCAAAGCAAAGAGCCTGAACAGGAAGAGTGAACGGAGCGAAAACCTGGAAGCTGCTTCAAGTTGAAATAGTTAGACGAGCAGTACCAGTGGAAGAAGCGGTGGAAGGCGTTGACTCCCGAGCTCGGCATTGACGGCAACTTCTCGCGAATGTTGAGAAAGCGAAAGCGAGCGAGCGGCCATGTGTCTGAACCACAACAGAACGCGTTTCAGCAGCGGTCAGGGACAGGATGCTGCGAAATTGACCATGATGGCTCGATACACTGAGTTCCAGATCAGTGCAACACATTGTCAATATCGACTGCCTGTGCTGCTTTTATCCGACACAAGCGGCGATCCCACTGAATCGGATAGCATGGGTAAGTTCGAAAGCAGCTCTTGCTGTGAAAGGCATCATGTCGTCGGTCGACCGAGCTGCCACAATAGTATGTCTCGAGGCACGAAGAGAAAAGCAAAAGTGACAGGTAGGGTGAACAGGAGGTAGGTATGCAGGCAGCTACTGCAATGCGAGCGAGCGACCAGCTGCGACTTACCGCCATGTGCAGTCGAGGTAATTAAAAGGTCAAACGAGCAAATTCGCATCACTCGGCCACGGCTCTGAATGAATTTTCGCATCGACCGTCGACTGATCGGTGATACATCAATAACAAACGCATTTCGAACTGAAGCGTCCTCAAAGCGACAGCTGCAAGCTCTCTCCACCTAGAGTCTAACCTTAAGGTGGTCTTTGTTTACGCGAGCACGCGAGCACACTCATGCGATATGCCTACAAGGTATGAAACCACGCCACCATGGGGCAAGAAACGCAAGCGCGAGCCTTCGACTTCTTCCAATTCGACAAACAAATCCACCTCTCCACCACCACTACCACCCTCGGAACAAGACAGTAAACATCTCTCGATGGAGAACCATGACCCTCGCCGACGACCAACGCCATGGGCAAAGCACAGTGACCCTCTTAGTCCGAGTTCACTGGCCAGCGACCACGACGACTTGCAACAGGCTGCTAGGGACATGTTCGACTGGACACGGTCGGATCGTCCGATTGAAGAATCTCTCGCTCACATGGAGCGAATCGTTCAAGTTTGCCAAGATGAAGCATCGTGGTCCGGTGATAAGAGGTGGAAACAAGTGATCGCGACGTACAGGTCTTACGGAGCTTCTGCAGACGCTGTACAAGACTTGAAGGATGCGCGAGAGCCTTTCTGGACTCAGTGTCGAGTCAAGCATGCATCAAGCACCATAGCTACACCCAGAGCTTTGGCCGACTCGATACGCACCATGCTCGCTGAGAGCGAGAGAGTCAACGGCCACTACCTGGACAGAGATATCAAAGATGAACTGGTCAAGGCTGTCGAGCGTGTTTTTCCTCGTATTCAACCCAGGATCTTGATACCCGACAGCCCGGAGCGACCTGTGTCTGGTTTCGACCAGCCTCAAGTGCCTATCCCACTGGCTGCGCCTGTCGCACCTGTCGCGCAAATGCTTAAGATTGATACATCTTCAAACCGAACACCAGTTCCAGCTGCTCCCGACCAAGCTCTGTCCGCACCATTAGATCCGCGACTTGCATCAAGACTTCCATGTTGGGCACTGGCTTCTGAGACGAAGCCACGGGCTGACAGTCTGGCCGGTTCCTCTAGCTCTAGGAAGTCTTCAGCCGCCACTTTCGTGATATCAAGCCCGCCATCTCAGCTCTCGCCATTGCCCAATCCCGAGCCATCGCAAGTCATAAAGCCAAACCGCCCCAGTCGCTTCGCTCCTGGAGTCGCCGAATCAACTAACAAACATGTCCAACACGCCGTNCCCCCTAGCCCTTCTGCCTCGCCGAAGCCACCCACAGGCCCTATTCAGTTCAACATTGCTACGGGTTCAAATCAAGCACCCCTGAAGCGTCCTCGTCTAGACCTCGACGTCAACCTTCCCCCTAGACCCCATAGTAACGTCTTCTCAACTCCTTCATCACCCAACCGTCGCAGATCATCAACTTTCAATCCCAGCGTCCAACCTCCGACAGGCCCGCGTAGTTTGCCCCTGTTCCAGGCCAAGATCATACCCAAAGGACCCCTTTTGGATAAAACACGTCAGAAGCGAAGTATTCTTGAAGCTTGCGATTATAACAAAATCCCTGCTCAAGATGCCACNCCCTGCCCTTCCGACGATCGCACATGGATACTTCACTTCAGAGACCTTAGAGATCTCCAGACATCACTTGGGAAAATGACCATATTGCACGACATCAGCATACCTGTGCTTACGTATGCCCCTGGCCAGTCCTTCCAAGTTTTCGGCATTGTCGAAAAACCTTCGTTCATCACACCCAACGTCGAATTGGATATCATCAATACAGTGGCTCGCACCTTCCGTCCAGCAAAGTTCATCATGCACAGGCAGAAGAGTCATCCCAACCCGAGACTCACCAGGAGATGGCTGGTCATCTTCGAGCAGCCCGTGGATCGCGATAGCTTCACTCTGAACCTGAAGATCAATGGATATCGTGAGACGTTGGACTTTTCTGGCCTAGCATGCTCGCAAGATAAGAATCGTTGCTGGGTGTGCAACCGGGACAATCATCTTGCTCACGAATGTGAGTTTACTGACGCTGTCAATCTGCCGCATCAAGACAGTCAGTATCTCTCAACCACTCCGCAGCTGAGATGAGATAGATCATAGATTAGAGGTAGTCCATTAGTAATAGCACACGTAACGTCAACATTAACCGATAAACTTTTGCATGTATCTTACCATCGAGAACAAGGTGGTCTAAAGACAGTAGGACATGTGCCAAGGTGCTTTGGACACCAAGTGACAAACGGTACGATTCATCTTCCTGACCCCTCGAAACTGGATGATATCTTGGACCACTGACAGCCATGTATCTCCTCGCTTGTATGAAGGTACAAGCAGTAACCGTTGGACTTCTATAGGTCAGCATGTTCGCGGGAGATGGATCGGTGCTGGGTGTGTATGGGGCAGGATCATCTTGCTCCCCATTGTGATACCACCGATATAGTTAGATTGCCGCATCGAGACAGTTAATATCTCTCGAAGACTCCACAGCTAAGATCAACTAGTCTATGAGCAAGAAGCCGTGGACTGACAATAGTGATACATGACCTGAGAATCAATTGATGAACTCGTAGCCCCACTTTCCATTCAAGCTAGGTCATAAACTATATAGATACATTTGCATCTTAACAACCTTACTGTGTCATTGTATCACGGTGCAGTGGATTAACAACAATCAGCGCGAGTCATCTAGTCGGAACACTAACAACGATTGGTCTTTAGTAAATCGTTAACAGTCAAGTAGCCTTTCCCGTGCATGGAGGTACAAGCAGTAGATCAACCAGTGAGATTTCGAGGAGCTAGTTCAATGACCTGGTAAGCACTTTGTCCCATAAAAGCACGTTACTAGGCAAACACAAGAAAAAGCTGCAAAACGAGTTTAGTTGCCAGCGAAGTTCATTTTCTCGTGCTACAGTCTCCCCATGTGCTGAAGACAGTCACAGCGTAGCTGCCGCAATGCACAATATTTTCGCGAGACTATGGTCTCCACGGAGAGAGCTCTAACGAAGGCTATCTCAATGGCCAGACTTATCATTGAATCAACAGCTACACTGCGACTGTCTTTAGCACATGGGAGGTTGTAGCACGGAGAGGATGAGGAGAAGGAGAGTATTGAATCATTTATATGGCATCACAAGAAACGACAAAGCACAAAGAGAGAATCGAAGTAAGGAGAGGGAAGAAGAGTATATGTGGAAGGAGCAAGTCTGGAAGGGAAGATGGAAGCGATCGCCTTTTCTTTGATGGTAGAATCCTGTGAGATTTTGGAAGTTGATCGACGATCAGATCGACTGAGGGACGAATATTTGTCTATTCGTTGTAAGGTGAGTTGAGATATGCGATGCCATCGATCCAAGTCAACTACGGAGCTTGTGGACGCACAAAATTCCTCTCGCGTAATAGCTGCTCGCATGCGGCACGCTTCTGTGGGTCACGACAAGAGTCCAACGCACTGAAAGCATTCGTATAGTCATAAGAAGGCTTGTTTACATCTGCACCATGATCGAGCAGAAGTCGTACATTATTCGACTGGCCTTGAACCAGAGCTATATGAAGAGGCAATAAAATTGTATCCGGGGATCTGGGTATTTTCAAGACTCTATCTTGGTTCGGATCGGCACCTGACTCTAGCAACATCCGCGTGATAGTTTCGAGACCAAACATCGAAGTGACAGAATTGACAAGTGGAGCATTCTGATGCACGTCTGCGCCAAGCTCAAGAAGTTTGCATACAACGCCTATGTGGCCCATAGCCGTCGCGGCATGAAGCGCAGTATGTTGTGGTACAGCCATGAGCGCGTTGGAAACTTCGGAGAACTCCTCGACCGAATAGGCACAGGATGCGTTGACGTCCGCACCGTGCTCGACCAGCAAACGTACCACAACCTCGTGTCCGTTCCGAGAGGCAGTTGCAAGTACAGTATCGCCATTCGAAGCCACGTCATTGACATCTGCACCAAACTCAAGCAGCATGAATATGAGTTCTTCATTGCCAAGAGCCGAGGCCTGGTACAATGCCTGAGTAAGCCGAAAGCGGTCATCTTTACTGATGACGCCAGATTCGAGAAAGACTTCGAGCATTCTCCGATTTCCGTTCTGGATAGCTATTCTAACAAGATCTTCGATGAACCCTGATATGAGGATTCGCAATGCTGGAAGCAGACGATTCTCCAAAAGCAGCCTCATTATCGCAAATTCGCTTTGTCGCGTAGCCTGCACAATCAGATCCTTGAGGATGCTATCATTTGCAGCAGGCACGGCGCCATGAGCTATCAACAGAGCGACAGCAGGTGCGTTGAGCTTGTCTAAAGCAGCATGAAAAGCATGTTTGTACTTTTGCAACTCTTAGCGTGATCAGCGCCGTGTCGGAGCAGTGATTCCAACATCTGTACGTTGCCGAGGATTACGGCGGCGAAAATAGGGAAATCGTACCGTCCGCCCCTGACATTTATTGACCGACTTCGACAGATCTCGATCTGGAAGAGATGCAAGAGGTTTTTCTCTATAAGAATATACAGCAGACTTGCTCCAGCATAGCGACGTATCTTATACTGCTCGGTAGAATCGTGCAACAGCATCCATTCTGATAGCGGGAAATTATGGAGGAATCCCTCTTGAGGCAACCCAAGGCTAGCTGCAGATTCAGCATGCTTGAAGACATTGTGGATTGAATATTTTAAGAACGGAAACTTGATTTCGTTTTCACGAGAAAATTCTCCAATGTTGTCCAATGGGATGCTGACCAAATAGCGCTGACAAGATTGCTTGAGAAGGTCATGTATAGGGCCTGCCGAGGCAAGACCTATGTCTGCTTGTAGTGCCGAACCACTGTCCTTAAGAAGGAAATCTCTCACAGATTCATGGATGAATTGTATGGTTGGAGTTTTGCTCCTCGTTGGCTCAGCAAGGCCCTTGGACGAGCTCAGGATGAATCTGTTGATATCTGCGATTGTGACTTCCTCGGAATCCCATATCGTGACGGTAGCTGAACTGGATGTAGATAAAATGGCGAAGTAGAGTTCTTGGGGGCTCAGTGGTCGATCTGCGTACAATATCCATTTCAAACAGGCCTTCAGATTCTCCATATTCTCGGCGTCTCTCTTCAGGATATCCTCGAACAATTCGTCAAGGCCCTTTGGAATTCCCTTGAGACATTCGCCAAGAGCGTGCACTTGGCCGTGATCGTAAGCTTTTTGGAGCATGGGCACAACAAGTACCACCCACAGAAAAACACCTTGCGCGTTCTCGTGCATTTCAGACTTGATCTGTTCAGCACGTTTACTACGTCCAACCTTGAGTCTAGAACTGATGTATTTTGTGATATCCTCCGAATGACCTGGCTGAGCTTCGAGAATCAGCTCGACACATTTGTCGATAGTGATATGCGGATAGTGTCGACTGGAAAAGCACACAAAGAATCGTGTTTTCTCTGTGATTGCACATTCTCCTAATGCCTCAAAGAAGCAGACCATCTCTCGCACTTGGTCTTCGTTGTTCTGACACTCATCAATTGCGTCAACGAAACAAGTCAGACGTTGATTTCTGAGTTTCCTGATAGCTCGACGAAAAAGCAATCGTAAGGTTTCGACTGTCCATGAGTGGGGAGACACAGCCTGCAAATTAAGTGCTTCTCTTGTGTCAAGGATCTCCTGAAGCCGAGGGACATCGCTGAGCAGCTGAAACAATAGCGATCGGTACATTCCAATAGTAGACTTTTCCAGGGATTCGCCTCTAGCGTTGAAGAAGTAAGAAATGACTACTGAGCCTCTTGCATTCTTTTNCGCATTGTTGTAGGCAAACTTCATAATTGTCGATTTACCTGCGCCAGGCTTCCCTTTTATCCATAAGAAACCATGGTGCTCAGGAGTATTATTCTCACTCTGCCAATCCAGGTACTTTGGTTCGCTTAACAGCCACTCACATGTAGCAGCGTGAGCAGTCTTGATAGTGGCCTGACGAGCATCAAGCTGTTCATAACTCAGAGACTCTAATTTGATTTTTCGTGCATCAAGGTCCACGAGCGCTGGAGGCTGGGAGTCTGTGCTGGTGTGGTCCTTCATGGACAGGGCTGATATCATAGCATTCTGCCTCTCCGAAGGCGGCATGCGGTGAGCTCCATTCCGGGCGTTGAAGTCGTCTTCAGCACTGAGCGAGAACTGTCGTTTCCTGGTGGAACCTTCCGAAATTATGTCGTGCTGTCTGGAAGTCCAATGATCTAGAAATGCCTTTGCAGCTGAGGCCGCTGTTGCGGCTGCATATTCTTGCCATATGCTATTTTTATGGCTATCGGCATAGTCGCAAACACCTTTGATCACGACGACACAAGGCAAGGTGTCCCACACACCAGCTCCTTCCATCTCGAAAGCGATTATGTTACTATCAAGAGCAACAGCGTCACGGTGTTCGCCAGATTTCATGACCATTTTGGCTGAGCCAATCGTGCCTATGTGTACCAAAGGCGCAGGGTTCTCTGAGTTAAGACGCGCGCCTCGAACCGAGTTCTCCAGAACTACAAGTCCGTTGCAACCCAGCATGTCACAGTCTGACTCGAGTGCGTCGTCACATATCAGATCGTTGGTTGATAGAGCATTTATACAAGCCCTGCAACCATGCGATGAAATATCTTGATGCATATGACGGTATGAAGCAGCGAAAAGTCTGTCGTGCTCGGCACCTGGATATCTGGCTGTATTACTCTTCTCTTGCAATCTTGCGAGATTCTGTAGTATTGTCTTCTCCATCCTCTGGCGCACAGATAGTGTTTCAAGCTTGTTGAGAAGCGCTCTGATTTCTGTATTTGGGCTACCAAGTGTGTCTTTGAGACCGCGCTTTCTCTCAAAACGATTCGGATATTGTCTGCCGAAGTCGAATTCGACGACTGAGTCGGATATGATGACATCTCCAAGAATAATGGGTCTTCCAAGAGGTGCGGCACCACAGACACCGACAACGAGAGCAAGTCTGATTCTCTCAAAGCTCAGGCGGAGCCCGGTTGCTACGCTGGCTGCGCTAGTTGTACCCATGCGAGGCATGTGGGCTAGAACGATATGGTGTTGACCAATGCGCCCAGTCGAGTAGGCGTTCATGTCCTCCTTTGCTTGCCATATTTATCGCCATGTTCATCGTAGATCTGGTCGAACAGTCCTAATACGGCGTCGGCTTCTCGTGGTAGTGCACATATAATAGCGACTTCAAACTCGTCTCGCGTTTCTGGATGCATCGTGATTGATCACATGGACCGAGGTTAGAGTCGGATATATCGTCAAGACCGTGTTGTAACCAACGGATCTGTAGAGACCATAACTTTGGGTCTGATCGAGCGGCAATCTAGCGGGTTCAGTGGATTTGTATCAGCCTCGACAGTCAATCACGCGCCGCTCAGCCTCTGGGCTTGCAGGCAGGCTGCATGATGATTGACGAATCACATCGATTGACTAAAGTCAGCAAAGAGCGGCATCACGAACATGTTGAAATGACAGCGAGATGAGCAGCAATGATGTCGGATGCTGGTGGGCAGTTCAATGCATCCATTTGCACGACCTTGAAAGCAGGTAAAAGGACGATTGAACCATGACGATGTTTGTTTGTCGACTCGCCGCAGGAACACCGACAGACGGAGCTTCCGAAGTTTTACCATGAGTGAGATCTCCCATCGCTCCTACCATACTCAGCCATTGCAAATGTTCGGGTCATCCAAGATCAAGTCTTAGGGACAAGTGGGACACGTCACTAGTAGCAATATGAATTCGCGCATTGAAAAGGGGTTGAAAGTCGTCTTTGTCGTGCTCAAAGCCGCGCAAGCCTCGTCTCAACCTGGTTACGCTTGCGATAGGCGTCAAGATTCGAAAGAGCTGAAAAGCCAATTCAACGATCAAATCAATTGTAGCGCCACTACGCAAGCAAGCTCAAGACAATAGCAAACACGTGCGAGCAACGGGCCGTATTCGTTCAGACACTCAGCTACACAAGAAGCTGCAGACCCCACGGGCGCCTATTTGTCGTGTCTTGCAATTTTTGAACCCATCCAGCAACCGCTATATATATCTCTATAGCCTTGAAGGCCGAGGATATTCTATCCGCGCAACCATGAAGCGCACCACTTTTCTTCAAGCAGTGTTCGCTACAGCTGGCCAATCTGCTGCAACCTCAGGATGTCGAGAATCGCTACCTGCATCAATAGAGCGCGGAGGTGTCCATAGTACCAACTCGCTAAAATTCGTCACCTCCAATGGAACTGTTCGCGAATACGGTCTACACGTACCGACATCATATGACAATGACACTCCCACACCACTTGCTTTTTCATTCCATGGCCGATTGCAGACTTGGCAGCAGCAGGAAGACACATCTGGAATGTCCAACGAAACCATGAATCCAAACTATCTAGTCGTCTACCCGCAAGGCATCAATGAGCAATGGCAAGGCGACCCAGATGCTATTGGCTACGACGATGTCGGCTTCACTCTTGAACTCCTGGCCAATCTCTCTAGTACCTACTGTTTGGACACGAACAAGATCTACGCAGCAGGCAAATCAAATGGCGGTGCATTCGCTGTAAATACTCTGGCTTGCCATCCTAAAGCTTCAACTATCTTCGCTGCCTACGGAGGTATGTCAGGGGCATACTACCAGGGTGACAGCGAAGACGACTGCCATGCCGAGACAGTGCCCATAGCCTGCAACTCAAGCCGATCTCCCATCCCGATTTTCACAACCCACGGCGATTCTGATGATACCATCCCCTACTATGGTGGACCTCGCCGCGACCGCTGTCTCCCGAGTCTACCTCACTATATGACCGCGTGGTCTGAAAGCAATGGATTTGGTGCATCGAACACATCCACCTCGCTCTACCACAAAGACGTGGTTCGATATGACTACGGGAACAGCACCTACCCAAGCATTCACACACACTATCGCATACATGATCTCGGACATTATTGGCCGTCGCTCGACAGTGGAAGTCCATTTGATGCGACTCCCATTCTTCTTGAGTTTTGGAATAAATGGACGTTGGATGCTGTGAGCACTACTTCTTCAGCCACCAGCACTTCGTCGTCGTCAGCATCGAGCGCTTTATCTACTAGTTCGGCATCGGCCTCGACCTCCAAGTCTATTGCATCTGATTGGAAAGTCAGTCAACAGCAGTGGTTTCTGGGAGGCCTGGGATTTTTCAGCTGGTTGTTTCTCATCTAGTGCTAGACTGTTGAATATGAGCATTGGTCTGGTGTTATTGTTTTCCGATTAGACAGGCTTTCTGTTAGAGAATTTCTATCATGAATTGGACTGTTTTCGTCCTTTCACACCTACACACTCATCTTTCACCTTGATCGGACTTCGGTTCATCATATTGTAGATTGATCCGATAATACCCTCACGAGCTTAATGTTTGCGATGATTCAATATTTGCTGGGTTGAGAAACTCTTGGAAACATTGATTGGTAGCACTGTCTACACTTTGGATGCAAAAGCCCAGCTAAGACAGACTTTTACCAACGGCCAACACTGTACGTCGATCCAATATCTCCGATCTTGATGTTGCTGAAGGTAACGCTCGTAGTCGGGTCATTAGCCTCAATNNACTGTTGAACCAAATATGTCAGCAATCCAAATCATCAACACTCATGAACAAAGGCAACATACAGAGCAGGGTTTCCTTGAGTAGCATTGCAAGGTCCAGCATTACCACTGTCCAACCAGTTCATGAAAGCGCCAGGATCGTTCCAGACGGACATGGCGAGCACCATACCACGTCCGATCGCCTTACCCATCTGTGCAAGTCCGCCACGCTGTTGGAAGGACGAAGCTACGACNNCCTCACAGAAAGAGTCTTCGATGGAGTTGACGCCCATACCGGCGACTTGGACGACGGCATTCTGGATTATTTTGTTATTCTGGATGTAGAGACGGGTGATGTTGCTAAGCGTGCCGGTGGCCGTGTTGTCGTCGGTACGGAACTGAGTAACCACGGTGAAGGNGCTGGAGAAAGGTCAGCGAGCGGCTTTGCAATGCGATCACGATACAATTACGTGATTGGTGTCCACAACGTCTCCAAGACCGTAGAAGGTCTTATTGCCATAAGCGTACGAATTGTATCCGCAACCAATCTGGTCACAGACACCATTGCTACTGCAGGCAGCGCCAGAGCACTCATACAAGCCAGTGATGTTGCAGGCGTGAGGGGTAAACTGTGTCGACACTTCATTGGCCTCCCAGATATCCATCTCGTTGCAGCAGGCGCCGTTGTCATTGATGTTGGCTACGCCATTGATCCAGGCGGACTTGGGGCACTGAGCATCACAGTAGCCAGTACCGTAGGCAGCGCCAGCAGGGTTCAGAGTCGAGCGACCACCAGTGGCAGACATCTCAGAGAGATAAAGTGCGCCATTCATGCCGCAGGGAAGGTTGCTGACGTCCACAGTGAAGGTGAACTCTTGGTTGAGCAGCTTTAAGAGGTCGTAGTTCTGACCTCCGGGAGCCAGCAGGTACACGCGCGGAGAGACGCTTGTTTCGGTCCCGTTGATGTTCAAATACTGGTGGAGCGTCATGGAGTTGCCACTGACTGTGACACCATGCTGCGCATAGTTGTCGATACCCTCGATGGCACAGTTGCGGGCACAAGCCTGAGCATTGGGACAGATGGTCTGGTCTGGGAATCCAGTCGAGTTCTGGCAGGAGGCACCAGTCTTGACGTTGTCGATTGCATGGGTAAGAGCGTCTAACACAACCGATGTCTGCTGGGTCACGCAACCATGGCGAGTGGTGCAAAGCTGGGTCGGCAGCTTTGGGTGGATTTCAGGAGTCCTGCCGATCTGCTGGGCAGCAGCGAGCGCGATCAGGCCCGTAAGAGCGAGGATGGGAGACATTGCTGTGAGGCGGTGGTGGTCTTGTCGTTGTTGCGAGTAGCTCACCACAGCAGCGAGCTGTCTTTATATACCATCATGAGCCCCCTATATCTGCACCAAATCGCATACAATGCCGTTGTGCCGCAAGTCGAGATGCGTAAACGAGGTCCAGAATGGTCAGCTGCTGTATACCTGCTACACTGATCGGTCCGTCGAAGTATGAGATACAGCAACGTTTGACTTGGGTATGCAAAGGGACCCCGCTCTCTAAGCATTCTCGCTAGACGAGGTGTCTGTGACATACGCAAGCTCGGACCGGATAAAATCTTTGAGATGTGGCTTCCACTTTGGTGAAGGTGTTATAGCCCAGGGTGCGATACGGCCGGGACTGAGGTCTTCCATCATGTATCGGTCCATACCTTCGACCATATACCAAGCTCAGATACCATCGCATCCAAGCCAAAGCAGGCAGCTAACAGCGGTTCAAGTGCGGAGATGCATGGTCGAGTGGAGGTCACAACCCCATAGACACGGGGTAGAATGCTGCATGTGGAGAAGAGGAGGTTGAAATGAAGTCTAGATTTTAGCTTTCTACCACAAATTGGCCAAGAGGCAGCCGAGGCTTGTTTTATTGCATGAGATGGTGCAGTATGCAGCGCAAATAGCCGGCCGGACCAGCGCACCGCCTTTCCGTGATCCAGATCTGGCAGGTGCCAGTATGGCCAGTTGCAGCAGCAGAGCAGCCTACAGCCTATGCGTTCGATGCTTGGATGTCGCTTTGGCTTCTCGACTGGCCAAAGTCTTTTGTGTCTTCAGGGTGGGGTGGTCTGGATGGTATACCTTGTGACCAGGTGGGCCGTCGGTGTTCAGAAGGCACAGCTGCATGCACTCAATAGCTGACGATGGTGTTCATGTAGGCATTCATAGCAACTGATACGATACCGAAACCGATGATCACCGAGATCATGATGGGAATCAGATACTTGTCGACGCGTCGCCGGTATGGGCTTTACAGAAAAGGCCGACAGGTCTGGTAAGTGCAGCTCACACGGCGGGAAGGAAGCAGAATTCATGACTGATCATTGTCGCTGTAACAGCTGCTTCCTCGTTTGATGATGAATGGCACGCAGAAAAGATTGGATATAGTATACTGATGAGGGGGGCCGAGGGAGATGACCGCGGTCAGGCCGGGGTTCGCCCTGAAGCCGATGAAGCCCAATGTTTGCCCATCCGAGACTCTTTTGGCGCAAACAATGCGCAAGTGCAACGAGTCGAACANACAACAGTCAACCAAGAAAAAAAGTGATGAGAACAAAACATACAGCAGCAGGGATTCCCACGTCGTCACCGACCGTAGTACTAATCTGCCGTTCAACTGCTTATGTATGGCAGAGCGGACGGGATGCCCAGTTTTCAGCTGACTGTGGCCGTATGTGCTTGAACAGCCAAATTTTTGAGTTATATATCTCCAATCCAAAACACAATCTAACCGGCTTGGGCTTCAAGAGACTACGCATACAGCATCAGAACATCAAGATATGACAACAATAAGATAGAATTTCGGGTAGTAGTAAAACAGCCCTCATTCACTAGCTCATACTGGTGATAGGAATACGCCCGGCCACCTAAGATACAACACAATCTACTCGACTTCCAAGGGCCAGATAGCCATTCCATAGACTAACTAGCACCTCCCCAATACGTTCCAAAGGTCAGATGTTCACGGTGGTTACAAGGGCGAGAACGTGAAAGTGGCGCGTTTGAGTCAAAGGTGCCTGCCAGAGGATATTGATACGACAGATCATCAGGGGAACTGCTGCTCGAAAGCTATGTCGTCCAGGTCTATGTCCAGTGATTCGCGAGTCAGAGTTGAGAACGTCAAACTAACGAGGATACGCTCAGCATATGCTCCGAGTAAGAGCCATATATTTCGTCAGGGCTGTTCACGCCGTGAGAAGGTAGAAACCTCTCTCAATAATCAATAACGAAGCTGTAGGTTAGTCATGGGCTGCTCGCTTCTACACCGGAATTCGCTCCATGATGAGGGCAAGCCTGTACAAGTAAGTCAGGGCAAGTCGACGATCAGAAGGGCCATCCGAGGTGGAGTATGGGGCTCATTTTCTCAGAAAGATCCACAGATTGTATTGCCAAATTCTCACCCTGTAAATGAGACTTTAGGGCTGGCACTTATGAGTCCGTCGAACCTGAGGATGAGAGTCATTCCTGTCACCAACATTGAATCGCCTTGTGAGTTGTCATATCACGAGGTCATGAAGCTCTGGACATTGGAAAGCTCGAGCACCAGATGGCTCAAACTATCAATCTACGTGGTTCGCCCCGCAGAAGTGAACCTTTTCGGCACTCCAGAATCCGGCAGTTCGAGCAAAAGACTCATCCTGAGGAAGCACAGCGTCTCATGGAAAAGCCATGTTCCTGGTTATGTCAACATCGTAATGGGCGCCAGGTCAGAGAGTTGTGCTTGACAAATAATGGGTCCCAGCCTCAATTCTTATCATCTTGACTCAAGACTTGCCCTAACAGAAACCCACCACAGGTTGTGTTTGTCGATCAAACTCATGGTTTTAATTCTTCTCTGATGCGGGTCGGTCTCGCATTGAGGCTTTCGACATGACCAGTTGCATGACTTGCAAAGAGCGCTATAACAAGATATGCTGACGAGGATAGGAGTAACAAATGTCTTTGGGCAGAGTCATGCTTTAACGGCGTGATTCCTCATCACCCTTGACTCAATAGTGACAAAATCTTGTCTCTCAACTCTGTGACAATCAGTCAGAGATGCCGAACTCCCGGAACAAGGCAAACACAAGGAGGAACAGCTCCCGGAAAAGGCAAATACGAGCAGAAAACGGCGGCATGTATTTTTGCAGACGTTTCTTCTGGAAGCACCTCCGGAACCGCTAATTAGCTGCCGTGAGTCGTTGAGCCCAAGCACCAAACCACCGGATGGATCTTCACCCATGCCGTTCAGTCATTCCGGCGACTGCTCTTAACTCACCATCTGCCTTGCAGTGCCACAAATGCCTTCGTATCTAGGCTGTTCAGATGTATCGTATAATCAAAGTCCAGAGGGAGGCAACATTAGGGCAAAGGACCAGCTGAATTGTATGCCGAGATTTTGCCTAGCTCGTGTGCAAAGATTTCGACCCTGTTTTTCCAGCAGTAGAATTGGGTTACGGTACATTCAGCCTCCAGGCACGAGCAACGGTCGCCCTCGTTTCATCTGCAGATTCAGTTTTCGTTTATTAGTACGCCATCAGTTTGGACAGTTGGCGGAACAGCTCGGCCACCAATAGAGTGAGTCCAGGGTGAGTTGAAAAAGCCACCAATTCATCACGACCGCCCAACGATCGTACAAGCATGCAGGGTGGGATCTCATTATGCAGAGTTTGAGGTTATTGCAGGTTAAGGAACCTGAGTTCATGTGGTCGTGGTATTGAGTACCGAGATGAAGGGATTCTCTGGCTGCTATCGAGCTGTCTGAAAGTCGCAATGACATGCCAAGCTTCCATTGAACTCAACCCCACGCGCGTCGTACACAGGCACCTGCCTGACTTGGAACCCCATCCATGAGCAGTCTCTGTACGAACAAAAATCGAGAAACATGCAAGGAACGCGCGATTGGTCGTGAGACACATTGGGTCCTACCCGTTATCAAATTGAGTCGCAATTGATACTTCTACTTGAATCGGATCAGGGCTTCTGAACATAGCTTCTGGACCAGCTGAGGAGCTATTTCTCATACCAGACAAAGACGGTGCTCGTATCCACACCCTCGTCACCCGTTGGTCCACATGGTGCACCCCGGATCTTTCAAGATGGACTTACCAAGCCTTGGGGACACAGCGCCATGTGCAAAGCTCGAACCAGGTCAAAGGCAGGGCTACTGACTATTGCACTTGCGGTTAGAAGGCTAGCGGCAGGACCTTCGCTTTCCTACCGTCCGCCCACAATTCTTCCTGTTGGCCGGTGGCCATTGCTTTCTTCGACAGATGCCAATCGAATGAAGTGATACTGACGCCCTACAAAAGTTGGTGTCTTTGATGATGCTGTTCCGGCTAGCGAGTTTTGACGAAGACCCGAGAATGGCAGAGACCCTCGGATAGAATGAGTTTTCCTTATTATTAGACCGGCCCTTGATCCTTACATAGGCACACGTTTGTGCCGCAACCACACATCAGCTTGTTTGCATCTTGCGCCTACACTATTCATGTTCTCTTGTTCTACATCAATATCCTGATACAACCACTTCCTGCTGGATACCACGCTCGTTTCGTGCTTCGATGGCCACCTCTTCGGGAGACCTGCAGCTCGCAGCGGCAGCAGCGGGCTTTACANNCTTGGGTGAGCCTCGAGCATCAGATACAATGGACCAAATCTGACAGTGTTCAAGTTTCGGAACTCTCACAGTATGGAGGGCTGTTAAGCAAACGAAGCAAAACAAGTCGCCTCATCGAAGTGCTTTCGTCTACATGATCTGGGGAGAGATCCTAGCCAACTTACTCATCGGTATCTTGGGATGGTTGTTCTTGAATGGAGTCTTGCAGGCCGAGTATGTTGACTCGTTTCTGTCGACATTTGAGCAGAGAGCTAACAATCCGATAGCNCCCGTTGTCTTGTTCTTCATTCTATTCTGTTATGTATTTGAAGTTCAGCTACTGCTTCAAATCATTATCAACCGCATCGCCATCATCGTCGAGCGAAGAGCGATGGCTGCGAAGCTGAAGTGGGCCACTGCTATCTTCATCTCTATCATCAACATATGCGTCATGTGCATTGTAAGCCGCTTGGTACTCTTGAGACTTTTCTCAAATACTGACAGTCTCGTANNGTGGATTCCTGCTCACATGGCTAAGCCGCCAAGTCAGACTTATGTCGAGATCAACAAATACTGGGATCGTGTTTCCAAAATTCTCATTTGTCTCGTCGACGCAGGTCTCAATTGGTACTTCATTCACGTTGTCGACGCTCGGCTGGTCAAGCAACACGGCCTTCGCAAGTACAAGCCATTGATCGGATACTACACACGTCTTGGAATACTGTCGATCTGCATGGACGTTATGCTTCTCGGTCTCATGGCACTTCCCAACCAAGTGGTCTACATCCAGTTCCATCCTGTCGCATATGTAAGTCTCACTCCTGTTTTGGGTCAATCTCGACTGCATTCTTTTCATTCGTGTTGTCTGCTTCGGTACTAACATCAGGTTTAGATGGTCAAACTCTACATCGAGATGAGTATGGCCGACTTGATTGTCAAGGTCGCAACCTCATCTGAAATTGATGTCCGTCCAAATGCATCATCTGGAACACCATTCCCTGACAGCAGATCGTACGCCCAGCGTACCTTCAACGATCGCGACACCGTCAATGGAGCAAAGAACACCGCACACATCGGTCATACACAAGGCACCAACACCAACAGAGAAGACGTCAAGGGTATCCAACGACAAACAGAAGTTCAGATTTTCGTTGGAGACTCTGACAGCGACAACCAAAACGATGATCTGGACAAGATCTCGTCGAGGGCATCTGTCGAGAACAACTACAACACTCACGGCACGCCTCAGTACAATTCCAACAACCCATTCAACAAGGTCCACAGGCCGAACCGTCTATCCGACGAATCACAGATTCCTTTGAAGGACCTCTCCAGGGCTGGCGAAGCAGTATAAGCTCGCTCGCACCAACATCATTCACTTCTCTCATACACTCTTCAGTACTCGATCTGTACCAGACAGATTTTATTCCCTTATGCATTCATGAATAATATACCCTTCATTTGTTACCCTCGTATCTTGAATATCAGCTCGTCTTCAAAGATTCGCTTACATTTTGAATGCTTCCAATTGATGATGCACCAATCTTTGGCTCGCTTATTTGGCGATGAAGGATCAGTAAACTCCTCCCACGTTGTCCACGTAGACTGTCAAAAACCACGCACGCGAAGATCTGGGCAGCAATGAGACACGGAGCCCTAAGGCCCAAGCTAGCTTGTGACAAGCGTCAAATCAATCTCTTACGTGGATATCAAGGATGCGGCTTTTGCGAAAGTCCCAGGGGTTGATGGCTTGATGGCTTCACGCGGGTGGTCGCGACTCGCGCGACTCGCCTACGTACGAGGTGCACGGCCGCGGTCTGAGATTTAGCGGTCGATCAGCGGGTTGCTGCTCGGGATCTCGAGGTCGGCAGCATCCGATTGAGATCGGCATGGAGACGGTGTGCGGCCTTGGTTCCAGAGCAGTGACCTTTACGACACCAACGCAAGCATGCTAGATCTCCTTTGAGGAGCTTTGTCGTCCGTGAGTGAGGCTATACCGCTGCGACTCATGAAGATCAACGGTCAGTGGAGAGTGGAGAAGAGAGTGAGGCGCATGTAAGCTTAAGGGCAAGGTTTCCATGCCACGTTGAGCTTCATTCGTGAGCCTCTGTTTCTGAACACTTTCCACATATCAACCATTGTAGACCCGCACAGCAGGACACATCAAAACATTTCTACTCATTCTTATCTCAACATGAGCTCTGCACCAAACAACCACGAATCAACCAACAGAATTGGCAGCACGCCGGCTCAGGTTAGTGCAGGATATTGTCTCGGCGGTTCTACCCCTACCATCAGTTCTGACCAGGTGTAGCGTCATGTCATCTCCGCTGCTCAAGCACAAGGAGTGCTGAATGCTGCTGCAAAGTGTGCCGAGACTGTCACTCCGCAGTGCATTGCCATCTGCGATCCCTCCGGTCTTTTGGTTGCTTTCTTGCGAATGGACAATGCTTATCCCGGCAGCATTGACTTGAGCATCAAGAAAGCTCGCACCACAGTGCTGTTCAATGGACTGCCCAGTGGTGTTGTCTACGACCTCGCACAGCCTGGAGCACCATTCTACGGTAAGTCTATGTGACTTTCAGACGTTCTGGCAGATGCTCATGAGTTGGCAGGTATCCAAGAAACAAACGGTGGTTTGGTAGTCTTTGGTGGTAGTCTGCCTCTCTACAAGGACAACTTCCTCCTGGGCTCGATCGGCGTCAGTGGAGGATCTCCAGACCAGGATCTTCAGGTCGCACAGGCTGGTGTCGACTGGTTGACGCAGTCTGAGTAGATCTTTCTGATCTCATGACTGAAAAGCAGTCACAATCTACAGCATGCAAAAGGCACCGGTGTTTTGGGAAAGCATTCTTTTGGATCAGCAAACAAATCTCCTTCTGTCCGATCAGCATCCCGATAACCAGGTTGGATCAACAGTCACAGGACCTATAGAACAAGCACAGATAGACGTCAAGTTTTGGTTACGAGCAGATCGTCGAAGTTTGATAAGCATAATTCTTGTACCTTTACTTTCTCCGCACATGGTTATCTGATTACAATCGACCCTTAATGCTCCACTCAACTACACAGAGAGATTGACAATCTTGATGACAAGTTGACGTTCGCTTCAAGCTCGGAGACAGTGATTGATGCCAAAGTGGTCATTGTGCGGGACGAATCATTCACTGATACGCTTGATAGTCTGACCAGAAGCTAGAGTTCGCAGATTGCTACCGGCACAGAGAAGTGCAGCTTTTGATATTGTGATTATCACGATGCAGCACGACGACAGAAGGGCAGGGTGCCTTGATTGACGAGACATGTGAAAGGTGGCCCAAGCTCGGCGCACCCAGACCGCAATCGATGTCACCGTCCAACATGCAATCGCGACCATCTAAACTTGCGACTACAGCTGTTTCCACGACTTCTTCCACCGCAACAGCTTTCCAGGTTCTTCCGAATTATCGCGACCGATCACAGCACTACTCGATCCGGCACACCTTCAATCATCTCTGCTGGCCAATTCCTCGCGATCAAACCAATCACCCAACTCTTACCAACAACCAACTCAATCTATCGCCATTGAACCACCAACAGAGGACCAGAAAGAGCTAGGAAAAGGAACCTACCACAACCATGGCAGCAACAATAACACAACCCAGCGATGGCACCTCCCCCTCGGACCCCAAAGTCGCAGCCTCAACCCTCGACTTCCTGCTCATAGAACTCGTTCCCTTGGCCCAACGTATAGCCGCCGACTTGCACGCCAGAGACACTGCCCTGCTGTCTTCCTCGCTAGAAAGAAATGCGACTCTAAATACCTCCACAACAGCGCAATCCACACACCCCTCTTCCACAACAGAAAACCGCCAAAGTCTTAAGAGCACAGAAGCGCTAGGAGGAGGTGCTAACAGCACAACTACCGGCATAACACACAATGGCGACGAAGAAACAGACGAAGACCTACAAGACAGCCTCCAAGAATCTGTTTTATATCGCTTAGACTCGCTGGGCTACCGTGTGGGTCTCGGTCTCGTTGAAAAACTCTCCCAAAACACACCTCGACCAACCACTTCTTTGGATATGATTAAATTCATCTGTAAAGACTTGTGGCAGGTGGTTTTTCGCAAACAGATTGATAATCTAAAAACAAATCACAGAGGCACGTTTGTGTTGACGGATAATAAGTTTTTGGCGTTGGGGCGCATGAGTGTGGATAGAGGGAGAGGTGCAAAGGGAACTGAGGAGGCGTTGAGGAAGGCTCAACCGGTATGTTCGTTTTTTTTGCTTTCTTCTGAACGACACTTGTTTCTGCTCTTGCTTTTTGTTTGCATTGGATTTTGCTGACTCTCCTCTCCTCTCCTATAGTTCCTCTACTTCCCTTGCGGTGTAATCCGTGGCGCATTAGCTGGGTTCGGTTTATCTGTATCTGTTCAAGCAGAAACCTCTGAACTGCCTCAAGCGGTGNNTTTCCAAATCAGGACTGTAGGGTCAAAACCTTGAAGGAACCTCGAAAAACCATATCCAGTGGTCATTGTGCTAGGAGAGAGAGACGGGGTATGAAGAGAAACAGGTGTAGTCCGTTGCTGGCAGATCTCAAGTCATGGAGCAGCAAAAGGCGAAGGGAGACGAAAGGGACTTTTGACTGTGGTCCTGCAGGAGAGCGAGAGATGATGCGCGTGGGAGGAGGATTCAGAGATGCAGCATTGGTTTGTAAAAGGCAGATGTGGCAGAGAACGAACAAATGCACCATGAAGAAGCATCACTCCAATAAAAGATACCCAGGCATGCTCTGAATTGTCCTCACAGCAGCCAAATCTTGCTTTCCAAATCGTACAATGTCTCTGTTTTGCTTAGTTCTTGTCCCTCCGATATTGGCGTTGCTCTATGAATTCCAAGTCAAACGAAGAAAAGGTTCGACAACGCCGACAAGGTACTCACGCGTCGCACCGACATGTACAACGAGACAATAGCACTTCAAGGAATCAAGGAGTATAAATGGCTGAGGACGTTGAAAGTTTGATTCAAGCATAACTAGAGCAATAAGTTTGGGCAAGTCTAGGGGCAAAGGGGTGATGCATCAACGCCCATCATCAAAGACAAACTTTTCCTCCACTTCGACAAAAGGTCCCTTCTCGTCTCTGTATTCCTTGACCGTCACACATCTGGTCCAAGCACGATCTTCCTGCCTGGCTGGACGAGGTTCGTACTGTCGAGGAGCCTTGCGAGGTTCATTGCCCTTGTCGAGGACAAAGTCGTCCTTGTCAACGTGGACTTGCATGCTTGGTGTAGGTGAGTTTTCGGCTCTGTAAGGACCATGAGCGTATGACTCCTCTACAAGAGGAAGTTCGCGTGCAGGAGACTCGCTGAGTGGGGTCCACTTGGGCTCTGGGACATAGGGTCTTTCGGCAGGGTCGACATAGGTGCGATTGCGCTGTTTCTCGTACACGCAATCGTCGTGGACACTNNCTGGCATTCCAGTAAGGTTGGGAGGCTGAGAACGCATTCGAGAGAGACCTTGCATGGAACCATCATCGCGATTAGAAGGCAAATCGGGCGGAAGAGTAGCGACCTCATCCTCTCCAGAGAAAGAAACACGGCGCTTGTTAGGTCTGTTGTTTGGAAGAGGTGCAGGACGTTCTCTGGAAGGAAGTGGATACTCCTCCAGCGGTGCTGGACGACTGCTGACTGTTGATGGATAATCGTGAAAGCGCGGAGGGATGTCTCTGGTAGGCGCAGTATATGGTGCTGGATAGTCTCGAATAGGTGCAGGATTGCGTTGAGAAGGTGCAGGATGCTCTCTGTAAGATGCCGAGTAGTCTTGGCAAGGAGCAGCATACACACCCCCTAGCGGGTGCAAGATAGTCTCTCGAAGGTCGTGAATAGTCTGNNGAGCCGGCGGAGGATGATGGCGAACGTCGGACCACTTGCGTGTGTTCTCCCTCTTGACGACGAGGTACTCATCATAAGGTGGGCCGCGAGGAGGCATGATTTCGATGGTTGGAGGTGATGTGATGGTAGGTTCGACAGATGGAGCAGGTTCAGGGGGAGGTACGATGTGATGTGGCTTTGAAGCAAAAGGTTTGACGTAGCGGAATGGAATGTTGCGCACTTCTGGTTGAGGTGCCAGGCTGGGAGATACCGGGAATTGAGTTGTGGAAACTTGAGGTGTCGCAATCTGAGGTAATGGACTCTGAGGTGTTGAGGTTGGAGGAATAGATGGTTGCGGCGATGAGATCTGAGGAGCAGGAAGCAAAAGAGGCAACGGCAACGAAGAAGATTTGGAAGCGCAACGACGACAGACGCTCTGAGGCGGCGAGACTGCGAGGTTTGCGTCAACAGGATGCTCAGAGTGGTAACGTGCAGATCTTGGTTGTTGGCAGATCATGCAGACATGCCAAACAGTAAATGGAGAGCCATCGCGTGTCTGCGCCTCGAAGGGAACAGATGGTGGACGCCAGCTGAAGTTTGACATGATTGTGTTGGTGATGGAACAAAAGGAAGGTGGGGCTGATGCGAGATGAAAGGTGCAAGGAAAGAGTGAAAGAAGTGACATGTGACAAACATACTTTAGTGAGGCTGAGTGACGACCACTGTCTCTCCCGAAGGTCCGCCTGCTGTCTGAACAACTTCGCGTCTTTCGACAGGCACTCCGCCAGTCGTGTAAGAAACTCCAGTAGAGCCAGCACCACCAGGCCCACCAGCAGATCCGCCATAACCACCAGCTCCAGCTCCGCCGGCTGGGACCACAGTGACAACAGTCTCTCCATTGGGGCCAGTACTCGAAACGAATGTGTTGCCTGGTCCTGCTGCTGAACCATAGCCACCGCCCTGGGCACGTTGACGCTTGTGTTTGCGGTGCTTGTGGATGCCGAATGCCGTCCAGCCGACCAAGTTGGCAAGGACGAAGGGTACGACGAGAGCTGGAATAATGATTGTGGCCAGGCCAACACCGGCGGCTGTGGTGGATCCGCAGACCATGATGCGTAAAGAGTATATGAATGTGGATTGATGGATAGAGGTAAGGGGTTGGTGATGATGATGGGATGGACAGGAAGAAGCAAGCAGCTCGAAGTCAACAACACTTTAAAGCTTTGCGTCTCCTGTGGAGGAAGCAGCGAGTAGCTGTTGCGCCTGCCCAGACACGCATCCTGGCTGTATATCTCGTTCGACGAGATTCTTTGTCATCATGTCTGAGTTCGACTACCATCTGAGAATTATGCACTGGAATCCGTTAGCTTTACGTACTTGCTTCATGCTCTTTTGATATGTCGGTCAGAACCTACCTCCAGCCTTGCAAATAACAAGGACGGTCTGTGCAAAGAGTTTGTGTCAAAGAAAACGACAGATATATGCATGAACATTGACTGAAGGCAACAAAACAGAAAACTGGAGCGTACGTAAAAGCATTAATTAGTGTTCGGTGCATCTATCAATTCGTAAACGGATTTAATAACTAAAACAGAGACTTTGGGAGACATAAAAGGAGAAAACGAAAAACAAAAAAAGAGGTGGTATCGCTGCTGCTGTTGCTGTCATGTCCAAATATCGCTTGCCCGACCCATCGTACAAATGTATCGCACACGAAAGAGAAAAGAGAGCAGTATGTGTAACCCTAGCTCTGACTTCTTCTAGCTGTTGCCATCGTCCGTGTCTTCGAAGAATGTCAAGATCGCCTTGACTCCTCCGGGTCCGAGACCGTGTGGTGGGTAACACACGTAGATAGGATCGTCCTGGGCACCAAGCTTCTCTCTGAACTCTGACTTGGCTGTGAGCTTGAGCTCGGTGGCAATGGCGTGGTAGGCTTTGCTGAGAACCTTGATACGTGTGCCCTTCAAGTTGTGACCGGGAGTCAGTTTGGAGCTGGCACCACCACCGAAGGTAACCGAATCCGCACCGCCAGCCGCGACCTGCGCGAGCGCGTGCATGACGAGCATCTCGATGGCACCTGAGGGGGCGCCGGGGAAGTCCAGCGAGAACTTGACTTGCCAGCCGTGGTCAGGTGACAGCTGGGCCATGATGACGAAGCCGGCAATCTTGCCATCCTTGTCGGTTGTGTAGTGGTACTGGCGATGGGCCTCGTCCTGCCAAGGGTGGATATCTGTGAGATGGACCTGCTTACCCTTGCGGTTTGCCAGCCAGTCCTTGATGCGACCATCAATCTTTTGCTTGATCTCAGCTGGCACTGGAGTGCCAAGTGGGTAGTCGTGGACCTTGACGCCTTCNNCCTTGCTTGCGTGGCGGATCTTGCGCTGAATGTCATGATCATGCACAGCTGGGTTGTTGCCAGGATCCAGACGTTGCTCAGCAGCAACTGAGAAAGTACGCCAATCGAACTGGTGCGAAGAGAGGACTTCTTCAGTGTCACCACCACACAGTAGCCACAGAGGCTTGATTCCACGCTCTTTCTTGATGTAGTGTAGGTATCCTGCAATTGTACGGGCGTATTGACTCTTGTGGCAGAGCGGGTCACCAACGGTGATGGCGTAGCCTTGGTGAGGCACGAAACCGACGGCGGCACCAGTAGCGTCGTCTCTCCAGATTTCGGTACGAGGCTCGAGCCAAGATGTGTTGGAAGCATCTCCGTAGTTGGCGATGAGCATCTCGACGGATGGAAGCTCCATTCCAGCCGAGTGACGGTCTTGTCCTTCCCACGGAGGGTGCAATGTGCTGGCTTCGGGATGTCTGAGTTGCTTGACAACGGGCTTGGCAGGTAGAGACTTGGGATCGCGAGGGAAGAGAGTTGCATGGCGAATGTCGCCCAAGGAAAGCAAGAGCATCAGCATACGTTCCAAACCAATACCACCACCACCATGAGGAGGTGCTCCCCAAGCAAATCCTTGCATGTACTCATCTAGCGTGCTGGGATCCATCTTCAGACGCTCCATCTGCTTGGTCAACATCTTCTCGTCGTGGATACGCTGGCCACCAGAAAGAATCTCTTGGCCACGAAGGAAAATATCGAACGAGTTGGTGATCTTGGGGTTGTTGGGGTCGGGCATAGCGTAGAAGGGTCTCGCGCCGGCAGGGAACTTGTCGAGAACGTAGTAGTCGGTGCCATAGACTTGCTTGATAACCTTACCGAGCTGGATTTCGTCACGGGTACCGAGATCCTCGTCTTCAGGAAGAGGGTTACCGTTGTCGTCTCTCCAGCCAGACTCGTTAAGAAGACGTATACCCTCAGCGAAGGGGATGATAGGAGTCTTGTCAAGCCAGACAAGATCTTCGTGGGNGAAGTGCTTCTTCAAGGTATCAATCTCGTGACGGTAGTTCTCGTATACCTTCTTGAACATGAACTTGAAGAGGCCATCGAGGACACGAAGAACTTCGTGGTAGTGCTCGTCGATAGCCATCTCCAGATCCAGACCAGTGTACTCGGTCATGTGTCTATGTGTGTTACTGTTTTCAGCACGGAAGACAGCACCAATTTCGAAGACTCTGCCAAAGTCGGCTGAGATACACATCTGCTTGGCCAATTGAGGCGACTGTGCCAGGAAAGCAGGTCTGCCAAAGTAGTCGACCTTGAAAACACTGGCACCGGACTCGGTAGCACCACCTTGCAGCTTGGGTGTGTGAATTTCCATGAAGCCTTGACCACGAAGATATTCGCGGAAGAAAGATGAGACACCAGACTGAACGCGGAAGATACTTTGTGAGGTGTTGGTACGGAGGTCAACGATACGGTTGGCGAGACGGGTGCGGTCAGAGATGTGATGACGGGCGTTCTTTGAGATTTCGGCTTCTTCGCGAGTGACTTCGGCTTCCGCGACATTGAAGGGGAGAGGAGCAGTCCTGGAGCCCTCGACATGCAGCTCATGGATCGAGACTTCGAGGTTACCAATAGTGCAGCCAGTAATCTTGCCCTGTTTGGCCTTGGGCTCTTGGACCACAGCACGTACGCGAACGACCGACTCGAGTTTGAGGTGCTTGGTCCAGTAGACCATACCTAGTGAAACGCCAGCGTGCTCGTGCAGAACACCCTGGACGGTTGCCGTCTGCTGGCGCAGGGCGACGAAGACACGACGGCTGCTGATCTGGCGGATCATATGGACACGAGCACGGAAAGTAATCCATGAACCGACATCTCTATCGGAAAGCTCGAGCAAGTTGACTCTCCTCTCGTTGGGGGGCTGTGTAGGAGCGTAGTAGTTGAGAGGCAGAACACCGTACTTGGACTTCATATCGCTCGTCTCATCGGCCTCGGCACGTGCTTGTGTCTGTTGTTGCAGCTTGCGGTCTGCAGCAGAATGCTCTTCGGCTTTCTTGTGCCTCTCCTCTTTTGCAAGAGCTTTTGACGCTTGCGAAGCTGTGCCTTCGACATNGGGCTCGCCGGCAGCGTTCAGGGGACGGCCATCGTTGGAAGACGAGGACGAAGAGCCACGGCGGAGCTTGTGTCTGAAGGCGCCCAGCGGGCTGTGTGTGGGTCTGTGATGCGAAGTGGAACGAGATTGACGGCGGTGAGAGAGATCAGTGGATGCACGGCTGTTGTCCATGGACTTGCGCGTGTCAATAGAAGTCGAGTTCCGCGGTGAGGCAAAGCGAGACTTTGAGCTGGGACGAGCGCTGGTGTCGAGAGAGGCACGAGGGCGCTCAGCCATATCTGTGCTGGCTCTGCTGGCAGATGTGGGCGTACCACTGTCCGAATTGCTGTAGTTGCCGCTGGCGCTGGTGCTCCGGCGGTGGTGGCCAGGCACAAGCTTGTGCAATGCCTTCTTCATGGCTGAAAGCAAGCCGGGGTTATGGTGCTAAGGAAAGTGTGGAGGAGAGGGTGAAGAGAGAGGGTTGCAAGACAGAGGGAGCAAATTGGATGAATAGGACAACAAGGAAAGGCAGACGTCTTTGGTCGAGGATTCAGGTCAGAGATTACCGTCCGTTCCCCCACGACGTCTGTGAACTTGGGCGCGCCCATCACCTACCTTACCTACAAATGACGTACGGCCAAGCTTTCCTTCCAAGCCTGCTCTTTTCCAACCAACTTGCTACAAGCATTCGCGTTGCCCGACTTGTCGTTCAGAGCCCCTGCCTATTACTGGGCGACGCTGTAGATCTTGTACATTCATTACCTGCACATGCGTATTTTCTCGTCATGCTCATCTATGACCGTCACCTTTTCCTGCTTTGTGCTTCTTGTTCACTTCTTCTCTCACCTCCGAGGCTCAACAAGTCGGCGACTCGGCGTGCGATCTTTGCGGCTCTAAAGCGGCTACCGCAAACTATCCAATCATCAATTTCCAGCCCCCTCCGCAACATGCCTATTTCCTTTTTGGCCATGCTCTTCGAACCAACGTTTGGCTTTCTGTGTGACCCTTTGCAATTTCATGTCTTCTTGTAGTTTGCTTCGCTTAGCCATGCATCAGATTCGCCTCCTTCTCACCAGTCCTTCGCAGCATCAATCGACAACACTGACTCTTGTTTCTTGTGTCGTGCCCCGCGATCGCGATTGCTTTTAGATTGTTTTCCCCAAAAAGCGCACACCGTGCGTCCAAACATTGATGTCATCACCGATCACATCAATGTCGCTTTCCCTCGGCCTTTTTCCTTTCTGACTCTTCGAAGAACAGCTTCGTGAGCCACATACAGAAAAAACGTTTGATAAAGTATAGAAAAATACAAATATCGACTTCGCGTGGTGATTTCACTCCAAAGTTGCGATGATGCCGGCCGTATCCGCTCGTATATTTAAATATAGGCGGCTAGTCGAAGACCCGATCCGAGAAGAAGTCAAAATCTTGATAGGCCACCCATCGAAATACAAGTATCTGCGCCTGCAATCTCACACCGGCACTTCTCATGCAAATTGAAACGCAATCAACCATAGTACTGTGATTGTCAAGATTACCGATATCTCTATAATGCATCGCTGGAAATCATGCTTTTCCGCTTACAGAGGTCCCTGGGTGAATGGCTTCTGGTAAGCCGCCCTGATCTGCTGCTCCAACTGCCACTCCTGCATCCACTCCTGCACGAACTGAATCTCCTGCCTCTGAGTATCGGCCACCGTCAATGGTGGAAGAGAAGCGGTGGTCTCGTTCGGAAACAAGCCGTTCTCATCCCAGTGATGCACAGCTCCATCGATCAGGATGAAAGGTTCACTAGAGGTGGAGTTGCGCTTCTTGGCACCTTGGGCATATGCATGAGGTGTTGCAGGACGCCAAGGGTCCGCGGAGCCATCAACGAAGGCAAGACGAGGGTACGAGATGTCATAACCTCCATACTTGTTGACTGCCTCCACATCGGATGGAGTGGTGATGTTGAAGGCGTCCCTGCAGACAATCGACTCATACTCAAGATCGAGTAGAGACGAGACAATTGGCAACTCTCCTGGAGGTGCATATCCAGTCTGTAAGTATCCCCACTCAGAGCAGTACTGGTATGCCCATGAACGCCAGACGTATGACCCCAGGCTGTGTTCCTGGTAGTATTCCTTGTTATGGTTGCTAAAGCATTGATCCTGTGTGCTTCCACCTCGGGCGCAGGGGACTACAGAGGTTGTGTTCACGTAGCCGATAAAGTTGAGCATGCGATTGACTAAAGTCTCTTCAACGGTATAGTTGGTTTTCTTGATCAACGACTCGACGGCAGGACGGAGCGAAGAGGTGCCAGGGTAGAGCGTGGCATCGGATGAAATGTTATTGCAATACAGTTCGAAGGCAGGGCTCCCGACCTCTGGATCCCAGTTGCGACTCTGCCAGCTCTCAATGCCGTTGGACAGAGCCGAGGCAAAATCGTTGTCGTAGGTAATGTTTGATAGACCAAACGTAGACTTGAGTTGGTGAGTGAGGTCCGTCTCGTTCTTCTTGAGAATAGTGTCGACAATGTTGATCAAAGTCTTCTGTGTGCTGATACACTTAGGAGGTGCATTCTCAGCGATTGGAGTGAAGTATTCATAGTAGTCATAGATGGCCTTGGTGACACCAGAACTTGAGATCGTTCCCCAAAAGACGTCAGGATAGACAACTCTCAAGAAAGCATTGAACGCACCAGCATACGACCCGCCGTATCCAAGGTATGCAGCTGATTCACTGGTGAGGTCCAAGTGTTCAAGTCCAGGGAAAACAATGTTTCTCGCAAAGTATGCCTCATCGGCAAGCGCTTGCTCGGTAGTCAAGAAGCGAAGGTTCTTGGTAGATAGATCAGGAGTAGGGAAGGAAGTTCCATAGTAGCGGTGTTCGAGTACAACACCGATACCATGAGTTGCTTGAGCGAGCTGAGCAAGAATACCTTTCTGCAGATATGGCAGACGTCCTGAAGCATCGGTTTCGCCAGATTGAAGTACAATGACAGGTCCACCAGGCTGGTAGTGCGATGCATCGAACCAGTATCTCAGGTTGAATGTAGCATTACTGTGCGGTTCATATTGCGAAGAGTTGTGGAAGTGGTCTACAGGCACTGAAATGTTGTATTCTGGATAAAGGGCCTCAGGATCGATGTCACGCTGGATCACTCGTCAGCAATCTGAACCTCGGCTGTCAGCTTGAAAATGTTATACCTTCTTCAAGCTGGAAGTTGCCACATCACGCTTGTGTTGTCTGCTGCCCAGTGCAGCTACAAGCGGAAGCGCATGTAAGAATGGTAGAACCCTCATCGTAGCAATTCACAAACAGATGAGAATATGAATGTGGCAAGGAAATGATGAAGAGTTGAATGCGTTGGGTTCCTGAAGTACTCAAGTCGTTCTGTCCAGACCGCTGATCGCGTCATCCTTCCTTCTGCCTGCCTTGCTCGTAAAACCGATAAGGGCACCTTCCATAACTGGCGTCTGGAGCCGGAGATCCTCTGAGCCAAGCCTCGCGCGCATTTTTATGACCACGAAGAAACAGCAACAACGTCTGCAATATCAGGTGAGGACAGAGAACTCCACGGCAGAAATTTGTGTCAGAGGTCAGGCATAGGAGATATGTACCTAGGTACCTTCCCCAACTCATCCAGAAGTACCCATGCTGAACTAGGTTCACTCCGACCCGTGGGGGCATGTACCATGACGTCTGTACTTCCGCCAGGGTGATATCTCTAGCATAGATTCGAACATCGAAAAGGTTCGATTTTGTCTCTGAAAGTCAAGAGGCCGGTGAGTTCTCCTGTCCGGATGAAGGCATTTCTAAAATGCGAACTGCTGTACATATGCTTGGACGATGTTAACAAGCTGCATCTTTATAGGGCGACGGGCCTTGTGTGTCTCCCTGAATCTTTGGGACCATTGTCAAGTATCTCAGCCGAGAAACAATTCGTTCTCATCCACCAGTTCGAGTGGATTGTATACGTCCAATCAACAACAAAAGGTATGGTGTATCTACTTGTTACGTTAGGTTTCCCTTGAACCATTGCTTGTAACAATGAAGGCAACGAGACTTGGACGCTCTCAGAAAAGTGTGGGTGCGATATTATTTACGCTGATCTGGAGTGCTTCATTGCCACGCCGCTTTAGCTCATCTGGGAGAGCGCCAGACTGAAGTCAACTTCTGTCCTTCTTGTATCCGCAAGAGTATTCTGGAGGCACTGTGTTCGATCCACAGAAGCGGCATTACATTTTGTTTCGTGGCCAAGCAAAATCTTTCCCCCGCAAGTAGCTTCCACTTCTCGCCCTTTTCTTTTTGTCCTTTTGGAACCCCCTTCCGATGGCAAGGGTCACGGCCTGGAAGCATACCTCTGATCCGAGACTCCATCCGACTTTTCGCGCAGGAATTCATCGTCGGAGCCGCTTGTGATGATCGGAGCTACCTAGTCTGGCACATGCCGCACGACCGTCACGGCAAAGCACTTATTCGGACGAGCCGAAATGGCCATGATCAGACTACGACAATACCATTACCGATGCAACAGGGCAAACAATACTTATAGACTTAAGCGCTCGACTGCAGTGCATGACGTTCGTCTCTCGTCAACGCTTCGACTTTGTTTTGCAATCTCCGGTACCTGGCACCAATCATAGCTGACGAGCTATTGTTACATTGTCCTGTTACACTGCCTTTGTTGCGTTCCGTTGCTTACCATATCATACACCCTACTTTTACACAAGCTGCCACGGAAGGATTTTGAATCTTGAATCTAGCTACGAGAAGCAAAATCATCACTTCCTCAGAAATGCTGCGTACCATTCAGACTATCCGATCACCATGCCGACAATCCAAGCTGCGGTTGTCAAACCAACTGCGCACAGCTGCAACAACTGCTAGCGGCAAGGCTGAGGGAACGATTGCAGATTCGTTTGCTTCTCTATCTGGTCAGCAGTTTGAAGCACTGGAACCTCGCTTCGCCACTGTTAAAGAGAACCTCATCCGAGGAAATGAGCAAGCCGTCCAAGCATCTTGGAACAGATTGCTATTAAGTTTGAAAGATGAGGTTCAGGAGATCAAGCGACTGGGCTCGTCGATTGTACCGCAGATAGACTTCAAGGATATCGACGCTTCTTCAGAGCACTTCAGCAGTGAGTACAGGAAACGTGGTGTTGCCGTCATCAAAGGTGCAATCCCCGAGGCCGAGGCATTGCAGATGAAGGAAGATCTCAGGGAGTACATCAAGGCAAATCCTCAAACAAAAAGTAAGCATCGCTTTCAACCAGTCAAAGACTTTGTACCCAAGCTGACATACGACCTAAGGCTTCTCACANNACAGGTCTTTGAACTCTACTGGAGCAAATCGCAAATCCGAGCAAGAGGTCATCCCAACCTGCTCAAAGCACAACAGTTTCTGCTCAGCTTCTGGCATTCCAAAGACCCGAACGCATTGTTTTCGGACACACCGATATCATATTGTGACAGACTGCGCATGCGTGAGCCTGGTGATGCAAAATTTGCCCTCGGCGTATGTTTTCTGACACCGAACTTTCAGGTTAGCGCTAACATCTGGACANNGCCTCACATAGATGGAGGAAGTTGCGAGAGATGGGAAGAGACTGGTTACGGCAGAGGCAAAGTCTACCAGGACATATGGGAAGGTAACTGGGAGAAGTACGACCCCTGGGAGTCCAGCAGCCGCTTGCCAGTCGAGTCAGATCTTTACCAAGGAGCCGGTGCTTGCAGTGCTTTCAGAGCAGTCCAAGGTTGGTTGAGCATGTCTCACTGCAGTGCTTTCGAAGGCACTTTGCTTGTCAACCCGTTACTGCAGCTTGCGACCGCCTACTTCCTGCTCCGTCCTTTCTTCACTCCGCGAAACGGCGCCTCGTCCCAAGTGTCGGTGAATGGAGCGTTCGAACAGGCGAACACCGATGACTATCTCTCTCCAGACAACTGGAAGCTCGAGGACAAACCAAGCTCGTGGCTGCAGGGAGCCAACCTTGGGCGTGGTCAGGAGCTCAACGCACTTCTTCACCCTCATCTCCACTTACCTGAGACCATGGTGCATATACCAAGAGTACAGCCGGGCGACTATGTGGTCTGGCACTGCGACGGCATACATGCCGTTGACAAGATCCACACCGGCAAGAGCGATTCGAGCGTACTCTATATTCCTGCTTGTCCGCTCACGGAGCGCAACGCCGAATACCTGGTTCGCCAAAGAGACTGCTTCTTGAGAGGTAAGCCACGGCGCGCGAGATAAACAACAAAACCTATGCTAACAACAGCCATGCANGGTACCCCTTCACCAGACTTCCCTGGAGGCGTTGGCGAAAGCCAGCACATCGGGCGCGCGGTGCAAGAAGATATTTCGGCGGTGTCGGGGGTCAACGGTCTACGTGCCATGGGCTTAGAGAGATTCGACGAGGACGCCGGCCGCACCCCAGGAGAGAAGAAGGTCATGGCAAGTGCGAATCGCACTCTTGGTTTCAGCTGAGGAAGGATGCATGTGTTGCGCGTCTTGCATGATTAGCGTAGATGGCAGCAGCAATTTTACTTTGTGATGCCCGACGTGTGTGATTTGGAAGCGTCGTGCAGTGTCAACGATTGCGGTGCTTCAGTTTCAATGTTGCAGTCACATCCTTGTTCGAGTAATCAGGCGACTGGAACTTGGGGGCCAAAATGGCTTGCTCTGCCTCTTTTACGGTTTTTAGAAAGGTCGCCGATCCGATCCGCCAAGATGTGCCGACCCCCTCTTCGGCATCACTTGCCGGGCTCCGCTCTCTTGCTGCTCTGCTTCCTTGCAAGTCGCAACACGACTCGAACAGTCTCTAAAACCTACTCCGAGTACCTGACTACAGTCGCACTATTCTCATGGCTGTCGCGCGGGCTGTCACTGGTATACGTACCGCATAGCGAAAGGGAGATGCAATTTATAGATGCGGAAAGAGTAAGCAATTCAATCCGCACTGCCCCCAGAGAGTTGTACATTACATATACGTACGACATAACAACATGATCCCTTATACAGTCACAACTCTAAGCCATGCTATCATCTTGTATCCTAGCTATGACGGACGAGAGCGGGAGTATTTCCGGTTGCGCCGCCATGATCCTTCGCTCCGCCTTCCATTTATGCAGAATAGCACGGCCCCCTGATGCGCATGTGCATATCGCAACCTGAGGAAGGCATGAGCAAAGTCCCGAGATCCTGAAGTGTCCCTATGATCTTTGCTTAGCAAGATACGTGGTATTCTGCGTGCGCATAGCTATTGGTCAACCCAACTATCCTTCCCGTCCGCCCTTGCCAACTCTGTGGGGGCTTCTTTTGTGTAGACCGGTCAGCGGATCGACAGTACCCTGCTTTGGCGGACTATTTGCAGCCCCACGGACCCGTCCTGGCAGTAGAAGTAGTGCCTGCAACCAAATCCCCGATGTGGACGGCGTTCTGCTTTGCGGAAAAGCAGCCATTGTTGGCTAGAGGAATGCAGGGAATGGGTTGGTTCGGTTTGATTGGTCGTCACTGCCCCCATCATCTCCTCTTAACAAGCACTTTCTATATATGCTCCTGCCAGCCATATCAACACAGCCTCTTCATCTTGCCTTTTCGTTTATATACTCATAGATAACTTGATGTCCTGCTGGGATATTGTTCATTCTACAGCTGTCTCTGTTGGCTTCCAGCTCGACGCTTCTGACCTTCGATATCTACCACCACGCTAGCCAGCAATAATTAAACACAACAACAGCACACTCCGATATCCAACACTCGATCACGAATCACATTTCTTTCTCAGGTTGACTCACACCAGGAGACCGGCTTGCACAATGGATGCAACCACACAACCTAACTTAATCGACATTCAAGTCGAAGACACATGCTACCCAGCACTTGTCGTGGATGAACTCTCCAAAGCTCCCCTCNNGATGCAAGGCTCGGCATACTCTTCTCCTCGGCCATCATCTTCATGGCTTTCGTCAGAGAGCATGAGCGACAGTTGTAGTGGCACATGGTCTTCCCCTACTCCGAGTCTTGCTTACTCTCCCTCACCGAAGCCGGCGGACTATCGCAACCACTATCTTGGATGGACACAAGCCAACTCGGCACAAAGCCTACAACATTTTACCTCACTGAACCAAGTTCAATGTCAGCCTGGAGTTCCTGCCTTCCAACAGCAAGAGCTTAGTTGCCAGCCTTACTACCATGAGCAGTACTTCCAGCCTCAAACACTTGGGGAACAAGTCCTAGACACCTTTGGTGCAGGAGGCTGGACAGTACCAGAATACTCAGAAGACCCTTGTGGGCAGATCATCGAGTCATCACCAGCACCTTCGTCCTCTGTCACTGCTACTATCGTCTCGTCCGGTGGTTCACCTGGTCTTCATGACCATCCCGTCATCAAACAAGAGGAGCCTACAGAGTATCACCATATCTGTACCAACGTATCACCAAGAAAACAACAAGCAAACAGGTTGAAGACAGCTTATCCTTGCCCTTTCCTCCCCTACGGCTGTCCTGCATCCTTCTCTTCCAAGAACGAGTGGAAGCGCCATCTCAACACTCAGCACCTGTCCCTGAGCACTTATCGCTGCGACCTCTGTATCCCTAAGCCCTGCTCATCCTCCTCCCCACAACCGTCCAACGATTTCAACCGCAAAGACTTGTTCATCCAACATCTACGCCGTATGCACTGCGAAAACTCCTCCACTTCTACTCCGACGTTCTCCAGCATCAAGACAGCAAGATACAACTGTCTCAAAATTAAAAACACTCCTGCCTCGCTGGCCGAACAAGCCGACCGCTGTTATATCCCACCTCCTTGTCCTCCTGCAGCCACGCAATGCATATTCTGCACTGCTGCCTTCGATGGTCCGCAAGCTTGGCTTCAGCGTACCGAACACATCTCTCGTCATTTCGAGAGACTTCGTCGTGATGGGCAGGATGTGCCCAAGGTCGCGAAATGGAGAAGAGATGTTGAGTTGGAGAGGTGGTGTTTGGAGATTGGTGTGCTTGTGCTTCATCGCGGCAGAGATGGTGTTGGAAGGGTTCGTGTCAAGAGCGGTAGGAAGCTATGAGCGGTGTAGTCTTTCTCCTTTCTCTTTTAGAGTTCTGTGATGGCTATGTATACGTATGGATGGTCGGTACTTGTTTGTTTTGGCGAGGGTTCTAGACGGCTTTTATGAAGATTATGAATTGATACCCGCTTTTCATTCTTATCGCAGTCCTTGAATATACTGTCCGCGACGCCCGAAGATACATTCGAGAAGCACTTAAAACCTGCCTGATGGTCTCTATAGTTGACAGTTTGCCTTTCTCATTCTGTGGCTGACACCGATCTACTGTCAGAAGCGCGTATTGATGGAAGATTGTCAACCGTAAGATCAAAGTTAGGCTCACTTATACTTGTGCAAAGCAGAGAGAGTAAGCTCCTTGTTGCTGAAGCTGGCCCTTTGGGCCTCGAGCCGACACCCACTCACACACCTTATAAATCAGCACCACCGTCTCCCTCACACCTACCAGCCATCGCTTTACTAACAAGCGGTGGATCAGCCCAGCGGCCTCATGCCAATAACTTTGTTATCGACCTCCACTAGAAGGTCACTATTTCGATTCTGGTAGTTGGACCAAAACTTTCGAGAGATACAGATTCTCCTAAATATTTCTCGACAAACCGGAATGGAACTAGTGGTATCTGGTGGCTGGGTTTCTCTACGACTGAGCCTTAGTATCGGAGATTTGGTTTGCTTGTTTCGTAAGGGATATGGGAGGTTGTTGTTTGGAGGTGATTTGTGTTGTGGTTTTTGTTCTTCAAACTTGAGCTTGGATTTATCTGTATTAATAATGCTCAGACGGTGTATAGGAGGTATCAAAGGATGACATCGATGTTGGAACTGTAAAAAGCATGAATCCGTTCTTCATGATCGTCTCTACTGTAGGATGTACTCCGTTGCTGGATCTTAGCCTTTAGCAGGACGGCTGACTAAGTGGCGAGGATACTATTAAGATGTCAACAGTTCTATGGCTATGTTGTATGACCCTGATCCAACCGATGTACAATTTACCGTAGCTGAATTGGAAAGGTTGTTTGTAACAAGAGTCAAGAACAAACCAACTCAAGGTTGGCGCTAAGCTTGTTCAAAAATGCAATGACTATTTGACGAGCTTATGCACAACGAGGTAGGCAATACGATCAACAACATAGGAAGAAACCGATAAGGAGAAGCAGCGATACCAATGCAAGTCATCGTGACCGTGCGGTATCCTGAAAAATCTCCTTTAGTAAAAAGAACAAGGAGGTGTAGTCAACAACACATACCGAAGTCGGGTCCACCGACATCTTGAGCCGAAAAGCTTGCTTCATGCACGGTCTAACATGCAGATCTGACCACACAGAAATTGCAGCGTAAGGGCCAAACCAGTGGTCCATGCAGGGTCAGCTAGGTTGTTGGTCCGTCCCTTGTGCGGAAGCTTACCAGCATCGAGTTTTGTGTTGGTTTGCAGAGGCGAGCTGAAGAAATGCTGGGAGGCGGAAGGCTTACGGGACGGACCGCAGATCCCCCATGGCTCGACGACGACAGCAGGACAGACGATTGAACGACAATGTAAGAAGAAGTTGAAGATGAGAGGGGCTGATGTATTACTTGATCGGAAGAACGACTTGAAAATTATGACACCAAACTCTTCTATAAACGACTGGGTATTGAACTGAAGAAGGAAAAGAAAAAAGAAAAAAAAAGAAAAAAGAAGGAAACAACGCCGCTCGAATAATTTGAGAATCAACCCCCATCTAAATGTGAGCTCCGCGCTAGAATCGAAGAAGAACAAAACCTAAGAGGATAAGAAAAGAAAGACTAGACTGGCTTGCACAGAGCAGACAATTGACTAACTGCTCAGCACTCCAGAGGGACCTTTTCCACAATGGTCACAGATGATGACTTGAGGAAGTAAGGTGCGAGCATCTCGTTGGACGCCCAGCCATTCTTGAGCGTAGATAGTGCTTCTTCTCTGGCAGTGTCAACACCTTTGAGAGTGCTGCTGCGGAATCCGCCAGCCCTGTACAGAGCCTTGTAGAGGGCAGTGCCAAAGAGACGTCCAGGCACACCAGAGGCAAGCTCGGAGACAATACCCAAAATGAACAACCATAGAGCAGAGATAGGCTTCTTGAAGATCAGATGATAGCCGTCGTCACCCCAAGTCTCACCGAAAGTGTCGGTCTCGCTGTCGTAGACAGGAGGCAACGGCTCAGCGGCATGTACAGCAGTGCGAACAACTACCACCCAAAAGAGTGCAATCTTGCAAAGGTCGATCGCGGCCACTGGCGCAAAACGGTCGAAGGCCCACATGCCGAGCACTGAGTAGGCAGCATTGAACACAGCAGTACCAAAGCCAAGTTTCAAATCACCAAAAGAGAATGCTTGCATGCCCAGAGCGATATTTGTCAATGCCAGACCTGAAAGTCCGAAGGTGATTCTGATGATGTAGAGCCAAAGAAGCTGTTCGCAGAACAGACAAACCATGTGCCCATATCTGTTCAGCTTGTTGGTATGCCAGAGCTCAAACACCACCAATTGGAAATCAAAAGATGACTTTCCAAGGTTGTTCTTGAGATGGAAGGTGTAGGGAAATGATTGGTTGACGGCGATCCACTTGGTCTCCAAATAGCAGAGGATGAAGAAGCAAATCAATATGGCGAAGAGAGCGTCGATTGCCAAGGAGTGAATCGTGATCCAGTCGAGTGCCGATCCGGAGAGAACAGCAGCTAGAGTGGGAGAGGTGTAGTAGACTACTGCAGAGCCCACTGCGGTGCCCAGGAGAGAAGTGAGAAGGATAGGCATTGCTGGCGAAGGAACGAATGTGCTCAAACTCAAAAGGGATGATCTCTGAACAATCTCTTGAGCACCAGCCTTCGGATCACCTTGTTATATACTAGACACAGTGCCGCCTGCCCTCGGAAACACTCCTGGGCGAAGAGAAAAGAATTTGACCATGCCGAGTAGTGTCCATGTCAATGCAGCATCGAGGCGCAAGGAAGCCGGACGATACGGCAACCTAGATCTTCTTCGCATAGGGCAGGTCTGCGAAGTGGCGCAGGGATGATGGTATACCGAGATAGCCTTGAGAATGGTGTAGGAGTAGCACTGGGCCAAGGCGTGACATGCATGAGTAGCTCCTTTGCCTGCATGAGAGGCGTGAAGTTTCAAGGTGTAGTTACGGCCGCCGGCTTGCGATCGAAGTTTAGCGTCCCTCCTCGTACGTAGTCGCGATGGATCAAGCCAATAACAATTGGCCTTGACAACCACACTTTTCGAAATTCCGAGTAATTTCCAGCGTTCAGACCGCATGACCAACCCTGCAAAGGTTCGGCGGATAACCACAAGACGATAAGATAGAGAGATCAGCGCCAGAGATTGCTTGTCAAATTTGTCCGTTGTGCTGTGGTTGATTGGTGAAGGGCCCTGGTATAACGTCATGGTGCTTTGCAAAACCTTGGTCGCGTCGCGCTCGACTTCTCGAAGTCACCTACCAGAAATTATGCGCAACCGAGAGTCCCAATGACTCAAGATGAGAGTGGATACAAGCTTACCCAGCCATGGGTCTGAAAACAAGACCGGCCTTCGCTAGAGAATAAGGATAGTTCTGGGGCGGTCCTGTAGTCCCGGAGCTTTGTTTACCAGGAGCCTGCGAGTGGCCGGTTACAAGAAGGCTTGCGAACAACCGTATGCAGGGATGGGGAACCGTGCGCCACGCGCCATCTGCGTAGTGATAATCCTTCTGATTGTTGCCTGATTACTCCCCAGGCAGCCAGTATAACTAGCGAAAGAAAAGTATGTCGTCCGTGAGAGCAAGCGACACGAAAAACAGACTTGTGACAGACGACAGCAAGCGAGACTTCCTTAAACACTCAGAACAACCCATTGTCACAGAGTGATTCACAATATTTGCGACGGGTTCGTAAGGTGTCAACGTTTGCCTCAAGCGTCTAGGGCCGAAAGCCACATTCATCGTCGCGAGCGTCTCTTTGGGAGGTCGGCTTGAAGAAGGAACCGTCTCGGAACGAACGTGTTCTGGGTCTTCCTCGTGGGACATCAAGGAGCCGGCATGGTGCGTGGCCGTTGACAACGAAATGAGAGTGCCGACTCCTGGATGCATCAACAGTTCACCACAACTCTCATTTGACAGTCAATGAGATCTAACAGGATGCCGAGCTCACGAGCTGCATCTGCCGCAGGAACAACCAACAATGACTCCAGCGGCGTTCTTCATGGTGGTTTGAGTTGCGATCGTAGATCAGCACTGATATGCCTTGATTGATAATATGAGAAGACGTTGTCGATACGGACTAATAGTCTGGGCGCGCACGGAGCAGCCGGATCGGGTCTTGCCGCCTGTGGAAATCCCGTCGCATCTGGAAGGTGCTTGGCGCCCGACTTCGTCCCTCTTTTCCACCTGCTTACTCAGGCGCCAGGTCTGCTCTTCGAGATCCAAGACATGTTCATCACCGTTTCGTCCGAGTTTTCTAGGCCATCCTTGATGATCCTGCCCACGCAATGACTGTACTCGGTACTTTCAACGCTGCTCTCGTGGCTAACATGCTTGATCGATTCGATGTCAGCCTGCAAGATTACACGAGAAATGTCTCTGCTTCGTCAAGCCGTCTCCAAGCCTGAGGCCTGCGGTCGAGGTGACTATCGTTTGAGAACATAGCCATACGTATTCTGCGAGACATTGATAAAGCAAGACCCACAAGCGAGCACCTCTTTCATGGAGCTGCCGCGCCCGTTGCTGTAATCGACAAGTCTGACAAGGCTTTCTTGCCGCCATGAGTCCACTTACTTTCGATGAGAGAATTTTAATTCTTCGCATCGAGTTCTGCGTCTGCGAATTGGCGTAGCCGTTTCGCCTTGCCCTGAGCATTATATCAGAGAAGTCGCAAAAGACGGCACCCGCTCAATACAACCGTTGGACTGTTTAGGAAGCCGAGCAAATCAGCACCACACCGACCCTGCGAGACACCCGTCACTTGTCAACAGGCGTTCTGACCGAGACAAAGCTGACCCCAAGAGTCGTTATATTGCTGAAGAGCTGAGTGCTGTGTATGCTAAAAGAGGCATGGCAGCGAAAATCCACGTTGTGCCTACGCAGTTTATCTCGTGGCTACACACTTACGACTGAGACAGCTCCAGGTTTCGATACACCTTAAAAGTCAAGGCTTCCAAGTATAATAAACTCCCTGCCTGCATCTCTCGTGCAGTAGCTTCCCTTAGGTTTCCAACACGCGACGCGACTTTTTGACACTACTCGGGTGAACCACACCACTACCCAGCCTCCTTCTGCAGTGCACAGACGCGCGGCATCACTGGATTCAGGACCTTACGGCCGTTCATCTGGTGGATCTGGTGCTTCCTGGCTTCACAATGGACCGAGGTGGCCTCTCGGATCGAGCCCAAGGCTACATTCTGGGCAATGACCTCCTGATGGGATTCGCATTCGCGGTTGTTGCGACTCGCTTCTACTGTCGGATACGAATGGGATCCAAGCGAGGTCTGTGGTGGGATGACTTGTTCATACTACTCGCATTTGTATGTGGACCATGTTCAATGCGTGAGACATCTTCACAGTTAGCTGACTGTGTTGAATCTAGATTCTGGCAGTGGGGTTTGGCGCGATCGTCAATGTAGCAATGGTATGAATACCGCTAGTGTCGATTGGTTTTCTAAGCAAGGCCGCTAACACTGATATCAGGGACACTATGGATGGGATCGACATATCTGGGACATTCCTGCAGACGTGCTATCGACGTCCGGCAAAGCATATACAGCCGCAAAGGTGTTGTTCATTGTGAGCAGCACATGTGTACGCACAGCTCTGTTGCTGTTCTATCTATGGCTCATCAAGGATCTGGCCGAGATGAGCCTTAGACGAGTCATCTATGTGGTGATGGCTCTGAATGCTACTCTTTGCCTCGTCAGCATCTTGATATCAATCTTCCGATGNCTCGTAAGTTCGAACTGACACCTCTTTGGAGCCATAACTCTGACAGTGTCTAGACCTATAAGCGCATCTTGGAACATCCTCCCCAACAAGGCAAAATGTGTGAATGAGGGAGTTTTCATCACCACTGTCGGAGCACTACTAACGGGAATGGATTTTGTCGTCAACGTCCTGCCCCTTCCCATAGTTGCTCGCTTGAACGTTGCATTCCAGCAAAGGCTCGCAGCAACAGTGCTCCTTTCACTAGGCACCATTGCGACAGCCGCTGGCATCGTCAGGGAGGTATACGTCTACCGTGCCTTTATCGGTACAAAGGACTCGACTTGGGGAGCACTGCCTCTGTGGATATGTGCAGATGTCGAGATCTATGTTGGTCTGGTAAGTCTCATATGCAACATCTGCATGCTGGTAGCACAACTGACGTATACATGCAGNCTATGTGCTTGCGTGCCCTCACTCCGCCCTCTTTGGACAAAAATGACCGCCTGGTATTCNGATGAAAAAGCTCGTCTCCTACCATCAAATAACTCGTCGCATCAATCGGGTCGCGATTGTATGCCTCCATCAATGTCATGGGATGAATTCGACAAGGACGTTATCTTCGATGGAACTTCGTCTTTTCATTCTGCATCGAGAATGTTCAATGGAAAGAAGAAGAGCCACACCACAAGCGTTGCCACACTCATCAGCAAGCCGCCATCTCAGGCCGACTCCTGCTTGACAAGCAACAATTCCGACTGGGAGCACGTCGCATTGAGAGACTTGGAATGCGGGCGTCCCAAGGAAGTTCACGTACGAACCTCTGTGAGGTTACAGCTGCAATCATTCTGATGCATGTTCATCACTTGATTTGCATTGTTTAGCGAATTTCTTCTCTGTGCATACCTTTTCTTTCTTTCTTTCGTTCTTGCATTTTCTACTTCAAAGCTGCCTGATACCCCCTTTTGCCACCATTACAGCATTTTTTTGCCATTCCAGCTTGCTTTCTCTTAAAGCCTGAAATGTAGATAATAGACATCTCTGAGCCCCTTTCCCGACCATCTCTGCACTTCAGTCGTATTCGTCATGTCATGCGTACAGTAACATCTCTCAGTAGCTCAGTGGCTTACGCCTGCATAAACGTCGTGACGAATCTGGACGCTCTCTTTTCGGAGAGGTCTATACTCGTGAGTTTGAAACGCAACAATAGATGGTACGATGGGACGTTTTCTTCGCACAACGGTTTACTGGTCTCGAAGAGCTTAATCTATATCGAGGGAACATGACTACTTTCTCTTCTTCTAATCACCATGACATACGCAATACATTGACTGATGTGAAGTAGAAGTACCTTGGCATTGAAACCTGGGCATGAGAACTGCGTATTGGGCTTGTTCTTGCACTTTCACAGCTACTAACTAGAACACTGCTCGAGAGAGATACCTTATTTCAACACGACTGTGGTTATTTCCGCACGCGCACACAGAGTTTCTCATCGTCACCGCTGCATCTCTAAAAACTTATCTTGCTGCCCGTTTGGGCGCAACCTGGCCTTCTTACCCCATGGCCAGCTATGCCCCCACCTAGGTACTGAGTCTTTCTGGCCTCAAGCCTCACAAGCATATTCATGTTTGAGTGTGGAGGTCTAGACCAAAAGACTGCCTTTTGAACAGTGGCCTTGACCAATCATTTATCTGATTCTTGGGCTCGTGGCTTCAAAGGGTCTTTGTTGCAGTCTTTCTGTCCGTCCGGCGTTATTTGATCTTGATGACTTTGGCGGGTTGTGTATGCAGGGTACCAAAGCGACATTTGAGAGCGTCTTTGCATACGTTGAACAAACTCATATGCTTGACTCGACCTTGGCAGATTTGCATAGTAAGACGAAGAGATCGTGCATTGCAACATCGATAGCTGTAGTCCGATATATAGAGGCTAGCATGACTCCGCTTTCCACAAGCTGAACACTCATGCCTATACACACCTATGCATCTACAAAAATGCTGCAACAACCATCTCAACACATCTACTTGTAAGCAGGAACCAAGCTGTACGACGAGGTAAGCTTAGCGTTAGACCCAGTAAACGGCTCCGTGCCAGCACCAACAGAAACCAAATACTGGCTATCCTTGAATCCCTGACTCTTGATCAGATAAGCAAAGAAATCCATCAAATCGCCACTGAAGTTGCTGACGTTTGCTCCATTGGGCGTGAAGCTGTAAACCTCATTCACGCCGTTGCTGCCATACCAAAGCTTCCAAGAGTGGCCTGCGATGGTCACGGTAGCGATGGGAGCACCCTTGGCAGAGATGGGGCCAGCACCGCCGAGAGCAGCCAACCATACCATGATTTCGAATTCGTTCTTGCCGCCGGCGGAAGAGGAGGTGAAGATGTCGTAGGCGACGTCGGCGACGATGTTGGAGCCGGTTTGCGTCCAGGACCATTTTGTAGCCAGAGACTTGATTTTGGAGATTTGGACGGCGTTGGTCTTTGTGACGACGTTGGCGTAGGACTTTACTTGGCTGGAGCCGCCGGACCATGACCANNGCTGGTTCCCAAAACATGTTAGATATGCTCTTTGGTGTATCGTTTTTGTGGTTCTGGCAAGCACTTACGTGGTCCACCAGTTCAAGGTGTTACCGCTCAGGCTGGTGATATCGGAGCATTGGGAACCGGTGAAGCCGGAGATGCCCCAGAGGTCCTGGTACAGAGTGTAGGCACCGGTGACCTTGCTGTCCCACTGACCGCACTGTTGAGCGCGCTTCTCAATAGTGGCAGTAGGGGCGGCCGAAGCAACACCAGCATGACGGCAGCAGCAGTAAGGAACTTCATGTCGTCGAAGATCAAAAGGTATGAGCGTGGACAAATTGGAGTTGAAAAACGAGTATGGTATGCAAAGACAGCACCAGTCTGACTTTGAGTTGGAAGAAAAGAAGAGAGATTGAAGTTGCAAGAGACGACTGTTTCAACGATACTTGGACCTTGCTTATATACGAACAAGCTCACCTCGCTCATGTACGGACGTGACGGAAGAGGTGACCCATGCTAGGTGCAAAAACGTGCTTTGCAGCCGACGAGTCTACAGACCATCGCGTTTCAAGACCAACTCTAGAGCCGTACAATAGCAGAAAGCCCTACTTGCAGCCCTGCCTCGTACATGTAGCTTGTGTAGGATAAATTAATAACAAGGAGGATAAAAGGTGGTTTCGTCAAAGAAGCTTTTGACCCGTGGCTTGTTTCATCTGCAGGGAACTAAACAAGGGTTCCCCGCGATTTCCATGCAGCGAATGAGATGGTTCACGGCGTGGACAAGCGATGAATTGCAAGCGAGGCGACAGGCACTTGATGTTGCGATTGATGGAAGTTTGTGATGGAAGAATGGTCATCTGGAAGAAATGCAGAAAGAGGGGGTTGCTGGGGCTCAGTGGTGGTCAGGAGTGCGAATGCTCGGGATCCGGGTAAAAGTGATTTGTTAAACTTTCTGAACAATTGATCAACGCTTCGCGCTTGGATGCTGTTAATCGACTACAATCGTGCTCATACTTTACGTGATTGCTTAGACGGAGCGCTGCTGTACATTCAAGGACTCTGTCCTTACTGCAGCGCCGACCAGGAGAATTGACCGGAAAATTTCTCCGTTGACTTCGATATGACTTGTGGACTCAGGTCTCGTGCTGCAGATCGCTCGCGTCCGCCAAAGTAGATTTTTCGTTTCCACGCGACTACGCAGTAGACGGACTTACACGAGTGCTAGTAGCTATGCACTCCGACCATAGTGACTATATTGCAATTATCCGTCCATATACTGCCCTGACAGGTGACCGGGCGACAAATCTCGCTCTTTCTTCGATAACATGTGAGCAGGTCCGAGTGGCGACCTGGCTGGCTTCGTCGTGGCCAGGACAATTGACCGACTAACTTCTATGTATGCGAGACACATTCACTGTAGGAAGATCACGGCAACTCGAAGCGATGCCTATAGCTGAGCCATTTGACTTCTGCAGCTCTGAAAGACCGCTCTTGTGGAGCTCAAGAATATACTCAAGATTTCGCTTTCGATAGAATATGCATGTATGTCTCTTCCTTCGCCCAAGCTCTTTCTTGTATACCTTTCGCGGACACGAAGAGTGACACACGGTGTGGGACGGTGTCTGTTCGTGAATGGTCTCGGCCGGAACAGCGAAGGATGCCGCGGAAGCACTTCTGATCAGCGCATGCAATAGTAAGGAGTTTCGCTCGCCACGTCGTTGTCGCTTGCAAGTGACAAATGGAGCTGTGATGTGAGAACAATGTCTGCACATCGTTCTGTCAGACAGACTGGTCTATCGATTGGTCAGCTGCCACAATTGGCTGGTGGGCGGCAGCGAAAGAGAAGTCGTCTCAGTCGCTACGGCCGTTGGTTGCTCGGCGCATCCTTCCCACACAGCTGGAGATGATCGAGCTCAACAGCTTCACGGTTGTACACGTTGACAGCGCTGTCTCAGCAGACAAGTGCCGGTGTCTTTCTTGCGTTTGGTGCCGTCCGCGAACGGGATGGCCGAGTACTTTGTCGCGAGCAGAAGCAAGAGCGTCCGGAATGCTTGGCACAGCCTTTGGACCTCAGCTCCTGCCGCTTGCGGGCCTTGTTCGTCTTGTTCGCCATGTTCTCATCCCATCTCAAGCTCTTCGAGGGCTTTGATTGACCACTGATATCCTCAGGATTCTGGAACTATTTTCATGGTGCGACATCTTTGTTGGACTTATGTCGATCACATAGTTCGGAGCCTCCGATGAACTTTCCAAGAAGCCCAACGTGGGACGATGCAGTATGATTTTTCCTTAGACTGTCTATGAGATGCCCCAGGCCGCAGGTTCAATTCGTCCTTCTTTCCAAATTGTCATTCACCATTCCGAAGTCTCGCTTCTATTCTTCTGCGTCTCCCATCTCTTCATCCTCATAGCCGAGAAGCTCCTCCCTCGTCTCGGATTTCCTGCCGGCCCTGAGATCGACCTTCAAAATAGCGTTCTCATACTTCAAAGCGACTCGCGAACCTCGATCGGCGTGCGCAGCAACCACTGCACGTGTCGTTCTGGCCAGACGACGCTGTCCTTGGGAACTGATGTATGCTTGGACTTGCTCAAGCGTTGGTGGTAGCCATCTTGAGCCATCTGACATGTCGATCATGCTTCTGTGTCTGCGGACTTTGATCATTTTGTATGGAGATTTGGATGTTGTGATGGTGGCGGTGGTTGTCGACAAGGTAGGTGGAAGCGAGGAGAGACTGCTTGGTGGTGTGGACAGTGACGAAGAAGATTGTATCTCGGAGAAATCGGTCAAAGTGGATATGGCGCTTGAAGAGGCCGCAATGGATGGAGCGGGATGACTGCAGACGCTGGAGTCATGGCCGTTTTCAGTGAGTTCGGTCAAGGTCGATATTGACGAAGAGGCTGGCGTGCGGTTACCAAAGGGAAATGCCGTGTTCTTGTTGAACTCGACTAATGTCTCTGACGAGGCTGGAGATGGTACACCATTGTCCTTCGGGGACTTCAGGAGGGTCAATCTTGTGCTTGCTGCTGACGAGCTGGATAGTGTGGCGGAAGAACATGTTGAAGCAGGTGTGAGAAGTCCAGATTCAGAGGTTCGGCCCAGAAGTTCTTGTGAGATCTCGGATATCTCTGTCAACTCCGTCAAGGTTGAGGTGGTAGAGCCCGCGATCGAAGCTGCAGATGATGCACACATTGCCTTGCGCGCATTTGAACTGGATGACTGGTCGGAGACAAGACTCGGTACATATCTCTCGAGATCTTCGATGTACANTCTCTGGTCGTTGTCAGTTTGAATTCACTCTCAGACTCAATACGGCTGCTCATCAAAACAGGAAATGCACTTACGCCAGAAGACTCCACAAGTTGGACAGTGGGGCATGCCACAAGGACGCTTCTTCTTGCCTGCGCCAATTCTCCTGAAGACCATCACAGCACGACCATCATGGCGATCATGCCTCTTCCTCGCTCTCATCGTACAGCCAGAGTCTGAATCCCCCTCTGCGTCTCGCTGACGCTGTGGGATTGACTCGAGAAGTTTGCGGACATTCATCTTGCAGTTGAGATTTGCATTGCTTGGAAGCCGAGGTGCAAGCTTGGAGGGATAGCTTGGACAAGTCCTTGAGGTCGTCGCATGCGACTGAACGTGGTAAGTGAAGCCGTGGTGATGGTTGCGGCATGACGACGCTAAGAAATTTCCGCTTCCGGAAATGGTCGTTTTTGGAGAAGAAAGTGATCAAGATGGGTCTAGTGAAAACTGGATGCTGCGGTATTCTAGAAATCTTCCGTCACTAGATGGTTTGAGCTGGTGATTCGATGATGTTGCTGGCGCCGCATGGTCAACGTGCTCAGCGGTATATACTGGAGCTGGCCAGCCACACATCGACGCATCAGCACCAAACATCAAACACTACTAGAGAAGAACGTTTCAGGATCTCTTTGTCAAGATTCTTCTTTGTGTAGGCCCATGATGATCCTACGACAAAGGCTTAACAAGCTCACCAGATCGGATCTAATCAACCATCACCCGTGTTCGCTTTGGACAAGTCGCAAAGATCAACACCTCATGCTGATCTGAGTCTTCTATCTGCAACTCTTAACCACTCGCTCTTTTCCAGATGCAAACCATAATCATCTAGGGCTTACAAATGGTCGCAAGACTTCCTCTGTCCACTGCCATAGCCTATCTGCGAGGTCGACGTCTTGCGTCCACTTTGTTTGCTTGCCAGGCTCAGCAATCGGTGAATAGTAAGCGCCATTCTCGACAGCCTCGCGCGGCGCAGTGGCTGCCCACATCGAGTTCTTGCATCCGTCTTCAGGCTTCAATACTTTTGAGGTCGCATACACTAACAACCAATCTGCCCATCCCAATGATGAGACCAAATCAGTGCCCACGACTCCTGGATGAATGGCGATGGATGACACGGTCGGATACTTCTGAGCAAGCTCAGACGTGTACAAGACTTGAGCAAGCTTGCTTTGCCCATAGCGCCTCCAGCGAGCTCCGAAGCCGTACTCCTGTTTGGTTTTGAGGTCGTCGAAGACAATTCCTTGGCCGGATGGAGCAAGCATAAGACCTTCTGACGTGGTGTTGATGATACGTGCATCTCCAAAGGAAGATGCAGTCGTGGTGAGTATCGGCAATAGGAGATTTGTAAGTAAAGCATGACCAAGGAAGTTTGTCGCCCACTGGATCTCGTAGCCATCTGGACTCAGACCGGGCGGAGAGGCCATGATGCCGGCGTTGCATATCAAGAGGTCTAAGCGACCATCGAGCTGGGGTATAAGTTGCTGCACAGCGCGTTGAACGTCAGATAGTGATGCGAGGTCCATCTGCACGAATGTGGCTTGCACATCTGGATGTCTGCGGTCAAGATCGGCTAGCACTTCATCTGCTCGTGCTTGATTGCGACCAGTGAAGAATATCTTGGCTGGGCCGAGGGCGGCCAGGTATTTTACCAACTCACGACCCAGACCACTGGTACCNNTGTTCATTTTTTCTCATTAGATATCCGAGCAGATCTAGAGTGCTTTGGTCTTGAACATACCGCCCGTGATGAGGATAGTCTTGCCAGCTTGTGAAGGTAGCCGGGAGAGATCCAGATCTTTCATCGTGTTGATAGCGATTACGCACAACAAAAAAGAGAGACTGCCTGCAATGTCAATATCAAATATATATAGTAGATAGTCCAGAGACGACCGAAGTAGCTTCGTGGGGGTTTTCATCATTTATATATTTCCGAATGCGGCAAAGCATACTCCACAATGCAGGGTGCTCTCCACTTTCTTGAGTGCTCGGGGAGTTTGTCCGCCCGCTCCCCGCGTGGTGTGATAATCTCGACTGCATGTTCTACTGCACAAAAATAACGAATAATCTATTATCACTTTCGAATGTGCCTCTTCTCGTAATAACAGAATCAACCACGACATGCCACATGCACGGGTTCCCCACACATACAAATATATAAGGCCATGGCCAGTCATATACATCTCCGCCATTTCGCTCTCAAGAAGAAAGGCGCAGCATGTCTTACGTTTAAGCTAGAGATTTCATGTATTTCGAGCATCAAGAATAGACCCCTCGTAGCATTGATGATGGGCGACTATATAGCGACTCCTTGGTCTCCTTCTACGGTCGCTTTAGGACTGGCANNAGTCAAGGTCGTATAAGCCAATTGAAGCACATCTGACCTTTCATAGGTTGCCATTGCTTACATCACATACCGCATCGTTTCCCATCTTCAGCATCCTCTTTACAGATTTCCCGGACCATTCCTTGCATCTTTCAGCAGCATCCCACATTGTCTGAGCTTTCTTGGAGGCAGACAACCATACGATCGTCTCGCGCTCCACGAAAAGTATGGACCGATAGTTCGGACCTCACCAAATGAGCTCTCGTTCAGCAGTTCCCAATCATGGAAGNNGGACATTTACGGCTCAAGACCAGGACACCAACTTTTCCGCAAAAGTCCTTTCTATGAAGGTGCGAGCTTTGATGGAAAAACACTGTCGATCATCAGCGAAACGGATCCAGCGAGCCATAAGAAGATGCGAGCACAACTTAGCAATGCGTTTTCAGACAGGAGTCTTCGTGATCAAGAAAGTCTTATTACCGAACCTATTGACTTGTTTATTGACCAGATTGGCGCAAAGGGGGATTGTCCACAAGGCATTGATATTGTTATGTGGTTTAACCTGATGACTTTTGATATCATTGGCAGTCTAGCGTTTGGCGAGTCCTTTGGAGGTTTGGAGTCCGCAGAGTTCCATGAGTGGATCCAACTGGCTGTTGGGTCTATGAAACAAGGAGCATTGGGAGACTCTCTGGGTCGTTATCCTACTGTCGCAGCTCTTGTGAAGAAGCTCTTTCCTGGCATGATTGACAAGATCCTTCAGGATACTCACAAGCATGAAGCACACACGAAGGATCTTGTGAGAAGGTAATAAACCCCTTCAATTGAACCGTTATCGTTGGAAAATACTAACAATGTCNNTAGACGCTTGACGAAAGACTCACATCGACCAGACTTCTTGACGCGGATTATTGAAGAACGTGAAGCACACGGTATCTCTGAGTCGCAGATCGCCGCTCATTCCTCCGACTTCATGTAAGCAGACCTTCAGACTCGAGCAAAGCTTCGTTGACATGTCACAGANATCGCCGGCAGCGAAACAACCGCAACCACACTGTCTTGTGCCACATACTATCTTCTGCGTGATCCTGAGCTGTACGAAAAGCTGCGCAAAGAGATTCGCAGCGCTTTTCCNAGCTACGAAGAGATCAACTCTGCTTCAGCTTCGAAACTCAAGCTTGTCAATGCGATCTGTCTCGAAGCTATGCGCATGTATCCACCACTTCCGTTTGCTTTGCCTCGAGTAGTCCCCCAAGGAGGAGATACTGTAGACGGACATATGCTCCCTGAAGGTGTAAGTCGAGCATCAAATTCTGATTCTAGCATTCTTGACGCTGATGACATCTGCAAAACTACANNGATCACTGTATCGACAAATCCATTCGCTGCTTCCATGTCCTCGGCCAACTTCAGAGACCCCTTTAGATTTGTACCTGAGCGCTGGTTAGGCAATAACGAGCAAGATGATCTTGAAGCAACCCAGCCTTTCTCGTATGGCCCGCGTGTTTGCATGGGACGGAAGTGAGCCAACCAACAAGCCAACTTTATGGGAGATACCGCTAACATATTGACNAGCCTGGCATGGGCAGAGCTAAACCTTACAATGTGCAAATTGCATTACAAGTACGATCTAGAACTTGTCAATACTCATCTGGATTGGCACGGAGACTCGAAGATGCATATTGTGTGGCATAAACCGGCGATAATGGTTCGTGTCAGAGCCCGATTAGACTAGACTTTCCTTTCAACAAAGTCGCAATCGGTCAAAAACCTCTCATGAGCTACGAGAAGTCAAGGATACCTAGACGAGCGAATAATGCAACAGACTTGATCAAGTTGATCCATCTACTTTTGAATATAAGCACGTCCTAGGCACTCAGAAGCAGACTCGACCACAAGCGCCAACGAAGAAATTGGGCTCATGCCAACACCCAACCATCAATGCCCAAGTCAACCTAGTCACACAGTCTACAGATTTGAAGGTTGAAGGATTCTACAACGTCAAAGAGAGCAAAGAAAGTCACGAGGTCGATGAACTCGACTTCATTTGCTGTAGACTCCCGGTGATCACGGAGTGCAGTAAAACTTCTGCTTACAGGCACAAGTGACAAAAGGGGGAGCGGAGTTGCAAAAGAGCATGGCGATAGATTAGCTACTCAAGAGAGGATATGAGTGAGACTGGAATATCCAGGGGATGGTTAGTATTCACCTTGAACGTGGACAGTATAAAGTGAAGGACAATTGACATGATTGTAATTCAAGCCGTCAGAGACCTAGTGCTTGTTATGTATGGAAGCACCTCAACAGAACAAGTGCAACCCCTGAACGCCATCCCAAATGCTCCTCGTGATGCGTGAAACCATGCTGTGATCGAACTTGGAAACAAAAGAAAGCAACAAATCCGTGCCGAAGAGAAGTTGTCGCCGTTAACACCCTTACCAGTTGCTTTAGCAGTACTCGGTGTTCTCCATGCAACCCAATTGCAGAAGAGCACCAAGGACTTTCAGTCTCCAGCAGCTCAGACAGAAGGGTTGGTGGGAGCACTCAAAGAGGCCCAGAGCACCTTCCAGAAGACGGGAGCAGGAGGAGAAGAAGAGCCAGGAGTAGGAGGGCCAGGGATGATAGGCTCAGGCTTGGGACCCAGAGCGTCGTCGACAGTCTCAGAAGTGGGTGGTTCAGGGACAGGTTCAGGCTTGGGAACAGGTGTAGACAGGAAGCCGTGAGTAGAGTTGTGCTTGACGGGAACCTTGTTGTTCTTGGTGGGTTCGGTGTCGGAGACAGTGTCTGCGCCAGAGATAGCGTCCTTGCTGTTTCTGTTGCCTTTGCTACTGTTGCTTCTGTTGTTACTGCTGCTGTTGTGGGTGGCAGGCTTGTCGTGAAGATCAGCCTCGACGACGAAGATAGAAGTAGAGAACATGGNCTGAACAGAGGGTGAGCTTGTGTACAAGTGAGACCNGCACTGTCAGTGGTTACCTTGGACGAAGGGTTGGTTTGACTTTACGCGCGAGAGTCTTTGGCGGGAACTTGTGAAGGGCATGCGCAATTCTGGTTGTAGGAGCTTGTGATGGCTTTGGAAGACTCTTGGATAGAGGCGGAAGTACGAGGATAGAAAGTCTGCGCCTGAATGCCGCTGCGTGGCTTGAAGAGAAAAGTGAGTGCGTGTAAACACAGCAGACAAGTTTGTTGTGAGAGCGAAGGTCGTGGACTATCCCCTTTTGGGAAGGCACGCCACGAAGTCGACGCGAGGTCGCCTCGTCTCACCATCTCGACCCTGACACGTTGGACAAGTTCACTTCCTGCGATTCTACAAAGGTGCTTCGGCAGATCATTGCTCGTGAGAAAATCAGTATGGTGTTCGTCGTGTCATTCTATACAGATACTGGCAATACTCGAGCAGATGGAAGAAAGTCTCGATTCTACTCTATCTGGATACACTGATTTTTCAAAGAATTTTGCAGTCTGCTGACAAGATTTCCATATGTTGGAATTGGAAAGGATGAAGTGAGAATGTGAGTCTTAGTATACATCTAGAAAATGTCTTATATTATTTCGAACTATTCATAAGTCATTACGGTATGCCTACCAACAGATTGCTCAGCAGTATGGAGTAGACTCGGCTCTAGGGCGTTGAAGCTATGCTTGTGTCATCAAACCATACGAATGCCACCATTCTTCCTCGACCTACGCTCAGCAAGCCTTTGAGCAACCCTAAAGTCTTTTTTATACGAGTAGTAACGGACAATAGCAGGCTTGACTACCTTATGGGTACTAGGACTCAACATACCATGCTTGTCGGTTGACTTGATAAGTTTGCGAGCTTGTCTACCGAAGTCACCTTTCTTGTATCCTGCTGGTGAAGCAGGACCAGCTGCAACGTCTTCAGCAGCATCGTCCATCTCTTCGATTACTTGAGCCATCATCTGAGCAGTTTTGAGTGCTGTTTTTCTGTTTCTCTTAAACAGATTGTACTGCCTGCGACTCAGACCTTCAGGTGTAGGAGGAAAGATTTCTTCATCCTCGGTGATAGGCTCGTCTTTGAGAGAAGGAAAAGAAGGCAAGACGGGCGTAGATGGGATATCAGGTGTGAGCGAGACACTAGGTGATGATGGAACGCTAGGTGTAGGTGGGACATTAGGTGTAGAAGGAATATCGGACGTACCAGCGCCGATAGGGGAACTTGTGCTATATTCAGTCATCTTGTCGCCAGGACCTCCGTGTTGTTCTTCTGCTCAAAGCCAGGTCCACGTAGGAGCTCTGGAGATTATAAACTTTTCTGTGGAGAGGACAAAGAAAGTTCTCTGGAAAACGAAAAGACTTTAGCACAATGAAGATCTTGTTCGAGTCTGGAAGGCGCTGTGGCGAAGACAAAGGAAGGCACGACGAGCACTGCACTTTCTTTGTCTATGAAACACTTAGCCTTTGTCAAGTATTCGAGTCATTGACTTATACCGAAAGTATCCCTTTGACCATTGTATATCCTCCTTGAATGCCCCTTTGAATATTGCTTTGAGTGTTCACGCCAGTCGAAGATCCCGTGGTGCAAGTTCTTTGAGAGCATTGTAAGTTCTTGGTTTGAACAATGAACAACCATTGACAATGGACATGGGCTTGGATACCATTTTCTGGAAGAGCTTGCAGATGTTAATATAGTCGATGAAAGACAGGGTCGCTCTTGCGGTACTTTCTCTACACCCCGAAAGCATCTCTCAGAACACTCAACAGAACAGTCACAAAAACCAGACTAACGACACACAAACGAAAAATGCCACCCAAAGCAAAGAAAGGAGGCCTCGACCGCAATGTTGGCTTGGAGAATAGACTGATCAACGATTTCGATATGCCCAGAGATATGGTCTTCAGAATGACTAAAGAAGAGCAAAGGGCAGAACTCGAAAGATTGGAAGGTAGAGCACCGCGTCCACCTGAGGAAACTTACGAAGAACTTTTCGCCGACGCTCGTCAGCGTAATCCGCTTCCTGCCCATGCCCCCGCCCCTGCCCCTGCTGAAGATACTGAAGTTGCTGATGCTCCTGCTCCTGCTGAACAAGATGATGTTAACCCTGAAGATGACCACCCTATGGAGATTGATGATGACGAGACTGTCGACAGAATAATTCAAGCTGCTGAATCTACCAATGATGAAAACGGATGGTTACTTCAACAGCCCATGCAACCCCCTGTCGCTGGTAGGTTGGCTGCCGAGGCCGCCGAAATATTGAACGAACTACTTGAACCCATCAACGACGGCATCCGCGAGGAGATCAACAACATGCCCTATGATCAGCAAATTGTCGCAGCTCAACAGATCATGGATGAGCAATGGAATCTTCCCAACACCCCACTACCCAGAACGACAAGAGGTATTCCTCTGACTTATTTTCCTGCTGACCTTCGCCCTCGCGCCGATCAACTTCCATTACATCTCCAAGATCTATTGGCAGGTGCAACTGAACATGCCCAACGTATGGTGCTTGGAATGTCCGAACTCAATATGTAGCGTCAGCTCTTTCGCGCGATGAGAATAACAGAGTCACGAGCTGAACGCTACAACCAGCAGAGAGAACAGTTCAGAAGACAGATTGATCTTGATCCTCTGCTCTCTACCAACCCTGATGTACGCCAGTGGCTACTAAACACACCTAATGCTACTCAACACAACTACCTCGCTGCTAATACGTTTGATCGCTTTACGATGCTTCAGGACAACAGGATGCTTATCCGCATACAGAATTGGGGCCAATACATGGCACTCCCCGTTTCCGAAGAATATCGCAGAAATGAACAGATGGCTATGCAACAAGCTAACCTTACCGACTACCAGGTCTGGGTACGCTCTACTGTAAGAATGTGCTGGATTGTCTGGGCCGTGAGATGCGGTCTGATGAGAATGCCTTCTACAATGTCCTAAATGTCGCCGGATGACACCATATTGTATGTTTTGGCGTTTAGTGTTGCAGGTAAGTCTTTCCCGTCTTTAGTATAATATGAATTGAACCTTTTCTTTTTTTTGACTCTCATAATTCTCGTCCTCGCCCTATTATATATCTAGTTTCCAAGATACAAAGCAAACCTGGTCCTCGATTCAACTAAATGTCTCTCATGGATTGATTCAAACATGCATCGTGTGCTGTCTTACCATTGTTCTCCTCCGAAATAGAGTCAATGCATCTGATTCCGTCGTCAAGACTCCCTTCTTTTATCCCAAGATAGCCGATGATCTAATATATAAATTCACTGGACGTATGGTTGCGTCCAATTTCTAGTCATAGACCCTAGCTCTACGTGTAGCCGAACATGAACTCAAACTTCTTTGCCTCCACACCCGCCTCCTTCTCAAAACACCAACAAATCCAAAAAAACACAAAAACAGGAACAGGTACAAAGATCCATGGCCTCTCTACAAACCACAGCACAACCGCTACATCCCTGCCATGCCAAGTACCTCCCGGATTATGTCCAAAGAACGTGAACTCCTCGGAGTAAAATTGTTGTGGCAAGATCCTTATACCATCCCTGTTGATTCTTTCTTGATTCCCAGAAGCAACACCAATAAGCCCTTGATTCTTTGTTTCCCACTCCCGCAATACATCACTCGCAAACTGAGGACCGGTGCTATAAAACACCATCAAGTAAGGAAACCACCAATCCCCATCTTTGACCGCCAATTCCTGCAACATCTGCCCCAAAACAGGGTGTCCAGCTCTGGTTGCCATCAAATCGTTATTGACGCCAAACGGCTGTGCTTTAGGCCACCAAGCCGCAAACGCCAAAAAAAGGATCCAAGGGCCGGCGACACGCGATATCCATATCCATGTAGATGCCTCGACAGTGCCAGAGCACAAAGTACTTGGAAAGCGTCGATGCGTTGGATGGGGTATTTGTAAGCGTCGTAGCGAGGGAGAAACCATGCGTAATGGGTTTCTAGCAAAGTGCGAGCGGCAGTGGCATTTCAGACGTGGACTTCAAAGGACGGGTTATGGTGACGACAAGCGGACGGTGCGCGAGAACCACTAGTGGGTATGCTAGAAACATCCAAATGCTCGGTGTACAAATCTTGGAACCAGATGAAGTGGATGGTGGGAGGGATGGTGGTTTGAGCAACAGCGGAAGGGCTTGTAGCGTTCAAAGCAGAAGGCCAAGTGTAGTTCAGAGGTTTGCTCTCGCGGTGGGCGGTCACCAGGGCTTGAGCGTAGTCAGGAGGAAAATCATCAAAGGTGATGGCGGCAGAATTGAGTTTGCGTTCGTAGGCGATCTGGCTGCAGACCTTGCGAAAGCCATGAACCAAGATAACAACGAGAAAGAAAGCTTTGAGGCAGCGCATATTGCGTATCACCATATCTCATAGAGAGGACCACAGGGTGAGTAGTAGGAATTGAGCATGGGAACCAGATGCATCGAACAAACGCAAGCATGCTTTTGAAGATCTGTTGATGTTGATGCCTGGACACAGACACTCGAAGATTTTCGCAAATCCTGCTGCCTATAGCAAGGACTGGATCCTTGCTGCCAAGAAAGCAGATGAAGCAAACGAAGGATGAGTTCAGGAGGTTCGGTTCCGGTACGCCAAGGCAATAGCTAGACAGGTGGTCAAAGATCTAGCTATCCCGGTCTCTTGACATAGAACGAGAGTTAGCCCATCTCATTGCCTGTGGAGTGCGTCTGATGAGTTTTGAACAGATACTTCCCAACCACTCTCAATACACAGTCAGCCGAGTTGTTGTAGTAGCAAACTCTATGGAGTAGTTGTGTGAACTTAGACGGAAACGTGTACACGCCAACCAACGGAGCAGTTATCGTCTATACACTATGATTTAGAGCAGTTCCAAGATGGCTCAAAGGCATCATGTCGACTTACTAAAAACCTATACAAAGATATGAAGATTATGCCTAAAACTACCTAGACCACTTTTCTACCCTTGACATTTTTAAGGCGCCTAAGCTTCTACTTCTCTAGACCCAAAAAAGGCTCCACTGATCATTTCGACTGATTACACAAACGAGACTTGTCGACACCACGTGAGTCGCTCTTACACAACGACCTCAAAACTTCATGGATGAACGTAGGAATATAAGGAGGCTTGGCAAACGAACACCAAGAAGTCACCAAGCCCTGCAAGACTCGATCGGCAAGCACTATCCGAGAGCTTGTCTATTCTTGGAGACGCTTGTTGTGATCACCCTCTCAATACGAAGACCCCAAGCATCAAATAGTGGGGGGAGACTGCCTAACATCCACTCGAAAGCTGGTGCCTGGAATATGAGGGCAACAAGAATATAGTATGGGTGGATACAACTTTACGTAAATTCGTGAAATAGAAACCAAGCGCGAGAGACTTCCTTCTTACTTGGCGACGAAAGGGATCTGCTGCACCAAAGCCTTATGCCTCGACAAAACCCATTTCGCTCTTTCTCAATTGCAAACCTCACCTCCTCCATACTCTCAAACCTTCCATTCCAACACCCCTCCACAACATCTCCCAAGATCCTCGATTGCTTTGTGTCAGGAAACTTCTGGTTTACAATCCTTTCCTTGATTTCTTCATAATCCCTCGGTTCCTCCAGCTCAGGCCAAATCTGCTGTCCAGATACCATAGCAAAAACCGCCATTCCAAATGCAAAGATCTCCGTCTGAGCAGAGACACCAGATTCCTTGACGATATCCGTGCCATTAGCATCGAACAGCCGATATTTGTAGCGATACGAGCAATGCGAAACCCTTCCATCTACACTCGCACCGCCCCAATCCCCAACCTTTAAATCCAGATCCCCCGTGAGGAAGAAATTCAACGGGTGGATATCTGAATGGTAGATGCCCAAACTGTGGGCAAAGGCCAGTGCTTCGGCAGCTTGTGAGATCCATTTGAACAGTGTTGCTTCTGTCGGCGGTTTCGCGTTCTCCAACCAGTCTTGAATATTCCCGCCCTCTGCAAACTCCAGAATCAAGCCATGAGGAATCTCAGCATGAGTTCCAAAATAAGTCAAAACACCAGACGGTATATCCTTTCCAGCCCCAAAGCGTTCGTAAACCTCTTNTTCAGTAAGAAAAAGCGTAGTCGCAAAATGCGGATGCACGGATTTGCAAACCAATGGCGCGGTTGAGTTCGCTCCAGGAGGTAACAGATAGATTGTGGATGTATGGCCATGGCTATTGGGTAAACGTGTGTATATCGATGTTGTCGTAGTGGTGGTCAAGACCAGGAAATACAGACAAGCGATGCCGACAAGAATTTGCCATAGCATTGCGAAAAGCCAGATTTTGCGACTGCCATAGTAGTGGGAATATTGCAATCATGATTTTGCAAGGCGCATGAAGAGCTTCTTGTAGCTAAGGCTTATGCTGTAGCCTGATGCGACACATTGAGGGGTTCAGGAGGATTGTTGGTTGGGCGCCACGAAAAATCCACGCGTCTTTTTGGCTTTTGGGGATCCATTGTCCCACAGCTGTGGACGAATCCGATCAGCTCATGTAGATGAAGAGCCACAGTTTGCGCCTGGAGCAGATAAGTGTCTTGCTAGTTTTGGTGCAAGTCGCCTAATTTTGCAGGCGTACGTGTTGCTATGTTTGGTGGCTGCCAGCCAGATCCATCATGCGTTCAAGATACGAGATCTAGCGTCAACGCCTTGTGCAGCCAATCAGGCTGCTCAAACATCAAGGTAGAACATGCCAGCTACATGTCACCTTCCTGAGATATTATCGCTTGCTCTCGAGCAGCAATATACCGGCGACGGTAGGGTATAATAAAATCCGTCAGGCTAGTATAAGATTCTTCATGAGAACATTCTCTATATCTATGCGTTCACTCATCTTCCCTTTGCTAGTCCTACTCCGTCATGGCAGCCTAGGCATCGTGGCACCATCACAATTCTGAGGCAATTCAGAACGCGCCGAGGCGTACACGATCCTACGCAACACCACTATCCTTCTTGACGCTCTCCCAAGTGGCGCCTTCTTTCTCAATCTTCTGCACAACGTCGACAGCAATTCTGAGGTTCTGCGCGCCCGCTAGTGCCCTGACAATGACAGTCTCGTTCCTCTCAGATACAAGTCTTCCCATTGCACTGGCGAAGAACGCGCCAAAATGCTCAAGTGGCCATGATGGGGAAAGCAAAGGCAATACTTCGGCAATGTCGAACCAGCTCCCGAACTTTTCGAGGAGTTCTGCGACCCTCTCAAGTTTTTGACTCTGGTCCTCGAGATCGAGATAACAATGTAGAAGATGTGAGAATAGAACTTGTTGTTCTTCTTTCGAAGGTAGAGGCAGAGTAGATGAGGATGAAGCGGGGTGGAAAATACTGCTACCACCAAGCAGGCAATACCGTACGGCTGTGTCGAAGTCTGCCAAGCCGTGAACGAGCAGTTTGAGAGCCTTCTGATGCTCATTGCGTCGTGCGGCGAGAACGATGGTCTCAGGTACGAGGATTTCTGAGTAGGAATCCAGCCTACTGCCCAGAGCTTCTACATCATATACGGACGAACCACCGATGAGCTGTAGAAGGCGGAGTCTGTTTTGCCACCATGTGCTCGGAAGACTATTGTCAAGAATGAACTGGCTGTACGTTGGTTTTGGTGGGAACAGAGCCCGATAGGTGTGATAACTCGTCAGAAGTATATCTCTTGCAGACGTCGACGAGTCATCGATGGCCTCGGTGACGGTGTCGAGGTAAAAGTAGATAAGGTCGTTGGCATATTGATTCTGATTCTTGCCGAACACGAGGTGCTCCAAGTAGTCCTTGACAGCGGCTGGCGCACGCTCCTTCAGTAGGTCAACTGCCTCGGTAGGTGTGAACTTCACTCTTGCGTTCTCGTCTGCGAAAATTTGAACACCTAGTGGGGGATTGCGATTGGCGAGCCAGGTTCCGTAATCCTTGACAAGTTCGACATCCTTGATTCTGGTGACGTACTTGCGCACATCGATTTCGCCATCAATCAATTCGCCCCNCACGTCTTCAGAGGACTCGAGAATGCGGCGCCAGATTGACAAGACTTGACCCACCATTCTTCGGCTTTGATACAGTCGGGAAAGGACGTAGAGTCGCTTGTGTTGTTCGAGAAGCTCAACAGCACGGTCGAAGCATTCCACACCTTGGTCGACCACATCGTTAAGTTCAGCACGAAGAGATCCAGGTGATGCTGGTCCTGGAAACGTGTTGCTGTCAAGCATCAAGAGTAGTGACAACAAGGCAGCATCCACAGTATGAAAGACCTGCTTCTCATCTGCAATACTGCCAAAGCCTTNTTTCCTTCTCCACGATTGAAGATAATGTTTCAAGACTTGCAACAGATTATCTCCATATGGTCCTTGTGGATCTTGGTTAATAGAGTCTGCATGGTATTGCGCTTTGAATTGATCAATGGCGTTTTTGAGACCACCGGGTATCCAGAGGCCTTGGGGACCTTCGACAACCTCATCTGACAAAACGGGAATGATTGACAGAATGATACGTGGATCTATCTCTCCTTCCACCAAAGCATCATGAGTCGCACGCTTGTCAGCCTCGGAAGCAACAATGTTTTGGTTGGTCTTAAGGATGAGGTCAATCAAAAGCAGTAGCGAGGCTTGTTGACGAACATAGTTGAAGCCGAAGAACTCGAATTCATTAGTGGCTTCCTTGCCGCGAATGCTGTTGATGACTGCTTGTACCTGTGTACGCTGTACAGTGAAAGATTCCGCCGACATAGTGACAGCAGCACTCAGTTGTATCTCGAGCTGTACAACCAGGGGATTTCGAACAAGCCACCATATCGAGTCACTTGCGAACAGCAATATTCTGGTCTGCACGCTGGAGAACCTTTCGATCAACTTGTCCTCGTCATCGTTTCGCTTGACACCTTGAGCGGTCTCCTCCGCCGTAGGTTCGTGGAGATACAAGCGGCGCAGACTGAGCGCTTTGCCCACAGAAGGTAGACTCAAACTGGTCGCCGAAGTAGCTTCTCGGAATGCCATCTGAGCTTTCGACATGGCAGGATCTGGCAGGCTGAGAAAGTCTTTATGATACTGGTTATCGGTAGGATCAACATCCCAACGTTGATATTCGACGAGCTTCTCGACAGCGCCATTCTTTTCACGGCGTACGACAGCTAGAACATAGCCATCCTGAGATAGGTTTCCAGGCATTTGTTGCATGGAAGAGTCTGAAGCTTGGCCGTCGACAATGATTGAGTCGGGATAACTCTCAAACTCGATGGTGCCTCTGACAACATCACCGTCGAGATTGACGAACATGCCCACTGCCGGGTCTTCGGCAGAGGTACCAGTCGTCAACAGGAATTCGTTCGGTGTGGGCGTGGAAATATGAGGTTTTAATGAAGTGTGTGCTCTCGGGAGCGGAGNGTGGGGGTGTTCTACCAAAGGAGTGGGAGGCAGGACCTTCCCATCGGTGTCTAATGACGGGCTGGCAAGTGGTCTTGTGGGACTTGGAGACAAGGCTTGACGTGAGGCGGCGCGATGTGGCCACGGTGAAGGAGAATCATTGGGATGGAGGCGATCTGGAGTTTGTCGTCCGGGAGTCTGAGGGGCGCCTCCTACACTGGCTACCCTGTCTTGCGAGCGAAGATCAGGCCTGCGGACGGGACTGGTTGCTGAGAAGCTCCTTGATGGTGGGCGTTGTATCTGAGGCGGATCAACATCTGGGCTCTGGCGACCAGAGGATGGGTTAGGAAGAGACGAGATGGGGAAGAGATCGATTTTGCGTTGATTCACAATGTCCAGCAAGGCGTAAGATGAGCCATCGGCGACACAAGCAAGATCAGCTCTACGCTGTATGTCGAGACAGTTGCCCAGCTCAATATCTCTGATCTTGCGAGGAGAGCCTTGTTCCATGATACGAATAACACGCAGTTTCTGCCTCAGACAGATGACAATGATACAGCCATCGGCAGGGTCCAGATCTTGACCATCCAAATCGCGATCCAGACCACCAACCCAGGTGCAATCGCTCTGTTTGATCTTACCTCCAAAGGCTGGACTGAGCTCGGGTAGGGTGTAGAAGGTCAATGTGCCATGACACAAGACACATGCTTTGCCGACCGAGGGGAGCAACAGGATCTGCTCAACGACTGGAGGGGTATCATGTTGTTTGTTGGAATGTTCGGGTTGTAGGCGAGAAGCGAGGATGTATGTGGGTTGGTCCGAGTCGTCGGAGGGGATCGAGACAAAGTGGAGGATTTCTCCTGCAGACGTGCCAATGTACAAGTTTCCATCTGTCGAGAGTCAGAGAAATGGCAAGAGCGGTGGTTTCGGAAGTCGCGACTCACCCCAGGCATCAACGCAGGTTATGTAGACATTGTGCTCTTCTTCTCCGTCAGGCGACAGCGGAGCATTGCGCATCAAGTCGCGCAAGACGTAGGCACCATCGTTAGCTGCGGCTTCCATGCTTCCTCTTCATGGCGCGACTGCCTCTAGTCCTTCATATTGTCTTGTACTGATCAAGGTGGTCGGGGCGGGCGTCATTCTCACATGTCAAAGCGCCAAGACTCTCCACGTAACCCTCGAATGCTCCTTCCAACTTGATCAACAGACCAACAACTAGCTCGAACAAATAAGCTCGCTCTTGCCTGTATCGCCTGCAATCACATGTGCTGTAGGCAGTACGAGCAGTCAGAATGGCAAGCGAAGCAGTAGAGCCCCAGGCCGTCCAGGGCGCTGCAAGCGATGAAGACAAGGAGAACAAGTTCCAGCAAGCGATTGCTTCATGGCGGAGTATCTTCTTCCTTCCTATTGTTCTTCTCATACACTCGATACTAATACCTGCATANGATGTTGATCTCACCTCCCTCATTTCCACACTCGACACAGCTGCCTCAGACCTCGTCACACACCAACGCGACACACTGGTTCAGCGCAAAGAGCTCGCCCAAAAGACCAAAGACTTTCGCAAACTCGAAGATGCCGCAAAGTTGGGCGAGATCAAAGCACTGCTCAAGTCTTACCAGTCCTTTATCGACCTTATCTCCAACCAGTCCAAGTCAACCCAATCCGCCTTTCTTCAAATCTACTCGCCGCTGTCTGAAGCCCCCGATCCGTACCCCCTGCTCGAAGCCTCAATAGACTCGTTCGTTACCGCTCAAGAAGTGGTTCCCAAGCTTGAGTCTGAGAATAAGCACCTCCAAGCCACCGTCGCCAAGTTGACAACACAACTCGAAGCAACGGAATCCCAACTANNGAACAAGAGCGCTCTGCCAGACAATCTTCACAATCAAGTCAAGACACCAAGATCAAGGGAAGTCAAGGCATCTTGGAATGCCGTTCTGAAAGAGAAGCAAGACAATTGGGATGCCCGAGAGAAGAGCTTGGAAGAAAAAGTTGAGAACCAAGACCGTCTGTTGAAGGAGCTCAAGGCTAGCTACGATGTCGCTCACCGCCTAGGCAAGGCTGAAGATGACACATCAGACTCTGTACAAGGCGCATCACAGCAGGAGCTTGATCTGGTCAACCAAGAACTCGAAAAGGCAAACCTACGCTTGTCTGAGCTCGAGAGTCGCAACGAGCAACTGCGCCTCGAGCTCGCCCAGTCTACCGCACATCAGAGCTCGTCTCAAACCGCCGTCTCGGTCGAAGACGATCCTGCCTTCCTCCGTCTCCGCTCCGAAAACTCTCAGCTCCTACGAAAGCTCGATGCACAGCGCTACGAGAAGGATTCAGACAAGACGAAATGGGACTCAAGTGTCAGATCCCTCGAGAGGGAACTGGAATCTCTCAAACAGGACCGTGAAAGCACCAAGCGCAAGTTGGACAAGTGCAGCGATTATGATGAGGTCAAGCAAGAGTTGGACATGCTCAAGGTATGTTGCGAGGATACAGTACGCAAAGTGCATTGCTGACAGGAAACANNGTCGATCGAGTTTGCAATAGGTGACGCAGACGATTCCGATAACGAAACAGACGCTGCTCCTGCTGCTGACAAGGGCGAGTCACTGGAGAAGCTGCTCCTCGCTCGCAACAAGAAGCTCTCCAATGAGCTCACCATCCTGCGTGTATCGCACAACGACCTTCAATCTCGCCTCGAGTCGTTGCAGGAAGACCTTTCCAGCACGAACATGGAGCTGGAGAAGTCGCGCATCTTGACACAGACGCTCGAGGAAGATCTGTTGCAAGCCCAGAACGAAGCCAGCAACGCTTTCGACCCCTCGGCCATGTCTGCAGCAGGCACATACACTTCGCGCTACCCAAAGTCGTCCTATGCTGCGTCGATTCGTCGTGGAGGAAACACTTCACCCACCTCCTCAATCATCTCTGGCTTTGATAACAGCACCTCATCACCTCGAGGACTTGACTCGTTGCGACCAGACGCTCCTAACGCTGGCATTTTGCCAATGGTCACTGCTCAACGTGACCGATTCAAGACAAAGACTCGCGAATTGGAGACGACTCTGCAGGAACAATACAACCTCGTCTCTTCTCTGCGCTCCGAGATTGCTAGCTTGCANAAGGATAATCTATCACTCTATGAGAAGAGCAGATATGTCACCAGCTATAACACAAAGGGTGGTGCAACTTCTGGTTACTCGTCCACCAACCCAAGCACCATCACAATCGATCGCAGTAACCCTGGTACCGATGCACGTTACAAGTCGGCCTACGAAAACTCTATATCTCCATTTGCTGCTTTCCGAAGCAAAGAATCCAGTCGCGCCTTCCAAAGACTCTCATTGCCAGAACGAGCAGTCTTGCAAGCGTCCAGACTCGTATTAGCAACGAGGACGAGTAGGAATATGTTTGCTGTCTGGGTTGTCGGTCTTCATCTTTTGGTCTTTGTCATGTTGTTCTCCATGGGCGGAGGCAGCGACACGCCACATCTAGCCCACACTGTTGCCGCTGGCAACGCCGCAATAGCTGGTGCCAAAGTAGCCGCTGCAGCGCAAGGAGGTCCAGGTGCGAAATGGGAACAACCCGGCTTCGGAGATACGTAAACGAATTGGAATCAAAAGTATATTCGTCCTTTTCTTCAAATTTTCGAGAGTCACAACACCCCTCAAGCCTACCCAAGCTTTCCGAGGGCTTTTTTGGGCGTTGCAAAGCTTTTACCACCTGCAGACATTCTTTGAGGCTCGCCGTTCTCAAGCAGCCGCGGAGAGTCTTGTTGTATCCAACCTTCGGGTCTTTCAACGCCCCCTCCTCAGCCAAGCTACGTGTCGACGTGTCACACTTCACTTTGTTCACTTAACATGGTTCGAGAGGCGTCGGGAACAAGACACTCCAAGACTTTTAAACAGTGATCAAGACAAAAACGGTTCAATGTGGAAGCGGGGGTACCACAATTCACCTCGGCTAAGCTCTTGCAGGCCTCGGCATTTTTCTGTTCACGACTCGACTCAATTCGACACCTGCCTTGTTTGGTTTTGTCTTTGAGCCGCTGCGGTGGAAAATTAACAGAAGCAATCTTGCTTGGCCCCGGCTTGCGGGGTCGCCGAGGATGATTCGTATGGGTCATGAAAAGCAACATGTTGACGTTGTAGTTACGATTATGGAAGATGAGTATGGAAGGCCTGCTGGAAGGATACCGATGCAATCTCGACTTCGATATCAAATCTCAACGAGTGTCGTTGAGAGTGACAATTCAGATCGTCAGGTCGCTCGAGACACGCAGATCGAGTCTAGCCATCGACTACGTACTCTCGTACACAAAGTCTCTTCCCCTGATGCATCCTGCAAGCCGCTTTCGACGGTTCGTCAACCGTTGACCACGCCAGCGCTTGCTCTAGTGTCAACTTCCGGGGTAATTTGTTGCGGAGATCCCCCCACATGGGGATGAGGATGATCTGGGGTTTGAGTTGACTGACATCTGGGGAGGCGGTTGAGGACGCTACCTTCTTCCAGGTAAGGCGTATCGGATGGGGGACTGATCGTGTATAAGTAGGTCTTGAATCCTCCTGATCGTCCTTTCCATATCGTGGCCTTCTCCATTCTTCTTCACAACCATCTTCCTTGATCAACCTCTCCAGACGACTCTCTCTTACATCTACAAGACTTTGAACATACAAACACAACCCACCATGTCTACCGAGAAGATTGAACACACCTTGACTGAGGACCAGGCCAGTGGCAATGGCGCACCATTGAGTCGCCAGATGACCGTGGCTCTTACTNNCCCCGAACAATACGAGAGATTGTTCTTCCAACCCGAAGGACCCAAGCGTGGCGACTTCTCCAAGAGATTCGGTGTGTCTCCGCATTAAGCCTTGAAGTGTGCATTCATCCCGTGCTAACAACAATANGGTAACCCAACTCTTCTTGGTCTGCTTTGCTTCTTGATTCCATACACGTCTACCATCTTCACCCTCTGTGGCCTACGAGGTGCTGTGGCACCCACCAGTCTGATCGGCTTGGATGGCGACTACTACTTCATCGGCTTCGTTGGCATGGTTCTTGCAGGAGTTGCAGAGTTCATTCTCGGAAACAGTATGTCTGACCCTTTGATTCAGTCTCGATTCAAAATACTAAAAAGCTCATTACAGCANTTCCCCATGGCCGTCTTTGTTGTCTACGGCTGCCACTGGGGCAGTCTCGCATACGCCCAAGACCCCTACTACAACCAACTTTCCGCCTTTGCCAAGGTCGGTAGCTCAGCAGGAGCCGAATGGAACGCATCGCAAGGCTTCCACAACGTTGTCATGGTGCTTGTATCCTTCACCTTCCTGGTTGCCACTTTCCGCGTCAACGCCTTCTTCGTCGCCACCTTCTTCGGACTGGTAATGATGTTTGCTTTCATCGCAGCTGCAGACTTTGCAGTCCCTCATGTCACCACTGCTGCTGAGCTTGAGCACGTCGGCACGCTCTTGAAGATTGGAGGTGGCTTTGGCTGGTTGGGCTTGATTTCTGGCTGGTACTTGGCTATTCTTACTGCTTGTGCTGCTGTGGGTATTCCTTGCCCTCTGCCTGTGTTTGATCTGTCCAGCAAGGTCTTCTCCAAAGACACCGAGCACGACCAGCACGCCAAGCATGCTTAGATGTGTGTCTTTCTTGAGTGTGGCTTTTTGTGTCTTGAGATGAGTAATGTATTTTTATGTTTTACGTCTGCAATGAAATTTTCTTTATTCACTTTTCGTTGTTTTCTTCCCTTGCCATGTGAGACAAGTGTTCACTCTCTTCTTTCACGGAGCACTGCTGTTATGGCATGAACCCTACAACAAAACAGTCCAACAGATGTTCCTGAGACAATGTGCTGAGACACTCCAATGTCTTGTTTCTGGCACGTCCATTGTTCTTCTCTTTCGCCCAGCACCAGCCTCGAATATTATAAACCCCAATCGTCTCCAGGATCACCAACCTCAGAAGATCACCACAATGCCACCAGCTCAAAGAGATAAACACGGCTCGGCTATGAAGGTTCTACCTACAAAGCGCGATTCACCCAGTACCAGACGCTCGTCAAATCACTCGTCAATGTCAAAGTTCTCATCTCCGCCTATGCCACCGCGTAGAGTTAGTGTTGCACCTACGCCTTCACCTGCACCAGCACGTAGAGCTAGTGTCGCAACTACACCTGTCACCCAAGACTCGTCACTAGTAATGAAGCAACTACCAACTCTAAAGTCTTGCTCTCCATCAACACGACCAGAGTGGATACCTCCACCAGGAAAATCCTCACCTTCTCAAATCCCAGCGCCAAAGTTCGTAACCACAGAGAGAAGAAAAAGCATTTCTCCTCTCCCAAACACAAAACCCCAAGACAAAAGTTACGGAGCTATATCATTTCCACCTCCTGCAAACCTCCAGATGGACAAGGGGAGACCTGGAATCCAGATTGCGGTTTCAGGTGCTGGCGTAAGACGTAGAAGTGGGATTGACGCTGGCACGAAGGGAAGAGAGGATTTGCGACCACAAGGATTGGGACTCAGTTTTGAAGATGCTGGTGATGGTGTTGGTGATGGTGGGAACATGTCAATGAGGGAAAGAACTGGGGATGTTGAGCTGGTGTCTGTTTCTTCGTCCACCGCCACATCGATGAAAGGAGTAAAGAAACTCAACGACAACAACAACGACAACGACCAGCAACAGAAACGAGATTCCCTCTCACCCACCCCCAACACCGTCGAAGCATCATCACCCAACCCCGTCACTACAGCCATCGTCTCGCCAAACCACAATCCACTCTTCAAACCTACGAGTCAACTCTCTGCTCCACCCCTCTACCCTCAACCCTCCCTCCATCGCCCTCACTTCTCCACCCCTACATTTTCGGCATCCACATTTCTCCATCGTGTACTTCTGGCTCATTGACCCATCGCCTAATCTGCGGCCATTTAATCCTCACCTCTTCCCCTGAACACTGTTTACGCAATTGTGTAATCACGAAAACGACGTTTGGCACTGCGAGACTAAAAGCTCAAGGGTTTGTGGCTAATGTGAGGGGTTTGGATGAGAAGTGGGGGTGTCCTTGTTGTGAAGAAGCAAGAGAAGAGGAAGAGAAGAACTGTGTGGGTGTTTTGGGGAGGGAGATGCTTGGGAAGGACAAGGAGGATGGAATAAAGAGGCAAAAGGAAATGGTGGATATGGATTTGGATCTGGGTACTAAAGTCCTTGTGTTACATCAATCCAGACAGCAAAAGCACAAAATCGGTACAGGCAAATGAGATTAGTATAGGGAAGGGTTGCAAAGAATTGTATGCATGTTTGAGTTTGGAAATCATGGCTTGCCATCACTGAGTGAGAGCTTCTGTACACTCTCAAGTTATCTTTGCAGAACGAAATCATGTTCACTGGGAGTTTCGACATAATCTGTTCTTCCTGTGGACATAGCATTGATTGTAAGAGTGAAAGCTAGAAAAGCTTTGCCATCTCCTGTACGAAAGCCCTCTACATTGGAACTCTGAAAATGCACAGTATCGTTTGAGGAGTGGAGGAGAATGCACCGAGAGTCGACTGAACTTGATCCTCTGATTGTCTCTCCCTGGACGTAACTCCAGCCATGAAACCTTTTGTGCATACCGACAGTATTCGCAACCGATCTGTCACTGTTGGCTGAGATGGCAATCCTGAGCGAGCAAATCCAGGGCAAAGCTTTGCTATGATCTCATTGAGGTTCTTGTAGATCTTCTTGATCTCTACGTGGTGGTGGCGTTCTTATCGGCGTGTCTCCAGGAGGCCGCGCTGATTATTGCATGTGCTGTTGCTCGCTTGCTCTTCTTGCTTCTCTGCTTGGTGATTTTGTTCTTCGCTGGTTCCTTCGCTTTCTCTTTTGAGCGCTTGCTCTTGGCTTTCGTCGTTGGTGTTTGACGTGGTTGTGGTTCTGATTCTTGTTCAGGCTCAGGTTCAGGAGATGGTGTGAAGAGACGACGGTCCGGGAACATCTCTTTGTGTTTTTCCTTGTCAACGTAGCCAGCAAAGCGATAAGAATCGGAGATGGCTTCAATGTATGGCCAGAAGAATTTCGGAATTATGAGTGTGAGTTCTGAGCCTCCTTCGCATGGACGTTCACTGACAAACTTCGGCCAAGCGCTGCGGGTGGAGTTGAATGCGCGGTCGATATCCTTCCAGCGCGGCTTTCCATCATCGTCAAGGGGAAAACGTTCATTTGCAAGGTTCGCGGTGAAGAGGACTCGAGGAAATCCCTCGTCCCCCCTAAGTGGTCCTTTGCCATCGCGGACTGCTAGAAAGACTCGACTCATGTCGTCCCTGAATTGGTCCATGGGGAGTGTGCCTTCATTTACTCGCCTTGCTGCGCGAGTAAGGAGATAAGTGATCTGCAATTCTCCGACGACGTTATCCTCATTCACACACTCTATGAACATGATTAATCGGGATACTTGCGACAACTGAAGTTTTCGCCAGACGGCCATGTGTTGAGTGAACATGAGTAACACTGTATCTCTTTTAGGATAGGTGCGATGTGCTGTAAGCAATTTCACACCTGGGACGGGCCATCCATGTACCCACTCTTCTTGATCTGGATACCATAGCAGTTGGTATTGGAATCGCTCTATGTACCTGGCGAATACGATATGGGTGGGAAGGTTGATGCGAACTTGGAGAAGTACATCTGGAGAGTAGCGGTCGATGCGACGGTCAGCATATACTAAGGCATCGGCCCGTTTGAGTTCTTCCTCAAAGACTTCGTGATCCAAGACTGTCGCGTGCGCGGCGTCTGTGGCATCAGGGACTTGTGCAGACATGGCGATGATGCTGTCCCGCGAGAGTTTGAAAAAGTCGCTCGGCTGTGTAAACTGTAGACAGCGGATGCTCCTCGAAAGTTGGCAAACCGAGTCTACTTGTAGCGAAGGAACCGCTGCCTGCCAAAATCCAGTCATAGCGAAGGCCGATAACATTGGTTGTAATCAACTCATACGCTCTCGTACGTGAAATCTGGGCTGCAAGAGGTGTGCCGCTCAGTCCATCTCCAAGACATCGATTTTCTTTACTTCGACAGAGGCTCCAAGTCGAGCGTTAGCAAACTTTCAGAAAATCATCTTGCTTGAAAGTTATTCCCGATAATGAAAGTTGGTGGAGAAGTATCACAAACATGCTTCGATACGACAGCCCGCGGCACGCGACCTGTGCGGCTGTGATCTCTGGAGGCTCTTTACTACAGCCGCTGCATCATGGACCGGATGTCTGTGGAACACTCAATCTTCTTAACAGAGGAGAGTACCGCTGTCTTTCTGATGATCTGTAACACAGAACAAGATCATGTATCGAAGGATGTTGGCAGAAGAGGATGTCACCGTCGTCATCCCTCGAACTCCGGACCAGTGCCAAGAAAAGGACGAAAAACGTGGTCGCTTTATGCAGCAATTGTGCAAGCCATTAGCAACAATAACCCTGTTTGTTCGAGCATCCACAAAAAAAAGTCACGCCGGTCGTGATAACAGGTAATCTCCTGAAATCGTGTCCTTTTGAGAGCGACTTCCCTCCTGCTTATCTCAAACACAGAGCAACAACACCTTTCCGCAACGCGCTCGAGGAAAGAGCGACTGTGCCAAGCTCGCCAGACAACAGCTTTGTGCACGGCTTTCGTTCGTCAGAAAGCCTGCCACCTCCTTCTCTCGCCGACACTCCACCGTTATTCCCTGTCGATACTGTCATGTCGCACCGCGACTCGCCTAAGCTACAGGGCATCCTGAAGAATGATGACAATGTTCAAATCTCCCAAAATGGCGAAGCAGTCTCGCCGTCGCAGTTGTTGAACCTCCGCTATCCGCACTCACCGAGAGAAGGTCCAAAGTGTACGTATCTCCTACATCTTCCCTCATGACCGGGTGCAGTAATTTTTCTCGCACTGTTCTGTTCGATCCTTCAGTCACCGTCAATCATGAGTCCTGTCTTCCGCAAACTCAATTTTATCATATCAGATCGCTTATCATGTGTCAGCTGTTTCCATTGATCCTAATGCAGAGACAATCTCTCCTATGATGCTTGGAAAGGACAAAGATGTTGATAATCTTGAACTTGACAGAGTGCCCAGTGGCCCTCGTGCTTTCAAGGCCAAAGGTCCCAATCAAAAGCGTCTGTCAGGAAGACCTTCTCGTAATGCATCAGTCACTTCTTTGCCAACCCTTGAGTCATCCGAGGTTGAGAAAGATGAGGAGCACCATTTGTTCAACAGTGGACTTGTTGGTCAGGTAACAGCATGGCTTCGTGAGGAAAAGAAGAAACGTGATGCTCGTAAGGCGCGCAAATCTGCCGGTTCCCAAACTCAGGAAGATGCCACTTCTCATGAGAATGTCGAAACAGCATCACGATCTCGTCGTCGCAGTTCTGCCGAAAGCGTTGATCTCAGCAGACTGGAGCAGATTTTGAAGGAAAGCATCCACTTCGACAAGCCTCGTAGACCATCCCTTCTGCATCCGAGCATCCGAAAGCGCCCATCCATTAATCGCTTGCACAAGTCTTCGTCCAACGCAGGTCAATCATCTGATACTGAGTACTTTGACGGCGACGCTCTTGTGCCGTCTGCCGAAGCTTGGCTTGATAACACAAAGACTCTGGCCAGTGCTGGAGGTACTGCAGACCCATCAGAGTCAACTGAAAGTCTCGGTCTCGGTTCTCGTCAAGCTTGGTCATCATTCAAGTATGAGATTGTTCGCCTTACCCACACGCTCCGCATCAAGGGTTGGCGACGTGTACCCATGGACATGAGTAATGAGTGTACCGTTGAGAGACTCAGTGGCGCTCTCACCAATGCCGTTTACGTTGTGTCACCCCCAAGCGTCCTTCCACCACGTCCCACGAGCGCCGATGGAAAACAGCCCTTGCAACGCCCTCCGCCTGCGAAACTCCTTCTCCGTATCTATGGTCCTCAAGTCGAGCACCTGATTGATCGCGAATCGGAACTCCAGATCCTGCGCCGTCTGGCTCGCAAACGTATAGGACCTCGTTTGCTGGGAACATTCAGCAACGGTCGCTTTGAGGAATATTTCCATGCGAGAGCACTTGATCCCAAAGACTTGCGCAATCCTGACACGTCCAAGCAGATCGCCAAGCGTATGCGCGAACTTCACGAAGGTATCGACTTGCTTGAGCGCGAGCGTGATGAGGGCGCCTTTGTATGGCAGAATTGGGACAAATGGTTCCAACGTGTTCAAGATGTGACCATGTGGCTTGATAGCGAAGTGCTGAAGCATCAGCAGAGCAAGAACACTTCAAAGGAAGGATGGCAAGCTCGTGGCTTTGTTTGTGGAACCGAATGGGCCGTCTTCAAGAAGACTGTGCAAAAGTACCGTGAATGGCTCGAGGCGCAGTACACCGAAGCCGGCCAGTTGCGCTCTCGCTACGTGTTTGCGCACAACGATGTAAGTCTATTCCTCTACCATCTCGCGCCTTCCTCTGACTGACACTTCACANNGACACAATACGGCAACATTCTCCGTCTTCTTCCTTCAGGCACCTCACCACTCTTGCTTCCCGCGAACACACACAAACAACTCATCGTCATTGATTTTGAGTACGCCAACGCAAACACTCCTGGTCTCGAGTTTGCCAACCACTTTACAGAATGGTGCTACAATTACCACGATGAGAAGGTGCCTTGGCTCTGCAACACTTCTCTGTACCCCACTGCCGAAGAACAAGACCGCTTTGTTCGCGCCTATGTTCGCCATCGTCCTCAATTTAATGCACCAACTCCTTTGCTTGGACCTCAGGACGGCACTCCAGTGGAGAAGGACAAGGGCAGTGAGAAGCCAAAACGGCCAGCTGGACCTACGAGCAGCATCTCAAACTTCATGCTCGATGCCCGCGGTCCTCCTGAGAGTGCAGCTACAACTGCAAAGCAAGATGCTGAGTACCAAGCCAACGAAGACGCCCAAGTGCGCTCCCTCCTTCGCGAAACACACATGTGGCGCCTTGCCAACACTGCCCAATGGGTAGCTTGGGGTATTGTGCAAGCCAAAGTACCTGGTTTGCCTGACGCCCCTTCCTCCACTATCCCTCTCTCCGAGACCCCCGATGAGATTACACCTACCGAGGAACAGCCCTTCTCCGACCCTCTGGATCAAGAAGCCAAAGACTTGCAAGACGACATTAAAGACAAGCGACCCGATCCCAACGAAGAAGACGACGAGCAAGCAGAAGAAGAATTCGATTATCTGGCTTATGCTAGAGACCGAGCCATGTTCTTCTGGGGCGATGCGTTGAGTCTTGGCATCATCAAGGAGGAGGAGTTGCCAGAGGATGTCAGGCGTTCGGTCAAGAAGGTCGACAACTGAAAGCGGTGGATTGTTGAATTTGTTGGTGAGATGGAACGCAAGTGTTTAGATGTAGTTGCTCTATCGCAAAGCAAGTATACTGTCATGTCACTATCTTTCGCAGCCAAAGAAACTAGAAACTAGAATTCAAAACAAAAAAAAAAAAAAAAATAAGAATAAAAGATACATGAAATCAGAAACGCTCCATCTCTAAATTTCTTTTGTGTGTTGTATTTTGATAGTTATGATTTCCTAGGTTCACCTTTTCATAGGAAAGATGAAACCTTAGACTCGAATATGATATTGTTCCTACAAAAGACATTAAGATGTCTCTAGTACCTATAGAACAACATAAACAATATCTGACTTTATATCTTTTATATAAAGAAAATGCTATAAAGGAATTCATTATAGTGGATTTACTTTATATCTAGATACTTATTCTATGTTTCAATAGTTAAGTTTACTAGGTTACTTTTGTAGGAGATAGGGCTTAGTATCTTTTTCTTGGAGCTGATGTCGTCTTGTGAGTTTTATAGATATAGGTGGTAAGGGTTTGGGAAGGTGAAGTAAGAGTTGAGATTCGATTCCTTGGTCTTAGAAGCATAAAAGCTATTGATAGTGGTACATTTCCTCCTGGGACTTGGCTTCGTCCTAATCGTCTTCCATGAGTTCGCAGCCATCTTCGTTTCCCTTCTCGACCTTAAGCCTCGTCCTCATCGTTTTCCTCCTGGATGTTGGTGATGATACCATGGTCGCGGCTGTATGCCTTCAGCCACTCGGCCCAAATCTCTGGGATCAGGTTGTCATGATACTCCCATCCCTCGGGTACGATGAAACCTCCTTTGGTAGAGCGTGAGTCAAGTAGGTGACAACGCTCATTGCATCCCTTTCCTTCCATCTTTGTCTCAGTTGCGGTGGCCATTTTGGCCAGGGCCTGACGGTAATTAACCTTCTTCAGAGTGAAGGTTCCTTCGTCAATGTGCTTTTGTATCTGGACAGCGGCTCTGCGACATAGGACGTAACGTAGATACTCGTGGAAGTCATCTTGACCTTCGGGCGCGGCATCGAACGTGTACCTGTGCTCGAGGATACAGCACTGGAACTCAAGTGTCTCGAATCTGACGAACACACCCGAACCGTCTTCGGTCATCTTGACCTGGACTTGAAAAGTGTTTCGCTCAACCACGGTTCTGTTCATCTCGGCGCGAGGGATGCCGGTGCAATCGAGTGGAACCACCCAAGTCTTTTCATCGCCAATTCTTCGTGGTCCTCCAAGATCTTTGACCGTGTCTTCGAATTCCTGATTGATGTCTGATCCTTGTTCGACCGATTGTTCATTGAGACACCAGCCTCTTGCGACATGTTTGCGGAAAATTGGCAGAAGAGATTCTTGTGCAGATTCCAGGTCTTGCGCCCACTTGAGCTTTTGGGTGCCGTAAGTGTACTCCGGAAATAGACAGTATGCCGCATCGGAAGTGATGAAACAAGAGCTGGCTGTTGAGAAAGCAGGACCTTCGAAGAATGCCCAAAGAGACATGAAGTCCGCGGAAATTATGTTGACCTTGATGTTTTCGTCCTTGACCCATGGTGTCATCTAGTATGGATTAGCAGATAGTCACAGAAGACATGAGAGAAAAATTACCTCGAATTCGTATTCTTGACCATAGAATATGCAAGGCTCCTGGCTGCCATAGCCTTCGTTTTGGGAGTAATCGGAGATTGCATCAGCTTTGATGCCACTCTGGATGAAGACATCCAGGCTGCAGTCTTTCCAGTTTACTTGTGAGAAGAACTGCAAAGGCAGACTGCCCACAATTAGAGCCTCATTGTAGCCGAGGACACCGCGGGATTCTTTGGGATCTTCAACGAAATATGAGAGTCGGTAATCAACATCCCAACCTAGGGATAACAAGTCGGAGTAACGCGGCATGATGGATGTGATGAACAGTCGTTGTAGAAGGCAACTGTTGTTGGTTGTTGAAAGAAGAAGGAGACGGGGAGAAGGGACGGCTATTTATACGTGCTTAGAGGGGTTGTAGTGAAAGTGTGAGAGTCGGAGCGTTGAAGAGTGAACTTGGACGGAGCTCGTGAGTTCGGAGCGAGTGCTAAGTGAACTCCGAGTGAGTCGATGAATTCGCGGGAATCGCGGAGCGTGTTAAGTGACGGCGGACAGCTGTTCCAGATTAGGCAGCTACTCAAGGTTGGTGTAACTTCCGCTGTAGGAGGATGCAAAACAGGAAGCTGTCAAAATACACAGTAGGTTGCTAACTGGCGTTGTGACCAAAGAGAGCTCGAAGATCGTCAACTCTCAGTGGATGCTGCCCTAGATCCAGAAAACATTGTGTATTTTGACGGCTGTACAGATTACAGGCATTCGCATCTGGGATCACATCAAGGGTTTAGCTAGCTCTTTCTTGATGAGATCTCTCCATGCGACCGATGCATCATATTGCGAGCTATCAAGATGCACAATTGTTTCCTAGACTAGGAAGCTCATAGAGATGTTCCAACTTCATCACTCTCTATGGATAGCACTCTAATCTAGAAAGTATTGTGCATTTTTACAGCTACAACGGAATAGCTCCGAGTATGCAGGGAGGAAGAAGACCGATCTACCAGCGTAATGATGACTTATTCACCATACGCTCGCCCGCGAAAGACATTGTCAGGCTCTTGCAAAGCTCGTTCTGCGTCTTCTCCGGCGCTACTATGTCCTGTCAGATACAATATTACTTCGTCGGCGGACACCTCGAAAGTCGCGCGAACAGTTTCTACAGGGTAGTCCGAGTCTGCAGAAACGAGCAACACTGTATCGTCCTGTTTTGATCTCTCATCCATGATGATGAAATAGTAAGGTATGATCTCAGATTCGGTATCTTCGCAGAGCTTTAGGAGTAATTGGCTGCACTCCTCGGGTGTCTTGTTGATGAAGGGCGAGTCTGGGTTGGTAGGGGCGTCGATTGGTGCTTCTGATGGTCCATCGTAATAGTCGTCGATACTGTCTACAAACGCAANAGGAAAGCTTTCATTGTCGGCAATACCGCTTTCCTCAAGGAATCGATTCATTATCTATAGCTGTTAGAATTGGCGTTTGGTAGCAGCTCGACAATGAATGCTACAAACTTGTTCGCTCAGTGGAGCTACGCAAACGATAGGGAAAGATAGTTGCACCATCTTGGTTGTTGGACACTAGCAAGAAGAGATTAAAGAGAGAGGAAAGTTTATATGGAGTAGATCCATATTATCGACCATGCCTANGAGCGACGTCACTCGTAACGTGTAATATCCGAAGTCACCCCGAGCTACCTCTACATGTGGTGAAAAGGTGGTTTTAATGGGCTAGTATCTGACTGAGATGTCTGGTCCGCAGTAGACATTGTCCGTAGCCTCAGCATACCACGCATGCTCCTCAGGATCGCTATGGCCTGTCAAATAACAATTCAATGCAAGAGCTGAAGCTCCAAATGTAGCGCGGACAGACGACAGAGGAATGCCATTGTACTCAGAAGTGACGAGCAAGACGGTATCATCTTGTGTCGATCTCTCATCCATGATGGCAAAATGGAGCCAAATAGTGTTCGACGCAGTTTCGTCGCAAAGCTCGACAAGCATGCGGCTACATTCCTGAGGCGTCTTGCCGATGAATGGTGAATTCGGGTTACTGGGACCCTTGACCGGTGCCAGTGATGGCTCTGTGTAGCACACGTCGAGACTATCCACGAAGACAAGGTTCCAGACCTCCAATTCATCGTCGTTATGTTCGATGAAGCGATTCAGAACCTTCAAGAGTCAGAAATGGGGCTGGACAGTATTGACATAAGCCGCATCGAACCTCTTCGCTCAGCGGAGTAGCGCAAACAACAGGCAATAAATCCATATCAGGTCTTATGTATTGAAACCATCTAAGGTTGTGTGTGATAGCGAAGATTCTTGGAGACCTGTTAGGTCGCGTACTAGGCCCGATTGGGAATTGATTGGATTTCGGCGTTTCCCGGTGGAAGCAGCGATTGTTTACACTTTGATGGACCTCTCGAATGCGCCGGCGACGCTCCTTCCACAACGAGACGACAATTGACAAGACGAGATGGCGACAAACGATCAGATCAAGACGGCGCTGCTGACAGAGCACTTCCGATACACACCACTAGTAAGCAGGCGCTTTTCCAATGTGGTTATGACCTACAGCTGACAACAGACANNGACACTTCTGGACGACATCATCAACACAGTCAACGAGCTCACCTACCAAGCCGTCGGCGAGATCGAGACTGCCCTCCTCAACGTACCCAAAGAACAACTCGGTTTCTCCGCCAGTGCGCCCGCTCAACAGAGTGGACAGAACACCAACAATGACGAAGACGCGTCAGAACAAGCTGCGCGCACCGAGATCGAGGCTGGAATCGTCAAGCTCGAGAGTCTGCTCAACTCGACCATCGACAAGAACTTTGACAAGCTCGAGATCTACACTTTGCGCAATCTTTTGACTGTCTCGAATGCGAAAGAGGACGAAGGGTTAGAGAACTGGATAGTCCTGGATCACTACAAGGTGCGCCATACATCTCTGACTTGCTTGAGCACCGCTGACACAAATCAGAACCTTCAACCGTCATCGACAGACGACAATGCGCCCACTCCCGAATCAGTCAATCGCCTGCGCCGCAAAGTACAAGAGACCGAAAAGCTACAATCAGCCTTGAGAGCANNGAAGCTGCACAGAATGAAGCTCTGCTTGCTCAACTACGACCTCTCACGTCCGCTCCGCCAGCTGCCCAGTCCTCCTTCAAGCCCGACCAAGACACGCCGCAACAANGCTCAAAACGCTTCCTTCTCCTTCCTCACAAATACTCCATCAGCCACCGCTCTTGGAGTCGGTTCCGAAAGACACGCCAACTCGCTTGCCCAAAACACCAGCTTCGTCTATTCGCAAATCCCTGCGCTACGAGAAATTGTCGCTACTCTGCGCTCACACCTTGCCACTCTACCCGCGAAGAACATGGCAGCTACCGTCGACCAATCCACAGAAGCAAGACACGCATACATCGAGAGCCAGACTCGTCGCGCTCTGGACCGAGCAGGTGTGAATGCTGTACCAACACCAGATACCGAGTCTTTAGGAAGACGCATGGGTGGAGAAGAGACACGAGCTTTGGAAAACATTGTTGCTGCCATGGCTGCACAGAACCAGGCGTCAGACAAGATGGAAGAATGAAGGTTGGCTTGACCAAAGCAGATTACGAATTTATGATTGAAAATGGGATTGGTGCTGAGGCTTTTATGATACCCGTCCTGTACGAACAGAACACGAGTTTTTCTTTCAACTCTTGGCCACCCCACTGTGTCTATGCGTGTCTCACTATGACTTTGACCGAGTCTTTTCTGCAGTAGCTAGTTGTTGTGGTGGGATTGTTATGAGATGAAAAGAGGTTGCGCCTACCACCCTGGTATTATTTTCGAAGTCACTTTTTAGGTCTGAGGAAGGGTAACGTCCGTCATGAAAAGTTGATGTTGCATTAACATATCAGACATTCAAACGGGCCAGCACTGGCACGGTGCCACGCAGAGTTGCCACATACTGAGATGTTAACCCATTCTGGTCAATTTCGGATATTTCGAACAAGCTCACCCAAGGATATACTTCAAGAGTCAAAACTCCACCCAAGCTCGCATGTTGAACTCGAGAAGAAGCTTGATGGCTGGCATAGCCACACGGCAAGTGTGTTTGCCGTTTCTAGGTGGTAGATGATCTTGGAGCCCTCTCGGAGTTCGTCTTGTTCATGTGTGTTTTGTTTTCTTGACCTTGCCCAAGCTTCGATGCGGAAAGCTTGCGATGCCAAGAAAGGAGTTGCAACCAATCATGACAGCGAGGAAGGCACGTTGCTCTGCAAGAACGGCGTGCTTTGCTTGGCGGTGTTCCGCCTCCACCTTGTCCGTCGACAGCATCTCTCTATCCTTCCCGCAAGCCTGGTCCAAAGAGGCAGGCCGGCTCGTCACAGCCTTCAGCATGTCAAATGAAACAGACCTCATTGGCTTTGCTACCTGATCAGCATCGTCAGTGGCATATTTGACAAGCTGTGGGGCCCATCATGCAGTACAAGGTCACTGAATAATCCTTGATCAATCAAAGAGCTCCAGCCGAGCTCGCAAAGGTACAAAGTTGATCAGAACCCCCATCATAGAGTCTTGAAAAGGTAGGAGCTACCCAATTGATCTTCACCAGTAGTCAAGATGCGTTCAGTCATCTCTCTGCTTTCATTCTCGTCTGTTGCTCTTGCGAGCTGGACCCAGAACTTGAACTACCGCAGTCCTTCTGACCACCACCCTGGACTCGGTATCTCTCTTCACAAGGTCAACAAGCGTAATGTGCCCGGTACTCAGTACTCTGCCTCGCAGTTGAACTTTACCCATGGCATTGCCTCCGGTGACCCTTACTCAGACTCTGTCATTCTGTGGACTCGCATTGCTCCCATGTTTGACAGTGTCAATGACAACTCGACCGTCTCTGGCATTGCACCTCTGTACGGCCATGGTGCAAACTTGAACGCTAGTACTGCTCCTGTCTGTGTGCAGTTCAAGGTTTCCAAGTCTCCCAACTTTACCCATGTTGAGAGCAGCGGTACTGCTTACACTTCGTCCGATATTGACTACACTGTCAAGGTGAGATTAATCGACCTACTGAAGATTGATGCATTGGCTGATTCGCGGTTATCTAGNGTCGAGGCTAAGAACTTGACGGCCTTCACCCGTTACTACTACCAATTCAATGTCTGCGGCTCCAACAAGACTAGTCCTCTTGGCCGCACCAAGACTGCTCCTGACACTAACGACTACACTGCCGAGGTTGGACTTGCTGTCTACTCGTGCAGCAATTTCCGTATGCCATCATGATTCTTTTCTTGAGAATATGACTAACATGCGGTCNNAGCATTCGGTTTCTTCAACGCCTTCGGAAACCCTGTGCGAAAGGACTCGGTCGACTATGTCATCCACCTTGGCGACTACATTTACGAATACGCTGGCGATGGTGATTATGGCTACGGCTACAGCATCGGCCGCATTCCCAAGCCTGAGCGCGTCATCACCACCCTCTACGACTACCGTGAGCGTCTCGCTACATACCGCACCGATCTCGATCTTCTCGCTTCCCACCAGAACTACCCTTGGATTCCTGTCTGGGATGATCACGAGGTTTCGGACAACACATACCGCGATGGTGCTTCTGAGCTCAACAACACCGAAGCCTCGTTCATTAGCGATGGTGGTGTTTCTGTTGATCAGAGAAAGATGAACGCTGTCAGAGCATACTTCGAGTGGATGCCCATCCGTCAGGTTGAGATGGACGACAACCTCCGTATCTGGAGAAGCTTCAGCATTGGAAGTCTGTTCGACTTGATCATGCTCGACACACGTCAATACGACCGCTCCATCACCGATCTGTACTGGAACACTGACTACGTCCACGAGCTCAGCAACGACGCTGGTAGAAGTATGATGGGCAGCAGACAGGAAAACTGGTTCTACAACCAACTCTCCCAGTCTGCCAACCGTGGTGCCGCTTGGCGTTTGATCGGTTCGCAGACCGTCTTCTCTCGCGTCAACGAGTCTGCTGCTTATGGCAACACCAACCCTCTCGACTACGATGCCTGGGACGGCTACCAGGCCAACCGCAACCGCACTCTATCCCACCTCTACAACAACGGCATTGGCAACAACATCGTCATGTCCGGTGACTCCCACGCCTCCTGGGTTTCCGACCTCGTCTGGCTCGACCACGAAGGCTACAACTCGACCTCCGGCAACAACAGCATCGGTGTCGAATTCGCCGGTTCTGCAGTCTCCTCCCCCTGCCCCTACGGCCAAAACATCACCCTCCAAGCCGCCAACAACGCCTCCAACTGGCTCGTCCACGCCAACGACGAGTTGCAATGGAACGACATTTACTACCGCGGATACTTTGAACTGCACATCAACTATGACGAGGTCACTGCCAACTACTTTGGCATGCCCACCATCATCAACCGCAACCCTGACGAAATCTCTCTTGCTAATTTTACCGTCAAGAGCGGTGCTAATAAATTGCAGAGACCTGTTGCTGGTGGTATTGTCGAGTCTGGCGCTTTGAAGATTGGACAGGTCAAGCAGACTAATGCTACCAACAACACCGAGACTGGTGTTTGGTTTGTTAGTCAGGCTAATGTGGAGGATATTTAGATATTCTTTGCGATCACCGCGAGAACGATTAATCAGATGATACGGATGAGGATGATATACATCGCAGATGCTTCTTATAACGATATAGCTGTTTAATATTGCAGAAAACAAAGCGTTCAGAAAACGAAAAGTATACATTCAAATACCCATGTCTTCTGTTCACCAGTACGGATATCGAGGTGCACCGTGGACTCACCGCCCTGTTATTGCTGATCACTTGCTCACCGTCGTAGTTCTAGGCAGCTGTATTCCTCTGTCTCCACAATATCTCCTGATAGGGACCATCAAATCTTGGCAGAAGGATGCAACATTACGAGATTGGCTAAGGACAACGTCAATCCATAACATGACAAGATTCTATTTCCAATAGAGGTCCTGCTTTCTTTGAACCTTTTTCGCGCTCTGCGTTTGTCAAATCCTTCAAACACTGGAGTTTTTGATTTCTGTAATTTGGGGGTTGATTTCTCATTGTTTTCCTTGTCTTTTTTTTTGCTGGAATACGCAAAAGTATGGGTGTCTCTAAGCAGGATGTTGGCAACATGAATGCTGCGCAGATGAAATCGACGGAGCAGATGACGAGTGATGGGCATGTTTGACAATACACATACATTGATTTCTTTTTGTTCTGTTTGTTATTTTTCTTTTGTTTTTCTCAATCATGTCTTCTCTTGTTCTTGCATTTATTAAGATCTGCTTTAACTTTGTGCTCTTATTGTTTGTTTAGTAATAGATGACTTAGCAATGAACCTCCTGTTCCTACGTCTACTGGCAATCCTAGGACTAAACGCAAACAAAGGAGATATCATGATGTGGGTTTTCTCTTTTCTTATCGTTTTAGTGGTGTTGTCTTGACCATAAGGAAAAATCATAGATAGCTGATGTGCGAGAATTTAGAGAGGTGTCACTACAAGGGTTATACTAGGTGTTACACTATGTTTCCAAAGTCTGTATTTGTATTTTGCGTGCTAGAAGAAAAGGAGAGGATATGTGTTGGATCATTAAGGTGGTTCGTCACTTCTATTTTCTGATTATTGAGTGAAAACAAACAGATCTCTACAGAGTGCGAAACATTCGAGCGAGAGGAAATTGCGAGGGTTGCTATCACTTGTTCTTGTTTAGTATTCTCGCCGCACGATAAATGGAGCAGTCTTCGCGATCTTACGGGTCGATACCTAACTCTTCGGGTTCTATTTCCTTGGCTCAAAACTCCTAATTTGAGGGCCTTCTTCACAGTCCACAAGTGAGGACGGGGCCTATTTACAGAACACAAATATGCAAGTGAGAGGACACCAACGTCTTCGACCAAAGACGAGATTGCTCTTGCTACAAGTTCCATATCACTGTCACTTCTCTTCCAAATCTCTCAGATCCTTCTGCTCGTATAAAGTCGTCAACAATCCTCCAGTCTTCCTCTACAAAGCTTTGTCTCATAGAACAACGTATCGACGAGCCATCACAAGGATCATCCGCAAAGTACAAGACAGCAAGTGAAGAATACACAGCTCTTCGGTATTCATCTATGTCGCAGGCAATATCGCATCACTTTCAGTCGTTAGCTTGGCCGCACATCACTTTTCAAGATCTCGCTGAGATCTCTCAACCATAAAGACTTCTCAGGCCTTCCCCAGCTTTCTTCGACTTTCATCCCAACATCTGTTCGTGCAAGATCTACTTCTTAATCAACTTGCACCGGCACCAATCCGAAGTCAAGTTCAGCTTGCGTCATGGATGACTCTGAGCCCAAATTCGATTCAGTCCAACCTTCCAACTCTTCTCAGAAGCGTCAACGCTTTGAGTCGCAGGCTGACAAGTCAAGAGGCCCCAGGAAGAGATTCAGAATCCGCTTCAACCGCAGGTCGACCCAGAACACCCACAACGATGAGTCCAACCTCGAGAATGAAATCAACCGCGATCCCAACCACGACAAGCAAAAGTCAGAAGACCTTGAAACCAAGTCCTACCTCGAACTGAAGGCCATGTACGCCAAACCTGAACTCAGAAACCACTATGGAGATACCCTGCTCCCAGCAATCTATAAGGACAGATTCAAGCACTCGAGCCTCCAAGTTCTCCAGTCCATCGATCGCAGCAAAGTCCCTGAACAGTTTCACGCCATCCTCGATGATGCCATTGAAGACAAGACCCAAATCGCTCAGAGCACTGCCCTCGAAGTTCTGGGTGATCACATGGCGGAGCTCTGGGGTGCAGAGTGGGACCAGCTACACGACAGCTTCAAGGACAAGTCCTACGACGAGTTGAGAGCCCTGCTCAAGCATCCCGCAACTAAGAACCAGAGTCTCTCCTACAAGGGCACCTTGAGAGATGCCATTTGGGCTGCAAAGCTGAAGGAAGCCACCTACGATCAGCTACGGGATATGAACAGAGATTCCATACTCAAATCATACAGATCTATCTACGACAGACAGCTCAGAATCAAAGACCCTCTGAGTGACATTGACTTTGGCGATATCGACATTGAAGCCTTGCTTCAGGCAGCACAGTAACACTGATGTCTCGTTCGTGCTTCCTCGAAAGATTGAGACTCAGAAGAATGTACTCCAGATCTCAGGAGGCAAAAGCAGAGAAGTGAAGTCAAAGAAAACAACGACAACTAGGAAGTAAAATTGATCATGTACACTAGTTACAAATGCAAAACTCTGACTCCATGATATTCAACCCCCAAGTTCGATATCCAAGTGGTTATTTAAGGGGACCTTACTGCTCTTGATGCCGTGGATGACGATGCTTACCGCAAGTACTTCCCTCATGACCCGAACCCGGACCAGGAGATACTTGAAAGACACCGGGGGCTGAGTATAAGGAAGATCGCCGCATCGTGTTTCCTCCTAGTCACTTCCGCTAGGTCCAAGATCAAGTATTCAGAACTGGAGCAAAGTGGGAGACAAGGTCGGGATGTAGCCCCTCGAGCATGCGGAGTTGAGTTCCGAGGCTGTCTTTCGCAACTAGGACTCTGGAATCACAGACCTAAAATTGGAGGTCCAGAGACACAACAAGAAGACCAAGGAAAAATGCCAACATGTACACTAGACAGGAAAACAGAACCTGCACTCAATGTCTTCATCTAAAATTCATACCAAAACGAGCCACCTTGATCTACGATGCCTTAGAAAATGGCAAGCATAATATCTTCACAGATGCCCTACAGCTTCTTGATCCTGTCAAACCGTCCTTCTGGATACAGTCTGAGCCCAAGCAGCGTGTACTCAGCCCAAATCTACCTCCCAAAGCAACACCGTCCCACCATCATCACTAGTCACCAACCTCTTCCCATCACCTAAAAACGCAACTCCCCAAGTTTCATCGCCATGTCCCTCTAACAATTGCAAGCAATCTCCGGTCTTTGTGTCCCATAACATGACAGTACGGTCTTTGCTTCCGGTAGCGAGCGTTGTACCATCGGGTGAGAGAGTCATAGTAGAGATTCGCTTGGCGTGACCCTCAAGTAACAATTCGAGGTCACCGGTTGTGACGTCCCAGACGTGAATTATACGGCCAGAATTTGAGAGTAGGGTTGTGGAGTCGGGAGTGAAGAGGACAGAGGCGGTAGCTGTGCCGTAGCCAGCCAGTGTGCGGAGGAGATTCCCTGTCTGCGCGTCCCAGAGGTGAACAGTATGCGAGGGGGGAGGAAGTAGCGATGATGTTTCCATCTGGCGAGAAGACTGGACTGCTTCCTTGGAGTGTGTGTTGCAAAGTCATTGTCTCTGCATGCAAAACTTTTACCTGTTTGTTTCCTGCAACAGCGAATGTGCTTCCGTCGACTGAGAATAATAAGCCATTGCCTAGAGACTCAAACTTCAACTCTCAAGACTGCATATCCCAAAGCCTCACCATACAACCCCATCCTCCAGATCCTGTGGAAACTAGATACTTCCCGTCTGGCGAGAAGTCAATGTCTCCAATAGTTGTCTCATTCTGCAGGATGCTATCCATGGCTTCTATACTCGCCCCGGGTAAGACATCTCTATCCCTTGGGCCGATTAACTCACGCACCAACTTTTCAGTCTCCACATCCCAGACTTGAACGATATCAGTGCCTGTAGCAATACCCTTGGCATCAGGGAGTAAAGCGTGCGACAAACATCCTTTGATCACTCCACCCTTCTTTCTCATCGCTGAATCGCCTTTCCAGAGCTCCAGTCGCAGTCGAAAAAAGTCGAGCGATACCGTCGTCGCAAGCTGAGAGGACGTATTGGTTAGAGCCAGAGAACGAAAGATCCCAAATCATGTTTTCATGTTCCAAAGTGCTGGCTTGGAGATCACCGTTATTGACGTCGTAGATGTTGATGCACCCGCCATTAGACGAACAGATCGCGAGGAGTGAGTTATCAGGACTGAGGCCTGCCTCCCGCATATCGCCATTGTATCCTTCGAGGTTCTTGAGCAGAGTTGCCGAAGCCATATTATGTTCGTGGACAGATTGATCCCAGATCTCGGTTTAAGAGGTGTTCAGGAAAGTCACCCAGGGAGCGAGTAATAGAATTTTTCAGAATAGAGGAATGGAAAATGGCTCTTGCGAAGGTATATGTTGGTCGTGAGGTTTCAATGGGAGTGGTTGTGAGAAACGGAGGCCGCGGGCTTGGCGCTCATGATGTCGCTTTGTGAGTCATTTCTGCTTGATGCTGTCATTTGGAAACACTGAATACAAGTTCTTGAGAGCTTTCCACTGACTACCAAGGCACTCTGGATCTAAAAGTGAATGAGTTCTGTCACACTCAATCCTCCTCGTCCCATCGACGGTCCCCNNCCTGTGCGATGTTACAGAACTTCGGCACCGTGACACCTTGACTGCAAACCACTCTCTTCGTCTTATGCTCCTTGACGTTACACAACAAAAACCCATCCTCCTTGTAATCCTTACTGTCCACGATGAAGAAGTACATCTTGCACAGATAAGGATTGGACATGCATGCTTGAGGATGCCAAGAGCCTGAGGTCTGTGAAACAAGATCTCTATCGGGTTTCAAGAAGCCTTCAAAGCGACACACACGGTCTTCTGGTGCTTTTCCGTCGTGGAAGGGTTCAACGTCGCGGATTAACTGTGTGAGATCGATTCCGGGGATAGAGTAGAAGGCTATGTAGAAGCCTGTGGCTGGTTTCTTCTTGGCAGCTCCGTCGGGGAATGTTCCTTCTATTGTTCTTTGGTTNNAGGGGCTCTGCAAGCATTATAAGATTTCTTGTGAATACTTACCTAACCCAAGATCTTGCGTGTCGTCGTTATCGCCACTGAATTCGTAATTTTCTTTGGCTTCATACCAATCCGTATTCCCGATCTGCAGATTCACAAAGAGAAGTCCAGAGTCTGTTGCTTTCATCATGAATGCATCAGGTTTCCCATCTTCATCTCCCAAAGTAACCACATAAACTCCCTTGTCTTGCCACTCTGGCTCCGTCACAACCAGGAAATAGTTAGGGTCGAAGCCATCCTCTACAGTTGTGTTCAGGTGAAAGTTGATGAGCTCTTTGAGAGAAGTGATTTTGAGGGCTGGACGAAAGTGGACGTAGTCGTCCCGCGGACACTCGGAGTTGCATGCTTCGACTAGGTTCGGTGGTTCTGTTTGGGGCGAGAGGAGACTGTATATTGCGAAAGAATCTAGAGTCATTGGCCTATTTTTGAATCGCGCCGCTCCGGGCACGGAGTCTGGAAGGGAGAGGTCGATGTTAGACATTATGCTAGCTGTTTGGAGATTGTGATGTGAAGGAAGCAGTGTTCTTATACTCGTATCTAAGGACAGAGATATGATGTTGTGGGTTGACGTCAGACTGCACGGACATAACACGTGTAAGAGAATCCTTCTGGAAGTATTACTCGAGTGCAGCCTCGGTAGCAATGCCAGGGCATCATGAATCAGAGCATGCGCTTGCTGTGGTATGAGATCTTGTGACTTTGAAGTATGGGTCTATGAGAAAGCTCATCTTGACTTTTCCTACTCCATTTCCTCACATGCATGCACCAATGCATCCAGATCCAGGCCACTGTAATCGTCCTCAACAATGTCTGATCGTTCGGAGCCATGTCAAAGCTACTGTATTGGCTGCAAAAACGTTGCTGAGGATTTGGAAAGATTACACATACTCAAAGGTTTCTGCAGCTGGTTTCAACTCCTTTTTCAACTCTGGTTTCAACTACTTTTTACAACTCCCCGCGAAGTCCTACAAAGTACCACTTGCTAGTCGACTCTCGCTTCGCGTCTTGGCCCACAAGCAAAGTTGACCATACCACATCGGCGTGCCGCTAAACCACTTTTAGCCTATGATTGAGCTGGGAGCTGGTTTCAACTGTTGAAACCGCACCCCAGGTCAGTTGCCGATAGGCCAAGTCGAGCCTTTTATCCAGAAGCCAACAAGTGTGAAAGGCCCGAAACAGCTGTATAAACAGTTGGAACCGCAGTTGAAACCAGTTGCAGAAACCTTCTACTGCAACAGACGGGAGACTGCCCTCGATTAACTCGGCCTAAGCACTTTGATCAAGAACACGCTCGGAACTATGCCGTGGTGTCATGTTCTTGACCTCCTGTTCTAGCACCGTCGTGATTGTGATGCCTTGCTCCAGTCCTTTTGGTTCTTCTGCATTGGCCAAGTATCGCGAGATGTTCGCCTCGGTGCTATCCTGAGAGTTTGGGCGCCATGTTCGATCCCAACGCTTGGTTTCGTTCCTCGATCTACCTGCTTCAACCCAAGTGGCCTGTGTTGGATAGTCAGATAGAACCATATCTCTTTCGAGTGACAGCCGACGGCGTGACGATGAACCAGAGTTATCTCGGTACATTTGATCTTCGTGGTTACGAGAGCTTGTAAGATGTGAGCGTAACCAGGGGATCAGGGCCCTCAGCGTGGGAAGACTAGCGCACATGATCCCCGCATTTACTTCGATATCGCTCCAGATGGCAACGTGACTGCGTGCTTGTAGCTCGGCGATATTCACAAGGAATTTGATCCGAACAATGCTTATGAAGCAGACACTGTATCACCAGTCAGAAATCGATGTCGTACGGAGTTGCTCGCAGCACCAGAACTTACAGGCCTCCAAGGGCAAATACGAGTACAAGCCCAATCTTCTGTGAACGAGGCATGTTCAGACCTCTTACACTCGGCATAGGCAAGAATGTGGTTATCAGATTCACGGTCATATCAACCGCGGCGTTGACGAACCAGATGACCCAGCGATCCAGACACTGAGGATCACCATACAGGTTTGGAGAAATCCAAGCTCTGGAGATCGGAATACAGGCAAAGAATGAGCTGCCAAATTCCCACGCACCGTTGACAGAGACGAAGATCAGAAGGTATTTGCATGTCAGTTGAGTCCATCGACCGACAAAGATGCGCTTATACGACACAAGGATGGATGCCTTCGTGAAAGTAATGGCAATGTTGTAGTTCCAGATCGAAGCCCAGAGAGCTCGCCAAAGACCAGCAGTATCCTTGTTAGGATGCATATGAAGTCTAGCTTCTGAAAGAAGTTAGTCGGCGTAAGCGAAGTGATATTTTGGTAGTGTATAACGAACGGAGGCACATGCTGACAGTCATCCCGATCGTCGCGATCTGATTACACCCAGAGGATCAGCAACGCCCAGGCAGACACAAGTGGTAGAGTGGTAGGAATCCTTGAAGGCTGTTTCTTACCAAAGCAACTCCAATGAGGATATCATCTTTGCCAGCGGACCTCAGTATGAATATTCTTGTGCAGATCCTAGCAATCACGACTGTACTGGTGATCGTGACCAATACAATACTAGCTGAAAACAGATCTCCGGGGCCTCCTCTTTCAGGGAGATGTTCGTTATTCATTTGACGATCTGTATCGGCGACGAAGTGCTGGGTCGATGCAGATCCAAGAGATATCGGCAAGGATCCACAAAGTCTTGTATTCTCAAGCAGCGCACTTATCAAGGCCGATTACGGCTCATTTATAGTGGACCCTAACAGTAAGAACGCTGAAAGAATATGAGACGACCGAAAGTACGGGAAGGCAATTTTCATCCCCTCCCATGCACGCATCCTCGTAAACCCTGAGCGCAGATCAAGCCTCGGGTTCCAGTTACTTCGTATTCTCATTACGTTGCAAACCTTGATATCTCCACATTGATGCTGACTGTGGGGAGCGTGCAAAGGTGTGAGGTTACAATCAATTACGCAGGAGGTTGATACAGACTTGGCCCACGTTGGTACATCCACATGAACCAATACAGTCGCGAAGCACAGACTATGAAACGGCACCAAGGATCTGGGTTGACTAGAGCCCGAGTCATTCTATCATTCTTCTTTGTGACTACCATCAAGCGCATCAGAACTCGATTCCACTACACGCTTCATCCTCGCGACTGACAAGCAAATTTATGTTACTATAGGTACCGACGACAGCAGTGGTTCAGAATGTGTGATCAAGAGAGTGAACGTCGTCGGCAAACTTTACGTAGATTGAAGAACCCCATGCGCATGATACCAGCTGGACTAATGCCGTGGTTGGGCAGAAAACCCCTGGTGCCGGACAAAGCGCTGATCCACGATCCCAAAACCTGTTCGTACGGACTAAGATCCTTCGCTCCACAGGTCCACGCAAAGTTGCAGGAACGGTTGGGGCAAAATTAAGTTTTCTCTGAGACATGAATGGCTCGCACCAAGCATCCACGGGATTTGTCTTGGTCATCAGCGAAGCATGACTATAGTAGTGCTTGGCGGTCTCAAAGAGATTCTCCTACATTTTCATTCGTAGAGAATACAGCATGTAGCATTGAGAGTGTAATCAGGACCCGGCTCTGATGGGAAGTGCATTGTCATAATGCTTGAAGAACAGCAAGTATGACTTATGTCTCACCTCCCAGATCTCAGACGCCAAAGTTGATAATATGTATATTTTGTGCCTGTCCGAACGAGACCCAGTCAAAGTCAGCTGCACTCTTGCCAAAGTATGCCCTAGATTCCTGCTCAAGAAACACCGCTTCTAGGAGTTGGCGTGTCTCTGAGGCGTAGCAATAGACACCATGACTTTCCAACGAGCGCATTATACGCAGAGCTCGGTTTCTATCGCGCGAATACAGACTATGGACACCGGCCAAGAAGACAGAGAAGATCATGTGTCCGTGAATGTTCTCTTCCATCGCAGCAAACGAGGCAGCCTTGCAGAGAATATGCCGACAATGTACTGATAGTTCTTCGCGTTGTTTCGCTGATGTGTACATATACTGATCACCGTACATGCTTGTATTAAGGTAGACGAGCATCGTGGAGCATTGCATAGATGCCTATTCAACATCAACTGTTGCTCGGAGTTTTTGCAAAGGTGGAAGAAATATCAAGTAGGACGAGCGACTTACAAACTTGTCCATCATACTATCGGCGGTCCGAGATATTTCTAGACTTCATGAGTGTCGAGGAAGATTAGCTGCATGTTCGAGACTTCACATACCAAGCAATGCACGTTTGAATTCACATATGCGATCCTGACGTTCCGTCATGGTACCATGACCTCGTTGGACATCTGTGCGCATCTTTTGTGCTAGTTGACTAAGCTCGGCATACTTTGAGAGTCATGGACTGATGCTCAGATCTGCTATACACTCACCCCGACCGTTGAACTCACACCCAGAGAGGAGCGAGAGATAATGTGTCTGGTATGCTTGAACGAATGAACCAGTCTGTGGGTTTCCAGCGAGAGATGCTTTTGCATCGAGGAATAGAGTAGCAGAGATAAGGTGATGCATCAATTCCTTAGTATATGTGTCAGAGTATGAGTGCTTCAAATATTCGAAACATCTCAAATGCTGCGACCATAGATCGCGACCAAAGGTATTGTACTGGAGCGGACAGGATAGGTCAAAGATGAAGAGTACGCAGTGAGAGAAGATTAACGACCTCTGAGGCATCGCCGTATGCGTCATACACGCTACAACGGCTTGACGATAATGTTGAAAAGCTTCCGCGAGGAGACTTCCGGGGTCTCTGAGGGTCATATCCAGTAACGCAATGGCACATATCGCATGGTGCAGCTTTTCCGAGTTAGNCAGTTACAAACCGGTCAACGTGAGATAACTTACTGCTCGAGACGTATAAGATTCGCGAACAATAGCTTCCGCTCCACCGTCCTCGTCCAGTGCGAATTTCAATCCTAAAGGCATGATTTTTCGGTAGATGTAATCTTTGAAATGCAAAAGACAGGCTTCGCTATCGAAGATGTGCGTGCCATGAACTGTGGCTGATACCAGTTCATCGTTTCTGCCCGGGCTTTGGTTCTTGGACCGTCCTCGTTTTGAATGGATAGACCAGATGTGGTCGGTCTCGAGATCGGTCAGGAAGACCGTGTTGGGATCTGCAAATGAGAAGTGATGTAGAACATCACCTGGATAGTCCACGCCTTCTTGTTCCTTCATCAGAGTGTCGTCGATTCTGATTGCTTGAGAGACAGTCCATGGCGTTAGAATAGCATAGAATGAGCCAGGCGGTCGAGTCAGCGCCCTTTGCTCTCTTTCATCCGCGTTCCCAAGCTCATTGAAAGACATGGCCTTCGACTCTTGGTCGGTGTCTAGCTGCCAGCTTGAGGCCTTCGAGAAGGCTGCCTTATCCCAAGATGGACTTGCAGTTACGGAGACACCCTTATTCAACCTCTTTGTTCGCGAAGTCACATCGTAGAATCTCCAACGCTTTTGCCAGTTGCATTGCTTACCTAGCCGTGTACATGCTCCGCACTTTGGCTTGGATTCATCGCATTTTACTCTCCTCTCTCTGCAGTTGTGGCATCCATCTTTCGATCGTATCGCTGACCGTCGCCGAGGTCCTCGTTTTACCATGACGATTGTGGCAGACGACTTCGAGTCCGCTAGCGGTGATCGTGGGTCGGAAGAATTCGAGACTGTCATATCACTCGAGACTCTATCTACCTGTCACATGGTAGGTGTGAGCATCTCCAAGCGCATTGGATCTTGGTCGAGAGTGCATACCTTTCGTAGCGAAGAGATGATCCCGCCCAATATCGTGATGACGAAGAAGCCGTTGTCCAGATAAGAAACACATCAAGAGTGGTCGAAACAACCCAAGGCTGGGGCAGCCGGATCCCTGATCATCGAGGTTTTTTCAGCATAGCTGAGGAGCTCGAGATCCATACTTGATTATCCATCGCTTGCGTCTGCTGGCGAACGAAACTCGACGTGATCAGCTATCGAACGCGTCTAGTGCATGTTGGAATTGATGTAGTATCCTGGCTTTGCACGGCTCGCTCCGCACTGCCGCCCGTGAATGTATCATTTACCTATTCAAGGTTATGGAGAATTGAGTTTGACAGGTGCATCGCTTAGGCATCCTGGAGTTTCGGAAATTGCACCTTCCCATCGTTTCAAACGTAGTTGACAAGAATGCCATCAGGGGTTCCTTCCGAAATCATCTTAGTTCGCCATCGGGAAACACATCCACTGATCGCTTTAAAGAAGGCGCCAGCAACAACAAGCCGACCGGTATACCATTCGGGCCGAAAATTCCGGACCATCGTCAGATCACCATGTACCTGATCAAGTCGCAGATACTACCTTGTTTGGACTAAGGTACGTCAGACCTACCAGGTGCTTGCATGTGCATGGCAAGCCGGCAAGGCTTCCAGATGGTAGTCATCTAACCTAGCTTATGCATGAACATGTCTTGCTAGGTGCAAAGATTTTCTAAGATGCTGAATGGTTTTATTGACCCAAGCTTGCGTCTCTGTTACTTACACTGTATATGATAGCCTCGATCAAGCGGCCTCGTTGGTTTCGGGCGATCATCTCAGACCTGGCGCCTCAAGATTGATTGCACCCATTTTCTGATACTATAATAATCAGCAGAGTCTTGAAAGCATGTTGGGGACACAGATCAAAATAGCATTTTGGAATCTTCAAACGTTGAAAGCCAAAAGAATTCTGTTGCCTGCATATTCTTGGCAAACTCCGGACTGGCCTTTTCGAATTTATTATTTGCATGCAACACAACGGTCTTGAAAAGAAAATGGATACGATTTTATCTCGATGGTTGAAGATGCTCCGCTGCACCCATAGTCACGGAGCGAACAAAAGCTCATCATGTCACCGTCCATAGACAGTAGCCTTGCAAAAGCTGATTGCCTGGCCATACTTCAATCGATCATGTTTCATATCGACCAAGCAGGTGTCGAACCAACTGAGTTTACGAGGGACGGGCTTGGCGAACGCGCACTAATGCTATCTAAGATCGTGTCGCCTTGACCCTAACTATAAAAGCTTAAATCAGTGTAACACGCACTGCTTGATCTAAGGCAACCACAATCCTTTCAGGAGAGTCGTCGGGTTTCCTGATTGAGTTTCCCGAATGTCTGCAAATACGATTTTCGATGGGCTGATACCGCACGAATGAAGTAATGAGGAGAAGCTTGGTCCTGTACCCGTCCAATGTCTGTCTTTACATCCATTGCAGAAGCTTTTGCGATCTTTGCTGAGCTTCCATTTCATCCCAACATACCTTGTGACATCGATGACTTTTGGTAGTCAATTTATTGCTCAGGACTCGAAACGTTTCCCTCCATGCCAGTGTCCATCTTGGTATCGACAGCACAGACATGTTCAGCTGCTCTCCAGCTTCAATGTCAAGCGCATCTCGAGCGCTCAGCACCGCAGCTAGGACACCAGCTGGCCGAGCTCTTGGTCTGACAGTTGTCTTGTGGCTCATCACATTCTTCTACTGCAAGCACAAGTTCTGGAGGGACCCCCATTCAGCATTCTTCGACAGCTCGACTGTTTACGATCAGGGCTACAGCAACGTGCGGAGTCAGGAAGGGCTAAACTTCTTGTCACAAGCAAAGCCAATGATAGACATACCATCGCCCGATCCCGTCATCTGTGCTGGCATCGTCACAGTGAGACGGAATCCCATCCAATATCTCAACAAGACTATCGGATCTATGCTAGCGGGTCTGACAGACGAAGAACGAAGCGCGATACACATCAGGCTTCTCTTTGCCGAAACCGAACCGCAAATGCATCCTGATTACCATCAGCGATGGCTTGGCCATCTTGAGAGTGCTGAGACCTACAATGTGACCAGTGAGAGTCTCGCACATCTCAGGGAACTAGAAGAAGCAAGGGACTTCTACGAGAAAGGTGTATTGTGCGTGAACATGCGATGAGCGAACATCATCTTACAAAGCTAACATCTCCCACAGNNCGACTACATATACATGCTCAATCAATGCCTAGAGCACACTAGCGCTCCGTTCGTGGCAATTTTCGAAGATGACATAGTCTTTGCTGACGGTTGGCTTTCGAAAACTGTCAAAGGCTTAGCAGAACTTCGACGATCGACTGAATGGCTGTACCTTCGCCTCTTCTATACCGAAACCTCACTTCGATGGCGAACCGATCAAGACTTCTGGTTCCGGCACTTGTGGCTCACCGTCGTGCTTGTCTCGTTCCTCTTTGCGCTTTTATCGGTCATACTGCGCCGTTCCTTGAAGCCGTTGCACAGCATCCTTACAAACCACACTGTTGTCGCAATGGCACTCGTCACAATGCCGGCCTTCACGATCCTCTTCTTCATGATCGGTAAATACAACGTGCTCCCACTTTCAGGAGTGGAGAGAATGGACAAATATGGCTGCTGTACTCAGGCTCTTGTGTTCCCGCGAGCCCAAGTCCCAGATCTCGTGGCCAATCTCGCGCGCCGAAAATCAGGACAAACGGATACAATGATCGAAGAGTATGCAGATGAATCTAGATTAGAGAGGTACGCATTGGCCCCTCAGGTTGTGCAACATGTTGGGCTGGTCTCGAGTCGCGACAATTCTGAGATAAACACGAAAAGCACGTGGGCCTTCTGGTTTGAGGCGAGCGATGCCAAACAACTGCAACTCGAGCATGAGGAACTAGCAAAGTGGACAATCTGGAGAGCTGGCAGTCATAATCATCCAAACTGATCGACAAACTCGTATCCTGGTTAGATGGGCATCATGCGGCTATTGAGCTTACGATGTAGTTCATGACTGTTCAGAACGCCTCCAACTTTGAGAAAGAGTATCAGGGCGATTATGGACGACATAAAATCTGAATATGTATGTCACTACTTCACAACATTGAGCAGAGAGAAGACCGAGAGAATGATTATGTCGAGGACGCGCAGCTTTCTGCATCTTCATGGAGTGAATCACGCGGCACGTTCTCAGATCATGCGAACAGCTGCGAGCCTGTGGCGCGAAGGAAGGGGTCAACATCAAGATATGTGTCTGCACCTTCCGACCAGACTGTTTTGCTTTGCAAGATTCTGGCTTATGTAACCCACAAAACCACTCCTTTGGTCCGACTGCGGTCCAGTATTCTAATGTCCGGGAGTCTTCATGGCTATTTTCAGTAGAATCCTTTTCGAGATACGATACAGAGACTATATAGTACAGCTGATGGTTGTCAAGATAGCTTGAACTGTTGCTCGCGTGGTTGTGATATATTTTCTGGGGGTTGGTGGGGAGTCTGCCGTGCGACTATGTCAGTCGCTGTCCGAGATCCCGGGTCCTAACACTCGATTAGGAGAATCCAGTGCTTTCTAGTTTGTGTAGTTCAAGACCCAAAACAACTAAACTGCCAAGATCCAGAAGAACCAAGGGTACGGCGATGTAGGAGTAGTTTGAGGGTTTCCATGCAGGTGACTGAGACTCTCCCAACATACAATTTGAGACATTGCTACCCCCGAAAGCTGGTCAGTGCCGTATGCTAGGACTTTCCATCAAGGTGATCGAATTTTGACCAACAACAATCCGCTGTTCGTCGCTTACATTTGCACCGTTCCAAATCGCGGTGTACAAGACGGTGGTCTGCCCACATGTTGCCAAGTTCTCTCAATCCTTCGAGCGCCCAAACTTCAAGAAGGATCAAGTGCTCGGTTCTATTTGCCAACGATGAAAAGCGGAGCACACACGGGGTCCAACTCAGTGTTGTATCGTATAGGGTGATACTGAGACCACGTGGACTAGGGGAAACATCCATGTCACGTTCAGGACGGAGCTCAAAGCCAAGAAGATGATTCGTAATGTGCCCAACAGAAATGGTTCTTGCAGGATTTATTCCTGCAGGCATGAATCATTGAAGCCAATGTTAGATATGTTGTCGCCGCTCACATGCACCTCATGGAGCAAGAGATTGCAGCAAATTCTATAGAGGATCAGCAAGTTCCTCTCATTAGGCTATGAATAGAATGTACACGGGTCAACACATGAGCATGCGTATCAATATGATTCCCTTGCTGTGTTCGGAACAAATAGTGGACGAGATTTCACTTGTGACCAAGGCAGAGTTTGGTGCCAACCTGTTCATCAATATATGTTGGCATAGCAGGACGGCATTGGGACATATAACATCGACGACGATGAACATGTGCTTGGGTGATTCTTCGCATGTAACAGTTGTCGGAACATTCCCCTTTCCCAAGACCAACCATACTTGATATAAAAAACTTCAAATCTCGAGATGCAATCATCGTTTCCTAGAGACAGTTAACGCAGTTTTACTTCGCAGCTAGTAGATGGAGGAGCACGAGCAACGTGATCGTCCTTCCGGGGATGCAAAGTTCCATTGGCTACGTTGATTGTTTTTCACACCGCCTATTGACGGACAGATTCGTTCCAGACATGCTCCTGCTCGTATTATTGTTTTAGTGATTTTACTTGGAGGTGTTTGATGGCATTCGAGCTGTAGTTGGTCGATCTGTACAACCGACCCATACCCTTGTCTCCATGTCTTTGCACTTCAGGGCGATGTTACGAGTCAGGTCATGGTTTCTTTCACTATGATAGACTCGATGATCTTGAGAACGATGAAGCCAGGAGTTACTAGGGTCCCGAGTCCTCGCAGATATCTTCTATATAAACCCAGTAGACATCCAGTTCTCTACTATCACAGCTTCAATTCAAAATCATCACCATCAAAGCTTTCACTCTTCAATGCTCGCCACCAACATGAAGATCCTTCAGATTCTTTGTCTCGGCTCCGTAGCCTGCGGACTGGTCATCCGCCCCAGCAATTCCCGTGCCATCGAGGAACAGTCTTGGAAAGCAGCCTCGGAGTCTAGCCTGATCCATGCCTTGGACGGGCACAACGTGACCCAACTGCTCCTCTCTCGCGACGATGGCCAATGCACCGATCCCACTTTCTCCTCTTCCCAATGGGCAGATTACAGCAACGACGGCAATGGTCGTTACGCCGGCACCTGCGGTGTCACCGGCCACGACAGCCACAAATGCTGGACCGATGTCTACACCGTTCAAGCCCAAATCCAGTGGTCGCCATGGAAGGTAGTCTCCGCAGGCGTAGACTGCGCAGGCTCTGCAAGCTGTTCAATCTCCGACACCTGGGAGTTCCAGTCTTGCAAATCTCAATCGACCTCTGTGTCAGTGACTGCCGGCATCCAGAGCGAAATCCTCAACATCGGCGGCGAGGTGACCCACGAAACCGGCACCACGGATTGCCAGACCCATTCTTCGCAAAAGACTTGGGAGTGGTGAGGATCTAGCCAAAAATCCATCGTGTTTGGGCACTATGTTGATGTGAAAGTTTAGGGATAATCAATTCTGTCATAAAGTGTCGGCATCTTATCAGTACATCCGTACCTGGGGCTATAATCGCAGAACCTGCGTCACACCTCGTGGAGGCAATCCTCCCAAGAGAGGTGATGGCTTTTTCACGTAAGAACATCTCACATTCTATTATCACTGCTTCTTGACTGACTACCACTACAGTGTCGGATGGAGTGATTGGAGTTACGACTTCCCGACAGGAAAGCACCACTACAGTGGCAAGTATCACTGTTCGACCGATGTGGGAACCAAGGGAATGGATTTGCCGGGCGCAGGACCCGTGATTCGGATCTGATCAACATGGACCTTTCGATATCAACGTGCGACAAGTGTCAGAAGAGGGTTAGGAGTGAGCGCAACCAGGGCAGCAACAAAGAGTTTTATCACTATTCAACATAGTAGAAGATGATTTCCAACCATATCTCAAGATTGATTTACACGAAATCTTGTCACGATACTGCTTCACACATTACTTTGCTGTCGATCATCGTTTTGGAGATGCGTTCGTTTTCTAGACTTTCCCTTCGTTGGAGGTGTAGGCAAAGAATTCGAGTCATTGATCATGCTGTTATATAGATTCGTATATTCGTGAGACCACATCTATCGACACTTCATCCTGGTATCTCTACCCTTGCCTTGGTCTTCCTTTCATTCAGGAGCATCAAAGAACTCAGCCTCACTCGAATCAGAAGACTCGGTGATCGGAAAAGGAGCTTGTCGCTTGTTGATCGCCTTCTTCTCTTTCTTTGGCTTATACGTCTCCCATAAAAACTCAACAATGATTCTGCTTCCGGGCGTACAAGCTTTGATATGACAAAGCTCTTTGCCCGCCACCAAGAATGCCAACGTCAACCGGTATTGGTGCTTATCCAAGTAAAATGCCGAGGCTTTGATGAGTTCCCAAGTATTGAAAGAGTTTGGCGTTATCCTCTTGAGCCATTCCTGCACTGCGCGATCTTCGGTGTGGATGGGTTGGATTGCGGTATATGCTTCGAGAACTCGATTGGCTTGTAGTGTGTACAACTCTTTCGTCATCTTTTCTGCTGAGTTGCCGATGAAGTTGACTTTTGCCAAATCGGCGTTCATGCGTCTGAGAACATCAACGATTATGGGGTCGATGTCGGTTGATCGGTCTTGGTAGGGCTTGATCAGGTCCCCGTCATAACTCTCGGCATCCGCTAGCTTCTGTTGACAGTCCTTGGTCAACTGTTCAATACGAGGGTTGACGATTTCGAATAGAAGGTAGTCGATAATGTGTTTGAGATTGGGCTCCAACCGACCGATCGTACTGTCCGTCTTAGGATCCATCCAAGACTCGTAGGCTGGTCTATCCAACGATCCTCTAATGCCAAGCTTCTTTCTGACAAAATTGTTGAATGCGCTTAGCGTGAGGGTGTAACCATTCTTTGCAGAGTCAATGACCAGATCATGCAAGCCAGCGAGGTCCTCAACTTTCTTGGACGAGATGGAATTCTCCTTGTAAGCAAGTTTGCCATGCATCTTTGTGACTTTACCCAACAGATCTTCCATGAGTTTGAATTCGAAACACTCAGACAGCCACGTATCAACATTGTTGTCGCTGCCAAGGACTTCTTTCAACTTGCGCGCATCCTTCTTGATGCCATAGTATTCCAATTTCGGCTCATCCAGTGGTGCAGGTGCATTTCTGAAGTCTGTCGTCAATCTTGGGTCCCAGCAAAGCCAGAAAGTGTCACCGTCGTAGTCGCCACCTTGTAGCTTGTGGGCAAGTGGAACGCATCCTTTGGACGGGAACACTACGACGTCGGTCAAGTGGCTGAGTTCTTCTTTGTAGACAGCTCTAACCTTCTGAATATCGGAGCATCTAAGAGAAGGATGTCTTGCGACCAACACCTCACCCTTGAGATGTGACCAGACTTCGCCAGATACTTCGTCACGGAAGGTCTCGGAGAATGCCATATGAATCTCACCGGGCTTTAAACATCCAGTCGGATCAGCAACACCCAAAGCCATGGCAGATTTACCCAGATGAATCTTCAGCTTAGAACGGACCGAGGAGAGCCACAGCTTGACAACTTGTTGGACACACATGGCAAGATACTGATTTGTGAGAGGGTTAAAACCAGATTCCAGTAGCTTGATGGACTTCTCAACCCAATCAGAGGGGAAATTGCCAGCTTCTTTGACGCCGAGTTTTCGATTGAGCTCTTCCATACCACTGAATTCAGAATGTAACCATCGACGCAAGCTTACTGGCTCATTCAATGAGTCAAAGAAGGCTGAAAAGTCCATCTCCAGTTGGCTTTGGATGACTTGCTGCAACGTGTCGCGAGAAACGTGGCGATTCTGTAAAATTGGTATGAAGTCCAGATTGAGTGTTGATGGCTTTGGTGGACTTGTGTACTTGACCAGTTCGAACGACCATCGATCAGGCTCGCAACTGTTTGTGAGATCCTCGTCTCTCGGTATGACTTTGCGTTGACTTTCTGTCATGTGAATCCATCTTCTTTGGTGTCTTGGCTCAGTCGTGTCGTATGGTGCGCTGATCATCCAGACACCTTTGCAGCCATTAATACGTCCTTGAAATGCAACAGGACGTTTGTAGTATACAGGCTCTCTCACACTTGAGTGGTTGCAACGAGATTGTCAACAACTTGTCTGCAGATGCACTAGCATTGAAGACGAGGTTGGCTTTGAGCATGATATTGGTTGATTGAGTAGGATCGGTTCTGGCTTCCCAGACCGAGGCAAGCGTCCTTTGAAACTGAACACCGGTAGGTATGTTTCCATATAGTTCATCTTCATTTGCATAGTACTCAAAGGGCGCTCCGGCAGCATCTGCAAGTCTGTAGCTTTCCCAGAGGTGATAAAAGGATGAGTGATTGACACTGGTAGCCACGGGCGAACCGAAAAGCCCATCGGTTGGTAGAGTACGGACAAGTCTGTGTTCAAGAACCTTTGATGAAGCAGATTTGAATCTCAAAGTTGGCACTTTTGCAACTCCGAGATCTTCTAGTTGCATCTGAATCTTCGCCGGTGTTGTATTCGAGTTGGCGGGTGTGATTGATGGGTGGCTAAGAGGTCGATCATCCAAATGTTGACATTGGTCGAGCGATTTGCTGGTCACTCCTGAGTCCTTTGGAACAATTGAGGGTTGCTCGAAACTTGTCATGAGCCGGTCAATTTGCGCAGCTTGAGAAGGATCTGGCTCTTCTCCGTATTCGCCGCTTGACGAATCCCAATCATCGTAGACACCATCGAACGAAGTAACAACAGTTGTAGCAAAACTTTGATTTGCATTCGTGTGATGCGATGGTGCAAAGCTGGGGTTGGATGGGCTGACCTTGTATGAGAAATGGTCGTCAAGAGAAGGCTGCTGTCGCCGCTGCTTCTGGGGGCGTACATACTTTGAAGAATCGCAAGAGTCTTGATCTGAAAGACGCTTAGTACCTCGTGAAGCTGGAGCAGGGTCGAACAGGAAATGTTGGCTAGTGGGCAGCAGCTTCTCCTTCGGGCTTTGGTTCTCGATATCCTTCACTTTGATCGTGCTCGAATCTGAACGCTTCTTGATTGTTGGAATGAGTTTTGTTTGTGTCAAAGAAAGCTTAGGAGCAGGTTTTTTGAATCGAGGATCGTGTTGCACTGCAGACTCGTCCAGTCGCAGCTTGCTCAGCTGTGGTTTGTGCTTCTCGAGATAGACTGCGTCTCTGAACCGAGAGTAGAATGCTTCCAGATGATCTCCATGGATCAGGTCTTCTGCTTTGTCCTTGCGAAATTGATTGATCACATCGTACATAACAATCCGGTTCCGAAAGAATAAAAAATTGATGGAGTCAACACATCTCTCGGCATAGCCATCTGGTTGCTTGCTAGGCGAGAAAGTACCGACTCGAGGTCTGAGGGGCAAATCGAACTCCTGAGCCGTCAATTCAATGATAGTGTTGATCTCCTTGCTTGCTTGACCTCGGGGAGTCGTCGGCGCAGGTGAGCCGCCGTTGGATCTGCCGAAACCAGGACCCAAGGCAGCCATTGCTGGAAATCAATGCGCAAGGAATACAAAAGAGCTCAATTCATCGTCAGAATATGGTTCCGTAGGGTTTTGGTGGCCAAAAGAATGTTAATCGATGCGACATGGTTCAAAATGTTGTTGATAGGGGTGTGCCTGAGGAACGAGTGGGACAGAACTGTGGTTTCACTGTCGGTCCGTGCCGCAGTTAACCGCCAGCTCATCCTGACCAATCATGTTAGACGACCACGATATGGTTGAGGGTAAAACCCTGGTCTCGATATGTCGGGCATCAACTCGAGGCCCACGAAGGCAAAGACATCTGAAAAATTGACCCAAGAGCTGAAACGATGAAAGCTGGCATCGTGTCGGATCTCTGGTGTGAAATCAAAAGGTGTTGTTGAAATAATGGTTGTCGTGATGAGCTGTCTCTGCTTCGCAGCTCGACAGAGCTTGGTTTCGAGAATACGCTAGTTATCAGAACGAACCACCAAGACAGAATTTAGTTGAGACAAGAAATGTTTGGAGAGCTGGAGGAATACACAAGCGTATAATGAAAAAAAAAACCCCTTCGACTGCTGTCTTGTTGTTCGCACCACACCCTAGAAAAGCAGGTATATGCTCAGAAGTCACATTGAGCATCTTGGACAACCTCGACATGGAGGTCCGGATGTCACCAACACCCTCTCAAAGTACCCTACGAAAACATGAATTCACTGCAATGCCTGCAGATACCTACCAGTGACATGACCATGGTTCATATGGTGATCGGCTACAACACTCACAGCATGTCTGAGGACTACCTACTCTTGCCTGTGAACATATCCTTGCACAGCCGACAGCCAGTGGAAACGAGTTCTCGTTTGCAACAAGCTCGTAAATATACTTGTCGTATGCTTTGATTGGATAATCGTGTTGGCAAATGATGAGTGGGCGTAGTGGGAAGCGAAATACATAACATAGTCTCAATTATGGAAATGTAGCATGCAGCAGTTGTGGAACAGAGGTATGTGAGTGCGGAAAATGGGATCTTTGATTTTCATAAGAGTAAGGGCATTGTGTTGTAGCAAAGCACTGGGTATAGGCCCTTTCGTAATCGTTTTCGCATCGCTTAAACCTTCATCTCGGACATGCCGTGCTTCCTGTATAAAAGTTAGCCTTGTTCTCTTTTTTCTTCTTTTTCTTTTCCCCTCACCAGAAAACTGCGTAAGGCGTGGCTTAAAAGGGAAGGTATGTTAGCAAGGATACCATCATGTAAGGTAGGATGATGTAACGTACTGCCATCCTCGCGGTAGTTGAGGAGGACGACCATGCCGTCGGGGTCCATGGACTCGCCGGTGAAGAACTCCCAGTCCTTGAAGTTGCCAACGATCTTCTTGGCGAAGGTGGAGGCACCAGTCTCGAACTCCTTGATCTCCTCGTCAGAGGCACCTCTCTCCTTCATGGACTCCTTGACCTTCTTCATGTACTGCTTGAGGTGACCGAGGTAGGACTTCTTGTCGAAGGAAGTCTCGTTGAGGCGGAAAGAGTGGACAACGTCGATGACAGAGGTGGTCTGGTCGTCGGCACCCTCGTCACCACCCTCCTCGGCGGAGGGGTTGGCACCGATGTCNNTGAAGGGAAGATTGTTAGCCCTTGGGGCATGTCGAGAAAGTTGTTGAGGATCCAGGAGAAGCATACCGATGTTGTCACCACCAACGTTGATACGGGCGCAGTCGGCCTCGTAGACGACACCGTCAACGAGCTTGAGGTCGTAAGAGTCCGAGATCATCTCGTCTCCGGTGATAACATCCTATCGGGTCGAGTCAGCTCCGTGTTCATGGGCTCAAAGAGGGGTTGAGCTGTCAAAAGAGCGGCGATTCGAGCTCCAGCATGTGAAAAGCTGAGGGAGCTCAAATAACGGCAGCTCTTTCCAGCAGTCGGAGAGTCGCACCTTGTAGATCAGCATATTGGCGGTGTGGTGGTTGGGTTGGTGGTGATGGAAAGGAGAAGGAGCAACTGAACGAGGAAAAGATTGCTGCAGCGTTCGGGGGTGGGGTGCTTTTGTTCGCTCCTTCCCTCGTTGCGGAGACCAACCAAGCAAAGGCCTTCAGCAAAATTGGCGTCTGGCCGCTTCACGCCTACGCCCGAACGGGAAAGCGCCGAGCTTGGACCCCCACAGTGCCCGTGTCGAGCGAATTTGCTGCCAAGACTGCGACTGCGCGCTGCAAAAACTTCGACTCTCCTGCCTTGACCAGTGCTCCTTTCTGTCGTTTCTTTACCATCACTCCCGCCGCCAATCCGTGAGGTAAGTCGTCGCAAATGGCAGTCGCAGTCATGCGCTGTCACTCTAGCAATCGAGTGCCCTTCAGGTAGCCCAGACTGGCGCATCGTTGTCTTCGACCGGCAACGACACCGCCTGTCTGACATGGACGAGCTGAAGAACCCTTCTGGTCGCACATCCGCTTGCGCATCCCGAAGGGCACTCTTTGCGCTCACGGCTTCCGAGGGCTAACATGTATTCTTCGCCGCCAGCAGATACCTCCTACCGCCAACTCCTCCGCCGTTTGAGAATCTCGCCCGACAACCGCAAAATGGTCAAGACTTCCGTCCTCAACGATGCCCTTAACGCCATCAACAACGCCGAGAAGAGCGGCAAGCGCCAGGTCCTGATCCGTCCTTCGTCCAAGGTCATTGTCAAGTTCCTCTCTGTCATGCAGAAGCACGGTAAGTCGACTCGAGTCAACACGTTGAGCCGGTCCGAAGCAGCAAGAGGAGGATTGTCTGTAGCAAAACACACCCGGGTTGATAACTAGGTGAACGGTCTCAATCACCCACGGCCTTTGCCCTTTAAGTATCCGGGAGATCAACCGTCGAGGAACTTACACGGCTTCGGACTGCTCAATGATGTTTTGCTGTTTATTTTCTTGCAACATACTGATCCTCTTTTCTGCTAGGCTACATTGGCGAGTTCGAGGAGGTCGACGACCACCGCAACGGCAAGATTGTTGTCCAGCTTAACGGCCGCCTCAACAAGACCGGCGTCATCTCTCCCCGCTACAACGTCCAGCTCCGCGACATGGAGAAGTGGGTTGTCAAGCTCCTTCCCTCGCGTCAGTTCGGTTACATTGTCCTGACCACCTCTGCTGGCATCATGGACCACGAGGAGGCCCGCCGCAAGCACGTTGCCGGCAAGATCATCGGTTTCTTCTACTAGATTCTGTTGCATCTGCAGCTGCACGTCACGACAATCAAAAAGCCACCAAAAGTTTCAGGCATTCGTCTCGTTCTAGATACCACTTTGATCATTTTTCAATGAAGAGCCAGTGACGCTTGTCTACCATCTTTTTCATCAATGACTTTCTCCACAATCTGTGTGACATGTGTGACATGCCAAACCAGTTCCTTTGACCGAGACAACCACAGCCATGTTTGCGACTGCTGAAAGACTACCATGATCAAGCGGTGTAGATTTCCATGTCTTTCAGATGCAATGATGTGTTTGTATGCAGGCTGCCATTGATGCCTGGCCAGCTTCATGCGGCCTCTTTGAGCTTGACCGTGAAGACGCACTTTCTTTGTCCACCACTGTTTGCTTGACTTTTTCCACAACCTTCTGCCTCTTGGTGAATCTCTTCTCTTTCTGATCCCTCAATCTATAAGGTACACCAACAAGCCGTTGATCGATCTGATCTTGTCAGCTACTTTTTTGACTCTCGCACGGTCGTTTGAGACTCACAGGCACGCCGCTGACGCAGCCGCCAAAACTTCCGCTCAGCGCTTTCAACCACCTTCGTGGACGACAACATCAACATTCACCGGACTTTGACTTTTGACTGAAGCGACACATCATGGTTCTTGGAAACAATCTACGTGACCAGACACGGCGTAAGTGCTCTTTCTCTTCCTCTCCTGCTCATAGCACACCGACACGATGTGTCATGGCTGCTCCAGCCGCACTTTCCTTTTCATCTCTGCACAAAGAAAGAGTCGGACTTCCGCACACACGGACTTTGAGTACGGGCATGGCATGATAATCTCTGTTTGTTCTTTGGTGTGATAAAATGTATTGAGTCTCACAACACCTGACTTTTGACTCTTCTCTTATCTCGTGTACCCCGGAGAAACATACTCATCATGTCAACAGTTTCGCTCTAACTGGGTGGTTGACCCTACTACCGGTACATACACTAGCAACCTTCCCACACCAACTGGCATTGCATCAGACCCGGCATTGGCAGCTCATGGCGTCAACCAATCAAAGGAACTGGCCGAACACATCTCAAAGCTGGATCCTCCTGTCGATGTCATCTACAGCTCTCCTTTCTACCGCTGCTTGCAAACTCTGGCACCCACTGTGAGCAAGCTCAACTCTGACCGTCCTCAAGACAAGAAGCTGCAAGTGCACGTTGAGAACGGCGTCGGCGAGTTCTACGGCCTTGCCCGCTTCGACCACCCATCACCCGCCACTCTTGATGTCCTTCTCAAGCACTTTCCTGGCGACCTTGTCGAGGCTCACATCCCTGTCATTCGCCCTAGCGTCAACGGTGAGAGCTTGACCTCCCTTCACGACCGCATCGCATACGCCCTCTATCACGTCATCCAGCAGCTCGATCAGGACCCTTCTGGACCCAAGACACTACTCATCTGCACACATGCCGCCAGCATGATCTGTATTGGTCGTGCTCTGACTGGACGCATGCCTGAAGACCCCAGTGAAGAGNNGGACTTCAAGTGCTTTACATGTTCGTTATCGAAGTTCACTCGCCGCAACATCCCCGAAGCACCCGTCGAGAAGCAACATATCTGGACACTGGACGAGCCCGAAAACATTCCTTTCGTCGACTGGAAAGGTAAGGGTGTCAAGGGTGGCTGGGATTGTCAAGTTAACGGTGACTGTTCCTTCCTGGAGAAGGGTGAAGAACGTGGCTGGTATGATATTTTTCCTTTCTTTTTTCTTTTTTTCTTTCGTGCGCCGCCGTCCCTCCCTTCCAGATCACTTTTTCTTACACATTCCCTCCATCCACACTCTACAAGGTTTAAAAGAGGATACTATCCTAGACTAGGAACTGGTGGTTCGAGCCTGGTCTTGACTACTTGGCACACAAGGTCACTGTTGCAACATACGGTGCCGGCGGTGTCAACATTGTCTAGANNGCTATAAGCCCACACGTCTNNTGGCCAGCTCATCCAGCAAGACTCAGCATCTCGTTTTTGTTTTTGGCTTGCTCTAAGCAATAAGTCCACCTCTGCTTTTATTCACGCGTACTACCTCATGCAACTTACGACCTCACGAAACCGCAAAAGATCGGCAAAATCCAGAAACGCAACAAGAAAGATACGCAAGCTTACGATTTTCTCTCTTCTTCCGGCATAACAGGGCATTTTCCACCGACGAGTCTTTCCTACGAGACCCCAATGCATACAACGACAAGATCAATGAAGGCGCAAAAGAGGGTGAGGGCATTTTGAAGCCTGGTTTCCGGCTATGAAGGACAAGGTAAAAGGTTACAAAGGTGGTCGGCTTACATAGATGGTCTTTTCATGCCTCGTTCATGATCAACAGGTTTGTTTTGCAATGGCTTTGGTTTTGCATGCCATGGCTGCCTTATGAAAGGCGGCTTGGTTGGGTGGTCGGTTATTTCTAATACATCTTTTCATGTTTTTCTTTGCCCCACCTCTGTCTTCTTCGTCACGAAGGAATGTTTTTCTCCCCCTTCCCTTGACTACTTACCATATTCAGCAACCATGATCTGCTCACTCCGTTGATACTATTCTCGCCAACGACTCAAGCTACTGCATCGTCACCTTTCACACCAGCGATACTCATCAGCAACATCTTTCGCCAAATCACTTTTCTTATCTGACTGCACACTCACAACCATCTCTTCGCGATAACTCGATACATCAATCGTCACCGGCTACTTGTTTCTCCTATCCTTTGGAGCACGCATTTCGCCAAGAGCATAGTCGCATCCTTTCTTCGGACCACCCACGCATGTATCATGCGCTTGTGATGGACCAGTATCTACCAGTTGTCGCGTTCAATTTCTTTGGCATGTTTGCAAAAGCATAGTCACGTCCCTCCTTCGTTCTGCTGCACGCTTGCGCCTTTTTCCGCTCAACATGCTTGGAAAGGCCCACTGGCGACCTGTTGTCTCGCAAAATCGCTCTTACCTCGCCCTTTCCCCTGGCAACGTCCCGAATCAAGAACTTGTTGTCGCTCATCTCATCTGATACGTCACTCGACTGCTCTCCTCATCTCCAGTCGTCGCTCGTCATCTCCTCATGTGAGCGTCTCTGCCGAGACAGCTCTTACACTACCACTGTTTTGGGCACCGCTCTAACGCTCGGCCTGCATCACGGTCTACCTCTATACGACCATAGATGTTTGCAAGACTGCTCTCGCTTGTGATGGACCTCGTGAGGGCCCTACTTTCGCCGACAGATGTGTCTCCTGTTTCCAATATTCCTCGATGCTTTGAGCTTGCTACACTGCTTGTTGGCATCTGCCGTATATAAGCCAGCACGGTATTCCGGTGTGTCAGCGACATCACAGAGCATTTGAGTTAAGCAGCATTTGGCATCCTTGAGAGACCACATCTCCGATTGCCCGACAACAGATGCTTCCTGTTTTGTTGTGAAGTTTGACCAAGCCTATCCTCAGCGCCTAGAGAGTTCGATCTCAATGTCGTTACTGTCTGCTGAGAGCACCCAGCCACTCATGCACATCTCGGCATAAGATGTGTCGCACTGTTGCGCTCGAAACCCCCAGTTCAGCACACAATTCAGCGCACCAACATGGCATGTCCCAAGTATAACGGGCACTAGCATGTCAAGAGTGCGTATCGGACAACACACGTGAGGATGTATGTGACCGTCCCTCAAAAGGTGGCCGCTGCAGATCTTGCATCAGAAATAACCGACCTTGCACTCCCTGTTGCGAAAGGTTCTGCTTCTCCACTTCGATCGTCTCCGTGGTTCCCTCGTTTCCAAACACCTCGACAGAGCTTTGGGAACCGCCATCGACACTCAAATCTTGTCTCGCAAGAACATGACCTGTTTTCTGCATGGAATCCCGGCCGCTACTATTTTCATCGAACATCCAATCTTCGTGCCAATCTGAAGAAGTCAACTCTTGATAAGCATACTGGACCACTACTGAACAGATCAGTGTGTATCACGTTGAGCTAGCTAGCTTCAAAGCCAACAAACCCCTCGATATGGCTCTTATCTTGTATATATATCAGCGATTGGTGCTTTGTTCGCTGTCTCCCCTTCTTCCAAGAGGCTCAGGGCTATTGCCTGGAGTCCAGAACAGAGTCATACACATCAGCGATATGGCAGCAGAGCACGTCGGCATTCGCGCGAAATGCACTATCACTGGCCAGCTTGGGCCGCAACCTCTAAACATCATGTTTAGACTGTATGTCATGGCAGACAGACTCAACGTCCTAGCCTTTCGTGTGGTGTTCCAGCACGCCCGTACGTATGACTGTTCTAAGCCTGCAGCTCAACCTCCAGCGTGGCCATGCATGCAAGCTTTGGCATACCATCTGTCACACTGTTATACTAATGTTGCCTTCGCAACAGCATGGCTTGTCTTCTGTATATGGATTCGGCCGCTGCTTTCTTTTAGGCCTTGAGTACTTGTGGCAAGCCGAAGAGGACAACTCTCGACAAGCATTCTGAAGCACGGGTCAACAGCTCATTGCGTGTCATTTCAAGCCGATTAGCCTTAAAGCCAACAAGGTCCTTGACATGGCCCCCGTTGCACTCATGAGCAAGAGGTGCTCTACTCGCTCTCTTCTCTCCTCTGAGAGGTGTTCAGAGGCTATCTTCTGGAATACAGAATGGGGATTATACACATCAGCGATGTAGCAGCAGGTTGGCCAATTTCAATCGCGCCTCTCTCAACATGGTCGCTACCATACAAGCACTGCAGAACTTGGCGAATCTTAATACGCAAGGGCGTTAGTCGGACTTGTGCCGACTCAAGATCTGCCCGACATCACCAGTCTTGAGGAGGATGTCCTTGCATGGTTCCAAGAAGAGAAGAGGCTTTCGGACGAAGGTGCAAGTGCCACTATGCAAAAGATGCAATTGAACTACATCCCGCTATGCCGCGACGAAGATCTCCCGGCTCGTTTACGCGCCAACTGGAAAGGATCTCAGCCCGAACAGAACATCGTCGACCATCTATCGAACAATCCTTTGACGAACTCCGAAGATGACCTAAACGATCACCTCTCTGGCGCTGTCATGGGTGCCAAATGGTACATTGGCATCTATGCGAGATAAGTTCCGCTGGTCAGCTTGAGTCGCAACTTCTGGATATCATGCATGAACTGTATGTCATGGCAGATAGGCTGGATGTCACGGTGTTTCGCGCGGCAATTACTGTAAACCTCAAACCTGACGGTTTAAAGCCTGGATTTGATGTTACAGATGTGTCTTCCACTACTCAAATGATGCACAACATACCCGAGCTTCTGCCGTTATATATTCCCCCAATTATGTTTCCATCATCGTTGGGTACAGAGAAAACAAAACGGGTCATGCGAAATTTCGGCAGAGTCGAGTGCCGAGGCATGCTGTCTTATCACTGCGACGTATCCTGCGAGCAAGAGCGCTTGTCAGCTTTGATTGATGATCTATCGCGATGACTTACGGCGACCATTGTTGTGTCTGCTTGGTGGAGCCGGGCTTCAAAACCTGAGCAGCACACTCTACCTGCTCTGCGGATCTACTTCCAGAGTCTCCCAGACTCCTGCTCCTCCCCCTTACTCAGCAACCTAGCTCATCGTTGCAGATCAAGTCACTCCTTGCGCCTAACCGTCAAAATGGCAAATCACCTTGCAAACCACACTGATGGTATCTATATATATCAGTCGCATCATCTGCAACTGACTATTCCAGGCTGGTCTTGCTACTACCAAGCAGGTTTCAGCCCTTAAGGGCTCACCAAATCCACCCAGCTCGATGGCCTGGCCAAGATCACAGACCTTGAGCTGCTCGCTACGAAGAAGTAAGTGGATGACTTGCTTGAAAACATGCCATCACTCGGCGGTCTTGCCACAACCGTCGATATGGAAGATATGACTAGCGAGATGAACAAGCTACCTGTTGTATCCACGGTCGAGGCATTCCAGGCTGGTCTTGCTACCACTGAGCAAGTTTCAACCCTTGAGGCCAAGATGTCTTCGACTGAGGATGTTCAGAAGGGTCTGACTACCACCCAGCAGCTGTCAGCCCTTGGGGGCAAGAGTCCTACCACCAAGGACTTCCAGAAGGGTCTTGCCACTCGTGAAGAATTCAAGGGCCTCGAGGGCGCCATATCCAAGGTCTAGCCGCCTTCGCTTGAGGCTATCCGTGAGGACATGGTCACTGGCACTCAATCTGGTGGGAGACATGATGAGATTGAAGCCACCCTCGAACCGCTTGCAGAGATTAGGCAGGGCATGGTCAACTTGCAGATTTGGAGTTCTTCTCCTCCATTCAACTTTCGTCGCCTTGATCTTTCTTTCTTATATAAACACATCCGGTCAGCACTGCTACCGTATCTCAGACTCATCGAAGCTGCATCCGCTTTGACCCCAGCAAGGCCGTACCTCAAACTCATGAGAGTTGATGCGGCTTCCATCTCAGCAGCCGCGATGGTGCTGTATTAGGATGTGGTCAGGGCATGCTCTGCCCAATCCGGATGAGGACCACTCTGACTATTACATGGCCATCGACGGGATATCCGACATGGAATCTGATGGGGAACTGAAGTTGGACCTGGCCCCAACCAAGCGCCGTGACGAGGGCTTGTTTACCACCAGTCCCTACAACAAGGACCTCCATTACGAGCTCGTGTCCCTCACCGCTACAGGTCAGCACCTGTTGGCGAAGCTGCTATGCAAGACACCCAATCTGATCACCGTCTTCAACATGCCGACCTTCACATACAAAACCAGCAAGGGCGCCTTTTCTGAGAAGCACTTCGACCGTTACGACCACCAGCTCGCAATCCTGATGCTGACCCGGGGCAAGACGCCTGCCAACAGGGGGCCCCTGCTCCAGGGCAAAGGCTACCTCCAAGGCTACCAGGAAGCCCGCCGTCCCCCAGAGATACGTGCCTCGTCTCTCCAAAGCAGCTGAAGATGCTGGAG